TCGCCGGCCAAACCCTCACACCCGGAGGCGTTATCACCGTTGACGGCACCACGGTATCCCTCGCCGCTCCCGCCACCGCCGTCATCATCAACGGCGCCACATCCACCTTCCCCGGCCCAGCAGCAGCTTCAGCGAGCATAACCGCTCCTCCCGCCCTAACGATCGGCGACCAGAGCTTCAACCCTATCAACGGAGGACCGACATACGTAATCAACGGCGAAACGCTCACGCCGGGTGATGTCGAAACTGTGACGGTGGGCGGGAAGACGTATATCGTTTCGCTCTCCCCCGACGGCACGGTGTTGAAGATCGAAACCGAAGGTCCCGGCGGGAGGGTGACAGCGACGGCGTTCGAGACGTTGTACTCTGGTGGCGGAAATGGGGTCGGAAGACAGACCGTGACGAATACGGTCGGTGCGTCTGCGGGCGCTGGAGCCAGTGGAAGCGCCGGGCCGAGTGGGAGTGTGGTGCCGGCGTTGGCGAACGCCGCTCAGTCCGTCGGACTGCATGTCGGCGGAATGGTCGTTGCGGGTGGGGTGGGGGTGCTGGCGGTGTTGCTGTAAGAGAAAGAGAAGGTGTGAGGTAAGTTGAGGTAAGGTGGGGGGGAGGATATCATGATGTGATGAATTTTGCATGAAACTGCATAGCGTGGAGGATCTATGGGGTGCAATATGAAGGGTTGGGTATATATGAAGGGTTGGGTATACCCGAGACCCAACGTACGCTTAATGGGACTGGGCTGGAAGACGTCCAGGGCGCTGCTGGAAAGAATGATTGGCATATGGAGCGGTATAGTGACGATATACGTCTGAAGAATTTAATGGATCTTGATACTGAGCCTCGTTCATGGTCATACGGACCCCTGGGCCATACTGTTGTTATTCTGGACTTCACATAAGGCACTCATGGAGCCTCTATCGCCAAACGTCTCCGTCAAGGATGAGTTGCTGTGCATTCTATGTTGTCCACATAATAACTGCGAAGCCAAACTTTTACCAACAAATGGAGTGATATGACTCTACACCAACCCCGGCATCACCTCTCCAACTTGAACCCACCAGGCATTTTCCGCTGAAACACACCGTCAGGATCGTACTTCCTCGCCGTCTCTCGCAAGAACCTCACATTCTCCCCTCCATTGCTCTCCAACGGCCGCTGGCTCCAATCGGCATAATTCGTATACACAAACTCCCGCAACATCCCCATCTCCCTTGCCACTTTATTAACACTCTCTACCACTTCTGCGGCTTTCGCATGCACCTTCGCATTCGAGCCCGAGTCAGGCCAGAGCGCTGATAGGAGCATGATCATCTGGTTACCGTCGTCAGGGGATGTACCTAGGCTGTTCTTCCCAGCTCCAGGGGCCGTAAAGACGGTGGGGAGGGGCTCGAAGGCGATGTCCCAGACTATACCCTCAGGGGGGTTGAAGGTGTAGAGGGTGGTGTTGATGGCGTCGAACATGCGATCGAGGAGATTGGCTGAGACGCTGTAGGTACCGGTCCAGAACTGCCAGTTTAGGGGAGGAGTGGCTGTTTCGTTTGCCAGGACATGGAGGTGTGTGATCTCCAGCTTGTCGCTTATATTTGGGATCGCGAAGAGTGGTTCGTAGATCTTTGGTCGCAGCTCAGGGAGGGTGTAGACGGGTGTTGAAGAGACGGCCCAGCCTTTGCTTGTGGAGTTGTAGAGGAGGCCGGTGACGATGCTGGCGCGTACGTCGTAGTTTTTCGCTGATGCTATGTCGGCAAAGGCTTTGAAGACTGCACCACGGTGGGATATATCGTTTGCCAGGCTTCCGCCTAAGATCTTTGAGATATCAACAGTTGCGAGGTCGAACCTAGTGACGAGCCCGAAGTTGTTCGTCCCTCCTTTCAAAGCACGGAAGAGGTCGGCGTGATGGGAGGCATTGGCGTTGACCAGTTCTCCAGTCGCGAGAATGACTTCAAAATTGACCACGGTATCGCAGGTGAAGCCGACCCGGGGTGAGAAGTAGGAGATGCCGCCTCCTAACGTCAGACCTCCCACTCCAACTGCGCCGTTTCGACCGCCTGCCACAGACTTGCCGAGCGGATCAAGGTAGGCGTACGCATCAAGCCAGCTTGCTCCAGCTCCGACGCTGGCTACGGAATGGTCTTCGTTCGTCTTAACGGAGCTCATGCCAGTCACATCGATCGTGACACCGTTATCGATGTTCGCGAATCCCGCTGCTGGCGCATGGGTGCGACCTTTGATGGCGAAGTCGGCATCCTCACAGGCGTTGCTCGATGTGAGAACTCTGATCACTGAGGCAGCCTCATGAGACGTTTGCGGCGTCACTATGCAGGATGGCCGGAGTGTTGCTTCTTGTAGCGACCAGTAGCTCAACTCAGTCTTGTTGTAGGCCAGAGAGTCTGGTAGAGCGACTGCTAGACCGGGGCATTGCGAGGCAAGAGCGGTACACTGATCGTTACGACACTGTTAGCATCGTGTCTACAGACCAATCGTTTCTGATGAGTACTCACACAAGCAAAAGCCATGACTGCAGTCAAGCTTCTATTCTCTTTCACCTAAGCTTCTCGGCCAAGATACTTGTAGGGCCTGCTCGTCGATCATCGTCAGACGGGATGATCGCATGGCGTTCCTTGTTGTTCCATCCGGACGCCCCGCCAAGCCGAGGTTGCAACAATGGAACGAGCGACAGACGGGGCCAACATGGAGGTATTCCGGCGGATGAAAGCCATCTGCATGGCTCCTCACGTCTGTGATGATGACAGTGCGATCTGTTCCTTCTCCAAAGCCTTCGTCGTGTATCCTGACCAGAAACACAGCTTGGATAGCAGAAAAGCACACCAGGTCCCGAGAAGCATCGACACCTCTCTTGAGGACGGCATTGGCAGTCAAGTACCATACACGTTTTGCATGGTCGTTGTAGTCGTTGTGAGCACGTAGCACAGAGGAGGCTGATCGAAAAGATGCTGCAAGCCGCAGCGGTGTTGCACAAGCGAGCAATCAGAGGGGATTTCACACCTCGAAAGCTCGAACTGCAGCTATATGTATGCCTGTTTTCAATAACAACAGTGTATCTTGCACCAGCAATGAAATCATGCCATCGGGCAAGGACCGTCTTTGCGTGGCGCTACACCTTCGTGGAGGCAAATCGAGGATGCCCGGCAAGGAAGACAGGTATATGGGACAATAAGCATTTGCCAGTCAGACGCTGATCGTCCATTAGATTCCACTGGGCGCTCTTCATCGGACCAAGGATCATGATGCAATTATCCAGTGGCATCCAGATCCATGTGAAGAACACGGTCTTTGGTCAGGAGGGCACTTCGGTGCTCGAGGAGCGCGAGAGTTCTCTGATACCCGCCGGTCAGGTCCTTATTCGTGTTGTGGTTGCGAAGATCCAGGATCGGGAACGTCTGCCTGGGATTCTTCGCACGGCGCCAGTCACCCAGGACGACTCAAGCTGGAACTGTATTAGTTGGGTAAGAGAGGCTCTGGCAACTGTGCAGAAGGATGGCGAAGCTGTTGGCACTTCGAAGCTGGACTGGCAGGAGGTGCGGGATGCTGCAATGGGGTACTGCCAGGAGAAGATTGACGCTCATCGCTTCGACGGCAAGGGTCAGTATGATATGATGAAGACAGCTACTTACGACCTCTTAGAGCGGAAGAAAATTGTGCCTTGAATCTACATGGTCAGCATTTTAAGCTTGTTCAAGAAACAACCTCAACCCCCAAATCCTCCGGCCACCTCGCCTTGTCCACTCCATTCGTCCTCGTCCCAACATTATACCTCAACTCCACCTCCCCGTCTTTGAACTGAGCGATCGGCTTTACCTGGACAAAAGTGTGCCCTGCAGCCTTTGACTCTCTGTGCTCGTAGAACTCCGGTCGGAACAGAATGTCGCTACTGTGTTTGACGAGCCGGCCGATCATCTCGGGGAGGAGATATTGCATGCTGTGGTAGTGCCTTCAAAAACATTGTCAGTAAACCATTTGAAGTTTCAGTTTGAAGCAAGGCCGCTTACCTGTAGACAGGCGAGCCGTTGCGCTTCCAGACGTCCTGCCAGATGTTGTCCGGGTAGGTACCGACGGATCTGGTGAGCCATTGGGAGTAGTAATTCAGAGAGGCCTGTGGTCGGCGCGTCAGCGAACACAGCACGGACATCGATTGCTGCTCTCAACTCACATCAATGCCATAGTTCCCTCCTTCCTCAGCCCGGCGGACGAGAGCATGCATCACGCCAACACAACCCGCGATCCCAGTACAGTAGTCGGAGTTGGGGAAGACAGGCGTGACCGCCTCGTCATTGCCCATGGCCCTGCCGAAAGCAAGAGACACTCCGCAGCACTGTCAAGCCATCAGCAATCATCGCATCAAGCCCAAGAGTATGGGTAAACTCACCGCATCACTAATCTGCTGCCACCCACTCCGATGCATCCATTCCCCATTCCACCCATAACAATTCTCCCGCACATGCACAATCCCCCTCCCCCTCCCCATCACAAGCTCGAAGATGTCCTCCCTGCTGAAACCATTCCGCGCCATGGCACCCGGTCGGTAGCCCTCGACAACCACATCAGCCTCCTTGATCAACTCAGCCAGAGCCTTGCGATCCTCCGGGCTTTTCTTGACATTCAGCTGGCAGTTCCACTTGCCCCAGTTCAAGTCTTGGTGCAGACCGCCCATGTCGGTGATGGAGTCCGAAGTCACACGCATAACACTGGCTCCCATCTCGGCTAAGCTGCGCGTGACGGTTGGTGCTGCGATGATGCGGGTGAGGTCGACGACCTTCAGGCCCGCGAGAGGTCGCTTTGCCGATGAGGGCATTGATGCCACTTCCGGCCACCAAGAAGCTGGCTGCGACTGCTCATCGAACTTGTGCAGTTCATAAAGCGACACATGAGCATTAGCCTTCCCATGCTCAGACTTAAAGAATTCCTCCTTACTCCAAGCGATGGTACCAGCCTGCTTGTACTTCTCATTCATCAGCTGGTCAAGCTCGGCTGAATCATGCTTTAGCACCGCAGCTTGGATCCTTTCAACAGCAGAATCGTAAGTCTCGCCTTCCTCGCCATCCATAGGCAGTCCAAGCGCCGTCAGAGTAGGTTCTGGGTTCAGACTCCCATGGGTATGGTAGAAGCGGCCATCTTTAGTCTTGTAGATATTGGTCGCCAACGTTCGATGCAAAGACGTAGATGCGCGGTGCAAGTCCCAGTTTTTGAAGCCGTACTTTTCCATTTCGGAACCTTTGAAAGCGTTCAATGCTTGGGCTTTGCCATCTTTGTCGATGACCTGGGTCAGGAATGGCGACATAGCGAACAACGAAGCATGGTCGGTGTTGATGTTAACATCGGCCATCTCCACACCGTACTTCTTCGAGCGCAGAACGTTGAGCATCGATGCCTCGAACGCTTTCATTGCTGCTGCGCTCTCGGCGAAGCGCCAGTTGATTGGGATGCTTGGGGTGTCATTGCCGCTGAAGTGGACCAGTTTGGCGGCTTCTTTGATTGATTCTGGTAGTGCTGGGATCAGGGAATTGTCCAGTATCTCATCCTGCAACACTTTCTTTGCCTCTGCTGTGACAGAGTACTTGGTCTCGCCGATGGAACCCATTGTGCTGTGTTACCGTTGTCAACGTTCGATGGTTGGTGATGTCAATGGAGTGAGAGAACGTTCGGTATACCACGGACCATAGGCACAGTATTTTGGCGATCGAATGATGGTTTCCAATACTGTTTCTACAGACCCGAGGTGTCGTTCGGCGAACTGGTCCCACGTACTGGTGTAGCGCCCCGCTTTGTGTGAAACTCTCGATTGCCTGCGAGACCTCGGTCAGCTGTGTAACAAAGTAGCAAACCGGACAGAACGATGTGTGACTGACAGCTCTGACGGGATCTGTATCACTTGCCTTGTTGTCCGAAGACGTAAAGTCGAAGAACTGTTATAACCCTATCCTCGCTGCAATCACAATTCAGCCTACCGAGTCTGCGGCTGGATATCTGCGTCGAACACACGTCAGCCACAATGGGGTCCACGCACACCCAGAGAGCAGTTCGTATAGCAAACTGTAGCGGTGCCGAACCAGATCCGGGAAGGCACATGTTCAATCAAGCCAAATATGGCCAAGTCGACGTTATCACGGGTGAGTCGAATTGGCGAGTCTGAACGATGTTGAAGTGTTGTTGACGGCTGGAGACAGGTGATTATCTTGCTGGTTCGTACATTCGGTCCATTGCATTGGATAGGTCTGATTGTGTGATCCAGAGGTCAACCTTGCAAACAATGCCGAAGCATACCACAGGGGCGAGCACAACGGATGGATTCCCACCTGCTGGGAAGGCATCGAGATGTCCGTCGATATCATCAACGAGAAACGGATCAAGCTGGTGATCAACGGTGGCTGTTTGAATCCCAAAGGCCTTGCTGAGAAGACTCATGAATTGGTCAGCAACGAGGTTCTCGAGCTTGGAGAGGATACTGACCGTTGCAGGTGACGTCGAAAGGACTCGACCTAGTCGTAGCTTACGTCGAAGGCGACGATGTCCTCGACCGAGCGTACGACATCCTGGGCACATCAACAGAGGAGAAACTTCCCCATCTTGACAAGACCAACTCGAACGTGCAGTTGGCGAAGGACACCAAAGCATTCCTTGACGACAAGGAGCGCATGCCCATCGTCAGTGCCAACGCTTACCTAGGTATTAGAGCAATCCGGCGTGGGCTTGATGAAGGCGCCGATATCGTTGTCTGTGGTCGTGTCGCAGATGCTAGTCCCGTCATAGCCGCAGCAGCCTGGTGGCATGGGTGGGCTGACGAGGACTATGGCCCGCTCGCTGGAGCTCTGATTGCTGGCCATTTGATAGAGTGTTCGACCTACACCACTGGAGCCAACTTCGCGGGCTTTCATACCCACGACATCTCGGAGCTGCTGGACCTGGGCCTTCCCATCGCTGAAGTAGAGGCCAATGGCGAGTGTGTCATCACCAAGCATGAAGCGCTGAATGGTTTCGTGGACGCCGATACCGTGAAATGCCAGTTGTTGTACGAGCTGCAAGGAACAATCTACCTCAACAGCGACGTCAAAGCCGACATCACCAATATCCGCGTTGAGAACGAGTCGAAAGACCGTGTCCGGGTGAGCGGTGTCAAAGGTGCGCCACCTCCATCGACAACGAAGCTTGCAGTCTTCTATAAAGGTGGATACCAGTGCGAGATGCTCTTGAATGCTACGGGATACGCTTCCAGAAAGAAGTTCGCACTCCAAGAGGCGCAGCTGCGGCATAAGCTGAAAGAATGGGGTCTCCTGGACAAGTTCGACATCCTCGACTTCCAATGGATTGGCAGACCGGAGGCGAATCCATCCTCTCAGCTAGCTTCCACGACGTACCTGCGTATCTTTGCTCAGTCCAGAGATAAAATCGCTTGTGCGAAGCTGCTGCCGGGTGTTTATACGAATGTGATGCAGCATTTCTCGGTGAGCAGCAACACAGCCCTTCTTGTTTCTGAGGCGTTTACTGACGGATACTCAGGGCTTCCACAGCACGAGCGACCACCGCACAGCCATGCCAAAGGAATTCCTTGGCTTCTACCCGGCCGTCATAGCGCAGAGCGAGCTGGAAGAAAGCATCAACATCATCTCGAAGAAGGGCGACAACGTCCACAAGACTATCATGGGCCCGCCGAAGAAGTCTGAGCCGATCGGAGAGCGAGATAACTTCGAGACCGCGAATCCGGTGGATCTCTCCAGCTTCGGCGAGACGGTCGTGGCGCCGTTGGGCGATGTAGCTTTTGCCCGCTCTGGCGACAAGGGCGCGAATGTCAACTTCGGCGTTTACGTCCACACCCAGGAGGAGTGGGACTGGCTCCGTACGGTGATGACCCGCGCGAAGTTGCAGGAGCTCATGGGCAGCACTTGGGAAGACTGGTTCTACATCGAACGATGCGAGATGGCTGAGATCAAAGCCGTACACTTTGTCGTATATGGCCCGCTCGGGCGCGGAGTCTCATCGTCCAAGATCCTGGACGCGCTTGGGAAGGGTTTCGCCGATTTCATCCGGGACAGGCATATTGAGATCCCGAAGAAGTTCCTTGGGAAGTGGGATAGTCATGCTGGGGTGTTGTCGAGGCTTTGAGTAGATCCTTCCGATAGTTGCAGGAGGCAAAAAGTTGAGATAAAGTTGTCTGACGTTGGATAAGGTATCGCGAAAATGACGCGCTAAATTCATTTCGGGATGGTGCTCTTCCCTCCTGTCGAGCGTAACAATCTATGTCCGCTGTTCCATATAAGTCCCGTTGTCTTGTTATCTTACGGAGAAGCAAGCTGGAAGACCGTATCATGGAGTCATGTCGTAGAAGAGACTTGGCTCAATTCGCAAGTAGAGCATTTACGAGAAGTTCTCGCAGATTTGAATGGGGTCCTCGTGCTCTTCCAAGACTCTTCAGCATCTGATTCCCCTTTGGAAGGAGAGTAATTGGCAACATATCATCAGGCAAACGACGTGGAGCTCACACCACATTTACACACTTCCCTCCTTTTCTAATGCCTCGTTGAGCTCGATAGATTGAGTGCGCGAGTGAACGAGTCTAGGACCTGCCAAATCACGCCACCACAGATGAAAACAAGACTACACTGACACACCATCCACGAGTCCACGACGACGCCCACTGATCTGAAGATGCCTCCGCCAGCTGTAGGTTCAACCATCTCAGGACCTAAACATCTTCTAATATACTCCCAGACACCGTCTCCCCACCGCTTCCTCAAAGGCCATCGTCGCCAGGAACCACCAGCGAGTAGACAGAAGCCACCATCTGCTCTCCGCCAGCAAATAGACAGGGAACCACCAGCACAACCCCAAGAAACCCCAACCACGTTGTCCCAATTCAATGCACCGCCAAGGTTCTCTGTCGGCAAAAGAAGGCCAGTAGCACCACCTACGCAGCGATCGCCATCTCCACAGAAGCACTCATTAGTCAATACGCTACGATCTACCGGCCGGCCGGTCGAGGATGTTGAAGATGCGCAGGATCAGGCTGATGATGAGGAGATGCTTGATCTTGAGCAGGCAGATGTGCGGCCAACGACTGAGCATCAAGACAGGCGGGACTGGACAAGCGACTTAGCTCTGTCGCCTAAGCGACGCCGACTCGATCCACATGATGACACCGCGGATACGACACAGAGAAGCTATAGACCCGAGGAGCATCCAAGAGCGCGGCCATCCGCATCCGTACCTCCGTTTGCCACCCCCAAACCCCCAGAAACCTCCACCATCACGACAGCCCCTCAACGCCCAGCATTCCTCCGCCCATCAGCACCACCCCAGGAACCGAGCGAACCACTACCAGAGACCTTCTCACCCCACAAGCGAGGCCAGAAGTTCGTCCCAGGCGGCATGGCTGCCACAGTCCAACAATGGGTCATCGAGACCGGGCAAGCTGCTGTGCAGAGTCGAAGAGGTCATGGCTACCTGAAAGGAGAGAACTATGTTGCAAAGGTGAAGGTGGACGAGGTGTTAGGGCAAGGGCCGTTCACGGTGTTGGGGAAGAACGCGGAGATGGAGGCCGTGGCGTTGCTGCTCGCTGGCAAGGTCAAGGAGGACGATGAGAGAACGGGATTGAAGCAGGGAGATGTTCTTGGGGTAAGGGCGCCGACGTGGGAGGTGGAGGTTGATGGGAGGAGTTGGTGCGTGGGTGTGGACTGGAAGGTCATGTCGTGAACATCTCCGGCATCATCATCAAGAGAGGAAAGGTGCCTGAGCTGCGATCGGCATCTCGCATCGATCAATCAACATCATGAATCTAGACGCGGGTTGTTCGTCGCGGGCCTTGTTGACCAGCATATCTCGTTGTCTTCTCCCAGACTCAATTACACCTAACAAGGCCAGATCACGCTCGTCGACTGTCTGTAATGGTCCCCGAGAAGATGCATCACGTAGAGCATCCTGGGCCTAGTGTACACCTTCTCATGAAGAATGACTGCCCACTGACAAGACTGATATGGCCTTTTTGGCAGCAATCTCGTGTCGGAGAAGACTGCCGCTTTCACAGTCTCTTGCTTGCCTCTCCTTCAGGGCGTCCCATCGTCAGGCACACCAGCAATACCCACATCTGTCACGAAGACTTTCCATTGGCACGTATTCTGTTGCCTACTACGATTCAGAGAAATGCCAATGCGGGATGCTCGGAGGTGTCGGAAGCAAGGATGTTTCGATTTCAATGCTCGCCCAGCCCACTTGCGGCGTGTCAGCCACCTGGATACGCAGGCGGATCAAAACAGTAGCTTGAGCTGCATTAGCTACACGCCTATTCTATTGTCCGACTGCATATCCGCTCCGTTACACTGCAGCTGTCAAACCTTCTGCCCGTCACTCGTTAAATTACAGACCGGAAGAGGTTGGATGCTGGATTCGTGAAGACTGGAGCGAATTGCCAATGACGTCTCGGCATCAACAACCGCCGACTTAAGCTTCGAGCCATAACAACAGGGCAGCCTTACAGCATGCGTTGGAGGTCCACTCGTTGATACCGCCGTCACTCTTTCTACTATTACTACATACACCTCCTTTCCGACGTAACTCAAGGAGCGTGCTCGACATGGCCACCAAAGCCGCCATCTTCGGCGGTCCCTCGCCGCACACGTCTGGACTGTTCGCGGACATGACGGTGGATGGGCCTGAGATCGGGACACTGGTTTTGATCGTGGACCGGGCGAAGAATCTGCCGAACAGGAAGACAATGGGAAAGCAGAATCCATATTGCGCTGCGCGATTGGGGAAGGATGCGAGGAAGACGGAGACGGACCGGAGAGGAGGTCAGACGCCCAGATGGTGAGTAGCGGCAGCCTTGTAGGGATGGGTATGTTTTATGAAGACTGACATGTCTGATACAGGGACCAAGAACTCCGCTTCGTCGTGCACGACTCCCCAGACTACTACAAGCTGAAGATCTCCATCTTCAGCGAGGACAAGCGAACAGACCTGATCGGCGAGGCTTGGCTGGACCTTGCGGACGTGATCACACCAAAGGGCGGCAAGAAGGATCTGTGGCAGGGCCTGAACTACAAGGGAAAATATGCAGGCGAGCTGCGGATAGAGATCACCTACTACGACACCCGGCCGAAGCAAGACGGCGCGGAGAGTGTTGCTGGCTCGGAAGATTTCAGTGTTGGAAGTGGCACCGGAAGAGTGAAGAGGAGGCCTTTACCGAGCACGATGGGCAGCGGAACGATTACGCCAGATGCGATACCAGCGCCTGCAGGCCCGGGAGTACCGGGCAGGGCCAAACACGGGCCAAGGGACCTGAGGATGCCACCGAGAGCGAACTCGTTGCCCCCGGAGAGCATGATGCACCCTCAGCAGCAGGCGATTTACGATGCTCCAGCGCCAGAACATGCGTATAGTTCCTCTGTGGGGCCCTTTGATCGAGCACCACCGCCTCAGCAGTATGGCTACGACCATTTTCAGGAGCCGGCCCAGGAGCACCAAGCATACGATCAGCATCAGCAATCCGACTTCCTTCCGCAACTTCCGCCGAGCAACCGCGCAAGAGGCTATCAAGCTTCAGCACAACGTTTTGCTGCACCTCGACCTCAGCCGCAACCGCCTCAAGCACATCCGCATCAACACCCACCCCATCACATGGGATTGCCGCATTCGCAGTCTGCGCCTATCGTCCCTCAAGCCCAGCATGCACAGCATGCACCTCACGACTTCGACGATGGATATCAGCTACAGACCGATTATCCGGAGCCGATTCCGGATCTCGACTTTCAACATCAACAACTGGCTTCTAGACACCGAAGAAGCGACGTTGGTCAGGACTGGCGAGGAGACCACAATTCATCGTACGGTGGTCAGCCTTCTTATGAAGACGCGGCGCCTCCACCCCCGCCTATGCACAGCAATAGCGCGCCTGTGGTGCCGCACTTTAGCAACACACATGGTACGCCAATGTCGTCCTCGCCTGGAAGTGCTGCTCCGATGCCACCACACTCTCGCCATCAGTCTGTGCCGAATACCTCACCATTGCAGATGATGGAGCGTGGGTACAGTGCACCACAGCGGACGCCAGTACCCGGGCAGGCGACAAGAGGCATGTCAGTTGATGGCTACATGTCGTCACCAGATTTGACCTACGGCACCTCTCCATCGAATTACCAGTCTGGTCAGACTCCGTCATCTCACCCCCGCCCTCAGCCGTCTCGCCCTTTACCTCACCGGAACAGCATTGCGGATTCGTACCAGTATACGCCACCTCGTCCTCATCCATTGTCGCAAGAGGTACCAAGGCCTCGAAGTCCGCTACCTCCTCCACCAGGCCCTTCGCCTCACAGTGCTGGCCACTCTACGTACCAGCAGGACTTCCGTGAGCGAGATGGCCCACCAATACTCAAGCCGAGGGCAATTTCACCGCAGCCGCCACCGTCATCGCAATCCAACTCTGCCCAAAGACCAAAGAGCTCCTACAGCATCCAGCATCCCGTCCGAGCTTTCGAATCAGCAGACGGCAGCCCGCTGTCCACATCTCGACCGCCGCCACCTTCCTCCCTCCAGACTTCACAGCGCTCGAGTCCCGCTCGCAAGTCGATCTCACCTCACCCAAGCGCACCCAACACACCCGGCGGAGGCACACCCTTCTCACCCGACAGCTTCAACGCCTACAACCCGCAAGCCTCACGAGCAACATTACCAGAAGGCAACTCACCACATAGCCCCTACCAAATCGCCCCCGGCTCCTCAGCACCTCGCGATGCAAACAACGGACCCATAGTCGGCTGGCACGGCCAGGAGATAGATCCTTCCGACCACCTCCCCGTCGACTCCTGGGCGCCGGAACCCGAGAAGAAAACCCCAACCAAAACCTACGGACTCGGTCGAGACCGCGACTTTGGGCCTCGTAGCGGCGCAGCAGCGGGGCGGAATATGTCTAAAGACACTGTGGTGAACTTCCGCGTCAAAGGACAACATCCACAACAACACCAACAACAACCTCTCCCACCCGCCGAACAGGAGTCGCCCTCCCGAAACCGCCTGCAGAAGAAGCCATCTCCATCTCCAGCTCCAGGCCGCGCACCCGCGCCAGAACCGCTCAGCGAACGACATAATTTCAACTCTGTCTCCGTCCCTGACCCTTACGCACAGCAGCAGTATAGCCAGGGATTCTACGGCGGCGGTGGTGGGGCGGAGAGGTACGAGAATGGTGGGAGTGGGTATGCGCCGAATCCGGACGATTCGCTGGCGAGGGAGATTGGGAGTATTGATATTGGAGGGAGGGGTGGCAGAGGAGGGGGTGGTGGGTATGTGCCGGCGCCGACGGCGTATGTGCCTGTGAGGAGTCATAGGGAGAGGGGAACGTTTTATTGATGGGAGATTGCATAGCGGTGTGGGTTTGTGTAAGATTAGCATGCATTCTGGGAAGGGAGGGCATAGAGCTTAGAGTCCTGTCCTTGGCACAGGGCAGTGGACGTGATCGTATGCATTTGATCTCTGATCTATGGACATGCTTTCATTTCACATAAACCACAAGGCCGTTGTTGACCAAGCGTGACCGACGTAGGCCTCTCGACCTCCTCATCGAACTCGAAAGAGCCATAGCATCCTCCATCCCCAACCCTCTACTTCGACACAAAAGGCTGCGGCTCCTTCTGCTGCCGCACATTCTCCCGCACCATATCGTCGCCCGGGTTCTCCGCCGCGTGCGCCGCCGCCTTGTCCTCGGGTCCTCCTGTTCCCTCGAAGTCTTTCGCCTTGTAGGGCCTGTCCCATCCACCGTCAGCCAATGTCCAAATATACATGTGTGTATGTGGGAGAGGGGGCAAACGCACTGCCCCGTCAAGGGATTCGTCCCGCCCTCAGGCATATCGCGGTTCCCGCCTGCACCGCTCGCCGCCGAGCCGTACGTCACTTCGGCGCCGGGGAATTTGTTCTCGACGCCTTGGTCGACGCCGGATTCCTGTTACCCCTCATTGTATCAGCAAACGTCTTCTAGACCATCCTTGAGAGGCGGTTGGGGAAATTACGCACGGCTGTGCTGTCGCTGGGGTTCCCTCGCCGCCCGGCCTTCGCGTCGTCGGCGGCGGACTCCATTTTGGAGGGGTGGGTGTTGAGGTCGCGCTCGGCTTGCTTGGCGATCTCGAGGGGGTCCTGGCCTTCGAATTCTTTGGACATGGTGGCGGTGGTTTTGTTGTGTTGTTGTTGGGTTGAAGGGTGAGTAGATTGGTTTGTAGAAGATGGTAGATGTTGTTGGAGGTCGTGTGCTTGTGAAAGCAAAATTGGATTCGGGCACACCATGGATGAGCTGATGTCATTGAGCGTCACTGAGTACGACTTCACGTCGTGAGGCTCTCAACTACCTCTACATGTACATGTGCCTTCATGTGCAACAGCTGGTGAACATATGGCGAATCTTCTCTCACGCAAGATGATATTTCATGGCCTTGAGGCTCTTCTGACACGACACTGAGAGAAGTTGTCAAGGGTAATCGTTTGGAGTCTGTCCAACCTCGTACTCTCTTATGGACATCATCACCTGCTGCGGCCTCCACGATGGTATTGGCAATTTGCGGTACCCGTTAGGGATACGACGTGGTGTGATAGCCGACGCTTCAAGCAATCGCCTGGACTGCTCGTTGTCGGATGGCCATCTCATTAATCTTGATCGCTGGAGTCTTCACGCAGCTCCCCAATGCAATAATTATGCTACTCAAGCGACCATGTGGAGGGGCCTTCTTGAGAGTCATTGGACTCGCACTAGGTCGCGGCCAACTCTAGAAGAATAGAACAACAGTTGCAGTTGCAGTAAGCCGGGGAGAGTATTTTCCACTGATAGCTCGTGGCCACTCGATGCTTCTCCTTCTTTGATTGAGAACGGCGAGGGACCGGAATCTGTGGAATATTATGTGTTCTCCTTGTGCTTGTCACTGTCGAAGGGGCTACGAAGTCTCGCACTAGCTCGAAACTCTGCCAGGGCGTTCGAGAGAGGTATTGGTTAGCCGTTGGACAACCTCACCTGAGCCTTCGGGTGCAATCGACAAAGTGAAGTTGCTGCTCTGTTGACTCACCTCATAGACATGCTTTGGACACTGACAACGATAGTGGCGACAGACGGCGCAACACGTCTTTCTAATCTCTGTGGTGTGCTTCTGTCAAAGCCCACCATCGTCGTCTATGCCTTCAGCCACTCCTTCTCACTCCAAGATCACAACCTGGACAAGGTCTCCGAAGACTCGATCAGCCACTTTGGAACAGCCGACGGCGTTGAAGTCGATGGCGCTTCCATTGCGTTCATGAGGCCCTACACGGAGCCCCCCTCGCTTTTCTGGGGAGCTGGACCATGCGAGACCGATCTACGAGCCTCCAGCGATCCCCGTTTGGAGCGGCGATGCATGTACCACGGTCTAGAACTTACGGCTGGAGGGGTTTTGGCGGACGCAGTCATGGTCTGGGAAGCGGAGATCGTTCTGCAGAGCCGCGTCGAAGCTGGCCTATGCCTGGATCCCAAGAAGTGGAGCGCTGAAGACTTTGTCGAGTACTATGTGGGCTATACCGAGGCCGTCCAGGCGTTGGGCCTGGTGGTGCGACCGCTGCCATGAGTGTTCGTGGACAGCGCTCTCGAGGATGAAGAAGCAGGATTGATGGTGGCGAAATGTTGATAAGGAGGAGTTTCAGTCCGGCTGACAGAGAGTAAGTCTGGCCGTCACAAGGGAGTTGCTCTGGCGGTGATCTCGCCCAGCATAGTAGCAGGAAACATCGCAAACAGGGGGCGGTGTGTGAAGATGGTGTCCATGAAGAGCTGAGCACTACCTTCAACTTTACCCGCTGTAGTGAGATACACCGTCGTACTTGCTAGGACCCCCTCTTCACGCTCTCTCAGTAATAAATGCCCTCGGATGAGCTCGCCTCAAACTTGTGGCGGTCCTGAAGTCATGATATGAGCTGGGTTCCTCGGTGCTATGTCGTACTCTGCTAAGCCTGATTGCCACCACCAGGTGTTCACGTAGTACGCGGGCGTCGTCACTTCCAGCAACTTCGATAATGCTTAGTGAATGTGGACGAAAAGTGTGCCGGTCAGCGTTCGCGTCTCGTGACACCTCGGATGTTGCCGGCGCTAAACTCGTGTGATGTGCTGCCTGCGATACGTTGCTCACCTCTCCAAGCTCCGGTCTTCCCCTCCTCCTCCTCCCTAACCTCAACCTCAGCCTCCATCCGCCGTCCTGCCGCAGATCACAAAGGACTCACACCTTCATTGCTCCTAACACCACCTCTCTACCAGACTCCCGCCTGCCAGGTGCAGCACCATCGACATCCGAGGCTGAGAGGCAACCACACGTCACCGCTGCCGGCTGTTTCCAGCTGTGACGGACTTCACCTCACATCACCAACCATGGCAGCCAACGCCAACGCCGTGCCGCAAGACACGCTCATCACCATCAAGGTCTCGGTCAACGACAGCCTCAAGAAGCTCAAGCTGCCTTTGAGGGACCTCGGGGCGAACACGCTCCCAGATAAGGTACGTGTAACACAAGGCTGCCACATAAGCCGGATGATTCACCTTCTCGAATTTCACCTCCACAACGGTCATGTGAAAAGTCGTACTAACTAGCAGCAGCTCCGCCACGCCCTGAACATCAAGCCAGAGCAGACCGTCGTGTTCGAGCGCTTCTCCGACTCCGCAGGCGGCTACATCACGCTCGACCAGAGCAACCCGCAGGTCTTCAAGACCCTCATACGCGCCGCCAAGGCAAAGCTCAAGCTGCGTCTCAAGGCTACAGTCTCGCCCATCATCGAAGAGCCAGCTGTGGAGGCTACGGAGACATCTGAAGAGAAGCCGAAGCACAAGGCGATGGAGCCGGTCATCGTTCGCTCTCCGACTCAGCAGAACGGCCAGCGTGAGTCCACGGCCATGGATGGTCGTTCGATCGGAAGCGGTATCTTCCAGTTCCGTGAGGCTCGCGCTTCCCAGCAGACGCTGGTGGATGTCTCCGAAGCACCCGTCCCATGTGCATTCACCGCGGACAACAAGGACTTCTTCGAAGAGCTCGGTAAAGCAGGCTCCCGACGTGGTCTGGTCTACCGTACTCGCAACGCCATCGCTGGTGCCAACCCGACCCACCCATGGTCGGTCTACTGCAACGAGTGCGATGTCGCCATGGACGACGTCCACTTCCACTGCAACATTTGTGACGGTGGCGACTACGATCTGTGCGAGGACTGCGTTGCGAGCGGCAAGCTTTGCTCCGGCGATGGTCACTGGCTGATCAAGCGCTTCATCAAGGACGGTAAAGTGGTCAGCAGTACGACCGAGCGCATCTCCCCACGCAAGGCAAAGGAGGAGCCAGAAGTCGAGAAGGGAGTTCCTGGCGCCTACACCGAAGAGACGAAGACGCTCGCCGAGCCTGTCATCCCGACTCGCACTTGCAACAGCTGCGTCATCGTCCTCCCTGAGCGCGAGTTCGTTACCTGCACCACTTGTGAGGACTTCGACCTCTGCATCCAGTGTCACGTGAAGGATAAGCATGGTCATCACCCGGCTCACGGCTTCGAGCCGGCCACTGAGGAGACCACCCTCCCACTCACCGCCGAGATGTTGCTTGCTCCAGGCCGCAACACACGCCACAACGCCATTTGCGATGGTTGCGACAAGAAGATTCTGGGCGTGCGTTACAAGTGTCTGAACTGCCCAGACTGGGACTACTGCACCGAATGCCATAAGAACGCTCGCCACGTCCACCCTCACCATCGCTTCGCGCCTCTGTACGAGCCAATCGCAGAGCCGCGCGGCATTAACGCCCGCCATCTCGGAATCTACTGCGATGGCCCACTATGCAGCAACGGGAGCCAGCGCTACATTGTGGGTGTGCGCTACAAGTGTGCTGTCTGCCACGACACCGACTTCTGCGCATCCTGCGAAGCCTTTCCGAGCAACACGCACAACCGTACTCATCCGCTGATTAAGTTCAAGACTCCGGTTCGCAATGTCAGCATCACGACCGAGAACCAGGACGTTCACGGACAGATGCGCCTCATGGGTGACCAGCCTGTGCAGGCCGAGACCAAGACCGCATCCACCGAGACGACGCCGGTCCCGCAGAGCAACGCCGCCACTCAGGTACAGACTGTGGCCGAGATCAAGCCTACGGAGTTGAAGGCCGCCACCCAGCCAGTCCAGGTCGCCAAGCAAGAGGTCAAGTCGGCCGCACAGTCTACTGAGCCTGTGCCTGCGACGCTGCTGAACGCCCACTTTGTGCAAGACAGCATCTCCGACGGCACGGCGGTGCTGCCAGGTTCCCGCTTCACACAGATGTGGACTCTGCGCAACCCAGGACCGTACGCCTGGCCGGCTGGGTGCAGCGTCCGCTTTGTGGGTGGTGACAACATGCTCAATGTCGACAACACCCGCCCGGCGGCTGTGTCCGACATCGCCAACGCCAGCGAGAGCAACGTTGTTGGCCGCGAAGTCCCGGTCAAAGAGGAGATCTCATTCAAGGTCACTCTCAAGGCACCCACTCGCGAGGGCAAGCACATCAGCTACTGGCGCATGAAGTCTGCCGACGGGACGCCATTCGGCCACCGTTTGTGGTGTGACATCGAGGTCAAGGCTGCTCCTGCCGCGCCCCAAGTTCCAGCTGTGGAGACTGCAGTCCAGGCGCCAGACCAGCCGAACGTGCAGCTGCAGCAGCACATGAGGATGCAGCAGATGACCTACCAGCGCCAGCGTCAGCAGATGATGATGGCCCAGAACATGCGGTCTCAGGCTCTTGCCCAAGCACAATCCCAAGCCCAGGCCCAAGCAAAGGAGAAGGCCCGTCAGGCTGAGGCCCAGGCCCAGCGAACCCGGATGGTCGCTTTAGCTCATGCTCAAGCGCAGGCTGGTGCTTCCGGCCCACCACCTTCTTACGACGCCACCTACAACGCTGCCAACATCACCAGCCGTATCGCCGCCATGCGTGAGCAGCAAGCCAAGCGTCGGGAGCACATGATGCAGCAGTTCACTGCGGGCATGAATCAGTCGCAGAGCAGCAAGGTGCCTGAGCAGGTCTCCCTCAAGCACGATGACGAGGACAAGGCTCGCAAGGAAGCCGCTCGCCAGCGTGTTGAGCACATCAAGGCCAAGATCCTCCGGGCGCGCCAGGAGAAGGCTGTGGACACTGCCAAGGAAGAAGCTGTTGCCGCCCAGGCTGCCGAGGAGAAGGCTGCCGAGGAGAAGAAGAACGCCGACAGCATTGAGAAGGTCAAGAAGATCATTGAGGAGGTCACCAAGGCCGACCAGGAGAAGGAGGAAGATCTCGAGAGCAGTCAGATGGTCTTCCCAAAGCTCGACAAGGAGAGCCCGGCCAGCAGCACCTACCAGTCCGTCATGTCAAGCAAGGGCAAGGCTGCCTACGTCGAGAACGAGCAGGGCGAGATCGAGCGCTCTGCCACCCCGTCCGTCGCCTCTCCAACTCCAGCGCCGGTTGTGCCGTCCTCAGAGGTCGGCGACGACTTCGACGATCTCGAGGACATTGAGGTGCTGAGCGCGAACGGCGAGGACAGCGAGGACGATGGCTTCGACACCGACGAGGAGTACGATATCCTTGATGCTTCGGACCACGAGACCGTGGCTTCAAAGTAGAGGGGGAAGAAAGTTCAGGAGATTACAGATTGAATACGTGATGAATGACGACGATGTGCTTGCTTTCTCTACTCCGACAACAACAACTACTACTCAACGATGAGAGGGCCAACGGGCATCGCCATGTTTTGATAGGTAATGGGAGGTCTGCTTGAAGGGGCCGGGATAGGGCGCAAGGCTGGCGCGGAGGGAGTGATTTCGGTATGCTTGTTGGTTGGTAGTTGAGAAGGTAGTTCTCCTGGGTTGGCTTGATGAGCAATGAACTTTTGAATAACTTCTTTGCGTGCTTCCAAGTTGTGCGTCTTGATGTTGACCTTGAGAGATGCATGTGAGCCAGCGATGTGAGCCGCGGCTGCCTTGTTGAGCCAAATCACGTGCGGGACTCGGAGTCGGCAACTTCACTGGAGTAGGTCACTATCACGATCTATCCGCTCTCACACCCTTCACTTACCGCCGTGACACATCACCTTTGCGATCACATCACCTCGTTGTCAACCTTGAAGACCATTTCTCCTCCGTCTCTACCCCACCGCACCGCATCTTGCACCACCACCGCTTATCTCACCCATCGGCTACGGCGTGAAAGGTCGTGTGCCTACCAGGCCGCCATTACTACACCCACCCGAGAAGCTATACCACCCCAGCCAGAGCCGACCGGGCACCACCGGCGCTGAACGCGCACACCCGCCGGCACGATGTTGAAGATATGGAGCATGAAGCAGCAGCAGCAGAAGAGCGATGCCGCCTCTGGTCAAAGTAAGAAGAAGAAGGTGACGGCAGCACAACTACGAGTGCAGAAGGGTGAGCGCATACCACCTATCTACTACCCAACGTGCTTATCGTCCTGACGGAAGATGTACAGACCTCTCCGAACTCTCCCTCGGCACAACAATGACCACCCACTTCCCCAACCCGGACGACATCCTCAACTTCACCCTCACTCTCACTCCCGACGAAGGCCTCTACAAATCCGGCATCTTCACCTTCACCTTCGCCATCTCGCAGAACTTCCCGCACGAGCCGCCAAAAGTCAAATGCAAAGAGAAGATCTACCACCCGAACATCGATCTCGAGGGCAACGTCTGTCTCAACATTCTAAGGGAAGACTGGAAACCGGTGCTGAATTTGAACGCGGTGATTGTGGGTCTGCAGTTCTTGTTCCTCGAGCCGAACGCGCAGGATCCGTTGAATAAGGATGCGGCGAATGATTTGCAGCAGGATCGGGATCGGTTTAGGCGGAATGTGAGGAGTGCGATGGGCGGGGGGAGTGTGAGGGGGGAGAGCTTCGATCGGGTGATGAAGTAGGGTGATTTGCCTGGGTTGGTGGGGATGGGGAGGAAGATGAAGGGAGGTGGGAGGAGGTAGAAGGGGAAGAAGAGGTTGGCTGGAGAAAGGGAATGATGGGACGTGGATATGAGATTACGGATGAGAAGATACCACGACTACTGCTGCTGCATGGGTGCGGGATGGGAGGCGTTGCTGTCTTTCGTTCGGCGTTTCAGCGCCGCATACTCGTGATAAGAGATGGCACATTCAATGGCGTTGCCGGGGTTTTGCGTGGGACTGGCTGCGGTCTCGTACATACATACTTCGCGCGGCATGACATAGACTAGAATATCAAGTTCATCCACCAACGATCCATACCATTGCTTGTCCGCCACACCCAAATTTGATTTGCGCGACGACGTCGTTTCTAAAACTACGCGGTCTTTTCAGCCATCCAAGCAAGCGGACAGTGAGGGCGGCGCAGAGGACATTTCTGGCAGCTTCTCCCAGACTCAATTGCACCTGATGAGGCCTCCATCGCTCCCGTGAGCGGTTTGTCGCTGTCTGTGAGAAGATCACTCCACCTCCACCACCCAACCTACAAATCGGCAAACTTCCTCGTATTATAAAGATGATTCTTCGTCGTCTCCAGCACCTCCACCGTCGCCCCGACCGCGACCTTCCCTTCACTCCTCGGAATACACAGCATCCCAAAACACGGCTTCCACTTCGCCGGCCCGCCCTCATCCACCCTCCTGAACTTCATCAGCTCGTCCCACGGCTCCTTGGCGTGCTTCTCCGCCGTGTCCGGGTCGACGTTCGGGACCTGACATCGCGCGCACCGGGCCACGGCGTCGAGGTCGATACGGTACATCGCTTCCTCGTCGTGAAGGGTGGTGGTGATACGGATGCGCTTCCAGGTATCCTCTTCCCACGGCTTATCGTCCCGACCGCGCACGATGATGTTCGGGCGGAAGCGCTCGATGGTTAGATCCTTCGGGACATCTGCACCTTTGGCTTCGAGCCGGCGGTTGAGGTCGTCGATGCTGGATTGCGAGGCGATTTGCAAGGACATGACGTCGGCGAAATGATGCGCCGTCTCCACGCCGTAGAGTTCCTTGGACCCGTTGACGGCGACCATACGGTGCGTGGGGCCTTTGTAGACGAGCGCGACGGGCTTGTTGAAGAAGGAGGAGAAGGGGGCGTTGATGGAGTCGTTGTAGACGTAGCCGTCGGTTTCTTTCTCCCAGATCTCCACGGTCTTCAAGGTGGTGTTGTTGGAGAGCCATTCTTGCGTTGGGAAGGCGGGAATTAAGACGCGAGCGTCGGTGCCGTGGATGGAGATCTCGAGGTTCTGCTGTTTGGTTTCTGGGTCGTCGACGAGTGCGGTGTCGATCAGGGTCATGCTGGGGTCGCTGCGGATGGTGAGGAATTTGGGCGCGCCATTGCTGTTGGTGTCGTCTTGGGCGACGAACATCCAGTTCCTGTCCAACGTGAGGCCAGTCTTGCGGAGGCGGGTCTTGTCGAGCTCGATGCCTCTGCAAGATTTGATAGGGTAGATGCGCAGGCTGACGATGTCTGTTGGCGGTGGAATTGGTGGCGAGCCTGGTTTAGCGATGGGCAGAGCTTCTTTAACGGCCTCCTTGGTCTTCTGGCCAACGGAGGTCCAGTTGGCCAAGAACATCATGATCAAGAATGCCAATCCGGCGGTACCGATGAGCATCATCATGGTGTGGATGCGCCAGTGGAGTTGGTGGAAGTTGTTCACGGCCGCCCACGGATCGGACAGTACTTCTTTGAGATCGTTCATCGCGCCGCGTGCTCCTGCTGAGTAGGTGTTGAGAGAGTTCCACGCCGTATCCATGATGATGTTGGTATGATCGGTTTGATGGCAGACAACGAAGTTTTTTCGCTTCGTCCGCCTTGACGATGGTCAGGTCTCGCGCGGTCTTGAGTCTTTATACGCCGGCGAATGTGTCAGCACTATCGCTTGACAATGGTATGTTTTCACTACCTCTTTGGGCAGGAGTCAGCGAGATGAAGTTCAGGTGCAGACGACGAGATGAAAGCGCTAGAGACCGAGGGGAAGGTGGCGTCATGCGCCCTCGAACACATGCTACCACTTCTCGAAGTACAAATGGCATGTGCGTGCCACTGGACTCAGGATACAGTACAAATTCGTCTCGAGCAATTCAAGAAGACCAACCAGACGACGGTCGAGAGACGAAGTTGTTGATGGTCTGCCAGCTTCCAGAAAATTGCATGGAAGATATGAGTTCAAAACAAAATAATTAAATGGTGGACTTCGCTGCCCCTCAGAAGCCATCAAACGATGTGCTTTGATCACTCGAATTATTTCTCAGTCGTAAGTCCCTTTTCACAGTCGTGAAGCCTGCGCCGTTGCTCCCACACCAGAGCATCCTCCCCTCACCCTGGGCACGACACGGCCGTGCCAACACATCTTGAACGGCTGGCACATAGACCGGGAGTATCGAATGTGAACGAACCAGCTTCGACTCAAACAGGCAACGAAGGACTGCCATTCGAGACACCACAGCCCCTATCAAAACCGCCACGTGATCCCATCGTCCTAGCATCAAGAGAACGGTCCGACAACCGCCCTCCAGAATTGTATTCGTATTCCGTCGTGATAATGTTCATATCGTCTCTCCTCGTGTCCGGTCATCGAGGCTCGGGGATTTGCTCGTAGTCGTCTTCTTTGGGCGCGAGGAAAGCAGCCCCAATCACACCAAGTGCGTTAACGAACAGCGCGCACCAGCTCACGGTACACAGCACCCACGACTTTCCCAGCTCCCAGCCGACGAAGAAGCGATTGTCGTGGTCGTAGAGATATGCCTGTAGTATGTCAGTCAACGTCCGTAGCCCAGCATCACTCTTGCCTACCACAAGCGCCATCGCAACCAACTGAGCCACTCCCACCAACCCCAACAAACCCGACAAGATCTTCCACCCACTCTCCCTTACTACCCGCCCACCAAACAGAATCGTGACATATCCCACAATACACGCCAGCTCAAACATCAAGCTCAAATTCATCAAGAATCCCGTACTCCTCCACATGGAACAGAACGTCCTGTTATTGCCCACACAGTCCTCGTCTTGCGGAAACGGAGTACACTTGCCCGTTATGGACGAGCATCGTTTATGGAGGCCGTAGGAGACTCTTATGGGTTCGCGGTCGGTGGGGGATGTGTAGGATACCCAGTTGGGCAGGGCGACGGATGCGATGGAGCAGGCGGCGGCGCCAAGGAAGACCCAGAGGGAAATGCCGTAGACGATTCGTCTGGTCATTGTGGTCGTGGTGCTCTGGCGCTGCTATGGGGCGAGGGTGTGGTCGGGGTACTCGAGGTACTGTACGGTGTAGATTAAGACGAGTACAGCGCTGTGGGCTATCGCAAAAAGTCCGCGATATCGCCACACCTTCCTGTTTGGGACGATAAATGAGGGACGAACTGAACATTGCTGTGCGCGGCGCATCGCAGCATCTCCGAGCGGGTGGTAGTATGTACATGTCTAGCCGTGGATCGGTGGTCTGTAACAATGTTTATGTGCCAGCGAGAAGATCACTCGAGGCATTTTCGGCGGTCCATACGAGCTCTACGTGGCAGAAGCGCCGCACCTGCATGCTATTTGGCCATCTTGGCCACATAAGTTACAAGGCAACCGTACCGTAAGACCATGGTAGACCGCTGCAGTCCTACATCAGACGTACACGGCACCGTCGAGGTAGGGTAGAGCAGCCATGTCTCCAAGTGCACAACAACAACAACATCTCAAGTCTCCTTCGGTGTTACGATGATCGCTCATATCTCACGTTCCTGTGCGTCGGAGCCAGGAGCTCCCGCCGACGGAGCCGGGCATCACCAAGTCACCAGAGCCAAAACAGATCTACAAGCTGGGGTCTTGACGCTACACCATGTCGTTCCCCATCCTCGTGTTCTGCAATTCGCTTGGAATAATGCAATGCCCGGTCCCGACTCCGCTTCCGTCCCACGCCAACGGCCTGTCGAACTAGTCTACTGGGATCGTCGAACTAGTCTACTGGGATCGTCGATCTGGCACCGAAGCACGATGCACCGAAGAGCCGGCACAACTACCTATGCCGCAGATGAACCCCTCCACGATCGCAGTCCACATTTGCGATGGTGAGAGATGTGATTGACGAGAAGCGAAATGCCGGATGTGGCAACGTTGGAATCTCATTGAATAGTCCGACAGGTCGTAAATCGGTGTGCGTATGTTCGGAACTGCCAGTGCATGCAAGTAGGCGCGAGGGCCGGAGTGGCATGAGCGTCCCCCGTTGTCGAGGGATAGCTTACACAGACATGCCACTCGGTCCAATTCCGATGCAGTATGAGGCATCGAATACAATTGTCTTGATAAATGATGGAAGTGCTTTCGTCGTAATGCACTACCACGGGTACCTGCCAGTGTTGTGCAAAAACATCCCAGCCTCATCGTCTCTTTTTCCCTCGATCACATCCACCAGCGAGCCCGCAGATTCCTCAGCCGATCTTGCGCCATTCTCAGCCTTGTTGTGAGAGCTTAAGTTCGAGATGGTGAAGCCAGGATCAAAGGCGAACACCTTGATCTTCGGTCCATACTCTACCCAGTGGCAGGCAGTGACCATGTTCAAAGCCGCTTTGGTGGATCGGTACTGATATCCGAGCATGCCGTACAGTGGCGAAGTAGGATCCAGACACCTGCTGATTGACCCTGCTCCGCTGCTGACGTTGATGATCCGTGGAGGTGGCGAAGTCATGGTAGACTTTTGGAGAAGAGGCGCGAATGCTTTGACGACAGCTGCTGGCCCTGCGGCGTTCACATCGAATGCTTCACGCATCGCTTGTCGGAGAGGTAGATCCATGGCTGAGATGCCGGCGTTGTTGATGATCTGCGAGGAAGTTAGCGTTCTTGGCTGCAATGATGGTAGCATATGAACGATCTCGTACGACATCGACCTTCCCATGGTTCCGTTGAACAGTCTCGGCTGCTTTTTCGATGGAATTGTCGTCCGTGACATCGATCTGAAGCATTTCCACGGCTTCCGAATGGGGCTGATGGCGAGCCCGTAAGTCTTCAACTGCCTTACGGCCCTTTTCGCTCGATCTGGAACCTAGGAGTACATGGTAGGTTCCACGAGTCAGGAGTTCTGATGCGAGGCCGAAACCAACACCGGAATTGCCGCCAGTAATGAGAACGATGGCTTTGGATGCCATAGCTGGAAAGACTGTAGAATGTACATCGTGGCCATCGGTACTGAGCAAACTCTCCTCTTATACGTTCGACAGCAACGACTTATCAACAGGGTGAGGTGGAAAGATGCCCTGGGAGCACGTAAGCAATGGAGTTTGGAGCTGGGGCCGCGACTGGTCCGGCGTGGTCCACTTCTGAAATCGCCAGCTGGATGACCTCCGTCTTCCCGATTCATCCGCCATCGTGAGGTATCGCAGTCGCAACAGTGAGATCTCTTAGCTTCCATCTGGTCTGGCCGAGAAAGACATGGCTCTTCAGGCCGCCTTCGGGACATGGCCGAGCGAGAGCTCCCATAGCAGAGGAGGTCTAAACGAGGGATTCAGCTTTGGTGTCGATGATACGACTACAGACACTCATCCACTGTGCGCCGCTTCAGTTTTCAAACTGAGCTCGAAAGCTTTGCCGGCGGAAGGGACGATTATCCCGCCCTTCTTTGTACCACCCGGTGATAGTACTGCAGCACACCCCAACGAGGCCACACCAGCTGGAAGACGGCAGGCACAGCAAGCGCCCAGTCGCCGCGAAGATGGAGCGTTAGACACAGGACTATGCGCTCCAGATACCCTCAGCGCGGTCAAAGTTACCAATCCACCAGTGGATGCATCGATGAACAGCGTAAGAGGTAATTCAGATGACCGTATGAACATCGACGACTCGTCACGCTCTCCATCTCCCGAGCCTCTAAGCGAGAGCTCCGAACAGGAGAGGCAGTCACTCTGGTCCAAGGATTCCAGAGCTGCCTTCCACGAGATGGTAACAGCAGAAGGCTATGTAGCGCGCTACCGTATGCACATGAAGAAGAAGCAGCGGATGATCCACCAGCTTGAGCACCCAGATCTGGAGATTACGCTCTGTGACGGTAGCAAGGACCACCAAACGAAGTATCAATCGGCAAACTGGACTTTAATGAATGGCCTGCTGTACCGCAAGCCAGAATCAGGACGAGTAGGAAAGCTCAGACGGCATCTTGATGAGCTTGAAGCCTGGGATGTCCTGACGAGAGAGCATCTGCGGTCCGGTCACCTTGGTCGTGATAAGCTGAGAAAGCGGTTGGAGCAGAGGTACATTGGGTATACTCTGCAGGAGATCATGTTTGTGTTGAAAGAGTGCAGGAGATGCGGTGGGCATGAGAAGAGAAGTCCTTTGGCGAATGAAGCTTCGAACGAATCCGTGGCTGCTTCTCCCAGTGCTCAGCCTGCTTTAAGCTACGGTAACGATGTGCAGTCGCTCGACGCAACATCTACTCCCTTGGAAGAACCCTTCAAACGTGGTCAACTCTCGAACTTCATGTGGCCTTGATCGCTCTATCGCAGGCCAGCCGTGCTTCTTGGTGGATAAACAGACATCCTCGTCACACTCCCTCCAGGCTCGTACATCAACCGCTCGTTGCGGCTTCGATCTTTGGTGGTGGTCTGGGCTGATGCCCAAGGAGAACGGTGACTGGCATATTCGCACAGTTTAGGATCAGAAGTCTAGATCAGAGACTATCATGACATTGAGCAAGATGTCATGGACGAGCAAAAGGTGCGCGTTCGGGCCATTTGCTGTGCCGCATCTGTGTGATTCTGTCCTCTGGCTTTCTGCTTGCCGGGTTCGTTTCGGGATACACCAGCAGTTGTAAGGCTTGTGCCTCATCGAAGGCCTCCAATACTGTTGGAGTTTCTAAAGCATCTTGCTTGCGCCTATGGCCTGAGAATAACGAGCTGGTGACGTCGTTGGAGCGAAGGCCGTCGTGCCAAGCATCAATGAAGTCAACCGAACGGACTTTAGAGATTATATTGCCCGGCAGATAACGCAGTATGGCTGAGCCACATTAGGGCTGTGTATGGATACGAGGACATGAGAACCTTCGAGCAGCGAATTTCACCGTGAAAACTCTCGTCTGTGTTGCGCCTTGTCGGACAGAAGGTACATGTACCATTCCGCTGCTTTGACTTAGTGCAGGGACAGAGTCCTATCGACCAGGTCCTCTCGCCAAGCTTTGCTGCCATGTTTGCTCTACGATGCGCCGCTTGTCCGCGCTTCGCGCAATCAGCTCGAATTGGAAGGGCTTAGGCTGGACGTTGAACCCTTCTGTGTAGTTGTACCAGGGCACATCCACGCCTGGCTTCTTCCGCACATCCACCGCCCACGCTAACCGCGCAGTCAAAAGGTGTAATGAATTCTCCGCGATGTTCATACCAGGACATATACGCCGGCCGAAGCCGAAAGCCGAAGAGTTCTGCAGATTGGGGTATCGGTCAAGCGGGGTCCTGTACGTCGGGTACTTTTCGTCGAGCCAGCGTGCTGGGTTGAAGGTGTCCGGGTCCGGATATAGGGCTGGATCACGATGGATTGCCCATTGGTTGGCGTGAACATTCGTACCCTTGGGTAGGAAGACGCCGTCGTAGACGTCGTCGCGCTCGAGCTCATGGGGCACACCGCCGGCAGTGACAGGTCGCCAGCGCAGGACCTCCTTTATCACGGCGCGCACGGTGGGCAGCTGTGGGACATCCGCGAAGTTGGGCAGGCGTCCATCAGCTCCGCAAATGTCGTCGACTTCGCACTGGATGGCTGTCTGCCATGCTGGATGGTGCAGCATAGCCAGAATGAAGGACATCATAGCCGCTGCGGTGGTGCCGCTGCCGGCTTCGAAGAGCGTTCCGAGCACGTACGCCCCCTCGTCCATGGAGAGGCTCCAGGAATCCTGCCTTTCGAGGAAGCTCCGTGCGAAACAAGGTCCGCATGCGTTCACAGATAGCCTTTCGCGGACGTCGGCAAGCATTGAGCGAAAGAACGTCAGTTCGAACTGGTGCAGGGCTTTTGCCTCCCGCTTGAAGGGAGCGAGGAAGTCGGGGAGGTACATCAGGAATGGGAATGTATCAACCAGATAAGCTCCTGGCGACGCAACGCGCTCGACGGTGTGCACCACCTGCAGCGCCTTTCTCACATCGTCTTCGTTGCCCTCATAACTCTTGTCATACGCCAAGCGCATGATGACCGCACCTGCATAGCGCTCCAGCAGAAATTCGTACTGGTCTGGCTGCCGAAGTAGGTCCACCAGCAGATGCTCCGACTCGGACGTCTGTAAAGGCTGGTATGAAGTGGCGGCTGAGGGCATGGTCATGGCGTGCATTAGCTTCCTTCCTCTACGCCAACGCTCTACAAACATTAGTGAAGACAACAGAAAAGTGGACGTGGCCCAGACACACCTCCGTATGGCAGAAGTAAAGGCCTTAGATCTCGGGACATGAGCTTTGCGGCCATGGGCAGCTGCTCCCGGGATGAGTAAATATTACCTCGCTCCCGAAGCAGCCCATTCGCAACCTTCTCGGTTGAAACGATGACCTGGTTTCGGCCCATCACGCTTAAGCGGTAAAGAGGGCCATACTGTTGCGACCACTCGTAGAACTTGAGCCATGAGTGCTTCGGAGGGATCTGTAACAGATTGCCAATCAGTGGCAGTCCTGGAACGTACGTCAGCGGAGACTCGGCAGTGGAGCGCATCGTGAAGAAGCACAGAGAGCAGAGGAATGCCTACCTCGGGGGCCAGGTGGTAATTCAGCTCCAGAGGGTCGACTGTGAGCTATCGAGATGTGGTAGACTGTGTAGAGGATGAGGGACAGTAGCAGGCCCAGAAGCCATAAGACTGCGAGCATGGCGAAACGAGTGTTCGTGTTTCGACAGGTAGCAGACGCAGCTGATACAGGATGACAGACGCGAGATATGTGTGCCACTGGAACAAGAGGCTATCCCATGCGGTTGTGGAGAAGGGCCCATGTCCTTCATGCAAAGCGCGCTGCGCAGCTTAGACGCTGACTCCGCTGTCCGCCCTCCGCCCTCCGCATGCAGGTCGAGAGTTGCCAATGCGTTACAAGTAAAAGGTACTCACTCCACAACGGTCAGCAGATGAATCTGTTCCTCCTATTTTCGTTCACATCAAGCAAGAGATGCTGTCTCGAGACCTTGGAGCAGATCTGCGTTCCCAAAGCGAAAATTACGGCGGACCGTCGAACACCCATCATGCCGAAGCTCAAAACACATACGATGTGATCATTGTAGGCGGCGGAGCAGCAGGTATCGGAGCGGCCGTAGGTGCACGACAAGCCGTGCCAGCCTCACGAATCTTGATCATTGAGTCGGAAGGCTTCCTAGGCGGCGCCGGAACCCATCGAGGCGTGAACTCGTTCTGCGGCATCTACAGTGTAGGACCAGACCCCAAAAGAGTCGTCGGCAAGATCTGGGATGATGTCCATTCGAGGTTGGTCTCGGTGGGCGCCGCTGCCGCGGACCCGGATCAAATTGTTGCGCTCGTGCAGGTGGGTGCTTCCACTCTAGCTTCCGGTGGATGATCAATGACTCTAAAGCGAACAGAACTTCGATCCAGAAGGCTTAAAGGTGGCGTTGGATGATTTGACTGCCGACTATAGTATCGATGTCCTCCTTCACTGCACCGTGGTCGGCGGTGTCCGGGAGGGTACTAAATTGAGCGCCGTGATCGTACAAGAACGGCGCGGCCGCCGGAATCTGTTCGCGAGAGCCTTCGTGGATTGCTCCGGAGACGGCGACCTCGCGTACCACGGTGGAGCGTCCACACGGTATGGCAACCATGGCCGTGTGAACATGGGCTCTCTATCAACACGCTTCGGAGGTCTCTCAGGCGCCACTCCGACCTCTTCGTTGTGGCGAGACGCAATTTTGGCAGCCAAAAAGGTCAACCCGCAGCTTGAACAACGCATCCCTCGAAACGTGGGCGTCCTGATAAAACTCCCAGGCTCCGGAGACATCTGCACATACATGGCTTCGGCGCAGTACGATGCAACGAGCAGCGCCAGTATCACGGCTGCAGAGCGGCAAGGGCGTAAGCAGGCGCAGATCTATTTGAGTATCTTGCGCACACTTCCTGGCCACGAGAACATGACCTTGGTGGCCACAGGTCCCAACTTTGGAACGAGGGAATCGCGACACATCAACTCTCGACACATGTTGAGCGAGAAAGACGTCCTGGAGCAGAAGGAATTCGGTGATACGGTGGCCATCGGTGGGTGGTACATGGAATGGCACGACAGTAGTCAACCAGACTGGCCGATTCATTTCCGGACGCCGCCTGACGGGACTTTCAACATTCCTCTTCAAAGCTTGCAAAGTATCGACACAGTGAACCTGTATTGTGCGGGACGTTGTGCAGACGGGGACGGTGCCGCCGGTAGCGCGATCCGTGTGATGGGCACAGCTTTAGCGACAGGGCAGGCCGCAGGCGCTGCCGCCGGTTTGTCGGCTGCTGGTGAGGGGGAGGCTGCAGCGCCAGACGTGCGAGCTGTCCTGCTGAAGCATGGAGCCATTCTCGATCGGACTGGCCTTTCGACGGTATGTTTGAAAATTCGAGATGATGGAAAGAATCTGAGTCACAGAGAAGCCCTCAATGGGCATTGATAACTAGCAGTTCACCACCCAGATAGATGGAATTCGTCCAGATCGATGTTCCAGTTTGAGTCATTCGTCATCCCTTCCTCAAGTTCCCAGTCCCAGGAAAAGGGCTGCTGCATTTGCTGAGTAGCCGATGTCGAAGGTTGGGAGATGAAATGTGTCGGAGCAATATTTCCAGCCTGGCGCGGCGCCGCCGCACTGGCTGTAGACGGTTGCAGGGTGTATGGGACTGTCATCCGCAGCGATTCTGTCCCGCTGATCTCGGTGCGAAATGCTTCACCCGAGTTTGCACGCTCAGCCTTCTTCCTCAAGCTCTCCAGACGACGCCATCGTTGACGAATGCTGCCTGGCGGAACCCGATGGCCCCAGCTTGCCCAAAACTTACGCACTAGTTTCCATACCTTTTCAGAGCCTGGGACTTCAGACTTGGCAAGGCAGTTGAGCAGAATGGCTATAGCGTCCCATTCGACGTATCGCTGAAAGAGCCAGGTCCATTTTTCGTACAACTCGTGTGCTCGTAACGACTGGATACCTTCGACAATGTGCATGCAGCTGGTCGTAAGGTTGGTTGGCGCTGGCAACGGGTTCCCGGACAGGCGTGAAGAAGCTACCGTGAGTCTCATCCTCGACAAGACCAGGCTGGACGCTGTGGTTGTCAATGCACATAGTGGTATTTGTGAGTCGCAGTGGCGGTAGTATTTCTCATGCAGCTTCAGCTGCAAGTCATCGATGAATTCGCTCTTCTGCTGGACAGACAAGGCCTCATAGCCATTGTCCGCGGTGAACTTTGCCGAAAACATGGTTTTGCGTGCTGCGTAGCTGATCTCGACCCTCTGCAGGGCAAATAACATCTCCGTGCGACAGTCCGACGGTGATGGTGGCGCCGTCATGGAGCTGTCCAGGTCCTGATCATTGAAGTTTGACGGCATCTTGGTATCAAACATGTGTTCGTGAATCGCAGGATCCATGTCATTCTCTTCCGCTGTCAGTACATCGAGAATGACGATCTGCCACCACAGTCGTCTCCGCATCTCCGCCGCCAAAGGCCCCATACCAAGGCTAGAGGGATCCTGATGCAATCCGATCTTCGTGGCGAGACGGGTTGCCACGCCAGTCACGGACCAGATGTATGTTCTGTCGGTATGGTGGCGCGCGCATATCAGGAAAAGCACCAGGGCTTGCAACGAGTATAATGTCGGTCTGCTCAAGAACTCCGCCCGGACCAGCGCGCTCTGGAGACCGTGACGGTAGCGCGTGAGCGTGGCCTCGCGTTCACTCGCAAGACCGTTCTGGGTGCTCGATATCGCCGCATAGCAAATAGCGAACATCAGAGCCGTAAAACCCGGGTCATCTTCCATCATTTGGGAGCTGGCCTGGAAGATCTGCCTTTGAGTTGTTGGGACATGGAGGATCTTGAGTAGAGGATCCACGCGGTCAATGAAGAGCTGCCAGAGTGAGAATAACTGTTCGACAGGAGGCTGAAGATGCACACTGCCATGTCCCGGATCGATTGAAGGGAAGAGGATGGATTCTGCATCGGGACAGCCGGCGATCATGGCATCAGCGAGTTGCGTAGCCGGGGAGGTCGGGCCATCGCTGTCCTCTCCTGTGTTCTCGTCGTCGAGTTCGGCCCAGAACCCACCGCTCGTGAAGCGAGATTCCTCTCTGCCAACCACGAGCTTTCCGCCGGGTGACAATATCGTATGACCTGGAGATGAATGTGGGTAGACTGCGGCAGTTGTATCAACGACAAACCTGTCGGCCGGTGAAGCTGTCTGCTGCGGTAGCTCCCTGGCAGTCTCGCTGTCTTGGAGACGCCTTAGGAGGGTCTCTATGCGTCTCAACCTGGTGAGAATAGCATCATCGGGGGGTTGACTCTCTCGTGCCTCATGGTCAGGGTAGCGACATTGCGCCTGTAATCGTCTGCAGTAGCCACATGGCTGCCTTCTATCACATTTGATCTTCCGCCTAGCACAGGCGATGCACGATCGGCCGGGTGTAATGGTACGCAGCCGCTGCAAAGGCTGGCCGTCGACGTCGTCCATCAGAGGGGTAGTTCCTCGACGTCGGAGTGAAAGCGGAGTGCACAATTTGCCAAGACCGCTCCTGATTTCTCCGTGCGGGCAGGGGGGGTTGTTTGCTTGTCTTACCGCGTGCCTTCCACCAAGTTCTTAACAACCGCATAAGGTCGGTCGCGGTCGGGCAATCGCGTGCCTGGTCGATGTCTTACCAACGCTATGAGCAGACACAAACCCGCAGGCGGCGAGGCGGCAACGATACAACCGCGGACAGCGGTCCGTCGTCCGCCTTTTGGAAGTCGCGTACGGCTCGCCATGGGGTCAGCGGGATTCATGGGCTGTCATAGTGCAAACTGGAGTGGCATAACCGATGGAGTGTTCGGGGCTTGGTAGTTCCAGGCCTCGAGTGGGTGAGCATCAGGACGGAAGGCGGATCACGAGTCCATGCCGGCCTAGAAGAAAACGTTGATATTCTCGAAGGTATATCTGTTGGGCATGGACGCTGCCTTCAATTATAACTTTTTGTGAACTTAAGTCTTGTTCTGCTCCTCCAAGCACTCAAGATGACAGAGTACGACAAGTCCAACGTTACAGTTGAAGATGCCGCGTACATTGAGCACAAGAGCCCACGCGATGACTCACAGAGTGACGCGGACGTTAACGATGCGTCGGGAAGCGTGAGTGATTCTATTGTTCATCAGACGCGTTCCGAAGCCTCTGCTAACAAGCCCCCAGCACGATCACGCCCTAACACGCAAAATCGATCTTAACCTCTTGCCCTGGCTATGCTTGCTCTATCTCGCCTCGTTCCTGGACCGAACCAACATCGGGAACGCAAAGGTTTTTGGCCTCCAGGAGGACTTGAAGATGACGGACGGGCAGTGGCAGGCGTCGTTGGCAATCTTCTTCGTCTCCTACTCCATCTTTGAGCCGGTCAGCAATGTTCTGCTCAAGAAGCTGAGACCCAGCGTATACCTGCCTACCCTGTGAGTCGCGTCTGCGGATCCTCCTCTCCGTTCTGAGCTAAACAGCATGTTCAGCGTCTTGGGATGGGGTATCGTCACCGTTTGTCAAGGAGTTGTGCACAACTTTGCAGGGCTTGCCGCGTGTCGATGGTTTCTGGGTATGCTGGAAGCAGGCCTATTTCCTGGATGTCAATTCTACCTGTCATGTTGGGTAAGTCTGTTCGCCCCTGCCAAATTCCATCAGCCACCCTGGTCGATTATAACCACTGGTTCTGATATGGTGCCGCAGTATCGACGTCACGAATTCGGCCTGCGCTCATCCCTGTTCTTCGCATCGGCTGCCCTCGCTGGGTCCTTTGGTGGACTCCTCGCCGTCGCTATCACGCACATGGATGGTATTGGTGGAAGACCGGGCTGGGCATGGATATTCATCATCGAAGGGCTGGCTACTGTGGTCATCGGAATCATGTCTTACTTCATGATTCACGACTTTCCGGACCAGTCGACTCGGTTCCTCACTTCCGCGGACCACGCAAGACTCATCCGACGACTAAGAGAGGATGGACAGGCCAGTGCTGAACACGAAAGCTTCCGGTGGGAGTACCTAAGGGCTTGTCTTACAGACTGGAAAACGTATACCTCAAGCATTATTTACATGGGGTGCGGAGGCGGTCTGTATGCGTTCAGCCTGTTTCTTCCAACGAGTACGCCACCTCCGATTCCCTTTCCATTATTCCCCGCTGACTAGCAATAGTACTGGTCGAGATGGGCTACGAAGCCAACACTGCACAACTGATGTCCGTTCCACCGTACGCAGCAGCGGCAATAGCAACTATTCTCGTGGGCTATCTTGGAGACCGCACCAAGCGTCGAGGCATCTACGCCATTTATATCGCACCTCTAGGCATGATTGGCTTCGCGATCCTCCTCACCGACGTCCCGGCCGCCGGCAAGTACGCAGGCACCTTTCTGGCTGCGGTGGGAATATATCCCCTCATCCCTAACACCATCTGCTGGTTGGCTTCGAACACGGAAGGCGTCTACAAAAGGGGTATTACTCTCGGCATCACCATGGGCTGGGCCAATCTGCAAGGCTGTGGTAAGTGAAAGTCAAGTCCTGCATCCTCTGGGTGTATTCTTGTTGACATGGAGACAGTCGTATCGAATGTCTACCGGGCTGGGGATGCTCCGCGGTTTTTGCCGGGACATGGTGTCATTCTCGGATACCTGACGCTCTTCCTATTTGGAGGGTCGTGCTTGCATTACCTGCTGCTATGGCGCGAGAACCGCTTGAGGGTGAATGGGGAGCGGGATCATTGGGTCCATGGGAAATCTGCTGCGCAGGTTGCGTTGCTTGGCGATAGAAGGTACCTGACACAACACTACGCGAGGATGAAATGCTGACATTGAGACTCGTTAGGCCAGACTTCATCTACACGCTGTGAGATCATTGCTTGGTTTCGCTCCCGGCTGAGCTCGACAGGTCACGGAGTAGGGTCGCGAGCATGAGAAGAACCATAGTTCGGGATCTGTATGAGAACTGCTGCATAGCCAATCGGAGCCACTGAATTTCTTATGGTCAACACCGAGAAGCAATAGAGTCCGTTACTTTGCCCAGATGCTGTGACAGACATGATGGCTCCTGAACTTGATGTGGTGCTCCAAGCATGGACAAACCGACAACGGCCTTGAACAAGCACTGTGTATCTCGCTGTTTTTGCACCATAGGATTCACCACAATCTCTTATGACTCGGTAAAGCCTTATCATTGCTTGGATGTGTGGAGGTGTATGTGTTAAAATTAATCTCCGAGCCCAAGAGCCCGGCGCCTCAATGGCCTGACTCGCGCCGACTCTCGTTCATTCGCCAACCTCCACTTTCTCTTTGTCTTCACCACACTACATCGATATCGATCAGGACCTGTCCGAATACACTGAGGCCATAGCCCTTCCATTAAGCAGGGGAATATACTACCACCCAGCTTGCCATGTCCTCGATGAATGCAGGCGTAGGGACTGGTGCTAGTGGAGCCGACTGAATGACCTGCGTTTCAAGGGTGGTTGCACGACTTCCTTCGAGTTTGGAGTATCTTTCAACCTCATCTTCTTGTTCACTGTTATATATTTCTATCCGTTCAAGTCGACGTTCGCTTTCGCTCTGCTCATTCTCTGCATAACACTCGAAGTCGGTGACTTCGAAGATCTCTCGTTTACACCTTTGCTCCTGAGAAGAGGGCTGCGCCTTCTCCTTACCACACTCCTTTCATACACCTTCTTGTCATTCTTTCAAACACACTCAACCCTGAAGTAATCGCAGAAAGAAGACAAGATGTACAAGTCTCTGCAGAACACTTTCCTTGGCCTCGCGCTCCTCACGTCGTCGGCCCTGGCAGCCACCAGTGATCAATGGCGAGGCCGCAGCATATACCAGGTCATGACCGATCGCTTTGCGGTGGACGATGGAAGCACCACTGAGGAGTGTGACACCAGTATGGGCACTTACTGTGGCGGCACCTTCAACGGCATCCGACAGCGCTTGGACTACATCCAAGGTAGGCTCAGACAATGCTCTCCAACCAGATAAACGCAACCCTTTTCTAATCTGTTTTACAGACATGGGCTTCGATGCCATTTGGATCTCTCCGGTCACGAAGCAAGTCGACGGCGACGAGCCCGGCCAGGCAGGCTACCACGGCTACTGGCAGCAAGACCTGTACGCCATCGAACCACACTTCGGCACGGCCGACGACCTCAAAGCTCTCTCAGCAGAGCTGCACGACCGTGGGATGTACCTCATGGTCGACGTTGTCGTCAACCACTTCGCCTGGAAAGGAGACGTCGACAGCATCGAATACAGCAAATTGAGTCCCTTCAACGACGAGTCAAACTACCACAACTACTGCGAAATCAACTTCGACGACTTTAGCGATTGGGACCAAATTGAACAATGCTGGCTCCCGTCCGGCCAAGTCCCCCTCCCCGACCTCCGCACCGAAGACGCCGACGTAGCGGCGGGCTACAATACGTGGATCTCTGAGCTCGTCTCCAACTATTCCATCGACGGCCTGCGTCTTGACACTGTCATGGAGGTCGACAGGTCCTTCTGGGCCGACTTCGTCCAGGCCGCTGACGTCTACATGGTCGGTGAAGTGGCGTTCGGAGACCCAGGCACCGTCTGTTCCTACCAAGACCACCTCCCAGGCATGCTGGACTACGGCACGTAAGTCCTCCCTTCCCGTCCCCTCGCTTCACTCCGTTCCACTAACGTCACCGCAGCTTCTTCGACCTAACCACCGCCTTCAAATCCCCCTCAAACAGCATGTCCGACCTCGCCGACTCCATCTCCTCCGTCCAGGACAAATGCGCCGACTCCACCCTCCTGGGCACCTTCAGCGAGAACCACGACCAACCGCGCTTCCCCTACCTCAACCCGGACCTCGCAGCCGCCAAGAACCTCATCGCCCACACCCTCCTCTCCGACGGGATCCCAATATTGTACGAGGGGCAGGAACAACACTTCTCCGCCTCCGGCAGCGACAACGGCGGCAACGACCCCTACAACCGCGAAGCAGTCTGGACGTCCGGGTACGACACCGACGCGGAGCTGTACCAGCTCGTGACGAAGCTCAACGCCGCGCGGAGCGCTGCTATCGCGGATAACGTCGCGCGTCCGTACCTGCACTACCAGAGCGAGACCTTGTACGCGGACGACTCGACGCTGGCGACGAGGAAGGGCAAGATGGTGACGGTGTTGACGAACTGCGGGAGCGAGGGGGATAGTTATACGGTGGAGTTCGATGCGAAGTACCAGCCGAACAAGAAGTTGACGGAGGTGTTGACTTGTGAGACGGCGCAGGCGGATGGGGAGGGGAAGATTGAGGTGGAGGTGACGAAGGGGGAGCCCAAGGTGTACTATCCGACGGAGAGGCTGGGAGGGAGTGGGGTCTGTGGAAACTGAAAGAAGCGTAGGCTGATGACTGGAACGCTGGTCAGTGGAGGAGATTCTAAATCCAGTGTCACTGCGTGAGGACTGTACTGGATACTGTACCATAGCTACTTTAGCTTTCGAGATCAAGCAACTTATCATTGTATGACCACATCAAATGCTCAGCAACATCAATTCAGATCTTTACACAAAAAGAGCTAACTCTCCCCACTGTTCTACAGCGCGAAAAATCAATCAACGCCATTCGTCAATCCCCCAATCTCTCAGCGGCGCTCATCCAGAGGCTCAGCCGTTTCACCCATACCGAAGTGCAAAAGAGTTCAGGTCAATTCATGACCAAATCCATCAAACGCCAGACTTTGCAAAAATGCAGCCATTCGAGCCCCATTATTTACACACGAGATAACCCTCCTCACTTTTTCCCTAATGTCATAACCACGGATCCCGCTTTTCATTATAGTAATTATGCTGCTGCCCTGGTGGCACGGGCGAAGGGTCCCGATAATACATGTCCACCACCCGATCCACGGACCCGGAATACGGCCGGTTGTCGTCCTCGTATCTATGTGAAGAAAGATCCAAACATGAGTCGAGCGCTTGACGAGGTTGGGTGGTAGAGGTTTAATCGTACCCTGCGCCTCGTTGCCAAGGACTTGGATTCGCGCCGTACTGGGCCCGATTCTGCGAAGTCATCGAGTTCGTGTGGCTTTGGTCGTAGGGCGAGGCGGTGCGCGGTTGGCTTTGGTATGTGGGTGGCATGTGGCGGCCGCTGGCCTGGTCGGACGGTGGGCCGTAAGGGCTGCGGGGAGGGTCCGCGTACGTGTTGACGGGCTTGCTGTGGTCGCTGCCTGACCAGCTCTCGTCGTCGTCTTCGATGCGGGCGCCCTTGGAGCTGGTGAAGCCGTGCTTGGACTCCCCGCGCGCGGTGGCACCAAGTGCGTCGAGCTCCGTGTTAAGTTGCGACTGGGACTTGATGAAACTGCTGCGGTCATCGCGCATGGGCTGGTAGCGGGTGTCCGGGTTCTTGGCCGTGATCGCAATGACGGAAGCAACCAGGACGATGATGATGAGGACGGTCGAGAAGACGGCGTTGTAGACGAAGAAGATGACGCCCATCACGCCGGTCACGATGCCCTGAACTTTGTTAGTATGTTTGAATTATAGCAATGATGAATGCAGACTTACCGGCTGGTTGAAGACATCGCTAAACACCAGCAGGAAGATCGCGCTGATGAAGTTGATGACACAGATCGAGATGTTGAACGCATTCGTCTTCTTGTCCATGTACGGCGTCATGATGCAGACGGCGATCAAGAACACCGCCTCGATGACGACCAAAGAGACGGCCTGCGTGATGCCACTCTCCTGCGCAAGGGCGATGAATAGCCCCTTGATCAAGACGTAGAGCAGCACCGGGACGATGAAGAAGTATGCCGTGGCCTTGAACTGGACGTAGAGGAAGCCCCACTTGTTAAGCGAGACTGGGTCGGAGTAGAGAATGTAGGCCGGGTTCTTGTGCATGTTGATGCTGCGGCGCGCGAGTCGGATGACTTTGCTGGAGGCCCACCCAAGTATGCCGATCATGGTGAAGACGGTGAAGACCGCGAGGGCAACTTCTGCACCCGAATCGTTCTGCGTGAACTCCCAGAAACACAGCACCACCATCTGCGGAAGGCCAATGACCACAATGCGGTAGAGGATTCCCTTGAGGACTGTGGTCCAGCCATTGCGGAAGTCCTGGAATTGATCGTGCTTTAGGCGGCCAGCCTTGACGAGACCTTCGCAGATGAACTTGAAGAGGACCACTCCGAGCACCACGAAGAAAATGAAGACAATGAAGAAGATGTATCCCGTCAGGAAGATATTGGTGGGCTCAATCCCCGCGCGGAAACCGACACGCTTGATGCCGCGGATGATGACGGTGGTGCTCGTGTCTGCCGCAGTGCTTTCGCCGCCCGACTGGCGTGCGACGAGTCCGGCCCGCTTGATGATGTTGGAGGCCAGTTCCAGACCACGCTTTTGGACTTGCACGGAAGTCTCGGCAAGGTCCGACAAGATCTCAGATGGAGTTCCACCAGTAGCGCGCTGATACCACGTCGCGATGTCCTGGATGAAATCGACGCCAATCAGACCCATGCTCCACTGGAAGTTCTGTGTCCAGGAAGCCACGATGGGTGGCAGCTCTACAGCAGTCATGCCGATGAAAGCCTGAGCTTGGAAGTACCCGAACAGCGACAGTGCGTTTGAAGCCACGTGCGCGGCGGTGTTGGAGTGTCCGAGGCCAGAGGTGATGGCGGAGGAGACCAGTGCGATGCCTGAAATGACCGCCAATGTCCAAGCCACACCTTTCTGATCCACCGTCTTCCCGTTGGAGAGCTCAGCCTCGACGCAAGCGACCTGCTCGCCAGTATTCGTCATGTTGAAGGTAATTCGGACCTTTGCATCGAGATCTGGAACGGTGTATGTGATGCCTAGACAGTAGTGTTAGCCGGCCGACTGTGGCGACATTAGGACGCACAGCGCAAACTCACCAGGTATGGCTGACAAGGCAGAAGAGGGGAGTTTCGCATTGGAGTCCATCTTGATGGGACCTTCTCGCATCGGACACATGCCACGTAGCTCCTCCTGGTCACAAGGGTTGATCTCCTGGGTGTTGATATTCAAGCCATACGCAAGGACGTTCACCGAAATCGTCACATTGCCGTTGATGGTGCTGACACCGTTGACGTCCCAAGCAAAAGTACCGTTATTGGGTGTAAATACGACATCGAAGAGGGTGGCGCTGAAGCTGCTGTTGGCCTGGCAGGCGTTCAGCGAGGTCGAGGTGAGGCGGTTTTCGGCGCTCGAGAAGGGAAGGAGGGCGAGCAGGCAGGTGCATATTAATGATCTTAATGAAGGCGCCATGTTGTGTGGTTGTCGCATGGACGTGTGGTGATGGTGGTAGATTGTCGGTCGTCGAGTGTTGACGCAGCGGACGTCGGGAATGCGCGGCACCAAGCCGGAGAGGCAGGCGCTGGGTGTGCGCGATGAGGCGGCGCGCGCGATCTGCTGTCGACGCGCGATATTATGGTATGTGTTGTAGTGTTTGTGTAGCGACCGACGGGGTGGTCGGGGTGGTGAGGTCGGTGCTGTGGTGGTGTAGGAGAGCGAGTGTGGGCAGAGTTGCGAAAGGGACTGGGACTGGGCTGGAGGCGGGCGCTAGCGCTGGCAGGTCGGGAAAAGCGTGCGACGCACGTCGATTACGTCGTCGGCGCCTCTGTTCCTGCAGCAACTCTCTGCTTCGACGGGATATCCCCAAACGAGTGGACTGTTGCAACGGCGGAAAGGAGGTGGTGTTGACGATGGGATGGTGAGATGGGGTGAAGTTGTTGTTGACTCCTAAAAGCTGACCGAAGGAGTCGGCAAGACCCTCGTAGCTCTGGTAGCGCGGCTCGCGGCGTTGAGGCAGTGCTAGGGGATACGACCGCTGTCCATTGGGTGGCGTGCTCTTGGCGCCTTCGCGACGCGCAACCGGATCTCCGTGGAATTTGTTTGTGGGGAGATCTAGACGACGACATGCACGTCGTTGCTATATGCCTTTCTTCCCACCCAACGACAGTGTACTCGAGTGCAGCCCAGCAGGATAAGCGACTGGTATGATCTTGGGGAAGATAGAAAACGCCTCAACAAACCGCCGTCTCTTCGACATCTCAAGAGCACACTGAGCCGCCTTCCAACAACACCAACAGCGCTCTGGAGCGCGGAGAACGAGGATCTTACAATTTTAAAAGGCAAGCAGACTATCCAATTCATACGTCTCTTCTCCTCGATCGTAACATCATGCCCAACAGCCCTCAAACAGCACCAGCATCGTTTGTCAAACTGGAGAGGCAAGCAGCAGTATGGTCGATGAACCTCTTCTCCGCAGTAGTAACGGTACATCGAACCGCCTCCTTGCGGCACCAGGACTACTTTCCAACCCAGAGAGACAAGCGATCCATTCTTTATCTACGTAGTAGGAGCGCCCCTCTTCGCATGGGAGCACCAGTTTGCCAACGCAATCAAATACCTCTTCTCCGCCATCACAATGACATTCTCATTCACCTGCCGGTAGCATCGACGTCTCTCTCCGCATTCATAAGGCAAGTAAGCAGCGCAGTCATTTCAACACTTCTCTGACTTTTTGAGAACATGTGCCGCTCTTTGATAGCAGCATCAGCGTCGCTGTCCAGCCCCAAGAGGCAATTAAGCAAGCCGATCAATCCGCCTCTGCTTCTAATGACAGGAGCAGCATACTCATGTACCTCTCAACACCACCAGCATCCATCTTGCTCATTCGGCGAGCCAAACGCCTTCTGTGAAGCCAGCTCACCGATTCCAGCTACATTGGATTCTTCTCCGACCTCACAACGATTTGGAACGACACTCACATGCTCCCAGCAGGCTCAAGTGTCGGCTCCTGCCATGAGAAGTGGGCACCATGCTCAAGCAAAGGACCTCTCCTCCGCCTCCGGAACGGCATCTCAGCGGCCTGTCGTCACCGCCAGCATCAATATCGGAAACAGAGAAGCAGATCCGGGCAGTGCACAGCTCGAGGAAATGCGCTCATTCTCCACCTTCGTAAGAGCTTCCCGATGACCTCTTGTTATCACCGTTCCCGCTCTCGGACGCGGAGAAGCGATCCCAGGCGGCACTCAGCCCGAGCCAGTAGCATCATTTCCGTTGCGGGAAGAGCACCTCAACGGCCTGTCATCACTGCTATCATTGCCTTGAGACATGGAGAAGGCAGCACTGCCGGTACTCAGCTCAGGCAAACGCCCTCGCCTCCGCTCCCGGGACAGATCTCAACGACTTGTCAACCATCCCATCAATCCCCCCCGATCCCGGAGAAGCGAACCCACTCCGACAACGCGGGGTGAGACATGGCGATCGGCTGGCTCTGTTGCGAGCGTCTTCTCTAGTGTTCAGATAGTATCGAGTGCACTCAAGTAGTTTCTAGCAAATGTCAGAGTTGATTCCGTTTACAGGATCTCAGATCTCGACTCGTTCAGTACACATCTTTTCCATCTCCACGGCAGCCTACAAGCAGTTTTCCACGACCATGCCATCCTCCATCCAAGCGGAGTGGCGGACCTGGCCTATCGAACTTCATCCGTAGGGGTATGTCTAGGCCAGTTCATCGAAGCTCGTCTTTCACATCGTTTTTACACGCAGGAGATACGTTGGATTCAACCCTCTCTTTACCATCATCACATTTTGTTGTGAGCCGTGTTAGAAGTGTAGTCACTCCATAATGAAAAATAAGTAGGAGCGTGTTCCGGCTCTCGTCTTCGTGGTCGTAAGCGAGGTGTAAATGTCTGGGAAAGTCGAGACGGGACGGGAGGTAATCCCGACTTCACTTCTGCCTTACTGCTTCGTTCCATCCCAAAGCACAACAACAACTCTATCTGAAGCGGTGCTGAGATGCACACGCTCATTGTGAAGGTGGCTCGTGAATACACGGCGCTTCTGGCTGGCACCAACGTCACCACGCGACGTACCGGAAGCGCGTGACCGGCACAAACGAAGCCGGCACGAAGGCCATCACGAGCGCCAGCGACGGTCCCGCCATTACGCAAGACACTGCGATGGAGTAGTCAACACCATCGTTGGAGCACTGGGAGGCGGAAGACTAGTGCATTGGCTTCGTGACGCAGCTTCGAGGACCGCTCGGAGAACAATCCTGCGCAGGCGGCTTGCGGAGATGATATGCTTGAAACAAGTGTATGGAATGAGAAAGCATGAGAGAATGAAATAATGGCTCAAGGAATCTTGTGAGAGAAGACATGAGCGCGTGAAGACAAGAGATAATGAGCAGGCCGCGGATGAAGGAGAAGCAAGAACATGAGTTTCCACCGGCAGGCCTCTGCCGCCCACGAGGACAGCACACGCAGTTGGCAAGATGCTGGAAGATCACACGCACAACGTCATGAAAGAGGTGCCACGACTCAGCGTACGCTGTGATACGGGTGTGAGGTGGTATGCCCGGGTGGTGGTGTGGTCCTGCTGCTCCTCAAAAGGTAAGAAGAATGTCAAGAGAACATCAGGCGCTGACGCGGACACTCCAGCATCACTGCTCGGCCCAAGCTCGGCTTCCGGCGTGAAGCTATTAATTGGATTTGGCAAAAAGGGCAAGTCCCCCTTAAGCCCGCTTCGTGACTGCTTTGGTAGTCAGACTGTCGGTGGGCATCACATGACAAGATAAGCACCCCTTGTCCAGAGCGTGTGTCATTTGCTTCTGAATGCAGAAGCACACCAGGATGAGATTGCTCGACTCATCAACCTTTTTTTTTTTGGTTTGGGCTAAGCTTATGGAGACTCGGGTCGCTCGTTCGATTCCTGCTGGGTGTGCGTTTTGAAGGGCGTGGACGGATGTGGAAGCAACAAAGATCAGCCACCACGCCACTTCACCGCTCCGCCATGCCGCCGTCCGGCCCAAGTTCGGCGTTCGCAGAGAAAGATGTATATTGGATTTACAAAATTCAGCTGTCCGGTAAGTATCGCCCCATCCCGTTAATTTGAACCCCTTACTGCTAACAAAACCAGGGTTCGAGCTCAAGCCTTAGCCGTGCATGTTTACAGGCATCGTATGGTATGAGCTCACCAGAATCCTAAAGACTAGGCCTTCGGGCCGAACTCTTTTGCCTATCGTCAGCAAGTCTTTGGTTTCACGGGGACGAACTTCCCACCTGGATGCATTCTTTCACATGCTTTGATTTTTTTGACCGATTCTACCGTGAGTTATTCAGAGGAACATAGCTATGAACTCATAAGCCTTTTCAACTTTGACCACCCTCACACATGCATTCCGTCACACAACTACCTGACGTGCATTCAGACATGTGATTGAACCTACAGCTCATATTTCTGGAGGGCTCTATTGCTTGGCGCTGCTGCGCACTTGTTTCTGAAGCTTTTCACATCATCTCCGCTCCTTGCACCCTCACACCTCCACTTCCACACCTTCATACCTTTTCATCCGCCTACACCTTGAGTAACAGACATGGCGCCTTCCCAGCAACGTCTCGAGAAGAAGAAAGAGCAGCGCAAGCGCCGCAATGAGCGCTTGAAGAGGGATGCTAGGATTGAGAGGGGCACAGATATGACGCCGCAGGCGTATCAGGAGAAGTTGCTCGCAGAGCGTCAGGCCAAGATGAGCAAGCGCATCGATTGGGCCGCCGGACTCAAGTGAGTGCCTCTCCGACTCCCGAACGGTATTGCAGACCGAGATGCTGACACATAGTAGCGTGCCAGTCGACGTGAACCTCGAGAACCTCCGCACCCACCACCCCGACGCCTACACCCACATCACTAAGATCGGCAGCGTGCCACTCAAGTCGCAGGACCTCTTCTCCAACCGCGCAATCTGGTTCAATGAGCTCCACGCCGGCTACACTTGCAACACCCGCAACCCGATCTGTGGGATGAATTACTTCCGCCAACGCGTGCACGTCGCCCTCGACGGCGTCGACTCTCTCTCGAAGCTCCAGCGCCTGTACCTCCATGCGATCCGGGAAGCCAAATCCGACCAAGGCGCCACCACCTTCTCCGCGCGCGAGGCATTCTTGTGGGATTGGCAGAACACTGGTGAGGATATCTTGGTGACTACGAGAAATGCGATGAGGCGCGCGGAGGAGTTCACGTTGAAGCAGATCTATGGTGGCATGGATACTGTCACGCTTCTCGAGCGCGCGGGCGGAGGTGAGGGGAAGAGCAAGCGCTACAGTGGCGGGATGGCCGACGATGCCATGGAGATCGATGGGCTGGCGGCGGGTGAAGCAGGGAGGGTTCTCGAGGGCGGGAAGAGCGGAAAAGGCAAGAGCAGCCGCTATACTGGGGTGAATGTGGAGACGATTGAGGAGCTGACGTCCGTGGTTGCTGGGCTGAATCTCGATGATCTGGAAGACGATGAGGAGGAGAACACCCGCTACAGTGGCGGCGGAAGCGATGAGGAGACGGAGAAGACGGGTGCTTTGCGGGACGACTGGGTGGTGAAGGTCTGGTTGCGCCTGAATGGTGCCATCGCTATGAAGGCTCTGCTTTGGGTTGATGGCCAGCTGAGTGACGAGGCGAAGGGGCTTGGCGATGTTGAGCTGGAGATCATGCAGGAGTTTGCGCAGAACAAGGTGTACAAGGCGGCCTTGGCGCGGCAAAAGGAGCGGATGGGACAGGCATAGGGGAGGGGGTGTTGTTGCTTTCTCCGTAGATCGAACGAATAGTTGAGCCCTTCACAAATCGCTTGAGTCTATTCCACATTGTTTAGATCTCGGAGAAGAGGCCTGTACCGCTCGCACCACCCCTTGGCCATGCCATATCCAAGGCAGGGACGGGTAGGCCGGGCCCCCTTCTCCGCGCCGAAGGGCGGCGGAGGTGATACTGGGAGGTAGCTGAGATGTTTTTCAGATTCTGGAGAAGAGGTGATCTGCTTGGGACGAGTGCTGCTTCTCCGCGGCGAGGAGGGGCGGTGGTGGTGGTGATGGGGGTGCTGGTAGGTTTAGGTGTTGTTGCGGCGCCGGAGAAGGGGCGGTGTGCGTGAGATGAGCTCTGCTTTCTCCGTAGATTGAGTCGATGTTGAGCCCGCTTGAAGTACTATGAGTCTATTCTACCGTGGCCTGGTACGAGAGAAGACCCTAATGCCGCTCACAGAACCACCGCATCAACAAATGTCTCTCATCACGACGCCTCCTCACTATCACTCTCACTACTACCATCCTCACTACTGCTCTCACTCTCCTCCTTCCCACGCCCACCTGCACCCGCTCCATTCCGCCCCACCGCCGGGTCACCGTATGTCTTCTTCGGAAACATCTCATCAAGCATATCATCATCGAAAATGACCCTCTTCCCAGAAGGCAGCTGCTCCAGCGAACGGCCGTCCCGGAAATGCATTTCAGGTATCGCTGACGGTCTTATCGCTTCTCTGATCGTTCGTGGGCTTTTGGCCGGTGGCTTGTCGTCTTCGCTGTCGCTGCTAGAGTCGTCGGAGGAAGATGCTTTGGTCCGCGATTTGCGGCTCTTGCGCTTTGATGTTGTGGGTTTGGATGTGTTGTCGGTGGTGGTTGATGGTTGTGAAGTGCTGTCCGTTGGTGCCGTTGGTACCGGTGTTGGCGCGGCTGTGACGGAGCCTTCCTCTGGATGGAGCTCCTTTTGAAGCATGTCGAAAAGATTGTCAGCTCTCTTCGCCACTTCCATATCCTGCTGCAGCTCCTCCAGCTGTTCCACATCATACTCGCTTCTGCCAGTCTTCAACCGCTCGTTGCGCTCGATCTGCCGCTTGAGAGCAGAAGCATAAGCTCGCCTCCGTGCCTCCGCAGACTCCATGCTCTCCAGCCCTTCGCCCTCGCTTTCTTTCTCCGCCACGCCTTTGAGCACCGCTTCGGCACTTTCGGCAACCCGTTTGCGAGCGGCAGCGCCCTGTAATCCCTCCACGTACTGCAGAATCGCTTGATCGTGCTGAGCTGGCAGATGGTCGAGATTGAAGATATTCTTGAGAAGGTCTGTCTGCTTCTTCTTGTTGAACTTCCAGCTGGCTTTGTCGTTCGCATAGAGGTCCAGGTATCGCACGTATTCCGGAGGTCCTGAGTCTTGGTTGTCCGCGGCGCGTTTCTGAGCCTGAGATCGGGCCTTCCTTTTCGCTTTCTTCGAATTCGGTGTGGCGCTGTCCTCGTTGGCTGCTTCTCCTGAGGTGGACGATTGGCCGGATGTGGTTGACTGCTTGAAAAGAGCCTTCGCGCTGAAGCCGTCGTCGCCTTTTGTGTCGGAAGTGAATGTGACTGATTTTCTGCTTGGTCCTAGTTGCTCACTGGAGTACCGAATCAGCCTATATTTTGTCATATGACAAAGCGAAATGGAGGAGGTGATTGGCCAAACATGGCAGCAACTGGTTGTTCCGATCTCGACCTGAGACCCAAGATGCATGCCCCATGAAGCCATGGCATAATCTAAACTTGCAGTGTAGCACATCTTCACTGCCATCAAGGCGAAAGAGGTCCGGACGTTGCGCGAGGAGGGAGATGTATGTCTGGGTTGATCTTTGAACCACTTACTCTGTCGGATGATCTGGGTGAATGTACTGTGCGGGCTCACCAGTCTCTGTGCTAGATACAACAGCGTTCTCGTTGGCGAACTTATGGTCTCGTACCGGGGCGGCAACCTTAGCCATTGCTTCATCCTGACCAGCTGGGCGAGCCTTGGAGGGTGACAGCTTGCGCTTCTTTTGAGGCCGCTTGTTTTCCGGCACTCCATCTATGAGAGCTGCCTCCTTGGCCGCTCCAGCGTCCGCAACTTCTGTATCGTTCGTTGTAGTCGAGTCCCCAGCAGTCTCTTTCGCATATTTCAGTCTCAGTCCCAGACGCTTCCACGCCGGTACTCTGGCCTGCCCTCCGGACATGATGAGACTCCCAGTTAGCAGCGGTGAGATATATTGTGTATATGAGCCGTCATTGCTTCTCCATTTACTTTTCACATGAAAATGGGGATGGAGGTTTCTGATATGGCTAGTGCAACTAGCGCCGGCTGGTCCCGCTGCAGGCAATCGTCTCTCGCGCGTCGTCCAGCTCGATGGTAGCTCACATCCACGACCTTCAACCTCATCTTCCACAACTCCTCCAGAACCATCACTCGGAATAGACCTTCCCTCTGACAATACCAAACTCTTCAATACCGAACCGCCATCATGTCTGGCAAGTTATGAAAGCAGCACGCTCACAGTAGCAAGAACTAATGGTCGTGAAACATCAGGAAGCGCAGGGTTCGACAGACACATCACCATCTTCTCAGATCAGGGGCGCCTTTACCAAGTCGGTACGACGACAGCGCTGCCTCGCACATCCATCAAGACTTACGGCTGACCAAGCTACCGCATCCAGAATATGCCTTCAAGGCCATCACCGCCGCGAACATCACATCCCTAGGCGTGCGAGGGAAAGACTGTGCTGTGGTGATCTCGCAAAAGAAAGTTCCTGTACGTTCCAGAAGGGCGCTGCGTGGCCTTCAAGCGGACGCTGACGTGGCTTCATGGCGATAGGACAAGCTCATCGACCCTGCCTCTGTGTCATACGTCTACAAGATCTCGCCATCCGTCGGCTGCGTCATGACTGGTTCGATAGCAGATGCAAGAGCTTCGGTGAACAGGGCAAGAGGCGAAGCGGCGGAGTTCAGGTACAAGTTCGGATACGAGATGCCTTGCGATGTGCTGGCGAAGCGACTGGCAAACCTCGCGCAGGTGTACACGCAGAGGGTAGGTTCATGGAGATGAGAATAGATGGGCGGCGAAGGCGCTGACCATTGGACAGGCCTACATGCGACCGTTAGGAGTCGCAACCACCCTCATATCGCTCGACTCGGAATTCGGACCTCAGCTCTACAAGTGCGACCCGGCAGGCTACTACGTCGGCTACAAAGCAACCGCATCAGGACCAAAAGCACAAGAAGCGCTAAACTTCTTCGAAAAGAAGCTCAAGAACAAGGACAATGCAGAGGGCAACTGGGAGGAGGTGGTGGAGCTTGGCATCACAGCTTTGAGCACGGTTCTCAGTGTTGATTTCAAGAAGGGCGAATTGGAGATCGGGATCGTTGGTGGACCACGAGCAGACGGCCAAGATGGGCCGAACACAAGCTTCCGCGCGCTGAACGAAGAAGAGATCGACGAACGTTTACAGGCCATTGCCGAAAAGGACTGAAACTCGCCTCAGCTTGACCCAAACCAGCTCAGCTATGCGGCGTCGAGAATGAAGAGCATCATGCTGCGGCTAGTCTGCGGCCGCGCACCGCCTCTTCATGCACCGCGGATGCAGCCATCAGCCTTGTCCGGAGCGTGCGCGACGCTGATTGGCTGCAGCGCTAGAGCTTTCAGCTGCCTCAGGACTGCCGCATTTTCCAGCTGCACCTCGCATGTATTCTAGTCTCGAGCTCAGGAAAGCGTAACCGGCAGCTAATGTACTATTCAAAACACAATTCCACGTGGACGTTAGGTTAATTCCGCGAGCCATGGTTTGGCACCCGTATCGCCGGCAGTCGACGGTCGCCTGTCGTTCACGCATGCGCTACACCCTACCCGATGTACGCTCGTGTTAGGTCAACCGCTATCCATATCTGCTGAGATGAGTTCGCTGGCCTATGAGATGATTACTTCGACCACCAACCTCACAGAGCCGCAAGTCGTCCGACGAAGATGGTTCACGCTTGACTTTCCGAGCTCGTCGCTCCCGGCAGTGGCTTGCATGAGACCACCCGCCAGCCCAAGGGCTCACCCTATGATACACTCCAAGCTACTATCATCCACTGGGTTGACGTCAAGTTAAGTCCCATCATCTCCCTCGTCCAGCGTCATGCCTACAACTCTACACGAGGTCTCACTCTGCACTCGTGCTGAAGGACGTGCTCTGAACTCACATGGATCGCAGGACCTCAATGGATCAAAGCCACTAGAACATGCTCCTGTCGACGATTCACGCTCGACCAGGCAAGCCACATCCCAATGTCTCCTCAATCATTATCGACTGTGCTTGCAGAAGGGGAAGGCTAAGGCATTCATATAGGATCAGAGATTGCCAACATCATGCCTGGCCGCATTCAGCATCATCCCAGTTGGCTTCATTTCATCATAACGACACACCGGCGATTCCGGATACACATCTAGTCGCCGCATTACTAACACAACACCTCACCGGCATTCTTCCTTGGCGCAGCTCCGGCCATGGCCGACGGCCGTACGTTCACCGGTCCATGACCCGAAGCCGCTCGCTTACACTGACATCGAACAGTCAACCAAGCGCGAGCAATGCGCGTCGCGGAGATCATGACCGACTACCGCAACATCCAGACCTACATCGCTTCCGTCCGCGCCAACCCATCATCAGAAGAGTACAACGAGGATGGCTACGTCTTGCTGCGGAGATGTGTGGCAGAAGCGCAGGCTCTTCTATCGCAACCTTTCAATGCTCAGACTAGCTCGACGGGAGATGACGAGCAGACCAAGTCACAACTCAGACGGTACCACCACGCCCATCCTCCCCTCAACGAGCATTCGCTAACAAACTTCCAGCATCATCATCGACGCCTCACTCCGACGCTTCAAAGTCCAGCGCATCTACCTCCGCATAACAGCAGCGCTCCGATGGATCAACTCCCGCTCTACGATCCTGCAAGGCAATAAGCCTTGCGCAAGACACGTGCCCGCTCTGCAGCAGATCGGAAGTGCTCTCCGCACGGAGGTGGCCTCTGTCACGGATCAGCGCGTCGAGCTCTCGCTGCGGTCTGCTGATGTGCAGCAGGGTAAGTGGTTGGCTGAGGACCCGAGTCTGGCGACTTTGCAGCGGATGGGCGGTGGGAGCGGGAGTGGACGGTGAGATTGAGGGAGCAGAAGGTGGACAAGAGTCGCTGAGCTGGCTCAGCGGATATGAGTTGGTGTTGAGCGGGACTCACCGACCGACCGACGGACTGGAAAACGTTCAAGCGACAAAAGCAACTACAAACTTCTTTGGCGTCGCATTGAACCTTTTGGAGGATACCCTGTACGTACCATAGCAATACTGATATCGAGGCCTTAATAGTTACTATCCTAGTTTACCTAATATCAACCCATGGCCAACTAGGCAACGGGCTCACTGGCCACCACCGAATATCAGAGAACCGTCGGACTCTATTTGCGCTCTCCACCAGCTTCCGCCTCGCCTCCCACTTCTCCGCTGCTCCTTCCCCGCCTACTCCTTTTTCGCGAAATGGACGATCGTTCACAAAGTTGGGGTCCTGCGCATCGACATAATGCTGCAGTTCTCGCGCCCGCTGCTCATGCACGCGCCTACCCCCATCGAACTGGAGGCCACCACCGACATGCCTCCCATTGCAGCCCGTGAAATGGCAATGGAAGCATGGCGAGACTGCATTCGATTTCGATGGGGGGTTCGTGTCCTCTGGTTGCAGCGCCGGATTCAGCTCTCCGTGGCAGTCATAAAGGTGCTTTTTGTGTAATTCTTCTGTTGTGAAACATTTCCACGCCTGATTAAAGTCGAAGCAGCGCATGCAGAAGGATACTGGACTGGGTAAGAGTCGGGAGTGTTAGTGGGAGGAATGTGAAGGATGGAGAGGGACGTACGGGGGCTTGTCGGCGGGCCATGAGGCGGGTTGGTCATCGATGGTGCCGTGCTGGATGGTTGGTTGGGACATCGTGGGTTGCGGTTGTTGTTGCAGCGAGCTTCAACGTGAAGGAGTGGTTGTGGGACGATGGTGACAAAAACCGGTCGTTGGAAAACGGTGGGAAGATATCGGGAAGTTTGAGGAGGTTCGTATGCTGACAGTCTGTCCAACATCCTCATTCACTGACGGGTACCCTGGCCGCATGGAAGTGGTCGTTCGATCGTCGCATCAAGACTACGTTCAATGGGTACGTTGAACAACTACGGCGGCTCCCAGTTCAGTCACTAATGAAGCCTCAGAACGCATTGCCCGTTGCAGCAAGACTACCGACCACTATGCTAATACCAATTATGCCAACCAGGCAATAAGCTCGCTGGCCGTTGTTCAACGTATCCTCGAAGAAAACATAACAGTACAATCACCAGCCCATCACCATCGCCGCAACGAGTCTACCGCACGCCCTGGGGTCCCTCTCCTTCTGATAACCATGGTACGGATCACCCATTTCCCAACCCAGATGTGATGCTAGACCCAAGACTTCGGCGAATACTTCTTTTCGTGCCAGGCCTTGACATGCTCATCGAGTTTCTCCCTCGTGGTGAAAAGCATGATACACTTGCCACAACCACCAGTGGTGCAGCGCCAGTGACCCCTGCAGGAGGTCAGCCAGGAATATCGATGGGAAAGGGGAGAGACAAACACAGCAGTGTCCCGATGCAAGGTTCTGGATATGCCATCGATGATCATGTCCAAGAACTGGGTTCTCCTGAGGCATTACGAATGTGATCGAGGCTGCAATGCTGTAGTACTTGATGTCGGAAGGAGAATGGCAGACTCAAATTCGTGTGTGGAAGTTGGTGGTGGAGGGCTGTTCGTGGTCTTGAGGTTAGAGGTGAAGAGTATGATGGGGTGTGAGACGCAGAGCTTCGAAGACGAAGGCTTTGTACCTACTGCTCTGGTTGGCCTCTAGTCACCAACGATTCTGGCGTTGAACAGCAGACCAGCATTCTCGTACGGCGTTGCGCTGCAGTGGTCAATCGAGCATCATATCAAGGCCGTCAATAAGGTCTGTTCAACCACAACGTAGCTATAACTCAGTCACTGATGGATTTAGTACTAAAGTTCGGGGGTGCCTGCGGTTGCCCGGCAGCCAGAACAGGGCCCGGGTCATTGAATATTGATCATTACAGCGGACCCCTAAGGCATGGTACTGGCTGCTACGTGATCTTACAGCTGACAACGGTGATCCTACGGTTGAGTTGATCCAAATGGCTATCAAGACTGCACTATACTGGTAAGACACCTCCCTTTTCCGCCAGCTGAGAACAGGCTTCATGGGCATTAAAGAGAATCCTTTGACAATACAAACAAGCATTCCTCACCGGCCCAATACTTCCTGGGATACTCCTCACTCGTCATCAAGCTACAGCTCACGCATATCTTGCCTGCGGTCATTTCTTCTTCGCCGGGGAACTGTGCTTATCATCCCGGTGCTGGAAGAGCCTGTCCACCGTGGTGAAACCGATGTTTCTCCCTCTACAGGAGCCTGTTGTGCACCAGTGTACTTGATTGGGTATGGGATTAATGGGGTCATTCAGGGGAAGAACAGGACATACGGTGGTCGGTCTGCAGGCCAGTTGGCATGCCTGTCGTCGATGATGCCGACTTGGTCTGTTGGGTTCACCATTGCGGATACTGCGGTGGCTAAGATCCTGGCAGTAAGTGGACCTTGACGTTGAAAGCAGACCAGGAACGTGGACTTTTGGGTATGGAAACGTGATTCTGGATGGCCGTTTGAAGCGTTCGAGAAGGTAGGCTCGGATGCTGGATATGGAGTCTGTGATGGTAATGGAAAGAGATCTCTTGCAGGCGGAGGCCATTCTTATACATACGCCGCCTATCCCTCAGTCACTGAAGATTCAATGTGCCTTGCCTCGAACGGCAAACCTGCGGTTGTTTGCAAGATTGCGTGACAGTGGTCTCCCAGCCGCTGTCCTTCTTCAAGGTCTCTTGAGCAGTCACGACGACTGTCCTTCATCATTGATGGATCGAGCAGTTGTTAACACACCTGCTGTTGCTCAGAAGGATCATGTGAGTGTTGTGTCGAAAGTATCATAACTGAGCTAACGTGCCATGTCCCAAGCCAAGGCCTATCGAGACTCCGCGCGTACTCACTACGCCCTAAATCCTCCTCCTGTCACCTTGTCGCCCATGGCTACTTCGGTATATTTTGAGTCACCGTCCCATGCACGGCTGCTTGGTGCTGTTGAAATTTTTCGATCGTAGTGAAGCCAATAGTGCTGTGAAAACATGGATATGCAAGGCAGATCCACATGTGACTAGCTAATGGATCAGCCAGAAGCGTGGTGTGGTCGAGAAGAGAGGAGGGACATACGGTCGGTTGTCGGAGCCCCATACGGCGGGCGTATCATCGACAACGCCTCGGACGAACTGCCCGTCAGGCATTGCGGAGCTGAAAATCGTTGTGTTGGAGATGATGATCGATCGGGAAGTCTAAAGGTGATTGGAAGATATCGAAGACGTTTATCTCGTGTGCTGAGTATGAGGATGGACAATGTGTTGAGAGGACACTTGCTGCAACTCAGGAAGGCGATGCGGGTATGAGAGAGTTGAAGGAAGGAACCGGATTGAAGGCAAAAAAAGGCCTCCCTTTTAAGCACGATGCCGCCTAGGCCATGGTCTTTGATGGTTCTCGGTCGCTGAGCCTCGATTCACCAAAATCTGTTGCACGACTAGCTCCTACAGTGAATGCCGGACCTGCGGTTGTGCTACAGTGGTCCTTCGATCGCGGTGTCACGACAATTGGATTATCCAGGCCCCTCGAACAAAGCTGCCTCAAATTACTGAAGTCTCGGCGAACATCTGATAGGGGCTTCAGAGGAACAGCTGATCGATCCATCGTTGCATTGGCACTATCCTGGTACTACCTTCAAGGCATGAAGACCAAACGTTAGCAACTGTTACCAAGATTTACACACACCACCCTCCTCACATGACCCTCCAACCATCTGGTTTAGGCCAGTCCGGGCGTTTCTGCAACTCAAAATCGACATAATACCCGTGCACATCGACCTCGTGGGTGCGCATCTCGTAGTAACTGTTGTCACCCGGAAATCCATTGTCACCCTTTCGATCACATCCCTCGACACTACAATCCCAGTGCTCTGTGGGGGGTGTTCGATCATGGTGTTCCTTGTCATGGTCCCGAAGCTTGTACACCGAGCTGAAGGCAGTTGGGGCCCCGGCGTGCGGCATGCGGCATGGTTTTTGGCGGCAGTAATAGAGGTCTCTGGAACAGAAGTTGGGAGGGTTAGCTATTGGACCTTGTAAGATGGGTTGGAGGCGTACTCTGTCCGGACAATGAGCGATGATCGGGGGACTCCGTCCAAGGTGCCGTAGTGCTGGTTGATGTTGTTGGCTTTGGAGGAGCTGGAGGATGGGTCGTTCTTCTGAGACTGAGACATTTCGGAGAAGTGGAGGAGTGTTGGGATGTGGTGGGAAGATAGCAGAGTGCTTTGATGTCTTTGATCGGAGGAGAGATCGTTGGTCGAGCGATGTTGGGAGACGTCGATCGATCAAAAAGACGGCCTGGATGATGAGTATGGGGATGTGTTGAGAGAGAAGTGTCTTCGAGAGCGAATAAATGCGTCCTTTTTAACCACTATGGCGGCTGTGCCACGGTCAAAAATGGTTCTGTCCATGCCGAAGTTACTGAAGGCTGTTGCAGTGAATAGCGAACGATGATACGAATGCGCAGAGGCGAGCATTGAACGCCCACACCCGGACGCTCCTGCACTCGTCAACGTCCCGTCGACCTGAGGTTGACCAAGTCAACATGGAATACCCACTTACTCGTCCCACGATGGCTACTCTACACCATTCACCGTCCCCCTCAACCTGGTTCTGATCAACGCCACGAAACGGTCGAATGAATCACTGGATCCCATGCACACTCCGCTCATGCTCTCTTCTACTATCATCCGTCGTAAATCCATTCGCACCCTTCTTGTAACACCCCCGGACGCCGCAATCGAATCGCGGAGCGTGCGCAGATTCGACATGCTGTTGAAGTCTCTCGTGCGAGGTGAAGCCAACAGGGAGTCTGATGCAAGATGGTTGTGTGCAGAGCCAGATATTTCTAGATACCAAGGGTGAGCAGATGCGTTCTGGACAAGGATAGGGAGTTCTTACGGTGAGTCAAACTCGGGCATGCGTGCGGCGCGGCCGTCCATGGTGCCGTGAGTTTGGCCGGACGACTGGTTGTTCTTCTCTAGTTGAGACATCTGCGGAGCGGTGGTGGGAGATTGCGTATGGCTTGAGGCTCTGGCTAGAGTAGTCGTTCGAGCATATCAAGGAGCTGATCTGAATGCTAGCAGAAGCTGTGTTGATAGAGAATCATCACAGCAGCAAAGAAGACTCTCTTTGATATTGCCGCACTGGCGCTGCGCGGGTCACTCAAGACTTCAATCTCCAAGACACCGTTAAATGCTGCAGTCAACAACCTCCTCAGGTGTGGTGGTACGACAGGTGCATCAATATAAATCATGTACAGGCTCCACCTATCGCCCAGCCCGCCGACCGTGACCAAAGTACCCCAGTACCTACCTGTGGACGGCTTCGACCCTCACGTTGCTCACAAGTCCCTCGTGCAAGCATCACTTCCTCCTTCCCCCGCCTTGCCTTTTCACCCCCATCCCATGCACCTCCCTCTCATGCTCCCCCCTCTTATCCTTCCTCGTGAACCCATTCCTCCCCTTCCGAAGACAACCCGCATATCCGCAGTCGAAGCGCTCAGTACTCTGCCATTCGTGACACGTCCGGGTGTGGCGTTCCAGGTCGGCTTTGCGGCGGAAAGCGGTGGCGCGTTGATCGCAGGGGGGTTGGTGGCAGAAGTACGTTGGTCTTGTCGGTGCGGGTCAGTGAGGGGAGCATGGGGAGGTGACGAGGGAGGGGTACGGACCGAGCGTCTGCGGGAAGAGAGGGAGAGGTTGAGCCTTGGTCGTATTGTTGTTGTTGAGCTTCGTTCTGTTCGTAGTAGCTTTCGAGGTCGTCGTAAGTATTTTCTTGCTGCATGTCCGAGGCCGACAGGCCGAGCTGCCCGGTGGTTTGGTAGTAATACTGCGGCTGCCCGAAATACTGTTGCTGGTATGCTACAGCCGGCTGAGTATACAGTCGCTGTTGTTGCTGCTGCGGGTGTTGAGCGTACACCGGAGATTGTTGCGGATACTGGTAGTTGTAGACCTGTTGTTGAGTGTATCCTTCTGGATATGTATTCCCGTAAGGAAACGGTTGTTGCGGTTGCCTCGACATTACAACTCGGATCGACGAGTAGACCTTGGATGGCCCAGACTGACCAGAAGAGCGGCGGAGCCACCACGGATATCTGATGTCGGGCTGGGTCCAGCAACGTTTTCAAAGAGATTGCACTGTGACAGTCTTCCAAATTCTGGTGACAGCTGCGAGATCAAATGCAACTCGATTCTCGGCTGCTGGTCGCTGCGGATGTTTTATGTTAATCAATCCAGCCTCTGCAGCCAACACGCCGCAGGGCAGAGCGCAGACAAAGGGGTTCACAGGCATTGTCTGCCTTCACCGATCACTTGCAATCCTTGGGCAGCTAATGCTTCCACAACAGAACAATTGTTCACGAGCTTGCGGGTGCATGAGACGCGTGATAGCGACCGTGATCCAATGAATTGCGCAAGGCGAAAGCTCCTGACTCCCCACCCTTGAAAGAACAAGGCAACCTTAGCAAAACCCAAATGCCACTGTCAGCTTCGCAACGCGGAGCTGCAGCCTGCAGACCACATGATCTCTCAATTGAACTCAAGCCTCCAGGGAGTTTTTCAACCGTGTCAATCATATCAGTACCGTGGTTTGGTGCAACAGACAGCCATACAGCTTCATCGAGCACCTCCGCTGGGACTTCCGCGAGATTCCGAGAGGACGTGACAAACGAGACAGAGAGTGGCGGTGGGTAGGTAGCACAACGACACCTCTGGCACAGCTGTATGTGCGCAAATGATATGGGGTCAGATTCCATGGAAGTCAGATTCACCCCAAATGCAAAACCAGACCTTTGACTGGCTATTCGGATGTCCGGAACAGCGCGGGTTCTTGCGAACCTTGTCATAGTTGCCTTTTTGCCTTGGGGTTGATCCGGGGATCCAGGAAGGTGGTCGACCCAAAAGTGAGGCGCAAGGCAAGAGGCCGCCTTCTCGCTAACATCCCGGTTCGAGGAAACTCTGTCGCTCGTAGTCTTCACCCAAGATCGCGGGAGCGAGCGTGTGGTGCTGGAGATTGCTAGCCACACATTCAGCCGCTGTGGCTATTTCCAGGCGGGATGAGCAGCAAAAGATGGGTTGTTCAGGACTTCTTTGAGGATGACACATGCTGGACCATGGCACCAGGAAATGAACCAAGCACCACCTTGTGCAGGCGCTGCGACGGCCAATGTCCTTTCTGCGGCTGGAACTAGAAGCAAGATGGCTCCTATGTTCAAACCGCGAGCGCGAGGCAAGCCTAGAGAAGAGACTTACCTGCTCTTCTCATGGGCGTCAGCATATAGGTCGAAAAGGCAACGAGAACTGTTAGCCTTGCCGGATGATTGCTCGGCATGGCTGTGGACTATCCATTGCCGTAGCCGCATCCTACTACCGCTTGCCTGACACGCAATGATAGTTGAATCCATTGCAGGAACACGCACACCTGGTCTTGATCGAACAGCGAGAATACCGACAGGACGATGTGGATGCGGTCAGCAAGCGTGGAGTCCACGAGGAGAAATGCATGTACCGAATACGGAAGGTAGTCGGCACTTGAAGACGTTTCGACCACGTGACTCCGGGAAGGTTCTGTCGATCGTCATCACATCTCCGATCTGGAGGCAAAAACCACCAGTAACCGGTGGCAACTCCGATGAAAAGTCCCGTCGCCCGCGTATTTGTAATCAGAAATGCAGGCCAGCGACGAGATCTTGTTGGTTGGATTTGGGGAATGCTGCAGGCTTATGCAATGGATAGCAAGTCGGCTGTATGGAATGGGTGGATGTTTGGACGCGTGTGCAGAAGAGAGCAAAGATTCGGCGATATCGCCGGCGCCAGAGAAATTTGGCCCCCCCTGTCCGCGCTGTGTGGCCCGAGCTGCTGGCTCTAGCGTGGCGGCAGGGTGGCACGTCTGTTTCTTAAAGGGATGACGTCTCTCTCCTCACCTCTGAAATTTCGTCACCACCTCCGTCATCTAACAGCTGCTGGGAACAGACGCCTTGCTGCGAGGCAACCACTTGTGTGCACAGGTCACGTTTGCGAGGCTCTTGGAAAGCCTGCAACCCATTGAGCCCTATTTCTCTTGCTTGGCGACTACCTCTGCGAAGAACCTGCCATCGCGGTTCGGGTACCAGTTACATGGTACTGCGGGCTGACCTCTGGGCTATACCACAAGGCACGTTGAGGGAGACGGTCAGCAAAATATCTGTAAGCAGCCAAACCCCTCTGTATGAACTCAAATGAAATACCACGATGCCCCGGGTGGTAGAGCAACATCGCATATCGCTGTCGCAACTGTTCGCCACCTGCGATGCTGTGCAAGACTGTGTTCAATCGCGCTCCAGCATCGACATACACCCCCAACATTGAGCCCCAACTAACGAAAGCATGGTTTTGATAGTAGCCAAAGCATTCTCGTCGACATCTCAAAAAGTCGTCGAACAAAGGCTGCACTGGAGAAGTAGAAGGAAGAAGACAACAGCAAGAAAGACGATCGCCGAGAAAGCCTCCTCCACCAGATCCGCTACGTCATCACGACCACCACCCACAACATGGCAACCGTCCAAACCAGAACCTCGACCAACAACAACTCGCCGCATCTGAGCGGTAAGAGCATGACAGCGTCGCCGCGCACCACGAGAACGTCGGCGCAGAATTCAGGTACGTTTCCGCTTCACTTTCTTCCCATCTCCAGCCATTGACTCGATTACGTTCAACCTCACTCATGCTGCACTACGATGTCATTGTTTGCCTGGCGCCAGTGCCTTGCTGACACATCGTCCAGATACCTCCAAGAAAGAGACCTCATCAACGGTTGAGACTGCTCAAGGTATGTCGACATGTCGAAGTGTTATTGCCACCGTAGTGGCGACATACCACCCTCTCGCTCACAGCGCCAACTGACCAATCTCCTCAGAACCCACCATCCCTTCGATCAAACAGCCCGACGAGGAGGCATCCACGAACAATACCAAGGACGGCGCGTCGACCACGACCAATGCGCCCCTCGCGCCACCTCCCAAACCGATACAGAACGGCGACAACGACTACTTCGGCGGCCAACACAACCAGGCGCATCTTACCAAGGAACCAAATCCATTCGAAACCGCGTTCGGCAGCTCTTCATCAGAAACGCCTGGAAAGCCTCAGCTCCCAGGTGTAACGAGCCTCACGTCGCCGGCATCGCTACTACCCGGCAACACTCCCGGCTGGCCAGGCTCACTGCGATCCGGTCCACTGAGTCCTGCCATGCTCACTGGTCCTACTGGAGGAAGCAACGACTACTTCAACAGTGACCATCACTTCTCCGGAAGCTTCCCAACGCCGAACGAGTCGTCGCTGCGTACTGGACTGACGCCCGGCGGGGGCGGGTCTATGTTCCCACAGCCATCACCCAACTCACAAGCACTTTACAACCAACTGCAGAGCGGTGGTGCGACACCTGGTACTTTAGACTTTCATCGCACTGCTATGACTGCGCGGGCCGCACAGTCGCAGAACAACTTCACTCTCCCGCAGAACGGCGCAAAGTCTCAGCCCACGTCGAATCCCAACATCCAGCCAGACCTTGACAGCAAGCCATATCAGGGTGGGAACAACACCAACCAGCAGCAGCAAGAGAATCAAGACCCGTTCGGCTCACACCAGACGACCGACGCCGCCAACGGGCTGTTTATGCTTGCGCAAGCCGGTGGTCAGCGGAACGCGCAACAGCAGCAGCAGCAGCAACAATACCAGCAAGTGCAGCAACAGCAAGCACAGCAGCAGCAGCAGCATCACCAACAGCAGCAGCAAGGCTACCAACAGGCAGCGCAACAGCAAGACATGCACCAGCGCAATCAGAAAGGCAGCGTCGGCAGCAACATGTCTGGCAGCACTGAAGCTGAAGGGCAGTACACGGACGAAGATACCAAGCCACAGAGCAAGGGCAAGGGCAAGAAGGGCTCGACTGGCAAGGGTGCTCAGAACGGCAAGCGCAAGACAGAAGAGACACCCAGCAAAGCGAACAAGAGGCAGCGTGCCAACACCGAGCCGGAGGAAGACGACGACGACATGGATGACGGCCAAGAACAAGACACCCACCCCGACGGCAAGAAGATGACCGACGAGGAGAAGCGGAAGAACTTCTTGGAGCGCAACCGGTAGGCCATATTCATCCTTTCTACGTTCTTTCAACCCACTAACACCCGCCCTAGCGTCGCCGCCCTGAAATGCCGCCAGCGCAAGAAGCAATGGCTCGCCAATCTCCAGCAAAAAGTCGAAATCTTCTCCACCGAAAACGACGCCCTCGCCGCCACCGTCACGCAGCTGCGCGAGGAAATCGTCGGGCTCAAGACGCTGCTGCTGGCGCACAAGGACTGCCCGGTCTCGCAAGCGCAGGGGATTTCTAGCAGCATGATCCAGCAGATTGCGGGGGACAATGGACAATACGCGAATCCGTACGGGATGGCTATGGGGCCCGGTGGACCGGGACAGGGCCAGATGCAGGGGGGAATGGGGAGGAGGTGAGTACCTACCTACCTACCAGCGCTGTTCGCTTGCGGAGAGATGAGAAGTGGTGTTGACGAGTGTTGTGTGTGCTGCAGTTAAGGAGCCCTCTCTCCCGTCCACTGCGCTGAGCTCTGGTGGTCCTGTCGGCGCGCTTAGTCCCGCCGGACCCGTGAGGCCGGAGATGGTGCTGCCGAGTAACGACCGCGTCTCCTCTGCGTTCTCGTCGTCACCGCAGACGGAGCGTGGCTACTTCGCCTCGGCGCGTCATCGTGGGGTCGAGTGAGGGGAGGTGTGCTGGGGCGGGGTGTACAGTACACAATGGTCGCATTCATTCTACCTGTTCTTGTCGATATTTTTGCTGGTGGGTGTTATGGCGAGTGGGGCAAGTGCTGCACATCCGGGTTCATTGTTTGAGAAACGATTATTTCTGGGAGGTGTGTTTGAAGGAAGGGGTGCGTTGAGCTTGGGCGTCCGCACAGTACATGGGGATTTTTGGGGGTGGGGGTACTAATGACTTGTGAAATGAATACGCGGTGGGAGGGGATGTGTGGAGTAGGGGGTGGGAGAATACTTGTAGCTGGAATGTGGGACATGGAAATGGAAATGGAAAAGATGTGCTCGTTGTACTTTCGAAGGCTTCATGTTGGAGTCGAGTGAAGTCGTGTTCATGATAGTGTTGCTGTGAAGGGAGGTCTCTTGTGTGTAGTGCTGCTGCGTGTATGTAATGTCTGGCCTAAAGGTAAGGTAGCAAGGGACAGCCGTCACTGTTGAAGATACTTCCTCGACACACTCAATCTGAGCGTGTATATGAAGACCGGCCAGCACCCAGACTACCTTATCGCGGGGTGTGATTATGCTCAAGAAGCCTGGGCTCCTCAAGAGCAGAGGAAGGTGCCTGGTGGCGGGTGGCAGTAGGGTAGGTTTGGAGGGCTTCGGGTCGAGGAGTGTGCGTTACTGAGCAACGTCCCTCATTGACTGAAGTCGTAATGATCGTGGTTGTGGGGGTTGGTGTCTGCTTGGAGGGCTTGTGGTCGAGAAATGTGCGTTACTGTTCAACGTCCCTCATTAACTGAAGTCGTATTGGTCGTGGCTGTGGAGGTTGGTGTTCGCTTGTTGCCTCATGTCGTGCTGGGCCTCAATGCAGTGCTGGGCTGGGCTACATATCGAGATGCGACGTGACCGGTCGCTCGCTCCATGGGGGTGGTGATCGGGTATGATGAGCGATCGGGTGTGGTGAGCGATCAGGTATGGTGAATGATGTCTCCCTTCTTCTCTCGCCTTGCCTGGATCGCTCACTGTCCATCTATTCTTCCGCCGAGGTTGCTCGTTTGCTGTAAACCCCTCCAGCTGCTGTTTCATACTCGAGGTCGGAGAACTCAACTCTGATCTCACCCACTGAGAACCCTTCCATCTTCCCTTCAATAACTTGCAGGCAGACTTCGTGGACCTCCGAAAGGGCGCGCAAGACATCAGAGATTTTCACACCTGCCGGATTCGAGACATCGAGTGCTCTACTGAGGTCGAACCGATCATCAGAGTACTGGACATGAGCGCTCCATCCCATCCTTTCCGCCAGATCTGCACCGTCCCCAACCCCACGGTTCCTCCTTACTGCTCTTGTACGGATCTCGAGTAGAGCCCTTGCTATGGGCGGCTGAGTCAAAAACATCCGCTTCCAGTGGGAAGGCCGGATCTTCATGACGTGGCGTAAGTGTGAGAGGGTGCAGTATTTGCTAGAGCTGCTGCCGCCAGGGAGGATTTCGCAGAGGATGGGGTTGGCGATGACTGCCGTGTCATCGTCCTCCCACCACTTCTGAAACCCGTTGTACGTAGCCAGACAGGTAAGGTGCTGCAGGTTTGCAGCATCGAATGGCCCGGCGTAGTATACCTCTTCCGGGATGTCCTCTTCGATGAAAGCTACGATCTTGGTCACGCTCTCCTTGGACCGACGGGGAAGCAAGGGGTAATCCAGGGTTTCGATCAGAGTCAGGCATAGCGCCAATAGAATTTTGTGGGATCCCTTCACTGCATAACGCCATTGCTTGCAGACCCTCCTCACGGAGACCACCTGCTTGCAAGGTAGCTGGAGGAGAATGCTTTCCAGAAGCTCGGCGGTGTTGAAGGTGCGGGCGCATGCGTTGAGAGGAGTGGTCGGTTCTTCAGCTGCTGGTATGTGAGCGAGGGACTATGTGTGAGGACATGCAGGTCTCTAACTCGTTTCCATATTTCCTGCGGGCTGGCGCACTCCGGTGTGCAGGTCTCCATCCGCTTGCTTGAGGTCCGCCGACGCCATCGTTGCGGTGAAAATGGTGGGTGGTGAAGGTGCGAAGAGTCTGGCTGTGAAGTGAGCAATGTCAAGTGAGCAATGTGCAAATCATCCGTGACGTCATGTGAATCACATGAAAGCAATTGAAACGACTCGTACTTTTTGATGAATTGAGTTCAAGTGAAGTTCGAACCCTGGACAGAAATGCGCACGATCAAACACACAGTGAACCGTTCCCTTCCCGGGTGCCTTGCTCTCCAGCGATTGCGGCCGACCCAGTTCGACATGCGACATGCTGACATCCAACTAATGAATGTGCACAAGCTTCGTGCCCTCCAGACCCATCCGCTGTTCAGGCACCCCAAAACCACACCTCCGCACGGTCTAATCTTCCAGACTCAAGGCTCGGCGACTGCGACATCGTCTTGTACCTGCTCGGGCCACTTGAAGATGCCGAAGCCGAAGTCTTCCCTCTTGCTTGCTTGAGGTAGAACGCCATCAAGCGCGAGGAGAGCCCACATGAGATCTTCAATTGTGACCCATACTCCGCTGCTCCTGACTCTGATGGACTTCGCAATGACAAGAGCATCCACCTCAGGTCCGTAGGGCGCGATTTCCCATCCTTTGCGCTCGGCGCCGTGTGACATTCGTTCGAGCTTAGCTTCTGTGAGTCCTGCTGTGCTTGTACGCATCATAATGAAGAGGCGGACCTCCTTCGCTGGCGGCTGAACCAAGGACATCTGAAGCCACAACGAGGATCTGCGATCGTACTTGCGTCGAAATCTGCGAATGGAGGTGATGAACCAGGCATTCTTGTCATCAGCCGTCGTCCGAAATATGTGACGGAGGATTGGATTCGCCGTCCAGTGGCCATTCTTTTCGGCTCTCTCGAACTCCGCGCAGGCTTCCTCGACGTTGGAGACATGGACTAAAGGCAGAAACTTCTAGTCCGGCCGAGCTCTCCCACGCGATAACGTCTCGTCAAGAACGTTGGTTATATCGGGCACGTCGACGATCTCGGTAGCGTCAGGTCGCTGCAGAACAACGGCTGGATTGACAGAAAGCAGGCACAATCCAACGTGCAGCATGCGCGATCCTTTGAAGACTTCGCTCCAGTGCTTAGAGACTCTTCTCACAACCAGGGCTTGTCGACTTGGTAGCTGGAGCATGATGTGTTCAAGGATTTCGACCGTGCCGAATGTCTTTTCGTGAGCCTGCAGAGGAACTTCCACTTCGCCCGTTGAGCTGTTAGAAGCATGTACTTATGCCCGATATCTATCCCTCCGACTTACCTGTCGCCATGGTGGGTGTAGGTTGGACGGAACAATGGCTGTACTCTTCTTGCGAAAGACCTGGCGGTGCTACTCGGTGCTCCCAAAGAATGGCCTAGTTGTACGAGCCTCCTGGGTTTGGCTGTAAGCAATGTGATGCCACCTCCGAGGGTTGATCGAATGTGGTTGTAGAGTGTAAGCTGAAGTGACAGGATGAAGTGAGGTCTGGCAAGAACCCCACCAAAGAAACGACATCCCACCTGCGCGTCTCCCGAACCACGACGCGTCGCACTTGCTATACCGGCCCACGAACTCTTGACAACCATGCGCCGGTCTCACCATGGCGGGCACGAGAGAAGAACGCGTCAACGGCGCGCTCGAGCATCTCCTGGAGCGTCTGGTGCCGCCGCAGACCGCTGAAGAAGATGAAGCTGCAGCGGACCAACGATGGGACGAAGCGAATGAACTCGCGCGCAACTATCTCGACGCCGAGCCAGAGCCAGGTGTGGTGGAAGACGTGAATCATGCCGCCGACAAGATTAAAAGACAGCTCCTGGCGGACGGCAATTTGGAGGCCAGAACGAAGTTCGAGGGACTGTATTCAAGGCTGTTGGCGCAACCCGTGCTGGGGCAGAAGTGGGCAATACTATATTTTCTGCAGAAGGTCGCTCGGGGTCGGGAGGATGCAGCGAACGGGCATGGATACAAAGATGTCGACGGCCCAGACGGGACGGATGGCGACGAGGCTATCGATGGGGAGGATGAGGTAGAGGACGAACGAGCATACGATGAGGCCTTTGCCCGCAATGGACTACCTCGCATATCTCAGTCTCGAGGTCCTGACGCGCTCGCACCACAGCCGTCATTACGGGACAGAGCTGTACCTGGACGACCGAGAACGCAGCAGCAGTCAGCTGAGCCTCCCGAAGAAGCGAAGGCTGATGGTGTCGGCTGTCCACCAGAGTCTGCGCTGTTGCGAGATCTGCCATTTACTCTACAAGGCCTATCTTCTACGAACATGAACTTCTCGGACAAGCAATCGCTGAAGTTGCCGCCTTCGCTACCAGTCCCGCTCATATCACTTTTGCATACCTTGGCAGAGCCATCACTGCTCTACCGGTCACTGTCCGATTATGTGGAGACATCCGATGGTGGCTTGGTCAGTCAAAGCCTGCGATCAGCAATAGGTCTCGAGCTGCGTTCGTATCTTCGACTGGTGGCAACCTTGGAAGGTCAAATTCGGCGTGCACTGTCTCAACTGGACGACAGCCTGCCTAATGGAGGTCTTGGAAAAGCAGGTGTGACCTTGAAACGCTGCGTTATCTGGACTCGCGAGGCGACACTTGGATTGCGCTTGATGAGTCTCATCGTGGAGTCTTCGAAGGGCAAGAAGGGTGGCGAGCTCATCAGTCTGATACACAACTTTTCCTGCTCACATGGAGATCCATTCGTGCATACCTTCGCCGAACGGCTGCTTGCCCACATCACCAGGCCGTTCTACAATATGCTGAGAGCCTGGATCTACGACGGCGAGCTGGAGGACCCCTATCATGAGTTCTTTGTAAGCGAGAGCCACGACTACGAGGACAGCGGCGCCACTAGTGTCTGGGAGCACAAATACGGCCTGCAGAAGGAGATGATTCCGACCATCGTCACTGAGGATTTCGCTAATAAGGTATTCTTGATTGGCAAGAGTCTGAACTTCATCCGCTACGGCTGTGGCGATGGTGCGTGGGTCGAGAATTACAGCAAAGATGCTTCACGAGAGCTGCAGTATGGCGACACAGCTCTACTCGCCACCAGCATTGACGAGGCATACAAGACCGTGATGGCTCGACTGATCACTCTGATGGAAGACAAGTTCGCGCTATTCTCGCATCTGCAGGCTCTGAAGAAGTATCTACTTCTTGGACAAGGCGACTTCATCTCCCTCCTCATGGAATCGTTGGCTTCGAATCTTGACCGCCCTGCAAACTCACAGTACAGACACACGCTGACTGCGCAACTGGAGCATGCTATCCGCAACTCCAATGCGCAGTTTGACAGCGCCGACGTGTTGCGCCGCCTCGACGCACGAATGCTGGAACTCAGTCATGGTGAGATCGGCTGGGATGTCTTCACGCTGGAATACCGAGTCGACTCGCCGCTGGACGTCATTGTCACACCATGGGCCAGCAAGCAGTACCTGAAAGTGTTCAACTTCCTTTGGCGAGTGAAGCGAGTGGAGTTCGCTCTTTCTACCACATGGCGACGACTGCAGACTGGCGCACGCGGTGTGCTGGCAGCCGTCGGCGACAAGCTCGGCGCAGACTGGAAGCGAGCACGAGGCGGCATTGCCGAAATGGTCCACTTTGTCGACCAGCTGCAATACTACATCCTCTTCGAAGTCATCGAAGCCGGCTGGGAAGGTCTTCAAAAGGCGATCAAGAAGCCCGACGCCACGCTCGATACTTTGATCTCAGCTCATACCTCCTACCTGCGCTCAATCACCCGCAAAGGTCTTCTTGGCGGCGGAGCTGTCGACTTCACATCTCAGCTGCACGAGCTCCTCAAGCTTATGCTGGCTTACAAAGATGCAGTGGATGGCTTGTACAGCTATAGTGTAGCAGAGTTCACCCGTCGCCAGGACGCCGCTGCTCGCATCGATACGCGTACTCGCGCCGGCCGTTGGGGTGTTACTGAAGCAGATGAGGATGCCGCTGCCTCGCCTCTCTTCCAATCGAACGCTGGTCGAGGAGGACGCGGTGGCAGAGACTCCCGCGCGGATAACGTCGACTCACCCATTCCACCACTGCTTCCCATGCACGGAGGCGGAGACGGTGAGCGTAACATGCTCGACCAGCTACGGCAGCGATTACGAACACTGGAGACGGAGTTCAAGGCGAAGGTGAATGTTCTTCTGGGAGATCTCGCGTATCAACCGGATGTGGATATGAGGTTCTTGGGCGTTGTGATGAATTTCAACGAAGTTTATGAGCCGGTCAGACGGAGACGTGGGCATGGGACTGCGAAGTCTGCTGCTGGGATGGCGAAGAAGGATGCTGTTGGTGGGCAGGGTGGTGGGGATAAGGGAAAGGGGAGAGAGGTGGAGGCTAAGGCATGATGTGCTGCAAGACTTGGACGAGGTTACAGGACCATGATGATGACGGACGAGATGTACGACAGTGCATGCAGAGGCGATCTGGGGCCAAGTGCGGGACGCGACACGCGAGCAGTGCATCGGCCGAAGCTCGATAGGTATCAAAGCTGTTCACCTCTTTTAGCAGTACTAGAATTAAAAACCCAGCTACAATTCTGCCCTTCGAATCGTCCAATGGACCTCCCGACCATCCTCCGCTACGTTCTCACATTCCAGCTCTTCCTCGGCGGCCAAGCTTGCCTCACGTCGGCTCTGACACCATCGCTCAACGACCGCGCTATGAGGAAGGCGGACGGTACGCAGAAGTACCTCTCCCTCGTTCCCATCTCCGAGCCCAGGCGGCACACGCAATTCATCGGCTTCTTGATGTGTGTCGCCGGGGCTTTGCTTTGCTTGAACAGAACAAGATTGGCGAGTGGGTTGTTGGCTATCTCGCTCACGATGGCGGGAGTGTACAGTCAGAGCAGGATGGGTATAAGCTATTGGTTGCCGGTGGTGAATACTGCGGTGACTGGGGTAGTGATCTGGAGCGAGCTCCAAGTTGGGAAGGAACGCTGAGGCTCAGGCAAAGGGTCCCCATGTCGATCTGGGAGTAGAACATCTCATCATCGAGAGGATTGAACAGAACAAAGCCCTCCCGGTTGGAGAATTCTACTCGTCGAAGCTATCTACAACATCTTCAGCCCCGGCCAGTTGTTATCAACCTCCTTATTGCACAGCTCAAAGTACGGGCCAACGCCTCCAAACCAGAACAACGGGCTTATGTTCTTCCCAGGTATGTTGGCTCCTAGGAAAGACGTCAGCTTGATATCATTGCTACATTGGGAGAGGTGGGGTACGATGCCGCCTACTATCTCCTAGACCCGTCCGAAGGCTTTACTAGGCGAAACGCCCTTGAGGGTCGTTTGGACCGGAAAGCTCTCGGAGACCTTGAGGTCTAAGACATAGCAGCGACGTATTCCACCTAGATTTACTTACCTATGTACCAGCTCCCTAAAGAGATGAGAAGAAAGGTCAGCAGATGTCTCGACAACTGAAACGAAGACGGAAAGGCTTCGGAGCACCGCGCAGCCCTTGGAGCTTCAACGTGTCTCGGAGAACCTTTCCACCCATCAGTTCGACTCACCCGCTTGCCTCGCCGCTTTTGGCAGCACCGTGGCCTCGTAGACGTCGTTGAGCTGCTTGCAGTATTGCTCTTGTGCTTCATGGGTTGGCTCGCAGGAGGAGTAGCCGTTCTTCTCCATGTACGAGATGGCTCTGGCGATCCAGTCGACGGCACCATCGATTACCACTGGGAGGTTGGCGAAGGGAGATTGGGGACCGGAGATCATGAACCTGGACGGGTGGTTAGACAAGGTATACAAGGGTTCTGTAGTGGTGTGAGAGAAAAGCTAACATATTTGGGTAGTGCTCTACACATATCCCAAGGAAAGTTTCAAGCTGTTGGCTCCAGTGCTCGCCGAGCGTCATGTCTTCGTTGGCTCGCACATCCATTGTGGCGAGAGCGCCGGTCGAGGCGTCGAAGCCGATGGCATAGATGATCACATCGAATTCATACTCTTCTCCGTCCTCCAGACGAACGCCCTTCTCGGTGATCTCGTCGATGCCATTCTCCCTCACGCTGACGAGCTTCACATGTGGGCGGTTGAAGGTCTCAAAGTACGAATGGCCTAATGGTGGCCGTTTCGCGAAGATCGGGTAGTCAGGCACAAGTTTCTCAGCCGTCTCTTCGTCCTTGACAGTCGTCCTGATCTTCTCGCGGACAAAGTCAGACGCAACATCGTTGCTCTCTTGACTGACGATCAAATCTCCGAACGTCTCGAAGATGAAGCGGAAGCCTCCGACTTCCCATCCGTACTCAAGGACACGACGATGCTGCTCTTTGCTCTTCATATCCTTCATCGTCTGCTTAGAGTCCGTCATGTGCATGCCGAAAGATTGGGAGCGCGCCTGCTGCCAGACCTCGTCGTAGCTCTCTTTGATCGCATTGGATTGCTCTTCGGTCAAAGGATGGTTGCGGGCTGGGAGGACATAGTTCGGTGTCCGTTGAAAGACCGTCAACTCCTTCGCTTGATAGGCCACCTGGGGTATGATCTGAACGGCGGTTGCTCCAGTCCCGATGACAGCCACACGTTTACCTTTGTACGAGACCTGTTCTTTGGGCCACGCAAACGTCTTGTAGCTCTCTCCCTTGAAGTTGTCGGCTCCCTTGAATGGTAGCTGTCGGCCAACTGACAACACGCCGCTGGCGGGAATGAAGTACTTGCACGTGAAGCGTTCGCCCTCCTCGGTGGTGAGTGTCCAGATGTTGGTCGACTTTTCGTAGTGGCAAGATTGAACCTTGGTGCTGAACTGAATGTCCTTCTTCATGTCGAACTTGTCAACGACGAAATTGAGGTATTGCAAAACTTCGGGTTGACGGGGAAAGCGTTCTTTCCATGTCCATTCGGTGTTCAGCTCCTTGGAGAAGTTCAAGATGTAGACCCACGATTCCGTGTCAGTACGGGCGCCGGGATATCGATTCCAGTACCTGCGCTGAATCAACAGGGCGTTCTCGCGTTGACGGAAATAGCCTACCATGTCCCTCCTACACCAGTTCCTGCTTCGATGACTTTGTACTTGAGACCCATCTCCTGCAGCTCGTGCATGACTCTGATCCCTCCAAAGCCAGCGCCAACAACGATCAAATCGTAGTCGGGCTTCTCAGCATGATTGCCTTTGACACCGTTCGTCTCGGTCATCGTTAACTGATTGACGATCTGTTGCCGGTGATTGTTGGATCGTCCCTCTCCACGTTACTGGAGTGTCTATATCCAGGTTACGTCTCTCGTGGATCAAGATCAACCGCGGATGGTCTGCAGTATGTGTGGGGAAGGTATAGAAGTACCTTATGCGGGGAAGATGTAGCTGATGGTTGTCTTGGTTGCAGCTGAGCCCGGACTTCGACAGCCGTTGATCAGCATCGGGGCTGAAATGGTCCAGTCGGTTGTGTCCCGTTCAGCGAGAAGCAATGAAAGCGGCCGGCCAGGTGTCCAGGTCAGATCGGGCTATGTGATGGATCTTCTCACGGGTATGAAAAGTGCTCCCATGCCCACGAGAGTGATGTGGCCCTTTCGTGTGCATTCGGGTCTCGGAGAAGACTGCATGGAATGCCAGGTTGGCCACTTCATTGACAGTTGCTTCCCTGTCTGGAGTCTCGTATGTTTGTAACGGATGTCTTGAATAAAGAGGACCGATGTATGGATTCTTCTCCACATGAGGTGTTGGACAGAGGCTGACATGGACAAGAAGGGGAGCCTGGCGGACGAGTTATTGCATTCGGTATGTTCTGCATTTGAGCATTGCTGTGTAGCCAGCCGCAACAACCTATCTCTGCGTACTGCTGCGCTTCTCGACTCACGTATAAAGCGATGCAGCCGAGGACTTGATCACAAAGGACACTTCTTCCATACCATGAGGTTGTTCAAGTAGGAGGCATGTGCATCAGCGCTTCCAGCTCCAGCATTCTCTTGTTGTTAGTCGCGAAATCCACCTCTGCAGAGGTCACCTTTCGATGATCAACATCACCATCCACCCATTCGGCGTTAAATCCTAGGCCCGTCTCTGCCTGCCATCCTTTGACGAGGTCCCTCGCCTTCATTGGCAACAGTACCTTTGAAGGCGCCTGGAACCACTTGGGCTGAAGCACAAAGGAGAGCATGATCCTAGGCTTCGGCGTTCGATTCGGAACACCGGCATGCCATAATCTGATATCGCGAATGACAATGCTACCCTTCTTTGTAGCGGCATTGACTGGTGGAGAGTGCTTCCTCCTCGCATCCAGGAGATCTGGCTTGATCGTCAGTCCGGCTTCGCTGTCCTTGCTGCCGTACGTGGTATGTTGATCGATGTTGCTTTCGCGATGGCTTCCCAGCCAGACTTCTGTTGCGCCGTTCTCCAGACTAACATCGTCAAGAGCAATGTTCAGGATGTAAGCGAACGGAAACAGGGGATGCGGCTTGTCGATGTCGCTGTGGACGGGCTGACGCCCTGTTGCTGGTCCAAGAGCCGTGTTGCCGTTCGCGTAGTGGCAGACGAGTTGAGGTCCAAGCACGTGTTGGAGGATGGAACAGGCGATGGGATTTGCCCATATGTCCTGGAACATGAGATCTGGATTTAAAGGGGGCGCCTGGTCCATATTTTTGGTGTCCTTGCCGAAGTTGAAATGGTGGTCGGGGTCTCGAGCAACCTCTTCCGCTTCAGGGCCTAGCAACGAATATAGGGCATCGAGATGAGCCGGATCGATGGCATTCTCGAGGACGATAATGCCGTCGCGGTGGAGGTAGGTCAGGGCTTCTCCGATCACCTCTGGGCTGGCTTCACCAGACTGTCGGGCGTCTTCCGCAATCTGGACAACATGGAGCTCTTCGCTGTGAGCTGCATCTCCGTTGGACGTTCCATTCTCATGCTCTCGTCTTGTCATGATGGAAGGCGAAGATACTGCCGTAGCGTTGGGAAGATTGCAGAGTTACGCTTCTACGCGCGCCCAAGAGTCATGAAGCCAAAAGCTCAACAAGCACTCTCCTCGACCATCTGAGCCAGATAAGCTTGCTTGCTACGCGCTTAGTACCACGAGACTGGCATTGCCGCGATATCGCGGTCTGAACAGATACATGCAGAGGACAGCGTTGCAGTCAGATTGTGGAGTTTCTCCAAACAAGCGCCATCCCACGTGGCCGCGCTTTTGATTCGCCAATGCCTCGCTAGAATCAACGGCGGATGCTACGTCGGAACAACCCGCGTGATATGGTCGAGACCAGGACTGATAGGCGTGGTAGGTATCGCTGGCTGGTGCGGAGGTAGCTATATATCAGTCTGGCCGGCAACGGCGGTGTAGCTCTGCCGTATACAAGTCCACAGAGCTCCTCAATCCATCACCATCTCGGACCTGAAAACACCCCAGCATCAATAGTTGACTGGACACACCGCATCTGGACGGACGCGGCCATGGCTACGGACACAGCATCGCCCAAGCCACGACAGGAAAGCCTGGACGACCGCGATAAGACCAGCATCGATGGCGATATCTTGAAGGGCGGTATCCGAGTGGGTGCCATTGGCGGCGAAGAAGCCCGCGATGCCACTGCTCGGGAGCATGAGATGTCCTTCATGACGGCCGTCCGAACCTATCCTACCGCTATAGGATGGTCTGTCTTCTTTTCCATGGGTAAGTGACCTGAGGTGGAACATGTCGTTGCTATTCCTCGACTTTGAGACTGACCGGTCAAGGCATAATTATGACCGCTTTCGACCCCCAGCTCCTCGGACAGCTCTTTGCTACGCCCAGATTCCAGAAGGACTTCGGGTACAAGTATCAAGGCAATTGGATCATCTCTGCACCATGGCAGACTGGACTTCTCATGGGTAGTCCCATTGGCCAGGTGGTTGGAGCATTCTTCGCGAGCTATCCCATGGAGTGGTTCGGTCGCAAGAAGACGTTCGGTGCCTGCGTGATACTGACCGCCGCCTTCGTCTTCATCCAGTTCTTCGCACGCTCTCTGCCAGTCTTGGTTACGGGTGAGCTTCTGGGCGGACTGGTGCTCGGCACATATGCAGTCATCGCCCCTGCATACGCCTCTGAGGTGTGCCCGATCGCCTTACGAGGTGTCCTGACAAGCTACGTAAATTTGTGCTTCGTTATGGGACAGCTGATCGCCAACGGCATCGTTGCTGGAACGCAGAAACTGGACAATCACTGGGCGTATAGTGGCCCTTTTGCAGCCCAGTGGTTCTGGCCGCTGGTCATTCTGATTGCATTGCCATTCGCTCCGGAATCTCCTTGGTGGCTCGTTCGCAAGGGACGTGAGGCAGATGCAGTGAAAGCCTTGCGGAAGCTGGCTTCGTCGGAAGTTGATGTGCAGCCAACGCTGGCCATGATTATCGAGACTGATCGATTGGAGCACGAACTCGAGGCTGGCTCGACTTATATGGTATGCCTATTGGTGCACGATTATATCATTGAGCGCTGACATTGTTGTCGCGTAGGACTGCTTCAAGAAAATCAACCTGCGCCGCACTGAAATTGCAGTCGGCGTATACAGCATCCAGGTCATCTCTGGAATTTACCTCGTTGGTGAGTACTCTAAGTAAAAGGGCTCTCCAAGACACGATCGAGATCTATGCAGCGTTCTGAGACTCGATACCTGCTGTTCGCAGCTCAGAAACACTTGCTGACCCTTTTTCCCTCTGTTCTTTAGGCTATGCGACCTACTTCTTCACCCTCGCCGGTCTCCCAACAGATCAAGCCTTCAACATGGGCGTCGGCTTCCTGGCGGTCGGCTTCGTCGGAACATTAGTATCCTGGGCCCTCCTGATCTACTTCGGCCGACGCATCATCTACATCGTCGGCCTCTCATGCCTGGTCGTCTTACTGTTCATCATCGCGATTCTCGACTGTGCGCCCAACTACGCGAACCGTCCCGCGATTAGCTGGGCCCAGGCTTCGCTTCTCCTGATCTGGAACTTCTGCTACGACTTCTCCGTGGGTCCTGTGTGCTTTGTGATTCTTTGCGAAGTGTCGGCTACAAAAGTCAGGAGCAAGACGATTGCTATCGCTACTGCTGTTCAGGCTTTGTAAGTACATCTAGGTGGAACATGTCACTGCTATGTCTCAGACTTGATGGGCCTTCGAATCGGCGCATTGGTCTAGGACATAGTGGTCGACACTGCACTCTTTAACACCCTACGCAGAAAGGAAAGAAAGCTGACATCTTTTCCGTAAAGATTCGGAATAGTGATGACGATTGCTATTCCTTACCTGGTCAACGCGGATCAAGCCAATGCAAGAGGCAAGATTGGGTTCTTCTTCGGTGGGCTGGCGGGCTTTGCTTTGATTTGGGCATACTTTAGGGTAAGTCGTATGATATTTCCTGGTAACATGAAACCAAGCTGACGGTCGCTGTTGTACAGGTACCTGAGACGAAGGGCCGGACGTACGAGGAGCTGGACATCATGTTTGCCAAGAATCTGCGGACGAAAGAGTTCAAGACGTATCTTGTGGACGGTGTCCATGCGTAGTCATCCAGAAGAGAGCATTGCCTACATGTAGGCATAGGATTCAAGTAGGAACATAAATCCTTCTACAAAGTAATCAGAAGACTGCAAGCCACGCAGGGTATACCTTGAATCGCTACCAACAGAGCGTTCCTATCCCGCGCTGACTTCCTCACAAACATGTTCCCTACTCTGTTGTTCACATAATGCTCGACGCTGACAGAGCAATACACCACGCGCACAACGTGATGACCCTTGCAGCGGCCCAGCTGTAAGGCGTCGGACCCGAACGACTCTTGAAGCCAAAGTGATGCTGATACAGTAAGGTAAGCTTCGTACCACTGGAACTCATCGGCGCAAACCGTCGACAGTGAATCAGCCCAGTAAGGTAGGATGAGGGGTGTAAAGGATGCTCTCACAGATGAAGACAACCTGCCGACGAGGAGATATAGCCTTTTTGGAGCCGACTGCGTCTTGGAGAAGATCAGATGTGCCCGATGGGCCGCGGGTCACTTGCTTGCGGCGGTATAGAAGAAAGTGCTGACACGACCTCTGCGGCTTACATGCACAATCCCTCGTTCCCGCATACCATTTTCCACTTCTGGATGTGAGAATAGTAGCTTGACACGAGATCTGATCTGAGTAGATCGGACGTATGGCGGAAACAATGTGTATAAGAAGGGAGGATGCTTCCTCGAAGTAGTCTCATCATCAACGGCCATCACCTCCAGCAACTTCAACATCAGACCTCAAAACCTTCTCACGACCACAAACAACCACTCCGCCGCAACAGTACGCCTTCCTCCCACCCCGCAGCACGCTCCCACTAATAGACCCCAGATGAAGTCCATCACCGCCCTCCTCTTCACCCTCGCCGCTGCCTCCACCTACGCTTCCCGCGTCAACTTCGAATACTACTCTGACTCCAACTGCGCCAACACCAAAGTCGGTCTCGCAAACATCGGCGCCGGGACAGATGTGGGTTCATGCGGCAAATGCGTCGATCTCAGCTTCCCAGGCAAGTCCTTCCACATCGGCTCGCCGGCATCTGAAGCCCAGGTCCCGGAGGACTGCGAGATCATTGGCTATGCAAAGGCCAACTGCAAGGGTGCGATCAACTTGCGCGTCGAGGGGCCAAGCAAGGGGAAGAAGTGCTATAAGAGTGGCGACTTCCAGGGGCCAAGCGTCGGGAGTGTGAGGTACATCTGCAACTAGTCGGCTATGCCAGAAGCGAAACAGCATTTGTGGCGGTGTTGGTGGGTGGCATAGCGCTGAGGGAGCACTGAGGTCGGCTTTTAAGGATTGTGTAGAGGTATCTGGTCCCTCCTTTGGTTCCGTTGCAGGCGAGTTGGTATCGAGCTTCGGTACATTCTCGATGATCTGTAATGTCAATCCGATCTTTGAAGCTCTGGCAGGATCCTGACTTTGTTCTTCGTCGCGGAGAAGTCGTTCGCGCTTCGAAATGCTCGCTCTCAGCAAGTTTGATCACCCTGCCTCCAAACAAGCAACCATGCCCTCCAAACTTCCAGCCTTCTGCGCAAGCTCCACGCCAAGCCTCACTCGCTTCTCGATCCTCTTGATCAGCCTCATAACCTCCTTGCCGTCGCTTTCACTATCTTCGCTCGCATCCCATTCCGCGAGTTGCTCGGCGTACAGGTCCAGAACCACTAGGAACACATCGTGCACAAGCATAATATGCCTGGGATGCGCAATGTACTTCAAACACCACTGCAACGGCGGCAGCAGTCTCGCGGGCGATCTATTCGCCAAAGCAGTCCGAGTAGCACTTCGATGTCTGAGTGCGGTCAGAACAGTAAGTACATCCTCGTTGTTGAACGCCGTTGGTCCACCTGCCGGCTCGAGCACAAGATCCAGTGCTTGGGCGTATTTGCCCTCCCTTAGGTGTTTCTGCCAACCTTTGAGCTTTTTCATGCTTTGCCGCGAACGCTCGTTGCCCGTAATGACAATGTCCGCGCCCTCGCCGCGAAAGTCCTTGCCACGATCGCGTGCCCGGATGCCTTGACGCAGATCCTTCTTGCGCTGCTTGCGCTCATACTCGTCTGCTTCGCCTGCCATGAGCGCTTGCATCTTCTTTTCCTTCTCGCGCGCCTTTATTTTCTCAGTGCCCGCGAGTCTCGTTCGTATGCTGAGTAGGCCGGTCTCCAGTCCAACAGCCAGATGGCGGTCATCACGAGCTCCACCGGTGATATTACTGACGATTGCCAGTGAGAGCACGGGTGCAGAGTACTTGAAGCCAGCGACGACTTCCCATGAGATAGTGTTGTGGGCTTTGACGTGTCCATCTAGCGCGCTGGTGAGAAGTCGAGTGCTGTTCTGCGCAGTAGCAAGAGAGGTGACGGTCTTCTGGTGAGAGCGAATGATATGTTCAACCTTGCCTGCAGCAAGATTCAGAATGCTGACTTCGTTGCCGGCAGCTGATGCTAACGTCGAGTTGTTCATTGCGAGCACGGACTCAACAGGCGCTGCATGCTTGAATGTCATCGCAGGCCGTGCCTGTCTCGTATCCCACAGCCGCACAGTCTGGTCGTAGCTGCCACTCACAATCATGCCATCTTGCTCTGGTAGATAGCATCCAGAACGAACGTAGTCTTCGTGGCCAACGCCTGTCCACTTGGCCTCATCTTCAGTCAAGTCCCAAGCGCGCACAGTACGGTCGTCTGAACAGCTCATGAGATCCGTGAGTACCTTCGGGCTCCATCTCACAACGTGTACTGGTAGCCGATGTGCGTGCTCTCCCCTCCACTGCCTCAGAATCGCTCTTGACCCAGTGTCGAATGCCTGTACCACACCACTATCTCCTCCAGCCAACAGTATCCGTCCATCTCGTCTTAGCACTCCGGATCGCGCGGTGTCGTCGACGCCGAACCGTGATATGGTTTTCACCAGCTTCCTCGTCTTGGAGCTGTATATTTGCACCCTGCCACCGCCCGTAACCGCGAAAGTCTCCGCCTGTGCTCCAGTAGGGTTGAAGTCGGGGACCGTGACCGAGGTGATTGCAGCATTGTGCGGCGAGGGCAGCAAGATCTGGTTCTTGAATGTCTTCCAGTACGCTTCGTCCGGCGTAAGTGGTGCTGGTCCAGGAGGCGCGCGCGTTGGCGGCAGTGCCTGTACTTCTGCTGCCATGGTCGGAGAAAATCAGCTGATCAGCGCACGCATTATTGGAGGTCCTTATTGTGCGCTGCGCGAAAGGAATAGCAAAGTCGTTCAATCTGGAAGCTCGTGAACTTTTCAGTAGACTCGGTAATAAGCGTTTAGATAAGCTTCCGGAGCGGCTCTACAATGCTCCGAGGGTCTCCCCAAATCTCTGATGAGACGACAGGTCCCAAGAGAGACGTGCTTCCTATTCGTTTTCCTCTTACACCATCACGTGCGCATGATACAGCTGAGAACTGCCTTCTGACTTGAGCCTCAGCGCAGCCGCATGGAGCAAGCCCAGTCAGGTGTTCCCGCATTGCTACCGCCTTGGACTTGCACGCGGCCTCACAACACGTCTTCCCCTTGGGTAGGCACGATGGCACTTGATGTTCCTCCCATATGCTGTCTTTTCGCACTGTTTCACCCCCTATTCATCCAATGTTTCTCAAGCCTTGATATTCCTGAAACAGCATCAAGCACCCGGCAGTGACTGCAAGAAGCAGAAGCAGAGACGATAGTTCACACGCCTTACTTTCAACAACCATGTTTCTCGGGCTTCCGATCTGCATCCAGTGCGGCACAGGCAAGTACTACTTTTCATTGTGCGACAAGCAAACTTCTAACGCACGCTTGCAGACCAAAACCCTTGCCACCTCAAGATTGTTGCCCCAACGGCGGGATTCGTGGTTGCGGTTGTGATGGCCGTCGTCTGCTGGCCGGGAGCATTGCTGTGTGGGTGCTGCGCAACGGAGACGGGGAAGAAGTACTTCACCCTGCCCCGTTCTATCATTTATGGCTGCTGATACGATATAGGTTGCTTGGCATGCCGGTGGATACCTCGACCGTGGTAACCTCCGCGATACTGTTCTGATGCCCTGCTTGCGACAGACTTCGGGAGGATGACCTAAGAGCCCGGGCAGACGTGCGGAAACCTGAGAGCATGATGGAAGCAGGAGCCAACAGAACTGTAGGACAGCGGTGACGGAAGTCCAAGAACAATGGTTTGCCACGAACAGGTGAGCGTCGCTGCTGTATCCATCGCTGAGAGCAGTCCACAAATCATCGAGCCTACGATAGGTGACGTCGCATCAACCACCACTTGGTGCTGCTCGAAGAAGCGTAAGTTGCATATGTCTCGAAAGATCGTTCGGAAAAGTAGCAAAGCTTTCGTCTCCAACACTCACTCCGTTTGCACTCTCCGTTTGACTGCATGCATCTCTGTTTGCATCCTGCCATCCGAAAGAAGCTTGCCTTCCCAAACCCTCAAGTTCGTAATCACATGAAACTGTCGTCACTGTTTTGGCCACGTTACACACTAATCTAACGCGAGAAGAAAAACACAGTCTTCGCATCATTTCACGTCAACATCGCAAACACTGCCTCGGACACATCAGACACACCACGCACACCAGCAACCCTACCTTCGCCACATGACCGGCGGTTTCACGACGTCGGAGTTGTAAGCATGGCTGGCGATTCCATCTTTGACGATGAGTGGGATGCGTTCCGTGGGAGCATGACCTCGATGGACGAGCTGGGTTTTGAGCTCGATTCTTTCTATGGGCCGGATGAGCAGGCGCTCGCTACGACTGTTGGTGTTCAATCCGGACATGCTGCAGACCGTACGCTCGAACATGAGCCCGCGACTCAGCAAGACCAGGCTTCGAGCCTGGTGCACGAACCGGAGCAGACCGCTCAGCATCATACCAACAGCCCGGGACTCCAGCCAAGCACTGCGGAGAACGTTCCTCAGCCTGACACATTCGAAGAGAACGTCGTCGTCAACTCACCTCCTCGCACTGGGGGTCTTGAGGATGCTATTGAGGGCGTTGAGACCGCGATTGATGGTCATGACGTTGCATCAACAGATCCTGTCCCTCAACTTCACCTCATCCCACACGCCCAACCGGCGACCACCACGACCACCACGACCACCACGACCACCAACTCCGACCCAACAGCTGCCGATCAGACAGCAACTCAAGAATCAGACCAAGCAGAGAGCGCTCATCCAGAGCACTTTCTTGGTGAGGCACTAGCACGTGATCCATCTAGCACTGGAGGCGACCAGCAAGACTCACACTACCAGGCTGAGCCTGTCGTCAGTCAAGCACAACCTCACACTGGCGAGCTCAACGAGCACGACAGCAACAACACCCATGCGAACCCAGATAGCGTGCCAGAGCCCGCCGACGTCATCCTCAGTCCTTCAAAAGAGGCCAAAGAGGCAAGTGGTAGCGATGAGCTTGCCGGTCCCGTCGGAGAGCGCTTCATATCTCGCCACGATAGCATTGTCGAATCTGAAGCAGTAGCGGAAGCCGGAGAGGAGACCCCGCTGCCAGACAAGCAGACCTCGGAGCCACAATTGCCAGTCGAGGAGGCTCATTCACCAGACAAGGAGACTCAATCGCCAGTCGAGGAGACTCAGCTGCCGGATCCGGAAGGTGAAGGCGCCACAGAACTTCAAGAAGAACAGGCCAGCGTGGTGTCTGCTACAGTTGAGACCAGCGATCGCGCAAGTGACCTTGGGGACTTATCCGTAGCTGCACGTGCACAGGAGGTCACAGGCCAGGACACCGAGCGAGACGTAACAGTAGCTCTTCCGATCAACGCAACCGACACACAGCCTCAGCTATCCGAGGTCGATCAACCTTCGGAAAGTATCCCTGCGGAGCCCAACACTGAGCAACAAGAGGCCAAGAAGATGCCAGCCGTACCACTTCGTCCGGCAGCTGCAACGCCAAAGACGGCAGTCGCCCCCAACAATGGCCTCTCGTCAAGCATTGGCAGAAGCAGTATGCTAAAAGAGATGCGGGATGAGGACAGATCAGCGCTCCACCGGCCGGATGACAGGGTGTTCTCTCCGCTCGCGTTGAAGGACAGTTCCGGCAGCCCCGTTGTTCCTCAGTCTACAGCTCTCACTGAAGACGAGTTCCAAGATGTCCCTACTCCTCAAGAGCCGTCATCCAGGAAGGCCTCGTCGACCACAGACCTGCTTGAGAATGTCTCCATGGCTCAGCAGAAAGCCAAAGCGATGGCGAGGAGGCTTAGTGAGTCCTCTCTGTCTTCGCTTGCCGACAGCGATGTCGCGGAGCCGATGGAGGCAGAGGCGGATGATCCCATGGAGGTCGATGAAGAGGAGCCGCAGAAGAAAGGAAAGAAGGGTGTCGTGGCGCCTAAAAAGAAGCCGGCCACTAAGAAGGCGAAAGCCGTACTCCAGAAGAAGGCGGCTGCGAAGAAAGGGAAGGCCAATCTCCAGAGTCGTCAGAACACTCGCAAAGCGGCAGCAAAGGAGGAGCCGCAGGATACAAAGGAGACTTCAGCTGCAGGTGTAGAAGGTCCGCCTGATGTCAAGACCGGCGTCACCGGTAAACGCAAACGTGCTCCTTCGCAGGGTTCCCCTAAGCCCGCCGCGAAAGGTCGAAACAAGAAGAAGCTGGCGTCTCCAGAGTCTGAGGATGCCATGGTGCTGGACGACCCGGAAGTCGAAGCTCAAGTAACAGTCGACGACGCAACGACAAGTACTGTGGAGAGGTCTGAACTCTCTGGCGGAGACTTTAAAGACGCCATGAACGGCACCGGACACCAGCCATTGAGTCATGTACCACCTTCGCCCTTGCCAATCGCAGCTCAGCCGAAGAAATCTCGCAGGATGCTCGCTGAACTCGCGGATCATTTGAACGACGTGCAGCCTGAAGTCACTAACGGCAGAGAGGGACGTCGCAAAGCACCGGTTAATGCTCCAGCTCCCACAGCTCAAGCGAGCGATCCCATCACGAAGGCTGCCAAAGGGACCGCTAGCGGCAACGAAGCACCGCCCATGGTCCAAGACCAGCAAGCACCGCCACCTCAAGAGACGCCCAAGCGCCAGAGGTACGGACTCAGCAAGCTGGAGCTCACCAACCTATCAAGCCCTCTCGAAGCACCACCACCGAGTATCCGTGCAGAGAGTAGCAAGCAAGAGACACCGAAGCCGGAAGTGAAGAAGAAAACTGTCGGTAGAAACCTGATGGGCAAGCGTGAGCTGGCGGCGATGGGGCTTGAATCGGGCGATACGGCATCGAGCGTGCAGACGAAAGAGCGCAAGACGAGGGCGAAGGCGCAGGTTGAAGCGAAGGCTAAGCCGGATGCTGGGGCGGCGGTGAAGGCGAGGCGGAAGGGGAAGGGAGTTTGAGGGGTGGAGGCGGTGGATGTCGTGCACGCGCATTGGTGAGGAAGCAAGATGTTCGCATGGAAAGCAAGTGTTTGATGACATGGCGCACGGTACGGCTGTACTATTCATTCAGGTGAAGTCGCAGCTTGTGGTATTGAAGCTTGTAAGGAACCGGGTCATGAGTAGCAGCCGAACGATAGCATGTGAGTTCGTCATACTGTACTTTCCAGTGCAATCAACAAACGCACTCCTCATGAAGGTTCGTCTTGCAATCGAGATTGTCTATTTTTTGGTGATGCTATGTATACTCAATCGAGCACTAAAAAGTCCTTGCGAAGATAGCAATAGTGGACACAGTGAAGTTACCACACGCTCCCGCAACACCACCGGACACCCCTCCTCCGTTACACGTATAACAGTTGTTCTCTCCAACATTGCCAGAAACAGATCCCATGCCGAGAAGACCATTGTTACTGAGTAGGCAGGTCAGCTTGAGTTTCGATGCCAAATACTGCAATCAGAATGACCATACCTCGTCACATACGACAACCGATCACCACACCAACAATCCACCCCGGTTGTGCCCTGGTTGACCGTTCCGAAGAAGATGAAGCCACCAGTCGCGCAGTTGTTGCTGCACTGTTGGTCGGCAGACGTTGTGTACGTTGCGCGATAGCTGGGCAGGGCGAGGCCGGACGAGCTTGTCCTCGAACCGGTTTGGACGTAGCAGCCAAGGTAGCCAAACAGATTACTCGTTGCAGAGGCTCCGGGCGGGCCAGTGGCACTAAGTCGCAAATGTCAGCAAAGAATAGCTAAACAAGACTCTCGCGTGGTTGGTTAGTCTAACCCTGTTGCACCTGAAGGCCTATATCGAAATCATTGAATCAGTCATTTACTTCAACCTCCGGTCGTAGAAGTGACATACCCAGTATTTCCCGTTGCACCTGGAGGTCTGTGTTGAGGTCAGCTTGCGATTACAATCCTACATTCCATTAGAGGTGTCCTACCCTGAGGGCCCTGATGGTCTGTTCCGAACTATCAGTCAAGTTTTGAGCTCACGGAAGAGGAGACACCGTACCCTGATGGGCCAGAAGGCCTGATTCAGTTGCCGTCAGCAGTGTTCCATGAACGAATGGTCCGTGATCAGACACTCACCCAACGCTGCCAGTAGCGCCAACAAGGCCTGGACGGAGATGTCAGAACATTGCTACAGTCGTACTCTCAGCCGACTTCAACTTACCGCTCTGACCTGGAAAGCCGCTAGCTCCTGTTGGCCTGCAACAAATCAGCAAAGGTTGGCGGGCGTATGATTCTTCAATGGATTTCGAAGCAGAGGTCGGATTCTTCATAACTACACAGCTGCACAAAGCCACGCAGTGCTTCCCAAATGCGGATACTGCAAAACAGCGGTTGGGGAACGGATGACCGCGATTGGACTCACCCCAAAGGTCCGCTTGGCCTATACAAGTCAATGTCAGCCAAAATTTGGACGTGTGCGAAAGACGGGACTGTGTTAAAATACGTACCCGCTCGGCCCTGTTGCGCCCACCATTCCGCTAATGCCTGTAGCCCTGTACACAACAAGTCAGCAAGCTCAGATACGTCGATTCAGTGATGAGTCTGTAAGTCAATCTTGGGTCAAGATATGTACAGCTCCAAGACTGGCGAGGTTGATCTCGACTTACCCAGAAGGACTGCGATTATGTGGTCAGCAGAAAAGCTTTCAAAAGTTGCATCTCGCTTCAAGAACTCACCCTGAAGGACCAGTGCTTCCGGCAATGCCCTGATCACCCTGGATACCTTGACTTCCTTCCAGTCCTTGACTTCCCTGTAATCCTTGACTTCCTTGGACCCCTTGGCTACCTTGAGGACCAGGGCTGCCTTGTACGCCTTGACTTCCCTGGGCGCCTTGTACTCCTTGAGGACCCGTGCTGCCTTGGATGCCTTGTATGCCAGGATCTCCCTGAATACCTTGACTGCCTGCACATTGTCAGAGTTCGGAAGATTTCAAAGATGTGACGGCAGCATTGAGATGCCAATCAACTCTTGCCAGACTCTGTCTGCTTACCTGTTGGTCCTGGAGGACCCGTAATCGTTGCGAAAGAGATGCCTTGACAGGATGACACTGAGAACAGCGAGAGTTTGATGTACAGGCATCCCTCCGGCTGCATGTTCTGCTGAAAGACAGCGTACACTGTCCCGTTCGTCAAGGCGCAGAATGAGGCCTCGCCATTGTAAAACTCAGGATTGTGCCAGCTCAACTGGTTGTCCATGGCAAGCGTGAAAGACGTCGTGATGGATCCAGGAACCGTATTCGGAGCAAACTGTGCGTAGGGAACGCCCGCAGACGTCGAGTAGGTGTAGAAAACGTTGTTGATCGTTGCGGTGAGGACACCGTTGCGGATGGTGTAGATGGGGCTTTGCGTGCAATCGTTTGTGATCGTGCCATCAGCGTTGACCTAGTAGAGGTTGACTTCGTTAGCAGCTATTGTGGATATCATACTGAGATCAGATGCTGTCGTCTTGCATCCGGTCAACGTACCCAATATGAGCCCGACTGTCGTTTGTTATGCTTCGCCGAGCCGAAAGCTACCATTACGAACGTTGAATCATCCGGTGTAGCCGTTGCTTGAGTGGCCGTCAACGTCCGACTAAGCCGACTATAGTCCGAATACGTCTTCGTCTCGGTCCAGTGATATGTCGTGATGCCATTCAGGCTAGTTGGTGCATTGTCTACCGTGACGCCGACCTCTGGGACAGGATAGAAGGTTGTGTTGTATAGTATGTCGGTGTTGATCGATACCGGTTGTTGGTGAACGATCTCGTAGGTTATGGGATGTGGGAGTTGGCAAGCTTGGCTGCAACCTCTGACACAGACAGTAGTAGACTTCCAGGCAGCAAAAAGAGTCGACGGAGACTGAGGGGAGATGCTGCCATCGTGGAACAAGTCGTTGACCGTTCGCGAGCTGTTGAGAAGAGGATAGCTAATCGGTTCGGAAGCTGTTTGTGAGGTTGAGAAGGCGGCCACTACCATGATCCGATCAACACTTACCGTTGCTACGGTGAACATTGAAGATGCTGAGAGTCTCGGACAATGGCGCCGTGAGGAACGTAGAGGTGGGCCGGGAGCGACAGCACCGATGGAATGCATTCCACGGATAGCACGGCCTCTCACTCGGCATCCTCTTTCGGATTTCTTAAGCGAATCATTTCATTCTCTCGGGTGCAATGTGTGGCCGGGAGACACGAGTCCGTAGTTGTAGTCGAAGATGGCGTCCGCTGAAGGCTATACCGTATCTTCGCGAGGGTGGCGGACCATGCAACACAGTTGCTCACAGAGCCATGAAGAGATGCAAGCAACCTCTTCTCATAACGAAGCTGCTCGCATCGTGCCTGACGTGCATGGCAAACATGGGGGAAACGGTCAGTGAGGTGTGAATGCGGTCTCAAGTAAATCCGTGTCAATTGTGTTTTCCCCGAGCATGCAACAACGTCACGTCGTGTGGGGAGTGTAGAGCTTCAGACCCCGAACAGTCTGCTCATGCATGCGCCTTCTCCTCTGCAGCCTCCTTCTCCTTCTGCCGATAGAAAGCCTTGCCACGCTTCTCAAACTCCTCCATCATCTTCGGGTCCTGCAGAATCTCCCTATGATGCTTGTCCGGCACATGGCGACCCTTCTCAACGGCCGGACGAGCGAGCACCCTCTCCTCCCAAGCCTTCAGAGTTGGGAAGTCTGACAATTCGACCTTGGCCCATCGACTGAGAGTGATCCAGCCCCAGTGCGCTATATCCGCAATGGTCATCTTGCTCCCCACAATGTAATCACTGCCGACATCTCGAAGGTGTTTGTCCAGGACGCCGTAAAGGCGTTTCACCTCGTTCTGGTAGCGTGTTGCTGCATACTCGTGATCGTCTTTTGCGTAGCTGAAGTAATGGGTGGAGGAGTCAGTAGGTGTCTCGACAGTTGGAATGAAAATGGAATGGTCTCGTGGCGAAGCAGAGGCTTGAAACCTTGGGTGTCTCTCAGAGAACCCTTCCACACTCCAGTTCGACGTACCGGATGAAGTGGTTGGCTTGACCTTGCCTAAAAGTGTGGTTAGTAATGGCTCCATCCAGTGGTCCGGTTCCAGCAAAATCACATTGGGCCGACTCCAGCATTCTGGAAGAAAAGCCAATTCGTCATCTGAGGGAGTCGTAAGTCGCAGGCGGTCTATGTCGGAAGCATCGTCAATACCTCCACATGTTCCCTCGTTCCGACAGGATAGCTGATCTTGTGCTCCGTGTCGTAGCGTGCAACAAGGTACTGCATGATGCTGCCGCTCTCGAAGACTCTGATCGTTTCGCCGTCGTCGAAGGTATCCGTGATGGCTGGGATGCGTCCGTTGGGGTTGATCTCGGCAAACCAGTCGGATTTCTGCTCGTTCACTTTCATATTAACCTCTCGGACAGTGTAGGGCAGGCCCAGTTCCTCGAGCGTGATGGATATCTTGACTCCATTTGGCGATTGTCCAGTGTAAAGGGTTATGTTCGGGCCAGGCATGGTGTAGTAAAAAGTCGGTCGGTATTCGTAGAAGTGATGTAGGAGATGTTCCAGGTTCCAGGAGTCTGTTGTCGAGTAGGGATGGCTTCTCGGATGTCTCGTGCTGTTCGATGCTCTTATAGACCGCAACACTTGAGCCAGCAACGGCGTCGGCCAACATCGAGCAGCGTCCTCCGTCCGCCAACAGGTTCACCGACTCTTTGCTCTTGCCGAGGATGTGCCGCTACGTGCGGGAAACCGTCTAGACTACCGGCCCTCGATATCTTCTCCAAAATGATGGAAGAGCAGACGAAGGTTGCACGGCTGCCAGAACATTTGTATGCAGTGCTGCACCGCGAGAAACCAGGTCTGAAACGTAGTAGTGAAGAACAACATGGCTTTCAAACATCCACGATTTTAAAGATCGCGTCTAAAGCACACCACCTAAAACACGTCAGTACAACGGCAATATTGCACAGCAAGACCACCCACCTCCATCGATAGTAATCAAGCTCCCATTCGCATAGTCCGCCCGCAACTGCCTCAAGCATCAGCAGACAGTCCAAACAGCAGGATACCAATTAAGACTTACACAGTACAGATACGCCTCCGCAATCTACAAATCGGTCAGCACGATCCCTCCACAACAGAGCTAGGAATAACATACATCCTCAGGCGTAGCAACAAACCCAACGGGCAGCTTTCCCGCGCTCTTCTCAAACGTCTCGTCCTGCTGCTCCTTCGACTGCCCCATCTTGTCCCACAGCTCCGTCTTGACCACTCCTGGAACGATACCTGGTGGCCGTCAGCCTCAAATACTCTCACTTACTTGCGAGGAGAAGCAGCGACGTACAGTTGACCCTAATCTTCTTCGGCGTCAGCTCGTTCGCTAGTCCCTGCGTCATGGTGAAGAGTCCAGCATTGAGAGACCCTCCAATCGAAGCGGTGGTGCCGGGTTTCATAGCTCCCGTGCCGGAGGTGAGGGTCAAAGAGCCGCCGGGGGTGATGATGTCGTACATTGAGACGACTGGAGCGGAGAGCGAGTCAGCAGGTCTGACGCTGCCGTTGAAAGAGGCAGTAGCTGCGCCTTACTCTTCCCAGTCATCGCAGCGCCCCAGAACTTCACGCCAAAGTAATACTTCGCCTCTTCCAGATCCGCGACAGCGATGGCTCCGCGGATGATCTTGTCCACGGAAGAGTAGATCAGATGGTCCACAGGAGCCAGACTCTTGATCGTCTCCGTGTAGTTCTCCTCGTTCCGCACGTCTGCTACCTTCCCGGATACATTCGGATGATCGATCTTCTTGAGCACATCGTCCATCTTCTCCTGCGAGGATGAGACAATGGTGACGTGCGCGCCGTGTTCGAGCAAGGCGAGTGCTGCGCCATTGCCGACTGGGATGGGGATGTTCGTTGAGCATTATTGATGAGATACGTGAACGCATGGTACACTTACTACCTGATGTCCCTCCCACTACGACGACCTTCTTGCCCACCAGCTTATCTTTAGAGTTCGGCATGGCTTGAATCGTATTCTTCGAATCCGGCCGATTTTATGATGTATCATCCTGAGTCTCCTAGGTGCCAGCTCAATGAATGCTTGCTCCGAGCCCCGCAGCTCTCTATCAACACCATGCCGAGCTCGGAGACGTCGCGATCTAGCATGAGTTGAGCGTTGCGCAGTCCAGTATCACTATCCCGCTGAGTCAGTTGGCCATGGGTCGTGGTCCCACTTCCCTCGCACCAGTTCTTCCGCCTCAAGACCAGAATCCCACAGATAATCGTCTGGGTGAGCGATTCCAAGCTCTCGCGCTCCATCAACAATATCCAAGAGCCCACCCTGGGCTTGTTCTGACGAGACCAATTGCTTCTCCAATCGCGAACGCTCCTTCCACCCATCATCCTCATCTCCACCAGGCACTATCCCATCCAACACAGCCTTGTCCTCGCAAAGCCCATTTCGCCGACAAAACCGCAACCAAGCCGACCAATTCCTATCCCGAACCAACACGCTCGCATTCCCAATCACAATCAACCCCTCCTTCGCCCGCGTCAAAGCGACATTGAACCTCTTCGGCTCATGGAGAATGCCCAGACCCCTCGCAACGTCTTGGTCAATGAACCGGTCACGAGTGCGGGTAGTGCATATAATCACCAGTCTGGACTCCAAGCCCTGGAAAGCCTCCAGCGGACCGATGTTCAGCCCGGGCAGTGAAAAGTCCGCCCTGGCGACTTTCCGCAAGACCTTGACTTGCGCTTGGAAAGGAGACATGATGCAGACTTCGCTCGGTTGGAGCAGGCCAGCTTGGACGAAAGAGCTGGCGTACTCGCAGGCGATGAAGGCTTCTTTGACGTTGTACCATCCGCCTCCGTCCTGTTCTAGCTCATCGGCAGCGGTGTTGCTGACGAAGAGAACTGGCCAGCCGCGACATTGCCAGCGTGGCCAGGAGAGGAGAGAGTCCGTGTTAGTCGCCTCCGGCTCCAGTGTATCGTGGTAGAAGAGCGAAGAAGGCATTGCTAGTATAGCTGGATGCGACCTGTAGTTCCGGATGAGGTCGGTAAAGGCGGGTCGCAGAATTGGAAGCATGTCTTGCGTCAGCGGCCGTACACTACCGCCACTCCCTTTTGATCGCGCAAGTGGGTGCTGGCAGTAGAACGGCCTGTCCAGTAAGCGCTCGAATAGTGATGTCTGGATCTCTGGTGCTTTTAAAGCAGTTCTCGGTCCGAGCTGATGCTGGTCGCCTACACGAAGACGGATAATAGGTTAGCGAATGAACAAGCTATGCGAGAGGGTTGTCAATCAGTCTCATACCCGCCATAACGAAAAGCGGCCAATCTTCTTCTCGAACGGCATCGGAGCTAGGTGGCGCTACCACGCTCAAAGGCAGCAAAGCTTCGGGCTCGATGGCTTGGGCAGCTTCGTCCACGAGTAGCCCAGACCAGTGCAATCTTGGCTTGTACGGAGCTTCTTTCGGGGTGCATAGTACTGTAGAGGTTCGTCTCCAGCTCATACAAATCCCTGTTGCTCACACGTGCTTGCAGTAGCATGTTAGCATCGCGGCAGGTAATGACCACTGCTTTGGCTTTCATCAGCTGTGCGAAGCTCGGCAGTGAGAATATGCCGTCCTCGATGTGGCAATACGGCAGTATTGTGTTGGACACCTCTGGAAAGCTTCGCGAGGAAGCGTTGACTCGGAGAAGCTGGGGTGGATTCATGTGCATGCTCAGTCGTCTCACCAATGTGTCCGCTGCTGGGTCCGATGGCGCACAAAGCAGTATATGCGCTCCGTTGTCCCGTTGGAGAAGCTGCAAAGCCATCTCAACAACAGTCTTCGTCTTGCCAGTACCCGGCGGTCCCGATACAATGAACGGTACGGGTCCATACCGTCCACCAAGAACTGTGTCGATTGCTTTCGATTGTTCGTAGTTCAGGAGTGGGTCAGGAAATTCCAGATCAACGCTTCTCCTGTTCAGAGATTTCTGATAATAGCCATCTGCGGCCTCAGGAAAAAGCATTGATCTCATCCAGTTGGAGAAGGTGTCCGGGTAAAGCGCGTCCGAGACCTTGGTGACTGCCGTAAACTGAGCCCGCAAACGCGTTGACTGTGGCATAAAGCGCACGTTGAATAGCATGCTCCCGAAGATAAGGCCGTCAATGCGCAGTCGGAGGGTCTCCTCGCGCCTGTCAATGCCCCATACAATACTATTGTGCTGGGTATCGAAATAGCGTGGATCCGGAATCGGTCTGCCCTGCAGCTGGGGGCAATTGATTACTTCCCAATTGTGATCAAAGCGGAGTTGGCGCAACTGTACCACGTCGCCAACTTCGATGCGAATGCTCGACTCGCGAAGCCCGGGGACGTGGAGGAGGAACATGAAAGGCCTGGAGTCATGGGAGTCCCAGACGATTGGTACACGGTAAAGCGCATGATCGTCGCACTCTTTCTGTAGCGACTGTCCTTCATAAAGCAGCGCAGCATGGAAGTGCTGATGGTATGATCTCGAGCCAAGTGACTGTGGAAAGAGGTCTCTCGCTCCCGTCGACTCGTTTTGCGGGTTCGGAGAAGCGTAATTCGTGTCGAGATTCGCCTCAGGAGCATCGTGACCAAAGAGCGAAGGTGACTGGTGATGGATAAAACTCGATCCAGCGAATGTTCGAACATAGTCGTGGTAATTGATGCTCTGGGGAGGGGCGCTCCAAATCACATTAGCAGGATCGAGATTGACCTGCCGTAGGCGCTGTGGAACGAACGGTCGAGCGTAGACATCCAGGGTGGAAGACAAGTTCGAGGGGGGTGGCGGCGGGTGAGCTTGGTCATGCGGGGAGTTCTCCATCATGATATCCTGCCGCGGTGATGATAGCGATATGGATAGTCATTCTTGGTCAATCACCAGACGGAGAAGATGGGTGGTCTGCGAAAAGGAAGAACTTGAGGCCTGAGTTGGATGTACTTGCCGCTAACATGCGTCTACCCGCTGATTCGCGTTGGCCGTGAGAACGCACGGGATTTACTTTGAGGTAGTACTTCTGTTTGCTCGCTGAGACTGTTCTAATAACGAGATGGTGGGTGACGTTTGCATATGTTGTCTTGTTGGAGAAGGAGATGTGGTTTCAGAGGACACTCCCGACCCGAAGGAGGCTAGCACCAACCTTAAAATGCAGGTCCGAGCTGGAGAGGTCTGGGGAGCGAGAATATTTCCTGGCCGCTCAGTCACAACATACAACACCCTCTCCTTACTACATACCACTCCGACCACACATCACACATACACAATGGCCTCCAAAAACGCCAGCCGAGCTCTGCGCAGCTCATTGAGGCAACTCAGCGCTCCGCGCATCCAGCAGAGGACATTCGCTGCCGCTGTCAGCGCTGCCCGTCCAGCATGGCAGAAGGCAGCGACTCCGGCTTTCGTGCAGCAGAGCAGAGGCATGAAGACGGTGGACTTTGCAGGAGACAAGGAGGTGGTATACGGTAGGACATTGAAGATATAGTCCTTGAGATTCGGCTACTGACCTTCCTCAGAGCGCGATGACTGGCCTCGTGACAAGCTACTCGTAAGTCAATCGCACGAACGCGACCTCTAACGGCGGTGTATACTGATTGCATTGCACCAGGACTACTTCAAAAACGACACGCTCGCACTCATCGGCTACGGCTCGCAAGGACACGGCCAGGGCTTGAACTTACGCGACAACGGTCTGAACGTGATCATTGGCGTGCGGAAGGACGGACAGAGCTGGAAGGAGGCGCAACAAGATGGATGGGTGCCTGGCAAGAACCTGTTCGATGTCGACGAGGCGATCGGAAAGGGTACCATCATCATGAACCTGCTCAGTGATGCCGCGCAGAGCAGCACGTGGCCGCACATCAAGCCTCAGCTCACCAAAGGGAAGGTATGTGCTGCTAAGGGTTGGGTTATGCGTTCTGCTTGAAGCTGACATACTTTGCAGACCCTCTACTTCTCCCACGGCTTCTCCCCAGTCTTCAAAGACCAGACCAACGTCGACGTGCCCAACGACATCGATGTCATCCTCGTCGCACCCAAGGGCTCTGGCCGCACGGTCCGCACGCTCTTCCGCGAGGGCCGGGGTATCAACAGCAGTGTGGCCGTCTTCCAGGACGTCACCGGCAAGGCAGAAGAGAAGGCCATTGCTCTGGGTGTCGCCGTCGGCTCCGGCTACCTCTACAAGACGACCTTCGAGAAGGAAGTCTACTCCGACCTGTACGGCGAGCGCGGCTGCTTGATGGGCGGCATCCACGGCATGTTCCTCGCCCAGTACGAGGTCCTGCGCGAGCGCGGCCACTCTCCCAGCGAAGCCTTCAACGAGACCGTCGAGGAGGCCACCCAGTCCCTCTACCCGCTCATCGGCCAGAACGGCATGGACTACATGTACGCCGCCTGCTCCACCACCGCCCGTCGCGGCGCCATCGATTGGTCCGCGCGCTTCAAGGAGAACCTCAAGCCGCTGTTCCAGGAGCTGTACGAGAGCGTGAAGACGGGCAAGGAGACGCAGCGCGCCATGGAGTACGGCAGCCGCTCGGACTACAGGCAGGCGTTTGAGAAGGAGCTGGAGGAGATCCGGGGCATGGAGATCTGGCGCGCTGGCAAGGCGGTGCGGAGCCTGAGGCCCGAGAACAACTAGAGAAGGGAGCGTTCGTCGACCGGCTTGTTGTTGTTGCGGAGCGAGGCGTCTGTCTCTTTCTTCTCATTGGCGGGTTGCTCTCCGGTATCCTTGTCTTGGGCTGCTAGGTGGGCAGGGTATCTAGCCAATGTGTCACTGTATTCAAGATGAAAAGTTGATCGAACCGGAACGTCTTCCTCGCCTTCCTCGTTTTGTGGAGGATGGTTCCCGTTCCCGGCTGCATCTGCATGCATCCAAGTTGATCGACATGGTCTCGAACGTCCGCTGACAGCAGATTGCTAGCGTGACATGTTCGACCAGAATATCAAACCTAGAGTCGCTGGGGTATGTGCCTCCATTCGAACCGTAGAGTCCAACATAAGAAAAAGGTCACAATCGATAGTCCTACCGGCGAACGAGTGCAGCAGCCTAACACCTTCACTACTACACCTCATCCCCCCAACGAAACGTCAGCCAAATCTCCCGTCGTCTCATCAGTACCAAGTATCTGGGCCTTGCCGCCGCGGACACGGCTCTTCCACCGCAGCGGAGCCCCCTCCGGCTCAAATTGCATCAGACTACTTTAATGTGACTCCAGCTGCTGGTCATCCTGGTCTGCGGGCTGCATGGTGTTTGGACGTGGCTCCGGCGTTTTCCACTGGGCTGGGGCTGGATTGCGAGGCACGCGAAGCGAATGCTGCGTTGCGCATTTCTGCGGTCGCCTGTCGGAGCGGGCGCACTTGCGCGGTGTCCGTGGTGACTAGTGTGTTGTTGTGCGACAGGAGAAGTGCTGCTTGCGCCGGGTCTCGCCTGGGAGCGCTTGACGTGAAGGTGCAGTGGCAAGTATGGTGGGATTATGGCCGTTCAGTCGACGTGAGCTGGAGCCGACGACGAATACCGGCCGAGGACGAGAAATAGCAATGGCACGGCAGACAAGAATGTGGGAGAGAGTGCGTGTACAGGGGAAGAGGACCAGAAAGATGGACGGGGGATCAGAAGCGCAGCATACCGCATGTTAGCAACTAGTGGTCATGCCCACAAACAGTCCGCCAGTTCCCGCCCTTGCACCTTTGCTTAACCCTCGTCCGGGCGCATTGCGTGCGACATGCCCGACGTCCTCCCTATGACACCACCACTCCGTCCTTCCTCGAACAACGAGCCATTCTGTGAGGCCGCCGCGATTGCAAACCCCCTTTTCTGCTGCGAAGTGAATGGGGTATCTTGGTCCGACTGGTCCGCACAGTCTGCGCTCAGGCTGTGTGAAAAGAAGCCGATCATGCTCGCCGTATTGATGATCCACTTGGTCCTCCCAGCAAGATCTTGCAGAAGCCTAGAAATCTGTTCCTGTCGTGGTGTACCAGCACTTGCGCACCTCTTCAAGCCGTCTCAGCCAGACGGTAAGCCAGGACCGAGACCCAACCCAGACGAGGCGGAGGCACCCGATACGTTCGAGTCGGCACTGCCGGCGCTGCCGGCGCTGCCATCGGACGACATGGACGGGACTCGACGTGGAGCTGTTGGCGGTGCGGGTCCCGTGTTGCCCTCCGTTGAACCAGTGGTGTCGAGCATGGAGCGGATCGAAGGCAAGCGTTGCTGGTGGCTCATGCCCGGCGAAGCAGCTTGACTCAACGGCGACGTCGCGATAGAATGGCCGTCCTGTCGCGCGTGTCGGATGACTCGCAGGATATTGTCGAAGCCGCTGCTGCGAATCTGGTGAAAGACGTCCGTGGCCTCTGGTTCCTCCGCGTCCCGTAGGTAAGTCAAGAGTTCCGTCAGATCGTCCTTGTCGCTCTCGACATCTTTCTTTCGCCGCCGGAGCGCGGACCAGCGGCTCTCGCCTTCTTGAGCCTCGTAGGTACAGTGAGTCTTGAGCGCAGAGCACCGGGAACACACCGGTCTGCAGGTGAGAGGGTCAGTCGATGTTGTCTCGTTCGAGTCACGCGCTCGGAGCTTACCGGTGTCCATCGCACTGTCGACTGTGTCAGTGGATGATGGCTGACAGCAAGAGCAATATACGCACCTTTGATTTCCGTCTTCGGCAGGCTGAACACGCACTTTCGATGAGAGTTCGCTTTGGTTTGGATCCAGGGTTTGGAGGCTGTTGTTGCGGATTCTGACCTGAAGCGCCTCCAGAGGAATCCCCTGCTCCCGCCGGCGCGAGTAGGATGTGCTGAGACGAGCTCATATCACGTGGTGGGAAGTGAGGAGTAACCAGACTTTGAACGGACGAAGTATGAAGTCCAGCAAAAGTTCTGGTATGCAGATTCGAAAGTGGCAAAAGGTGTTCGCCAGTACTTGTGGGACCCGTCGCAATGCCAGCAAACAAGCCAAGGGTCTCTCACATGACTTTTGCATTATATATCAGTAATGTCAACCGACTTCGAAGCCCCCGGCGATGGAACGAAGCCCGCCACCGGCAGACGATGAGGACAGAGGTTTACGTCGATATGACATACGGCGTGCGTCGGGAATACTGTCCCGTGCTTTTTTGGTGCCAGATTTGCGTAAGCTTTATCTTTGCTGCGTTCCCTTCTGCAGCCTTGCCACTGCTGGAAGCTTCTGCCTTTGGTCCACCGTCCTGCTGTGGCGGCGGCGGCACCTTCAGGTTTGGCGCCGGTGGTGGTTTGGGCACTGCTGAAATGGTCGATGATGACGATCCCGAAGACGTAGCCCGAAGCATCATATCCAAAGCGGGATCCAGGAGGTCTTTCCCGGTGATGGCCTCTGATGAGACGCACATTAGTCAAACAACTCTCACTTCCTCGGTACTAGTACTCACGAAGTGTAGAGATGAACAAGAAGATCGCGTCGATCATGTCATCCCAACTGTGTCGGTCACAGAAAGCGAGTGAGGGCCATTGTTGGGATGCTGCTGCGTAGGGCGCCAGATGGCATATGAGACAGGCATCCACGGCGGAGGACATGGCTGTTTCGGCGTCGAGAGGGTGGTTCGAGGTAGGTAACACTGGTATGGTAGTCTTTGGGCTGGGTTTGGGGAGAGAGAAAGGCCTAGTGATATAGGTGGTAGAAGAAAGGAATAAACATCTTCTAGAGCAACCACTTGCCTTTCTTCTCATTCAGGCGTCAAAGATCCTCTGACCTTTCACTGTGTGAGCAAGCTTGCTCAATCTTGCGTGACTGAAGAACCACAAACGCTACTCAACAATGCTCCCATCTTCTGCGCCCTTCTTCTCGTTGCCTGCTCCGTCTTCACTCTTCTCTAACCTCATACTCATCCACCACTGTCTCAGCCTCCTCTTCCGCCTCTTCATCTCCTTGCTCCGTTCCCTGCGCAAGAGCTTGCTGTGACTGCGCAAGCGTCACACCCGCCGTTCCTTCCGTCGCCTCTCTTGCTCGCCCCTTTCCTTTGCGTCTCTTACCGTCTCCGGCCGGTGTGCTAGCCTCCTCGCCTAGGTTGGCCTTCCTCAATGCAATCATCCACTCTCTCATCTTCGCGAGAGACTCGCTCAGCCCAGGCAGCTGCGGCAAGATCTCGTCTGCTGGGAAGATGTCTAGGCAAATTCTTCGCATGCTGTCGTTCGCGTAGTGCACACTCAACCGCGCCACGTCGAGATGAGCCATCGTGCGAGCAACCTCGTAGCTTGTCATCATGAGGCCAGGGAGATGTTCTTCTGCCTGATGAGCTGGGGAAGCATCTTGGTCGCTCAGAACATCTTCAGTTGTCGATCTAGACGGCACATCCGGCTGGCGTGGCTCTGCATTCGAGGAGGACACTGGTGCTGTTGTAGATGCTGCTCCGGGAACGGACGATCCAGTTTGTGTGGAAGTAGCAGCTGCGATGTTCTGGTTCACTATTGATTCTTGAGAAGATTATGTCAGTTCAGCTGCAGAGATTCGGTGATTTTCTAATACTTACTAATGACTGTGGACACGGCGGTATAGAAACTGGCAATCTCAGCATTGTTGTGGCGACCGCAGTGAGTGAACGTGGGTGGCAACCCAGTGAGAACGGCAGTGGCCTGGGCGTTGCAAAGACTGCAGCCTTGTTTGAACGAAGGCCCTGGCATATCTGCGTCTGCGATATGGCGAAGATGAGGAGATTTTGGATGGTTCTGCTGCCAGTTAAATAGTAGAAACGACAAAGAGAGCGTCGTGGAGGCAGCAAGATCGATCAGGAACATCTGGAATCATTACCTACCTTTCCCCCAACCTTGTCATGGGAGCATCTCCGTTCGCTGCTGTGTCTGAAGCCTTCTGCGGGTTCCAGAACTAAGGATCGAACAAGACAAACGCTATCCGAATAATGCTCGCAAACTAATGCAAAGGGTATCGAAAGACCGCGCAAAAGCAAGAACAACGCTGCCTCCTTGAACCAGGCGCCACGTCAAACAATGCACCGCACAAAGCTACTGTATCCTCTCAAGCCTTCGACCACTTAGTTCCCTGCGTGATCGGCGGCATCTGGCCGACCATATAGTCTTTGCCTTTGAACTGGCTAACGAAAAAGGCAGGCATGCTCCAGCCATTGAACGCACCCACGCCAGTCTTCTTCCCCACAGGCACGAGCTGCGTTTCTTGGTTGCCCATTTTGTACTGTCTCTCGGCCACAGTGCCTGCTTTGGCCTCCGCGAGCAAGTCGTGGGACATATTAGCGCCGAAGACGGGTATGGTGTCGAAGAGGTTCATGACACCACCTTTGTTGACGCCGGCAACGTCGCCAACGGCGTAGACATGTGGGCCGGCTTCGTCCACGCGCATGGTCTTGGCGTTGGCTTTGACGTAGCCTTTGGAGGTCTTGAGGCTCTCCGGTAGGAAGCCCGTGTTCGGCGTGACGCCCACGGCTGGGATGTAGACGTCTACTGACATAGTCTCGCCGTTGTCGAGCTTGACGTTCGCCTTGCCATCGGGGCCCTCTTCGGATCCCAGGACTCTGACCCCATACACCACCTTCACGCCAGCTTTCTCAAGCTGCTTCTGAGCCTTGTCGGCAAGGCTCTTCCGCAGAACGTCGAAGAGCTTGTCGTTGCTGGTGATTAGTGTGACTTTCGCCTTGCCACTGAGGTACGATCCCAGCTCTCCGGCAATCTCCACGCCCAACGGGCCTCCGCCGCCCACAACAACCTCTTTGGCCGTTGCGAGCTTCTCATTCATGGCATCGAGAGCTTTCTGTGAGACAGTATGGTCGCCATGGTAGGTAGTGAGAGGCGTTGGCGACTTGATTCCGGTGCCAATGACGAGCGCATAGTAACTCAAAGTCTCCTCGCCACCCTCAGCCTTCTGCATAGTAACGATCCGCGCGCTGTTGTCGACATTGGTAATGGTGCCTTGGTGGAAAACAATGGAATCCTTGAATTCCGAGTACTGCGAGAAACCATCCATGATGGGCGCAAAGTACTGGCTGTGCTTCATATCCTTGACGGAGACGATGGCCCGAGGGGCTCCATGGTGCCACCAGAAGTGCGTCGACTGATCCACGAGATGGAGGATGTATTTCTCGCTCGAGCCTTTGAGCTTTGGCAGGATGTGTCGGACTGTGTAGTGGGCCGCGCTGAGTCCACCAAAGGAGGCACCGAGGACGACGATGTTCCTGGTGTCAGACATTATAGCGTGAGGGATGATGTAGCCGGTATGTCGTGGGTTGCAGGAGAAAAGGCCGTAGATGGGGAAGGGATGTGACGAATGCGGCGAGTATTATATGATGAACGCGGAACGTTATAAACGAGTGTGCGCAGTATGCAAGTAAATTAACGAGCCGTTACTAATGTACTCCGGTGGCTTGAAGAGATGGATGACAAGATGAAATCCGCGATTGCGAGTGAGATTGAGATTGAAGCCGACGGTTCCCCATCGCTGCACGGCCGCAAGCCACCAGGCAAAGAAGGAATGGCTGCTTTAGGATGCCGGGATCTCATTGGATGGAAGCAAAACCCTTCAAGATGACTGTTACGACCACGGCCAAAACACGGCCGAAACCATCAGCTGTTCGACAAGTTCACGAACTTCACGCACTTCCTTGGGTCGACTGGGAGACTGTACAGACGTCTTGGGCCCTCTTTCGACGAACCCACCTATTGTCGGCCAAATAGTTACACCAGAGTGACCAGACGAAACCCCGAATGCCCGGTGTGTAGACGGCACGATGGCTGACCGCCCCGGGCATCTGGATACCAGACAATCAAATTCTGCTCTAACGGCAGCACAGACAATGGAGCTCCAAGACACTCGTGAGATCGATGAGCGCGAGGAGGAACAACCACAACCCACCCTCCCACCAACAGACACAGGCCACCAAGCCTACCTCCTCCTCGCCGGCTGCTTCATCATCAACGTACTCATCTGGGGCTTCGCCTTTTCCTTCGGCGTCCTGCAAGAATACTACACTAGCCATGAGCCGTTCGCCTCTCAACGCGCCGGCATTGCGACCATCGGCACCGTCGCGACAGGACTCATGTACCTGCTTATGCCGATCTACTTCTCCGCCTTGCAGAGATGGCCGCGTCTGAAGCGGATTAGTACTTGGGCGAGCCTGCCGATTGTCGCTGGATCTTTGGTGGGAGCGTCGTTCGCGCAGACGGTTGGGCAGCTGATCGCGACTCAGGGCGTGCTGTTCGCCATCGGTGGGAATCTTCTGTTTGCGCCGACCGTGACGTATCTTGATGAGTGGTTTTTAAGGCGGAAGGGGTTGGCTATTGGGATTATGTGGTAGGCTTGAAGCATTCGATTCCATGCAAGTTTATGCTGATTATTTGAAGGGCTGGCGATGGAGCTGGTGGTGTCGTAATGCCTTTAGTATTGCAGGAACTGCTCGCCCGATACGGCTTCAGGACAACGCTACGAGCAGTGGCAGTGGCCATGGTGGTGTTGATGGCTCCTCTGCTGGCTTTTGTCAAACCGCGGCTGCCCATACCAGCAGCATCGGCCCAGCGTCGGATCGATGTGTCGTTCCTCCGCTCTCCACTGTTCTGGGTACTGCAAACGTTCAACGTCGTTCAAGGCACCGGCTACTTCCTGCCATCGAACTATCTGCCCACCTATGCGCAGTCGCTCGGCCTCAGCAGTCGCTTGGGCTCACTGACATTGGTACTGGTCAACCTCGCAGCGATGCTTGGTTGTATCTTAGTCGGCGCTCTTGTAGACCGGATGGAAATCACCAAAGTCCTGGTGGGAATCAGCATCGCTGCCACAACCTCGATCTTACTAGTCTGGGGTTTCTCGAATTCCTTCGCAGTCCTCTCCATCTTCGCCTTGCTATATGGTGCAAGTGCAGGCGCCTACTCTACGGCCTGGACTGGCATGATTAAGGATATCAGGAGAGGGAGTATGACCGCCGATGCAAACGTGATCTTTGGCTTCCTGGCAGCTGGACGTGGGCTAGGCGCGACCGTCTCTGGTCCACTCAGCGAAGCGCTGATCGCAGGTGGCACCGCATTGCATGATGATGATCGATTCGCCTACGGGAGTGAGTACGGCACGCTGATAATATTCTCTGGCTGTACGGCTTTGGTGGGGGGTTTCAGCTGGGTTGTACGAAGGCTTGGGTTGATTTGAAATGGTATCGACTCGCGAGGAAGCCAGGTAGGCCACTTGTCGTTATGAATGGTTGAGTAGAATGAGCAAGAAGTTATACTAGCCTCTGTTCCGCCCGCCTGATGACCTCTTCGTACACTGTCCACGTCAATGCGCTGCTGATAGCCTTTCGGCCGATCCGCAGGCTCAACCCGTTGAACATGCTTCGGAAGCCCTCATCATGCAGCATGATCTTCGCCGCCTGGACCATATTCCTGTACTTCTCCGGCGCGATTTGAATCCGCGTCTTGATGGCGTCAAAGGGGTTCGTCATCGTCGTGGCCGACACAGCTGCTAGCACACCAGACACAAAGTTGATACCAGCCGAGCCCGACATCGTGCTCATGTCTGACCCAGACGAGAGCTTCCCCAGCTGTGCCTTGCCTTGCTCGTATATGAGGACATAGAGACCAGCATACGGAGCATCGCGGACTGCTGTCACGCCAAAGCCGGCAAAGAAGCCTCTCGCTCCCTCCTGTGCCATTATGCCTCTCGCCGCGCCGGCGAGCGAAGTATAGTTGTAGTGTGACGACTCATAGCGGACCTTCAGTACGGTCACTGGGTTCACGATCAACCCTGCAGCGACTCTTGCCAGCGCCCCTGTCGTCAAGTTTGCAACATTTCCGAGCTTTGGTAGCGCTGATGAAGAGCCATTCTTCGACTTGACTTCCTCCCCAGCTACTACGGGTATCGCAGGCAGCTTTGTCGCGAACTGCCTCATCTGATTGAGCATGCCAAAGTACAAGGCTGATCCGAAGCCAGTCCGGATGACTGATGGCGTCGTTCCACGCCACAGCTGGCGGACTGGGTTTGGTGCTCGTAGGACATCTCGAAGCGCTTGGGTCAAGGTCGAGGCGCTGGACTGCTGGACTCGGGTCTTCAGGAGGTCGGCGGGTTGTAGAAGGGCTGCGCTGATGACACCGGAACCCAGGCCAGCGGCAAAGTGGAAGGCTGTACATCTGCGTCAGGAATGAAGGTCATGGTCAAGTTTGAGGAGGACTCACCAGCAGACGACTGGCGCTTCTGGACTCCATCGGACATTGCAGAAGCTTCACCGGCTCATGCTTGTTAAGATGATGTCGGATACTTCATTGCGAGCTTGTCATATATCAAACTGGTCACCCCACTCTCTTCACACTGTCGCGTCGGGAGAAATCGCGTCGAGAGATGAAGTCATACAAAATTTCGTCATGCCTCAGGCATATTGCCAGAAGATCGCCGTAAGGTTCCCGTTTCGAAGATAGAAAGGATCGCGTTTCACATTGATCAAGATGCTCATCGCGCAGACCCACGGAGAATTTCTGGAGATGAAGGACTGGGTGTTCGAGACTGCGGCCTTGACAACGTCTCATCAATACATATATCAGACTCTCCCGCCATTCCACGGTAAGAACATTGCTCTGGTCTCTATACCTTTCTGTCATTCACTTCAGTCACTCTTTCAAATACTTGCAAAATGTATTCCTTCGCTGCAACAGCGCTCTTAGCCCTGGCGGCCACAGTGAGCGCCATCCCCGTCTCGCAGGTCGAGCGTCGCCAGTCCTATCCTGCACCCAAGGACATGTGCGGAGCGCCCAACGAGTCCCTGCTGATCCCCGGCACGCCCTGGATCGTCTTCAGCATGAATTACAACTACCAGCAAATCCACGGCAGCATTTGCACGGGCTTTAACGGGGTGAAGACCGTGGACGGTGTCCAGAAATGCAAATGGACCAGCGACTGGGACATGGAGCCGGCCGACAATCCGGACACGGTCAAGGGCTACAGCTTCGTCGGTTTGACGCAGAACTTGGAGAACAGGATCTCCGACATCAAGTCCATTCCAGCAGACTACCACTGGATCAGGAAGAAGGCGACGCCAGACTCCAAGTACAAGGGTATGCGGGGTTTCCCGTCGTGAAGAGGCATCGCGCTGATCGGTGATGCTAGGCAACGTGGTCTTCGACTTCATGACGTCCGACACCAAGGGCGACAGCACCAGCAGCCACGCCCAGGAGCACATGCTCTGGCTCCGCTACGAAGGCGGCCAGTTGCCGATCGGCTGGGTATTTCCTTCCGTGATACCTTCCGCCGACAAGCATTTGCTAACGTCACGCATAGGTGGATGGTCCAATCGCCACCATCAACAACCTCTACGGCAGGACCTGGGACCTCTACCGCGGCCTCAACGAGGACACCGGCATCATGGTCAGCTCTCTCCTCGTGAGGGAGAACCAGCAGTTCCACGGCCACTTCAAAGGAGACATCAAGGACTGGTTGGTTGCGCTGTCCAAGCAGGGTCTCTACACCCAGAGCACATATGTCAACGTTGGCAATGCCGGAATGGAGCCTTTCTACGGCATGGTTTCTTTTACGAACAGCGTCGCTCTGTCGATCAACTTGTAGTAGACTGTGTGTTCGTACACGCTGGATGGGGATGGTTTCGTTCTTGTATACAATTTGGAGAGACGGGTATGCTACTTCCGAAGTCCGCTCAGCTTTTGATTGAGGTGTATTGACATTTGATATTGCATCACAGTAGGTGCTTTGAGTTGTCGCGTTCCTGGGATGCAGCTGACAGGAGCACCCTCCCCCAAGCTTGTGTCTGCCCCTTTCCCTGTATGGCTCACATCTCATTCGTCTTCCAGCGATTCGACGGTCTCTCTCGCATCCTGCTTTCGATGCAGTAAGTCGTGTCACAGATCCTCTTCACTCCGGCTCCCTTCACTTCCACATCCCAGCCCTAGCATCCATTCCGACGCTCTCTCCAGCCTCAGTTCCTGTCACTCCCCGCCTGGACCCTCTGATTATCTTCTTCACCTCGCTCGGGTGGATCCAGTTCATGATGGCCATGGCGGCGAACATTAACAGCGCGTCGAAGAGGTAAATGAAGACCTCGTGCGTCATGGTGTAGCCGTCGTACCCCTGCTGATACTCGACGATGCGCACGATCGACCGAATCAAGATGAGGATGCTGACCGCATACAGACTCATCAAGTGCTTCCGCCACGGCACATTCTTGCTCGCAGTGTTCGGGGCACGAGCAAGCCTCGCCTGGAAGATCGCTGCCGTGACCACGAAGAAGCCGAAGAATAGCAGCTGAAGTCCCAGGCCGCCCAACACTAGATTCTTCCCCATGGAGATCTGGTCGCTGTCATCACTGACGAGGAAGCCGGCTCCGGAGCATTGCATCAGGAACGAAAGCACATCGCCGCCCACGAAGATCTTAGTCATCCATGTCCGGCGGATGAAAAGTGCGTGGTCTCCCTCCGACATCATCACAACTCGGCCCAGGTGCATGTACACGGAAGCGGCGAACAGAGCTGGGGCGAGGAGGAGCAAGACCGACTGGATGATGTACGGGATCTTCGTGTAGGGGCCGGGATTCTCTCCTGCAGAGAGTGCACGTCCGACGTATCCGACGGTTTCGACTAGCTTGCGGTCAGAATAGTGGTGATTGCTTCAAAGCAACTCGACTTACAGATGCCACCGATGAGGAATGGAATCATGAACCAGGTCCGCGAACGCAATAGCTGCCAGAAATGCGTTGCTGTGGTGGCTCCGAAGAGGATGATGAAGATGACGGCAGCCGCCATTGAAGGGTGATAGTAGTAGAAGACGAAGTCCAATCCATCTCCATCGTCGTTGGCAGCGCGAGGGAACAGCATCTTGAAGTTCGCCGCCGCGGTTGTTGGTCGATCAAATTGGAGACGAAAGTGTTTGTTGATTGGGTCGAAGGAAGAACGTCGTCCGATGGTCAAGGCGGTTCGACTGGACTGAAGACGAGTTGTGTTGTTTTGAAACAAGCATGGCGATGGTGGCACGACCAGTGCCTTATACGCTCTGAGAAGGGTTGAAGGCCCTCGCAATACATCGCAACGCATCTCGAACTTAGTCGCCTTGCTCGGTTTATGCGAGGCTCTCTCATTGGCTGGAGCCATTGCTGATCCACCTTTTGCTACCACTGGACCCAAATGCGCCTCGATCTGGATCTCTCTTCCTTCATTTACCGGGCTCCTTGCCAAAACAAGTGGCAGTGGCAGTCTCGCAGCTCTCGCATTCCACTGCTACACGGACCCTTTCTCCGCGAATCGAATGAATCTCATGCTGGTGTAGTGCCCGGCGTTCCAGCCAGGTAACGGTCGCCTTCTCGGAGAACGATGCCTCGGCGCGGTGTCAAGAAGAGCCATACCGGCTGTGACCAGTGCAAGCAGAGGAAGGTCAAGGTAGGCAACTCAAAAAGCTTCTCCAAGATCCATGGCTGATTCAAGCCTACCAGTGCAACGAGGAGGCACCCTGCGGCAATTGCTTAAGGCGAGAAGAAGCATGCAGTCTAGCAGCACCCAAAGCTTCACCTGATCCAGCGTCGATCTCGGGAGCAGCGACGACTTCCCAGGACTGGATGCAGGACATGGAGCTCATGTATCACTATATGAGCCACGTCTCCAAGAATCCGTTAGGGGTGCGAGACGAGGTTCAACAGCTCTTCGAAAGCTTCATCCCGGCGGAGAGCATGAGATTCGACTTCCTCTTGCACAGCCTCTTAGCACTCTCTGCCCTCAACCTGGCACTGCTTCGCTTGGGCCAAGCGTCCAAATATCTGCTTCTCTGCGACCGACACCAGTCGGCTGCGCTCAAAGGGTTCCGTAGTACGTTGTCCGAGCAAATTACTCCGGAGAAGGGTAACGCTCTGTTCGCCTGTGCAACGATCATATCGCTCTCTGCCAAGGCACGGTAAGTAAGCTATGAGTGCTTGCCAAGGGCGGGATACATGCTGACTCCTGGATACCAGGTCACGTGTAATTACCGCCATGATGCCACACCCGAGACAACTGGATATGTGAGTCTCCCCTCTGGCGAGGGGTTTGGTCCGACTCCGCTGACTGCCTCTCCCAGGGACAACGTCACCCAGTCTTTCTTGCTGAGTCGGTACGTGGGCTTGAAAGTGCTTCTGCGCTGCGAGAAGCTATTATGATAGAGCTGACTCGCCACCTCAGAGGAGTCCGCGAAGTCATCGGCGTAGCCCGCGAGGCAGTCACCAACGGCCCTCTCGAGCAGATCTTCCAGAGGATGGAACTATCGGAGCTCGAGAGAGCGGCTGTAGTCCTACCCAAAGCCATCAACGATCGATTCATTCACCTCCAGTTGTGGCTGTCCGACGAAAAGCAAGACGACCCGACCTACACGCCTCTCTGCGATGCTCTCGAGTGTCTACGGGAAATCCATCATATAATGCGGCACTTCCTCATAACTACAGGCACTTTGCAGACTGGTCATGTGTGGAGCTGGCCGGTCAGAGTGCCCATCGACTACATCCACCTCATACAAGCACGAGATCCGGTCGCGCTTGTGATACTAGCTCATTTTGCCCCAGCGACGACTGCAGCCAGGGCGTGGTACACCGATGGCTGGGCCGATGCTTGCTTAGAAGGCATTTCAAAGTGCCTGCCAGCTGAGATGCATTCGTGGCTTCGATGGCCGCGGGAGATGAAAGACGGGACTTTTGCACAATTGCTGAGCGAGTAGCTTCAGGTGTGTGAGGATCAGTCTGTATTATATGTAATTACTCTACACCATCTCAGCGGAAGCATTCAACAAATATCTGCAGTCTCGGGGTATATAGCAAATGTGTCGCGGGTGGGTATCTTTGCGCCGGAAATGCATCAAAGCGAGTGTCGTCCAGCAACGCTTTCTCCCATATCAACAAAAGAAACTGTACTCATATGTATATCGAAGTCTTCAAGCCATGGCGCCTTCTTCATCCGCGCTGTCCAGCTCAGCCTCAAGACTGCGGAAAGCCGGTGGGCGGTTGTCGGCGACATCAAGGTCTTCATCTTCAAAGCTCTGCATATTGACGCTGTGGTCCTCTGCATCCTTGTCGTAGCTCTGCGATCGGAACAGTGGTGTAGTCGGACCGTCGGACATCCCCGATGGCTCCCTGCTGTGCGACAAGCTCGGCCGCTTCGTGTCCTTGGTCTCCTGCGGCTGTTCTCCAGCACTCGAATGCAAGCGAGGTGGCGGCATTGACCTGGTGACTTCCGGGCTCGGAGTGCTCCTCAGATTGCTGGCGGGCGGCGTCATCAGACCGGCTGAAAATTCCGGCGGCATCTTCGTGGATGCGGCAGGAGGCCTTGATGGCGTCGAAGACCGTGGTCGTTGGTTGGCCTTGGGTGCATTGCGAAGAGCAGAACTCTCCATCGTGCTTCGCCATTTGCTGAAGGCGGCACCCAGTTTTGGGGTGGCGAAGTTCGATAGACTTGCGATGGCCTGGCCTGGAAGAGACGAATTCTGTGCGATGCGGTCCTTCTCCTGCTGCTCCATCTGCAGATTGGCGCGGATGCGGATGGCTGTATCACGAACAGCAGTACGATCAAAGGTCGGCTGAGCAAGTGTGTTGACAAGGTCTGTCAACTCCTCACTGCGTACGGTGAGTAGCTCTCGAAGCCAAGCGATCTCATCGTCGCGCTTCTTCAATTCAGCCGGACCTTGCTCATCGACTTGGTTCCTGAGTTTTTCAATAGTGGATTCGCGCTCCTGTAGCTGATCCTGCAGGACCAGTATCGATTCCCGCAATGCTTGTGGTGAGATCTTCTCAGGTATCGAGCTCGTGGAAGTAGTGGGCATCGGCTTAGAATGTGCACTCATCACAGCGGCCTGAGCAGCAGACTTGGCAACTTGCAGCCTTTCTTCGAGGTGCAGCACCCGGTCCTGGAAGTGCTGAAGCTTAGCGTCCGAAAGCGACAGGCGCTCGTTCAAAAAGTACTCGGAACGCTGCTTGTCTTCTACGGCGTTGTCGATGGCGCGCGTATGAGCAGACTTCAGGTCGTGGATCGCTGCCTCGTATTTCTGGCGGGTCTCATCCAATGCCACGCTGTTCGCATGGTTGACCTTGCGGAGAGCCTCACGCTTAGCCGACTCTTCCTCTTCAAGCATGCGTGCATGACGGGCTTTGGTATCCTCTGCTTCCATCTTGGTACTCTCGAGCTCAGCCCGGACCTTGGCCAGTTCGCCTTCAAACTCGGCACGCACAACATTGACCTGGTGGTTAGCGGTCTCAATGTCCGTCTCCATCGACAAGCGCGTCCGTTCGACTTCTGAGCGGCCAGCCTCCCTCGCATCATTGAACTCACGCTCGAAGCGTGTCGTCAGAGACCGTTGCTCTTCTAGGTCCAGCTGAAGCTTGCGAACTGTGTCCTCCAAGGTGCCGTTTGACACCCTCATTTGCTCCAGGGCCACTTTCGCTTCGGCTGCTTCGGACGCAGAGGCTCGGAGAACGTTGAGCTCTTCCTCCACACCAGCGTGGTCCTTGACATGCAACGACTGCTGTGCTTCCAACTGCTCGCACCGAATGCGGTATTCGTCCTCTTTGGCTTGTCGAGTGGCCTTCTCGCTTGCCAGTTGGCCAGCAGCATTGGCCATGTCGGAATGAAGCTTCTCCAAACGCCTGCGCATGTTGCCACTCATCTCCTGGCTTTCCTCTAGCTCGCGCTCAAGAGTGGCAATGGTAGTCTCTAGGTCCTCCCGGTCACGAGTGGCTTCGTCGATATCCTGCCGCCACCTGCTGCTCGACATCCTGTACTCCTCCAACGTACCCTGAGCAGCTTCGTGCTCTGCCTCAAGATCTGTGACTCTCTCTTCTGCATCGCGCTGCGCATCTTCAGCCTCATGGACTCGTCGAAGCAATTCCTCGCGTTCTCGTTCAGCGGCATGTAACCTGGAGTCGTTGTCCTGAGCAGACTCTCGCAACAGCTGTAGCTCTTCCTCCGCCGAGCGCAACATCCGCTTGGTCTCGACTTCCCTCTCTTCGACAGCGCGCCGCCGGTTGGCTTCTTCAAGCGCACCCGCCAGTGTCTCGTTCAAACGACCTTCAAGTTCGGACACTTCACGTTTGTGGCCGCTCTCTTTCCCGTCGTCGTTCGCAGGCACCAAAGCTTGGCTTTGCTTGCCCAGAGCCTCTTCCACAACCGCACGAATGTCGTCCAGCTCAAGACCAGCCGAAGCAGCGCGTGCAAAGGACATCTTCATGTCCGCCAACACAGCATGAAGTTCTTGAATGTCCTGCCCTGCCCGCAAATGTCCTACGGGACTCTGCTCACGCATAGCCTCGACAACAGCGGCCTTGATCTGATCGATGCGCTTGTCCCTGCCACGAGAGATTGGCCGCTGGCGCTGTTGATCAGACTCGTCCTCATCGTCGGCGTCACTCTCGATGGCAGACGAGCTCCGCTTGGTGACGAGGTCACGGGAGATAGGCCGCTTGCTCACGTTCTGCAAGATTGCCTGAAGGCTCTCTTCCAGCGGTTGCAGGCGTCTGTCCACGGCACTGCCGATGAGACGGTCAATGTGCGAGTCGAAGAACTGGCCACGGTCGTGCAGCTTCTCCTCATCCTGCGCGGAGAAGACGCCTGACCAGTCACTGTTGGGTACGTCATCATCCTTGTTCAACCGCCTGAGGTCTGCCCAACCGTTGATAGGTATCTCAGCACTGTCCGTACGGTTGTGAATGGTGAACGAGGAGTCTTGAACGTTGAACGGGAGTTGTCGGCGTTTCGGGCTTGGACTTGGCGCATCGCTTCGTTGCCACGCCGGTAGGTATGGGGCGTCTGGAATGGATCGTTCGGCTGGGCTAGAGGTCGCAGGGACGTTGTGCAATTCTGGTACATCACGAGACTCGTCCACCTCGTTGAGACGCCGCATGACCGCGTCAATCTCAGCAAAAGAAGGCTCAGTATCTGCAACGGTATCAAGGCGCGCGCTAGCAGGCTGGTCATAGATAGGGCTCTCAGGCAGTGGAGAAATTGAGCGTTCTTCCTGGTCGGCTTCAGAATGCGAGCTCTGGGGCTCAGCATCTTCTCTGATCTCGCCCTCTTCCAACTCGCTGATGGAAGCAATGCTTTCCCTAGGCTCGTGGGCAGCCAGTTTCTCGGCACCAGCAGACCCGAAGGGCTCGAATGGTTTCGCCAGCGCGGACAACGAAGTCGAATGCTTGTGACCGTGAGCCGCGCTTGGAAAGTCGGGCTCGACAGACTTAGACGAGTCTGGCGGTGTGAAGACATCAACAACATCCGCGATTCTGTAAGCTGCTGGCTGTGGAGCTGGTGTGGTCTCATTCCCCTTGTCATCGGCGACGGGAGGCGTACGCTGGGTCTCTGGCTCCGCGGACTGTGACTTGACAATAAAATCAGACGGAGCGGGCATTGGCGTAACCTCAGCAAACCTGGGGACCTCGTCATCATCACCACCAACCTTGCGTTGCCGCTTGAGACGGTCGTCGCTTTGCACAATGCGGCCGTCCTCATCCTCGAGGTCTGTTCCCGAGCCCGATTGGCGAGCAGCTTCATCTGGTCGAACAATGGCAACCGCCTTTGATCTTCGAGCTGGCTTGACGATCTCCGCAGGAATGTCGACTTTGCCAAAGATAGAAGGAAGCGCCTCATTATCTTCTGGCGCTTTCTTGACGGGCTCAAATGTAGGTGCACCGGGCTTGAAGACCGGGCCGCCGCTCGAGAAGTTGAAGTCGGACTTTGGCATAGACGCCGTGCCAGAAGGCTTGAACTCGGGAGCTGCGACATTGAAATTGCTCGAGGACTGGTTACGATTGTGGCCGGAGGCAGGAAGGGCAGCAGGTTTTGGGGCAGGAGCACCGAACGTAAAGGACGATGACCCTGGCTCGAAAGTAGCGCCAGGATTGAACTTGAAAGTGGAAGACGTGGGTGCCGGACCTTTCGCTCTTGACCCGTCCCGCTTGTGATTGTTGGGAGACTCCTGCACGGGGATGCCTTGAGACAGCGGGTCCTTCTCATCGGATGGCGATTTGACGGCATTGAGAACAGACATGGCTCTGGACATGCGCTCCTCTACAGTAGGCGGTTCGTCGCTTGCTCCATTCTGCTGCCAGGATGCCTGCTGGCGGTTCTCGGTGTCCTGAACATCTCGTTCCAAGCCCTCACTAATATTGTGGCGATGGCTTCTCGGTGTCGGGACGGCGATATCCGCGTTCAATTGCGCTCGCTTGTGTGGAGGTACGTAAGCAGGCTTCTGCGAGTCTGACTCCTCAGCTTGACGTTGCTCCAGTTCACGTAATTCCTCCTCGCTGTCCTCTTCTGGCAATTCCGGCAGCGCAGGAGTGAGCTGCGAGTTATGCATCTGTGGGAAGAATGAACCGGGCACAGGTTGGCCATTGCTCCGACTGTAGCTTTGAGGAGACGGTGCTGGTAGTTGCTGGCTAAATGGCGAGCCAGGCCCATGTACGCCACTCATAGCGTTCCGCAAAGCGCCGAGTTGGGCAGGCGAGCCCACCCTGTTGAAACCCGGAATAGCGTACTGGTCTTGAGGAGAGAAAGACTGCAGACCTGGGAAGCCGTTCTGTTGACCGAGCTGCTGCGATTGAGGCGAGAATGAGCGCAACCCAGCTAGTGTTGGCTGCTGACCTGGCTGCTGATTCGACGGAGAGAACGTGCGTAGGCCACTCAGGTCTGGCTGGTATTGGAAGCCGAACGGACCTGCGAATGTCGATTGTGTGCGCATGTGGTGACCCTTTGGACCGTTCATTGGTGAGATGGGCGAGGCCACGGACATGGTGTGCGAATGTCCACGAACCATCCCGGGCCTGCCCATGCTGTTCACAGAGCCGGATGGAATGGGTGGCGAGAACGGAAGTGGCGGATACTGAGCCGAAGACTGCCTTGACATGTCTGGCGCACCAGCTGAGGTTGGTTCGTCACCGCCTAGACTCACACCAAGCGCAGCCAGTTTCTGCTCTCTGAGGTGATCCATGTACGCCTTCCATCTGTTGAGATCTGGCAATTGCACCTTGGCTCCTTCCGAACGAGCATTGACACGAATCTCTGTCTCGTCTGGGAAAATGGGCTTGACGTGGACTGGAGCATCGCTCGCATCAAAGTCTGAACCGCTGTCGTAGCCTCGTAGGTCGTATCCTTGGTCCTCCAGATTCCTGAATCGCGCCTTCGCTTCTTCCACGCTCATAGGATGGCTCCCGAATGCGGCGTAGTCCAGGTTTGGTATGAGTATTGTGCACATCTTGCCTTTCCAGTTGACCTTCTTTTTCGAGCGTGGTTTCATCGGGCTAGATACGATGCTCGCGGCTTGTCCAGCAGATGGGTCGCTTTTCGTCTTTTCTTCAGCGCTGACCCCAGGCGTAGACTTCCTAACAACAGTAGGGGCGGCTGCCGTATCCTCTGGCCGACTGGCTTGTGCTCCGAGAACAGCTTCTTCATCCGTGGACGCCGCAACGTCCGTCTGTGGCTCCTTCAAGCCCGCCCCAACTACGCTCGCACTTTGTGAAAGACTGCCCACCGGCTGTACTCCGTCCGCATCCTCGGTTGGCTCAGTTTCGGAATAAATTGCCTTGCCTCCGTCATCCACGCCGCTTCCACGCTGTCTGACCTCTCCAGCATCTTGCGGTGAACGCGAATCAGCCCATGAAGACGCACTCATGCCCGCAACATATTTCTCCTCCTCCGTATCCGGCAATGGAGGCGTGTCGGCCCATCGTGACGACGCCAAGCCTGGTGCTGGCTTCTCCTGAACGGGAGCAGAATCGTCTTCTGCTGGAGGAGTGGCTGCCCACCTGGAAGAGTACAGGCTGGACATGTTTGGCGGCCTCTTCTCACGTAAGCTCTTCCAGAACGTCTGCTGGTCTAGCGTGCGATTGCTCTCGCGCGTCGGGTGTCCAAGTGCGTAATCCTTGCTCTGAGTGTTCGTGAAAGACTGCCTGCGACCGCGTCTGGGACGATGATCCGGCGAGGTTTGACGCGACTCGTCACTCCACCACTGTGCCTTCTCCGACTCCTCCTCCCTGCGCGGCAGCTGTACCCAGCGCTTGGTGCGGGACCTTGGGGTAACGTCCGAATCCTCCTCAGCGCCTGCTACTGTCTCTCTCTCGGGTACGGCGGCCCTGCGAGATGGAGAAGAGTTGAGATCGCCCAATCGACTTGGGATGAGATGGCCGAGGCCGAAGTCTGGACCGGGCGATGACCCGAGCAAGTCTTCGCTGGGTGGCTGCTCAGATGGTGCGGTGTGCGCGGAGCGCAAGGACGGAGAAAGCTCGTACGGGGAGCCCCAAGCGGCAGTGTAGTAGTCTGAGCTAGTGTCTCGTGTTGCAGGCGTTCGGGGAGGTGGTATGCGGGCAAGGTCCGGACTGAGAAGATGCTCGGCGAGACGGGCGTCGGTCAACTGTGAGGGCGGCGAGGGCGCGTCTTCTACGCTATCATCGTCGGCGGGCGGCGGTGATGACGGCGGAGGCGGGGGTCTCATGGAGACATTGCTCTTTCGTTGATGCTGTCTCGACGCGTCGTTGTGTTGTGTTCGCGCCTAGTCGGCGGGTTTTTGGACAAATGAAACGATGGTGTATGATCAAGGAGTGACTGAGTATGTACTCGCGACAAAACAATACAAGCAGTCGTACAACGGACCATGCACCATGGATGGAGCAGCTGTACACTGGTGTGTCTAATGAAAGTGAGGTCAAGGAGAATTAAGTTTGGGCCAATACGCGAGAGCCACGTGCGTCATCACGTGTTCCAAACCTCACTTTGTCGTCCACCATTCATATGATACCATGCCGCTGCTACCATTGTTCCAATAATTCATGGCCACATCATCATCCCGAAATACGTAGGTGAATGCTGTGTTGCCAAAGGGTGAACCATTATTATCGTAACATTCCACCCCTGACTCAAGATCCCAGTCCAGGCTCAAATGAACTCAGCCCTAGGAGGTAACAGCGCTTGAAACCGTGAAACACTTCCAGAGTACCGTGTATACTTTAATGTTCCTACGTCTGCAGCTGCCAAGTCCCATACGCGATGACGACGGCGCAGCAGATGTAGAGGAGTAATGCCCCCGAAGAGTTGTAGGGAGCTGAGCCATCCAGATTGCCGTGGCGCCGAACAGCTCGCACTCGCAAAGCCACGTTTGGACTACGTTGCCTACTTCTTCGAGAGAAGTCTTGTACTCTGCAAATATCGTGCCAGGAGACATCCAACGCAGCTGAAGTCCCCGGATACTATCAATGACACCTCCAAAAGTCCAGACTGTGGCCATCCGCCAGGCCTCCAACTCGCCCTCCAGCAGTGAGAGTCCTCCAGAGTCCAACGAGAGCGGCCGCGAGAATGCCTCAACTTCCAAGGAGACCAAGAAGAAGCGCACCTCGAAACCGAAGGTGCGGTCCGGATGCGTCACCTGCAAGATACGCCGGATCAAATGCGATGAGACGAAACCTGAGTGCAACAGATGTACCTCGACCGGCCGCAAATGTGACGGATATGTCATCAAACCTCGAAAGAAGCGATCCGACTTTCAAGCCCTTAACAAGGTGCCTACGGCGCCGGCAGAGATTGGCCCAGTCGAACTTCGGTCACTTGGATTCTTCCACCACAAGACTGCGCCCTCGTTATCCAGCTATTTCGATGCTGAGTTCTGGACTCGACTGGTCTTCCAGATGAGCTACGTCGAACCATCCGTGAGACACGCCATGGTTGCACTGGGAGCTCTCCACGAGGAACGCGAGCGAGAAGTCCGACTCATCCCAATAATGCCACGGATGGTCACTCCGAATGCTCCCACGACCGCCTCGACAGCGGTGCAATGGACCGGGAACACTGGACACGATTTTGCGTTGGCACAGTACAACAAATCCATCATCTTGCTGTCGAAACGAATGGATACCGGTGAGGCCGGCGGGGCTATCGAGGTTGCATTACTGACATGCATCCTGTTTGTTTGCATCGAATTCCTGCAAGGCGACAGCGAACCAGCAGTGAAGCATTTCAGAAGCGGCATGGGCATTGCTCTCAACACACTATCAAATAACGGCTCTCGGGCGGCCCAGGACACCCTGGACCGGATCAGAGAGTACATCCTCCCGTTCTTCAACCGCATCGAACTGCTCGCGAATCTGTTTGGTGAGCCGGCTTCATGGGACTATCCAGTTGAGCTTCAAGACACCGTGCCGGAAAAGTTCAACAGCATGCGGGACGCCAGAGACAGTATCGTCCACATCGCGAATCAGACGGTACGATTCATCAAGTTCATGAAGTGGCGGAAGTACACACGCCTGGTACTGCCCGACCACATCGCTCGACAAGAAGCACTCCTTCGTCAGATGGACCTCTGGTCTCAGACTTTGGACAGGATGCTGCTAGGCGACAACATCACACAGCGAGACCTCGATGCCGCGAAAACGCTACGCATCCATCAAGTCGTCGCCGGGATGTGGGTGAAGCGATGCACGATGCCCGAGGAGTCTGCGAACGATGAATGCATGCAGGATTTTGAGACGACCGTCAGCCTTGCAGAAGCTATCCAGGGCATCGCGGGCACACGAGAGCAGCGACTGGCACTGAACTCATCGTCTTTCTTGTTTGACATGGAAATTGTTTCTCCGCTGTACTACGTTGCCACCAAGTGCAGGCATCCGCTCATCAGAAGGCGTGCGATAGCTGTGCTGAAGCAAACGCAGCGGCGAGAGGGCCTGTGGGATTCAGATATGGTGAGAAACCTCGGGAAGTCGGGATAATAGTACTAGTTCTAACGTGGTGGCACAGGCATCAGCAGTTGCAGAGCGGCAGATGGCGCTCGAGGAAGTCAAGCTTACGACCCTCGATGGCTCGGAACTGCCAGCTGAGGTGAGTACCTGTTGTATCTTGTCCTTACGTTGTGAGATATTGCTGACACTCTACACTTCTCTCTCACAGGAAGATCGCGTGCACAACATCCAGGTAAGGACAGAAGCAACCCTGCTTCTAAGTTCGGTCAAACTAACAGCAATGACATAGATAACCAGCGAGAAGGGCATCCGTCCAAGGAAACACTTCTTGAACATTCACACTCGACCGGAGGGCCCGGACGGACCCTGGAAGATCTGGCGCGAGAGCCTCACCCTACCTTAGAATACAGCAAACTCCAATACAACATGACTGCCACTCCAGTCCCAGCGCCACGGCATCACGACGCTGACATCTGCCCTTGTTCCAGCCATCTTGGCTCGGGAAGAAAGATATGCATTCCTCCGACCCTGGCGGCGGCAACCATCGCAGCAAGAATAGAAGAATCCGAAGGAGATGAATTTTAGGAGACGTTGGATCACGCTGTATGCAGCAGTCTTCTCTACGTTGACAGACGAGCGGCGACCGAACGCTACACTGCTGGACCTCGACCAATCCATACTCTGAACGATCGGAATGGGCCTTTTCGGTTGTCGGTGTTGTTCTGGCACAGACTGTCAGCGAACAACTCAAGACAAGACGAAGCGGCACATACATATTGTCGATCCGGCGAAAGCTGCAGCTGATTGGTGTTGAAGTACAGCCAACCTACGACCGGTGGACAAAGGAGTCAGCGGTTTCTGGGACATGGAGCGGGCTCGATTACCATCCAATATTGCAGCGCTGTCGGCATGCTGGATCATCCCATTCCGCACCAACGTCTTCACCACATATCGGTCTGCAGGCACGCGACCCTCGCCACCTGGTTGCACGCCGTTGACAGTCATATCAACTTCCGACTGCTGCGTGTCGACGTAGTAGATGGCATTCTGCTCGCTGGCAAGGATGTACACTCTCCCTGACAGACACACTTCAGTCAGTGGATGAAGAAGAGAAGAAGAAAGACCAAATTACCATGTTTGTCTGCAGTGAAGCCGGCTTGCTCGGTGGCGCACTGTCCTGGATCTTGGACCGCTGCTAGTACGTCGTCGTCGGACAGACTTGAGTCTGTCATCGCCTCCTGCGAGATAAAGTAGTAGCGCCTCGAGGCCAAGACTCCCCAGTACACGTTGCCGGAGGCCAGCGCAATGCCGTCCGCACCTGCGATGATACTATCAGCATATGGATATACTAGTGACCAGGAGGAACCCACCAGTGGTACAATAGCCGATCTCGGTCTTATTCCAGCAATAGATCAGGTTGCCGTCGTACGACCCGACGTACTTCTCGTCCGCTCGAACCACGGATGTATTCAACAGCCGGCGAATGACGCTGCCATCATCTAAATTCACCGAGAGGAGAGAGCTGTTGGTGCTCTCGTCCGTGATGAAAGCGCTATGGGATCTTGGTCAGCCGCTTGCAGAAGCAACAAGCTCTTATGGCGAACTTACTACCCGTTCCCACCACCTAGAGTGTTGTTAATCCGAACATCATTCGCATTCATCTGGTGCTGGAGATACTCCTTTGGTATCGCATATGTCCGGATATGCTCGCCGGAAGACTCATTGAACGACATGATCTTCGACCCGCCATACAACGCGTTCGCGCCGTCCTCCGCATCAGCTGGAAAGCCGCTGTCGACGACCCACAGCTGGCCGATCGAATCGAGAACCACATTCTGGACATTCACGAAGCAGGTCGATGGGTCCTGGCCGTCTGTGCAGTTCTGGATGGCAGCGTTGGGCCACGGCTGCTCGTCGTTAAAGGAGGTGCATCTTACGACGTTGACGGGTGTTTGGCCCATATTCCTAGGGTACGTGAGGTAGACGTTATGCTCCGAGTCTACCTACGAGCAGTCGGGCACACGAGTCAGTGGTTGGACATGATGAGGACTGAGGCCTTTAACAACGTACCGCCAGTCCAGTCGGTGGGTTCTGACTATCATGCACAGCCTGGAGGTTCGGTGGTCCAACAATTCCGAAGTCTTGCGGGTAGGCGCCATGGTTGTAACCTGGACCGAACGGCCTGAAGTCTTCGGTTACTGGGAAGTACGAGGAAGCGGCGCCTGTTGATGCCAGTGCAAGGAGACCGAGATGCATTGTGTCTATAGCTCTCAATTGTTCAACTAGCTCGCGAAAAGGTGAATTTCGATTGTCATTTGAAGAGCCAACCCCGGTGAAGCTTTCACAAGAATTCAAAGATCAGGAACAAGAAGCTTTTAGATATGCTTGTCGCCGATGCATGTGTTTCTTGTGCTCAAGACTGCGTCATGCGGGGAAGTCGATATACTCCGATCCCAGCACAATGCAGGTGGTTCTCGCGTACGGCAGATGAGATGCGCGCTGGAAGCAAAAGATCAATGTGGAGAAGAGTGAATGTTGATATCATGCAGCAGTGCACGTATACCTTACATACTATGCCGTCAAGCTACTGCGTGAGCGCACAAAGTCCAATAACGCGGAGTGAGCGCTTTCCCTCAGTGACCAGTCTTTCTTCTCGCATGTTCGAGCAGGCATCACACAGTCCAGCTGAAACACGAGAGCGACTTGATGCGCTCAGTCTCACAGTCTGAAAGATACGAGATGTTCACCGAGAGCACTGGCGCATTGATAGTCGTGCAGAAGTCACAAACCCTCTCGAGGCGGAAGTTCGCGATCTTCCGTATGCATGCACTGGTAGAAGGACTGGCTCAAGTTGAAAAAGAATGAAGGCAGGAGCCTGGAGGCCTTTTCGTGTACTGTTGAAACTCACAATCTCGCCTCACCCCGGTGACCCTGCTCTCCTCCCAAACCCATGTCGATGGTGCTCACAGCAGCGCGCAGTCACCCCCCGCCCACAGAGCTCGATTCATGGGTATGGCTCTAGGTCTTCTTCAGGCACATGGCAAACATCCCACTGGGGGCCACCCTGCACTTCTTCGAGCAGCAGGTGCCACAATTTCCGTATGCGACAGGGTCTGTGAAGCGGTCAGTTGAACACACCGCTGCTTTGATCGTTCAGATGGGGAGCAGTAAGTGGACTGTACGTACTGCCGGCAGAGACGCAACGTTTCTCGAGGTTCGGACCCTCCAGCTCAGTGGGCACCGGGACCGGGTTGGCCAGGGAGGTGGTGAAAAGGCAGGCCAAGGCGATGACGGAGGCAATGGAGAACTTCATTGTTGCGGCTGTCGGTGGCGGGTTGCTTTGTCGCTCGGTTCGAAGGCCTGAATTATTGTTCGGAGTGTAGAGAAGCGATGGTGCTGTTTGGCTTGATCTCCGGTGTGGGGATCAAGTTGTTCTTATGCTGTGCTGGGAGCTTCGATCGACGACCGTTTGGGCAGGTCATCTTGCCGTGTCGTGGCATGAACTCCGTGGAATAATATGGCATTGCCAATCACATAGCAGGACCTTCCCGTGTTGCAGCATGTGAGGCGTCAGTACAGGAGTACCCTAGGGAATTGTCCAATCTGCTCTCCACGCATTGCGGGGAACCAACATATCCCACCAGTTTGGTACCGACAGGCAGCAGCTTAGGCGTGGAGGTCAATGTTCCATCAATGAAGATAAGAAAGAGAGCCGGAAAGTTGAAAGAGTCGCCATTCTGACACAAGCTACGTAGCTGTATGCGGACCGACGCAAGTTGTTCGGCAAGGCGGAGGCAGTCCGGAATGGCCACTGAGCTCTTCCTACCATTTCAAGTCAGGCTATCTCGAAGAAGTTCCTGGCTCATGGAGCTGAAATCATCTCAGCAATAGCATAGTGAGCGGCCTTGTAATCGGTGGCAAGTGTGCTGGACCAGAGTGTGTACGTGGCGAAGGGAGGAGGCTTGGGGGTCGAGCAGCGATATCGATCGCATCGATGCAGGACGCCCGTGTGCAGTCTTACCAGGAGGTTCCAGTTTGTACACACAGTGCGCACCAGCTTTTCTTTCCAGTCGTCGTGAATGGTAGGGCCACACCCAGCCATCGCTTCACTCCCTCCCACGGCTGAAGATCTGTTCGAGATGCTGCGTAGCATTCTTGTACGTTGTGTCCAGATAATGCAGCTTCTTGTTCAGGTTCTCCATCTCCTTGTCCACATCCACTGCCTCCTTGCCTTGATTGTCTCTCACGTCCTCTATAGTTGTGAGCTCGAACCTGTCGCTGCTGTAAGCCTGGAATCTTTCATGCTGTTGTGCTGGCGACCCTACATCTTCCCAACACCATCATACACTGGCGTTTCTTTTGGCAGCGTAGATAGCTCTTTCTGCGACAGCTCCAGCATCCGTTTCTCTCGTTGTTTCGATGTTATCTGCCCCCGGACGATCTGGAGCTGTTGCGCTGAGAATTGCGCTTTGGACTCGATCTCTTTCAAGACCTGGGCAGAATCGATCAGTACTGGTGCGGACATCGCATAGATTGGAATCTCGTACATCCTGCAGCTTGTCGTTCGGTATCGCCATGTTTGCGCTGCACTCGTGCGAAGGTAAGAAGAGACGTCGTGTCTCGAGATCTAGAAGCTGTCAAATCGAGGAAGCTCGGTCGCGCACGCTTTTGCACGCGCACGCCTTCCAACAGACGGGATACGCCGGCTCCGTTATTTTCATCTGACAGGCGTTTGCTGGCAGAACATGTCTTCGCTTTTCAGAAGTACATTCACAGGCTTCCTGTGAGCTCCTGAGAACCATTGCACTCACACCGGAAGTTCCGCTCAACTTCACTCACCATGCTTTCGTGGCTTCCGTCGATTCCATACGCCCCGGAGCAGGGAGGCTACTGGGATCCGATCACTTCAACTCTCGACTGGTGCGAGGAGAACTACTATGCCACTGAATACGCCGCTGAGATCGTCAATACGTTGACGAACCTCTGGTTCATGTATTTGGCTTTCAAGGGCATGTTCAACTGTCGGAGAAACGGGCACGACAACGTCTTCTTCGTTGCCTATCTAGGCTATCTGCTGGTTGGTGCTGGAAGCTTTGCCTTCCATGCGACGCTGAAGTGTATGTCCCTCTGACGCCTGTCTGTCGGAGTACCCAGCTAATGGAGTTGTAGACCCAATGCAACTCGTCGACGAGCTGTCAATGATATACACCACCTGCCTGTACGCTCCTCCACAGTCACCTCTCGAAAACTTGTCCGTACTAATACGCCATCAGCATGTTCTGGGCTACGTTCGCGTACAGCCGGCCACAGCCGATCCAGCTCCTGCTGGGAGTGTTCAGCGTCTCGCTCGCCCTCTTCATCACGGGTTACTACCACTATCTCCAGGATCCGACCTTCCACCAAAATGCATATGCGATTCTGACGGCCATCGTCCTCTTCCGGAGCATCTACGTCATGGAGCTCAACATCAGACCATTTTACCGGCAGAGACACGAGGAGCACGAGAAAGCCCAGAGTAGCCCTACTTTGACAGAGGCCGAGAAGACAGAGGAGAAACGCAAGGACCGGCGAGACAGCGAGATCCTCAGGACAATGTGGGTCATGATCGCGTTCGGCCTAAGCATCTTCCTTGGAGGCTTCGGGATCTGGACTCTGGACAACGTTTACTGCTCAAAGTTAAGGGCCTGGAGACATGAGGCCGGCCTTCCATGGGGCATCGTGTTGGAAGGGCACGGGTGGTGGCACGTCATGACCGGCTTTGGAGCGTACTGCTACATCCAGTGGGGTATTTGGCTCCGACATTGCCTGAACGGTCGGCAGGACGAGTTCGAGATGGTGTGGCCAGCCTGGTGGAGTGTGCCTAGGGTCGAGAAGGTCGCAGTGGCAGGCAATGGGTCCGTGAGCAAGAAGACGAGATGATGTAGAGGCTTACCTATGACCGAGCCACGAGTATGAGGCTATGAAGTCACAGGATGATGATATAGATATAGAGATGTTGTCCTTGAGTGTTGGACCTGTCTTTGGCTTCGTTGTGTCCCGCAATTAGTACTGGGAACGGTCGGGGAAGTGCTCGATCGTCTGGACCATGGACGTTGTCTCAAGCCAAGCACTCGCTGACCTTTCCCTTGTCACCACTGGGCAGGTCGACAGAATCCAGGATCGACGGTAGCTGATGAGCTTGCGTTACCCTGCAGATTCCTGCGGGGCTCTCCGCACCTGGAGCGTTCGAGCACGTGGGAAAAGCGTTTTGGGTTCTGGAGTGAGCGAAGCGCGCCAGACGACCGGTCATGGGGTGAAGCCTCGACCTGGCGGGTGGGTTTGGTGCGTCTCGCAGAGTTCGCCCTTAGTACAGAAGAGTATCTTTAGTGCACGTCTCGACGTTGATTATGCAGCGGAAACGGGTACGCGCAATGCCCCTCGCTGTGATCGAGTCAAGCAAGGTGAAGTCGAGATTGACTCGGCGATTCCCACGCTTCCGAATGGAAACGGTAAAGACCGAGTGCATTTCTTCAACGCCGAAGGTCACGAGCACATCCTGATTCTCACGATTCACGCCTTTTGCGGGGCGTAGTCAGACCACCCGGTAGTGCTGGGGTCAATTGATGGGGTCATGTACGGCTACATGCCCTTCGTCCGGTCCTCGCTGCTCCTCACTCCGTACCGTGCGTAGTGGCTTTTGCATCTCGATCTGCACACCACACGGCTTGCCGATGGCGCTGCGGTGGCACGCAGGATGCGATCAACCCGGCACAGCTGCTGTCAGAAACGTCAGAATCCAGCGCGCGGGTCGCGTGAGAAGTACGAATGTACCAGGTCACGGTAATCAGTTTCCGCTAGCTCGATAACGAACCGGCACCCGGCAGCAACTCTTGCACAAGTCGCCGACTCACCAAGGCATGCTGCCGCGGCATTTGCCATTCAAGACCAACGAAAGGCGGTTTGCTCGGAGGGCCAAGCGCAACCGTGTGGAGCTGGCGAGCTTCTCCAACTTTCTCCAACCGCGCTATTTCGCTCAAAGCGCAGGTCAAGCGAAGCGGCGGTGGATCGGAGGTCCATGTGGGACATGTGGGATCTACTGTTGCGTCTCGGGGCTTGAGACTGGGGAGAGCATTTCCATGGCGGAGATAAACATCAAATCTCACTATGAACTTTATATACGTAGGTTGCCCCTCGATGGCGTTGCTCGCGGAGGTGATCCCTTTCGTTTGAATTGTCTTTTCAGCTGTTCTGTCGATCTCTTCGTGTTGTTCTTGATTGCAACAGCTTGTTCAGAGCAGCAATGGCTTCCTTGACTGTTGACGGCAGTGTATCGGAAGCTTCGAGTCCATCGGATTCGGCTTCACCACCCCAGCAACAGCCTACCAACTCGACGCAACAGAAACGGAATGCCTCAGAAGCTGGTCTTAAGCCCAATGGCATGCGGCCATCCAAGAGTGTCAAACGCAGAGCTTCCAAAGCATGTCAATGTTGTCGTTCGAGGAAAGTTCGTTGCAATGTCGTCGAGCATGGAGCGCCTTGTACGAACTGTCGATTGGACGAAGTGGAGTGCATAGTATCGGAGAGCAAGCGCAAGAAGTGAGTTGGATTGGATTGATGCCAGGGAGACGACATTGCTGACCTTCGGAAAGAAAATGGAACAATGGGCCAGAATCGACAGGCACAACCAAAAGCCAACCACTCAAATCTTCCTCAACGTTCCCAATGTCAGCTGCACCACCGTACGAGCCACTAAAACGGACAAGCGAGCATGTGCCGCATTCCCTGTGTACGTGTGTTGGATAGGACGCAAGCAGGGTTGAGAAGCTGACAAGTAGTAGATCAAGACCTGAGCCGCGATATCAGCCTGAGCAATGCGGAATCACGAGCTGGATTGTATACGCCGAACATGCTCATGAACCTCCAGCGTCTAGGACAGAAGCCGGGATCGTTCTCAGAAACCAACCCAATGACCAACCGCCTGCTAACGCCAACCTCACCCTCTTCCAGCCTACCTGCCTACATCAAGCCCGTTCCATCGCGCCTGGGTCAAGACGAGATCATGTTTCTAGAAAGAAAAGGTGCTCTTACAATACCGCCGACACCGCTTCGAGACGCCTTGCTCAAGGAATACGCCGAGTTCGTCAACCCATATATGCCGCTGTTGAACTTCCACGAGTTGATCGACATCATCGATCAGAACGATGGCTCGGACACAGTCAGCTTGCTTCTGTTCCAAGCAATCATGTTCGTCAGTGTTGCAACCGTGGATCTGCGGTACCTGAAGGCGGCGGGATACTCCAGTCGACGAGACGCACGACGGGAGTTCTTCCAGAAGACGAGGCTGCTTTACGACTTTGATTACGAGGTCGACCGGATCTCCTTGATTCAGTCGTTGTTGCTGATGACTTATTGGTACGAGACTCCGGACGATCAGAAGGACAGCCACCATTGGATGGGCATTGCCGTGTCCCTTTCGCACACCATTGGCCTCCATCGGAACCCCGAGAAGACTTCTTCGATGGACTTGCCCAGACAGCGACTATGGCGGCGAATGTGGTGGGCAACGTACATGCGAGATCGCCTCATTGCGCTTGGCATGCGTCGTCCAACGAGGATAAAGAACAAGGACTTTGACGTGCCGATGCTGACTATGGACGACTTTGAAATCCACGAGCTCTCCGACCGACCATCGTGCATTCCGGCTGAATGCAAGGTGATGCGCAATGCTGAGATGCAGCGACAGCTGGCAGTCATGTGCATCGAGAAAACCAAGCTTTGCGTTGCCATGAGCCATATTCTGAGCGTGCAGTATTCGGTCCTACACAACAACCACGGCGTGCTCAGCGAAGAAGGCAGCACTCGAACGACGATGATGTTGGTTGCGAAGAAGCTGGAGCCAGGTATGGAGGAAGTGCAGGAGTGCGACAAGGAGTTGCAGAAGTGGAAGGACGGGTTGGCTGAGGAGGCGCAGTACGTTGTGCCAACCTGGAAGGACGTCGATGCAGGCAACGAGAGCATCGTTCTCAATCGCTCGCTGCTGCACATGATTTACTACGCCACACTCTCAGCACTCCATCGGCCGCAGGTGTTGCCTTCTACCGCGTTACCACAGCGCAACCCGCCATCTGAAATGGTGGATGTTTCGAGGAGAGCTGTGCGGTTGGCGGCAGCAGAGATCACGAACGTCGCAAACACGCTTTACAACCTCGACATGGTGCCCAATCTGCCAACCACCGGCATCACCGTCCTGCTCCCAGCCATCATAATCCACTTGCTCGACATCAAAGCGAATGACGCAGTAACACGACGGGCCAGCTTAAAAGGCTTTTGCGAGTGCATGCAAATCATGGCCAAGCTCCGCGACATCTACGCCGCAGCAGACTACTCGACAGCCTTCCTCGAAGCTGCCATCCGCAAAGCAGAGATTACCCTACCACACAAGTCGAACGAGCTCAAAGACTCCCAAAACGTCATCACATCCACCCAAGGCCTTGTCGAAGCAGGCAGGCGAATGCACCTAGTCGGATCAGCGCCCGACTCGCACGCCCTGACTCCGCCACCAGAAGACCAGAAAATGCTCGACCCCATGGAGCCGTTGTCCGACGAAGAGATCGAGCGCCGCTTAAACTCCTACCTCGCTTCCACGCCGCCAGACTCTGAGCACCACCACTGCGACGAGAGTGTAGACCTCAACATGCCGATGGATGACCTCCAGCCAGAATTTGAGCCAGACTTCGACTCCATGATCAATCTCGACGCTGCGGGAGAGGTGTGGTCGCTGGAGGATGATGCGTATGCGGCGATGCAGGGAGAGAGCAGCGGGTTCACGATGGACATGGACTGGATGAAGGGGATGGGCGATGGGCTTACGAATGCTGGGTTGATTTCTGTTTGATTAGATCTTCTGAGCGTGGGTGGGAAAAGCTGGATATTAACTTCGTCCGCACGGCGACGGAGCAGGTTTGAGAGTTGTGTGTCATATTGAAGAGTCTAGATTGGTTCTCGTAAATATGCGCAAGACGGTCATGAGTAACATTACTCCGTAGTCTTGGTCTTGCGAGTTGTCGTCTACGGTTTAGCCCCCGTAGTTCCGTTTTAGCCCGTCTCCTACTACAGTAACCACTAAACAAGCGCCTCTCTGAGCAATATGGCCGTAAGTTAGATAATTGATAGACCTAGCAGTTTAGCTACATATAACTTTCCTATTCTCTACGTTCTTGGTTAAAATGTGTTGCTAATCTTTCGGTAGTGCAATTAGAGACTAGGCCCGATAGGTAGTTAAAGCTAACTACCTATATTAACCTAGAACTTTACAAAAGCTAAATCCGATCTTGTCTCGTGATACAAGTCGTGTTCGTCGTCTAACAGAACAGACCGGATAACCACTATAGCTAGTACATCTTTTCTATCCCTAAGGGAGACCCTTAGCACCCTCCTTAGCTCTCTACAAAAGTGGAGATCCAAAGTCACGTGAATGCTGATGACTTACATACTTTGCGCAGAATGAGCCAATTAGCAACGTTACCGTTACGGGCCGTTAGCAAGTAGCTGTCGTGGCTTCTCGGCATCTCTACCCCCGATTTTGGGTAGGCCCTTTAGGCCCAACAAAAGTAAAGAGTTTAGAGTCGACCAATCTACAATCTCGCGAAGGTAAGTATCATTTCGTACGCCCATTTAGGTTCAGATACCTATCGACAGGTAACCCGCAAGGCATTATATCCCTATAGCTATCGCAGCAGTGCGTTTACTGTAGCATCAACTCCGAGAAGATATTCGATTTCGACGCGTTCAGTCTCTCTACTACATCCAACATCGATCAAACCAACGCTCTACCCAACCTAGCTACCATGCGTAAGAACAACTGCGGGAAGAGGACGAATCAGATCCAGGTATGTCCTCGAACCTGCTGCGACTCCACCCCCTGTCCTCAAATTCGAGACACATCGCTAATACGTTCGCAGCAGGCTCGGCCAACTCAACATATCACAGCAGACGTCTCCGAACCCACTCGCTCAGGCGCCACCGACATATCGGAAGCCATCATGGCCTACGTCCCTTCGTCGAACTACTCCGACAAGCCGCTGTTCTTCTTCAAGGAGGATGAAGAGAATGGCATCTTCTGTCAATGGTACAGATGTCACTTCACAGATCCTCAGCTCGATGGCCTCACCTTCAACTGCGCTGAACAGTACATGATGTATCACAAAGCAATGGTAAGTCATCCCCCGTTGGTCGATGCGCTTGCAGCCGCTACGCCACCGACATGTCAAATGCTGATTCCAACAGGCACTAACCATGGCGTAGACATTCAACGACCGTCTCACTGCTGGCCTGGTCATGAAAGCAACATCGCCATGCAAGCAAAAAGGGTTCGGGCAGCAGATTGCTGGTTTCGACGGTGCGAGATGGAACCAAGTCAAGAGCACGGTTGTGCAAAGAGGGAATTACCTAAAATTCACCCAGTGCAATAATGCTGCGAGCTTCAAGGCGGACGATGTGGGAGAGCCTGCGCCGCTGAAGGGCCTGCTCCTGGCGACGGGGGAGCGGGAATTGGCAGAAGCGAGTCATTTTGACCGTGTTTGGGGCATCGGTTTCAGAGCGGACGTCGCCCTTGGCGTTCCGAGGTCACGATGGGGAGAAAACCTGCTCGGAAAGGCACTGATGCATGTGAGGGGCGAACTTCAAAGAGAGGCAGAGGCTCAATAAAGCGGTCAACCTAAGTGAGTCATCTTGGTCGCGTACCAAAGTAGTTGCGAACATATTGGCTTACGCGCAATAGAGTTCACCAAAGCGGCCAGTGAAAGACCTGGTATTCTCAATACTTCTGATTCACCCTCCAGCAAACACCAGTGAAAGAGCTGCTATTGCCAATACTCCTGATTCACATCCCTTCCAGCCAACACCAATGGAAGGGGTGCGCTTGTCAATATTTCTGTCTCACCTCCCTTCCAGCAAACAACAGACTTCTGTCAATTCACATAGGTGATATATGCTACATCAGCTCCCATTTCTTCGCAGATCTCATCCATATCCTCACCACGATCACCTCTTCTCACGTTTGGCTCTTCGCCACGAACCTCAACCCTCGTTCTCGGCTTTTCCACTACATCGTCGCAACCTGGAACGGTAGCTTCCCCAGCAACAAACAACACAATGTCGGGCTCCGGAACCCGCACATTCAGCAATGGCGACCCAGCAGAAAGATCATTTGCACGGCCACCCGGTACACCTGCTGGTGTCGTCCGCGTCTCACGTCGACGTGCTGAGAACACATCCAGCGAGTCGTCCAATTCAGCTGACACCCTCTCAGCCGGAGTGCTAAGTCCAACTAGTACGATGTACTCTTCTCCCGGCAGCGCAAGTACGGCTGGCACGGATCCTGACACGATCGACATCCCAACGGCCATCCCCTCGATCCACACCTTATGCTACTTTGGGCTGGCAGCGTTTCGGGCTGAGCAGATCATGAAGAGGTGGGAGGAGCTCAGATCTCAAGGCAACGAACCGCAGAATTTCGGACGTTTCGCGGGAGAGTATTTGCACAACCTTGTCAAGTACGAAGGCTGCGATACGTCAAGTTACGATGCTGACTGGAGAGCGAACCTCGAGAAGATCGGAGCCGACGAGCAGCTTACAGGCGCTATCGGAAATCGCGGTCACGGCTTTGATGACATCCGTTCGCTGAGATCTGCAGCTGAATGGGTGGAGCAGGCTATTGAGTGGAGATGGGAATACCTTCTCGGTCTCAAGAGTGCGAGCGCCACTCGCAAGGATGGCGGCATTACTCTTCCAACCAGCAGCCCGATCCAAGTGCGCAGCCTCACAAGTGTGACTACAGCTTCAGACGACGCATCCGCTTTCAGATTCGATCGCCAAACCGGCAAGACGTTCTGCAAAGGCGAACCCACTGAGTTCTTACCGTTCTGGAAGGGTATAACTCGTGTGAGGGCAGAGGACATGTGGTCTAATAGTGGACGACGAACGGGAACGTTCGACATCAAGGGCCTGATATCAAGGCCTCCAGGAGACTTCTCCGGCAAGAGGGCTGTGTACTACTTCACGCCAGATCTGGAGGGAGCGCAGGAGTACGCAGACTTCGCTAAACAGATCGCCTCTCCTGCTGGAGTCTGCTTGGTACGGATCGATGTCCCGATTGCGATGTCAGATCCGTGAGTAGTCTGACATTGCGTTTCGGTTTCAACAACGACATGAAGCAGCAAGAAAGGTGGCAACGACTTGTCTGGTTCTCGAGGCGCGGGGACGACGTGGAGCCTACCGAGCTGCTCCAAAAGATTCGCAGCGTGAACATCCTCATCGGCGATACCGCGCAGCTAGACAACGGGGAGTACAAGGACAACATCTCTGACTGGAAGGGGGTGACTGACAGATGCATCTTGAAGAAGCGCAATCGGGAGCCGGTAACGCAGTTTGTGTTTGGCCACAACGAACAGGATGACAAGATCTACCGAATGCTCAACTCGCTGGAGCGCAACACTTCCATTCGTGATGACAGAAACCCCAACCAAATTCTGCCGCCGAAGGCTACTGCCACCTGAGGATGGAGATGCTGATCGTGAAATTGAAGAAGTATGTGTTGGTGTTGAAGGCGAATATCAGGGCCGGCAAGGCGACGGAGGAGTTCAAAGAGGCGGAGACAGATGTCGCGGAGGCCGCAGAGGCCGCAGAGGTGTGAGTGGCAATCGATTTGTGGTGTGCTGACAGACGGTCATTCGGGTGAAGTCTGCAGGAGCATAGCGGTCTATTGCTTGTGTATCTTAGTGAATGGTGCTGAGAAATCGAACTGGTGAAACTCTCTTTTCGCACGACACACCGGTCCTTCGTTGGATATCGTCAGATGCTGACCACCTGATGTCGCCAAAAGTGGAATGGTATGAGCGGGCGAAGCCGCCCTATTGTGAGAATTCGAGAACAATAACATCGCTCCTTCTACAACCCAAGGCCCACAAATTGGCGGCAGCACATCGCTCGACATAACATGGTCGCATCCGAGTGGCCGATGATCATGCAGACGATTGGAAATGGTGTGTGTCGGGACAAAAGGTGGTTGGCGATTGCCCGCCACGCCAGCTGCACGACAATAGGAAGTAAAGTTTGCATGGGTCCTACCCGACAATAAGGCCATCACAATATGAAGCGCTCAAGGCAGAACAAATGTAAGGTGGGCAACGCTATTGACAAGCTGACCGTCCCTTCTCGCGCGTGACTCTTCATCTGTTGACTCCTTCTGTATTTAATACTTCTCTATTCCGCCTTGCTGCTGTTGTCTTCTTCCATCATCTACATCGTCAGCACTGTACTCAACCATCGTCAAGGCTGCAGTGTACTACTTGACACCACCACACCAGCCAGCCAAAAGGGCACTCCAACACTGTCGCGACAAACCATGGATCCCGCCGCCGCCCAACAAATGAACCTCCTCACCCAACAAGCCCAACACCAACCGCCCCCAGACACAGCACCTCCACCCTACGACGGCCCAGACTCCGACTCGGACTCCGACGCAGGAGACGACGACGAGGAGGATGACTCCACGCCACCCCCCTCATCCCCACTCAAACTCACAATCAACGCCGCCCACCAAATCCAAGGCAACAACAACCTCGTTCCCACCTCCCCGTCCGCCCTCTCCGACGCGACGAAGTTCAGTGCCATCTTGCTGCACACCGTCAACGCTCTCAACAAAGCCGCTGGCGTCGAGAATGGTCGGCGAAGAAGGGCGTTGAAGTTGGATCTGACGATAAACTGCGGCGTCACGGTAGTGGGGCATCGGAACGTGGTGGGGAGTGTTGGGCTGAAGCCTAAGCCTGCGATGGCGGTGGCTGGTACTGGTAATGCAGTTGCTGGGGCGAAGCGGAAGGCTGAGAAGGCATGTTGATGTTGCCTGCCTGTGGTTGAGATGAATCATCCGCTGACTCTGAGATAGGATGACCAAGCGGTCGAGCGGGAGGCGAAGAGGGTTGATGTTGGAGATGAGTCGAAGTGACGATGAGCGTGTTGATGATTCTTTGCTGTATGGAGAGCGACTTTGAGTTTTGCCACGAGTGCGAGTGTAATGGCGGCCAGCGAGTGTTATGGCGGCCAGCGAGCGTGGACAGTGGGTTGCTTTGCTTTTGAGGGAAGGGGTCTCTATTGCTATGGCACACCTTAGCACTTTGCTTTGTGAACGTTTTGACTGTCAACTCTCAACAAAAAGGAGCATGTAGTTAGAACATTGTGCCGCAAGGTCATCAACCCTTGAAATCTTACAGTGTCCGCCAAACCATCCCATCTCACGCCACGCTAATGCTTCATAACGTACACAATGCCGCGAAAGGTGCGTCAAACACAAGCCCAGTCGCCGTAGTGACACTCTCCTACTTCTCCGGCTGACCACCCTGCATCATACTCTGCCGCTGCCCATACCCCTGACTCAGAAAACTGCCCATCCCCGCCGCACCAGGATAATTCCCTCCACTCCCACCATGACCCTCAGCCGCCAGTCTGCGCTCGCGATACTTGCGCCCATTGATGATATTCTGCAACCTCTTCCTTTCCCTCGGCTCCACAATTTTAGTCCAGTCCAGGTCCTCCCCGGGCTCGGCGTAGTTAACGATATCCGCCATGGTGCTGGCGGAGATTTGGCCTTGGCCACCGGAGGCTGCGGAGGCTCCCGTGTACATGTGGGAAGAAGTGGATGGAGCGATGCTCGTGCTGCTGTTTTGAGAGTGGTGGTAAGAGGGACGGGGTGGAGGTGTGCTTCCGGGGAAGGCGGCGACGTCGGATTGGAGGCTGGAGATTTGGCGTGGCGCGGTGGATTGGTAGGCGGGTTGGGGAGGTTGGGTGCTGGCTTGGGATCGCTCGTGGTAGAAGAGGCGGAAGTTCCAGGGAGGGAGGCGCTTGTTGCGTTCGTAGAGGAGGCCGCAGTTGTTGCAGAGTGTCTGTGTTAAGCATTAGCATTTAGCATAGGCGATGTAGTTGAGCCAAAACATACCCTTGCTCCTGCCGGCCCATCCCTCACGCCCCATACCGCCGAACCCCAAATCTGGCAGTGGGAGCACTTCCAATACTGCCGCTCGCCGTCCGAAAGCTGACCAGACGTGCCACCAAAACCAGCAATGTCTGGGGTGTCTCTGCCAACAGGCGACAGACTCCTGAAACGCCGCTTCTTCTTCGAGCGCTCGCCGCGACCCATCCGCTCGTCTTCTCCACCAGCATTGGCATTGAACGACGATCCTAGTCCGCCTGAAAAGTAGTCGCCGACCCCACTGCTCTGCGCTTGCAGGCTGTAGGTTGTCGTAAACCGCGCCGTCTCTCTCCGCGCTCTCCTCAGCTGCCTTTCACGATCGCCTTCTCGCCTCTCGATCTCTTCCTTGCTCAGAACCTCGATCTTAGGCTCCCAGTCCATGCCGAGCCCCACTTCATCAAATCGCCAGCCCGCTCCAACTCCGATAGCGGATTCTGCTGTGCCGTGGAATTCACAAGCTTCATTCTCAATCGAGCCCCAGCCATCAACTCCGCTCCCCACCACGCCTGCTAGAGTCCCACCATTGTCGATCATCTCCTTCTTCAGACGTAGACTGGCTTCGTAGATGGCGTGTGTCATGCTGGGCACCCATTCGCCACTCAGTCCCATGTCTGCACAAGTCTGCTTCGCGAAAGTCTCTGCAAATCCAGGAGGATGCATGAGCGACCACTCGAATTTGTCGGTATACAGCCGGTTTTGGAGGTTGATGGATAAAGTGAGGACACATCGGTGGGTGTCGGGTGGATTGTGAACACTTGAGAATGAGGCATCGGGTAGTAATGATTCCGCAGTCACCGCCAGAGCAGGTGTAGAAGTGCCATTAGGCATGGGAGTTGAAGGATCTGAGGTGTGGTGGTTGCCGTTTATTATGGGTGGCTGAAGGCGGGCTGGAGTACCTGCTTGCAATGGAGTGCCGGTGTCTTCGCGAGAGACTGGAGGCCGGGCAGAAGGTGTGGGTTCGTCGGTCGCAGGGGGTGCTGGATTGGCAGGACTGGGTTGAAAGAGTGGATGTAATGCAGTCGCCGCATGCTCTTCTAGCTGCTGTCGTATTTGGTTGGAGATGTCTATTACCATCCCCTGTTTCCGCAGTGCAGGGAAATCCAGCTCGTCCACGAAAGTCTTGGCAAATTGATCGGGTGTCATGAGCGCTTCATGTAGGTTCCACATGAAGCTGTCCTTGAGCCGATATTGTGACGTCGGCTCTGGCGCCTTGTATGCCGGCAGGTTCTCGTCTATCCCAAAGTCCCTGGCATTGTTGGGTGTAGGCAAGGCAGCTTCAGGTCGAAAGGGAGGTACTTCCAGATCTATCCTGATCGGGACGAGTGTGGTTGGTAGTGCAGATTGTACGTGCATCTGCCTCTCCGTCAAGGCCCTCTTCGGCTTGCCCATCCAGTCTCGCCATATGCCTTGCACGTCCACCGGCGCATGCGCCTCTCGCCTGATCTCTTTCTGCGCCGCCTTTGCAGCGTCCGCCTCGACATCCCGCTTCTGCTGTGCTGTTCGCAAGCCCGTCTGCCGCCGAGGACCGTCCGAGTCGTCGATGCTATCGTCCTCGAACTCTTCGGCGTAGTTGATGGCGGTTGTCCCTCGCTTGGTCGTTCGCATAGGCTGTGCGGCCAGCGCCGGTGCGACGGGTGTCAACAAAGAATTGCCATAGTTGCGTATACGCGGTGCGTAGCTCGACACAAAGCTCTGCGGTGCATTGATTCTATCCGTGTTGATCACCGCCATGGTGAGGAATCGCAGGGAGTCGGAGGGGAAAGGTGCTGTCCTGCTATCGACTTATCGGCATCGTTGAAGTCGCCGAGGTCACGCGATCACAGTCGTGAACAGGATGCAGCTTTCAACGGACGGGCGAGGTGGTAGGAAGCAATAAGCAAGGGTCCTGTTCATGGCTGTCGCGCGTCGAGAAAGATTGGACGTGCAGCGCCGGATATACTTAGGTTCGGCCCAGATTTGCTTGGCAGAAGGATCTCCAAAACTCGACTTGAGCGATGAGAGATGAGAGATGCCGTCTGCTCTTTCCAACAACAACAACAACAACAACCACTTCAACATCGGCTCATCCGACTCAGACGAAACGACCGTGGAAGCCGACGAAGTGCTGGATAGTCGAAGTCGACCGAAACTCCTCAGCCCATGGATGATGATACCTGCTCTCAGGACATAGAATGGCCAGCCAAACGCAGGCAACGGACCTGCTCGTTCAAATGGCAACATTTCGCCCTGCCATCCTCTCCACCATCACCGTCGTGAGTTTCCGGCTGTCGCAAGCATCAAGAGTATCCCTACTCGAGACATATCCGACACTTCCTCGCTCGTCTCAGCATCGCGGAGCAAGACTGTGCCGCAACGCGTCTATAGGCTAGCGCGCAGCGCTTAAAACAGCCCCGATGTTTCGCCTCTCCTACACTTCGACCACCACCATGCTCTCCTCTCACCCGCAACACCACTCCTCACATCCGGTCCCAGGCTTCCCGTACGCTGCGTAACATCAACTTCTCGCTCCATCCCTGGCCGTACCTTGCACCTCCCAAAGCTTGACGATGCTTGGTCTTGCGAGACACGATCTGTACCACGAGCAGTCTTGTCGACCAATGACGGCCATCGCAGGGCTCGACGGCCTTTGGACTTCAGCGCGGAGCTGCTTGGCTATGCTACATCCACGGCCTGTAGATGTGATACACAATGTGATCGCCTCTGCCAAAACAATAGGCCGAGTCAATTGTCTCACAATCCCTCCCTTCTATTGTGTTAACGCGGCTCCCTGGCATGCAGCACGATATAAGTCTCTTCTGCCTGTTCTCCTGGCACTTTCTGTCCTCTTCTTTCGTATCGTGCATTTCCTAAAGCTGGTTCTTCTACATTCTTCCTGCCCGAACACGACGCTCGACACTCCTTACTGCATCTCTAGCTGGTCTAGAGTACAAATACCGCAAACGCAAATCACACTCATTACCAGCACTTGTTCGGCAGACGACCGTCCTTACAGCTACTGTTTGAAGACCAGATCTGGACTTGCACTTACATCAACAGCAACATGCATTTCAGCATCGCCACCGTTGCCGCTGCGGCTTTCGCCTTTGGCAGCTTCAGCAACGCTCATCTGATCATGAAGACTCCCGTCCCGTTCGGTGTCGACAGTCTCAACAACTCTCCCCTCAACGACGCAAAGCCTGGCACCAGCGGCTCGGACTACCCTTGCAAGCAGCGTCCTGGGGTCTACGACATCACCAAGATGAACCACATCGCAGTCGACACGCCGACCGAGATGAGCTTCGAAGGCTCCGCGTCGCATGGAGGTGGTACTTGCCAGATCGCCATCACGAAGGACAAGGAGCCAACTGCAAATTCCACCTTCAAGATCATCCAGGTGTTTGAGGGGGGGTGTCCCGTCAGCTCTGATGGAAATGGTGGGACTCATCCATTCTCTTTCAGCATCCCGAAAGACTTTCCAAATGGCGTGATGACCCTGACATGGCTCTGGTACAATCGCATCGGCAACCGTGAGGCTTATCAGAACTGCGCGCCCATCACTGTCACTGGTGGGTCGGACAATGACGATTATTTCGACTCGCTTCCAAACATGTACCTCATCAACTTGCCGACTTCAGAATGCCAGTCGACTCAAGACTACGCATCCAACTCGGTCAAGATCCCACATCCCGGTCAATTCTTCATGCAAGAACCAGCTGGCCAGGACATCGCGCCAGCGTCGGGTCCTCAATGCGCTGCTTCCGCTGCCGCGATGACTGAGGGTGTATCCGGATACAAGGCTTCACCAATCATCACGACGAACGGAGCTGCCTATTCAGCTCCTGGTGGCGCGGCGGCTCCAGAACCCAGCGCAGCACCGTCTGGAAGCTATGGCGGTTCGGCTGCGCAACCTAGTGCGGCACCTTCTGGAAGTTATGGCGGTTCTTCAGCAGCGGCCGGCGGCTCATCGGCGCCTGGTGGCTATTCTGCTCCTGCTTCGTCTGCCGCGGTTCCATCTTCCGCCCCCGCAGGTTCGGGATCACCGTCCGGTATGGTCACGATCTCGTACGGCGCTTCCGGTGGTGCTTCGAGCGCTGCTGCCGGCTCTTCCGCACCTGCCTACTCAGCACCAGCAGCCTCCGGCAGCGCTCAGGCACCTTCAGCAGCCTCTGGCAGTGCTCAGGCATCTTCAGCGGCAGCAGGAACTGCCTACCCAAGCATGGCTCCTTCGTCTGGAGCTAGTGTCGCAGGGCCATCCAGTGCGGCGGCCAGCGCACCTCCAAGCTACGGAGCTTCGAGCGCGGCGGGAGCATCTCCATCTGGCGGTGCTTGCTCGTCAAGTGGCATGGCTTGCTCAGACGATGGGAAACAGTTCGGTCTTTGCGCCAATGGGAAGGAGGTCTGGCAGCCGGTGGCTGCTGGCACTTCTTGCAAGGGTGGACAGATTGTGAAGAGGAATGACACGAGAGACGTACACCTTCGTCGGCATGCGAGGGCTGTGCACAGGCACGTGTCTGAGAGTCGTGAAGGGAGAGCATAGGCGGCACTTTCAAGCGAAGGTTTGCGGCAACCTGTTGCTTTCTTGTCTTACACACCATCGAAATTTGAGCATCTGGATCGGAGTTTCGGGCATTGGTGTTAAGCATAGCATGTTACCATTACACTGCAATGAGAAACGATGATCACGAATTGCCCCATCTTCCCGTTTTCCCATCTTCAATACGGTCTTCGTCCCTTTCTTGTTGCCCGTTCGGTCCTGGCCAATGCGCCGTGTTCACTTCCGTTTCTCGCTCGTTCCGGTTCTTGTTCCTCCCTCTTCAACGCCCGACCACGAGCACGCAAGTCTTCTCATTTTCTCAATACCTCTCTGAGCGCATTCTCCTATATGATCATGAGGACGCCAGTATGTCAGCAGCGTTGCACGTGGTTGTGCGACCAACCATTTCTCCTAAGCGCCCTGTTTGCCGCCAGCTTCTCGCAAGGCCAGCCTCATCCTCCACCCTCGACTGTGCCTCATGCGAGCTGCACGAGACTTCTAAATGGTACAAAATGGCTCTTTCCTTCCTTCTCTTACCGTATCGTATAGTATTCCGTTATCTTATGCTCTACTATGAAAGACACAGAAGCCACATCATCCCCCAAGCACAACACCCTCCTTCACCGAACGGGATGGCAGGTCATCCTCACTCTGGCGGCCACAATGCTAGCCAACATGGCTGTGATCGGTTTCGTCGCCTTTCTATGGTTCGCTGACTACGATAACACGCTCTGGCATCGGATCATGGTCAAGGGCTGGTCGACCAGATCCGTTTCCATCTCAACTTTCGTGCTTCGAATTGCAGTGGATCTGCAAGCTGGGATTGCTGGTGCCATGCTCGCTGCGCTTGTTCTGGAGTCGTGCTCCGTACGGCTTCGGGATGTGGTGAAGGTGTCGACAATGAGGGCTGGCAATCCGCAGCCTAGGACGTTTCTTGACCTGGTCCCTGCCATGGGCATGCCAGAGCTGAAGGGCACGGGCTTGAGATCGATGAGTGAGTACCGTCAGGCAGCTAAGTCTCGAAAGTCAACTAAGGTCGGTGTGCTTGCTCCCAGGCTTGAGCTTAACAGTGTTACTACTATTCACCACGACCACTATGCTACAGTTCAGCTCCACCGCATTACTGTCAGACCTCCGCCTTGGCCAACTTCCCGGACTCCAGTCGAACAAAACTTCTGCATATGACTTCTTGTACGATACCCACGGCCAACCATTCAACGTCTCCCACGGCTACTATGAATATACCGGAGGCGTCTCGTACCCGATCCGCTGGAGAGCGTCAACCTGGACTAGAAATCCACCGGCCTTTCCCGCCTTCGCTGAGTACTCCGAGCCTGCTGAAGTTCCAGCAGGCGTTGACGACACGGGAGTGCTACTGCGAGCCTTCCTTCCGCTCGCCGATGCCGAGTCTCGCGAGGCGATACGCAATTATACCGGTACTGCTATGGTGCTTGACTCTCGTGTAAGTACTGGCTTTGGCATCAGAAAAGGCGTTAAAGGCTCACCAGTGTGTATCAGGTTTCGTGCCAAAGCCCTCACTTCCTGGACGTTTCAGTCTACACGCCGTATGCTGATCTGACTTCGGGCATCCTAACGGGAAATATGCGTGGCATTCTTGAGCCATCCACAGAAGAAGTGCCTCGCCTGTGGACACCGGGTCCCATCCCGTTCGATTGCAGCCCATTCGTGAACGCCGCTTCGGTGACTATATGCCAAATCGGCTACCCATCAGCCAGCTCACTGTTCTGGCAGAGCAGCGGTAGCCTCTCGAGCGAGTTCTCAAACTTGACGCATGATGAGACAAGGCACGCCGTCCGACATGGCCTCTCCTTGTTCTCCCTCCCGATGCTCGTGATCCGCTCGCATAGCTCTCCCATCAGAACAGGCGACAGGCTGAACCAGCAGGTCACCAGTCTCGAGAGCGAAGGCGCCTGGACCAAAGTATCCACGCCTTCGCTCGGTTGGTCTGTCTCGCTGTGCTACTCTGCATGGGATACAGCAGACCTCGAAGTCAACATGTACAGCGCTGAGAAGCGCTCTGAGCCGATCCTCCACTGGACTTCAGACGGCTACTATACCGTACCCGACGTCCACCATCAACTTGGCGAGACAGACCCCTTTGCCTCAAAGGACGCACGTGGTATCCTACAACTCGCTCGGCCAAAGCCAAGGATCCCCAACACGAAGGATGCCATTCCAAACTCCATCAAACCTTTCGTAAAGGACTTTGCCGACCTCGGCGATGAAGGTAACCTGCAAAGAGAATCGCCGTTAGCCTGCTCTCCATGCAGTGCCCTGCTGTTACCTCCCGACACGCCAGCGCTGCAGCTGGGATACAACCGCAGCACCGTCTTTGCTGTCGACTACACCCTCTCCTCCTTTTTCCATCAAGCCCTAGGCGTGAATGGGACAGGATCTGTAGCGAGGGCCATGTCCTCGCTCATCACGACATTGTCGAGCATGGCGTACTACGATCAGATGCCGCAATTTGAAAAGTCTGCTCTGTCAACGCAGGTTTACTTCACGACTGTACTATTCCCGCAGTCACGTCTGGGCTTCTGGGCGGTAGCAATGGTATTAGCTCTCCATATGGGCCTTGTCAGCTGGATTGCGTTGAGCTTCGCGATTTTCTGTCGGAATACGCTTCTTGGGAACTATTGGCATAGTGTTGCACAACTCCTGGGGCCAGAAACGAAGGACCTGTTCTCGAAGACACGGGCGGCGACTGATAAAGATGTGAAGCTTGCGTTGACAAATGTGGGGCAAGAGGATGTAACGGTCGGCCTTCGCAGACCAGAGGGTGAGAGCACTGCGAAATTGAGGATCATGCGGTGGCAGAAAGATGGCTCTTCGCCAGATTCATAGTACATTTAGCCATTTGGCAATTCTAGCCCTTTGTCTTGTATATCATGCTATACCACACACCACATACCACATACTTCAGACTTCTTCTCTTGTAGTCGTGTCTAACCCATCTTCAACAACCCCTTCTCCTCCAAATACTTCGTAATAATCACCACTGCCTCCTCCACACTCGTCTTCTCACTATGAATATGCACCTCAGGGTTCTCCGGCGCCTCGTACGGCGCACTAATCCCCGTGAACTCCTTGATCTCCCCCGCCTTGGCCTTCTTGTACAGGCCCTTGGGGTCGCGCTTCTCGGCCTCCTCGATGGGGACGTCGATGAAGACTTCGATGAAGGGCAGCGGGGAGTCGGTGTTCTTGGTGTCGGCGTGCAGGTCGCGGGCGACTTGGCGGTCGGCTTTGTAGGGGGAGATGAAGGAGGTGAGGGCAATGGTGGTGGAGTCGGCGAAGAGTTTTGCGACCTACGCAGCAATGTTAGCACTCGGCAATGGAATGGGTAGGATGGTGTATGCACACCTCAGCAATCCGACGAATGTTCTCCACACGGTCTTGCGGCGAGAAACCCAGGTCCTTGTTCAGGCCGAAGCGGACGTTGTCACCGTCGAGTCGGTAGGTCTGCAGACCCTGCTTGAGGAGGTGCTGCTCGAGTGCAGTTGCGATGGTCGACTTGCCGGACGCAGAGAGGCCGGTGAACCACACGGTGCAGCCCTTCTGCTTGCGAAGCTCGCTGCGCTCCTGGCGTGTGAGGCCGGCGTGCCATGTGATGTTGCTATCGCACGGTTAGACAATTTTGGCGGGGTCGAAGTGGGATGAATTCGAGAGTCGAGAGACACTTACGTTGCCATTGTGGGTGGTATGATCAGATCAGTATGTACAATTGGTATAGTCCTTCAGCAGCACACGGATCAAAGGTTTAATGGCAAGTTTGACTGGTGTCAACAACGTCTCATCAAACTGCGGTGAGGATGTTGGAGGTGATATATCTGTGGGCTAGTGCTAGTGGGACCCTCTCTAGCTTCGGACCTGCGCCGGCCCTGCCCGACCCTAGAACGAAGAAAGCAGTTAACGTGGTCTTGATTCTTTCTGGCTTGCGGTCAAGTATGCGAAGCCACCACGCCAGCTCGCAAGATCCCCAAAGGTGCCGACGCCTACTCCCCCTCCACCCCCTACGCACCAGTAATCTCCCAAATCCCCAAATCCTGTCCCCTTCTCTCCTTCTTCACCTTGTGCTCCTTCCCCTCTGCCCTCAAGATCAACATAACCTTGCTCGTCAACGCCAGACTCTCCACCAACTCCCGCATCCTCCCGGCCTTCACAAACACCTTCTGCAGCCCATTGTCCTCGTCTTTCTTCTTGCCGTTTGCGATCGAGACACCAAGCTCCATGCTGTCGAGCAGACTGTCTCTCGTGATAAGGTTGCCCGCGGCATGAAGGACGGTGTTGTAGGCTATGACCATCTCGGGCAGGTAGTTCTCGCGGATGATGGAGAGGTCGTGTGCTTCACCCGGGTCCGTGGAGTTTTGGAGTATGCCCTTCAAGATCGGCTTCATTGCCGTCCTGACCTTGAACCAATTCTGCTTGAGAGTTGTGGGCACAGTCGGAGGTTTTGGCATCCTGCCGAGATACTCCTGCTCCGACGACCGCCACTCGGACATGGCGTCTAAGGCAGTCACAAGCTGCGCGAGCTCGTAGTAAGTATTCGATTGCTGCTGCATGAGATTCCAGCTTAGAGCTTCTTCGTGGTCGTGAGGCTCAGCGCTGCTGTCCGCGAAGTTGACAGCGCGACCGAGGACCTCGTAAGACTTGCGATTCGAGACCTGGTCGTATGGGAATGCTTCCAGAATCATCCGTGCGCATGTCAGATGGCCGGTCACTGCGAAACGTTAGCGTAAGTAGTCTTGTAGGGGTATCTGCCACATACCTAGAGCTTTCCTCATCGCTACCGAAAGCGCCTCGAACATAGGCTTCCACCCCCCACGCATGTGCTGAAACCACTGCAGCACACTCACCATCGCTTCATCCTCAGGAGAAGCATCCTCGGATATGAAGCCAACAATGATCTGCTGGCCAGGATGCATCTTCGTGTCCGCAATCTTTTCCAGCATCCGCAGAGGCTGCGGGTGGGCTTCTGACCCAAGCGAATGGCCAACCACCCATCTCAGTTGTTCCGAGAGAATTGCGACAACGTCCAGTTCGTACTCTTGCAACAGCCCCAACACGCGCACTTGCTCCTGCGAGTCCGTGATGTCCTGGAGGTACCGACCGAGCACGAGAATATATCTCCCTTGCTGCAGTTTCGACGCATAGATGGGTATGAGGTCGCGTTTGCCGGCCGCTCGCAGGGCCTGAATATACGCCACTAGAACGTTCTCGTCTTCCAGGAGCTCGTCGCCTTCGAGGCCTTCAAGATAGTGCGGGCTCAAAGCGCGGTGGACAATCGACATGTGCGCCGCTATCCTCAAGGTCTGTGGGTCGAGTGCCACCTCCGTTTCTGGCAATGGCACGCCATCTTGACGGGCCTGACGGTCCCTGAGGAAGATCACGTCTTCAGGTCCTTGCAAAGCAGCAGTTTCTGCAATAGATGCGCCGACCGTGTGGACCAAGCTGCCGACTTCGTCCGCCAAAAGGTAGCTCTGGATGATCTTCATTGGCTGCGAAGCCTCCTTGCTGGTCGAAGAACCCTTTCGCAGGCGCAGGATCAGGTCTTGAATTGCGGCCTCAGCTTGTTCGGGATCTCGAAGGGAGTCGTCGGTGACGCTGCGCCGCCACTGCGAAGGTACAGCCTTCTCGGGGCAGGTCGAGAGCAGGTAGTTGTCAAACTGCTTCAGTAGCGCGCTGTTGTAGTGTGCGTACAGGTGGTCGTCGACAGTGCGGCAGACTTTCTCCACAGTCTTCACATCGCCACCAAGCAGGCCAAATACTGCTGCTTCATGATCGCTTGCCAAGGTTGAGCGTGATGCCATTCGACTAACTTGTCTGAAAGCGGAAGTAGAGAGGGTAGGATCAGTGCGATCCATGGCAGCACTGACAGCCACTGCGCGCCAGCCTTCTTTTCGCTTTTCGAACCACTCGCATATGTCATGCCATGGCGTTCCGCGACGAAGCATTTCCCAGCACGCGATCCACATAGCACGCTCGAAGTACGCGTCCGGCTTCTCCAGTGTTCGCTCTTGTCGTGTAGCAGCATCAGGGTCCAGGGTCGTCACGAGTAGATCATTGTTGTCAGAGCGTCGAATCTGCGGTAGAGGCGAGTCCGCAGCGTTCGGCCACGAGCGTATCCTCTTCTCGCCCTTGATCTTCTCGCGTGTGTGCAGCCAGCCAGAAGACCATAGACCCTTCCCTCTGCCGGCTTTGGTCTCGAGTTCCTCCATGATGCCCTGCAAGTCGCTTTGCTGGTGGTACGCCGTCCGCTCGAGCCATTGTTTGATATCGTTCCGCTCCCTTGCCAGCTTGTCCTCAAGCACGAACCGATCCCACAGATCTCCTTCGGGTGCATAGCGATGTGGAGGCGCGAGCTTCGCCAAATTCGCCTCATCCTCCTGCCGCCGCTCCTCTGCGTCCGATTCGAATGGGTGCAGGTTCAGCATAATCCGGAACAGATCCCAAAGATCCGCTTCTTGCTGCCACGACCGTAGCTCCGCCACCTGCTCTTTCTGCCTAGCACTCAGCTCCGCCGAAGTCGTCGCAGCGAACGGTCTCGACATTGTAGATGTACCCGACGCGCGCGCCTGCTCGCTCCATTCTTGCCTCAACTGCTGCCGTAGCTCCCGCTCATACTGGCTCTTCAATCGCTCCACGACATCATTCGCAATGTCCCGGAAATTCAGCACGAGGTCGAATACGGCTCCGAAGCGGTTCTCCACAGCAGGCAGTTCAGTGAAGAACTCGTCCAGCGTCTGCGCAAATGTTTCGACCTCCTTTCCCACTTTGTCCGCCATGGCGCGTAGCGGCTGTACTGCTTCTTCGACATTCGGCAGGCTCTCGGGCGTTGCAATGTCATGCTGGCTTTCCGAGTGTCGTGTTGACCCATTGACCTTCGCACCGGCTCCGAGCGAGAAGTTCCAGGTTTCATCTGAGGGCTCTTTTCGTGATGGTCTCTTGCGATGCACTTGTTTGGCAATACCACCGCCGCCATACGACGATGTAGTTCGTGTGATTGGCGCCATGATGTTGTTGGACTTCAATGTTGACACGAAGAAGCGCAGACATGTGAGCTTCACGTCCAAGCTGGCGAACGACTAGCGCGATTTTGGTGGAAAACGACGTCACGTGATACAAGAATTCGATTGTTTGCAATTGAGATGGCAGGGCCGTCTGCAGACAGCATTGAGAGTCAAGGATATACGAGCTTCTTGCATACATCTTCTGAAGATGGCACTTCTCCAACTCGTTACCACATCTTCCGGGTAAGATGCCAGCTACTTTTTCCCCTCCACCAAATCCCGTTCAGCACGGGATATATCCCACCAAAGCGCCGTTGAACGCCTCTGCGCAATGCATCGAGCACTTGATACTACGCTATATGCGCCTCGTCTTCCTCCATCCCGATCACATCTAGTACACCTTCTTCTTCTCGTCGAAGCTGACCTGGCCTGGACCCATGTTGACCAGAAGCAACAGTCCACCCACGATGGAGAGGATCTGGAAGAAGTCGTACTTCGCAAAGTCCTTGTGTGGGTGGTGTGGGTGTAGCTAGACTTGTTGTCAGTACTGGCGACAACTTCCATCCCACTAATTGCAAACTTACCGTCCAGAAGTTGTTGACCAAGATATTGAAAATGCTCAGGATCATCACCAAGATAATTGCACTCCACTTCGCCTTGAAGCCCACCACAACCATCACACAAGCCACCAATCCCACCACAATCACAAATATCCTCCCAACGCTCCAGTCTCCCGCAAACACAAACCCAATGAACAGGAAGATCAACAACACACGCCCAGCGAGCTGGAAGTACATCTTGCGATCCTTTTCGTCCAACTGCGGCAGCCCGGCCGGAGCGAACTTCTTGCGCACCCAGCTGTCGGACAGGACCATCAGGAGCCCGCCCATGACGCTGAGGTTGCGCAGGAAGAAGTTGAGGTCGAAGATGAGGCCATAACCGAGGGCTTGCGTGACGACGACGCCGATGAGGCCCATGACGGCGTACTCGCTGTAGCGGCGGATGATGATGAGGAGGGAAGAGGCGGTCATGGCTATTACGTTGAGGATGAGGAAGAGGTGGGTGATGCCTCCGGGGACTGAACAGTGTCACGTTAGCTCATGTACTCTCCCCTCTCTAGGTCCCGCAACGCAACTGTGTGGTGTCGGTCCAACTTACTATGCCTATAATCGTGCAAATAAACCAGCTGATCGGTCCACTGTGTCATAATCCGTAACGCGTCCTCCAAGAACGTCACCACGATCAAGAATCTCCCAATCGCCGGCAGGTATGGCTTGACGGGGTCTGATATGGTGTCCAGCCAGTCCTCAATCTTGCTCGTCTGCTCCCGGATCGCGTCGAGCGGTGAAGGGTCGTTGGTCGCATCTGAGCGTCCCATGCCTGACGAGCCGCCGAAGTTGTTCTGGCTGCCGAGATGGTACCCAGCGGTACCTCGAATTTGCGCCATGTTGGTGAGTGTGGTTGGCCAGCCGGGGGTTGGTGGAAAGGTGAGGTTTGAGCGGAAGGTGGTGGTGACCGGATGCGGTCTGGGCGCTATAGGATCAACAAACCGCTGCTCGGCAGCGTTGGAGTACGAGGATGATGAGGGTGTGAGAGCTGGTGTGAGGCCTGGAGGTGGTGGTGAGGTGCTGCCGGCAAGACTGCAAGTTGTTCAGATGGCGTCCCTCGAAAACGAATTGTGGGGTGTTCCTGCAGGGCCGACTGGCGAGCTGGACTGGACTGGCCTCCTTTTGTTCGAGAACCACTGGCCGCTTCGAGGATTCAAACAAAGGAGCAGATGTGACTGTCGAGTAGACTTCGACTGTGCTACCTGACTGTACAGTATTAGTACTCACGTCAACACAGTATCGTTTGGCAAGAATAGAAATAGAAGTCATTGCTGATCTGCAGGAGGGTCAATGCTTGAAAGCTGACTTCAGACGATTCTATGTCCGCGGCTCCTGCTTCACGCATGAGGATGATCAGAATAGGGCAACATCAGCTCGATTCAATGGGTATAGTATGCTGATTCCAGTAGAGGTCTGTTTGCATGTTGGGTCTGTGATTTCAATCTCAAGCGCCAAATCGTACAGTACAGCTCCCACAAAGCCCGCTCTCCCAAACGCTGCTACAGAAGAATCTCCATTTTCCCGACCGTCCCATATCCTCGCTGGTGTTGTGCCCGTTTCGCCAGAACAGCGCCCTTGCTTGCCAGCCAATTTTGTAGCCCAAACAACCGACGAGAGATGAAGCACTTGTGGCCTCCAGGCCCCTGAGAGCGCACACCAGCCCGGTGAAAGGATAAGACTCCGACAGACGACGTTCGTCCAAGTGCATTGCACTGTGTGCCCGTCACAACACTCATGCGTCCCAGTTAGAGGCATCGCTAGGGTCGGCATCGGCGCGCTGCTCATACTCCACCTCGAGCGCCTGGAAACCTTTCGGCTTGCCGTTCACAGCAGGCTTTGGTGGCGCTGCGTTCGTCTTGTCGGTGAGGACTGGTTGCTCAACGGTATTGCTGTCGCCATCAACAGCCTTCTTCTTTTGCTTCTTCGGCTGAGCCACGGTAGTCCAGCCCGACTCGTCCTCGCTCTGTCTCATGGCCTGAGCTAGCTGGTCCTCTTCAGACACCGCGCCATTGATAGGCCCATTGGATGTCGTGCTGGTGGCCGCGGTGCTGAGTGCTGGGCCTCCATTAGAGCTGCTGGTGGACTCAGCATCAAAGGTGTCCAGCAGCGGCGCGTTGTTCTCGGTCGCTGCTGGTGTTGTGGCATTGCTGCTGGTGGGCGCTGTCGAAGCCACCCAGGCGCTCTTTGCAGGTGGCTTGGAAGCAGGCATTCCGTTCCGCGCAGGCTCGCCACGTGCCTCTCTGGCCGCCCGTCGTTGTCTCTCCTCCAAAGCCTTACGTTGCTTCTCGTCCTCCTCTCGTTGGATTCGTTGCGCCTCCACTTTCTGGCGGTTCTGTCGCTGCTTCTTAGATTCAACGACTTGCTCCTTGGACTGCTTTTGAGCCTTCTCCTTCTGGGGCTTGGTTGGCGCGGTCACACGCAGGGTTGACGGACCAGGCGCAACTGGCTCCAACATGTCCGCCACGTCGCCAGCATTCAACGATGGCGAGACAGCTGGCGAAAGATCATCATCCGCCTCAGCTCCAGCTTGTGAGGAGCCGGAAGAGAGGTCAGGGGTGTTCAAGGCGCTGCTCTGCTTGACCGTCTTCACCCTGTTGTCTTTGCGCTGGCTCGAAGAGATGTTGGTCCCTTTCCGGTTCTGGGCCATCTGCTCGGCGAATTCTCGTGTGTTCATATCAACCTCCTCCGGCTCGTCTGCGCTGACCACCACTGCTGGTGTCTCGCTGGTCTGTGTGGGCTCCTTTGTCTGCACCTTGCGCTTCCTCGCCGGTGCATTGCCTCCTTGTCGAGCACTTTCTGCTGCCGAGCTGCTTCCAACATCCACATCGCTAGCGTTTTTGCTGAGCCGGTTACGTACATCCTGCTCGTTCTTCCGTCTCCTGCTAGTATTATCTGTGCTGTCGCGTCGCTTGCTGGCCCCTGTTTGATCGTTCGGCCAGTAGTAGAAGGCACATCCCACTGCGGCCGCGCCAAAGAGTCCCCAGCTCAGCGCCACCTGATATGTATCCATGTTTACGTGTCAATGGCGGTGGTATATCTTGTTGCAATCTGGACTTGTCAGCAACCGAGTGTAGTACCGATCTTGAATGTTACCTACGCGTGTGAACCGTCGGTGCGGTGTGTTGTGACGGCGATGATTTGGGACGTGTGGTCGCGGTGAGTATGTTGCTGAAGCAGAAGGGAGGCAATGCACCTGCCAGTACGATCGCCAATGTCTGGGCGATGCAAGGGCGCGTGGCGACAGGAAGCTGCTGCCAACGACGAGTGGAGCGAGTGTGGAATGGCAGACGAGGCCAGGCGGTAGAGAAGAAGAAAGGGCAAGGTGAAGGGACAAAGAAAGGGCAAGCTGGACTGTTCGACGCTGCGGATGATGATGGGGGGAGGTTCTGGGTGGGAGACGAGACGCCGTCAATTGAAACCGCCCAGGGATCTGCGAATGTGAATGCGGAGGCGACCCCTACTCTCGAACAGGGGCTTTCTTCTCGCCAAAGGTGACACGACAACCACTCTTCCAATTCGACGCACCACCTGTTCAATATCCGGCTAATTGTTCTGTGAAGAGACACATATGATTTCATGCACTCAGCCTGTCTCCCAATACACCTCCGCTGCACGGCTACTAATGAACCCGAACCCGTTACGCGTCGATTCCCCCCGTCATGCTGCACGTTTCTCGCCACCCACCGTAACAGGAAGGAGGGATTTCACTTCGGGAAGGTCTTCCAGCCTGTCCCTCATGTGACCAGAGGCCTGTCCTAGAGCCTGTTACGAGAATACCACCCAACTTCGGGAACCGGCATTCTCGTACCACGCAGCTTGACTTCCGGGATACGAGCCTACTATCATGTTGCGGCTCCGAGGACGATATGGCATCCCCGCGGCGTTCCTGTACGGCTACATGTATATACCTGTCATATAAGAAGCTCAATGGCCGAGACGACCTCCACGATTAAGGCCTCCAAGCTGAAAGCTGCGGTGCACGGGTTTCTTATGATTTCACGTGCCGCTTCTGCCTCCTAAGCGTCGCACACACTTCAGAGCTTGCTCAGTGCTCTGTTCCGGAACGCCTGAAGATCACGAGTTGAGACTGACGAAGATACTGAGGAAGTGATCCTGAACAAGTTAATCCTAGGCTCTTAAGAGTATGATGAACCATGCAAGGAAGAGACCGACGCAAGTGAGGAAGACCAGATGACATATTGGCATTCTGACATCGGATACCGCTGCTTCTCTCGTTTCCAAACTCGCCGTCAGTCTGGAGGCCAACCGCGCGTCTTGCCGGTACGATGTTGAAGAGAGCCAAGCCACGAGGACCCGGCCGTGAGACAGCCAGATATCATGCTGGCATAGTTTCCTTGCACTCCAGCAGTTGAAGGAGCAACGAGCGAACGACAGAGAGTAGCACGCTGTATCGATGCTGAAGCGTCGTCTGGTTCAAACCAGCTAAGTTGCTTATCTACCTCTCATTAACCCAAGCGCTCGCAGAATGGTATATCAAAATCCACATCAACCTGAACATGAGCTCGCTTCAACCAACAACACATCCAAGCAATTCACAAAATCATTTCGAGAGTTCCAAGATCCCAACCCTCTTCACTCGACTCGAACTCCGATCCCGCTTCCGATACCACGCAAAGTCCTTCTCCTTCTTCGGAGGCTCGAGCAGCAATTTGCCGGCCCGCAACCGCCTCGTATGCTCGAACAACACCTCTGTCTCGTACTTGTCCATCTCGCGGAGGATGATGATGTAATTGCGGTCAGCCTGTTCCCAAACTCAGTAATGCTGCGCTTTCACCGCCTGTGACAATAGTACTCACGCTATCATATTCGTACGGAATATCATAATACGTCAACGTATCGATCGAGATGAAGTCGCGATGGATCTTGGCGTAGGTCGGGCGATGTGAGCCGTAAGTTCTCGTCATCGTGGTCGTGGTCGTCATGTTGCTTGTTGTCGGCTCGTCCTTTTTGTCCTTGATCATGCGCTCGATCTGGTCGTACGTATATCCATGCTTGGATAGCCGCTTCCGCATCTCGTCCTCCACCCTCTCCTCTTCGGCCTTCTTTTCAGCCTTCTCTTTTGCCTCCTTCTCCTTCTGTTTTTGCAGGAACTCAGCCCACTCGCGCTCCTCTCTTTCCTTGGCCTCCTTCTTTTCTCGCTCAATCTTCTCTCGTATCCGCCTCTCCTCTTCTTTCCTGTCTTCCTCATCCTCACGCTGTCTTCTCTCGTACTCGTCAATGATGCGCTTTCTCTCTGCCTTCGCCTCCTCCTCATCTGCCTTCCTCTTAGCCTCTTCTTTCACCCGCTGCAACTCGTACTTCTCTTTCATCCTGTCTTCCTCTCTCTGCAGCATCTCTCTCCTCTCAATTTCCTGCAGCCGCCTGTCGCGATCGCGCAGCTCGTACTCCAGCAGATCATCTCTCCGGCTCAACACACCTGCATCCGATCGGCCACGCGACCGCGACCGTAGTCTTCTATTCTCCAAGGCAAGGTCTGCGAAGTCATCCACGAGGTCATCGCCCAGTCTGCCGTGCCCGCGATAGTCGGAGCGATGGTCAGAGCCGCGAGAGGAAGGTGGTGATCGTGAGTTGTTCCGGAAGCTGCCGTCTTGAATCATGTCATTGTAGACGTTCACCACAGGCACCGGCGCACCGCCTTGTGAGCGAGAGCGGTGCAGCCCACCTCCATCTATGTGTGGGCTGAGGAGCTGGTTGGCGCGCCTGTCTGAGCGGTAGCGGTGGGGTGATGGTCGCCTTCGCCGGATGTAGTCGTAGTCGTCGTCGCCGTAGTAGGACATCTTGCCCTCTGCGACCGCGACGGTCGTATGCTTGTCCTTCGAGAGTTGTAGCTTCTGCGCCTGCTGTCGAACGGGTTGCCTCGGTTGCGCCGACGGAATGCGGGTGTTGTATGAAAGTTGGTCTTAGGCAGGAGAAAGTAGGAGAAGAGACGGAATGGTCAGGAGAGAGGAGCAAAAGAGATCAGGCGATCGCTGTCTTGCGATACCAAGCTGGAGCTGAACAGGTGGTGGGGCCAGATGAACAGAGCGGAAAGTGGTGTGCAGTAGCGTAGGTACCTTTGACTGACCGGAATGGCTCATACTTATTAACATCGACCTCCCATCGTCCGAGACAGCGTCGGCGAGGAGTCATCAGAGACAGTGCATCATGCCATGCAGCCCTCGTGCAGCTGCAGTGTCTCGTCTGCGCCTTTGGCGCGCGAGGATGTGTGGTGCAGGTGTTGGAAGGCTGAGCCTTGTCGGTGCTTGTCCCACGCACGCTCCCCGCGCCATTGGAACTGGGAATGATCGGCTTGCAGGGCTGTTGAGACCGTATCCCGAGCGGTCAATTCAAGCAAGATAGCACAGCAATTACATGCAACCACACACCACGCCTTCAGCACCTTCCGTCTGTCGTCTCCTCGAGACAGAACCGATTCACCAGAATATCTGAGCAGCAAAAGCCAGCAACCCGAAGCCGAGAGTCCGTCGTCTCAGCCACAGGATATGCAAGCACCGCCAGGAAGTCGTTTGCTAGTAACTGCCTGATCGGGTAGGCGTGGCTTCCTTTATATCCAGATATATCCTACAGACTTGCAGGATGTTCATCCATACATGTAGATCTGCAGAGCTTTAATGGCTATCTTCATCTCCCGCTATACAAGCTCAAACTCATAGAACACATAGGGCTCATACCCTTGATCCATGCCGAAACCCGCGCTGGCCATGTCTTGCTGCATGCTCGAGTCGTCCTTGACGGGCCGACCTTTCTTGTCTCTCATCATGGCGTTGCCGCCGATGTCTGAGAATCGAGCGTCCAGGGAGCCTTTGGCCTTCTTCGCCCGCTTTGGATCGGTCTGTCACAGACAATACTGTTAGCTTCAGGACTCACAACATCACTCCCAGTAGAACATACCTTGATTATCCCACACACAAAGCTCAACGGCAGCCCATACCGCAAGACTGTCTCCACAAACACCCTCAACGTCAACACATGTATCCACCCCATCATCGCATCGCTATACCCCGTCCTCCCCAACCTCAGCGCCTCGCCCCACACCTTCCTCTCCTCCTTCTCTAGCTTCTGTAGCTCCTTCTCCTCCCCCTCTCTCCCACCATCCGAGAACTTCATCTCCCGCGGTGTCCACCGGTGTTCTCGACACTTGTGCACAAACTCCGCGCTATGCTTCTTGAACACCGTCACCACGTACAGCAAAAACTCCTCATCTTTCGCGAGGAGTTGTGCGCTCCGTGGCACGACCATGGGACTTATCTGCTCATAGCTCTTCAAGAAGTCCTTCCCCAGTGCTGTCGGCACGGCAATGAGGTGTTGTTGTAGGTACTCTGACTGATCGGGCTTGAGCAGCGCTTCAGGGTTGACGATCGTGGCGAGCGATTTCTGCGAGAGGTTTCCGGTTTGGCTGCGTTGGAGCGAGGCGAGGTTGGTCTTGGTGGTGTTGTACTGGTTGAACTTTTGCTTGACGTCGTTGTCGACGGCGGAGAGGTCTTTAGATAGCATGTCGATGAGCTCCGAGAGGGGTTTGTCGGCGCGATATTTGACCTTGTTCCATTGGAAGGATTGGAGGTAATTTTCTACGGGTCCTGGATCACATAATTAGCACGCAGATAGCCTTGAGCGTCGCGTGTGTGCTGCCGTACTGTCATTCACCACCTTCTGCTCCTGCAGTTTCTCCTCGTCGCCCTCGAGTAGACTCCGCAGCGAATCTGCGATCTTGTCGACCACGCCTCTGCAGCCCTGCTCCAGCTTGACCAGGTCGTCTGCTTGCTGTACTAACGCATCCAGCGTGCCAACTTTGAACTCCGGGATGTTGAAGGGATATGTCGTGCCATGGTCGCCAGTGACCGCAGACCGCAGTGCTGTCAAGGCCTCGTCTCGCTCGCCGGAGGGTGATATCGAGGTGGGCAAGGAGACGAGGAAGAAGGTTTGAGGAGGCATTGCTGCCAGTCAATATAGAGAGTCGATCAAGCAGTGTCGTCTGGTTGTTGTTGAGCTGCAGATGCCTTATTTTGTTTGGTTAGAGGTACCTGCTCGGCGGGACGTCACAGCCTGCGGTGAGCTTGGACTTTGGAGAGCGGACGTGGGGGACCATTGGCTGTATACGGCTCGGAAATCCAGCGACGACATCTGAACTACATAAGGTGGACGGCCGCTCAGTGATCCAAACCTTTTTCACGACCTGCTGCTGGTCGCAGATCGGGCGGTGCGACAAGATGGCGCTCCCAGGGCTCGCTCCTCGAGCATTGAGGCCGCTCAGAGAAGCTACTCCTGCTTGCCGCCCATCTTATCGCACAATCTCCGCGCGGGCATGCCCACAACCAAGGAGAGTAATACTGGGGCAAACAACTGTCATCGGAGCTGCAGGTCGTAAGACGGATCCCATCCGACCGGTTCCAACACAAGGTCTACTACAGCAACGGCGACAGCAGAGCTCGACCGCGACGCCAGCGCCGACGTTCTACACCGAAGAGGAACCCGGCAGAACAGCGCTATACGACCTCCACCTGAAGCATGGCGGCAAAATGGTGGAGTTCGGCGGCTACTCCATGCCAGTGCAGTATGGCGACTTGTCCATCACCAACAGCCACAACTGGACAAGAGAAAAGTGCTCGCTGTTCGACGTTGGCCACATGGTGCAATACCACTGCGACGGACCTGGCGCTGAGTCGCTTCTCGAGACTGTCACGCCTGCTGGATTGAAGGACCTGGCGCCCGGCCAATCTACGCTCTCTGCGCTGCTACACCCAGTCACGGGTGGTATTGTGGACGATTGCATGATCACGCGGCTCGAGGAAGGGCCGAAACATTTGTTCTACGTCGTCACGAACGCCGGCAATCGAAAGAAGGACTACGATTTCTTCAATGCTGCCATTGAGAAGTGGTCAGACACCATGAACCCGTATGTCCAGCTCAGGCATTTGGAAGCTGAAGGCCAGCCTTTCGGACTGGTTGCACTACAAGGCCCGCTTTCAGCCGAGATACTAGGCGCGGCACTCTCCAGCGCTTGCAAGGTCGACGTCAGTAAATGGTACTTTGGCAATACTAAGCACATCACGCTTGCCCTTCCCTCTGGTGAGAGCCTGCCGATTGTGGCAAGCCGAGGTGGTTATACCGGCGAAGACGGCTTCGAGCTTTCGATCCACCCATCACAGACCATCGAAGCCACGGAGCAGCTGCTGAAGGTTGGAAGTGAGGACAACCTTCGCATGGCCGGTCTGGGAGCGAGAGACAGTCTGCGTCTGGAGGCCGGCATGTGTCTCTACGGGCATGACATAGACGACAGCACGACTCCTCCAGAAGCAGCGCTTAACTTTATCATTCCGAAGCACAGACGAACAGCAGACGACATTGGCTTCCACGGTGCGGAGACAATCATACCTCAGCTGACGCCAGTCTCGAAAGGCGGCAAGGGAGTATCAAGACGCCGCGTGGGTTTGATTGTCGAAGGTGCACCTGCCCGTGAAGGTGCTGGCGTTGTCAGCCAGGAAGGCAAAGCAATCGGGACGGTCACATCTGGCTGCCCAAGCCCGACGTTGAAGAAGAATATTGCCATGGCATATGTGGAGGACGGGATGCACAAGTCTGGGACTGAAGTGCAGGTTGTGGTGCGGGGGAAGAACAGGAAGGCGACGGTCACCAAGATGCCGTTTGTGCCAAATAAGTTCTACAGAGGGGCGATGTAGATGGTCGAGAGCAGAGGAAGGTCGCTGATCTGCATCAGCTTGGAATGCGTTGGCGAATGCAAGTCGTCTGCATTCTTCTCTGTTCCCAGGCTGCCTACTACTCCATTGTCCGCTATCTACGCAATTTCGTACAACTGTCTTAATTCATGTTCTTCTTACCTGCGAGACAACAGCAGCGGAAGTTGATGTGAGATAGTAGGTCTTTCAATGCGATCACGCAAATAGAGTTTCTCGACACGTGACTTTCGCGCTTCGGCGATTGCGTTGCGACGATCCCGACGTTCGGCGCGTCAGCCTCGTCGCGCTTCTCGCAAGTGGCAACCGCGCATGATAACTTCATCTTCATCACCACCATCATCACCACCATTCTAGATGCAATAGAAGCGCGGTCAAGATGAGCACCGAAGCAGAACAGTCGCAGTACGATGATGGCCTGGCCGGCGGTCCTGGCGCACCAACGCCACTTTCTGCGCTCGATGTACGCAGATCAGACGAAGAATACCCGCCTTGAACGCTCCAGCTAACGATATCACAGGGCATGGCAGGTCTCACCAAACGGGACATACAGCTGTTCATCGATGGCGGATACAACACAGTCGAATCAGTTGCATACACGCCAAAGAAGCTTCTGCTGGACATCAAAGGCATATCAGAGCAGAAGGCGACCAAGATCCTAACGGAGGGTACGCATGAGCTATGAGCAACCAGTGCTACCAAGCTGACCTGTCTACAGCTTCGAAACTCGTTCCAATGGGCTTCACGACAGCCACAGAGATGCACGCGCGTCGATCCGAACTCATCTCCGTCACCACAGGCTCAAAGCAACTCGACACTCTCCTCGCAGGCGGCATCGAAACGGGCAGCATCACCGAGATCTTCGGCGAATTCAGAACTGGAAAATCGCAGATCTGCCATACGCTTGCCGTGACGTGCCAGCTACCGTTCGACATGGGCGGTGGCGAAGGCAAGTGTCTGTACATCGATACCGAAGGCACATTCAGACCTGTCCGACTGTTATCTGTGGCGAACCGATACGGCTTGAGCGGCGAGGAAGTACTTGACAACGTTGCGTATGCGCGAGCCTACAACTCAGACCACCAACTTCAGCTGCTCAACCAGGCCGCGCAGATGATGACCGAAACCCGCTTCTCGCTACTCGTGGTGGACAGCGCGACGTCACTCTACCGAACAGACTTCATGGGCCGCGGCGAACTCAGCAGCCGGCAGACCCATCTTGCAAAGTTCATGCGTACGTTGCAGCGACTGGCAGATGAGTTTGGTATTGCTGTGGTCATCACCAACCAGGTCGTCGCGCAGGTCGACGGAGGTCCTTCTGCCATGTTCAACCCAGACCCGAAGAAGCCTATCGGCGGCAACATCATCGCTCACGCATCCACGACAAGACTATCACTGAAGAAGGGACGAGGCGAGACCAGGATCTGCAAGATCTATGATTCGCCGTGTCTACCAGAATCAGACTGTATGTTTGCCATTAATGAAGATGGTATCGGGGATCCTAGTCCCAAGGATCTGGAGAAGGACTGATGCGGCTATCATTGCGAGGTGGAGGAAGAAAGAAAGTCGTGTGGTCGGGTTCGAGAGAGGAAGCATTAGCGTGTGCGCTGCGTCGGATTGCGAAGCATGAGCGAGAGAGTATGGAGTCAACAGGATTGCTGGAAGGACTGTGTTTGCATTTGCTTTTGGGCTTACGATGATACTCACGCGCGAGGAGATATGTAGACGAACGTAGTAACTTTGTATTGTTGAAGTGCACAAGATGCATGCTTCTGCTCGAGAAGCCCATGTGACAGTCTTGGCGGGCGGACGCGCTTCGCGACTCCTAGCTTGAGCTTCAACTTCAAATCTTCGTTTCTGTCGCATCCACCAGAACGACCGCCGCGACAATGGCTCCTCCTCCAAGCATACACCAGGAGGCACGCCTCTCACCATCGCCTGGTGTCCCTTCTCAGATCCTCACCATCGACACCACATCCGATCGTTTGCAATCGAGTGCATTTGCAGCTGGCCGCAAGAGAGGCTTCCATGAGGTTGGGGGCTTAGACGAGGAGAACTACGCGCGCAAGTACCTGGCGACCGAAGGCTCCGTTTTCTTTCGGCGTCAGGAGAGAGCGCCGAGGAGCTTTCTGTGGCGTGTGCTGGAGGATGGCAAGGTGCTCGAAGTACAGTCAGTGGACCTGGTGCACGACAAGGCGACGAAGAGCGAGAGCTGCTTGACTTTCCGAATTACGCTGTCTCACGCCGTGATCAAGAACGGAGTTGCGCTGGCGGATCCCGATGAGGTGGATGCGCTGGAGATATTCGCGCTTACAACCAACAATGACATCTACACCATCACTCTCAAACGCGACCTTCTGGCACGCGAGACTCCCCCAAGCGACTTCGACGCAAAAGCATGCTTCAAGAAGTACGCCTCAAATTCACTCGCATTCCGCCATCCTTACCGCTTCGTCGCTGTAAGCAGTCTTGAGCTACTCATATCCCTTCACGATGGCGGCCTGATGCGCCTAGTCCGTCAAACGAACCACACCGGGGCGCAATGGCGCGAGACATTTTTCAGCGAGGGGGGCTGGTCGGGTACGCTGCGTGGGTTGATACCGCTGAGAAGATACCAAACAATACGATATGGAAACATAGAGCTGGAGCCAAGCGCGATAGCTGCAATGGCGAAGAGTCCCGATGGGAAGCACATCTGGACCGTCAGCCTGGATCATGAGTTACGTGCTTGGAGTACCGAGACTGGAAAGCGAGTCGAGCAGGAGGACCTTTTAAGCGACACACCAGAGCAGGAGAGGAAGAAGCAACAGGGACAAATGATGAGCGCAGAGCAAGGGACTATCCTCCAGATCGTGACTCCGCCCGCTGCGAGCGATGGGAGACAGCTGACTACGACGGACGGAACTCACAGCGAGGACTACTATCTGGTGCTTCATTCTCCGGAGGATCACCAATTCAAGTTCTACTACGTCAAGCCCTTTAGGATCCCTCGGGATGGACGACAGTTCAGCAGACTGAAAGACGTCCGTGATGGCGAACAGCTCATACCACCCATCGATGAACTAATGGATACGAACATCTGGCACTTGGAGGACTTTCACATCCAGTCTGGTGTTGAGTGGCTTAACACGAAGCTGTGGGTACGCGCGCGGTCCGGTACCCTGTGCCAGACGTTCAGCATGACATTCGACCTCATGCGAACAGAAGATGATGACACGACAGAACAAGATGTTGCTTGGAGGAGTGGGTGGACAGTGGTGGAGCAGGGGAACCGGACGACAGAAGGTGTTCGACAATCTCCGAACTTCCCGGGCGAGCTCGAGGACTTTGCGGGTGCTTCGGTAACGCCAAGCGAGAGATGGCTGGAGTTTCTCTTCAAGCCAGGCAGGTTCAGTGTGGCCTCGCTCGAGGCGGCTCTACATATCTACCGAAAGGGGCGGAACTTGACCTCTGGTCTTGCCGGCAGAGGTCTGAATGCGCCAGAAGCACCGCTGAAGGAACGCCTCGCGCAAGCTGTCACGTCCAAAATCATCTTGCGTCGCTCAGCAAACGATCAGCCGGACTACGATCGATACCAGGCCGATATCCAGAGTCAGTGGAAGACTTTCTTTTCCCTCCTGGCCCACCTCCATGGCCGTCGCAACGAGACTATTGGGTTCGCGTACGATCCCGTCGACGAATTGCCATGGACTGTTGGTGCCGACTTTGTGGCTCCAATCCGGAGGAACGACGCGCTGGAAAACATATCTTTGAACCCGCATCTCGTACCCGTAGACATAATGCAGACGACAGAAGAGCACTTGGTCAAGGCGATCTTCCCAGACACCGAGTTAATGTTTCAAAGCGCCTTCTTGGCGATGGCTATGGACTTCTACACCTCATTCTCTGCGGAGTTCAAGTTCAGCTTCTCGGATACCATTGTCGCCAATGCTCTGGGTGCCGGGTTTGAGGAAGCAAGCTCTAACGGACAGGGGCCGAGACATTTGTTCGAGACTACCAACATTGGCGCAGAGGTCATGGACGACACTTTCGAGACCCTTACGGAAAAGGCCAATGGATTCGATGGGCTTGGGAGCATCACTGCAGACTTCATAATCGGTCTTCTGGACCTGATTGGAAAGCAACCAACCGGCCGACACGGTGATAGCAAGGCCTTGAATCGATACGGCGAGAAGTTGGTCGTTGCTGTCGCTCAAGAGACCCTGGAGACAGATCGCCAAAGCCTCGATGCCATCCTCGCCCTTGTGGTATTCATGCATGGAGATCTCGAGACGAACGAACTGGACCCCGACTTTGTCAATCGGGTGGACGAGCTCTACGAAGCCATCATGTCTCGGATCAAGAACAACCTTCTGCTGTCTTGGCTCGCAGCTAACGAGATTCTGGAGCACACATCTCATCGGACCTCCCAGCACGAAAGTTCTCAGGCTGTCGAGAGCTCCACAGTCACTCTACTAGAACGTGTAGCTATCGCCGACTGGAGCCCACGATCGAACGGGCATGAGCCGTTTGCCGAGCTCTTGACACTTTGGAGCAAGCAGTGGACCTTTGGAGCGCCACTTTTCGACGAGTGGGATGGCTTCACGGCCTTTGTGCTGTCTTTCTTGATCAAGGAGCAGAAGTACGATCTGGCTGTGGATTCTCAAAAGTTTCTTGGTTCGGATCGCAACACGTCAAGCTGGACCAAGTATTTGCAAGGCAGGCTGTTCGTTGCCATTGGAGACTATGCTTTCGCCGAGCAGAAGTTCCAGGCGGCGGCCACAGATATGGCCCAGGCGCAGAATATCGGCCCTGCAGATACAGCCATCCTGCTCACTGATGAGGAACGCAATCACTTCGGACAAGGGCAGACAGCTTTCTATCAGCACGTGGCGTCTCTCTTTGAGAAGCTCAAGATCTGGTCATACACGGCAGAGTTCGCGAGCTTGGCTCTGGATTGTCTAGAGAATGGCACGGACGCCGACAAGATTTACGAACAAGACGAGCGGTGGCATGATGAAGACAGCTCGCAGATGGAGATTATTGATGCCGTGATGGAGCAGCAGAGACTTCTCAGCAGAGGCGGACCGGTGCGAGAGGATTTGCTGAGCAGGCTGTTCAATGCGCTGCTGCAGACCGGGAGGGTCCATGAGGCGTTTGAGGCACTCCATCAGCTCAATGATCTGCCTGTGAAGAGAGCTCAGCTTCGGAGACTACTGGAGGCTTGCGTGAAGCAGGACAACGTGCAAGAGCTGCTCGACTTACCGTTCGAGGACGCCAATCTGGTTCAAGAAGCGGATGCCGTACTTTTGTCTCTGGCGAAGAAGGAGTTGGCTTCTACATCATCTTCCGGTCGATCGTTTTACCGGATCCTGTACGCCTTCCGCACCCAGCGAGCCAATTTCCGGGGCGCCGCAGAGCTGTTGTACGAGCATCTCGAGCGACTGCGGCATGCGCACTACAAGCATGGCCTGCAGGATCCCGAAGACGAAACACTGGTCGATGCGTATGTGCTGCTGATCAATACGTTGGCCTGCTGTGGAGAGAAGGATGCGTGGCTGTTGGCTGATCCAATTGCGGAGGTGCATGGGGAGAGTAAGAAGAGGCGGTTGGTTCAGATTGCGGATGTGAGGAGGGAGTACGGGGCGGAGTTGGATAACAGGAGTGATATGCTGCAGGGGAGGTTCCCGTTGCTCCCTGCGGCTGGGGATGCTATGGACGTTCTCTAGGAACTGAAGCGGTGGTATTACTGCGTCTTACGTAGAATTGGTAGTGTAGGAGAAGTACATCGAAGAACGATGCCTGCTCATGATGAATCCCAATCTCAATATCCACCTTCACGTAACGCGGGCTCCCTTCACGGGATCTTTACTCGCATGGAGAAGCTGGCGCCCTTGTGCCGATGCTGGGGAAGTGCATGTGCCGCATTGCAGTCTCACGTATTGTCTGTGGCCTGACAGTGTTGAAATGGATGGGTGTAGTGACTGCTCCCACGGCGTCGATGCCTGGGAAAGCGATTCCTTCCCAGTTTAGGGGTCGCGAGGAGCTTAGTCCCGTCCCGATACAGTTGAGATGAGGCATACCTCGCATGGGCTCGACGATCTCTCGGCCACAAAGTCGTGAGTGCTATGCCCAAGACAATGTCTGCTGTCAGTAGGATGCACTTGCCGATACTCCAGCAGGTCCGCAGTCAATCCGACAGTCTCGTGTGCTTCTGCAGGTGGCACCATAGTACGCCGAAACATCGTAGGCGGGTTGAGTGCCACGCGTGACGTTCGACACTGAAAGTTCCAGTTGACTCCATTGCTGCATGCTCTCTTGTTGTCTCCAGCTTTTGGGACCAAATGGATCGCTCTTGCCATGTTCGCGTGCTGCAGGTCCGCTCTGAAGAGGAGCAGCCTGGCTCTCCCGAATCCCCAAGCTTTCATCCTCGCAACTCTGTACAAACCGTACGACCATCCCACAAGAACAACACCAGTGTAGAACAACGTATCCAATGCCATAGTCGATGAACGTGAGATGAAATGAAACCAGTTGCTCATAGTAGTGTCGTAATGGGATTGAGCGTATCGCACCTGAGGCACCCACACCGACAGTCCATGTATACCCATCCCATCCACGCCTTATGTAGTCTTGTTCTGTACGCCACCACATCACGATGTCGTGAGTATACCCTATGCTGCTGGTGCAGACATTGCAGTCTTTAAACGTCACCTGTTGTTAACATGCTCGCAGGTTCGCAGTCAATCCCACCGCCTCGTGTGCGTCCTTCGGCGCTGGTGTGCTCTCCAGAGAAGTCCTCTCCCTTGTGCCGACATTCGCTGGCTCGTCTTGTCCTCCTCCGCCGGACTGTGCGCTTTCGAGCTTGTCCGAGTCCTTGTCCGCTGCCCTTCCTTCCCTCGAACCTCTCGTCACCTCTTCCCTGGCGCTGGCCGTCCTCCCGGCGCCTCAAGCAAAGCCCATCGAGGCTATAAACGAGGAGAAGGAGGAGAAGAAGAAGAAGAAGGAGTAGAAGGGGTAGGTGAAGGAGTAGCAGAAGAAGAACAATAAGACGGAGAAGGAGGAGGAGAAGGAGGAGGCGAGGAGTCTGAAGAAGAAGAGGGATCCGTGGGGCGAGAGTCGTTTTGCTGACGAAGACCTCGACGATGCGTATCTTGAGGAGGGGTGGAAGCCGTTGAGTGAGTGGAGGCTGCTGGCGTACGAGCGTTGGCTGGCTTCCTTGTGAAGCGTATTGCTGTATTTTGCTTTTGCTTTTGGAATCTTGGAATGGAGCGAGTATTTTTTGGTGGCCACTGCGGCCATTGCTCCCACCAGCTCTGCTGCCAGGCACTGGAGGTGGCACACTGGCCGCGGGCGAAGTCCAACAAGAGACTAGGTATGGTGCCGCTCTGCCGACATCTACCATGCGATGCTGAGCCTCTTGAAGACCATCCGATTATGTGGTCTCTCGCTACTGCTCGACGATGGCCAAATCCTACACGATCGCTCGTCCGGGCCAGCATCCACATCTCATGTGTCGAGAACTCACGACAACTGCCTGTTGGCACTCGAGCGCAAAGCGACAATGCATCGAAAGCGACCACAACGCATGTCGGCCACTCACCTTATGACGAGAATCACTATCCGCTTTCATCATCCGTCACACTCCGTGCACTCAGAAGAACCACATGGTGTCGCACAACCAACTTACGCGCACACCAAAACTCCCTGCCTGGCAGCAGAGCGCCGCAGCTTGAAGCAATACAACCGCGGCATGAGGTCAACAACATCGACAACCACCACCTCAAACGGGTCAATCTGGCCACCAGCAAAGGTCCTTGACAATGGTATTTGGCGAAATTGCGAAGATCTGAAGGCCTTGGAGGATCATCGGAAGATCCGCTAGCACCAGCACCAGCACCAGCACCGGCGACAACGTGGAACGAAGGAGCCAAGGACGATGGAAGGCGACCTCAGTATCGTTGGACTTTCGATCGGTGGTCAATAACTTGCAGAAGAGGCAGGCAAGCGGGCAAGCAGGCGGTGGGTTCGGTTTTGGTTGGGCTTGCGTGAGGCTAGCGTGGGCTTACTCATCACAACACCTCACTCTATTCCACTCGACACTGGACATCTTGAGACGAAAGCTGAAGAGAAGCTCCGACCGGCGACGAAACATCACGCATCCAGCGGACATGTCTGGAGTCGGTAGCATTAGCGGTCTTGTGCCACTACAGCGCCATTCCGGATGCCAGCATCGCAACGATGCCGCATTGGAAGATGGACGACCTAGGAGAGCTCGACTGCGACGACAACTTCATTGCCTGCCCCATCGGCAGAAGAGGGCCCCTACGATGGCGACTCAAGTTCGCTGCCCGACGAGTGCCCATTCTCATGGCATTGATTCCTGCTGATGGCCCCTCCTGCAGAAAAGGGCTTACGTTCGTGAGGGATAAGCGGCAACAAGAACATCATCTTGCCAACGATGTGGCGCTTGGCTCATCTTCCAAAGGCCGTCGAGCCCTCTTCGGCAAGTCCGCATCTGGAAAATTATGTCAGAGGCTCGCTATCAGATAACAGAGGCTTCATGGCGCGCTCTCAAGGTAAAAGCCTGGAATACTGGACTCGTTCTGGCAAGCATGAAGAGAGACTCCACATTGGTAGCTCATCAGATGCATCGCAAACGAGATCGCCGCTCTACAGAGTTCAGGTGATGGCAACGCACCATTGTAGCCCTTGGATTCCCGATGGAGACGACCTGGAGGCAGGCTAAGTGTTCTTCGGGGTCAACGATCCGTACAGAACATGGCCAGCACAACCCTGAAAACAAACCGATGGTTCCATCTCGTTCGGACCGTGTTGGCATTTTGTTCGTGGCGAGGTGCTCGCATGACTGCCTAACACATGGAATGCCACAGAAGCATCTTCTTAAGACATCAATATGTCTGTGAAGGACAAAGCGCCGAAAGCAAAGTTTCACGAACCGGCCATGCACAGTGTCGTGAACGCCGGCAAAATGACGTCAAAATCTCACCTACATTCACGTTCACATGTCGGCGCGGAGCCAATCAGGATCGCAGCTGCAACCTGTAGAACCCAGAATCTTCGCCGACGCAACAATCTTTCCGCTATTCTTTGTGAACACACGAAGCAGATGCCTGTGCACACCAAGGCATCTGCTACACCGCGATCGGTCTTATACAGAGCACCGTCACGCTACATCGTGTGCCGCTACAATCACAAAACATGGATCGCAGGACCACCGACAGCGAATGGCCGATTGGGTATCCCTTCGTCGCCTCGCGCGACTTCACGCTGCCCGCACCAATTCCAAATGTGATCGCTATGCGAAGCGGTGACCACGGCAAGGTGACTTCGAAGGCGAACACCAACGGCAACATCTGCGTGCAGTACCCACAAGACGTTTCGGGCAACCCTGGCCGCGAAGGATGGGTGCCCAGGGATGACATTCGCATCGGCACCTCAGCAAGGATCGGAGAACCTATCCTTATCCAAGTTGACGAGCCAGCGGTCGCGACATTACCTGCCAACCTCTAGATTGACCAGAATGCTTCGGCAGGCCGATCCGGCAAGACGGTGTGCGGCCTCTTGTCTGCGTGGTACGAAGGGCGCGGAGACCTCCCCACCGAGCCGGAGGTCATCACAGATTTGCTTAAGTCGGAGTCAGACATTCGTCAACAAACGAACAAAATAGTGGTTGGCGTAGGTAAGGTGTCAAGTGGGCTTCAGCAGTGCCTGGATCGGCAAGACTTCACCCTGTGGCAGCTGAAGGGGTCTGCGCCAGATGGCGAGCATGATCAGCATGTTGGCATCTACGTCATCGTCCACTGGGACTTCATCGGCCAGCCTGAGCGAGAGCCTGAGCCGTATGCTGGGAGCACTGCTCGCAGCTTCGAGAGCAGATACGGGGAGCACGTGGATGCCAGCAAAGACCCCGAGAAGAAGGGTGTCCATTACAATGCCGCGCGACTGGCACGGAAGCACTGCATCTTCCCAATATCCTACCTCAACGTTGACGATGCCGAGAGCCCGGAAGTCAAGCTTGCAGAGCAAGTATTCATGAGCCTGCTTCAAACCACTTGCAAGGAGGTGCTCAACTTCAAAGCGGACGGCTTCACAGGAGAGACGGAGGAGCAGGACAACAAGATTGGAGCTCCCGATTCAGTCTCAAGGGTCTCGAAGTACTATGTGCAAAAGGCAGATGCCGTCGTCTTGCGCAAATTGGCCGATCAGGTCTTCGAGCGCACAGGTTGGCCAGGAGGATGCGACAGGAGCACGGGCAAGAAGGCCTTTGGATCAAGTGCGGGTCTAAACTGGACGAGCCCTCTGACCGGATTACGAAAAGCGCGGACTATCTGGACGAAAACCAGCATCCCTGGACAATTTGCAAACTTCCGTCGGACTGATCTTGTGACGCGCGTTGCTACAGGTGGAGCCGGCGTCCCCAGTCTCCAGGTGTACCTGAAGCACCATACGCCCACCAATACAGCATGGATTGCCCTGCTTCGACGCGATAAGCCATGGCCTCCAGAAAATTCAAAGATCCACGTCGTCCTCGAGCTTCGCCTGGACGGTAAGCCTCATACTGCTGGTCTCGCGCGGGCTCCAGGTGTCGGTGCTCTATCGGATTGGGCCAACGCTAACCAACTGGGCATGCGTATCGAGTGGCAGAGGGATGACGGTGTCTGGGTACAGCGGCAATTCCAGCTCAGGGACGACAATGAGAAGCTAGCTTATGCACCAAACGGTATGACACAGAACTACAACATCGCGAACGGCTTGAGAGGCTACGTCCTCCAGGAGCAGAGAACACTTTCCACGGAACAGCAAGAATGGATCTGGGACTTCGGGATTGCCAGGGTGAAGGAGGTCTACCTCGACCATCTCGACCAGACGATTCGTGTCCGCGATCTTCCGGGGTCCCGTGTCGTGCCAGGGCCTACTTTCAAGACGATGCAACAGATCGGGCAAGAGCTCGTCGATCTCGGGGCTGGAAGATATGCTAGACCCTCAGATACTCAGTACCCCATCTTTCCAGACGGTCAGCAACGTAGCGCAGGACGTTCTCGTAAGAGCTGTAACGCTTGCTACGCGAACACGGTTCTGGTAAGTCCCCCCCTTTCCCGTCTTTGCCAGATACTGATTCATTGCAGGGCAGGTCAAACACCATGTGTGTGGAAGTCCCAGGGCAGAATACATGTGAGAGATGTCAACGCTACGGCCGACCATGCACATTTGCACACACCCGCGATCTCGAGAACAACCCAGCTTTGCTCCGTGCTCTCACCAACCCCAATGAGGTTCCGTTCACGATCACCAGTGTTGATGGGAACGACAAGATGGAGCGGTTTAGAGCTTGAAGTGTTGATCACGATTGTTCTATGAATCAGGATAGCCCAGCAACGTGCGAGACCAGGAAACACGAGCGCGATGAGATGGCGAGGTGGCGAGATGGTGGGATGGTGGGATGGTGAGATGGTGAGATGGCGAGATGGCATTGGCGTGAGCACGGTTTACGATCTTTCATCGAGAACTTTACTCAAGCATGCGCAGACGGGTGTTTAGGCTGGTTGATATTGAGATACCCATAGTGTCATGCTTTGCAGGAGTGTATCATAGTGACGGCAACATCTTTATAAAAAGCAACCTCTCACAACGTCAAGCTGAATGTATCCTCCGAAGTGTAAGTCCTCCTCATCTCCCTGACTATCTGAACGAAATGCAGACAGCATGCAAGGGGGTGTATAGAAGAAGCATGAAGGATGTACCCCCAGACGTTGCAAAGGAGGACGGTGGCAAGGGCTCGTTTGTTCGCCTAGGCGCAGGTATGTTGGACCCACAGACGTACAGTTCCCTTTTTTCGCGGATGGACGAACTAAAAGTGCAAAGCAATGTCGATCGTGCAACACATGCTACGGTAATGTTATCTTGGTAAGTTGATCCTGCTGTCTTATGATGTTCGCGCTGAGGTGAAACAGGGCAACCCAGCTGGTCAAGACATAATGCCAGAAGATACCAGGATCTAATACGTGCGTAAGCTGTCAGTGCGGCGGCCGCCCCTGCGCGTTCACACATGATAACAGCGAACCTGAGCATCCAGCCGGTTTGCCAGATCCATCACCAAAGTCAGCAAGAACCATCGCATGGAGGTCTTCCGCGGTAAAGAAGAGTTGCGAAGACAGGAATGATGCAGAGCCGGTGTGATGGCTGGGCTAGCTGGCGGATAAGCTAGAGTACAGTACTCACGGCGCTGTAGCTTGCATGAAGTAGTAGAAGGACGCTGTGGGAATATGGCTTGACTTCTGCGAACACTGTCTTGTCTCGTCTCAACAGGAAAGTGTGAAGTCTCGTAATGTACAGTAACCTCAGCTGCAGTACCAGCCAAGATCTTGTGCCGTTCTGAGCACTTCGCAGGCGTTGTTTTCAAGTTCTATGACTCAAATCTTTGATATTGCTGAAGATACATGCCTTCATCGTCGGAAGTTAGTGAAGCGAGCCGCGACGACTAACTGGCCGTGCAGTGGTCGTTGTAGTAGAATTAAAGTACTCCTTTCGTTACACTGGCAGACCTCATTTCAAGCCTGTGGGCATTTAATTACATATATAATTATAATACATTTGTCGTGATACATTATACACAGCTGAGTGGTATGTTTCCCTGTTGTAATCAAAATCAAGCCGATTTCTCTAACACGTGATTTAGGCGCAGCGGAAGTAAGAGTTCTCATGTCCATCTGGTTTCAGTTGCATCGGTACTGACTGTAACCAGGCGCGCCGTAAGTGTACACCTATCGAGTGTTCGACGATCTGATCCTAACGGCAACACAGGGGCTCATAACCCGGAGGGCAATGGATCGAAACCATTCTCAGCTAAAGAAGTTACTGCTTCTCATCCTTTTTGATTGGTTTTTTTTTTTTTTTTGGGCGAATTTCCTTTTGATGAAGAGGTATACTCCCTCATGTAACTTACATGTACCCGTCGTCCTTGGTTGTTTGGACTTTACCATAGATTCTACAGTCATGGTGCTCCTTGTGTATGTTTTAAATCGCTGTGAGATGTGGCTACAGTTGAACCTCTGCGAATCGTCAAATTCTAGCTGTCCAAAATTGCGAATGGTTCCATTCTTGATCGAAGCCGGATCGCCTTGAACCCAGTGCCGATCAGCCAAGATCCAAGAGCCTCACTCGAAACACCCCTGGTCTCCAACCTCAGTTTCAACGTCACACGCACTCGACCCGACAGCAACTCGATAGAACAAACCTGAAGGCATCATTGAACGTCCGGTCAACCAGCATGCCTTCTCAAAACCATCGGCGACGCCGAAGTCGTCCCACTGCCAGCACCCGAGGATGAACATACATATACCTTCTGTAGGACGATGCAACATTCCGTACGAATATGCAGGAACGGGTCAGTACGCGAATGCTACACGTGCTGCTACTGTTACACAAACGTCGTCACGCTTCTATGTCGCGACCGTGATGCTGGGTAGCAAAGAATATATCGCGTGGTCTCTAACAATGGGTAGTCCTGTTCGAGCGACCCTGTCCCGATCGTACATCGCTGTTGTAAGTGTACAGTCAAATCAGACATCTATGTTTCAATCATCCTCTCTCACCGCTTCTCGTCGCGGTCACACATGCTCGTCAATCTCAAGCTTTTCCGTGGTGGCGCTCGAGACGCCTTTCCGTGGACGACTCTGCTCGATCCGCGTCTTGAGAACGAGCGTGCGTTTCCTTATCCTTTCATGACCACTTCTCTGGTCTACACTTGTTGCAAAACCGACCTCAAGAGCCCTTTGGCCACACCGATGCCGACTAAGGCTGCGGCCTTGCGTCTCCGACGTGCTGGGTCAACAAACGCTGCGAAGCGTGAAATTGGGGTACGTATGCTGTCCCGTTCTCGAGACGCCGCATTTGTTCTTCCATCCATCATTCACTATCATTGAAGAGCGCCAGCTGACAATGGAGTGCGCCCAGTTGAACATCCACCACCAAATCTAGGGGACTACCCTCCCCATCCCACAGTCGCTACTGCATACCTCAAATTCACCTCATTCACTCGAGCATAACATAATCCACATGGCAAAGAAGTTCTTCAGCGGATGGGAGATATGGGAGAAGTTGGTCTTCGTTAGTCGCATTCCACACGTTTGGCCTGCCACGTGCAAATGCTAACTTGGGCTGCAGATACTGGCATGCGCAATGGTGGTTACGGTTATTCTGGGAAGTTTGAAACTAATATATGCGCATGGGCGACTCCGCAAGTTCTCCGCCATTGCTGAGCAAGAGCGGGTCGAGCAATCCATGCAGCGTACAATGAGTCAGCGGTCCGCGAGGCCGGAGAGTGAAGTTGTGCCGTTCGGGATACGCGCGATTGAGAGTGGGATCCAGGTGGAAGGTCTTTGGATCTCTCGGGGCAATACACCGGACCCTGGAAGTGAGAACGCTTCGGCGGCGTCTTCGCCAGTTGAGCAATCGCCAGTGAAGACATTCAACGCCGCCGTCGACGGGCAGCAGGCTAGGTCAGCCAAAGCGGACCACATTCTATCACTTCTCAGGCCGGATTTTCGAGAGGACTTGCAATCAAGGAGCAGAACCAGCCATGACGAGGCCTCCGAAGCCATCAGCAAACCGCAGCGCAGCAGATATCCACCGCTCTCTTACGCCAAGTACGAGTATCAACCCTACATTGCTTGTCCGTCTCAGCCTGTCCGGACGCTGGAAGGCCTGGATGCGATTCATAAAGCATCGACTTCCCTCCGTGTGGACGAGTACAATACCAACAGCGACTCCTCGCATCGGTCGAGCGACAGCACGGGCGACATTGACTCCATCTCGGCATATGCTCCTGCACTCTTTACGGGCCAGACGCCATCCGCTCCAAAAATACCGTCCGCAAATGACTTGGATCTGCTCAACAGTCGCAGAGTATTCCAAGCTGCAGAGACTGGACAGCTGACACCTCGAGGACGGCGGCCAGGGCAGAGCGCCAGTGTAGACTTGACAGGATTGCGAGGACCGAACAGACTCTCCACGTCTGTAGAAGGTCGGCCATCCACAAGATCGTCCAGCTCTGACACGGGCACTGCGGCAGCGCTCTCGTCAGCGAAAATAGCAGCTCTGCCGCCGGCGGTGCGCAGGTCAAGCATGCCTGACGTGACGCCCTTTACGGAGTTCTGCAAGCGGACCTCGCAGGACAGAGGGCCTGCGACTCCTCGTGCAAGGAGCAGAGACAGCGCCCTGAGCAGTCAGGCAGTCAGTGAGAGCCCGGTCGACTCCGCTGCCTCCAGCCCTATCATGCTTGCCTCAGCAGGCGCAGCAGAACTGAAGCTACCGCCGCCAAAGCGAACGTCGTTTGTGAAAGGGCCGTCGCAGGTGGTTCGTGGGCATGGCACTGGATTCGAGATCTTGATGCCTGGCACATTGAACCCGCCCATGCCGGGCGATCATCCGATGGAAAGGGAGAGAGCAGCACCGCCGATATCTCTGCAGAACTCATCGCGCGCTCGGTCGAGGAGCGAAGATGGAAAGTCGAAGCTGCAGAAGAAGCGCCAGCCGAGCATGGACTCTTCTTCGAGTCGTTCGACGGCGAGCAGGCGGAGCAGGATCAGTCTGTTTGCCTGAGCGAGGAGATATGGGAGATATAGATCGGCTGTACGATTGTGACGATTATGATGACGATGGACCAGAAGGTCAACGAGTAGCTAGCAATACTAATGACATACAAGCCTCGGTCAGGCTAGATAATACCACGCTTCTCGTCGGGTGTCTTGTAGCAAGCTGTCTTGAGTCAGTCTCGCATCTTGGAGAGTAGTTGACCGAACTCACCCTGATCCTCGTCCTTCCCAGGCATCATAATATCCTTCCTCACCAACGCTCGTATATGGCAGCCAAGTACAAATATCCACATCGCCACCAGGAGTATGGACATGATGCTGGCCACCCACAGAATGCCTTCGCTTTCCAGTTGCTGTCCAATCTTAATCGTGGCGATGGTGAAGCCGACATTTGGAAACACAAGACCCCACCAAATCAAGTGGAAAGACATCTCGCGAATCCCCATCATGACTGAGATGGTTGTGATGCAGAAGAACCAGAATGCAAGCACCCACAAGAAGATGCCTGCGAAGAGGGCCATCGCCTGGAGGTCTTGTACCGCGAATGGTCTGGTAGCGAAGAAGCTTTGGGTCGGCGGGAGAGCCTGGCTCAGACCGATGAGTGCGAGACCCGTAAAGGATGGTGGGCCGACACTGATCATCATGCCGGGACGCAGGTTCGGTGCGGGTAGGCCGTATGCCATCAGGCGCTGGATGTATGCGGCGTACATTAAGAACGCGACCATCCAGCCGAGTCCTTGAAATGAAACGCCAGCAACGATGATGGCCATGCGTTGGGTCGGGTTCTGTTCCGGAGCGATGAGGTTCGCGAGCGTGCCGCCGATCATACTATCCCACTTGTCAGTACGGCTCATAGAAGGGTCATGAGGAGTGGACGGACATTGGAACTGGAGTAGAACATTAGCACGGAGTCAAGAGGTTTGAGAGCACATACATATCGGCAGAATCCACGCTGGAGTCATGCTTTGCACAGTCAAACGGTTTGGGTGGCCAGTGAAGAGGCTCAAATACTGCACGACGGCGCCTGAAAACGCTGCAGCCACGTACAGCCAGAACAGCACCTGCATCGCCACCAAGAACCAATGTCCGCAGTGTGGTCCCCCGTACACTTGCGCACTACCGATCAGGTTGGCCACTGTGTGAGATTAGTATGGGTGCCAGAGAAATGACGAAGGATGAACGTACGTGTGATCAGCACAGTCGGTATAAAGAGCGCCTCGGTAGGATGCACCAGAGACTGAGTGAAGGTGCCCGGATGCAGTATGAAACGTGCGCATATTGTAGCGAGAGCCACAGCAAGAATGACCAGATCGAATATGAAGAAGATCTTGCCGATGGTCTCGAGGCCGGCGAAACGGTGGGGTTGCGATGCGAGCAGCAGACCTATGCCGCCTGTTGAAAGAGGCATCGTGAACTGCGCCCATGTGAAACTGTGGTTTCCCTTAGCTCTTTTCGATCGCTGGACGGGAGGAAGCATACTGCTTGATTCGTAGCCGCATTGTGATCTTCTCCACGGCTTCACACGCCTTATCTTCAAGAACGGCCTCCTCCTTCTGCAATGCCGTGGGCGTGGTGATTGTCTCCATGGCTGGTTGGTGCTTGCTCACCGAGCAGGTCGGAGATGAGTGTGGAAACTGAAGAGCAAGAGTTGAGTGAGGTCGAAGCAATTGAAACGTAAGCTAGACCACTTATGTAATCCAGTAGCGGGTGTCTCAGTGATGAGAAGCCCAAATCAAATGCTTTTCTGAGCAGCCGCAAAAGAAGCGTCACAGTATGTTGGATCTCGTGATTGTTCCAAGCGTTCCATTGATTTGGGTGAGCATGCGAGGTCCCTCAGCTAAGCAGTGACTGATGCTTGGCGAAGCCATCAGCTGAAGCATTAAGTAATAGCCGTCGTACAGAGACCTCGACCTCAAAATTGGCATGTGACGGTAGTATTCTGTTTGATATCGTCGCGTGCTTGACAGCGATCTCGCTGTGTCATCCTAATGGCACGTCGCCCTTGAAACCAGTTGCCACAAGAGCGACTCATCCGAAGTCGGTCGGCGCATTCATTCCTCGCGAGATGGTGCTGGTCGCAACACATGCGGAGGCTGTAATAGTATGGTCGAGGGTGGTCGCTATCGCCATCGTTGCTGGGCAAGATCCACAGCAGCAACGATAGTCTTGCACCCCACTCAAAGGAGAGGATCGTTGGGTCTGCCCGGCTCAGTGAGGATAACAGCGGTGGTCCAAGGACATCTTGCTGGAACTCTGGAGGAGCGCAGGAGGCGTACAAACGCAGACGTCCGCTCTTCGCAGTCGTCGAGGCTTGTTGGAGGCTTCCAGGTCTTGCCTTTCCCGCAACACATCACCTCCATCCGCCTACCCTCCCCTCGTCCCATCGCTCTCTTCTCTCCCTTCTCAAGAAGCTCTGCTTCGAGCCCTCCTTCACTCTCCGGACAAAAGACTCCACCTCCCTCTCGTCCGCCAACCCGCCTTCTTCGAGCCAACTTTCTTCCACCCCTCTGACCAGTAATTCCTGCTCCCCCGCGCCTGCATTCAGTCGCTGATACAGAGCCATTGGGGAGAACTGTGAGAGGGCCTCTTCCGTCTCCTTGACTTTGTTCGAGTGTTGTTGCTCTAGAGCTCGGAGGGCCAGTAGGCGTGATTGTATGGCTGCGCGCCTTTGCGATAAGGTAGATTCGAGATTGCTGAGAGCATCGGTAAGGGCTAAGTTCTGCTGGAGGAGTGGTTGGAGAGTGCTTTGCGCCGCGGGGATGGAGGGGTGGGTTGTGTTGGGGTTTGTGAGGAGTGCCTGTTGGAGGTCGGGAGTGTTGAGGAGGTGGTGGAGGTCGGATGTACTGCCTGACTGTCAGCCTGGTATTCTGATGTTCTAAGCTTCTCCCGTAATACGTACGTCTTCTCCCTAACACTATCTGGTAGCCAGCCAGCTTCTACGGGTGGGATGTCGGGTAACGGCTGGTGTTGCTGCTGCGCATATCGATATTCTCCTCGCTCTTGTTGGTTGTAGTATTGCCGACTCTGCTGATATTGCCCTCCTTGTCCACCATCCAACTCCAGCGGCTCGTTCTGCGGCGGGGGTGGTGGTAGCGGGGGTCCTCGTGCGGGGGTGGAGGACGCCTTCGGCTTGGGCGGTGGTGCAGGCGGAGTCGATGGATAATACGACGACGATGCGGGAGGTGGCGGTGGAGGGGAGGTGTAGGACATGATAGTCCTGTGTGAAGCAAGGTCAATCGTCGTCGTTGGAGGTGGTTGTTAACATTTAAACGCACGGGCCGCAGCAGCAGCCATATTGGTCCACATCAGGCGTCTCTCGTCAACCTCACCTCCTCTAACCTCTGTAAAACACGGCCAGAATCATGGCTCGGCGCAAACTCGAATAGTCATGGACGCCGTACTGACATATCGGCGGGACTCTCCAAAATTGAAATCCACGACCACGGCCCACAACATCGATCAGATCAATGGCCTCCCCGTCGAAACAGCCTGCCCCGGCGAAGAAGGCCGCGGGCTGGGGCTCTCTTCTGTCAGGCGCAGTAGCGGGATTGGAGTCGCGACTTGATACGATACTCGCCAACGAGGAGGGTGGTGATGGGGCCAATGCCACGACCAAACCAACAGCAACCCTCCAACGGACGGAGTCGGCGTCAGGAACCCTTGCTCCCCCGAAGAGGAAAGAGGGTACGAGCTCAAGAGATGCTTCACGTACAAGGCCGAACGATCGTCTTGCAGAACGACTGGCCAAGGCAACAGCAGTCAAGACTCCGGCGGGGAGTGCCGTGCCCAGCAGGACTACGACCCCGGACAATGAGCGGCACAGTATACAGGGGAGGGTGAGCATTGACAGTGGCTCGAGAGCTCTGCCAGAGGTCGTTGAGCCGACGAAAACGCCAGAGACTGAGAAGTCGACAATGCAGGGGCCGGAGGAGCTGGGCAAGGAGGGTGACATTCAGCCAGCTGAGGCCGACACTACACCCGATGCCGTTCCAAGACCTTCAGAAGACAGTTCTCGGCCTTCTACAGATGCTACACGCGATGACGTATCTACCCGTCCTTCTGTGGATGTCTCCAACGGCACGTCCACGGCTCTATCATCCAAGAGTGCAGCTGACTACGAAGCCGACCTTCACGTCTACATGGAGAAGATAGACGCGCTACAGTCGAAGCTCAAATACCTCGCCAGCGCTACTGTCGCTGCTGCTAAAGCTGCCAATGCCTCTCCCGAGACGAGTGCGCCTGAGAAAGAATTGGCCAAAAAGGATGAGCAGATCGCGCTTCTGATGGAGGAGGGCGAGAAGCTGTCAAAGACTGAGCTTCGACACCTGCAGACGATCAAGAAGCTGCGGTCGCAGAGTACGGAGAGTGAGAAGGCGGCAGTCGAGGCGCGGAAGAAGTTCGAGAAGACAGAGTCGGACCTGCGCCAGCGACTACGGAAGGCAGAGCAGGCCGAGCGTGCTGCAAGTGAAAGGAACAAAGTCATCGCAGGGATTGAGAAGGAGGTGGACGAGCTTCGCAAAGACCGGGAGGATGCAGTGGCGTTGGTGAAGTCTCTCAGGGGACAGCTGAAGGAGGCGAAAGAGCGGGCAGAGAAGGCTGAGAGTGAGGTCAAGGAGGCGGCGACTAGTGAGGCTGACCGAGGAAGGATAGCGGCCCTTGAAAACGAGGTGGAGGACGCACAGATTGAGAAGAAGCTTGCCGAAGATCGCGCCGCCGCAGAGATTAAGAGGGTGAAAGAGGATCTCGAAGGCCAGGCGCAGAAGTCCAGCGTGAGGGAGCTGGAGTTGAAGAATGAGATCGGCGGATTGGAGTCTCGACTGGAGGCCATGAGGTCAAGAGCAGAGGATCAAGGGGTTGACGGCAATTCTGGCGAGAGCAATGTGCAGCTGCTCAGGCAGGTTGAGACATTGCAAAGGCAGTATTCATTGGCTAAGGAGAACTGGGAGGCCATTGAGGCGAGTTTGAATGGGAGGGTGGTTGGTTTGGAGAAGGAGAGAGACGAGGTAGGGAGGCGGGAGGCAGAAACAAGGAAGCGGGTGAGGGAGGTTGGCCAGAGGAGTAGGAGCATAGAGGATGATTTGGAGGAGAGGAGCCGTGAGGTGAGGAGGCTGGTGGATGAGATGGGAAGTCAAAAGGAAGCGGCGGCTGCTCTGCAGGCGCGGTTGGTGGACAGTCAGAGGGTGATTGAAGACCTGCAAGCCGAACGGGACAAGCAGAAGAAGGTCTGGGAGGTCGAGCTGCAACAGAAGGTCGAGGAGGAGCGGACGAAGTGGATGCAGGGTCGTGGCATGCAGCTGCGGCATCAATCGCCGGCGACGAACTCTCGGAAGATGTCGACGACTGATGTTAACGCTCTGAACACCTCTCGCCGACCTGGGCATCGCCTCGCTTCTCACGACCTCGCTGCTCTCCATACAGACCCATCTCGACCTAGCAGCCGGCGTAGCCCAGGATTGCCGCCGCCCCGCCCAGGTTCGACACATGTTTCGAGCGGTCGTACGCCTCTTGAGCGCTCCAGCGAAGTATCGCCTTCGTTGAGCAGGCAGGAGAGCACCGTCTCGTTGACTCCAGCTGACATCCCGCCGACGCCCTCATTCGAGATTAACCAGTTCGAGACGGACGCATTCCCGGAAGGCGAGGCGGAAGCACCGCACACCCCTGAAGACGGCCACACGCTTGCTGACCTGCTCAGCACATCTACCGCTCCCGCAGCAGGCCCGAGCGTACAGCTTGTCGAGCGGATGAGCATGCTTGTTCGCCGGCTTGAGAGTGAAAAGGCTAGCTTCAAGGATGAGATTACACATCTGTCTTCACAGAGGGACAGCGCGAGGGACGAGATCGTGACGCTGATGCGGGAGGTAGATGGGAAGCGGAGTGGCGAGGAGAAAGCCGGGAAGCTGGAAGGCGAGATGACGCAGCTCAAGACACGGTATGATGCTTCGCTGGAGATGCTTGGAGAGAGGGAGGAGGAAGTGGAGGAGCTGAGGAGCGATGTCAAGGAACTGAAGCGGCTGTACCGTGAGCTGGCTGAGAGGAAGATGGGTGGGAGCTGAGATATTCCGACGTGGGATGCTGAAGTTTTCGTCCAAATCCAGATTTGATACCGAAAGTTCTCATGCACTGAGAGACTACACATGGCTCATCCAATGCTCTCCGTAGCAAACCATTACTCGTGCGAGCATCCCGAGTCCCGCCAGAGAATGCGTCGTTCTTCCTCCACCGATCCTAGAGACTTGGAGATAAGCGCTCCTCCTTAAGGAAGGTCTTGTCACATCGAATATTGATATGTTGCTCTACCGCTAGGCAGCCTGTCTAGAGGGAGCTTAACTGTTCACACCTAGAGGTAGGGTAGGTCTGGCTTGGTCTGGATGCAAAGAGGTGCTGGCTCGTCGGAGCTCGCCGCCAGCGGAGAAGGTAGCTTGGCGAGATGAGCTTATCACGACTCCATTTCGTTTCGCCCTTCGCGCCCCTCGTTCTTCTGCCTTCTCCGACAACAGCAGATGACGGTACCACAAGGAAGACCGAGAACGTAATTCGATGGACGGATATTGCGGAGGTCTGAATTGAGAATCTTTCTTCCGAGCACAGGCGACGGGGGAGACGTGCGTCAATGTCGCTCAAAGCCAACAGTTTGGGCCATCACTCCGTGGGCGGCCGTCTGTCTCGCCTCTGAGATGATGAGATCTGACAGCTCTCCTCTCGCCAGCCGTGAACTCCGTCCTTGCTCCCTGGTAGGTCCCGACTACTCTCTCAGTACGAAGGATGAATTTATCCAGTTCGCACCGGCGCAACCATGGCCCTCATCCGGCTGCTGAGGGTCAGGCGGATGCCTTCAACAAAATCAAGATCCATTGACTTGTCCTGAAATTCCTCAGTATCCTTTGCACACTTCCGTCGCAGGGCGCTTCCAAAGGCAGCCAGTGTGGGCACCTCTACAAGGAGGCTCGACTACCCCGGCTTGCACAGCGCGATATATGGTTGCTCCCTTGACAGCTGGAGGGGCCCAGCTCAGCGGTCGTGTCATCGGCCGAATTGGCCCTCGAATGCTTGTACTGGAGATGTACGCCTTCCTCTTTGTCGAATGCGGTGCTACGCTGGACCATGGTAGGTCCTCCGCTTCCATATAGCTCTCCAAGGAAGAATCATACTGGGATGCCGAGACCTGTGTTGCAGTGGCCGTCCAGAGTGCAGCTGTCACGGATGCAGGCCTTGAGTGCTTGTGAGCCTGGGTCGCTTGCCCCCATGGCGGTGTTCTCAGGTTCCGGTGAGTCTCTTCCGTCGATCAAGCGAGCAAATGGCTAAAAATGTAGTGACGTCGCAGCGCACACCGGGTAGGACCGCTAGCGCGCTTTTCAATATTGCTCTTACTTCACGTCTACTTCTTTTCTCTTCTACCTCCTCACACACCAAGACACCACGAACTCGACCACATCGAGCTCCAAATGTCTTACCGCGGCAACCGCTCACGATACGATGATGAATACGATGACTACGCCAACTACGACAACCGCAGAACCCATCTAACTTCACGCCACCGAGAACCTGAGCCAGAGTAAATTTCTGGCCAGCCCAGCTTTAATCTATACTGACTTTCTAGATACGTCGTAAGGAGAGACTGGGCCACTGGCAAGTGGCTACTTGTGCCCGGATCTCAACTGAGTCGATATGATGAACCAGCGCCACGACGGCGGTATCGCGACGAGACCCCGCCGCGGCAAGAACGAGCACGCCGCTACCGCGACGAAGAACCAGCACGGCGTTGTCGTGAGGAAACCCCTCCGCGTCGCCAGCGCGACGAAACCCCACCACGCCGTTATCGCGATGATACGCCACCACGGCGACGGCGCTATGAATCTCCACCGCGACAACGGTATCACCAGTCGCCGCCACGGCGTCGCTACGATGAGTCGCCTCCACGGCGATCGCGGTATGAACCCTATGAATCCCCGCCACGGTGGCGGCGCTACGAGTCCCCAAGTAGGCGCCGTGATGAATCCTCGCCGCGTCGTCGACGTGATCAAACGCCAACACGCCGTCGACGTCAAGAATTCCCAATTCCCACCACGGCGTCACCACCAAGAATCACCACGGTCCACGAGGACTGAGTATGTATCTCCTCCGCCTAAATCTGGAATAGAACCCGAGGTAAGTTTGCTATGCAGCCTACGAGTGTCCTCCACTGACCAATCTTTAGGATTCCCCACCAAACTCCGTCCTTGCAGGCATCAACGAGATGATGACCGCAGTCAACCTCAACTCCGGCAAACCCTCCGACGTCCCTACGCCCACAGAGACACAAGCGAACCCTTGGGTGGAATGGGCGAAGACCCTCAACGATTCGTTCGATGATCCGCTCAATAACTCACTAGAGAACGAATCCAATCATGCCTGCTACGGCCACTCAGTCAAGAAGGGCAGCGAACCTCAGAAAATTAGGATGCATTGTGCACCTGACGACGAAGAAATCCTTGGCAAGACGAATCTCGAAGACAGCCGCGGGAATGAATACATCTTGAATGACTTCGGCAGCTTCCCCGTTGGCGATGTACCGGAATGGGCCCTCAAAAAGTGGAACGAATGGCATGGTGATTGGGTGGTCTGTGTCGACTGCAAGCTGTTTGGGCTAAGTTGCAGCCATTGCTACCCGTGCAAGAATTGCAAGGATCATGGACTGCAATGCCGGATCTCCAAGGCCAAGCCATCCGAATACTCAACCAGTTCACCCCACTTCGGCATCAAGGACGAGGAGATGCATGCATACACTGAAAACCTCATCTTATCTATCAATCCGGGTGTACATCTCTATATCTGGTCCTTCGACACCGATCCGGCCAGCCTCGGCAAATGTGGCTGCAACAAATATGGCCGTGCAAGGTCAAAGAATCAACTTCCAGAAGGAAAGGTGGCACTCCCGCAATGCCCCCATAACCCACAAGGCTACTCGACTCGATACCCCTTGTCGACTTCGCTCGTCCAACACTTTCTGATGAAGCGAATGACACCAGAAAAACAGCACGACTACACCGGATGGCTCATGATGGCCAACATATGCTTCGGCCTTGAAGACATCGAACCAGTTGAAGAATATGGCACGCATCAACGCCAGGCACTCATGAACCTGAAGGATTGGGAGAGGAGAGGGAACCCGGGTGACTCCCAGCCTCAAATCTCTCTCTACCCCTTGACGGCTGGCAGCTGAGCTCCTGCTGGTTCCACAATCCTCCACGCCAACAAACGCGCCGGTGCCGAGAGGCCAGTACAATCCTACAGACAGCATGATTTGCACGTTAAACAATCAAACCAGACGACCCAGTGGCAACGAGCTCCGGGGTCAAACTTATCAAGAACAAATCTCGGCGAGTTTACACCGGGCTGCTGGGTGCTCAGGACGAGTCTTCCTCGCGAGAGAACAACATACAGGGCCCGACCTATCCGCCTGATGCGCTTCTCTGCCCAACGAGGCGGAGAAGAGGCATCTTGCGGCAAGGAACAGAATGATGCGCTTGATGCGGGTCAATTCTGCATCGCGTTGTTAGAGTCCTCCCCGCCCTACGTCTATACATACGGGTACATACTACGGCGGTATCCAGATGGGGTTATGAATAGAGGAGAACATTAAGAATCAAAGATTAACCTGGACAAACATCATCGTATAAGGTTTCAACACGTTAACCAACACCCATCTTGCTCTCAGCCAATTCGCGGTACAACCGCTCCGACTCCATCAAATCGGAGAACCATGCATTCAGTTTCTTTGGCGAGCCTGACGGCTAGTATTACCGCCACACCAACCCCCGCCACCAACACCAGGCTGATGCGCTTCATTCGCTCCTCGAGCGGCGAAGAATATGCATCACATCCACCACACCCTCACGATGCACTTCATCTGCCTCATCGGCGGAGAAGACGTATCGTAGGAGGCCACTGGACTGGTATACTTCGTTGCCCTCATTGGCGAACAAGGATCATCTCCCGCGAGGAAGGTCCCTCCTGCATCGCGTGAATGCTAGAAGAGAATCGGCGCGCTTGATGCGGGTCCATCCTGCATCGAGGTGTTGCCAGGATCCTCGCTACTCTACGTATATACCTCAAGGTACATACTAGAGCGGTATCTATTTGGGGTGTGTAGAGTATTTATTCCATTACACCATACAAACAAACAAGACATGAGACTTTTGACATTGCAAGAGATCTGTACAGAGCGCGTTGACCACAAAACATGTTATGGGCTGTATGCCTATGAATTACAGAATTTTTTCGAGGGACCGGCAGATCTGTGAAAACACAGATGTCGGCAAGGGCAGGGATGGGGCGGCTTGTCCCAAGGCAGGCATAAGCGCAAGCGAGAAACGACCGGATCAGCGAGTGCCGTTAGCATCAGACGACATTCTTTACTCGATGTGCAAACGGAGACTGTGCAACGACCAAGCGAATGCGGTGAGTCTCCTTGCGTTTCCATCTCGTCTTGTTCCGTCTCGTCTTGCTTTAGGACTCGACTTCGGCTCGCCCTTCAGATTTGCAGCAGGGAGCGTCTTGATGGTGAAGACCGCTGTTTCGTTGATCACCGAATGAGGCCTTCGTTGAACACTTATATGCCATCGGTGACATCACTTCATCTAGAGTAGTGGTCGCGCAGCCTTTGCTTTCCCTCAAGACTGGGCACCTGGACCTTGACCGATCCTTCGAGGGATGGGCCGGCGCTGCTGCAACCCGATCGTCATCACATTCAAGGCTCCAGTGCTTTCAGCCTGTCAGCTTTCCCTGATCGTGTGACCTACAAGTCGGCAATCCATTTTCCAACGTGGTGTCGTGATGTCCGAATTCGGGACGCGTACTCGAGGGCGAACAGATGCGGAAAAGCAACTCGCTTCCGAGCCCGAGGACGAGAGTTGCAGAAGAGGATGCACTTGGACGTGCCGATCCAAATTCATCATCTAAGCTACTATCTATCCTACGCTCGAAGTGTCCACAAAAACAGTCTAAAGCATTGAACAGCTCTGCCTTCTAGCGTGTCGATGTTTGGATCTGTGAGAGGTTCTCGCTTTGGATTGGTCGATTTTTTTGACGCGCTAGTTCACGTCGCGTTTGTGGGATTTCCACCCTCGTGTCTGTGTTGTGACAGCAACGTCACCCGCCAAAGTCGACGGCAAGGTAGTGTCTCTGCCCTTGCCGATCTGTGTGTCCAAACAGCCGTAGTATTTGAACATGTGGCTGTTGAGATACGTCCATATTGTCAGGCTGTCGCATACCGAAAGCTGATGAGTAAAGTGAACTCGACGGTGCGATCGTGAAGGGATTGAAGATGCTGAACCACTCGTACATCATCTGCGTACGAAACGCAAGGCTTGTTCACTCTTCTGCCATATGATATCCAAGCGATCACTCTTTGCCACAATGGAATAAGTCCATCAAAAGCTCGTGGCAAGCCTTTTTGAGCCTCACTAAGTAATGGATCCGTCACTCAGAGTATTCCATCCAGGGGCCGAAAAGCAAAGAGCCATGACGAGATTCGTTGTGCCGACGCCCATTTCATACAGCTTATTGAATGCTTCCTAGGCGGGCGGGCTCCGGCTTGGTACGCTCGAAGGCCCAGGAGCAGTAGCTTGCTCGAGTGTTTGCAAACCCAGCGTGGCAGCGAGAGAGACACATTCGGTCCTCTGGAGCCTCTTATTGGACTTGCTCTCATTCATCGCCACCTTTGACCCTCCTGGAAGCCTTCTCTTGTCTCATCAAAATGTGACTAGAGGATGGTTTGATGCCAAATAGTACCGGGGTGGTAGGCTGGCGACAGACTACAGCGAATCTCTCACAGACAGTGACACCCCATCGATGAGAGTGATGTTGCCAGATCAGGTGCAATGCGTCTCAGAAATTCCGTTTTTGCTGGCGTTCATTCGCCTAAGCGTGACTTGCCGCATCAGATTGAGGTGGCAGCAGCCTCCAGACTCAAGCCAATAGTATCACGACAAATGAGAGTGACTTCGTGACGTTATGATTTGATTCAAGATTCAAGGCTTTGGCAATCACATGTCAGCTCGCAATTACGGGCGTCGAGCAGTCCCAATCGCTCTTCTCGCACGCGTCCAACAGAAACTCCGTAACAGACCTCCTCGAGATAGTCGCCAGGTTCCCAACACCCTTCCCAGTATTGCCAAAGGTCCTAACAGGTCCGACCTTCCCATCAGTCAGCCAAGGTGGCCGAGCAAGCACGTAGCTCACACCAGAAAACTTAACAATTTCATCCACCAAGTCGTGATCGTCGTACGAATGCTTCATGTACGTCCAGCGCCTCACCCAGCGCATCCAGAAAGACATGTGAGGTCTTGAGTCACCCACACCCATCGCCTGCATGACGACCAACTTCTTGACGTCATGCTGCCGCATAGCGGTGATTGCGTTTGCGACTGAGTGTGCCAGAAAGCGCGGAGGCGCCGCCGGCCGAGAGAACGGACTATCACTCAGCCTACTTGGATTCAGCGTGACGATCACCGCCTCGGGCTTGGGGCTGCCTGAGAAGGCTTTGCTCACATCTTCGAGCTTGCGCGGCGTGCCTGTCGAGGTCAGCTCTCGGACATGCAAGACAGTCGTGAAGCTCACCTTGCAGCACTTCAAGACCTTTCCTTACTGGCAGGCCGGCGGGATCCCTTACGAGGGCTGATACGTTGTGACCTGCGATGTTTAGCTGAGGCGGGTTGTCGAGCCACCAAGCAGGACGCACCTCGAGCCAGCGCTCTGTCAACGAGATGGACGCCAGTCCTGCCGTTACCACCTAGCACCACCAGCCGCATGTCCGCAGTACTCCAAGTGCCAGTGGGCGTCCAGAAGAGAGCCTCGGCGCCCCGACGTGCGTATAGAATCTCCTCTCGGATTCTCCGAGAAAAGGGGGTATCGCAAAAGGCACTCAGGTCACGGCAATGTCATGTTGGCCGAGTGTCGAGAGAAGCAGCAGTCCGTATGAGCTCATGAAATGACATCGTTTTTTGCAATTGGCCGCTCCGAGGAAGTTCGGTCACCGATGACCGGAGGCGAGCATGAAGGTCAGCTCGTGGGTGATGAAGATGACTTCAATCGTTGAAGGTTCCCCAGGGTAAATGCATGTATCAGTCTCGATATTCAATGCGCGGTGAAGTCGAGGCTTGTCTGCAGTGTCAAAAGTGGCAGAAGACGTCATGGATTTTGCGCGTGTACGGCCAAAAGTCGTAGCAGAAGTGCCATGGCTTTTCCAGACCCTGGACATCTCACAACGAGCCCACCACCGCAACTCAGACGCAGACACATACTGTACATGTGCTGCCGCCAACCTCGGCCTTGCCTTATAAATGGCTGCACGAACGGTTTTCCCGTCACCTCAGAACCGAGGATCTAAGCGTCAGGGGCCACCGCCCGTAGCAGAGGCGTCGGAAATACTGATGACTGATCACGACCGCCGACCTTGCAGATTGCCGAAAGTCTACACATCTCTTGACGCCATGCGGCTTTACCACATGGCAATGCGATAACATGGCTGCATTGCAGTGGTTCAGTAATCTATGGGCGCTTGTAACGGCCGACATTACCATAGCATTCTAGTTGAAGGATTCTCGTTCTCTCCTTAAGAATGCTTCTGATCCTTTCTTCTCTCGTCGAGCCATCTTGACATCCAGGAACACGCCATGCCACCAACCGAGAAGTCGTCCATCGGCAGAGAGCAGCCCGATGCTCTTCGGACCGAAATGTCAAAAGACTTGGACAAGCCCGAAAAGAGTCCCCAAGCGGACAGCGAGTCGATCACATCTGCTCTGGGCGTGGGCGACAACGACGATGCGTCGTTCGAACAGCAAGGCAGCGACCTTGAAAAAGCCATCACCCAAGCAAGCCATACCAGCCACGAGCCCGCAACACGTATCGTAACTGCAGTCGACTGGACGGGGCCCGACGACAAAGGAAACCCCATGCTCTGGCCATTGTGGAAGAAAGGATATCAGACGATGGCCATAGGTAGCCTGGCGTGCGCAATCACCAGCGGATCCTCGCTCATATCCCCTGCCACATTGGAAATTGCAGAGCAATTTCAGGTCTCTCGAACAGTGGCCCTGCTCCCTCTGACGCTGTATCTGCTGGGCCTGGCTCTCGGGCCGGTCATCGCAGCTCCCATCTCCGAGACCTACGGGAGAACCATCGTCTACAAGATCACAGCACCACTGTTCTTGCTCTTCCTTGTAGGCGCCGGGTTCACCAACTCGCTGGCAGGCCTGCTTATCTGCAGGTTGTTGGCTGGCACGGCGGGGTCTCCTTGCCTGGCTGTCGGCGCTGGTTCCACTGCTGACATTTTTGCGCCTCACACACGTGCGCTAGCTTCTTCACTCTTCATCATGATGCCCTTCCTCGGCCCCTCGATCGGTAAGGTCTTGCTCTTCCTCAAAAGATCAAAGCTAACTTCATGCCCAGGCCCTGTCATCGGCGGCTTCGCAGCCCAGTACAAAGGATGGAGATGGACGCAATGGTGCACCATCTTCATCGGCGTGGCAGCCTTCGCCCTCGTCCTCCCACTCCAGGAAACGTACAAGAAAGTCATCCTCACCAGACGGGCGAAAAAGCTTGGAGTACAAGGCCCGCCTCAGTCTCCGGAAAAGGGTTGGGCTTACGCCAAGAAGATGCTGACCATCACACTCCTCCGACCAGTTCACATGCTCTTCTCCGAACCCATCGTGCTCTTCCTCAGCCTCTACAACGCCTTTTGCTTCAGCGTGCTGTACGCCTTCTTCGCGGCATACCCATACACCTTTGAGTCAGTGTATGGCTTCAATACTTGGCAGTCGGGGTTGACGTTCTTGGGAGTGCTGGTTGGAGTTCTCTCGGCGGTGGCCACGACCATGGTGATTGACAGGCAGATCTACATGAAGATATATCGGAGGACCTTGGGAGAAGGCAAGACGCTTGTAGCGCCAGAACATCGGTTATACCCTGCGATGGCAGGAGCATTTGGCGTGCCAGTAGGGTTAGTCAAATCCTATCCTCCGAAGTGAATGGTGCTGACGTCATTTAAGCATTTTCTGGTTTGGCTGGTCCGCCCATCCGTCAGTACACTGGATCTCCCCGATCCTTGCTGGCATTCCGTTCGCGTGGGGTGAGTTCCGGGACCCTCCCGCTCTTTTCCAACGCAGAGATGTCTGACCAGCGCACAGGCAATCTATCCATCTTCATATCCTCCGCCCTCTACCTGATCGATGTGTACGGACCCCTGAACGGCGCATCGGCCATGGCGGCGAATGGTCTTGCCCGCTATGGCCTGGGCGCGGTTTTCCCGCTCTTCACCTTCCAGATGTACGAGCGACTGGGCATTGACTGGGCTACCAGCCTTCTAGGTGAGTGTTCGTTCACAAGGATCTGTGACGTATCGCTGACACTCTTGCCAGGCTTCATCGCCATTGGCTTCCTTCCGATACCCTGGGTGTTCTTCAAGTATGGCCCAACGATCCGGAGTAAAAGCGCGTATGACACCATAAAGGTCTGAAAGAGAGATCGATATGGAGCACAGAAAGCAAACCGGCTCACCCCTTGAGGAGGCTCCAAAGATGTACACCGTTGGCCAGCATCAGCAAAGCCTCAGTGGTCCACATTTCGTGAGCGCCGAAAGTGCTAGCCCGAAAGGCATCGAATGGTGTTGAGAGGCGGCAGAACAACAAAGTGGCCAGGATCATTGCAGCTCGCAGAAGCCAGTCGAGTGCTATAACGAGGACGGATAAGCCGAGCGCAATTCGAGAGGCAAGGAAAAGTTTGGTCACGGTGCGGCGGTAGCGGCTGGGCATCCGGGCAGCTCTCTTGACAAATACGTCCAGTTCAGCATCGCCGAAAGCTCGTATATCGGAAACGTGGTGGTCGGAGTCTCCAGGGTAACTTGCTAACGGAGGCGGGCACCTGAGACGTCGAAGTAGTGACCAGCGTGACCGCTCAATGATGTTCTGTTTCCCGACCTTGCCTTTCACGCTAGGCTGCCTTATGCCGTACAACAGCAGCGGTAGTAGTTCAGGCGAGGTTATGAACACAGTCCGATTCTTCTCATCAGTAGTCAGACACTCCCTATCAAAGGCTTCCTTGGCATGAGCGTAGTGGGCGAATCGGCTGTAGAAGGCTGGTGACGTCACCCGCAGCTCCAGCGTCCGTCGGTGGTCCTCTTCGTACGTGAAGCCGGGGGAGTACATTGCAACTTCTCGTTCATGAGCGGGCGTGTATACCAAGCGTAAAGGCTTCTCGCAGTGAGAGACTGCATCCTTGAGGAATGCTTGGAAGTACTCCTCAAGCACCACTTCGTCTGTGGTGTACGTCCTTCCGACACTCGTATCAGTCACTTCCGGTCGATACCACACGTGGAGCTTCTTTTGGAAGAAGAGTGTTCGCGCCTGCCAGACGATTCGAGGGAATGTGACGAAGCCAACCCACCACCAAGACGCGATGAAGCGGAAGAGCTCGAATCGTGAAATAGTGGTAGCATCTTGTGGCGTACCTTCAGAGTACACACGTGCAACGATCTTCGCACTCTCTTTCGAAGACCGTAGTACAATGGTATTGTCGAATGAGTACCGGCCAGTCCGTTCAAAGGCTGCCAGCGGATCTATGGCCCGCAAAGAGTAGGAGCCTTTCCTGCTGTTGAATGGGGAGACATGAAAGTCCTTGTCGAACGTCTCAGTGAATACGGTCTGTCCAGCGTCGCAGGCCCCCTCGCGATCCGGCTTCAAGAGATACACACGTCTCTCGTCAAAGGTATTGTTCACTTCCAGTATCATAAATTTGAGCATTGCGTCAGAGTCGTACAAGTACCAGAAGGAGACGGGGTTGAAGCTGTACCCTACAAAACGAGGAGCAGTCACCAGATAGGCGAAGGAGTACTCTCGATCGGTGACGCCTTGCGTTTGCAGATAGCGCTTGAGCTTTTCGGTCATCCCTTGACGTGCCGTGCCCCTGGAAAGATAGTCGGCTGACTGTACGTCAAACCAGCCGGGCGTTGGACTGTCAACTGACAGAGCCCGGCTGATGCGTCCACGGACATCCACAGGGACACCCACGAACAAGTAGGAATACGAGAATGCATGCTTCTGTGGGAACATCCTGGCGTGGGTGGTCCGGCTCGGTATTAGAAGGGGACGTATCAGCTGCTCATCGATCGATTGCCTGCTGGGTTTCTCAGATGACTCCGAAAGCGTCATCTGGTGGCCCCGCTGAACGATGCCTCCAGAGAAACCGCCGCATATCCCAAGCAAAGAGAATATCTCCAGATATATCCATAGCTCGCGGCTGTTGAAATCAATCCAAGCAAAGTCCGAAGGCTTAGGAAAACTCCACTCTCCAGTCCAGAAACCAAATGCCGCGTGCAAGCATAGAGACAGTACGAGGTCCTGGAGCCAAGTATGATCCCCAAGCCACATTCGCAAAACCCATAGTGGTTGGAATAGAAGTACTCTAGCGGCCAATGTGCGGTGAGGTGGAGCGAAGGTGGTCCAGACGAGAGTTGCAAACCACCAGCAGAATATGATACGTTTTGGAGTTACGCCGGATCCCTTGATTTTGTTTTCGTTTCTTTGGGGCGCCCGCATCTCCTCCTAAAGGTCATGTGCGGTCGGCACAGTTTGGACTTCAGAGAGTGAGAATTTAGTAAAACGAAAGCGGCCGCTGATGATGCTGACGTTGGACGTTGGTGGCGGCGTCAGACTCTCGCCAAGACGCAATTCACGATTGATCTATAGTTTTCTTTTCTTTCAACACACTATCTACGTTTCAAAGAGGGTTTTTGATCCATGCTAGACGAACGAATACCGGGTCCATCGAGCAGCGACGGAATGTCTGTGATCTGGCAGCAAAACCTCAAGCTTGCCTTAAGCAGAAACATCGTTGCCCTCTTCCTCTCCTGACTCTCCTGCTATAGTCATACCACCGTCCTTAATTGCGAAGCCGAAACCACCCCCTCTATCCTTCAATGCCCGCGAAAGCTTGTCATCCACTTCCCATTCGTTGACAAAGCACTCAAACTTGCCGTCCTCCACAGCCTTCTGCCGACTCGGCCCTTCTCGCATAGCTTGCTCCAAGCTGATACCAGGCGGAAATTTACGAACCAGGAGCCTGCGAACCACCAGACGAAGGGTGGGCTGGACTCCTGGCAGCTGAGGCCGGAAGGATCGCGGGGTGCTGTGTGTGGAACGGGCTGGACCAAGATGCCAGGTGGTGATTACAGCTGGGCAGTAAAGAGTCTTGCAAGCGGTCCTTAGTGATTCGAAGAGTCGAGTATAGCCACCACGAGTAGGAGCGGGTGGATGTATTGTTTCCGTCGAAGCTAGAAAGGCGGCATCCTCTGATTCAGCTCGATCTTGCCAGTAGAAGGCTGAGGCGGGATCAAGGGCTACGAAAGCGACCTCTCTGTCGTAGGAGTGGTGCCGACTTTGGTCGAAGAGGTAGAGTGGTAACGCATCGAGAGTTGCTGACCTCGAGTCGAGTGCCTGTGGGCGGAAGATGTGAATATGCTCTAGTGCGCTCAGAGTCTCGCCATCGATGTCCAGGTCATTCGCAGACTGTTCCACTCTGTCTCGCAGGAGTTTCTGTATCTGTATCGCTAAGCGTGGGACATCGAACCGGCCAGTGGTGTCAATCACCACCGCAGCTGCTTGCTTGCCGCCTAGACGACGAGAGAGCACAGCTTGAGCGCACAGATGGTAGAGTAGATGCGTCTTCCCATCGCCTGCTGCTGGTGACAGTATCTCGACAAGTGGTTGCGGTGTGGTGCCCTTGGTTGTAGGTCGTGCTTCGGTGACTGCCTGCAGTAGCCTATCTAGTGGTGAAAAGTTGAAAGGCTGTACTTTTGGCTCATTTTCGAATCTGATGGACTGCAGGATCTTTTTCAAATGTTAGACATCGCGTCGGTGGTGCGGACGGAGACGCGACTTACCTCCCCTAAGCCAGCCTCTTCAACCTCCCGAAGAAGACTCTTCCCCACATCTGCTGCCATCTTCAAGCCTGGGTACTTTCATCATCACCATCATCTATCCGTGTATCGGCGGTCCACAGAGATCCTGGTCCGGGAGTAGTGGTGTCGTTCAAGGGGGAAGGAGGCGCGCGGAAAGATATAGCTCCTGACGATGGCACCACTTGTGGAAGCCTTCCCAGCTTCGCAACTATCCACACGCGTCCAGACGACACTCAAAGATCGATCGCAGAAGCCGCCGGTGGATCTCAAGGAATGCGAGCTGAAAGAGATGCTGCAGTACTTCTGCAATCTGGATGGGCCGAAGGAGGATCCGAACAGTAAGGTTGTTTGCCAGCCGGTTTTGAGAATGTTTCGGCAGTACGTCTTCTCACACCCTGTTCACTGGCACAAGCTGTTGGTCTTGCTGACGCGGTCGTTGAAGATGCGCCAATGGCATGACGGTGGAGACGACTGCATGGGAAGGGGTGCACGACAGATGATGTGAAGCCAGCTTTGAAAATCGCACGTGACTTGTTGACATTCGGGAGCTACCAGTTCGACGGTATCATTAGACGACGGAGCGTCTCGCTTGAATGGCATAGATGTGTGCTAGGGTGATAGTCGAGTGGACCGCAAGGATAAGAATAAATACCCCCAACGCCACGCTAAATGAGTAAAAGCAGTATGACCAGCACTTCAGGTCTGGCGAAACCCGAATATCGACTTCACAATCTCAGCCCTTTTCTTCCTCCTCTCCTCCACCCAGCCATATCAGAATTGATCACTAGTCCCTCAGGCATGCCCACGTCCAAGCCCTGCTCCTTCAAATCGTTCGTACCATCCAGTCCCAGTTCCATTGCCTGTGTCTCGTCCTGGTCAACCCCACCACCAAGCTCCTTCATCATGTCACCAAACATATCCTCATCAGCAGGACTTTCTCTCTGAGTTCTCCGCCTGTCCTTCCCATTCCTGCCCGCGTCACGCACCCTTCGACCCGGCCCGCTAAGCGTGTTCAGTCGCCTCTTCTCCGCCTTCGCAGCGCCAGCCTTCGCAGCAGCGGCAAGCTTTCTGAGCGCCTGCTCGGCCATAATACCCTCCTCCGTAGCCTTCTCACGCATTTTCCGAGCATCGCGTTCTCGCTCGGGGTAGACATCAGTGTGTCGCCATGCATGTTGAGGTGGTAGGTTCGGAAAATGTCGAGGGATGTAGTTTGGAGCCTGCGTCTCCACGAGAGGGGCTAGGAGGGAGCTAAAGTCTTGCGGCGGCGGGGGTGGAGGACCTGGTTCGGGAATCGATGGGAACGATATGCTCTCCGGCACCATGAACCGGAGTTGAGGGGCGAGTAGAGATGCGCTCGAGGTATTGGGGGTGTGAGCGAGAGCGGAGGCAAAGTCGAGTGCAGTACCCTTCGAGCGACGGGAGGTCGCCATGGACGCGCGCACGTCGTGTAAGAAGTTGAGCATGTCTGTGGTCTCCTGTCAGTACTCATATTGATCTACCGTATCTTCTCACGACATACACTCTTCTGTGTGTGACCGAAACATTTCCAGTGCTGACGGCTTCACGCTGTCGAATCCGGCCGTCGCTAAGGCCGCACTGATGCTTCGTAGAAGCTGCCCTTGGGCGAAAACAGGCGCTTGAGATGCGGGCTCGACATGCTGAGGCTTTGACTGGACGTGATAGAGCTTCCGCCGCACCGTGCGCGTGGTGTGAGGGTTCTGGTCGTGGTGAGGTCGCTTCGTGCCTCGGTGAGGTGTCGTGTCCGCCATTAAGGCTCAGAGCGCCGTCACCGCTGCGCTAGAGAGTTCATTTCATTTCAGAGGGAGGAGCGATGTGGAAGTAAGTCCTTTGATGTCGAATTTGTTGCTGCGTCTCGATATGAAGTTGGTCGCAAGGTGCTCAAAGAGGAAGGAAGTCGTTCGGCAAAGCTGCGGAAGCTCGACATCACATCACCGGCCTTCAACGACATTCACATTCACTTCGCACCTCTTCATCCGACCGACGACGATGCAGACAACGCGGAGATAACGATCGCCCGCCATGAGTGCCATAGACGCGCTCTACATCTTCGACGAGCACAAGTACGTAAGTATCTCTCGACAATGCGCTACAGCACCAGCACCTGGAATCTGACATGCGAGCAGCAACCTCATCCTTGACCATGTCTATACCGGCCGGCCACCGCCGCCTTCGATCGTTCTCCCTCTCTACCTTCAGCAGTCCTCGCCCCGACCCAGCGTGATTCACCTTCCTTCGCTCAGCCCACCGACTCTGGTCTATTCAATAGTGCAGGACAACATCCTCTTCATCGCGCCAACATGCTCTGCTACAACGGAGCCGCTGGTAGTGCAAGAGTTCCTGCACCGTGTAGCAGATGCTCTAGAAGAGTTTCTCGGCAGCCCGCTGCTTGCGAGCAAGATCACAGCTTCCTATGACATTGTCGCGCAGGTGGTGGCCGAGATGGCCGACGCTGGAGTCATATGTCAGACAGAAGCGAACGCCTTGCGAGATGTAGTTGAGACTGGACCAGGCGTGCTTAAGAATCTGCTCGGTAGCATTGGCGCCTCTGGAACAAGTCCTGCTCTGCAATCTGGCGGAAGCACTGGCATAGGCTCGAGTGGATTGCGACCACAAATACCACAAGTGCAGAGCTCCCAAGGCTCGGCAATCCCATGGCGACGGAGCAACGTTCGGCACACGAGCAACGAGCTTTACGTGGACTTGGTAGAGAACCTGAGCGTAACGATCGCCCCATCTGGACGTCCTCTTGCTGCTTTCGCCAATGGGAGCATTGCATTTACCTGCAAGGTCAGTGGCGTACCCGACCTTATGCTGAATCTCTCAACTGGTGGCAAAGGTGCAGGCATGGGAACGAAGGGCCACCAGCTGAGAAGAGTGATGGAGAGAGTGGTCTTTCATCCTTGTGTGCGGCTAAGCAGATGGAAGAGTGAAGGCATGATATCTTTCGTGCCTCCAGATGGCAGGTTTGCACTCTGTGGTTATGAGGTCGATCTGCTGGGCACTGAGACGCCTCTTACAGCGGCGACCAGCAGCAAAAACTCCGCAGCGAGTCTCGGGCTTCCTGCTGCGATCGAAGTGAACACTGGCGTTGGAACGAACGGAGCAGACTTTGAAGTTCGTCTTTCGCAACCTGCCGGGGCAACATCAAGCGCAACTGCGAGCCTACAATCGAATCTCGCGCGACCGACAGGATCTTTCAGAGCTCAAACTGGCGGTGACTCAAAAGCACCGGCGCTCGAGAACATGACGGTGCACGTTCCAATCCCAGCCGGCGTGCGCAACGTCTCTGATCTACGGCCTAGCAAAGGCGAAGCGAACTTCAACCCAGCAGACGGAAGCGTTGAATGGAGGGTGTCTGGTAAAGACTTTGGCATTGGTGGTGCTGTACTAAGATGTACGGTGCAAGGCCCGATAAGCGAAGACGACGAAGACACGGGTGGAGTGTTGAATGGCATGACGGCAACGACTTACGACTACGATGAAGACGGCGGACCCTCTGCGTATCAGTCTCAGAACTCTGATACCAACGTTGAGTACGGGCTTACCTCAGGGTCAGCAAATGGCACGACGGCACGAGACAAGGCAGAGCGCAATCGCGAACTGATGCCGACGTCTGCCACGCTTTCGTTCAGTGTGAAAGGGTCGCTGGCCAGTGGACTCAAGGTCGAGAGCCTACTCGTGGACACGAAGAAGAGTCGTGGCATTGGACCGGAGATTAAGCCTTACAAGGGTGTAAAATACCTGACTGTTAGCCGGAAAGGTGTGGAAGTGAGGTGTTAGCATGCATATACAGATATCGCACCAAAGACTCTGGCTTCGAGAAAATCAAAGTTGCCACAAACGTAGTCTTCGCGTGAGGTGTCCATATGTACAATGCTTACTTAGAAGCCATGCCTCTGCCCTGTCATCCGTCTAGGAGACATTGAAGAGCCCTCCTCCATCCCCTCACATCGCATGCTTGTGCTTCTGCCCACTTCCCTTCACCACATCTCCTTTCTTCCCCTTCTTCGCCTCGGCATGACGCTTGTGGCCGGCACTCTATACCTGCCCAAGCGCCTTCGCCCGCTCGTCTTCAAGCTTGCCGTAGAACGAGTCGCGCACGCGGATGGATGGGATGTGGAAGCCTTTGAACCATTGTCAGCCTTTTCCTCCAGCACAGTTCTTCAATGTCGGCATGGTCGGTCCAGCAGTTTCCGGTGCGCGTAGCGCATCTTCAGCGAGCTGAAGGCGTAGGGAGCTTTCACATACCGTACCACCAGAGGTAGCCTGACGCTGTTCCGAGACCTGTGCATCACGTGTTAGCCCTCACATTCTCCTGAACTACACCGAGCTCGTCGGGTGTGCCATTGCGGATGAGTTGGAGGTGTCGAAGGCGTACCGAAAGCAGTTGCGAGATCGAGCACCAAGCTCCTTCGGAGCATCTGTGGGCAAATGTCAGCGCTTCGCACGCCTGCCGTGATGGAAACTGGTACATACTCCAGTGATTGGCTTGACCATAATTGCTCGTGTAGTTGTGGGATGGTTGTGCAGCTTGTTGGTGCTTGAAGTGATGTCGTCGTCGTCGTTCGAGGTGAAGCTGCGGTCGGCAAAGAGGCTTGGAAGCCGAAGAAAAACCGACCCTGTTCCAGCTTGCAGGGACTCGTGAATCCATATGAACTACCTCGACGTCCTGAATTCAGTAATCTGACGATTTTGTGGTGTGCTCTCGATGTTAGAAGCTTGCGTATTGTAGTACACATATATGTACAGCACATCGCTACCACTCTATCTACTCAAGCCAAGCGGTGCGATCTAGCAACGTCGGCGATGCCTCACATCTTCGCGGCTTCGAGGTCCGCGGCATCCCCAATCCGCACACTCCACGAGTGCTCCTCGTCACCGTACTGGATACCCTCAATCCAATCCTTCATCTGTCTCGCGACCGGACCTGCCTCCTCGTTGTCCGCCAACCCACAAGGAATCATCCGATCTCGCCAGCTGATCGCTCGCACTGGACTGACGACCGCCGCCGTACCGGCACCAAAGACCTCCATCAACCGCCCCTCCGCCGCTGCGGCTGATACCTCCTGCATCGTGCACCTCCTCTCATTCACTTGCCAGCCCTGCGGTTCCAGCCGTTCTCGCGCAAGTGCAAGTACAGAATCGCGAGTCACGCCTTCCAAGATGGTTCCGTCAAGCGGTGCCGTCACAAGTTCTTTCGTGCCGTCCTGGTGCTTGATGGCGACAAAGAGGTTCATCGTCCCGACCTCTGTGAGGTAGTCAAGCTTCTCTCCCGTCTTCTGGTCCACCTCCTCGAATATCCACAGATTCTGATGTAGTCCTCGCGTCGCGGCCTGCATCTGCGGCACGATACAAGGAGCATAGTTGGCCCCAAGCTTGGCGTTGCCTACACCGCCGGGCCAGGCGCGTACAGCGTAGGTGGTGGCCTCGAGAGAAATGGCCTTGAAACCGGTCGGGTAGTATGGCCCCACAGGAGATGCGATCACGTAGAGTAGGGCCGAGCCAGGCGGTCCAACACCAAGTGTTCGCTGCGTGCCAATCATGGTCGGACGGATGTACAGCGAGTAACCTCGTTCTGATGGAATGAACCGCTCCTCCATCTTGACGAACTGCCCTATCAACCTGATCATGGCCTCGCTGTCAAATGTGGGTAATGCGATCCGTGCAGAGCTCCTGTTCATGCGTGCCATGTTCTTGTCAGGGCGGAATAACCGCACGTCTCCAGACTTGTCCTTGTATGCTTTCATGCCTTCAAAACACTCGAACGCATAATGGAAGACGCAGGTAGCGGGATCGAGGCTCAGGTTTTGGTATGGAGTTATTCGCGGTGGATGCCAGCCGTCCTGAGTAGTCCATTCGATGCTGAGCATGTGGTCGGTGAACGTCCGGCCGAAGACGAGTTCATTGTGAGGAGTGAGTGGTTTCGGAGTGGATGTCGGTGTCACGGAGAGGCCGGAGAGGTCGATGGAGATCAGTCGAGGGTCTAGTGAGTCGGGTGCGGCGAGGCTGCTTGAGTCCCATCTTCGCTGTGGTTGTAGAAAGGCAGCTCGTGATGTTGATCGCAAGGGAAGTTGTCGCACGCAACGAGAGAACAGCGGGCGTAGCGAGGATGCCATGGTATTTCCCACCGACGCGCGCGGACTTGCTAGAGGAGGGAGAGGTGGTAGAGGAGGCGGAAGAGCGCAATGGCTCGGTGGAGTGTCGCTGATTATATGGCCGTGTTCCTGGAGAAGGGCGTGAGAGATATCCTAATCCAACCGGCCTCGGAGGCCCTTGAGTCATGCAAGTTAGCTTTGGACCCCGGAAAATTTGATTGAAATATTGATTAGAGCTGGCGAGCATCTGACGGTGAATACACTTCCACGTTGTACAAGCCATAGGGAGTACAGAACTACGACACAACTGTCAGCCCGCGAGTCACTGGGATTCAAGGCGACGGCACAGCCTGCTCCGAAGCACACAGCTATGGCTCAACCATAACTCAACCGGACATCCATGGGGTCTCTCTTTCGTATTCACTGGATATACTTGCTCTAGGTTCGATAGGACAATATGTTCTCTAGCGCGCTCAAGTCCTTCACCTCGAACATCACATCCAACTACATCATCTCCGCGCAACCAACAACCAGCTCAGGACCATGGAAGATCTTCGACGCCAAGCGCAAGTCGACTGGCAAGGCAGCCTCCGTCTTTGTGTTCGACAGAAAGTCGCTCGAACCCTCAGGAGCCAGTCTCGGTGGACGAAGCAGCGCTGCTGCCGTAAAGAGAGTGCATGAGGAGGTGCTGGAGCGATTGAAGAAGGAGGCAAGCGCGCTCGCCAGACTGCGGCATCCCAGCGTCCTCGAGCTCGCCGAGCCGGTGGAGGAAACGAGGACTGGACTGATGTTCGCTACCGAGGCGGTGAGCGCAAGTCTGGCAAGTCTGCTGAGTGAGAAGGATGAGCAGGAGCGGGGCGGTGGAGTGGGAGGACGAGGCAGCAGGTTCGTGGTAGAGGAAGCGGATGGGACAAAGCGGAGGCGTGAGCTCGAGATAGATGAGCTGGAGATTCAGAAAGGACTGCTACAGTTGGGAAAGGGGCTAGAGTTTCTCCATGAAAGTGCTGGCTTGGTGCACGCCAATCTGACCCCTGAGGCTGTACTCGTCAATGCCAAAGGCGACTGGAAGATCTCTGGATTGGCCTTTGCAGGACCGCACGAGAGCAGCACGGCGGCGACGAGTTTAACGGCAATCAGCTTGAGTGAAGTGCTCAACCTGGATCCACGGCTACCAAGGAGCGTGCAATTAAATCTCGACTATACTTCTCCAGACTTCGTTTTGGACAACAGTCTCACTGCTTCCGCAGACATCTTCAGTCTGGGGTTGATTATCATCGCTCTCTACAATTCGCCACACACCTCGCCGCTGAGCACCAATGGCTCGCTGTCTGCCTACAAGCGCCTCTTCTCCAGCTCCTCCAACGTCCCGACACAGAACAACAACTTCCTCGTGCCGTCCTCACACCCTCTACCGCCTAAACTTGCGTCAGAGTTACTACCCCGACTCATCACACGACGACCTGCTCAGCGCCTATCAGCAAAGGAGTTTCAACAAGCCAGCTACTTTGACAACATTCTTGTATCCACAATCCGCTTCCTGGACGCATTGCCAGCCAAGACCCCAAACGAGAAGGCTCAATTCCTTCGAGGACTGCCACGCATTATGCCACAGTTCCCGAAGACTGTGCTCGAAAAGAAGGTTCTGCCTGCTTTACTGGAAGAGACGAAGGATCGAGAGCTGCTTGCACCGATTTTGAGCAACGTCTTCGCCATGATCAAAGGAATGCCTAACGGTAAACGAGCCTTCACAGACCAAGTGGTTCCGAAGCTCAAGGAGGTCTTCGTTATGTCCAAGGCGACAAGTGAGAGAGACACTTCTCGGGAAGCCGGCCTCATGGTTCTGCTTGAGAATATGAACGTAGCCGCCGAGAACTGCTCAGGCAAAGAGTTCCGAGAAGACCTCCTTCCTGTCATCCTACTGGCCCTCGAATCACCTACCCATGCCCTTGTGGACGCTGCGCTGAGCACTCTGCCTTCGGTGCTCACAGTATTGGACTTTAGTACCATCAAGAACGATCTCTTTCCCGTCATTGCGAACGTCTTTGCCAAGACTAGCAGTCTAAACATCAAGATTCGAGGTCTGGAGGCTTTCTACACGTTGATCGGAGGCAGCTCGTCTGGAAGCTCGACTACCGATAACGACGACATCAACGGCTTCAGCACTACTACTAAGAGGGCTACAAACACTAGCTCTGCTGCCATACTGGACAAGTTCACCATACAGGAAAAGATCGTACCTCTCCTCAAAGCCATTAAAACCAAAGAGCCTGGTGTAATGATGGCGGCGCTGAAGGTTTTCCGACAGCTAGGCGATATCGTGGATACTGACTTTCTGGCAATGGACGTACTACCTACCTTGTGGAGTATGTCACTTGGCCCGCTCTTGAACTTGGACCAGTTTCAGGAATTCATGACTTTGATCAAAGGATTGGGCGGACGGATTCAGCGGGAGCAGGTAAAGAAGCTGCGAGAGCTGGGAAGTGGTGGCGGCTCCAGTAGTGTAGGTGCGGGTCTGGCAAGTCGTAGACAGACTGGAGGCGCGTCGACAGGACTCAATGGCATGGAAGGAGAAGCAGACTTCGAAACACTGGTATCCGGGCGCAAGGCTGGTGCGAACGGCAACGGCGACTTGATGAATGACTGGGCTGCACCAGCGCGTCCAACGAATAATGTCCGAAGTCAAAGCCATCAAGATCAGCCGATGTTCTCGTGGCAGTCTGGCAACCACAATGCGAGCATGGCGCAGCCGCAGCCCAGCTCCATGAGCAGTCTTCGCGCGACTGGACAATCTTCAAGTCGGGCGATCACTCCAGACCAGACACTTTCATCGTTCGCTGCCCTCGCGCCAAGCAGTACGCAGTGGTCTCAGCCTCTGCAGCCCCAATCGCACAACTCCACGATACCCATGCGGCCCGCTCAACAGCAGCAGAAGTCTTTCACGTCGCCAGCCGCAAGCAACAGCATCGACTGGTCGGCGGCAACTCAACAGCGCTCCTTCCCACCCCCGCCACAATCTCAGTCTAGTGCCAACAGCTTCGGCAGTACGAGCAGGCCAGCCGCCAACGCATACAGCTCGTTCACGCTCTCGCCTCCACCAACGAGTCCACAAGCTGTTGGCGCATTCTCTGCGCCGCCTTCACGACCACCTAACAGCGGGACATTCGCTGGTACTCAGCAGCCGCAGCAGAGCCAGCAGCCTCAGAAGAGCGGGCTGGACAGGTACGAGAGCTTGTTGTAGAATGATTTTGACATTTAGCGTGCAGCGATTAGCGATATGGTTGGAAATGCAAGGCATGAGACAGTTGATGGATGTCGTGCTGTGTTTGAATGCTTCTGGACGTAGATTTGGTACTTTCACATCGAACTACCTTGCCTCCCTCATCACACAGCCAAGCCTCATTCCGCTGAAGAATCTTTCTCCGACCAGTTTGTGTGTCAATGTTCATCCTGCTAGGCTGGCTCAGGCTTTGCACTTCTCCGAAGCCTCGTGCAAATGATAGACACCACATAGATCTTGAGCCCACGGCGCCTCGCAGTCTTCGCGATAGATGTGACCGCCTGCATCTGCCATACTTGTGACGACGTCACGAATGAACTCCACCGGGCCATTGGAGTCATCGTGGGGCGCTTTGATCCAGCCACCAAGTCCCTTCCAGACATGGAAGTCTACAATGAGCTTGCGTAACTTGTCACCGGACGAGGTATGCGCGTAGACGTCACTCGCGATGCCGGTCGGATATCTGTCTGCTGCGATTGTCTTCTCAACCATCCCCGACAAAGCTGCGTTGGCGAATCGCTCGTCCTTCAAAGTCACACCGAGGAGGTAACAATGAGCGATTCGCGTCCATTCGCCGTCTTTGTGGACTGACATACGACCTGCACGCTCGAGCTCCCTGTCTCCGTCTGCGATGGTGTAGAGCTTCTTGTCGTAGAGCCACGAGCGGTAGATGTGAAAGATCTCTGGGTCTTCGCCGGGTAGCTGATATGTTGGCAGACCTGCGCAGACTTGGTTGATATGGGCTTGGGTGGCATCAGGGAGTAAGTTGGAGTGAACGGTGACAAGTTCCGCAGATTGACCGACAAAGATCATGAGGATGTGGTTGGCAAGTCTATCATACGGTCAGCCAAAGCGGCAGTTGTGCAAGGCAGCGTGTTATGCTTACTGGGGCGCTTTCGAGACCAAGCTCCTGCGCTTCTCGATGCCGGTCCTCGGTGGTATTGGATGTTTCTTCGACTTGATCTTGGGCGTTACGACGATTGTGTCTTCGTCGTGATGCTGCTTTTTCGCCGAGCGAGGCTGCCGCTTCTTCACCACCCCCATCCTGAATAGCGGTGAAGAGGGTGCAGGTAAGTTTGCGGAAGCGTTTGAGCGTGGAAAAGTGAAGTCAAGCTTGCTTCGAAGGTCGATGTCACTTAGAGTCCTGACCTCACTTCACTTCGACGGTTGATCACTGGGCTGTTTCAAGTTGGCCAGCAGACCATTGTCACCGGCCTGCTCCTTCTTCAGCCGACTCGCCTCTCGTCTCTCCTGCTTCTCTTGCTCAAGCAAGTTCCTCTCGCGATCAACTACTGCCTGCATCTTCTCAGCCGTAACCATATCCTTCTCCTTCTGCGCCTCGATCTTGCCCACCACCGTGTCCCACGCCTCGTCTATGGTACTCGCCCAACTACGTCGTTCTCTTCCTCGAGTTTCCGATGTCTCGGCATCACTCATAGCCGCAGCATGAGTACGCGAGATCAGCTCATCCCACTCATCTTCCCACGCAGCGAGCGGTCTTTGGTTCTCTAGCTGCATTCTCTGATTGTGCCATTTTTGGCGCTGTGTAATGCGTTTGTGAATATACAGTGACAGCGACTGAGGCTGAGGCTTCTTTATGCGCAGCACAGGGATGCGGTTGGCGTTGAACAGAACTGGCACGTGTCGCTTGCCGGAAAGCTTCTCCAGAGGGAGTGGTCGATCGAGGAGCGACACTCTTGGGCGATCAGGCTGATCGGTTTCTTGCGAAACGTTCGCGGGCTTCTGTTGCTCGAGATATGGCCGCGATGTCAGCGGCGCTTGTTTCGCGCGTGTAGGCGCTCGCTCGAGCAAAGACTTGATGTACGCCGTGCTCTTTGCATCTCCGGCGATGGCACTGTCCAGGCGGTCGATGGCTTCATATCCAGCTTCAAAGGCCACTCTTAGCCGACGAATGCTGTGTAGACGCTGGTAGTAGGAGAAGCGGTTGCGGACAATGTTCTGGAGCTCATGTTTCTGAGCCTCTGCGAGCGGTACGGCTCTGCATTGTGTAAGCAGAGCACGGTACAGTGCAATAGCAGCAATGCGGTGTACGCCTGATCGGATGGGTATCTTCAGATCTGGCATAGAGCCAAGGTGTCCATGCTATTGAGATCACTCGACAGAGCGACCAGACGTGAAGTCAGGACGCTTAGTCAGCCGACTCGATAACACCTCAGTCTATCGTCGTCGAAGCAGATTCGCCAACACAGCAGGCAATTCTACAAGCTCCATCAACAATTTAGCAGTTCTAGAGAGAAAACAGTTGTACGAGACAAGTATCGCAAAAGTCAGCCGGCGGTTGCCACAGGCCTGGAAGACGAATACGAAGGAAGACTAAACGCTATCAATGAACCGACACCATATGTCTGAACGCCCACCAAAAACGTGATCATCCGCCATCACCAACCCTTACAGCAGTAACACCACTACTCCCATTAACCATGACATCGTTGTTCCTTCTCCGCGCGGATTTCTTCCTCTGTGTCGTGACTTCCCGCAGCTGAGCATACCCTTCATCCTCTTCCCTCCTACTCTCCTCATCCTGCTCTTCTGCAGCCATATGTTCATCCTCCATCTCTCCCTCATCTATCTCTTCGTTCGCCTCCACCATCTCCGAGTCTCCAAGGTCCGCTTGACTGGCAGCGGCTTCCTGGCTCTCCGCCCATAATCGGCATTCGTCCAGCTCATTGACGTCTACGGGTCGACTTCGGAGCCATTTCATCCTCGGGCCAGTCTTGGCCATTTCGCTAACCCGGAACCCGTATATCCGCGGCTCGTAGATATTGCCTGGTCCTAGGCCGGGGGCAAGGTTCTTGGGCGCAACGCCATTGATCATGTCAGGTTGTGGAGGTATAGGACGAGGTTGGGACGTCGCGCCGTTGGGGGCGCCTGTATGAGAACCTAGCGATGAGCTTGCTTGTGGACGGGTCGCAGTGGTGCCTACGAGGCTATTGCTCTGCGGAGCGGAGGGGTCAATCTGCGCTGCTGGCTTGTTGACACCCACATCCATGTCCGGAAACGTCATGAAGAAAAGGCAGCCAAATGTCGTCCCGAAGAAAGATCCATCGACAGTTTGAAATCTGCTGTTGGGCGGAGTGTAGACGTCCAAGCAGCTCGGACAGAACAGCTTGACTGTCTCCTGCCCCGGTATATCCGAGCAGCCCACTGGCAGCACTTTGGCGCCGTGGCAGTACACTCTCGGGCAGTGCCCAAAATGGCCCATTTCGTACTTCTCGGCCATTTGCTGGATGCCCGCTCGACTTGTGATGAAGCGCTGATGTATGAGCCCGTAGAGCATTTCGGCTGAGCTTTCAATCATGCTCAAATCGCTCGCCAGTCTCAGGTGCCGCCTTTCTGCCGCGCGAGCGGCTGCGTCGGCTGGATGGTAGCCCCCATCCCGCATCTCTTCCTCCTCGTCATCATCCTCTTCCTCCTCGTCCTCGTCCTCGTCCGAAGCATCCTCAGGCTCCACGTCCAGTATCATTTCCAGCGCCTCTTTGTACATCGGCACCTGGTTCTGCAGCCCTGTCAAATTGAAGTCATCTTCAATGAAGTCCTCGCCCACTTCAGCAAAGTACTCGTGACCCGTGAGCGAGCAAAATGCATTGATCCAGGTCTCCGGTGTCTGGCTGGAGGACGACATTTCTAGCTCTTCGTCCAGAGCGACCTCGTCAATGCGACAGGCCTTTTCGAAAGCAGCGGAGAGGCCACGAGGGAATCCGGGACGGACTTCTGCACCAGGCTCTGCTCGTCCGAGTTCTTCGACTTCTGTCAAAACCTCCTCCTGCCCTTCCAGCTTTCTCTGTTGTTGTTGTTCTTCTTCTTCCTCCTCTTCGTTCAACTCTTCCAAGTCGTATGTATGGGTGTGGTACAACCGCTCGAATGGCTCCGATTCTTCGACCTCTCGCTGAGCCAGCTTCGCGGTTACCTGTGAATTCCAATGCTGACGTATGCGCGACTCTTCCCGACTTGCTTTTGTCCCTGGGCGATCTCAGCTTTGGAAGTGCTGTCTCACCGCGCTGACTCCAATGGTGGGCTGCGGTGGCTTTCGGGGCCCGCTTGGAGATCGTTCGCTCAGGCAGTGGAGCGCAAAGGAGTCGGCATTCAGGAAACGGCCAGATGATGCGCAAGTGCTGGCTTCAACGTCGCTGAAAGACAGATCGATCTTGGGGTTGTAAAGTCGGAGGCAGCCGTGTCATCAGTCATCCAGCGCAGTGGCTTCTATGGCAAAAGCGATCCGAGTCCAAGGGATGTGAAGGTCGTCGTCGGTCGTCACTGTGTTATATCAATGTAGCCGTGACCTCGATCGCGTGTGAAGTTGTTCCACGGCAGGACAAAGTAGCAGTACCAGGAAACATAACAGTGAAGTGGGCTGCGGCGGAAGCCAGCATCCATCCCGCTTTCCGGACCCACCAGCGATATAGAGCGATATGCGCAGGGTTCTGGGCACGATCCAGACAAAGTGTCGACTTATTGGTTGAACGTCGCAGAGTACTGAACCTACACCTTGCGAATGGTGGACCAGATCAATTGCCGTGGTAGGGTCATCGGTTTACAGGGCTGCGCGAGGTCACTGGAGAAGGCATGGTCACGTGGAAGTGGTAGAGTACGGAGATACTGTCTCTGCTCAAGCTACAACCAACAGCCATCTACAGGGGTTTGGGCTCAGAAGAGCTCCTTCAAGATATTCGACAACCCTTCGTCTCCGCCAAAGAGTGCCGTCAGATTGTCCATGCCATCTGCTGTCCCGCCCTCACCTGTCCCCGAGAACGATCCCGCTGAGCCCCCGTTCGCATTGCCATTGTCGAGCGCATGATAGCCACCGGCTGCCTCAAACAAGCTGGTCAAATCGTTTGCCATGTGCTCGGGGCTGCTGCTGGCGCCAGTGGCTCCAGAGGACCACAGCTGTGCATTGCCGCTGTTGCTTCTTGTCTGGTATAAGGCCAACTCGTCAACATTATGCCCTGCTAGGCCGGCCATAGCCACTGCGGCTGAGCGATTGGGGTCGAGCTCATGTTTGGGCGGATCATGACTAGAGCTGTCGTTCCCGCCGGAGGCGAGACCGAGCTTTGGACCAAGGTCTTTGAGCACACGAACAGTCTTCCACAGCCGTTTGGAAACCCAGCTGTTCTTGCTGAAGCCGCGGACAAGATCAAGGGCCATATAAAACTCCTCGCGCACATTCTCAGCGAATTCCGCGGGAGTGTGGGCAACCGCCAGGAAAAGCACAGCGAGCGCGGATGTCAAAAATGCGTTGAAGAGAACCTGATGGGTGCGGTAGAGGTCCGTGGTCTGATTGATGTGTGTCAGAACACGAATTGTATCCTTCGCAACGTCCACAACCGTCTGCGCTTGCTCCCGGTATTGCATGATGGACGTTGCCGAGTGCAGCACCTGGCGGTAGATGAGTATGCGCATTTGGTTGGCTCTGATGTACAGCAGCACCCGGAGGCGACCGGCAGCTCTCGAAGGCGGTGGTTCGATCGGTGTACTCAGGCGACCTGCTCGGGACGGGTGCTCGAAGCGTAGGTGCAAGGGGATGTTGCGGTGCCATTGAATCACCTGGTAGTCGAGATAGCCCATCTCTTCTGTGTCGACTGGACCACCAGAGCCAGGAGATTTCGCTGCCGCCACGGTCCTCCAGACTTTGGCGCCGATGGCGCTGTACTGAATCATAGCGCTCAGGTATGGGGAGCGGTCATCTGGCTTCGGGAGTAGCGGGTCAATGTCCTGGTCTTGCAAAGCAAATGGCATTCCTGTGCCGAAGCTCCATCTTCGATCCAGAACATAGATAGCCCAGAAGAGTAGACCAGTTTCCGAGCGCTCTGATTCGTCAGTCATGGCCTCGTATGTCTCTCGCCGGTGGAGACCCAGCTCTATGCAGAGACGTGCTGTCATGCCAGTGATGCGCCATGCGGTCCCTTCGTTGTCTATTTGGAACTCGTACATCGCCTTAAACTCTATTAGCCCTGACGCAGCCTAAAGAATAAGGAATACATACCGTCAGAACAAGCAGTCTTATCCCCTTGATACCAACATTTCCCAACAGAAGGGTTTCTATGGCCGGATGGACGTAGTCGAAGATTCTTTGCCCAAGCTCGCTCTTTCCAGAACCCTCTGCGGTCAACGCTGTGGCTAATATCAGCTTGAGTATGTTGGTGTCTTCGTCGTCAATCGCATCGGCGCCAGGAAATCCTTGTTGCATCAATCCGGTGCGATGCGCAGCCTCCATGAAGCGGTACAGATGCTGGGTATGCGCGATAACCTTGTCCATGTCCAGCACAGGATACATGATACCCATCTCGTCTTCCCATACTCTGCATAACCTTAAGGCTTCTTCTCGAGAGACAGCCCATATTGGATCCTTCGTGGAATGCATTTGGTGAGAGTACTGCATCCGGTCCCTATCTCTCGCCGTCGCAGACTGTTCTGGTGATGCTTCCCGTGTAGCATTGCCTGCCTCTCCGCTCCCATTTTCTGCGAGATCATTGTGGCTTGTTATACCCATAGTCTGTAAGCTATTTCTCGCGACGCCGAAGTTGAAGTCGTTGCTAGTCGGGCCACGGAAAGTCGGCTGACTGTTTTGCGAATGGCTCTTGTGCAGGCCGATGCTCGGCGACATGTTCGCCAGCGGTGCGCCAGGAGACGCCTGCGACGCTGTAAACGAAGGTCGATGGGGCCTGAACGGAGATTGCAGCGAAGGGTCGATGGCGGACGAAGACTGCGCATGCTGTAACGTTGGTCCGCCGATGCTGATCTGGCCGCGCAGCGTAGTCATGTCTTGATAGAGGCTGTTCACCTGCTCCTGCAACGAGGCGATATGCGCTGACATCTCCTTGAACTCCTGTGAGTCCTTAAAGCCATTGCAGCAGTTGGGCGTATACACGCAGTCGAGGGAGAGGTTGCCGCAGCGCTGACATGGTGTCTGTCCATTACACTTGATCTTGCGTCGCTTGCACTGTCGCGTCTGTCAGCAGTAGCCCTCGCACTCATGATCACGTCTCGTACTTCGTTGCACGCGATGGAAATGTATCGGTTGCGCTTCGCTCTTTGCTGCTGACCTCCATCCTCGGCTTTCCTCTTGTTGCTGTTGTTGTTGTGCTGGCCGGGCGACAGGCCATCGTCGTTGATCTCGTTGTTCGCCAGCGACGCTATCTGCGCGATGCTCTCCATTGAGCGTACTATTGATGTGCTGTTTTGAGGAAGTGCGGTCTGGTTCCGCTGACGAGGAGAAGGGGTCTTCGGAGTGGAGATGTGGGTGCGGGGAAAGGATCGCGGGGAGCACGTGGTTGTATGGGATGAGATCATGAGATAGGGCAGAATCGGACGAACAGAGGTTATGGTGCGAAGTCAAGGGAGTATAATGCAGCAAAACTGCGCTCTATGGTTCTGACAAGGGGCACGTATCTGCTGCCATGATTTTCACGATTCGGTTAGGGCCAGTCATCCTTTGAGGATGCGCCGCCGCCGCTAAACCACTCTCATCCCGTGTGCGGTGCGTTTCGTGCGTTCCAAGCCATTACGGGCTGTCCACCACAATGCCACGGTGTATGAGCTTTCCCTCTGCGCTCTGATCACACTCCCTCCTTGCTGGTCAGCCAGACGTGGTCCCTCGGTAGTTTGCCGGTAGGCCAGGTCAGGAGACGTCGTAGATGCGCCGTATCCACACAATCTCTCCCTGTCCATGAGGCTGTAATCTCATTTCGTTCCCTCACCAGATGGACCGCCTTGCTGGGAGAGCATCTTCTGCCTCAACACTTCTTCCACCATCCTGAGATTGTTTGCCTTGCCATTGACGATATTCTCCAAGTCCTTGACATTCGACCCTAGCTCCTCGACTTTTGCATCGTAAAACTTCTGCGCATCGGCCGTCGACTTCTCCACGTAGAAGCCCGTTCCGACGTCTACTAGCACATGCTCAGTATCCGCGAGTTTGCCTGGTACGTAGAGTGACGACGTCAAGGGAACGAGGATCGGTTTGCCTGTAGCCACGAGGTTAGCCGCGCGTGTTCATGTACTGAGCTCGGCACAAACCGCCGCTCGTTTCTCTCAGGTCACAAACCTTTTGTGCTCTCGGCGACGCCACTCTTGATGTTTGCCAGGCACTCCTTGAACTTTTGCTGGGCCCGCTTGAGATTATGGTAGGAGTTCGAAAGATGCTGCACTTCCTCATCTAGCTGTTTCTTCACCTGGGATAGCTGCTGCGCAGACAGGCTGGCCAGATCGACTGCATGAGATTAGTATACGCACTGTCGACGAGTCTGAAAGATCTTACTCTGCTGCCCTTGTCCTGCCCCAGCCATAGTTGTAACATTGCATTCACTTGGTCAAGCTTGCGAACATGTCTCCAGAAAAGCGCCTATATCAGCTAGTGGCCCGATGCAGTTAGCGTGCGGGCTGTTGCCTTAGGTTTCTAGCGACTTTTGCACGTGATAGCGACACTCGATCAACTCTGATTCCACATGAATGCTCATCACATGTCCATCGATCAGCAGCTATGGTGGATGGTTGAACTGTCTACAAGATACGTGGCATATCCCAGCCCTGGCATAGAGCGAATTGATTGATATACGTTGCAACAGCCACAGCTCCGAGCGTCCTGCAGTAACCCATCAAACCCATACAATCGGTCGATTTGATTCACATCCGGCATGCCCCGTCCTTTGGACCCCAAACCTCGAGGAACGGCGGCGGGTCGCGAGGTCGTTCCGCAGGCACCCAAGGCGCCCTCTCGGTGCTGCTGACCTTTCGTAGGGCGCGTTCGTGTTGCAGGAGGGGCTTAGCAGGCGTAAAGTGGGCCGGCGTCTGCAGGTGCGGCGTCCGGAATTGGATCCTCGGCGACGCTCGCCTGCCCCCAGGATGTGATCCGAGTCTCGTGGACAGATTGCGGTTGCTTGTCGCTCGAGAGTCATACAACTTCGAGCACAAACTGCAAACACAGAAGGAGGCCATATAAGAAGAAGGCGTCGATTAACAAGAGAAGGATATTTGAACATCCCCTTCAGTCAAGGCTAAAGTTCCTCGGACCCGATTCCCACAGAACACAGAACAACCAAGCTTTGCGCCTCCGGTGAGGGCTTCCCGCCCAATCAAAACACATCTCTTGGTCTCGGAGAATCTCTTAGCGTGCAGGTGTGCCAGATTGAGGTGTGAGTCACCGCGCACACTGAGGCAGAGACATTCTTAACTCAGCTGATCCCCCACGAAATTGCTCTTCCCTTCATCCCCACCACACCACACACAACCACATCACAATATAGAGACAGACACATGATGGCTGCCTCTATCTAGCTCACGTCGCCCGCCATATCTCGACCACAGTTAACCGCTCTCAACCACCTTCACAAGGAGTCTTCGGACATCCGCCGTCCTCGAGACCTTCGCCCCGCGACCTACTCCCCGCCGTCCACAACGGCTTCCACGCAGCAGACATGGCTTCCACCACCAGCATCTGCAGGCCCAACGCCGCCACAACCCGTGTTCACGCAAGACTTCGAGCTCTTCCAACAGTCGACCCCCTCGGCTCCTCCCCCCCGTCGGGCTCCCTCGCTCGATTCGACGCTGCAGCCTTCGTTTAAGACGACCAACAGCCCAGCAGGCTACCATCCTGCGACTGTGAATCCCAACTCATTTCAAACGATCAACTCAACTCAGCGACAAATCCAGCGGTCGACTCGACCACCAGTTCCACTCTTCCACTCCAACTCAACCGGTAATCTCGCGAACCAAAACACCGCTCAGTATCACATCCAGCAGTCAGATTTAGCAAACTTCGACATGGGAGGCGGAGGTGAATATCTATGCCACGCCGCGTCATTGCAAGTTCTCCGACTAACAAACAACTCAGAAGTCAACGTCGCCTACCAAGGCACCTTCAACGATCTTGGAGACGCACAACTCTTCGGCATGAACGACAACGACTTCGAGCAGCTCATGGCTGCTGGCCCTGGAGCCGACAGCTTCACCGCCGTTAACAACGGTTATACCGACGGAGTCACCGTGTCCCCAAGCGATGTGTTTAACAACAACGACTCCTTCCCACCCTCGGCAACCTACACAAACCTGACTACCCCCGGTTCAACCTTACTCGAGACACCCGACGAGCACTATGAGACTTCTCCCATGTTTTCCGACAACCTTGGCCTCGACTCTCAAGGCTCTGCCTGGTACTCACTCTTCCCCGATGAGGTAGCAGGCGGCACCACTCCGGCACCACAAATGGCACGAACCACTTCTGCATCTTCAGCCAGCCAGATTGTGGTCCACCCGGGCGGAGAAGGCAACAACCGCAAGCGAAGCTCGACAACGGCTCTTTCACCATCCCCAGCAAGCTACAGCCCTGCACTCAGGCACTCGAGCGTTGCTGGTGTGAATGCGCGCAAGCGTGACAAGCCGCTGCCACCCATTGTTGTCGACGAGAGTGACCAGGTCGCTCTCAAGCGAGCCCGAAACACTGCTGCCGCCAGGAAATCACGTGCGAAGAAAGTCAACGAGCGAGACGAGATGGAGTCCAAGATTGCTGCCCTCGAGCAGGAGGTGGAGCACTGGAAGAGACTGGCTTTGGCTCGCCTAGAGACTGACGAGGACGCAGAAGATTAGAGGTCTCTGCTTCTGAAGTCAGCTCTATCGACGACCCAAGACCGACTTGCATGAACGACGATGTGCGGCGTGGCGTGCCTAGCATGCTGGTGGTGGATGTTTCTTTTATGTTCGGATGGATTTCTTATTGCGGCCTTGGCTCGTGGACTCCTACTCGCTTGCGGGTAGATGGTGTCCTGACCATGGCATGTTTTACTCTCTCTACTAACGGCTGATTCTGATGTCTCCTACTCGAATACCTTTGTTGGTGCTTGGGTGGTTTGATGACTCGTTGCCTGGTTCTTGTTAGTTCTTGTCTTGCTGCGTTATGTAATGAGTTTAGGTTACGAAAAGTTTTATCACCACAAGCTTCACTCTCACTCTCACATGGCATTGACCAGTCCATCACCTCCATGATTCGTGACTCCACCGAGGCCGTAGTCCCATCTCTGAGCTGCAAGGCGGCGGAGTGGGGAAGTTGCAGAACTGGAGGCTTCCGTGGCGCTTGATGGCAGAGGTTACGATTAGAACGGCCGGACGCAACCGTACGCACGTGTACCTTCGGTAGAAATGTAGAACAGCATTTTGATGCTGAAACTAAAATCATCTTCCTATGTAATTGTGTGTTGGACTATCTGTTTCTCTTGAACTTCCGCAGCGCTGACCGGGCTCATTTAGACATCTTGAGATATGACTTGACTCCACATCTCCGCAGTCGTGTCGAAGAGAATTGTGCGCCGCCCTCTTAACGGCAGTAAAAAGCCAAATATCATGTAGCGACCATCCGCCAGAGATAAACCATGCTCGAATTGGATCACGAGAATGGGCCGAACCCCAAGTGCTTCTATACGTCTTCCATGCTGCCATCCTTCGTCGACCACAAGCAGATCCCCAGTAAGAAGAAGCCGTTCGCGACCATTGGCGGCCGACCTTTTGTGCATACTGTAAGCCCACTGCATGTCGTCTTCGGCCTGAGCTGACCAAGACGAAGGTGGATCTTCTACTTCCACAAGAAAACGAAGACGCTCTGCTGCAGACTCTCGGAGACGCGCACGGCAGCTTCACATACGCGAAGGTCTACATGAAGCCTAGTGAAGTCGTGACTGGAGATTTCTTCAATCACTACATCAAGACAGGTAGATTGAGCGCCAACAGGCGCACCGTTGGGCATCGCTGACGATGGCACAGGAAACATACTCATGATCTCCGAAGGCCGACCAGGCATTGATCATACATTCTCACTTGTAGAGGGTGTGCTCAGACTTGAGGTGGACAAAGCAACATATGAACGATTGGGGCTGGCAGGAGAGCCGATCCCATGCGCAGGTCGAAAGCATGTGAAGATTCGATATGGTAGGTTGGCTCGCGTTCGCTGTGACTTTAATGTGCTTACACAAGCCTACATGTAGCTATCGAGCTCAATTTGAGACTGCCGGAGATGGTTCGCGGCCACAAGGGCTTTGACAGGATACACTGGGCGTTCAATAACGTTCTTGATCGTTCTGTGACCTGGCTGTTCTACGATCTCAAAGGATCCAACGACGGTGCTGGACCTATGTCCATCCATCAGCCTTCGATGAAGACGGTGCAACCCAAGACAGAGACCTTGCACCAAGTCACAGTTCCCTCCTTCCCACAGACCATCCAACCAGATGACCATGACATTGCTGCGGAGCTGCTGGAATGGCTCACCATGGTCGCTATGGACTCGCCGCGTGTCCGGAGTGAAGACCACCTGGACTCCTACCTGAGCCGCTATCAGGTGCCGGACATCAGCGAGAACGGCGTATCAGGTGGATCAAATCAAGATCTCGTTCGCCTGCGGTGGCACGGTCTGGTACCTTCTTGGAAGGCACAAGAGATCTATCTGGCGGCTCTGAAAGCTTCAGGGGATGGCTGGTTCGCAATGCATGCGTATGCGTTTGACGGCAGTGCATACACCGTTCTCCAGGACAAGCAGCACACTTCGACGTGGGAGTACATGGGTTGACTGCTGGAGGGGAATCAACATTCTGTTTGTTCTTCTCAAAAGGGTCACGCTACTCGTCCAGATTACGGGCTTGTGGCAATGGCGTGATCGACTGAAGCACCGCTTGCAACGGAGTCAGCACTTCATCAGCTCCAGACCACCGATCGCCAGCTGTGCCAACCGCCTTGACCAGCAGAGGATATAGGTAGTGCAGGTGCGCTTTCTTCCCCTGCCTTTGATGGGCCACATTGTCCCCAGCAAGTGCTTCAGGATGAAGCTCGAGCCTTGCAACGGTATCGAAGCAGTACAGTAGCTCTTCCAATTCGGAAAGAGGCTGTGGTCGTCGTCCCCGAAGAGGCTGGTCGGCGATGTAAGCTCTTATTGGGATGGCAAGGCGGAGGATGAGTAGTGGAGCGGCAGCTTGAGCTAGTCTTTTGCTTCCGGGTGAGTCGTCGTTGCTGGTGGATAGCCTGACCAATTCAGAAATGCATTCATAGCACATGTCCTCCCGCCGGGAAGACGGTACTCGCCTCACACGGCCCAGGCGTATCCGATCTAGATCTTGCAACGGCGAGCAGTCCTCACCTGGGATCTCGCCACTCTCCGTGGCATGTATTATCGAAGCATCGAAGAGTGCGCGTGCGAGCAGCGTGCGTACGGTGTCGCGTATTTCCTGAATTCCCAAATTCGGGACGAGTATTCTCTTGATCGACGAGAAGCTCTCAATATCGAACAGCTCGTCCTCGTAGACTTTATCCGGATCCTGGACTTCGTCGATGCCTTTCGCCTTCACGACGCCACTCAATGCGCCGACATACTCTGTCCACAACGAGAGCTTGACGTTTGGCTCCGCATCGGCTTGAGAGCATTGCTCGAGCACTGGAAGAGCCAGCGCCACAGCTGCTGTAGTCGCCTTCCGCCACAGCGGCGTCCCCTTGGTGTTGGCAGCGTAATTGTATTTCTCCTCGATGAGATCGCGCAGGCTATGGATGACAGTAGTGACAACATCGCTTTCCAGCAGTTCCGCATCGGAGATGTTAGACAGGACTAGCTGCTGGAGCCAATCGATCGACTCGCCTGCCAATGCAATGAACGCTGGTCTCTCATTTGCTGGGCCATCACGAGCACCATCATGATGCAGCGTAACGAGTTTCGAAGCCACGATGACCAGCGTGGTTGGGGTGTCAGAGCGGATGCCTTTTAGTAGGTCGAGAGACTTGCTTTGCAGCGGACTAAGGCTGCTGGCGTCTGCACCATATCGCGGACCGTTGGAATGCCGGAGCACCAGGTAGACGTTCTCGACAAAAGTCCTTGTCTGAGAAACACTCATGCCCTGCTCTGTGAGGCGATACAGCTCGATGCCAGCCTCAATGTAGGCGCTGAAACTCTCCTGATTCGAGCCCTTGCTTTCGACTTCGATGTTGGCCGGGTTCCGTTTCAGCCATAGATGGAGAGTGCGATACATCGGTCCAGTCCAAGATTTCGAGTCTACTGATATGTGAGCGAGCACTTGTCTCAGGGCTTGGTATACAGCCGTGTTAAGCAGCAGGCTCTCAAGATCGAGATATGCCTCCATCCGTGCAAGAAATGCTTCCCACAAGCTTGGTAGCTTTGAGATCTGCTCGATCACTCGCAGATGATGCGACACAATGTCTGCAGTACCCGCGATGATAGCACTTGAGACGCTCTCGTCATGCGAGCCCGAAGTCGCCGCTTTTGTTTCATCTTTTGCAGGTGGGTTGTGATATAGAAATGAGTCGTGGAACGCTACCCTCAGGATGATGCTGCGCAAAGTTAGGTCCCAAGTTGACGGCTCCGACTGCTCGCCGTGGTTCTTGAAGATGCTGCAAAGCGTCTGAAACGCAGCTTTGCGGACTTCTCTGTGACCGTCGCCGATGATTTGCTGGAGGCGCAAGAGCAGCAGGAGCCATTGCGCTGGCCTCGATGTTCGCACCATTGTCTGCACTTCTTCCTCGAAGTCATCAGCTTCCTTGACTTCCCTCGCACACCTGGCAAGGTCGTCTTCCGCAATGCCGCTGAGAAGGAAGTCGGAGACGTTCCAGGCCATCGTCACGGTGCTCAGGCAGATGTTGAGATCGTCGGACTGTACTGCAAAGCGGTAGAGTAGCTCAATGAGCGACGGCATCACTGCTCCGGACAGCGCAGAGAGAAAGTCGGAGCAGATTAATTGGGTGGCCGCAAAAGCAGCTTTGCCCAGTTCGACCGAGACGAGCTCTTTCGATACGTTCTCCCAGTCGATATGCGTCTCTTCATCGTCCTGCCTGTCCGGTGGTGTACCACTCCGCTCAAATACACTGGAAATGATGGCAATTGCTCTATTCCAGCCGGCCACTAAGGACTCGCCGCAGCGTTCCAAGATAGCGCGCAAAGCTTCCACGACATGTCCTTGCACATTGATGTCGGTGGCAGTAAGCTCGCCTTCATCGGCGTATATGCCATCTACCAAGCGCAATAAAATGGCGAAGGTCCGTCTCTGGATCGTCTTCTGCGTTATAGCGTCTTCTTCGCTCACTTCGGAGACCATCTCGGCAGCTATTTTGCAAAGCACGTCTGTAGCAGCACGACGAGCCTCCTTGGGGTGGGCGTTTTTGGAGGCAATGGTCACGAGCTCATCCACGAGGATGTTCCAGCCGCTTTCATCTGGTTCGTCTGCCACGAACCGTGCGATGTTCATTGCAGCCAGACTCCCAAGCTTCGGGACAACGAACTTGTAATCTCTTAGCCGCATTTCGCTAAGGCTGCTGATTCCGGTCAAGCCAGAGAATGTGCGTGATTTTGCAGATGGGGTTGGCGGTGGAGACGTCTGGTTGATCCGTGGAGAGGAAGCGATGCTTGGATCTCTGCCATGGAGCAACCGGCAGAATGTGTTCAAAACGTTCAAGAACGCCTCGTTCGGGTAATCAGCTGTACTTTCAAGAAGCCTCGAGGCCGCCGACTCGACCGCATTGATCTCGTTGGTGAAAGCTTGAACGACGTTGGGCGACTCTGATCCTTTTTGCGAAGCAGTGAGACCCTGCCGAACCATTTGTTGTGGGCTAGTTGCGCTCAGCACTGTGTCAGCCTGGCGCAGAGTATCCACTACGACGCCATAGGCGGTGTCGAGCGTTGGCCCAAGAGCAATTGCGAGATTGAGTTCTGCTCTCAGACAAAGTAGATTCCGAGTCGTAAGCATCGGTCGACTGGGCTCTACTGAGCCGCGCCTGTCGCGGTCGATAGATAGGGAAGACGTTTGACTGACGAGTGTGTCCACACTCAGGAGTCCTTTTGGATTGGAAAAAACGCGAGGACTTTCGGTCGACGGCGTCTTGGGTGGATCGGCTGTTGCAGCATTGAGAATATGTGGCGGTACTGCGGCTTTGCCCAGAGTTGTCATCAATGCGTCTCTCGCCGTACTGAGCCTAAGAAGACCGGCGACCTGAGCGAACCGTTGATAAGCCTTGATCAGATTCCGGTAATACTGATCGTCTATTGCAGCGTTCAAGAAAGTAGAAGACGTTGCTAGGACGGCGGGCCAACACGAATCCACAAATCCATGGACAGCTTGCACTCGTGTGGCAGTGCGGCCTTTGTGATCTAGTGGATTGATTGGGGCGGCTCGTTTACGATATGAATGCGAGCGACTCCTCCCAGATGGCCGTGCACCGTTGGATTGATCTCCGTTTGCTGTGAGCTCCGGCTGAGACTCTGTCCGAGACTTCTCGTGCTGAACCGTCAGTGGCAAAGTCGTCTTTGCCAGACCGTCTGACAGGCTATTGAGGCACTCGAGAACAAGCGCGTAGATATAGGTCTCTGGCACAGTGGGTGCGTCGGTCTTGTCGAGCTGTTCCAGACATGGAGAGCGAGGCAGGCTCCACTTCGAACTGATTCCGGCCACGTTGGTTTCTGCAACTCCAAGTGCAGAGCTGATCATGCCGGCAACGCCTCCTGCAGCTTCTAGAGACGGCGTCTCCGGGGTCGTGTCTCTGGCAGACATCGGCCCTACTGGGATAGTTGACTGCTGTCCGAGACCTATTATGGAAGGCTTCTCTGATGATAGCCGGACGAACACAGACATCAAATCTTGCACGATCGGCTTACCACCGTCAGTTATGTCGTACAAAGCGTATGCATCGACCACGCGGACTCCGTCGGCGAAGAAGTTGCGCAAGATCTCCATGACCGTTGCCCGTTTCCACATGGGAGCTGCGTCAGGGTCCAGTGTATGTATTAGCAGCCCCAGAGCTACTTCGCACTCCGCAGAAAACTGAGAAATGTGGCGACTGATGATTGAGTCCAATAGCCTGAGCGAGCGTAAGGTGAGTTGGTAGCTCAACTTCTCCGACAGCGCTCGCGTAACAAAGGGTAGCACGTTTGATCTGATAGTACTGCGAAACTCTTCATGAGTCGCAAACAAGGTAGGATTCGCATTCATGCATGACCAAATGAGCTCAAGGCTGGACTCTTCGGAGAGCGATTCAAACTGTACGAACTTCGTCCTTCTGTTCTCAGCGGCCAGCGCGAGATCACGGAAGACTCGGTAAGCATCGAATGCAGCTGGCCGGAGCTTGAGAGGACCGTCTTGGCCAGGGACCTCATTTTGTGCCGGGACATTGTTGGCGCGCGCGTCCTCAGTTACGACTTTCTCAAATACAGACGTGACCAGCTGCTGGAGGGTGGCAGCTGCTACTCCACTAACTGTTTGTGCCTTCGCACTCTGCAGAGATGAGCATACTTCAAGGGCCCCACTCAGCAGATCACCCTTCAAATCTTCAGCGTAGTTTTGTAGCAAAGATGGCAAAGCTTGCAGGATCTTCAACTGGCTCTCCAGACCAAGGTCGGTGCAAGCATTGAAGGCCTCCAGAGTCTCCTGGAGTTTCGAACGGGGTAGACCTCGAGATACGACCAGGCGTTGAAGACATGTCAAGCCGCTGCCAGCAAATCTGGCATTTCGTGTGGCACATGCGAGGAGAAAAGGCTCAATGAATGAAGAGCGTCGGCTCAAGTCTTGAACAGATTAGTTGAAACCACTCATAGAGGACACATAGGCATAAATACCTGCCGCAAGTTGCTGCTCTGAAGTCGCCGGAAGGCTTTTGAGATCTTGCAGAGACTTTTCTGCTGCGGTACGGAGCTCCTGATTCTTTCTCTTCGCCTCTGATATCAAGTTGGCGAGCTCGTTGGCAAGGACGGTGGAGGTCATCTTGAAATCTTGCAGCTGGCCAGGGTCTTTGAGGGATATGGTCGTAAATTCATAGCGGAGGTAGATGATAGTCTTGCAAGAGTCTCACAAGGACTATGTTACATGCATTCCTTGCCACGTCGAGCCACCTGAATGAGGCATGTCATTCGCATTGAGTACAATGAAAAGGGTCGACGGGAGCTGTGCAAGGTGGTCAGATGTAGAGGCACGTGCAAGCTTCAGGCCACGCGAGGATCGTCACAAGCGGCTGCACGCTGCACGTCCCCTACCCTAAGGTAACCTCTTGCTATGCTATGCCCCGGAGTACAACAGTTCGACAAAGCCATACGAGAACCACAACCGGCGCATCTTCAATGCACAAAGCCCAAACTGCGATCTTGACCCCAACAACGGCATGCGGGAGTCATACCACGACCACTTTCCTGAGCAATTGAGAACAAACCTTCTATGTCCGATACGGCCAAGGACCACGAGCAAATCAACACTCATGATGAATTAGCAATAGGAGACGCTGCTGCTCCAATAGAGATAGATGGCCAGGGACAAGGGCCACAGGACTCGGCGCAGGACGAGCTCCAACGTGAGCCCGTGAAGAAGGATGAGGACCCAGCGGAGTCGAAGGAGGTGATGGCTGGCCAGGATGGGGCAGAGGTAACACAGCCAGCGAACGATGAGGAGATAAGGATGATCGAGGGTGGAGATCAGAATACGGAGGCCAGGTCGCCGTCAGCCGAGGACATCGAGAAAGAAGCCAGCGAGCATCTGGCGCGCCGGGCTGCAGAAATGTCTATCGACGGCAAGGACAACACCTCTGACCAGCAAGATCACGGTTCAGCGCTACCTCGAAAGGATGATGAGTTGCCGGCATCTCCTCCAGCGCCTCCCGTGCCAGCGAAAGATATCGCAGAGTCGTCTCAGCCGCAAGAAGCGGAGTACGACGAGAAGCATCCTCCGCCGAATGAAGAGCCATCCAACGATATACCTGAAGCTCCTCAAGGCACAATGGAAGCGACGGGAGCTGAGATCCAGACTATCATGGAGCAGTTTCAAAATGGAACAGGTGGACCTGCATCAGAAGAGATCATGTCACCTATCCTCGAGCGACAGCAGCCTATACTAGTACTCCCGCCACGGACATCAAGCCTAGAGCACAGAGAACAGCATGGCCTGAGCCCGCAGACAACTGGCGGCAGCACAAGAAGTCAGCCGTTCAGCCCGCAGTACTCTGGCAAACCGCCTTCGGTATCAGGAGCCAGCTTGGATCAAGTCAAGTCAGATGACACACAGTCTATTGCTAGTACCAAGACAGGATCAATGTTTCAACCGCCGCCTCCCTCACCGGACCCTGACCCTCCTCTGCCATTCGACTTTCACAGATTCCTGGAGCAATTGCGACACAGAACAGCGGATCCAGTGGCGCGGTTTCTACGGTCATTCTTGACAGAGTTTGGCAAGAAGCAATGGATGGTGCACGAGCAGGTCAAGATCATCTCTGACTTCCTTGAGTTCATCTCGAAGAAGATGGCGCAATGTGAGGTGTGGCGAACGGTGTCAGATGCCGAGTTTGACAACGCCCGAGAGGGCATGGAGAAGTTGGTCATGAACAGACTGTATTCGCAGACTTTCTCGCCTGCGATACCGCCAGTCGCCGGCAGCCCTCGAAAGGCTGGAACCAAAGGCGGCCGATCAGCTGTCGATGCGGCAAATTCACATGGTCCAGGAAGGCGTGGACAGCACCAGGAAGACATCGAGCGTGACGAAGTGATAGCGCTGAAAATGAAACTCTATGGCTGGATAGAGGAGGAACATCTTGAAATCGAGCCCATCAATGAGAAGGGTCGCAAATTCCTGACAATGGCACAGAAGGAGCTTCTCAAGATCAACACGTACCGAGCGCCGCGGGACAAGGTGATCTGTGTTCTCAACGCTTGCAAAGTCATCTTCGGATTTCTCAAAAATTCAAAAGGCGACCAGTCTGCCGATGCATTTGTACCTCTGCTGATATACACCGTGCTGAGAGCCCGGCCAGAACATTTGGTCAGCAACGTCCAGTACATATGGCGCTTCCGCAACCAGGACAAGCTAGGCGGCGAAGCGGGCTACTACATGTCGTCGCTGATGGGAGTGGTGGCGTTCATCGAAGGTATTGACCGCAACACCATCAAGATCTCGCAAGAAGATTTTGACAGGAACGTCGAGCAGGCTGTGAGCGCCATTGCCGAGAAGAACAAGGCAGAGGAATACGAGAAGGAGTCTCATGCGGCTGCTGCACCAACACCACCGCTCCAGCAGCGCTTCAACGAGAAGAGTACTCTCGCCCGGCCGGAGGTGACCCCAAACAACAGCATGGACGCCGAGCGTTCGAGTCCGAGGCGCGATGGGACTCGGGAAAGAAGCCGTCACGCGCACCAAAGCTCGACTGATACTGTCGATGACTTTGACGCCGTGACTGGGCTGTTGCGTACTATTGGAAAGCCACTGAGCAGCATCGGCCGAATCTTCTCTGATGATGGCGGAAACGCACAACAACAGAACCCATCATTACGAGCTGCGAGTACCCCTCTACCCAATTCCGGCTCTCGAGGGACTTCCCCTGCGTACCCTGAGCGACGACCTTCAGCAGATGGCAGATCGCGGGACCGATCTGCTCCCGAGAGGCAACAAGCTGCGGCTGATGCAGCAGCGCGGCAGGCAAGTGCTGAGACCGCCCAGGCGCAGAGAGTACGAGCGCAGGAGTACAAGGTTGTGGTCGAGTGAGTAGACCACTGTTCTCGATAGAGCGACTGTCAGCTAACGAGCCCGTAGGACGTTGCAAAGCATGTTCCCCAACCTCGACAGGGAAGTCATCGAAGACGTGGTGCGAGCGCAGGAAGGGAACGTTGGACGAGCGGTGGATGCATGTCTGGCGCTGAGCACTGGCTCGTGATACCCAAATTGTCATAGACCGTTTGCCACAAGCGATCCGATTAATGTATATAGCCATTCGAACTTTATCAGTCCCGCATGTGTGCTCAGCGAGATCCTATCCAGATCCTCCCGTACCTTAGAGTGCCGTTTCGTCTCGTGTTTCAGCCGCGCCACTGACTCCGAAGATCCCGAGCATCCAGGCATCTCCCCAGCAAGCACATGCGCTCTACCTCACGACACACTCTACCTCCCCACGACCTCCCCCATCCCGATTCACCTCCGAAGCCTCCGTCGCACAACGCTCTCTCGGGGGCCCTCCGCACGTGCCCGCCTGCGCAGAACGTCGCACCTACACCACCGCCCCCGTGTGCGCCCAAACCCTCGAGTCCCGGCTTACCTCTCCTCACTCGCAAAGATGGTGGTCAACGAGACGAGGAGGAGAATGCTACGGCAGCTGAACAGCCGGTACATCTACGGGAAATATGTACGTCCCTCCTGCCATACTCGACGAAGCGCAACGCTGCGGAAGAGCCAGGGCATCATGATTCATGATATCGCCATGCGGATGCGCGAAGTCCATGTCTCCTTTGACAAGTGCTTGGAATCCCATTTGCTGACCCGACTGTTCTGCAGCCGCTTCTCCATGCGATCGTCTTCATCATCCAACTCACGATGGTCACGGTGTTAGTGCGGAAGTTCAACGGCTACTATGCCAACCGGCCGGTCCTTACGACCATGATCACCAACGCCGTACGGCTTTCCATGCTTTTCCTCAGCTGCGGCAGTCGACCTTGCTAACGCACCCTACCACAGGTCCTCGGAGGCATAGCAGACACCGTCGCCCAAACCCTCACAGCACTGCGCATGCGGCAACGGCAGAAAAAGCTCAACCCTGACTACGGCAAGGACGACTTCTTCTCCATTGAGATCAGTGAACTAGACAAAAAGGTGCCATGGCCGGAGGACGACTTCATGACACCGGCGTCGAAGCGAGGGCCGCCGCCGTTCGACTTTGAGCGCTTGACAAGGTTTATGGCATATGGTTTTATGATGGCGCCTGTTCAGCACAAGTGGTTCGGCTTTCTCGAGCACATGCTGCCGATTGGAGGTGGCAAGGCGACGTCGAATGCGTTGAGGAGGGTTGCGTTCGATCAGTTGATCTTTGCGCCGTGCGGTACGTCAACGAAACGAGCTCTTGGGGACGGTCAAGATTTGCAGAACAATCATGCTGACTTGGTTTTCCACAGGTCTTGCATGCTTCTTCACGTTCATGACAGTAGCAGAAGGCGGAGGCAAACGAGCGGTAATGCGCAAGTTCCAGGATGTCTACCTGCCGGCGCTCAAGGCCAATTTTATGGTCTGGCCGTTGGTGCAAATGCTCAACTTCCGCATCATACCTATACAGTTCCAGATTGTGAGTCTTTGCTATTGTCAACCAAGAGATCTAGCTAACAGATACACAGCCCTTTGTCAGCACGATTGGTATTGCATGGACGGCATACCTCTCGATGAGCAATGCCTCCGACGAACCGGTGGTGACGTCGAACGACAACTCGCCCTAACACTCTCATCGCCTTTCTGTGCATACTTGCTTGTGACTCGGGCATTGGGGAGTGGCTCCTGGATGGACAGCGCTGCCTGGCGTATTGGATATTGGGGGACTGCTTTGTCGCATGGTGTCCGGTGTTTGGGCTCACGAGGCGAGACCTACGTGTTGTTCGGGTACTGCAGATTCGAGAGAACGGTACGATACCTTATCAAACCTCAAACGAATAGTATGCATGCGGCAGAAACCGGACGTGTTTTGGCATCGGGGCGGGTTGCCTCGCTTTTCTCTTGCTCTCCCAACAGCACCCCTCCATGCCCCACCAACGTCACTTTGATCGATCTGCTTTTTGTTGCCATTGAGAAAACATTTACTTGTTTCTTCTTCACATTCGACAACTCCCACAACTACATATTCTGTCTCTGCTATACGACACTTCAGACCGCGCCAATATGTCGCTCTCCAACAAGCTCGCGATCACGGACTGCGACCTCAAGGACAAGCGCGTGTTGATCCGAGTCGACTTCAACGTGCCCCTCGACAAGGAGACGAACTCGAAGATCACCAACAACCAACGAATCGTCGGCGCTCTTCCCACAATCAAGTATGCGATCGAACATGGCGCCAAAGCTGTCATCCTCATGTCCCACCTCGGCCGGCCAGACGGCAAGCCCAACTCGAAGTACAGCATGAAGCCCGTCGTTGCAGAGCTTGAGAAGCTGCTCAACAAGAAGGTCACATTCACAGAAGACTGCGTGGGATCAGATGTTGAGAAGACCGTGAACAGCACCTCAAACGGCGGCGTGGTACTTCTCGAGAACCTACGCTTCCACGCTGAAGAAGAGGGTAGCAGCAAAGACAAAGACGGCAACAAGGTCAAGGCCGACAAGGGCGATGTCGAAAAGTTCCGCAAAGGCCTAACGGCACTGGGAGACATCTACATCAATGATGCGTTCGGCACCGCACATCGCGCGCACAGCAGTATGGTCGGCGTGGATCTGCCACAGAAAGCCTCCGGTTTCCTGGTGAAGAAGGAGCTCGAGTACTTCGCAAAGGCTCTCGAGAATCCACAGCGACCTTTCCTTGCCATCCTTGGTGGCGCAAAGGTGTCGGACAAGATTCAGCTGATTGAGAATATGCTGGACAAGGTCAACTCGTTGATCATCTGCGGGGGTATGGCGTTCACGTTCAAGAAGACGCTGGATGGGATGAAGATCGGAAACTCTCTCTTCGACGAGGCCGGCAGTCAAAAGGTCAAGGAGCTGACGGAGAAGGCGAAGAAGAACAACGTCAAGATCACGCTTCCGGTCGACTACGTGACTGGGGACAAATTCGGCGCAGACGCCAACACTGGGTATGCGGAGGACAAGGACGGCATCCAGGACGGGTGGATGGGTCTTGATTGCGGTGAGAAGAGCATCAAGCTGTTCAAGGAGACGATCAACGAGGCGAAGACGATTCTGTGGAACGGGCCGCCAGGAGTGTTCGAGATGGAAAAGTTCGAAAAGGGCACGAGGGCAACGATGGATGCTGCGGTCGAGGCTGCGCAGAATGGCAAGATTGTGATCATTGGTGGCGGCGACACCGCGACGGTAGCAGCGCAGTATGGTGTAGAGGACAAGCTGAGCCATGTGTCGACCGGTGGTGGTGCGTCGCTCGAGCTGCTCGAAGGCAAGGACCTGCCCGGTGTGTCGGCGCTGTCGAGTAAGTAGATGCATTTGCGGACAGCGAGGCTAGGCGATCGGGTCTGATGGCTTCTTCGAAGACCGTGGATCGCGGCTCTAGATTCTATTCTGGCTCTTATGGCATGACGAATACACGACAGCCTTGCTCCTCTTCATTGCCGTATCCTCGCCCTGTTCGTTCATCTTGGCTCCCGTTATGATCTCCACGTCCTCGCGCCTGACGCCATCGCTTATGCTGGTTGATATCGAAACGTAGTGAGTGCCTGATGCCCTCATTTCCTCTGCCCTTCCATCTTCTTCAGCTCCTCCCTGTAACAAGTCAGCAATGTATTGCCATCGCTGCATAGCCACTCATCCATACTTCAGCTGCACAGAAAAGTCGTCTGTGGTATCATCATCGTCCCAGCTCTCCTCCCACAGATGTGTTGTTGTGCTCGTCCCGCTCTGCTGTGCGCCTGTCTCCTCTTCCTTTGCCCAGTCTATCAGGCTAGTTAGCCAATATCTCCCGCCGGGGTCAGATGCGTGATTCGGTACCTTCAACGGGGAAGTCTTCGAACTCATCATCCTCTTCCAGTTGCGCGGCATTCTTCTGGGGTTGGAGAGGCTTGCTGTCGTCTTTGGAGTCGGAGACTACCGCTTTGCGGGTGTCTTGCTGGCCTGTCGATGCGCCGGACATTTTGATGGAGCTTTGAGTTGTCGATGTCGGTTTGTGATTGTGGTGAAGTGTTGGAGATGTTTCGTAATGATCGATCGAGGTCGATCTACAGAGGCGAAGGTCGAGGTCTTGGCGGTAGCATGAACTTCACCTCCCGCCTCCCGGTCTTCCTCGACCTCATCTACGCAGATATGCCAAGATGTGCGGCATCTTCTGCTCTATCAGCAGGACTGCACACATAGCACCATCTCCAGAGCTTCAAGAACGCCTCAGCAGTCGCGGGCCTGACAGCGCCAGGGCCGTACTAATTTCTGCCGACGAGGCCGAACTGACATTATCCTCTACGGTTCTGAGCCTTCGCGGCTCGAAGACAGTCACACAGCCTTATCAGGACAATTACAAACGCCACACCCTTTGCTGGAACGGAGAAGCGTGGAGTACCGACGGCAAGGCTCGAACAGGAAACGATACAGAAGCAATCCACCAGCTTCTCGTGGCCAGTGTGGACTCGGCTAACGAAGATGATATGACTTTGGATCAGAGCGCCGCTCGTGTGGCTACGGCACTTTCGCGTGTCGCTGGACCCTACGCTTTCGTGTTCTACAATGCGTCCCGCAGCAGGCTCTACGTTGGACGAGACTTCCTTGGGCGGCGCTCCCTGTTGTTCAGGACAACTGCAGATGGAGACTTGCTTTTCAGCAGCGTGTCTTCCGGCGAATCAGAACTGGAGTGGCAGGAACTGCCTGCCGATGGCGTTTACTGCTTCGCGCTCGACACTGCGATGGTTCCGGAATGTACGACTCGGCTGTTTGGCACATTTTCTGCTGGACATTGTCCATTTGCCTTCTCCAATGAAGGTCATGATAGTGTAGGTCAAGTGGCGGTTATCCCGATGAGCACTCCAGCTCATTCACAGGTAGGTTATCCCGCGTCTCACATTGAACAAAACTGTTCCTTCCCAGCATCTTGCATTGACGGCCCTGTCGCCATCGGTCTCTCGACTCGAAGAGCTGCTCCAGGACTCACTGTCTTTGCGAGTGAGCAACATTCCTGGGCCTCCAGGCACTGAGGACAGCGACGGCAGCATATCCAAGCTGGCAGTTCTGTTCTCCGGTGGACTGGATTGCACGGTCCTTGCGCGAATGGCTCATGACCTGCTACCTGCGCACGAGCCGATTGACCTTCTGAATGTAGCCTTTGAAAATCCTCGTATACACGATGCCTCTCTTGGTGGCGTATCAGCCTTCGAACTGTGCCCGGATCGGATCACAGGCAGAGCGTCTTTCGCAGAGCTACAAGAAGTATGCCCTGGACGATTGTGGCGGTTTGTGGCAATTAACGTTCCGTACGTTGAAACAAACGAACATCGCCAGACAGTCATTTCGCTTATGCATCCTCACAACACCGAGATGGACCTCAGCATATCATTCGCACTGTATTTCGCTGCTCGCGGTCGTGGCGGGGTTACTCGCACGGCGGATGGTGATATTGTACCATACATCACCTCAGCGCGTGTCCTCCTGTCCGGGCTCGGCGCGGATGAGCTTTTCGGTGGATATACACGCCATGCAACCGCTTACCGACGCGGAGGCGTGCCTGGTCTTCTTGACGAGCTGGAGCTGGATGTTGGTAGGCTCGGCCAGCGAAATCTTGGACGAGATGATCGGGTCATGAGTCACTGGAGCCGAGAGGTGCGTTTCCCGTTTCTGGACGAGGACCTACTGAGCTGGGCTCTTGCAGCGCCAGTGGACGAAAAATATGGACTTGAAAACCCAGTGGCCGACTCACTGTCATTCTCTCCCGAGACCGAGGGTAGCAATATGCTTGAGCCAGGAAAGAAGGTGCTTCGGTGCTTTGCCTGGAAGCTCGGGATGGAAGCCGTTGCGAAGGAGAAGAAGCGGGCTGTAAGCATTGAGGAAGGATGTAGTGACATGTGCCGCTTGCTGAATACAATGCAGATCCAATTCGGCGCACGTACCGCGAAAATGGAGAAGCGCAAGACCAAAGGCACACAGCTGCTGTTCTAGACACAAAGCCAAAAGCTAAGCACGCTGGTTCAAATGATGGACGTACCGCTATTAACAGCGTAAGTTGGCACATCTCATCACCCTTCGTTCTCAAACCACGTGTGATGACCGGACGGCGTAAATCTTGCGCCGTCTCAGATACTGCCGAGATGTCGCATTCAACCTTCTACAGATCTAGCCCGTTCCCTGTCTGGGATGTGGTTTCGCTGTGGAAGGGCGCATCGATGACTGCCAAAGGCAAGTCTGACACTACGACAAAATTGCAGCGTTCATTGCTTGCCAACCATTGCACCATTCCCAAGCTGATCCGTCCGTCCTTTGCAGACATTCCACCGGCTGGCGCCTGGCTCTTGGTTGTCGTGCAGCATTGATTCGCCTTACACTGCATTCGACCCCTGTCGCCGACCCGATGTGGAGGTTCGACTCGGCACTATTGAGTCCTCTCACTGCATCTTCCCAAAGCTACGATTCCCGCATCTATCCACGTCCTTCTTACCCTACACTAGAGCTAGGATGCTGCTACTTCAGCACTCGACGTGATCCTCCCAAGACAAGTCCTCCAGAAATGGATCGGACAGTACGATAGATTTCGAGCCGGTCGCACTGGGTCAAAGGTCTCCCGACAGCTTTGGAATAGAAAAGTCTGGTGCTATGGTGCAGCTTGCACCACATCTTCGCGCCGTCAGGCAGCGGCGTGTCTGGAACAACACGATTGCCACGCACGAGGACGCAACCAAGCATTGCCTGCCGGAACGTAAGAGCCGGGCGCCAACATTGGAAGCTTCGCCTTCGTGGATCTCATTCAAGCGTCAACTCTCATAAGGAATATGGATGCCTGTGACCATCGGATCCGCGGGGAAGAATGCAACTAGCATGCGATATTGTGGAGGAGCTGCATGCTTTCAAATCCTTCGCTTGAGTGGCCGGTTCATCAGCTGGGAACACGACACAACCGTTGCCATTCACGTGCTATTGTCTTCTCGTTGCGACTATGCTACTGCAAGAACAGCTCCGAGTGAAGGGTTCAGGTGATGGAGGAGGTTGCGCTATGGCTTGTGCTTTTCAAGACGAGTGGAGGAAAGCAGAATTCGCCGTTGCAGCTCGGTGTCCCTGCATTCAACCTTGCTCATGCATTGCTATAGGACCTAAACGGCCAGGACAGATGCACCGTTGCGTTGTTCCTACAGCTCGTGATCTATGATTCCACGAATGGCTATGCGTCAGTACATTGTGTATGATTCTCCACTTCGGCAGCGTTTGCTTGGGTGCGATCGAGATTGTAAACAATAGACGACGAAGGTATAAGAGCAGTCTCGAGGGCGTTCTTGTTTTTACAGAACACGACTCTCAGCTCCCACGGATCCCAACGAAAAAACAAGTCCAAGTACGTTCACACCCCTCGGGTTGGCCATATAACGTGTTGACAGAAGATCGTAGTTACCGAAACACCAAGCCGTCGATCACTCAACACCTCAGCACCCGTCACCATCATCATGAAGTGGTTCACCATCATCTTCGCCCTCTTCGCCGCTGCGGCCACTGCTGCTCCTGCGGAGGCGATTGAGGAGCGTCAGCTCGCCCCCAGATGCACCGCGTGCAAGAATGGCAAACACACTTGCTGCACCGCGACTCAGTGCTCCATATACACCTGCTAGATGAGGTCTGCTGGAGAGAGGTTGAAGGGCGAGTTCATGGATGGTATGAGGCTTGTGGGCGAACGATGGCAGACTGGGAGATGGTTCATCGGTTATCGCAGTTAGATCATACCTCTATGTCTTCGAAATAAATGTTGCCTTGAGAGAACAACCAACGCCCATGTAATCACCTGCCCTCCGTCGTTCGTCTATATGACATGTCCAGGATGTTGTCATTGTCTGCCCGCGGGATCTTCTGAACGAGACTCCATCCGGCAGCCCGGATTGCATTCATCCAACGGTTCCAACCCAACACTAGCGCGAAGGGGTTCAGTCCGCTCCCCTCCTGACGTTACATCTGCCGACGACATCGTTTGGGAGTAATCCGGACTGACTCAGGAGAGTGGACTGTTGGGCATCGACCGTACGTATTCCAAGGAGGTCGCTAAGAGACTTCTGAAGCAGAAGGGGAGGCAGGCGCATGCTTTGAAGTTCGCCGTGCGCTGACAGCACCTTGCCTGACATCAGCACCCAGTGGGGCTTACATCCATCGCGGGCAGCTGCAACTCGTGCCTGCATCCCCCAACCTAATATTGGAGACGCACCGGACGACCATACAGCCCGCAGCATACATGCACTCGTTACAAACCTACAGCTACCGGTCCAGCATAGCCCCCGCAGCATGCATTTCGACCAGCAACCATAGACCGCGCATCTGTCCACAACAACACCGCTCGTACGACGGAGCATTGCGCTAGTAGGGCGACTCTCAGCCGCTATGGCTATACACCGTGGGATACAGTCCGCGATCTTCTACTACCTGTCATGTGCGCCATGCGCCGAGGCGCGATACCGCAAGAAGCGGAAGCAAGAGGCAGTCCGAGGGCGAGCAGAGAGGGCAGCACTGGAAGCGGAGATGCCGGATGTGTACCGTCACCCTTCACCGAGCTCAACGAATCCATACTGGCAGTCCGAGATTGCTGCTGGTCCGGCCTTGGTGTCGCGCGGAAAGAAGAAGGCCAATGCGAACAATCGCCAGTCCGGAAGAGGCCTGAAGTCGAGCGCGACGCGAAGGAGTAACGATACCAGCTCGACGAGTTTGACCCAGCGGGACGGAGGGAGCAGTCGGAATGGAAGGGTGGACAGCAAGTGGCACTTCCAGCAGTTCCAGAGAGATGATGAACCGTATGGGAGCGCTTCAACGGAGAGGCTGGCGTCGAATACTACCTTGGATGGATCCGCAAGTGGTCGCAGCGGCATCTCGAGACCGCCAAAAGCGAAGACCAGGACAGGGGACGACTATTTCGATGTCAGGAATCCCGAGGTCAACGAACGGCATCCCGCAGTGGTGACGAGAATCAGCTCCAGGGAGGAAGCGCAATGGCTGATGGCGCCTCCGCCGACGGCAGACTTTATGAGCGGCAAGGAACGGTCCTCCAGAAGTCGAAGCGATAGCGGAGGCAGCAGACTGTCGAGCAGGTCTGGCGTACCACTATCGCGAGAGGTTAGCCGACGGATCATCGAGCAGAAGATCAGGAATGGAGAAGGACCTTTGACGCCACCGTTGTCCCGAGAAGCGACCTTCCCGGTTGCGAGTGACCCTGCAGGCCAGCGACACGACAGAACAGCAACAGACGAAAAAGACTTCGCGGTCGATAGGGGCCCGGTACGGCAGCCCAAACAGCGTCCACCACCTCTACGACTCGGCTCTTCAGATGAATCAAACGGTTCTGCGCAGACCGTCGTTCGCAACGGCAACCTCTCAGTCCAGCCCGCATACGTGCGGAAAGTGGCTTCGAGACCACAGCTGTACACCATCGTTTCTGACGAATCCGCAGCTGCCGTTGGCTTCGACACGCCTCTCGGGGCTCTCTACGACGAATCTCAAGACGACGACAGCTCGTCCGTTGGACGCAACCGGACATCGAGACGCTCACCACTGCTCGTCCAGGACGACTCGCTCAAGGTTCTGCAAGGCGTGGACCCTAATCTCGCAGTGACCAAGTCGCACGTGGTTGTGTCAAAAGATTGGGCATCAGGTACTAAGCCGAAGCAGATTCGACTTCCGTCGCAGGATGCGAGCGAAGAGAAGCGGTTAGAGGGCGGACCGGAGCTGTATGACAGTTGGTATACGCCTGATTTTCAGCTCCCGGAGTGGATTCACGAGCACACCAAGCGGGAGGTTACCAAGCGATGGAGTATGGATATCTGACGATTGTTCCTTTGTCTTGACTGTGAGCGTTCTAGCGTGGTATGATTACACGGTACCTGATGTTGGCTTCTGCCTCCTATGAGCAAATCGACTCTCTATACTACAATATCCTTTGTCACGTGCTCGCTTGAGGATCCATGTCTTTTCCGTCTCGCCGCAGCTTATTAAAGTGAATGCCTCGGCTGAAATCTCTCGCTGTTACGCAGCCGCCCAACAAAGTGCGATATCGCCAGTAGCGTGGACCGCCGAGTTCAACACCGTCGTGCTTACGGCCGCCGACCACCTCCATGATGCAGCGCCACGCTCTGCTCACGGCCCTGCTCCGCTCACCACCGAGTCTGCGGTCGGAGATCCTTCGGCAAGGCCTGTCGAGTCAAGCCGGAGACGGTTGGAATATTTTTGGCCATGGTCTCACGGCAGCGCGTGTATATCATAGTCCAGCGAAGAGTCATATAAGGAGCGGAAAAGTCCTGTTGGGGAAGAGGTTGCAATCTACCACATCGAGTTCGACTGTCGAAGCCGCCTCCGAACACACTCCACCCCCAACACCACCACCCGGACGATCGCGAACGTCCCGTTTCCTCACCACTACCGCCCTATCCCTCCTCCTCTTCACGGCAGGTTTCACCATGTGTGCTGCTCCAGCCGCGGAGACGATCAATGGCTATGTCCACCCACCCACCGACGCCGAGACCCTCGAGCTATTCCTCCCTTCCACGCCCCGAGAAGAGGAAATCGACGCCTACATCCTCCACCATCCCCTTGCAGTCACAATGCGAAGTCAGCCGGGCATGTCGGAGAGCAGACCACACATGCGGATACCGCCTGCAATGCGACCTCACAATCTGACCGGTGGCGTACTGGCAGGACAAGGCAGGATCGAAGTCCCGCCATTGAACTTCAACGAGAAGCATGCGGAGTTGCCGAGTATGGTGCAGATCATGTATCTGGGCGATTCACTATGCGGACACCCTGGGATCGTGCATGGAGGGCTGTTGGCCACGATGCTGGACGAGGGGTTGGCGCGGGCGTGTTTCCCTGCGCTGCCGAACAAGATTGGCGTTACTGCGAGTCTGAAGATTGACTATCGGGTGCCTTGTCCGGCGGGGAGCTATGTCGTGCTCAAGGCGTACACGCAGAAAGTGGAGGGCAGGAAAGCGTGGGTGAAGGGGTGGATAGAGCTGTTGGGCGAGGAAGACGGGACGGGAGCGAAGGTGGTGGAGGCAGAGGCGCTGTTCATTGAGCCCAAAAACGCGGCGAACATGGCCCGGAATATCGTTGCGAGCGATTAGCCGGAATCTTGTATGTCAAGGATGAGCAAAATCGGACCATTGGATAACGGTGGCACCGGCCACGTACAGTTCGGCCGTGAGCGCAATAGATGAGAGCCATAAATCATAGACGTCAATACAGCAAGAGACCTGATCTGTCCTCATCTCCAGAATCTTAAGCCGTGCTGTCAACCAATGCTCGCTAATCCCCTCAACACCCAGCTCCGTGCTATGCTACCTCCAGGAGTATCTTCATCGACAAGCAAGTTCGTAAGGTCATGTTCCCCGTCATCCTCAGAAGTTCGTCCCTTCCGCCGGCTGCGGGAGCTTCTTGTTCGCCGGAGCCGCCATGAATCGTCGAAGCTCGATGAGAATAGTCTCCATGGTGAAGTCGCGCTTCCACACGGCGATGCTTGGTAGCTTGCTCAGGTCGACCTGTTCTGAGTCAGCTTGGTCTATCGTGTTCATATGCCACATGACCTACCTTGCCGGTGCTCTGATTCACGCAAGGCAAGTTGACCTTGCTGATGAACGTCACCTCCGGCGGCTTATCTGGGTAGTCCGTCCCGCAGTGGATCTTGAGGGAATATATGCGGTTCTCGTGTACGCTCTGTTGTTGCCATTATTCAGCCTTGTAATGCCGCATGCATGTGCACGTGTGTACTAACATGTGGTGGCCCAAGAATCGTCCCGTTCCAGTTCGTCATGAGCAGATCGTCTCCTTCGTCCAAGCCATACGAGCAAGCCTCTGTACAGTGTGAGTATCCTCTAAGCAGTCAGGTGTTTGTGTAGCAGCATACCAGCACCCAAGCCCTTCTCGCCCTTCTCCAGCTCTTCGAGCAAGCGAAAGTTGCGTGGGACTTTCGCGCCCATCTTGGTTATGGTTGGGTTGGTGGGCAGCAAAATGGGAGGTAGGCGTTCCGCAGCCAAGGTCAGCAGGTTGTCAGAAGTGACTGACCAGATGTTGCGAAGTGTTTCCAAGCGGTTGTTTGAGTCGTTGGCAAGCAAGTGGGCTGGCTGGTGGGATGTGGAAGTGAGGCTCGATCAAGGCATCAGGAAATTGATGCCTTACTCCTCAATCCAGACTTCACTTCTGAATTCACCTTCTGGATTGACTTGGCTTTTGATACAGCAAGAGAATGACATGTGATGGAGTACTCGACTCCAGATCCGCTCGGTATCTGAACGCATCGATCAACAATGTCAACCGCTCGGCAACTGGATGTCACAAAACAGTTCAAGACGTTCTCATCTGGCGCCCGCCTCGACGTCCTGATCCTGGAATCTGGAGGCGACGACATTCTCGAAGTGCTACGAGACGGGTCTTCAGATGATGTATCGCGGTCACCGCCCCGTCGCCACCTCTACTTTGGTAACGCTCCCTGATCGATATGTATAGCCGTCCACTTACTGATCGATAGGCCGCCAGATGAGAAAGCACGCGTCACGGTACTCCTAAGGACTTCCGGAAACAAAGATGAGCTACGCAAGTTCTTGCCCCAAGTAGAGATCTCTCTGGCGGCTCATGCAACGGATGCGGTACCGCAGGGTTCTGGCAATGCTGCTTCAGCTTCGGGAAAGCACGATTTGACCTCAAGGACGATCCCTGGAGGTGATCTGGAGGATATAGTCGTCTCTGGAGACTATTTGTTCGCAATCTGGCGTCCGTCATTGCATCTGCCTCGACCACAAGTCAGGCTTCAGCGGCCGGCTGTGTATTTCACCGCGAACCTAAAAGTCAGCCGGGATGCTCTCAACGCCTCCAGGCGAAGAGCTGCTGAAACACTGGAGAGTTACGAGCCTTTACCAGCCAATGTCTTGGAACCACTGCATACTGATCCAGCTTTCGGCGATAGCGGTATCTACCTTTCTGAAGGCCGAATCGCAAAGTCTGTCGGCTCCAACGCTCAAGCACAGGACGACGTCAAGCCGATTCGGGGTGCTACGAAACGTGCCTTCCCCATCGTACCTGCATTGTTCACACGGATCAGGTGTTCTGTCTTGCCGGATGCATTGATAGCAAGCCTGCATTTGGAGGCTTCGAGACTCATCACCGGGACATTGACAGCCAAAGACGTGACCGTCGACGTGCCGGGGGCGCAGGTTGAATCTCTGTGTCCATTGGATGAGCCGAAGGACGCGAAAGCTGGGGATGAGATTATCCTTCTGTACAAGTTCGCACACCAGAGAAGAACGGATGACCCAGCGCTGTCATCGGTCTTTGTTCGAGTCGGAGCAATGCTGGCAGAAAGAGAAGGTTCTAGCATCGATCTAGAAACCAAATGGCAGACGAAAGTCGATCTATCTTCTACAGCATCGAAGCCAAGCTACAGATGGTCTCGTCCTCTCAGTACGGGAAGCCAGCAGGCACCCCGGCTTTCACTCAAAGATGCTGCACCCCCATCGATGCCCGAGACCGAGCTCAAGCCTTCGACGGGCGAGACAGGGGTTGTTTTCAATATCACAGCTCCAGCAACGGTATCCAAAGACGACACCTTGGTACTCGACTTACAGTGCATCAACCGCAGCGATCGCAAGCGACGTTTCGCACTCATTGCTCTTAGGACAAAGAAGACTCCGCCGAACGGATTCGCGAAAGAGCAGAGGGGCTCGGAAGACACAAGGCGGAGCATGGAAACCACCAAGCCCGAGCCATCCCAGCGAAAACGGCGACTCGACGTGCTCGATCTCTATCCAGACTTCCGCATTGGACCTGTAGCACCAGGAGCAAGCTTGGAGACAAAGTTGAGGTACCGCACGCTGACTATGGGTATCTTGGATCTCGGCGCTATTCGAATCGTAGATCTTGACACGAGACAGACCGTGGATGTCAAGAACCTGCCTGATGTCATTGTCATGAACTCGACTTCGCAGGAGGAAAGTGAGAAGTCGGCAGGCAAACAGCAGGATTAATGATTACAAAACTCTTGCGCTACTGTATGCTTCACCCACGCTATGCAATGGCACAAATCCAATCCATTATATCCAACAGCCCACAATTACGCGATCGAAGTACACCAACGACTTCCACAGCATCAGCCGCGGTAGATACTAGTTGAAGGGCACCAGTGCTACGCTTTGAGCCGCCGCTCCTCACATCTCACGCATACAGGATCTTGAGAGGCGCCGCGGAGAAAGTAACGACCATCCACAAATTCGCCATTGCATTCCTGCATATTGTTAGCATACGAGCTTCAATGCTGGGCTGTAATACGTACCATGCAAACGAAGCACTGGCCATGCCAGTCGAATCCCAAAGCTTTCACAACCGTATCCGTAACCGGCTTCCTGCACTTGCGACACTTGGAGCTATACCTGTTCGTATGGCACCCAACACACCAAGCATACCCGTCCTTTTCCACGAATGGAGTGGTGCTGTCGAAAGGATCACCACATTGCGCGCAGAAAAAGTGGCCAGCGTGCCACTCCGCGCCGCAAGCTACGATGACTTCGCCCTCGATGGGGGTCTTGCAGCTCTTGCAGCGTGGGCTGAAGAGCTCGTGGAAGTCTAGGTGGCAGTAGAAGCGAAGACTTGGGTCTCCATCTTCGACTTCTAGGTTGTAGGCGTCTTCTGCTGTCGACCCTTCTGCGAGAACGACCTCAAGTCCGGACTGGCGTGCTGTGATACGGTCGAGCCTTTCCGAACGCTTGTTCTCTGGTTCTGGGTAGAAGGCGACTAGCTCGAGATTTGTATTGCACTGATGGCAGACGAAGCAAGCCGGGTGGAAGCGCTCTCCAGCTGCGCTGAGGATACGACCCGCAATTGGCAGCGCGCAGTGTGCGCACTGAGTACCAGACTGGCGGACTGATGGCGTGTAGTGAGGTGACGACTTTGGCAAAGGCGACGTTGCAGCATGGTGAGGCAGAGGTCGTGCAGGAGGCTGTGGTCTTGAATGCTTGGGAGGCTGCGACTTTGGTTCTTCGGGGCCTGAGACGTTGATGGAGGGCGCGATGCAGATCGATGGTGGGTCGACAGATATCATTGGTGTTACCGGTGCAGACTGAATATCCGATGGATCTGCGAAGTCTGGCTCCTCCGGCAAGACAATGCTCGGTACCGTCGGCTCGTCTGGAACCACGATCGTTGGTATGGGCGGTGGTGGCGATGGGTCTACCTGCACCCGTGGAATGCTATTCGGTTGGGGTTCTGTCTGGGAGCGATTCAGAGTGAAGTCCGGCTTCTGTACCGTCCTTGCAGGTGAGGCTTTTGCCTCCTCAAGCACTACCTCTTTCGGCTTCCAATCCTGCCTGAAGCTCACGATCGGCCGACCTGGTTTATCACTGACCATAGTTGGTCGAGGCAGCTTTGGGCTGTAGTCACTCCTTTGCTTGCTGGTCGCAGCTCGAATATCATCTCCACGGACTTCCTTGCCTTCTTTCGTCGGCGTCGTCTTGGGAGCGACCTCGTCGCTGTCTCGTTTCTCAGCACTTGGTGGCGTCGGCGGCAACGGCTCATTCGACATGTACCATGGTCTTCTGGACTGGCTTGGCGGATTCTTCTGGATCTCAACACTGTTCGGCCGCGGATTTGTCGTCAGTATCGGCTCCGTGTTTGCTCTCTCAAGCCTCTCTGCCTGCATCCTCACCCTAGCAAAAGGGTTTTTACGGACATGCGATGGGTTTTGAACTGCAACTGGAGCAACCTGTGGTGGATCGTTCGATGGGTTCGGAGGAGCTTGAGGAGAGCGCTCTTCTTGTGGATCCTCCCATATTTTGTCATACGGATGCATAAACAACTTTTTCTCCGCGCTCAGTATACGCTTCTTGCTCCCGCTGCTCGTCCTTCGCTGCGCCTGAGCAATGTCCTTCGCCACGAGCTCTGCCAGGCCACCGTAGCTTTTCCCGGATGGAACCCTGCGGGTCTTGTTCGTGGACATGTCTCCTGAGGGAGGGCTAGCTTTCCGGAGTATGTCCACACTCTTGCGCTTGTTGATGGATTCGCTTTGGCTGCTCTGACTGCTCTGACTGCTCTGGCTACCGGCAGAAGCACTCCTTTGGCTCGCCATCGGCACCGCTTCTTGACTGTGGCTGCGCTGATAACTTCCCTTCCGTAAATGCTGACGATAGTCCCGAGGCAAGTCGGGATTCGCAAATGGAGCATTCGCAGCAGCTTCGCCAGCGGCTGGATGCTTGTGCTTCCATACCAGTTCTGCCGCCTCGTCCTGGGCCGCCAAATGTAACTTCTTCTCTTCCTCCAGATCCATATCCTCCAGCGCCATCCGCAAAGAGTATGTCTCCTGCTTCTCCATCCACCGCGTACCGTTCTCCATGTAAGGCACGGTTGGTCTTCGCTGTTGGGGTGTTTGCTCCCCAGAGGATATTGATGATCCACCATTGGAAGGCACAGCTGATGGAGGTCGTGCTAGAGGACGACCTGCGAAAGGCGACTTCGCGGACGTATTGGATCCAGTCCGCTGATGTGACATGTTCTGAGCTGGCATGACTGGCATGCTGTTGCTGGTTGGCAGATGCGGCCGTTCGCTCTGCGCGGGAGCTGTTACATCCAACGCTGTCTCGGACCGCTTGAGCCCAGCAAATCTCGAAGGCGGTGGCGGCCGTGAGCCAGTCGGGCGGGATAATCGAGGGTTTCTCAACGTTTCGAGATATGAAGCTTGCTGGTCTTTCGACATGTATGATGGGCCTGGGGGAGGCCTGTCTCGTGGGTTCAACATGGCTAAGGCTGGTTGGTTGCCTCGGCCTTGCAAGGAATGTGATGAAGCATGCAGGAAAAGACAGTAAGAGTTGAGTACTAATCTTGGACGCGCCAATATGCAATGCAATGCCCTTAGATTCGTGATGTCGTGTAACGATGATCTTCGGTCGAGATATGAGGTCTCAAAGCCGAAAATAACAAAGGCTTGCTGGCGAGGCAACGGCCTTGGCCTTTCTGACATCACTTTCACATGAAAGACAGATGCTCGTCAATGTGTCCATGATCGTTGATGTAGTTTAGTATGTTGCGGAGTCGATTCTCATGATGGACAGTAAGCGTTCAAGCTGTCCCTCGTCAAGCAGTATATCGGACCTCTGCAAAGCTAGAGGACGTAAGACAGAACTTTCACATTGAGCTTATCCCAAGTCTCCCGTAAATGGAGACACCACCTACATCCACATACGGATGCAGATGCATGTCGGCCACGCACACGAAGACCTTTCTTTGATACTGTCCCTCTGATCGGCCCACCTGAACGAGTGCGACTTCAGAGAACCGGACGACATTCGAGGCGATCAAGCAACCCACGAATCTGCTGTGTCCAGACACAGTATACAGGCACGGTAAGACGGCAACATTGGACTCTTGCTCTAATAATATGGTCGCACGATGGAATAGAAGCGCGCTGGTTCATCTCGAAACGACCTAATACATATACTTACACCACGACTCGCGTCGGCAACCCAAGCTCTATCATGCGGTAAAGAAAACAGTTGCCAGTCTCCGACATACACCCACTCCCACATCACCGATCACCTCCTCCTCATCTCCCTGACCTTGTTCTCAACCGCCTTCCTCCCGTACCGTGGCACAGCATTGTCGGCATCAACCTCGCATCCAACACAATCCGTCTCCATCTTCAACGTCGTCCAGATGACTTTATCCCGCCCTTCGCACTTCCTCTGCGACAGCTGACCAGATGTACAGTACGCGGCAAAGACTGTCTCGGCGTGGCCGCAGGGGTGGCTGTGGACGTAGTACTTGCACATCGTGAGTCGAGATATGTTGCTGATGGGTTGAGCAGTGTTGATGTGTGGTCTTGTCTTGCTGTTGTGATGTGGCGCAATGATTGGACTGGTTGGCTGGCCGTTCGATGAAGATGACTGCTCGGGTTGATTGACTACTCAATTGGTGGTTGGTGTTGGACGATTGATGGTTCACTGAATGGTCGTCGTTCGACAGCTGGTGGTCACAGTCCTGCTCCGCTATGATTTCCAGTCTGCTGATGTCGACAGGGGATTACAGGTGACACTCCGCTCTCTTATAGCCCTTCATCCCAGGCCCACACTGCCCACAGCATAACCCATCTTCGCAGCCATCACGGCGTGTGACCACTGGCAAACCCATCAAAACCTTTGCTATCATGATCACGAAGCCTTCCATTTCGGCTTCGACATTCCCTGGGTGTCCAGCCGGCGGGGATATCGGGCTCGTGGCACACATGGTTCAATTTCAGTACTGTTAGCCGCCGGATCAGTCTCCCGCCACATGGGCGGTAGGGTTCAGCTACTGAAGAAGACCTCCCCGATGCATCATCAGACCCGACGAGCAGAACAGACAGTGCGGACCGGTCTCGGGAACGTGTGGCTCTTCTAGAAGCAGGACCATTCGACCCAAGCGGAGGTCTCCCCGCGGCTTTTTGCGTGTTGAACGTGAAGCCTCAGGTCGCACCGGGGAGCTCTGGGAGAGAAGCATTCCCAATCGGATCTGGAGCTACCGGCCAGGTGTGCGCTGCGGTTCGATGGATGTTTGATTCCAGGTTTATGTGAAGCAGCATTGCCACTTACTGTCGCGCGTGTCTGCGAAGGCATTTGGCATATCAGAGGCAATCACATGTGTACACGAGCGCAAGTGACTGTCTTCGGGGAGCAGCACCGCCTGTTCAGAATATTTGCGGCCCGGTGTACGCCTTCATGACTGCCTTGTTGCCTCCGTCGTTGTGCTGCGGAAGCACAGATTTTTCAAATGTGTTCAAACATCTGCTTTCAACGACAATAAGCAGATGTACCTACCAATGATACATCCATGTTGGCGTTGGAGACAGATCTGTCGGACTTCAAACTATCAGCCAATCACAGCGCAAGTATGGACTTCCTCACCGCCATCTCAATGGCTTCGTTGTATGCAGGATGCTCTATTCTAGCTGTCTGACGGTGCCGCCCGCTAGCAGACACAAGCCGATAATTTCAGATTAGTGGCAGCCAGGGTGGAGTTGTCGTCTTGTGCATCGGACCATGCTGCGGAATGATCTACCTTACAGACGATGCAAACGAAGGGGCTTCTTGAGCACCAGAGCAAGGGAGTCTGGTCGCCTCCCAGCGGATAGTTCTAGTCCATACCGAGCATGAGGGAACCTTCGGAGGAGATGCCTCGCAGCATGTCAAACATAGCTACACTCATCCTTGATATTGCGGACGGGGATGCTTCATGCTCCCTTCCTCCTGCAGCTCCCGGGAGATTTCGCGCGCATGCACTCGCAAAGGAGGTCAAACACCGGCTTGATGTCCGTCTACGGTGCTTGCATGCGCTCTCGCTGGGACGGCAAATTGATGGACATGTGAATGGAGAAGAGAAAGATGTCTCCATTTTCAACATTGAGTTTGAAGCAGTGGAAGCTCGCTTAATTAGTTGCGTCCGGCAAGCTCCATCTCTTCCTCCTCCGTGCCAGCTCATCGACCTCGAGCGGATCTGAATGTATCGCTGCAAGACGGCGTCATTCGAGAAGGACACGTCAGACTCGCCCAATGCGTCGTTCAGGTGAGGTGAGCGTCCTGCCACTCCTCACTGCCGGGCATTGTGCGTTGGCAGGGACTGGGCCATCGTACGCACAGGTAGCACCATTATGCAGTCTAATGTAAGTACCCGCCTTTTCGTTGGACGGTCCTTTTCCTTCAATTCGGGGGCGCGCACGCTCTCTCCTTCATCTTTTGCTACCTGTTGGGCACCGGAATTATGCTGGAGTTGGGCGGCGTTGGCGCAATGGTCTGAGGAAGAGGCTGGCCTCGAAAGCGATCCCTAAATACCAGCAAACAGTACCCACGCCTCAGTGGATTTTTGGCGAACCGGTGTAGCAAGCGCACAAGACTGCCTGTCCTCACAAGAGTAGAGGAAACGCTGTCATCCGCGAGCGAACAATACTCAGCAAAGCCTCGCCATAAGATCAGCCTGGCGTCGCTTGCTGCTCCCTGCGCTGTGTCCCACAGACTACCTGTCACCAGACGGGCACGGCGACGTCTGAAGCTCTTCGCGCTGCGATACTACACCAGCCACCACGATATATCTTCGCGCTTTGGAGAAGGTGACGTTCGACTGTACCCACACATCCGGCCTTGACATTTTTCGAGCCCGTCTTCGCCATTCATTGGTCCACTCAAAGCAATATAGGACGAATAGCAGGTCGAGCTCGAATTAGCGAGGATATTCCACTCTTTGACAGGCTACAAAGGTACCTCTACAGCCTCTCAGCTTGTATCATGAGAGGACATGGTCGACTGACTACTCCCAGTGCCTACCTACAGCACCCTACTCGGCGGATCGATCAAGCGTTGCTTCGAATTGTCCAACCTCTTCTCCATCTACGTGGCTTGGAACAGGTCCCTGCCTGCACCATTGGCCACCGCACGCTGTGGGAGCACGAACCAATCTCCATAATTGCCATCACTTCAGTGGATGTCAGCAAACAGTAAACAGCAGCGCGCGTCTCGGTTTTGGTGCTAGGCTTTCTCCGAACTCACGGACCGCAACCGTCACATTAGACGAACGTGCACCGTTCGACAGACAAGAGGAACGTTGACTTGGAGTGGCCCTTGCTTAAGAGCTCCGCTGTCACGGCGTGCTGTAATGAGGGCTGCCCAGTCAACTCTCTGCAACGCAAAAACCCTCCTCGCCGTATCTGCCCCAAGACCCGAGTGGATTGTGTGATGTTCCCTGTTGTGACAATCGAACGTACCTTTCATCGATCAATAACAGCTGATCAAACCTGGCGAAACGTTCGAGACCTAGATGGCAGTAGCCCGGATCCACGAGAAGATCTTGGGCAGACTCGCAAGGCAAGCAGCGTCCACCAACGTTCTTCTATCGAACTCAATCTACCAGGTTCTTGGTCTGTCAATCCTCCTCCAGTACAGCCTCGGAGCAGCTCGACGCCAACGGCAACTGGGCACCACCCGCGATGCGAATTCGATCAAGCTGGATCATCATATCATCTGGCTTGCTAACGAAGGACTGGCTATCACTGAGGTCAACATTCTCCCATATTGTCAAAATGGCGAGCAAGGACCGGAGTGTCGCGTCATGGCAGCAAAGCTACGTGCAGACTTCTACCAAATCTTCTGCTTGTACCACAACGATCCTCCGGTCAGCCAGATCAGCCCTCGCTCGCAAAACTCCGGCAGCTCGCAGACCAGCGCGTTCTCGCCGCCGGTACCAGACGGTCAGAATCAACGGTCGCCAGGTACACCGTCCCGTACCAACGGAAGAAGTAGGAAAGCCGGCAAGGCGGCGTTGCGAGACCCCATCCCTTCAATGCACTCAGACACGTCGTACGTCACCAATCCGTACGCTGGTCTTCCGTCGCAAACACCTCCGCCGAAAGGCCCGCCACCTCCTATCCCGTCAGAGCCACGACGAACGCCGAAACGACCTCCAGGATTAGCGCCAATTGATGCCCCAGAATATCAGACGACAGCGCCGTTCCTAGCTCCGCCTTCGAACTTCGTGCCAGATGCGATCAGCCATTTCAAGACCGCACAACATCTAGCCACTACTCTGCTGCCTCCGGTGCACGCCCTTCGCCTGTCAGTCGCACTAGACTACGCTGTGTTTCTTTGGGACTGTGCAAAGGACAGGCATCGGTCGGAGAAACTGGCTCGGAGAGCAATGAAAGTGGTATACGCGTCGAGTGAAGGATTGAGCGACGAAGAGTTTGAGGATGCGCAGATACTGGTGCGGTCACTGGGTGGTATAGTACGACGCGGCACAAGCGAATCGACACCGAGACCAAGTCAAGAGCGTCTGTCGAATGCTGGCCAACCCACGAGCAGAAAGCCGCAGATCGACCGGACAATCGCTGTGAGCCCACCTCAGCAACCGAACCGCAACCAGTCGCCGGTACAGGCGCGATCGATCATGCGCACTCCAGAGCGACTATCCACCGTCCCGGAAGTCGAGTCGTTTGAGGGGAATGGCGAGCGCACTGCCTCGGCCGCGACAAGTCCACCCATCTCACGAGTCAGTAGCAGGAGTAGGCAGCGTCGAGGTTCATCCACAGCGTCGGACAAGGCCAGCAAACGCCGGGCAGCGGAGCAAGCAGAAGAGCTACACAGAAAGAGGAGCGCGGGCAACAGGAGCGCCGCCAGCGGAAGCTCGCACAGCCGGCAGCCGACGCCGCAAGAAGGGTACGTTGGTAAAGCAAGACGTCGACCGAGTCGCAATGGTAACCGATGAGTGTCGACAGTGCCATGGCGTCTGCGCCCGTCCCCGTCGCGATGCCGTCGCAGCCGCAGCGAGCTGCTCAGCCCCCTTCTGGTCGTAGCAAGGAGGGTGCTTCTGCACAAGAGCGTAACATTGCCATTTTGAGTGCGCTGGACATCATCACTTCGGTGACCCAGGCAATAGGCGAGATTGCGTTCTCGGAGTGGCACCAGCAGAGTTTGCTTCGTGGTTTCACTCTCACTTGAGCTTCGAAGCGAGGCGTTGGTGGCCGAAATGAATTGAAGGCTTGGGATATCTGTACAAACAAGAGCACGGCGTTGACAGACGGACAAACAAGGGAGGCTTCTCGAGAAGAAACAGACAAACTGCACTTTTGCAAGCGTCAAAATACCCATTTAGCATTCTTATAAGTAAAGCAAGACTATCTGCAGTCTTCAACTTTCAGCTGTCAGGACCTGCTATCCATGCTATTTACATACTGAGGTCTTAGGTTATACACACTACACATTATTCTTTGAACATCCTTCGCTTCGCCGACCGTGCATTCTCTCACAGCACAAACACCGTAAACCACAACGCACCAACTCCCACTGCACCCACCGCAAGCCCAACCGACGGTCTCGCACTCCCGCTGTCATCAGCATTATCATCCGGTGGCGGAGCATCAGGCGGATCTGTAGCTTCCGGCGGACTGATAATGTCTGTCACGAACACCGGATCCGGCTGCTCTGGATCATCGGGCTGGAGTGACGGGAACCCTAAATCCAATCCATTCGTCTCCACTGCAGGAAGTTCGGTCGTGAGGCCGTTGTCGCCACCGAGAAGCGTAACGACGTCCAGAGAAGGCAGATCGGTGCCTGGGAGCGTGATTTCACTTGTCACGCCCGCAGGGACTCTGACCACGCTGGTGATTTCGGAGACCATGGTCGTAACGCCCATCGGTCCGCCTAGGAGTTGAAGGATGGAGATTGTGGGTGTTTGGATGGGCAGATTGACTTGAATCAAGGGGACCACGCTGGTCGCGCTTGGTGGGACTCGGATGACGCTTGAATCGGGCAGTGTGGTCACTGTTCCGACTGGTCCTCCGACGACTGTAATCACCGGGGTGGATGTGCTTGCGTAAACGGTAACGACGCTGGTTGAGCTAGGCGGAACCGTAATCGTGATCGTGCTCGGGCCTGGCGAGTTGCTGTAGACGACCGTGCTCGGTGTACTGCTGGCTGGCAGCATGATGACGCTGGCCTGGCTTGGGTAGACAGTGACGACGCTTTGCTGGCCGGGTCGCGCGATCGTCATACCCAGCATCGTGAAAGATCGGCCTGGAAGTGTTACGGTCGTACCACTTGGGCCGCCTGTGATGGTACTGAGGACGTTGCTGTTGCTGATCGTGCTCGTCATGACATTGTTGCTGGGCATCGTTGCGTTTGTGGCATTCGAGGGCCCGCTTGAGCCGACAAGGTAGGTAGCGACGCTGCCATTCGGAAGTGTTGTTGCCAGGCCCGTCCCGCAGATCGGAGAAGGCGTTGGTGTGCTCGAAGTGCTGGACGTAGTGGAATTCTGGGGCATCTGAATGTAGACTTGGACTGTTACTGTGGTGTTCGAGCTTTGGGTGACTGTACATGGCGGTCCCGTAACGAGCGACGTGTTTACCATGGTGGTAGTAACCGTGACCGCTGCGCCATTCAAGCCTGGAGTGAACCCTGCTACCACGCCAGGTGTGCTTGTTAGGACGGGAGGCGAGGCAGCGCTCGGTGTGGACTCAGTACAATTGCACCCGTCTGACATCGGTGGTTGAGGGGAAACCGGAACGCTGCTCGCAGGAGCCGGTGCCGCCGCGGGTGCCACCGCAGGCGCTACCGTACTGTTGTTCTGAGGCGGCGCTGGCGCGGGTGAGGTACCCTGTATATTGCCACCCGGTCCAGCACGTGGAACTGTGAGTGCGTTCGATGGCGCCGCGACTGTTGAATTCGGCGGGCATGGCGTAGATGGGGAGCTTTGCACCTCAGGCGAGGACGGCGGAGCCTGAGCATTGCCACCAGGGCCTGAGGCTGAGACAGTGAGTGCCTTCGGTGGCGCTGCCGCCGCCGCGGTCGAATTCGTCTGCAGTGGCGTTGACGAGATACTCTGCACCTCAGATGAAGAGGGCGGAGCCTGTGCGATACCACCAGCCCCAGGAGGTGAAATGGTAATTGCATTCGGTGGTGCTGCCGCCGCTGCGGTCGAGTTCGTCGGGAGTGGCATTGATGAGGTGCTCTACACCTCAGATGAAGGCGGCGAAGAGGTAGCTGTGATAGTTGAAGTTATCGATACGACAACAGAGACAGCGCTCCCAGCAGTGACAATCGGAGGAGGGGCAGTGCCCACCGCAGGCTGGGGTGGAGATGATCCGCCGTTCATGGAGAAGTCCGCGCAAGCGAGAGCAGTGCCGTTCGACGCTAAGATGACAAGACTGCGGTTGCCGACAAAAGCAGGTGACCCTACGATGGTGGAAAGGAAGGGATCGATGTAGCTGCTCGACAGTTAGTCAATGTTGTATGTACATCGAGCGGTAATACGTACTTGGCTGCGAAGTTTGGCCCTGCCATTGACCCATGCTTCCCGGCAAGGTCCCCAGCCGGGCACATGGCGGGCTTGCTCTGCTGGCAGGAGTTCGCTGTCTCTTCATTGCTGGGGTCCAGGACTGAGCCGGAAGAGGCGCATAATCCATCGGAGCCGACAGGGTTGGTGTTAATGGTGTAGTCTCCATAAATCAGCCAAACTCAACCGCAAGTCGAGGGAGGTCTCTACTCACTGAACGGGCCACCTGCGCTTGGACATCCGGAAATGCTGACTTGAATGCCCACACCTGTGCCGTCGATGGTCGAGCTGGCAATGACCGAACCGCTGCACGGCGAGTCATTCGGCAAAACGGCGATGTATTGCGCGCCTTGTGGGTTGCCATGGGTGGTGGGTGCTGTCGCCAGACTCGTAGGAAGAAGAGCGTAGAAGATGCCGAAGGCGAAGAACCCCTGTCGCAGCATAGTGTGTTGCTCTTGCAGATGCTCAACGAGCTATTCAGATCTCGATGGGATCCGCAGTAGTATCTCGAGGGCGGCGATTAAGGGTATGTCGATGGAGGTATGTCAGAGGATCGGGATGAACGACATGCGAATTCCAGATTCCGCAGCCGAGTGAGACTGTTGAGTAGGGGGCTGCTTGCGAAGGAGATGCGAAGTAAATGTGGGCGGACGTGAGAAAGGTGAGGTGGGAGAGGAAGACAGAGCGCGAGAATCGACAGACTTAGAGGTCGAGGCGTCGGATAGGACACAGGGAGGGCGTACGGCAAGAACATAACACTCATGCCAAACTCACAAGTTGGAAGGAAGTGCCTCAAGAGAGATGGCAGCTACTGTCCAGTTCCTCGACAGTGCGTCGTGCAAGACGATACATGAGCATGAGTCCCTTGCTAAATGAGCACGGTATCAAGCGAAACAACCGAGGGGACGGACTGTATTGAACTGATCGTGGAAAGCAAATTGGTAGCTGGCTATCCGTACTCAATGCGTGCAGTCGTTGCACGAAGCATATCGTCTCCTCGAGCTTCCAATTCATTCACCCCGTCACGTGCCGTTTCGCTTCCCCAAACCTAAAATCGATCTTCGTCCGGGGTACGGTATCGCACCTCGGCAACGCGTCCAGACTTCGACACTGACCATCCTCGGGCTGAAAGTCGAGTCTTAGAAGGGCTCATTAGTAGACGTCTGGGTAGGTCTGCTCCCTCACAATCACTTCCAATCGCTCTGTGTCTCTCCACAACACCACCATGGCATCCTCCTCCGTCCCCGTCCCCTTCAGCGAGCCCCCATACCTGCTCGGCCTGCCCAACCCATACTACACCCCCGAGCTCAGGAAATGGCAAAAAGCATGTCGAGACTTCACCACCGAGCACCTCCACCAGTACGCATTCGAATGGGAGAAGGAAGAGACGGTGCCCGAACATGTCTTCCAAACCTTCATCAAGCACAACATGCTCATCCCAACACTACCTTCTCCATTGCCTGTGAAGGAGCTGAAGGCCTGCGGGATCCATGATATACTTGGTGTAGTGAAGGTGGAGGACTTCACGTACTTTCACACGTTGATCTATAACGACGAGATGGCGCGGTCGGGGCTGAGTGGGCCGTCGGGGAGCTTGACGACGGGGATGGCGTTTGGTGTGCCGCCTTTGATCAAGTTTGGGAGTCAGGCGTTGAAGGATAGGTATTTGTCTGATTGTCTGAATGGCAAGACAAGGACGTGTATTGCTATTACGGGTGAGCTTCATATCCATTGGAAGCTTTTGTCAATTTGTGTTGCCTCTGACTGTTCAAACCAGAACCCGACGCAGGATCAGACGTAGCCAACATCAAGACGGAGGCCAAGAAGAGCGCGGATGGCAAGAAGTACATCGTCAACGGCAACAAGAAGTGGATCACCAATGGTATCTGGGCGAACTACGCGGCAATGGCTGTACGGACCGGTGGACCTGGAGCTGCCGGGCTGTCGATGATGTGGGTGCCGCTGAAAGGTCATCCCGGAGTCGATATGCGCCGTTTGAAGGTCAGCGGGCAGATATCTGCTGGAACCACATATATTGAGCTTGATGATGTAGAGGTACCTGTGGAGAATTTGATTGGCGAGGAGGGGATGGGTATGCGGTATATTATGGTACGGATCCAGACTCCTTGGCAAGCTTTGAGGTACTAACGGCCCTTTAGACCAACTTCAACCACGAGCGACTCACGATAGCCATTTCCGGCACTCGACAAGCACGTGTCGCGCTGAGCTCGGCATTCGCATACTGCCTTAAGCGCGAAGCATTCGGGAAGCCTCTTATGGACAATGCAGTCGTGAGACAGCGATTGGCGAGAGCCGGGTCGTTATTGGAAAGCCACTGGGCATGGGTACGTTGCTAATGGCTGTTGACGTTGTTGAAAAGACGGCTGACTTGTTCATGTTTAGGTCGAACAATTCGTGTACCAAATGTGCAACTTGAAGAAAGAAGAAGCCGACCTTGAGCTGGGCGGCCTCACAGCAGCAGCCAAGGCGCACACCGGTGTCGTTCTCATGGAGTGTGCTAACGCGTGCGCCCTGCTGCATGGCGGCAACGGGTACACTCGTTCAGGGCAAGGTGAGATCGCAGAGAGGATGTGGAGGGAGGTCAACGGGCTGCGGGTACCGTGAGTACACAAAACTAGCCAGGAGAACGCACATGTACTGACACCCGAGCAGAGGCGGTTCGGAGGACGTGATGATGGATCTCATGGTCAGGCAGCTGGTGAAGAATTTCCAGCGGAAGACGAAGGAGCTCGAGAAATCGGGAGGATCGAGGTTGTAATGAGTGTAGGATTTTTGCGGTAGCACGATACCTATATAGGCACGACCTGGCGGCGGCTTCGCGCTTCATGTACTACTTCTGCGAAAATACTTTTTCGAGCGGGGACGACGTCGACATGGACGTCGAGTAGACGATCGCCTGCTCGTGGCAAACATTTACGCTGCCCTGAACATGCGCGAGCAGTCATCGCCTACCAGTCTTACGCCACTCCCAAAAGCATGTGTCTGCTGTAATGATACACCATCAGACTGCGCAGTGGCGTCCACGCTTTCATCGTGTGACTGTGCGATAATAATCATTCCACTCCATCCCACTCCTCCTGGCCGCCTTGAAACTTTGAGAACAATCAAGAAAGGAGTCGCTCCATCGTTGGACGAAGCCCAGCCTCGCAATCGCCACAAGCGGCTTTCTGCGCTGCTGGGCATTACTGGGCGCTCTTGGACGACTGCTCCCTGCCCATTTTCTTGTCGTGGTAAACAAGCCTCACTCGTCACTGACTCTCGCAGAGCGGTTGTGTAGCAAAAACTTAATCGCCCGGGCTTGTCTTGTTTTCTTGTCTGTCCGGTTACGACTGTCGCCAAGGTCGGGAGGGAATTGAGATGGCAGTGGATGGAAGCAGGAATGGGCAGGAATGTGCTTCACTGTGCCAACGACTTGGCTGTAACCAGGCTGGATACGTGAGGTAGGAATTGGGATGTTGTGCGTCCTCGTACAGAGCCAGTTGGAAGAAGACTCATCCCTTTCAGCCCAGGTAGTTGGCCTGATTATCCCCTCCCTCAGGCCAATAGCTCACGGCCTTCCTGCGGCGGAGGTAGGGTGCGTTTGATCTTCAAGCGTAAGAGAAACGTCGACGTCTGAAATTGCGTGCTGGTGGAACGAATGCGATCGGGGTGATCAGACTGAAGCGTGTTGTGTGAGGTATACATCGTGTCTCGAGGGCTCAAATGGCCTGAAGTCTCTCATCAGGCACGACTGCAGCTTTTAGCGCCCGCATATCTCCCGAGAGCTTGACGGGGCCAAAATTCCAGGAAACTCAAAATGGACGGCAGTGTTCGTATCAATGTTTGTGTAGCGATGGCTGTTGTTGTCATTTGACGACTACCCGATTGAGATCGATGACAGCGCGTGGGCTGCCTCGTATATTGGGTCAGATCTCGGTTGACAGGCGAGCGGGACAGATCACCGGTCGACGGCGGCGGAAGAGAGTTGGGCGCGTGCATTTGCACTGCCTCCCTTGGCCCTAATCACCTTTCACTTGGGGGCGTCTCGGCCTCTTACAGCACGGTATAGACTGGTAGGACGCCTCCATAGAGCATGGTCGCCTCGTTCATATCCACTACCAGCTCGACGCTCTTCTACCAACCCCAACGGAGGCCTTTTGTCTTTTTGCCTGCCGCATCTTCTGCGATATCGACCCCGTCCCCGTTCGACACTGCCTCACTGCCCGCAGTCGAGCTCACCCTTCATCGGTCGATGGAAGCCGTCCATTCACCAACCTTGGGACCGCTTCATACCAGCGCCGAAGAGTCCAAGGATACTTGAACGAGTAAGCGAACCCGCTCTTATAATCCCGAGAGACTTGCCAAGTTGCGCAGTCTATCGAGGCAGACATGAACCTCGTAGCTGTCATGTTTCTTACTCCGCCTACCACCAAGCGTGGCTGAGGTCCTTCCTCATCCTCTTGATCGTTACGCACCGAGGCAGCTGCAGTACCTGCTTGAAGCTAATCTCCACGTGGTTGAACAGTAACTGGAATCATCCTATGCCGATAGCTTAGGCACTCTCGACCGGCCCTCCCTTGCCTGTCTGCCCCTTCGCCGCCAAACCGCGCAACGCATATTGACTTTGCGGTGATTTGCCATCCCATTGCTCCGCCACCGGTCAGGCAGTTTTATACCTTGTATCCCCACCGAACGGCATCCCACACATTTGCACAGGGCATGCACTTATAGCCCAAAACTTCGGCTGTGTAACCTGCCTTAGCAAGACATTTGATCTATTACAGGAGGTGGATATTTGCTACACCGGTTGCCTCGTTTGCCCATAAAGTCCGCGACAATGTCGGAGGACGCACAACCGCCTCCCGCCGATGGGCGGGCGTCACCATCACCCGGCGGACCAGGACGAAGAGCTCGTGCACCAACCATTACCATCGACACCTCAGCAGTCCAGAGATCGTCGAGCGCGAGATCGCGAGACCCAGATCATGAGATGGAGCATTTATCAGATGATGGGAAATCGATCAATGGAGACAAAACAGAGAAGACGCCAGGTTTGAGGCCGACATCGAACGCGCAATCAACGCCAACGGAGCTACGAGCCAGCAACAGCTTTGACAGCAGAGACTCGAGACCCACAAGTCCACACAACATCTCCTCTCCTACGCAGTGGAACAATCCACAAAATTTCCTGGCCGTCCCCAATTCCAGGGGGAGGGGGGCCAGCTTCGACACTGCTGCAAGCGGCGATACTGTGTCGACTTCCGATATAACATACGTGAACACGCAAACGCCAATGTCGGACGGCAAGCCGAAGGCTTTTGCAGACGATGAGCAGAGGCTCGGCGCCGGAGACCATCCCGTACTCTCGGACGAAGAAGCACTACAACCGGACAAAGGCACGGAGGAGGACTTCCACCGCGACAACAACCCCTTCGCCTTCACACCTGGCCAGATGGGCAAGATGTTTAATCCCAAGAGCTTGGGCGCGTTCCACGCAGTGGGAGGTTTGGCAGGGTTGGAGAAGGGGTTGCGATCAGACCGACTCGGCGGCTTGAGCGTGGACGAGAAGGGTCTGGATGGTGCCGTGTCATTCCAAGATGCCACCACTGTGGGCAGTCCCTCGTCAGACTCTACAATCGTTGCTGAACCCGAGATGGCAAAGGAATCTGGAAACGAGGTTTCGGGTACCTACGACGACCGTAAACGCATCTTTGGCGACAACAGGCTTCCCCAGAAGAAGACCAAGACCATTTTCGAGCTTATGTGGCTCGCGTACAACGACAAGGTCCTCATCGTCCTGACCGTGGCGGCCGTCATTGCTTTGTCTCTCGGCTTGTACCAGGCCCTTGGAACGGAGGAGGGCGGCTACGAATGGGTGGAAGGTGTCGCCATCATTGTCGCAATCGTGGTTGTCGTTATGGTCGGCGCCGTGAACGACTGGCAAAAGGAGAAGCAGTTTGCTAAGCTCAACGCCAAGAAAGAGAGTCGGAATGTGAAAGTCGTGCGCTCTGGAAGGACGCAGGAAGTCAACATCCATGACATCTTCGCAGGCGACGTGCTTCTCGTGGAGCCTGGCGACATTCTACCCGTTGACGGCATTTTCATCACCGGACATGGCATCAAATGTGACGAGTCGTCTGCCACTGGCGAGTCGGACATCATGAAGAAGACACCTGCCGAGGAGGTATTCCGCGCCATGGAGTCGAACGAGAATCTCAAGAAGCTCGATCCGTTCCTGATTTCTGGCGGCAAGGTCACCGAAGGCTACGGCCGCATGCTGGTTACCGCAGTCGGCGTAAACTCGTCGATGGGCAAAACCATGCTGTCTCTGCAAGACACCAACGAAGCCACACCATTGCAGGTCAAGCTCAACCACCTCGCGGAACAGATCGCGAAGATTGGTAGCGCTGCGGCCTTGCTGCTGTTCATCGTTTTGCTCATCAAGTTTCTGGCGGACCTGCCAAACAACAACGGCACACCCGCTGAGAAGGGCCAGGAGTTTATGACTATCCTCATTACTGCTGTGACCATCGTGGTGGTGGCTGTTCCCGAAGGTCTTCCGCTGGCTGTCACGCTTGCTCTGGCTTACGCTACGAAGCGCATGTTGAAGGACAGGAATTTGGTCCGTGTGCTGAGATCCTGCGAAACCATGGGCAATGCGACGACTGTCTGCTCAGACAAGACCGGCACTTTGACCCAGAACGTCATGACGGTTGTTGCCGGCTCCATTGGGACGTCTAACAGATTTTCCAACAAGGCAGCGCAGACGTCGGATGAAAGTCAGGCTACGGCCGTTGACGATGTATCTGCCCACGAGTTCACAAGTTCGCTTTCCAAGGACGTCAAGACACTCTGGAAAGACAGCATCGCCATCAACTCCACTGCGTTCGAGACTGACGAAGGAGGCAAGAGGACTTTCATCGGCTCGAAGACCGAGACCGCTCTTCTGGACTTCGCCTCTGAGTTCCTAGGCATGGACACTGTCACGACCGAACGCAGCAACGCTCAGATCATCCAGATGGTCCCGTTCGACTCGTCGCGGAAATGCATGGGCATGGTCTTCAAGCTCAACAACGGCAAGGGCTACCGATTGATCGTCAAGGGCGCCAGTGAGATTATGCTCAAGTACTCAAACCAGATCTTGCGCGACCCGACCAACGGCGTTGACGCGGCTACCATGACCGGTGACAACCGCAAGACCTTGGCTGGACTCATCGACGCATATGCTTCACGCTCGCTGCGCACCATCGGCTTCATCTACCGGGACTTCGAGACCTTCCCTCCTCGTAACGCGAGGATGCAGGAAGACGACAAGACCCAGGTCGTCTTCGAGGACATGTGCAAGGACATGATCTTCTTGGGCGTGGTCGGTATCCAGGATCCTCTCCGTGCCGGTGTCCCAGAGGCTGTCAAGGACTGCATCAAGGCTGGCGTGTTCCCGCGCATGGTTACTGGCGACAATCTCACCACCGCAAAGGCCATTGCGACCGAGTGCGGCATCTTCACGCCTGGAGGAATAGCGCTCGAGGGCCCAGAGTTTCGTAAGATGTCCGACGCTGAGCAGCGAAACGTCATTCCCAAACTGCAGGTCCTGGCCCGTTCGTCGCCCGATGACAAGCGCAAACTGGTCAAGCGTCTTAAAGAGATGGGCGAGACTGTCGCTGTCACGGGTGATGGAACCAACGATGCCCCTGCTCTGAAGGCCGCTGATGTCGGCTTCTCCATGAACATCGCTGGTACCGAAGTCGCCAAAGAAGCCTCCGACATCATTCTTATGGACGACAACTTCACTTCGATCGTGCTGGCGCTCATGTGGGGCCGCGCTGTCAACGATGCCGTGCGGAAGTTCCTGCAGTTCCAGCTTACCGTCAACATCACCGCCGTCTTGCTTGCATTCATCTCTAGTGTGGCGAGTGCCCAGGAAGAGTCCGTCCTTACTGCCGTCCAACTTCTCTGGATCAACCTCATCATGGACACCATGGCCGCACTCGCCCTGGCCACGGACCCACCAACCCGCAACATCCTCAACCGAAAGCCAGATCCCAAGTCAGCACATCTCATCTCCGTGACCATGTGGAAGATGATCATCGGACAAGCCATCTACCAGCTCGTCGTGACACTGATTATGAACTTTGCCGGCAAGCGGATCTTGGGCTACGACGCACCGTACCCTTGCCCAGTTGGCGGTATCAACGGCAGCTGCCAAGGTGCTTGGGAACACAAGGACATGCAGACGCTCATCTTCAACATCTTCACCTGGATGCAGATCTTCAACGCGCTCAACAACCGACGTCTGGACAACCGGTTCAATGTCTTCGAGGGCATCTTCAACAACTTGTTCTTCATCTTCATCTTCTTCATCATGATTGCTGGACAGACGCTTATCATCTTCGTCGGCAGCTGGAACGTCTTCCAGGCGCAACGACAAGGCGCGCGGAACTGGGGTATTGCACTCATTCTCGGCGCGATCTCTCTGCCGATTGGTGTGGTCATCCGCTTGATTCCGGACGAGGTCGCGTCCAGACTGGTGCCTCCGTTCATCAAGAACTTTGCTTCGCGGAGACAGCAGAAGCTCACGCTCAACGATGAGGAGAATCCGTTCGAATTCAACCAAGCGCTCATGGACCTCAAGGACGAGCTGGGCTGGATCAAGAAGTACAAGGGTGGCCGCATCAACAGCCTCAAATTCAGCCTGCAGCACCCGAAGGAAGCTTTCTTGCAGAGCAGAAGCCCCAGCCGCAGCCGAGCGTCATCCAGCCTGCCACGAACACCAAACAACGAGCCTATCGAGGACGATCGATCTGGCACCGGCACCGGCACCTCCCCGGCCCCACCCACCCCCGAATCCAAGGGCCGCCGACGCGGCCGCTCCCGCTCCAACTCCGCCTTCGCCGGTGCCGCCATGGCGGGCATCGTCGCCGGCTCCATCGCAGGCGGCTGGTCGCCCATCGAGCGCCGCGAAGGGGATGCCGACAGCCTGCGCTTCTCGCACCAGCGGTCCAAGAGCGATTTGGCGCGGGAGGTGAAGATGGAGCCGCATCCGGAGACGAAGGGGGATGATCCAGTGGTGGTGGAGAATGCGGTTGAGCAGGCGGGCGGGCCGCCGAGTCAGGCGACGAGTACGACGCCGCGGTTTGGGGTTGGGCCGTTTGCTGGGGAGCCGGCGAAAGAGGATGGGGAGGAGGAGGAGGGGAAGAGATGAGGTGGAGGATGATGTGCTGGACCTATCTGGAGAATACTATCATGTGGTGTGCTGCTGCGACTGCCAATTCCCCGCTTCGAGAAGAGAGGATGAATGAGAAGATGGAGAAGGAACCACAGGATCAAACCCGGCCGAGCCAACGCAGTCGAGCACGACACACGACACACCACACTCTTGAGGCTAACCAAGACCGCAAACCATCACATTGATTTCCTTGCATAGCGTGGGCGAACAACCGGGGCGGGATCCCTCTTCTTACAATCAGCAAAACGGGTCTGTCTGCAGAGACCACTCAACCAATACACGGCGTTTTTTGTGGGGATAGAAGAGACCTATGGGACTGGACTGGACTGGATGGATGGGACATTGGCATCGACATCGACATCAACATTAACACCTTTGTATACCTGAGCGAGAGCGAGAGTGGGGTTGGGAAAGGAAGGAAAGGAAGAGGATAGAGAAAAACTTCTGTTTGTAGTTGTGAATACGGGGGTGGTCTTTGACCCTTCTCATCATCATGATCCCATGTTCATACTTCATTCACCTCCTGAACGGAAAAGCCGGCTTGAGTCTTGTTGCTGCCTTGTACTTTTGGCCCCACGTAATGAAATTACAGCCGCCTACCTATCTTGCTTTCTGCCCTACCGGCCTACTCATGGCTGGAAGTGGAAATAATGCTGACACTTCCCACGCGAGGGCTCGTGTATAGACTTTTTGCGGCTCGCGCCAAGGGTCAGGTACGAAGGGGATAGTGTTTCAGAAGGTGTACGAGATGCTGTTGGAGTGTGGGAAAGGGAAGCAGGTTTGGTGGGTTGAGTTCTTGCTTTGCTATGTACTCATGTACTCGATGACATAGCTTTATATGCTCGTGGCTGGAGTTCGGCATAGGTTGTGGCATGGCGGTGATGGTGCAGACTGCGGTACAGGCAATAGTGGAATAAACGCCGCAAAGCACGACATGCGCGCTTCTTCCCAGCGGCTAGCTGGATGCGATGCCATGACGGGATGAGCGGCAGGGTCAGGGGGTGTTGGAAGCGAAAAAGTCCGACGAAGCGAACGCATTGCGGGGTGTCTCGGCGTCTGGCAGGGATGGGGGAGCAGCTTTAAAGACACGCGACAGTCTCGCTGGTGTCGCGACAGACGCTGTGCCACCCACACCCACCCACCCTCCTTCTACCTTTCCGTCGTTCCTTTGGCCCATCCTTCTTCTCTTCACATTGATTACTTGTTCGGCATTGGAATAGTTCCATATCTGCTCCTCCACCATCCTCCCCCATCCTTCGCCATCCCGCATTCCCGATATAGACGTGGAACCACTTCTCCAGAAAAGGCGTTGAAAGACAATCAAACCTTCTACCCTTCCCCTCCACATTTGCTACCACGCCACTCGCATAGCACAGGCGTCATTACTGAGGTGGAACGGGCAAACATTCGATATCGACAACATCTTCCCTTCATAACCCTTCTTGGAGCACACGACTTGGCTGGAACACCCCACCTCCATAAGTATTGCGAAAACCATGCCGTCCAGCCGACGGCTCAAAGCCACCGGCCTCCTCGCCCTCCTCACCCTCCTCACCATCCTCTACATCACCCACGGCACCAGCAGCACCCACAACTCGCCCTTCTACACCCGTACCGTCGCCGCCATCCAAGCCCGCCAATCCAACGCCGCCCGCGAAGACCTCGAGGCGAAGCAGCACCAGCAACGTCTCGAGCGCGTGGAGCGCGAGCACAAAGTCGCCATGTCCGCGGCCAAGGACGACGAGGTACCGCCTAAACCTATTCCCAGCGCGGGTGTGGGGGCTACAGGGAACCCCTACGAGCAGAAGCCGATTGCCGGACGGAAGATGATGGGGGATGGGAAGGTGGTGCATGATGCGAGCGGGAAGCAGGAGGGGGACGACGGGGTCGCGAAAGTGGGGAATGTAGGCCCGCAGGCTTCGCGAGCGGCGGTGGGGGAGGACGAGGAGGCGAAGAAGGAACAGCAGAAGGTGGAGACGGCGTTGAATGAGGTGTTGAAGAAGGGGCCGATTATTGTGTTCAGCAAGAGTTATTGTCCGTTTAGTAAGAAGGCGAAGGTAAGCTCATCCTATTTTCCCATACTCTGGTGGGAAGCCACGCTGACGTTGATTACAGCACATATTACTAGACCTCTACAACATCTCCCCGCCCCCCTACGTGGTGGAGCTGGACCAACACGAGCTCGGTCCCGGCTTGCAAAAGGCTTTAGAGAAGATGACGGGACGGAGAACAGTACCCAACGTCCTCGTCAACGGCCGCAGCATAGGCGGCGGCGATGACATTGAGGAGCTGCATGTCAGCGACAAGCTCATGAGCACGATTTCGACGATGGGTGGGAAGCGGATTATGAAGGTGGAGAAGGCGGAGCCGGCGGAGAAGGCGGATGAGAAGAAGGCGGAGATGAAGTTTAAGGCGTGAGACATCATCACATCAGATTTGGGATGGATTGGAGGGAAGTGAGGAGGTTTTGACATTGGGCGGATTGGATGACAAACTGGTGCCAAAATGGATGTGATACCCTGAGTTAGGTCTTCTTTTTGAGCGCGTTGCATGAATTCCTACGACGGCCTGGACGTGCCCTATTCCTACCATACGTCAAAAAACATCTTGAAAAACTATTCACAGCTCGTCTTCTCATCCTCTATCGTGGTCCGGTGCACTTCACTGACTATGAATCCCCCATCACCCTCCCCAACAACCACCCCCCAAACGTCTTCTCCCCCGGACTCCCCACACACCTCCCCACCCTATTCCCCGCCCCTCCCCTCAGCCAATCTCCCGTATCCCCCGCCACCTCCCCCTCATCCCCATCCGCCCTCTTCTTCCTGTCCCGTCGATCCACCACACACATCCCCCTCGTCCACTGCCCTGCCACTTCGACCCTGATGTCCTCGTTCTTCTGCACCGCCCATTTCGGGTCGGAGGCGGCCATGCAGTACCACACGCACAACGGGTCGTGCAATGCGAGGGCGACTTCATCCCCGCTGATGGATGGGTGCAGGGATTCGACTTTTTCGAACGTCGCGGACATGAACGCCGCCATCCATTCTGCCATCGGCGATCTGGCGTCGAGGTGTGGGTTGATGGTGGAGCGGAACTCGCCGCGGGTGAGGCTGTGGCGTTCGGTGATGTCGAGGGGGAAGAGGGTGAGGTTTAGCTGTCTGGATAGCTTTTTGGGGTAAGGCGAGAGGTGGGGCGGGGGGTGTTGGCCTTCCGGCTGCCCGGGGGGTGCGGGGGGGATGGGCGGCATGGTTGTGTGGGGGTGGGGGGATGTGAGGGCCAAGAGGCGGGCGGCGGCCATGGAGTCGGCGAAGATGTTGAATTCGGCGACGGGGGTCATCTGGTTGCGGGTGTTTAGCGCAGTTCTGAGGGGGGTGGGGGGTTGTTTGATGAGTCTGAAGGGCGGCTCGTCGACACTTGAGGGTTGATTGGGCGGGAGAAAGGGCGGTTGACGTACATTGCCTGGTCCGTCGATGTTGCCGCCCATCACGACTACTTCCTGCACTCGAAGGAACGTCTCCGGGTCTTCTGCTGCGGCGAGAGCGAGGTTGGTCAATGGACCTATGGCGATGATTGAGATGGTGTCTGGTTCGTTCTCGCGAAGCAGTCGAAGGATCTCTGTATGGCCTGGAGAGCGGGAGGGTGTGAAGATGGACTCGGCGTCCGTCTTTTTTAGTTCTTCCTCAATCATCCCTTTCTCGGGGTTGTTAGAGTCTTCGACTGAGTTGAAGAGGCCTTTCCAAGTATCGGCGGGCGTCATATGCGGATGCTGGGAGGCGTCAGCTCAAGCACGTAGATCGGGTGATTGAGACTTGCGCTCTCGTGTATCCCACCGAGCCCATCCTTCCCATCTGCCGTTCGTCAGTAATTGAACCTCTCCCCCCTCGTAATCCATACTACCCACGAAAGAAATCCGCCATTAACTTCTCATCCGCCAACGGATGATCCGGTCCAACAGCAACGAGCGGTTTCGACTTGCGCAGCGTCTCGAACCCAGGATCTCGGCCAACGCTTTTCCGCCACGCAATCTCCTTTTCGATGTGGTAGAAGAGGGAGACGACGTTCCGCAAACAGCTTTGCACGTCGATGTTGCCGTATGTGGCGGAGATGAGGAGAATTTCCAACTCAGAAGGAATGGCCGAGCATGCTAGGAGCATTGCTAGTATGTCGTCGACGCCCTGGTGGGAGGTTAGTTCGTGTTTGACAGTGGTTTCTGGGAGACTTGCCGGATCGGTATCGATTATGATCTTTCGAGGAACCATCTTGGTGTTCGACAACGAGACAGTCGAAGTATACTGACGAGTCGTCAATAGATGAGGTGGTGATGGTTGTTCAAATGTCTGTCGAAACGCTGAAAATCCAACACGAACAAGACCTGTAGGTTTAGACGATTGATATCCAGTCGATTGCTTAAGCATAAGGCTACGAAGACGAGATGATTGTACAGACTTAAACATCAATGAGGAGGTATTGAATGGAATCGACAACACGGAAGACGACCGCTTCCAAATTGACTTTTATGTCAAGACATCTGTCCACTTTCTCGCTTGCTAACCAGCTTGTCCACCAGTCTCAATATCAAAATCGCAAAACTTCACAGCCTGGACCTCTCTTCTTCTTTCTTCATACAATGTCATAAGGCCACCATTAGAGTCTCGGTGCGAACTCTTTCAATGTTTGTACAGATCCCACGAGGTCTCCTAGCGTGCTCCGGTCGCCTTAGAATGAGCTACGCTCGCTGTTCACTTCGCCCCAAAATTTCACAAGGGGGTGTAAGATAGAAAGTGATGCGTGACAGATTTTTTACATATGTACAGGCATTTCGCAATGCTGGCTTCTTGATATGAACCTACTTGCCTTCTGCGCGCTGCTTCAGCTTGAGGCTGGACGGAAGTTAGTAGCATACCACGGCGATGAAGGAGGGTACGAGCTTACCGCAGGAGGTTTGCCTTGGGACAGCTAACTGTTGACGCTTCATCGCCATTCCGCTGATAGAATAAATCACAGCACTTGTATAGTTGGTCGACCTGGCAGGCTATGAGCAGAGCACAAAACTGTTACGAGGCAAGGGACAGGCCTACAAGATCCTGGCACTTTCCCTCATCGTAGTTGTTCTTCTGAATGCAATCTGGTCTTCGTCAGTCGCTGGAGAGATGCCGCGGGACTGCGAGCAGACGGGACTCACCTTGAAGGGCGCATGCTCGAGGGTGGCAAGGCGGATCGTACTTTACATCCTTCTCGAGGTCCGGCTGCAGGCGGTCGTGAGCAATGAACGAAGACCTGAAGCAGTCTTGCCTTACCATCCTCACGACAGTATCTATCTATTCAATACCTGCGAAGGCCCTCTCTGTAGATAGGAGGTAATGGTAAATGGTCAAGATACATACAACGAATGTCTACAATATCCTGCCCTTCAAATCCAGAGCGAAGCTTGTGCCAATCCAGAAAGCTAGCTCTGAACGTCAGAGGCCGCAGCTTCACGAGTAGCACATTGACCTCTACAACCACCATTGGACCTCACCACCACAGCACAACACCTTCCAACCTCGAGTGTATCTGCAACAATGTCGCTCGACCCTCCTGGCTACATCCTCTCGCTGCAGAACAACATCCGCGCACGACCAATAAGCTGGGAGGGAGCTGTACGAGCAAAGACCATCACCGATGCAGACCTCAAGAAGATAAAGGCCATAGACAAGGTGCGAAAGGAGCAGCGGAAACAGACCATTGAGGCGGATGTGCCGACATACACAGCTCTGTTGCTTGGAGATGGCGAGAGCAAGAGCATATTCGAGACGGCTGCGAAGCGGACAGATATCGTGAACTACATGCTGGTGCTCACAGGGGACCTTATTGATGGTATGTAGAACTGGAATGAGGAAGTCGTAACCCTGGCTAACGAACACAGACATACCCGCTCTCACCGACTCCCTGGTCAAGCACCCGCACCCCTACAAGCCTCTACTCCCGCTTCTGAAGCAGTCCGCCAGTCCCGAAGAACCCATACCTCTCCTCGCCTCCTCTGTCCTCTCCTCGCTCCTCTCGCATGCCCTGATCGCGCAGCCAAAGTCCACGCCTGAAATCGACGAAGCGCTGCCGAAGCTCTACTCGTACATCGCTACACTTTCAAACACCTCCGACTCCAACCTTCAAGATATTGGCGTTCAGGAGTACAGCGCGCTCTTGCGAACCACGAAGTCGAGACAGCAGTTCTGGCAGCAGCGAAAAGAGACGCTTGGCCCGCTCATGGACATTCTGCGAACGGCGACTGGTGGGAAGGATACGGACAGCACGATCGTGGGCGGCTCCAGTGGCACGAGTATACGCAGCGCAACAGAGTCGAACATCAAAGTCGGCGGTGGTGTAGGTCTGCAACTTTTATATCACGTCCTGATGGTCATCTGGCAGCTCTCGTTCGAAGGGAAGCTTGTTGGCAAGGGTTTGGACGAGGAACACGACATCATCCCGCTGTATACGCATCTGCTTCGAGTTTCACCAAAGGAGAAGACGACGCGGCTGGTGCTGGGAACGCTCAACAATCTGCTAGCCTACAACAAGTCAACTCTGATGCCCGCCGCCCTACCAGCCAAGCTTCCGGCAGTGCTTCAGAATCTCAAGACACGGCATCTGAACGATCAGGACCTCAATGAAGACCTCGACAGCCTTTCGGAGATGATGAAGGAGTACACCTCTTCTCAAACCACATTCTCCGAGTACGCCTCAGAAGTGAACAGCGGGCATCTGCGGTGGTCACCACCTCACAAGAACGGCGACTTCTGGCGCGAGAACGCTCGAACGATCATCGACGAAGACAAGGGCGAGCTCTGCAAGAAGCTGGCCGAGATCATGAGCAAGGAGTGGGCGAACGACAAGCAGGTCCTCGCCATTGCCTGCAATGATGTTGCTTTCTTGGTCAAGGAATGTCCGGAGAAGAGGCAGCAGCTGGAGCGGTTTGGCTTGAAGACGCGGGTCATGGCGTTGATGCAGGATGAGAATGAGAGTGTGCGGTGGGAAAGTTTGAGGGCGGTGGGGGAGTGGTTGAGGTATAACTTTGACAAGCAGTAGTTGGGCTGGGCGTGGACGGGGAGACCAGTTGTGTAGCGTTCCAGTTACAGTGTACGATGCATCTGTTGCGCGAGATCATCATCTCCGTTTTGATCCCATTGTTCAGCAACGTGAACATGACCTGGAGCCCTCCAAACAGCGCCACACATCACGTGAATGCACCGCCACAGGCTCTAACGTCACTTCCATCTCCTTGGACGATAACGACGATAACTTGAACTTCTAAGCGCGGACCGTTTCGCCGAGTGCAACAGAACAGCAAAACGAATTCACCCGAGGCTTGACAGACCCAGGGCGATGAGCAAGAGGTGAACGCCGTCAACGTCAATTCGAACGCCAGCAGAAGAAAGCCCTCCCGGAAGCCTCCACCAAGAAACCTGTTTCACTTTGGAGCGACTCTACCGCGATCTGCGCTTACCTGCCAACACTAGAAATCTTGAAGCCGATCTCTGTGGCTGAGCAGGAGATGGTGCTCCGTGATAGGCCAGCGCCACGTTATCTTTTCTGGAGAACAGCCACAGGTCTGCTCGTGCTTCCACGTTGCGACGTCAAACGGCCTGGGCAACGCTCTTCCTTGTCGCTGGACCGGTCCCGGGGCTCGTTCTTCATCGTGCAGTGCCCTGCTTCTCAGGCGCTGGCTCCGACTCGCAAGGCCTGGGGGGTGCCAGCCACTGACATGTCTCCAACCGCTTTTCTGGAAAGACTCGCTTAGACGGGTGAAGCAGCTTTGAACGAATGTATCCTCCATTGAGTATATCGAAGGACGATCTCGCAACAATAGTCGCCGGCATTACTCTGTGGCATGCACAGCCTTGGTTCTCGAAGCGCCTTTGACATCTCTACACTTCGTTATCCTCTCCGACTGTGCCGGGTGAGTGGGTTCATGGTATACCCTTGACTCTTCAATACCCTGTCTGAACTCTAGTCATCTACTGTCAACTGCGCTGTCTGCCACACATTAAACCTTCACCACTCTCTTCCTATGCTTTTGCGATTGTTCTGCAACATCTTCTCCGTTTTATCAAGAACAATCGTACACATCAGCACGCTGTTGTAAACACCCACCATGGTTCGCCCTACGATAATCGGGCGTGCGCTTGCCTTTGGCCTCTTGACCTCTTCCACAGAAGCAGGACGAATCCGGATACGACAGCCTCAAGCAACTTCCGCATCTCCAGAAACACAAGAATCCGCATCAGACACAGCAACGGCGCCCGCCACAACGACAACACAGGATGTGCCGCAGGCATTGCTTAGCATCGCCGACTCACTCATAGACGCAAACTATCCGTCGCAGACGATCGAAGACATCAGAACACTCTCGTGGCCAACAACGGTTGTGATTGGTACTCAGACGTACACCATCGGGTCCGAATCAACAGCCACTTCCAGCAGTACGCCAACTTCGCAGACTTCGCAAACATCGAAGACAGATGCAGCAAGCACAACCAACGACATCTCCAAGCCTGAGGAAACAGAAGTTAAATCAGCTTCCGAGCCGAGTCATAAAGCGGACGACAAGCGACTAGCCATCATCATCGGTGTGGTCATCGGAGTCGTCGTCCTGATCGTTCTGGGCACTGTATTCTGCTGTCTCCACCGTCGGAAGAAGGACAACGGAAGCTTCTTCTTGCGCCGCAGCACACCATCGGTGAGATCGAACGGATCCTGGATGCCTGGAAGCCAGCGTCCAGACACCTATGGACACACCGCATATGTATCAGCAGGAAAGCAGGGTCCGGACACCTTTGGCAACACCGCATATGTATCACCAGCAATGTCGAGTCCCCACCAGCGCAAGTATCCGCAGATGTCAACCATCGAACGCGGTACCACTCCTCCAGTCGATGCGCATCCAGCTTATCTGCACCACGAGAGCAGCCGATCGACATCAGATGAGAACCCGTTCTACACGCCCGAGGAGCGCTCGCAAAGTGCACTCAACCCGCAGGAGCTAGACAGCCAAGCGATAGCACAGATCGATCACGCTGACCCAGCCAACCGACAATCCTCGGATTCAATGCGACAATCGCGGCCACCGACCCCGTTCTCACCGCTGATGATGATGCAAAGTGGCCCGGCCGCGAGACCACAAGTCCACCAGAACCCGTTCTCTTCGCCCGAAGACGAGGAGGCGGATGATGTCGTCTCGCCTATCGTCCCACCGACAAGAAATCCAGAGCGGAGATACTCGCCTATGGTGCACTATCCATCGTGGGACGAAGTAAGCGCGTTCTCCTTCTCCGGCAGCGAGAGAGATGCCCGACAGCAAGAGGAAGGTGGAGATGGTTGGCGCCCGGAGAGGGAGCGGAAGGCTGGGAGGTATGAGCTTGCATGAGGCATGATTTGATGGTTTGATAGCGTGAGGCGTTTGGATGGTTGGTGGATTGCCCGTGGCATTGCGATGATGACGGACTTTTTGGTCCTAGATACCCTCAGCATTCGCTTTGGATGCCTGTACGTACAGATCCGCAGGACGGCATAATTGCTACTCATGCTACACTTCCGTTCCTCTTCCGGTGTTTGGATTATTTGCAGTCTGCCGGAGATATTATAGCGTCATTCTGTGACATTGAACGCTGAGCTTTGTTGTTGATTGATCGGTCATGTTTGTCGAAGGTGAAGGTTAAGGTGCGAGTGTGGCGTAGTGTGGCTGACCAATTCGTTCGCGTCTGGATCGCGTCGACCTCGAGAAAGCGCATGCCGCTTGGAGGGACAAAGAACAACATTACAGCACTCTACAGCTACAACGCCCCGTCTTACTTCAACATTGGCTCGACCACATAGCTACAATTGGATCTAGCCGGTATCGCATCAACAGCATCGCATACTGCGCAGCAACAATACCCAGCAGTAGGATATCGCAACAGCATTGTAGAGATGGTAGGTATGCCAGTATGAAGGTCGATGTGAGCAGAGTTAACGGCAGACAGAACTCTCGAGCGCTCCGGCGACTGGCAGCAGACCATGGTGCACTGCACAGCCAACCTCTACCACCAAACTACCTCTTCCCTCCAGCCGGCTCGAACAACGACGACCTAACACAACTCGACATCCTCCTGGCAGGACCCACTCATACCCCATTTTCAGCAGGCGTATGGAAACTCCACCTTACCATTCCGACAACATACCCTCAACAACCGCCGACTGCGAACTTCCGGACAGCAATCTTCCACCCGAACGTAGATCCGCAGACGGGTGGTGTATGCGTGGAGACGCTGAAGCGCGACTGGGACAGCAAGCTTACGCTGAGGGATGTGCTGGTGACGATCAGCTGTCTGCTCATCCAGCCGAACCCGGATAGCGCGCTGAATGCGGAGGCGGGTGCTTTGATACAGGATGATTACAGGGCGTTCTCGCAGAGGGCGGAGTTGATGACCAGTATACAAGCTGCGATTCCGCAAGTTTTGCGAGAGGCTGCGCAGGAAGCGCAAGATCGGGGGCAGGAGAGGGGAGTCAAGACGACTGAAGATGAAATGAGGGATGTTCGGGAAAAACAACCCGAGGCACCTGTGCGAGCGAGGAGAGCAACGGCAAGGCAAAGGGGGGGAGGGACGTCTCGAAGATCTGACGGGTCTCCGACTGGTGGCGCGGTGAGGAGGCGTCACAGGCAGCCGGCAGGCAATCCTTTTGTCGTTCAGGCTGGCAATGATGATGTCTTTGGCGGTTCTTCCAGATCAGGTCCAGAAGCAACCAGAATCCATGAGGACGACGACAGCAGCATGGTGGATGAGAATCAGGAGAATGACGAGGCTAGATCGCCCGTGAAAGCGCCCACACCCAAAGTCGCCGCACCACGAAGACCGCAAGGCGCCCCAGTCCCTCTAGGTGAACTGACTCTCGACGACATTGCATCCGATAGCAACGACGAAAGCGAAGAAGCCGAGTACCCTCCCAGCCCGCGAAAGAGTCCAGTCAAGCGCCGACAGCAGCACAGCAACAGCAACGAAACCGCAAGCCGAGCAGAAAGCAGCAACACAGCCGCTGCACGAGCACGAAATCTAACGCCTCAGAATAACCCTCAGCTAAAACCACCCGCTGAAAATTCACCCTTCGTCGATTCCTCATTCATGGAACCTCACCATTCACTTTCGCCTTGCAAGCAGAAGAACAACCTCTTCACGCCTGGACCTGCGCGGAAACCGCTATTTCCTTCACTGCATACACCGAAGCATGATGGAGGTGTGTTCAAGCCGCGATCTCCTTCTTCGGCGGAGAAGAAGCGGGAGGAGGCGAGAAGGAGGGTGGAGTTGGAGGCGAAGCTGTGGGAGATGTGTGGGAAGAATGTGGGTAGGTGGAATAGAGGGGATTTCGATGGGGAGCCGTTCAACATCAAGGCGAAGAGGTGGTGATTCTTCCAATTCTCTTTCTCTTCATCAATCGAGTTCAATGACGAATACATGACCCTTTCTTGGTCTCGAAAAACTACAGCCAAATCTACTACATTGCGTACCGCTTTTCCGTTCCTGTCCAATGTCTTGTCGAATGTCACGTGCCAAGCTTCTTTTCGTCTCGTCTCAGTAAAACCAAAATGATTTTATATTCTCATCATCGGTCCATGGATGGAAGGACAACATACCCAAGGCCAATATACTTGCTTGTGTCGCTCCGTGGACCACAGTACGAACAAAAAGCACGACGTCGTCGGGTTTTTGGCCGTCAAGCTGCCTAGCCGGTCCCCAATGCTCCCCCCGACTACCAGACACCCACCACATCCAACAAAAGCAAAAGGTGAAGGCCAGGAGGCTCTTGTCGTCGACGTTGGCAGGACTAATCAATATTCGGTTAGCCCTAATGAAATTGGAGGCATAGACTGGTGAGAGCATACCTCGAACCTACGCCCCCGAAGGGAATTGATCAACAATTGCTCGAACGAATCGAAGCAAGTTCTAGTCAATCGCATTAACCACTTTGCTACAACGCCTTGGTGGTTACTCTGTCAAGCACTGGAAGCACAACTTTTTAAAATGTTATATGTCACATTTTAAACCTCACCCGAGCTAGAGCCGAGTGATCTCCGAGAAGCCCACCAAAGACTCAACTTGAGACCTCACGATACTGCGGACAACCTGGTATACAATTTTCCAACGCCACGGACCGACTGACGCCGATTAAGAGCATACCTACTGTCACGTTGTATCGCACAGACGGATCCATCTCAGATGATGACCAGAGAACAAAGACATCAGAATGGACTACCTGATCCGCTTCACCCAAATTCATGAGTCCTTCCGCAAACCAGAGACAGACGCTCTTGCTACCCTGGCCAATATCGATTTGGAATGGGTGTTCTATTCTGAAGAAGTATGTATCACGGAAGGCGAGGGGCGAGGGATCCCAATTGCACAAGCACCAACTTGATCAGAGGTGGTACGGCCTACCCTTCGTCCTTCGCCTGTCCAATTCATATGACGAATAAGTTCTAACGAAAGTCTAGTCTCCCTTCGCCATCGTACGCTTCCCACAGCCACAGGCAAAGGACTCCGCCGCTGCAGCCCGGTCCTTAATAACCCGCTCGATCCTCAGCTACAGCATCTACGAACTATGGGGCTCCGGCCACGACTACCCATCCCTCCACGCTGATGTCCGCCACCGCACTTCAGCCTTATGGCCCCAACACTGCCATTCCACCTTCCGCTTCGAGGTCGACGCTTTCCAAGGTAGCCACACCGCTGCCGAACACCGGGACATCATCGAATCCTTCGCCTACACCGGCTTCCACGGACCCATCCGCATGCGCAACCCGGACAACCAATTCGTCGTCTTCGAGGAATATGAACTCGACGCTCCCATTCCGAAGTGGACATGTCTAGGCAGACTCATTGCAGAAAGCGGCCGCAAAGCGATCAACAAGTACAGTCTCAAGAAGCGTAGCTACATCGCCACTACGTCTATGGATGCGGAGCTATCGCTGGTAACGGCAAATCTGGCGCATGCTGCGGATGGCAAATTGTGCTATGACCCATTCGTTGGGACGGGATCGTTCCCACTTGCTTGTGCGCATTTCGGAGCTTCAGTTTTCGGAAGTGATCTGGATGGTCGTAGCATTCGTGGGAAGAAAGGTAGGGATGTCAAGGGCAACTTCAAGCAGTACGGTACTTCATCACTGTACCTTGGTGGGTTTGTCGCAGACCTCACGAACACTCCTCTACGACGAGAGCGCTTTCTGGACGCGATCCTCTGCGATCCTCCGTACGGTGTGCGCGAAGGTCTCAAAGTGCTCGGCAGCAACAAGCCCTCGCTACAAGAAGAGGTACTTCTAGCGGACGGCCAGCCAGCTCATCTCGCGGCGAGCTACCTGCCTCCGAAGAAAGTCTACAGCTTCACACGCATGCTGGGCGACATTCTGGACTTCAGCGCAATTATGCTGGTCGATGACGGCCGACTATGCATGTGGATGCCTGTTGCAGGGGCGACCGCAACGGATGAAGAAGATGATACTGACGCCACCGAGGAATATGCCGTACCACAACATCCTGCTCTTGAAATTGTCAGCGAGTGCACACAGCATTTCAACAAGTGGTCGAGGCGGCTACTCACCTACCGACGAAGGCATGACTCCTGTGTAGACGGTGATGCAATGCTGGCTTACCGAGCTGAGAGACTAGGGCTCCAGAGCGTGAATGGGGTTGGCACGGCAGATGACTTGAACTCCTTCCGACGAAAGGTGAGCACTTCTAGGGGTCGTATTCCAGGGTTTGCTAATGTTCTTTACAGTATTTCCAAGGCTTCCTGGATCCCGCTCTACCACGAAAGCATGAGAAGCTGCCTCACACGTACTAGCAGCCGCACGCCTTCCTCCCGCAGCTTTCGCAAAAATCTTGACTCTTCACGATCCACGGCCTACGCCAGGCGTTCCCACTTCAGGAGTCTGCAACTTCTCCTCCATTCCAGTCATGCCTGCCTCCAGTACGGGCTGGTCATTCCGAACTCGTCATCTGATCGTCACGTCAGAATGTCTTCGCGTCAGACCCCGAGTCCTCCTCGCTTAAGCAGATTTCGCGGGCGGCGAAGTATGTGTCCAAGGCCGAAAATTCGTGAAAGCGTACGGACTTTCAGCCGGCTCTGGATCATATGGGTCTGCCAACAGCCAAAAAGCGTCTCAGCAAACGCCATTTCGAACAAATCGTCATTCAGACTCAGTGCATCCCCGGCGCCGGCTGTCCACCCACACGACCCGGCGTAGGCGAGTCCCAGCGCTCCCACTTGCCGCCATCAGTAGGCCGCGGCGGCGACGCACCACGATCTGTCTTCATCTCAGACCATCCACGCTGTCGCAAGTCGCCGTAAAAGATGCCCGCGGGAAAGGAGTCATGGGCGGAGGAGGCGGTGGACGTACCTATATCGTTTGTCGAGTTTCCTCCGTCGTTCGCCGATGGCTGGTTGAGGAGATCAACGACTTCTTGGCCGTCACGCAGGTCGATGGGATAGCGATGCGAGTCGTGGTCTTGCTCGTGGGGAGGAATCGTCTGGCCGTAGTCGTAGGGAGCAGCGTTGACTGATTGGATATGCGGCGTCTGCTCGCTGTTGTCGAAGTGCACAGTCTTGTTCGCCGCCGCCGCATCAGAGGCAGTAGCGAAGCCATCGGCCTACAACCAGATTTCGTCAGCGTTTGAGCCTCGCCTATCAGCTACCGATATGGAGATTCCCAATGGTCGAACTGATGCTCCTCGCTCCAGCCATGCTCCTCATGAGTATCAAACTCAGGCGGCGGTGTGCGTGGGATGCGCGAAGAGTTGCGAACATTGAGTAGGTCAGGGGTAGCAGTGCCGGAGCCATATGCGCTATCAGGTGCGGATGCTGGGGGTGAAACATGCTTGCTGAGGGGCGGACGCACAGTTTCGACCATTTTGTCACCTTCAACCTTGATCTCCCGATCGCGCAGCCTCCGCATCAGACCCAGGAATTGCGAGTTGCGAAATTTGGCAGTCTTGTTGTGTTCGACTTTCTCCAAAAGCTCTTGTGCGGTCTGGGCTAATGCATCGTCGTCGTTCTGATGCCTCGAGTCCTCCATTTGCTGGTCTTCAGGATGGGCATGTTGCTCCTCCATTGGCTCCAGCCTTTGAAAGTCGTCCTCGTGACCATGTTGGTGAATCTCTCCCGTGGCCACAGCCTCAGCGACGTTCGCTTCAGCACTTTGTTTGAACATTTCGAGTTGATCTAGATCGCCAGTCGAAGCCCCACTAACATACGCCGACTCCTCAGCATTTCCAGCCTCCTCTTGTCGCTGCTCGCCTGCCATGAGAGCGTCTCTCGCCTGATCGAATGCCTGCTCGAATGCCGCCTCGTCGAATTGCTCGGTGACAGCCTGCTTCCCTTTCGACTGCATAGGCTGGGCAAAGCTCGGTTGCGAAAAGTTATTCTGGTAGCCGTTCATGCCATGTCTAGCCATATACTGGAACGCCTGCGGTGACGGAGCAGCATTCTGAGTTCGAGGCGTTGTTTGAGCAATATGCTGTCGAAAGCCTTGCGCCCAGTCATTGCCAGCATGGCTAGACTGGGGCACATACTGCTGATGTTGCTGGAAGGGCGGAGGAGAGGATATCTGCATCCTCTGGAAGTCGGAGGCCCATGACGGGGCTTGAGCGGGTCCAGCTGGACCAAAAGATTGCGGGTGGAATCTGGGAAGATCAGGCAGTTCGGATGGTGGCAGACCAGCTTGGAATGCCTCGAACTCGGGATCTAGCAGGCCAGCATTGGGATCTGCTGAACGGAAGCCCTGTGCTGGAGCATGGCGAGATGTGAGCCGGTCTTGCTGGAGTGTCCGGTCATATTGTGTCTGTTTGCTGAACTGCTGTAGCGGGTTCGATGGTCCGCATAGTGCGTCAGACATGTCGACTAGTTATAGAAGCGCATAGAGTAGGGAAAGGAAACGCTGACAGAAGGAAGATACATATGAACGAAGGATGACTTTCATCTCTCACATGTCATCCGCCTACCCACCACTTCTGCCGAACCTCGGCCTCGTTCGCCGCCTGACACTCCCGCTGTGCAGAAGTCGTTGCATGAATGTCGACTTCTGCCCGCCCGTCGAAGTTGCCAGGTACACCTTGAATTAAACAATCACGAGCGATCCAATACCAAATACCACAACAACCGCCACAATGACACAAGTCATATCAAGCTCCGGCCATGATGACATGATCCACGACGCCGTCCTCGACTACTACGGCCGGCGACTTGCGACCTGCTCCTCTGACAAGACAATTAAGATATTCGAAATCGAGGGGGACCAACATAGATTAACAGAAACGCTGAAAGGGTACCGTCTACACTTGCGGAACACGTAAGGCAGGATTCAAGCTGACAGAAAATCACAGCCACGAAGGCGCCGTCTGGTGCATCTCCTGGGCCCACCCCAAATACGGCACCATCCTCGCCAGCTCGTCCTACGACGGTCGCATCCTCATCTACCGCGAGCAGAACAACTCCTGGCAGCGCATCTACGAGTTCACCCTGCACACCGCCTCCGTCAACCTCGTCGCCTGGTCCCCGCCCGAAGCGGGCTGCCATCTTGCTGCCGCTAGCAGCGATGGCACGGTTAGCGTGCTGACGTTCGAGAACAACACTTTCAGCCATGTCAACTTCGTCGCGCACGGGCAGTTGGGAGCGAATAGTGTCAGCTGGGCGCCGGCGCAGATGCCGGGGAGTTTGACGGGGGCGCAGACGCCCGGGACACAGCAGGGGGTTGTGAGGAGGTTCGTTACGGGTGGGAGTGATAATCTGGTCAAGATCTGGAGCTTCAATGCTGCGGTCGCGAACTACGAGGTTCTGTGCACATTGCAGGGGCACACGGACTGGGTGAGGGATGTAGCGTGGTCGCCGACCCCGTTGTCGAAGTCGTATATTGCGTCTGCGAGCCAGGACCACACGGTGCGGATATGGACGTTGCCGGCGAATGGGGATATGAGTGATGCCAATGCGTGGAAGTGCGAGACGTTGGATTTCGAGGTTGTGGTGTGGAGGGTGAGCTGGAGTATGGCGGGGAATGTGCTCGCCGTGTCGGGCGGTGACAATAGGGTGTCATTGTGGAAGGAGAAGTTGAAGGGTGGCTGGGAGTGCGTGAAGACGATTGAGGAGTGATTGATATGAGTTGGCGAGAGGGCATGAAGCGATGGAGTTACGGCGTCCAACAAGAGGCAGTCGAAAGACCGGCCACCACGAAAGGAACGCTCAGGAGGGTTGATATGCTTTACCACCCATAGATGTTAACATGACCTTGAGCTGGCACCAATCGAACGAACGAGAAACGCTCCATACGTGCTCGTACAAGAGAACTACAATCTTTCTCTAAAGCATGGACAAACCCTTCCCACGCCTGCTCAAGTGATCGAGCTCACAAGTGGTATCATCGCGATAATAGCAGAAGCAAATTTCCGTCCCTCTGCGCCCGCTCGAACGCGTTGGCGTCCTCCCTCCGCCCATTTCAATACACTCGCCATGTTCGGTACAGCCTTGCCGGTCCCACATTGGCAAGTCCTACTGTTGCTTCTGCAAGACCCAGCTCCGCATCGCCATCGAACAGACCCGCTGAATCACCTGCGTCGTACCCTTCTGATCCTCCTGCGAAATGAACGACTGCGCCACCTGCAGCTTCTTCACCTCATCATTCGGGTCATCCGTCTGCGCAATCACAGGCCGCGGTGGGTGGAAGTCCTGCAGTCGGCCTCCAACGTGCCTTGCCACCGCGATCGAGTACAACACGTCCCGGTTCTCCAGCATGCCCAGACTAGCGCGCATGGCAGCCAAGGACTCATTCACTTCCCGAGCTGCGTGTGGGTCCGCGGTGTCATCGCGAGCGGAGGTGAAGCGGCCGAGCAGATGCCAGAAGTGCTGTTCATTGTACTTGCGGTGATCTTGTTGGTGGTCTTGCGAGGGCGCCTGCGGAATGCGCGAAGGTGGCAAGAACTGGCCTGTTAGCAGATTCTCGAGAGTGTCTATCCGGGCGATGACTTGTGATGCAAGCGGATCATTTGTGGCACCGTTCGCTTCGTGACGTAAGGGCGAGCGAGGCATGGCCGCAAGCTGCCACACCAGCCGCGCTTCCAGTGATTGCAATTGCTGGATGGCGGTGAAGTCTTCAGGTCTGGGCCTCATCCGCTCTACGACTTGCATGGTGTAGTCCAGCAGAGGCCGATCTTGTTGCAAGTGGTGTGGTCCTCGTTCACTGTACCAATTAGTCTCAAACAGTTTGTCGAGGCCTGGCGCAAAGTGCAATCTATAGAAGTCCTCGGCCTCGTGTTGTAAAGCTTCTGAGTTGACAGGCGGTGCTTCTCGTGGATGGAATCGAGGCGGTACATCATTTATGCTGAACAGATGGTCTATCGAGACGCGTCTCACTGCACGATGGTTGGTGAGTGCCCTTGCGGAATGGTTTTGATCAAACGTACCCCTTCGTTCAGGCTGCAGAGCGGAGTTGAAGTTGTTCATGGTGGATGGCGGTTCGCCACCGCCTAAAGCCGGATCAACGTATCCAGCTTGACCTTGCATGTTTCGTGGTGAGGTACTGCCCGTGGAAAAGGCGCTTTCGGTGGCAGAGTAGGGATGGGAGGGTCGATACGCTGAAGGTGGTACAGCGCTGTCCTGCGGTGATTGTTCGACCTTCAAATTAGGATGCGCAGAGGGAGCGGGTTGGATATGAGTCGGACCGGGCTGTGGTTTGAAGATGGGGTCGTAGCCCATACACTCGCGTTTACTCTTTTGGCAGTTGCGACACGTGGGATGGTGTTCATCGCACTGCGACGCGTGTTAGCGTTTTGTCGCTGCGAGCTGGAGAAAATAAAGCCTCGCTTGCTTCCTAGGCGTGGCCCGCTCTAAGCGACACGCTTGCTTGACTCTATTGCTTCAACTCACCTTGATGCGCCGCTTTCTACAGGTCAGACATCCCGTTTTTGTTCCTGCATATTGTCAGCGGCCGTCGCATTGCCGCGTTATATATATTCAAAACTATACGCACTCCTCTTGATGTCCTTCTTCGGTCGCGGATTGGGCCCCACCATCATCTGCGGCGGCAGAGCGTATCGCGGCAGCGCTCCTCCATTTTGTCCGTTCACGCCAACGTTCGAGGGCATCGTGGGCGGCATGCCGTTCGCATAGTGGTATTGCGGCGCGTGGTAGGTCGGAGGAGGGTGGTGATGGTGCGCAGGCGGAGGAGGGGGTTGCTGCATCTGCCCGTTCATTGCGACCGTCGCGTACTGCGGCTGCGCTGTCTGCATCATCTGGCCGTTGAAGTCGCCGATAGGAGGCAGCAGCGGCGTGTGCGACGTCGACGTCGGCTGCTTGTGCTCGTGGTCCTGCTGCGGAGAGGCGCGATAGTGCTCGGGCGGGACGTGGTGGGGGTGGAAGTACTGCATGCTTGGTGAATGGCAGGACTCAGGCTGCTCGTCCAGCTGCGCGCCCGCCTTGTCCAGCGTCGAGGGAGGCATTAGGGCACGCACCCGGCACGGCAGCTCACCTCACGCTGCGTCAAGCATTAGCGTGCTCGTCGCTTGACAGGCAGCGTCCGGGGCGTCTAATTTGGCAAAACACGAAATAATCCCTCGAATCGCGGCTGGTAGCGACTGGGAGGCCTGTTCGCTTAGGAGGAGTAGAGAGCACCCCGGCTCGACAGGGTCCAGCCAGCTCGTGCACATTCACCTCGTCTTGTCTTTCCTCTTCGTCTGCACAACCACTCTCAACGATTCACGCGCACAACAATCGATCTTGCTCGAAAGTCCAGATGTCGTGGATGCTTTTCGTCGGACTCTACAGCAAGAATGAAAGGACGGTACGGCAAAAGAGAGAAACAACGCCACGCGAACCCCCCTGTCGGGAAGGTGTCGGGGCAGGCAGGAGCCGTTCCGGCTGACAGCCGACCGTTGCTTTCTCCACGCTGCTGAACAACCTGGTACCATGTAGCGCATCGCTGTGCCTCACGAGAGATTGTGGCAGCTGAACTGGAGAAGATGGCTACTACATACAAGTTCGGAAGCAGATCTCCAGCATATCTCATGCAGATAGCTTGTAATCACCTCAAGTACGACGTGGGCGGTAGGATTATGGGGAAGACCGAAGGGGTCCCAAACACAAAAGATAGATCACCAGACGATCTCGTTGGGACGAAGAAAGTACACAGTCGGGATCGACATTGACAGAGTAGCGTTCGTTCGTAACTCTCATAGGTGCCGTACGCCCAACACCCATAAGCATCATCCCTCCCGCACCATGGTATCTCGCCATCGAAATCATCCAAGCATATACATATGTACGCCCCCCAACAAATCAGTCATTCAATCCACTACCGCCTCTGCCGCTCCTGCAGGATATTCTCATTATGCTCCACCCCCGTCTCCCACGCGCCCCCAAACTGCATATTCTCCATGATCGAGTTCCACTCCGCGTCGCTCATATTCAACATATCGCCCATCCCGCTCGCGCCCGGGGTGAAACCAGTCGGTCCGGGGGTCATGCCGGTATTACCAGGCGTGAGTCCTGTTCCACCACTGCCGGAGCCCCAGTTGGAAGGGAGGACGAAGCCGCTCTGGTCGGTGGAGGTGGGGAAGCTGTTCATGTCGTTGCCGGGATTGGAGGCGGAGAAGGCGTTCATGTCGAAGTCGGTGTAGGCGTCCATGTTGTTGCCTAGCATAGAAGTGAGACGGGCGGGGTCGGTTTGGGACTGCATTTTGGCGGTGGGGATTTGGTCGGGTTGCCAGAGAGGGAGAGTTTTGGGTGAGTAGCCATGAGTAGAAGCGTGGCCGGAGGATGTTTGATGTGTGCTGGAGTTGGGTGTGAGGTGGTCGGCGTCGGGGCTGATGTCCATTGCTGGGTCGTAAGATTGTGGACTTCGCTGAATGCCAGAGCTTTGGTTCGAGGAGCCAGGTGATTGATGGCCGGCGGGTCGGTTGGGCAGGTCGAATGTGCCGCCCATGGCCATAAAGTCGAGACTCTCTTCTGTCATTTCGGTGTTGTCGGTGTTGAAGTTGAAGGTTGGCTGCACAGCAGATGTCGAGTTCAGGTTTGGGTTGCCACTCGGGTCGTTGTAGGCAGCCAGACCCATGTCGCCGTAGTTGGGTCGATGGTCGAGATGGATCTGTTGCATTGGACAGGCCTCTGAGCGATTAGGCCCCATGGGTGAGGTGTTGTTCTGCTGCACCCGCAGCGAGCTGGTGTCTTCAATCCCAGCAGCTTCAAGATCGACGTCTAGTTGCACGAGGAAAGATTCTGTAAGCGGATTTCTTCGCTTAATGGCCTGCATCGCCTGTAGCAAGAATTGCAGGGATGATCGGATCTGAGTGTCCTTCGGCCGTGACTTCAGGTACTGTACAAAGACTCGCGCTGACACGTAGAGGCAGAAGGATATGAACGGATTCATCTAAAGCCATGTTAGTATGTACAATTACCCGAAGCATCGAGAGGAACTTACAGCAGACAAATCCAAATGGCAAATCTGCCTCATAATACTCGCAATCTCCGCCGCCGCCGTGATACACCTCACCTTACTCTCCGCCGAAATCCTCGAAGACATGCGATTCTTATCTGCCTTGAAGATCGCCGCCTGGTGCAGACATATCGTCGATGTGTGTATGCACATGTTCAAGAACACAGTATTCGGATCGTTCAGCCCTGAAGGTAATCGTAGCGTCACCGGAAGCGCCAAAGCGGTGTTCAGCAGGATGTTGTCGAGCATGCGATGCCGCTTCCAGAACTCGCCGTTCAGATCGTCGTCCGCGTCGTCTGGTTCAGGGCGGTGAAGATGTGTGAGATTGCGTCCGAAGAGACATGCCATCAATATCACGCCGGAGAAGCCAGTCAGTTTCGTGGCGCCTTCCGGACTCAAAGCTTCCTGGAGTGTCGGCGTCTTCTGCGATTTATTAAGCTCATACGCCTCCTCGCTCGAAGGCATCGTGCTCATGACATCCTTCTCCTCAATCGTCATCGGCCAACCCGTCCCGATACTCGAATACCGATCCACACAAAACGCAGCCCAGAACGTCCTTCTCCGCTCCTCGCGCTCCGTCCAATCTCGCGGCGGCGGCAGACATTGCTTCACGTCCAACCCAGCTCCATCCAGCCGATGCAACCCCATCATCTGCGTCATACGACACGCCCTCCCCGCCGACATCCACGCGCGCGGGAAGTACATCAACTTAAACTCGTACGTCGCAATCAGCGTCCACGTCTGACAATGCGCGATCGTGATCATGCTCTCGCCGTGCCCTTTCATCTCGTCCTGCTGGATGTACTTCCGCGCTCGCTGGTAGAAGTGCTCTTGCAGATTCTCGTACTTATCCGACACTGCGGCCGCGTTCGCCCACATGGCGTATCGCAAGCATACCGGCGGCCGCATGTGAGGCGCCAGGTTCATCGCAGCGTGGTATCGTGGTCGGTGGATCATGGGTTGCGACGGGTGCACTTTCTCAAAGTATGTTGCGTCCAGGTCGTTGACGACGTCCTGCGTTGGTAAGGGCTCGTCCAGTCCTAGGCCTATCATCTCCCATGGGAAGTGCTCTTCACCGGGCGCAGCGTCCCCAGCACCAGGAACCGCGCATTGCGACGTCGCCATGCTCTCTCCCAGATTGAACACTGGCTCCGCCTGCGTGCTGTTCCCCTGCTGCTGAAACCGCACCCCCTTCCCACCGCCCCAATTCTTCGGCTGCGGCATAGGCGGCACCTCATCCTGTCCCTTCAACAGCGTCTCCACCTGCGCCAGCCTCGCTTCCAGCGCCTTCACATACCCCCTCTTCGGCCCACTCTTCCTCCTAACCTCATCATACGAACATTCATGCTGCAGCCGCGCACAAGTCCCACATGAAGGCTTGCCCCCATCGCACTTCAGCTTCCTCTTGCGACACAGCACACACGCGATCCTCTTTGGCTTCGGCACCTGCCCATTCGTCGTAGCTTCGTCGCCAGCAGGACCTTCGCCCTCCTTCGAAGGTTGCTGCGAGAGGTCGTTGAAGTAGGAGGACTCCTCGGGGGAGTTGTCTTGCGATTCGTTGGACATCGCGGCTAATCCAGCAGAAGTTCAGGAATAGGAAGAGTGTTCAGCAGCGGAGAGAGAGATGCACCGCACCGAACACGCCTCACATCAATCGGCGTACGTATTCGCAGAGCTACCTGAAGGATCGCATTCGCGACTCAATCAGGTGGAGTGTGGACACGGCAGGGGTGGTGGGGGCCAGACCCACGCTCTGTCGACTTTGTTATCAGCGGAGTGACGGTTGCTCTTCTCTCGACGGCTTCTGCGATGTTGAAAGTGTAGAGATGACAAAGCTACGAATCCTTCGGTAGGCCACCCAGCCGTCAAGTCCCTGTAGTCTGCTTGAAGTCTACGCATGATAATGCAGAAGCCAGCTGGTTCACTGAGTTGATCTGCGGCTGAGGCTCCCACCTACCACGTGTGGTGTGAAGACGGCACGGGCGAAATTCTGCTGACCGACGTGCCGCTCTCCGCTGAGTCAGTACGTGTACCACGTATTGGGTCTCGAAGAGGCCTTGGTTGCGATCGAACTGAAGACCGGAAGACGATATATTGAATGACACTTTGATTTCATGCTACACGCCCCTCAGCCTTGCTATCCTACCCAATCTCTGTACGCCAAACTCGCAACAGCGCCGCGCATAACAAGAACAACCTCCAGCCCCTTCAAAGGCAAAGCAAGCCCCCAGAAGCCGTGTGCTCAACCTCGCAGCTCGATGCGCCGTAGCCCATGCAGAGGACAGATGTAACAAAAACAAGCAATATCAAAGTACCTCTTTCCTGACCCATGCCCATCTTCGTCGCTAGATGGCAGGGTAAGGTAAAGTAAAGCAACCTTTAGTCTTGGGTGTGTTTAGTCGACGATGAGCAAAGCTCCGTCGACGGCTTCGATGGTCGTGAAAGCCTGGGACGCCCTAACGCCTTGTGATGCAGTGATGAACAGTCTATGAGCGAGGCGTCGCCTTCGCGCTGCTGGTGTTGACAGGCGCGTTGTCGAGGTAGGTCGGCGCCCACTTCTTGGCCCACTGGCGGAGGACGATGGATGCTGGGCGGTGTTAGCATCTGCACGAATCATTGAGAGATGGAGTGGACTTACCCTTCAGGAACTTCTTGCTAGCATACTTTTTGAAGAATGCCTCGTGCAGGACTGGACCTGACAGATACTCAACCATGAGCTTGAACACCGGCTGGATCTGCTGCTCGGTGTAGCCCGCGTACTTGGACAGCGTGGAGTCCCATTCGCCGCGGTCCATCGCCAGACGCGCCAGGTACATAGCCGAGGCGGCGACGAGCGAAGGAGGATGCTTGATGAAGCGGTGGTCGAGGCAGCCGATCTCGAGCAGGTACTTGCCGAGCGTGCGGGTCTGGATGTCGTAGTTGTCGGCCTTGGAGATGCGACGGAGGAAGTTCATGGGGTTCGGGTAGGAGAGGTCGTAGTCGAGAGCGGCGAGGACGAAGCGCTCGGCGGATAGTATCTCAGCCTCTGTGAAGCCGTCGTCGGCCACGTGGACGAAGTTCTGAACGTGAGGGGAGAGGACCTCTTCGTACTTGGAGGCGATGAACATGGCGGTGACACCGACAAGCTGAAGACGGTCGAGCTGCACGACTTTGCTGGAGAGGAAGCGGTCGATGATGTTGACGGCGAGGAAGAGGGTTTCGGGGAGGAGGCGGAAGCGCGTGTGGACTTCGAGCAGCCAGTCGACGAGGATGCCGCGCATCTTCCACTCCAGCTCGGTCTGGTTGTCCATGTAGTCGGGATTGGGTTGGGTCGAGATCTCCAGCTCCTGCATGTACTCGAAGATCTCGTGGACGTATTCAGCCACCATGAGCGGGTCGTCGAGGTCCTCTTCGTCCAGGTCCTTCGCATCCTTGACAACCTCCTCCCACGATGGTCCAGCATCATCGTCAAACACCTCTTCGATCGACGGTCTCGACTTCGTCTTGGACTTCTGTTCGGTCTTGAAGCTGCCATTCGATCCGTTCTTCGGTGGTGGGACATTCTCGGATGCTTCATCATCGTCCAGCTTGGAGGGCTTCGACGCCGACGTGTTCCTCTTCTTCGTGATGTGGCCGCCGACACCAGACCCGCTCGCAGGCCTCTTCAGCTCGGATGATGTCGCGTTGGCCGCCTTGGAACCGAGAACGGTACGTGTGGAGTTGGTCCGCGCTGGTGGTTGCTGCTTCTGGATGCCGGCTGGCTTGGATGCTTTCAGTAGCGATCCATTCTTGCCCATCGTATCCTTCTTGCCATCGCCGTTCTCAGTTGGTTCCTTCTTCGCGACGTTGCTGACGTCTCCCAACGCGGTCCTCTTCTTGGCTCCGAGAGTGCCGTTCGCGGGAGCTGTGGTCGTGCGCTTGGCACCCAGCGCCTTCTTAGGTGGATCGCCGGCGACGACAGTATCGAGTGCGGCTGCTTTGGCACGCGTCAGGCGCGTAGTGCCCACGTTCTCTGCGTTTTCGTCCGTTACGGCACGTCGGGGTGCTCTTGTCTGAGATGGGATGTCAGCTCGGTGAAGCACTCATTACGCGATAGAATGGCGTGTTTGCCACCACCAGCGGGCTTCAGACACGTACTGGAGGCATGGTAGTTGATGTGGTAGAGGTGTCGTGGTTGTATTAGAGGTTGTGTCGTGAGGAGGTCGAGATATGAGTAGTGAAGTAGTGAGCTGCAGTAGGGAAGTCAGCACTGTTTATGAGCGGCACGCGTCCTCTGAACCGGGTGCAATTCACCCACTTGCTTCGTGTCCGATGAGTACAGGTGGTCAGCTACGTGATGGAGACCTGCTCGTGGTCGTAAATTGTCGTGAAGCGTGTATGAGGCTGCAGACCAGCATTAACATGCAGCAGGCTGATATGGGACGGTGGAAGAGATGCGTGGCGAAGGATGAACCTCGTGTCCAAGCAGCAGCAATGCGAAGTCGCAAGAGTGCTTGGAGATGCTGCTGATGAGGCGGTGGGGGTTGGGGGAATGGGTGGGAGTGGTGAAGAGGTGCAATGTTGTCGACACGCCTTGCACGCTAGCGACTGTTTTGATCGGTGGAGCAAAGCGCGAACCTGGAAGAGCCAGCGCGGCTGCTTGGGCGACGGTGGCTTGGCTGATCCTGCACGTGATGTTCAAGACGTACTCGAGTCTCCTCAAGCGGTGGTCATGTCGCTGTTCGTCGAGAGTGATCGAAAGTCTTTGAATTGTATGTACATGTATCTTTTGAGAGCAATGGCGAAGAAAGAAAGCTTCGAGTCTCCCGTTGTTGCCAGGGCGTCTCACGAGGTCCACGCGCATCTCGTGACCATCAGTATCTGATGCCTGAGGCACCTTCAAACTTCAAGCGTCCTCACTGTTCTCTTTCGAAGCAATGCAATAGAACGAGCATCACAACTTCGTTCACTGGTCGTCCCGCACGCTTTTAGTGCTTGAGAGACTCGCCAGAGTCCCAGGCGCACCCTCACAACGATGCTACAACCCCGGATACGGCCCATCTGCACCCAATGCCGCCATCTCCTATCCTCCGTCCGCAGCTATGCCACTCCAGCAGAAGACCGCGTGCACGCTTCCACCTCAGTACCAGAGACCACCGCCTTCACTCCCTCATCAGCGCCCATGCGCAGAGATGGCGGCGCTTTACAGATGAAGACCTACAAGCCTCGAACTCCTGGTGTCCGACATTTGAGACGACCCATCAATGACCATCTCTGGAAAGGCGGACCACACAAACCATTGACTTTCCCGAAAATCGGGCATGGCAAGGGTGGTCGCAACAACAGTGGCAGGGTCACAGTCCGGCATCGTGGTGGAGGTGCGAGAAGAAGGATTCGGACTGTCGACTTTGAGCGCAAGGAGCCAGGCAAGCACCTGGTTGAGCGCATTGAATACGACCCCAATCGATCAGCGCATCTAGCACTTGTAGAGCACGTCAAGACGAAGAAGAAGAGCTACATCATCGCCGCTGAGGGGATGCGCGCAGGAGATGCAGTGGAAAGCTATCGCTCAGGCATCCCAAGCGAGTTGATCAAGAGCATGGGTGGCGTGGTTGATCCGGGTATGCTTGCTGCAAAGACCGCATTCCGCGGAAACTGTCTACCGGTGCACATGGTGCCGCTTGGAACGCAGGTGTACTGTGTCGGCTCCAACCCAGCCAAAGGCGCTGTCTTCTGCCGGAGCGCGGGAACATACGCCACCGTGATGGCGAAGGAAGAGCACAAAGGCAAGGTCCAGAGTGTTACAGTCCGCATGCAGAGCGGTGAAGTACGGAAGGTGGCGAAGGATGCGTGTGCGACGATTGGAGTGGCGAGCAATCCGCATTGGCAGTTCAGACAGCTAGGCAAGGCTGGACGGAGCAGATGGCTGAACATCCGGCCGACAGTGAGAGGCCTGGCCATGAATGCGAGCGATCACGCTCATGGTGGTGGAAGGGGTAAGAGTAAGGGTAATGTGCATCCTGTGTCGATTTGGGGCACGCCGGTGAGTTTGATCTTCGATCGCTTTAAGAAGGTACAGCAGCTGACTCTATACGACAGGCCAAAGGTGGTTTCAAGACGAGGAAGAAGCGCAACATCAACAAGTTCGTCGTCCAGCCTCGAGTACGGAACCAGGGGAAACGGCGGGCGAAGAAGTAAGCTCTTCAATCTACAACTGGTGTTGCTTTATCGGGTTCGATGCATAGCGCCGGGGCATGTGCTGGGATCGTTACATACCTAGATCCTGTACGGCTAGATACAATCTCTGTATACAGTGTACAATACCAACACATTCACCTTCACATCTCTTTAATCCCGCAATCTCCGACCCAAAAATCGCCTCGGTCCAGAAGCACGTCACGTCAACCATTCCATCTTACATTGAATCCATTGTCCACCACCATCACCCCTCCTTCTACTACCGCTCCAATGTCTCTCCAAGACCACTACCCAATCTCCTGCCCCTTCTGCACAATCTCCACCTCCTACCCTGCCTCGCACTCTCCCATCCCCAACTCCCCCGACCCCGAACGCATAAGCCCGCAATGCCACCTCCTCCTCAGCACCCCCCACGTCCTCGCCTTCCTCGACATCCTGCCCATAGCGCCCGGACACATCCTCCTCACCACACGAAACCACTACGAGAAACTCGCAGACCTGCACACACCATCTGAGCAGAGCAAAGAGGGTAGCGGAGAGGGGGGCAAGGAAGAGGGGAAAGAGACAGCAAGGCAGCTGGGCGAGTGGTTACCGATCGTGTCGGCGGCGCTGGTGCGGGCGACGGGGATCGAGGATTGGAACGTCGTGCAGAATAATGGGGTGCGGGCGGCGCAGGTGGTGCCGCATGTGCATTTTCATTTGATTCCGCGGTATCAGTGAGTATACATACATCATTTCGAATAGCAGTGCTTCTTCGATATGTTTTCATTGACCGTAGCTGATGGTACTGACTCTGCACGACAGGGAGGGCAGGAAAGAAGTCGCAAACAAAGGCAATGTCGATGTAGGCATGCTGAAAAGCTGGCGGATGTTCGGACGTGGAGCGAGAGAGGAGTTGGACGACGACGAAGGGGTAGACTTGGCAAGAGTGCTGAGGGAGAGTTTGCGGACAGTCATAGGCGAAGAAACGAGAGAAGGGGGGAAAAGCAGGCTTTGAGTGAATATCATTAACAGCGATGTGAGCGTATGGTACTGCTCCTCAGGGTGCGTATGGTGCTGCTCCTCACGGTGCGCACAGCGTTCTGGCTGCGGTGGAGAGCAGGCAGCGCTCTTCGGCATACACTCGCCCAATACAAATACCATCTCCGACGAACAAACACACCAGCCCCTAATAAAGCGGGCGGGCCCCCCTCGGCAGCTGCTGCACGGGCGCGGGGGCGCCGTGGATCGGCTGCGGTACCGGATACCGCCTCTCTGGCGACGTGAGGTCGATGTAGTGAACACCCGGTCGCGGTGGCCCCGGCCAACGCAGCTGCGGCCCAGAGAATGCGACGCCGCCACGCCGGTCCTCGATCGACGGAACCGCGTTCGGATACGGCTCGTTCGCTGTGACGGCAACGTAACGAGTAGCCTGCTGGGGAGGCTGCGGCGGCGGTGTTTGAATCTGGAATTGTCAGCTGAGAGCATAGAGCCAGTTTTGCAGATTAATCGCGTACGCGTCTGATCAAACGTCCTCCTGGATCTATCCACTGTGGAGCAGGCCGCGCCGGGCCGAATTGGTGAAGGTGATTGACGTGTGGTGGTTGAGCTGGGTGTGGCGGGGGCGGCGCTGTGTATCGCGGATATGCATGTGCGACGGGCGTGTTGATGACGGCTTCGTCATCGTCGTCGGGAATGATAATGGTCTCTGCATGGATCTTGTCCTCCTCGTCCTCGTCCTCGTCCTCCTCATCGTCATCGTCGGGAATGACAAAGACCTCGCGTTTGCACCATTCGAGCTCTGAATCGTCGTCCTGTGCGTTCTCACCTTGCCACTCCTTGATTATTTTGACGCTGTACGGCTCGACCTCTCGACGGGCGCGTTCCCACCCAAATGCCCGCAGCAAATAATCGTAGTCGGTATGCTGGTGACGGATGTGTGAGAGCACTGCCAGCTGGACTCTGCGCGTCATTGAGACGTCCTTCGATGTACCCACTCTCCCCGTGCCTGCTTCCCACGCTCGATTGATTACCTTTTCGATCTCTGCCTCTGGCATCTTTGGAAACATCTCTCGCATCATCGCGGTAATACGGTCGAGCTCGCCGGGAGGATTGTCTGCCATACGTATGCCGTGAGTAGCCATGACTCTGGACAGGGGAGTACGGTTGTTTCGCGCAGCGATCTCAGATTCGCGCTCAAAACATCCATTGTGATAGAGATAGCCGAGCTGTTCACATGCCTGTAGTACGATCTCCGCCTTGAAGTGATGGCCGATGCGGTGGACTTGGGATGATACTCTATCTTCCTGGGCAGCGTATGCGTGCCTATGGTTGGACTGCGGAAGGTGTCAGAAGTCAACAGTAACCACAACGCAAGGTGCCGTGCGGCGGATCTGGGATGGATGGTTCTTAGAACAGACCTGGACTTTGTAAGCGGTGGCGCTCTCCTTCATGGAAATCTCTGTGCAGCGGTCCGTCAAGGGGCCTGACCCAAAGGGCACGAAGATGAAGCCTTGGGGCGGCGTTCGCGTGAATGTATTCTGAGGGCGACGAGATGCTGTTAGTACGCTTACAGTCTTTTGTGGTTGAGCGGGCCGAGACAAACACTGAGCTGGAACTTCTTCTTTGGTGCAAGGACCATCGTCGTCTCAACCTTCAATCCATGATTGTCGCGCCTCTTCAGAATGTTCCTCGCCCCCTGTCCAGGGCGAGCGCTGCCCGCTCTGGAGTGAGACGTGTTGTGCCGTGCGTTCGTCATGCTTTTTGTTGTGCGAAAAGCGAGTAGAAAGGAGCACTCAAGTAACAGTGTAAGGAAAGCGACACCATGCGCCAAACACCCTGCGTTAGCTATGCAGACAGTAAGGAGACTATCACTCAAAACAATGCATGCAATGCTCAACACAGCTCAGGTAACGGCTGGGATGGCTTCCGTGACTCTGGGTTGCGACGAAACTCCTGGTCCTGTAGAAGTCCGCGTGCGTGTTGCTCCGGGATGGAGTGTCCAGAGGGCTTGGTGAATGCGTACAAACGCCCAGCAGCGCGCTTGCGTGTCCGGATCCTTTGTACCAGAAATTGGCAGGTGTTGCCTATGTACCCTCCGCTGGTGGCGATGTGTGTCAGAAGAGCGAGACCTGCGCTGAGACTACAGCAGGCCCTTCACAGGGCTCACGTATACTTTGTTTGTGATTTCACGTCAAGCGTGCGATGGAACTCTCTCGACAATCGCTGGCCAAGTCAACGTTGACATGAAGGGAGCAGACTCTGCGAAATGGAATGAGAGTTCCAAGCCAGGTGTCGACGCGACGGAAGCGGGAGCGCTAGCGGCTCATGGCCAATGAACGATTTCGAGCTCTTGGCACACCGCACTTGATCGAAAGCTCGACAAGACTCAGGTAAAGACACCACAACACCACCTTCTGGTCAGTACCTCGAAAGCCGCGAGATCACCTAGTGGCCACACACTAACGCAGAGACTGTTCAGCTGCCCAAGATGCCTTCCCCACCGCAGGAGAAGCAGCAGACGAAGAAGTTCCAGAAGGGCGAGAGGACGGTTCCATCCTCCACGGACAAGGCGCTGAAGTACTACCCGGCAGAGGACGAGGCGGTACCCAGGAAGGTGAGTTATCTCGGCGTCGACGCGCTGGAGCAGGCATCGCGACACCAGATATGAGCAAAGCATTGACACCTTCACCAGACCCGCAAAACGCAACGCCCGTACAAGCCCCGCGCCTCCCTCACACCCGGCAAGGTCCTCATCCTCCTCGCTGGACGCTTCCGCGGCAAGCGCGTGGTCCTGCTCAAAGTCCTCGAGCAAGGCGTGCTTCTCGTTACCGGTCCCTTTAAGATCAACGGTGTGCCTCTCCGCCGTGTCAACGCCCGCTATGTGATCGCCACCAAGACCAGCGTCTCCGTGGACGGCCTCGACTCCTCAACCATCGACAAGGTTAGCAAGCCAGAGTACTTTGCGCGGGACAAGAAGGCGGACAAGAAGGGCAGCGAGGAGGCTTTCTTCAACCAGGGCAAGGCTGAGAAGAAGGAGGTTTCCAGCCAGCGGGCGAACGACCAGAAGTCGGTCGACAAGGCGTTGATTGCGAGCATCAAGAAGGAGCAGATGCTGTCCTCCTACCTGTCTAGCACCTTCAGCCTGAGGAAGGGCGACCGGCCACACGCGATGGTGTTCTAGATCAGAAGCCGTCTATGTTGAGGAAGACCTTCGCCAGGGAGTGCTGTGGAGAGACGTGGCGCTTACGGGCTCAGTACTCGGTGCATGATGTTGCTGTGGTGGTAGGCAACCAAATCAAATGAAACCCTGTCAAACATCACAACACTCGCACCAATCTTCAACTCTTGAGTCATCAATACAAGGTGAATCGTGGTATTTTATACAGTGCTCAAGGCTGAGTGTAGTGTACAAACGCCTGCTATGAGCGCGAAGATTCCGGAACGCCCTGCAATGCCGCTGATGCTAATACTATACAACGATCATTGAGCTCAAATGCAATTCATGCATCGTCCGTTAAGGCTCCAGCACTTGCAGGTGCTCCCCATCCGCACTCACAACAACCTTTGCAGAATCGCCGCTCTTGACCACCCCACGAATGATCTTGTCCGCAAGCCCATTGCCCACCTCCTTTGCAATCAGCCGATTGAGCGGCCGCGCACCATATCTTGGATCATAGCCCTTCTCGCAGAGCCATGCCTTAACATCGTCACCTACATCAAGCACGATCCTTCGGTCATCAAGTCGAGCTTGCAGCTCCTTGAGCCGGATGTCGACGATATCTCGCAGCGAGTCTCTCGACAGCCGCTTGAATATGATGAACTCGTCCAGCCGGTTCAGGAACTCAGGTGGATAGGAAGTCTGCACGACGTCCATGACGTGCATCTTCACGTCCGCACTGATCTCGCTGCCGGTGCTTTCGTCCGCAACCAGGAATTCCGCGCCTAAGTTGGAGGTAAGGACGATCATGGTGTTGCGGAAGTCGACTTTGTGGCCTTGAGCATCGGTCAAGAAGCCTTCGTCCAAGACCTGTAACAGCAGAGTGCTAATGTCGCGGTGTGCTTTCTCGAACTCGTCGAAGAGCAGGACAGCGTAAGGCTTTCGTCGAACAGCTTCGGTGAGCTGGCCTGCGTCTTCGTAGCCAACGTAGCCGGCTGGCGAGCCGATGAGACGCGAGACCGTGTGCTTCTCCTGAAACTCTGACATGTCGTACCGCAAAACTGCTGTTTCGGTCGAGAAGAGGAAGCTGGCTAGCTTCTTGCAGAGTTCCGTCTTACCGACACCAGTAGGGCCGAGGAACATGAAGGAGGCCAGAGGTCGGTTCTCACCACTAAGACCGGCTCGTTGCTGGCGGACAGCGTTGGCGACTGTGGTAAGGGCTTCGTCCTGTCCGCGGACGCTTTGCCGTAGCGAGTCCTCCATGTTCACGAGCTTCTCGACTTCGCCGGCCATGAGCTTCGTTACCGGGATTCCGGTGCTCTTGCTGACGACCGAGGCAATGTCGTCTGCAGTCACGGAGTCATGGATGAGCGCGTCGGACGATGACTTCATTGAGGAAGTGCTTTCACCTCCCTCTTCTTGCGGCAGCTGCTTCTGAAGCTCTGGTATCTTAGCATACCGCAGCTCAGATGCTTTCGCAAAGTTGCCTTCTCGCTGGGCTTGTTCAAGCTCCACCCGAGCAGTCTCTAACTGCTCCTTGGTGGTCTTGATGTCAGAGATCTCCGCTCGTTCCTTCTCCCACTTCTCAGTCAACAGGCCAGCTTCGTCTTGCTTGAGGACGAGAGACTTCTCCAGCTGCTCCCTTCGTTCTTTGCTTGCGATATCCGTCTCTTTCCGCAAGCTCTCAAGCTCGATTTGAATAGTCATAATTTGCCGATCCAGCTCCTGAATAGCATCAGGTTTGCTCTCCTGCTGGAGACGCAATGCGCTGGCTGCTTCATCCACCAGGTCGATTGCTTTGTCGGGCAGGAAGCGATCCGTGATGTATCGATTACTGTACGCAGCAGCAGCTACCAGAGCCCCATCCGTGATCCGTACTCCGTGGTGCACCTCGTACCGGTCCTTGATACCTCGCAATATCGAGACAGTGTCTTGGACCGACGGCTCACCAACCTGAATGGGCTGGAAGCGTCGAGCCAGCGCAACATCCTTCTCGATCTGTCGGTACTCGTTGAGAGTAGTCGCGCCACAGCACTGCAATTCTCCTCTAGACAAAGCAGGCTTGAGAAGATTGCTCGCATCGATGCTGCCTTCGGCCTTGCCCAATCCTAGTAGAGTGTGCAGCTCATCGACGAACAGAATGACACCCCCCTGTGCATCTTCAACCTCTTTCAACACGCTTTTTAACCGCTCCTCGAAGTCACCTCGGAACTTGGCTCCCGCAATCAATGACCCCAGATCCAACGATACCACTCGCTTCTCTTTGATGCTCTCCGGTACATCACCCTTGACGATCCGTTGCGCCAACCCTTCGAGTATTGCTGTCTTGCCAGTTCCTGCTGCTCCAATCAAGACTGGGTTGTTTTTCGTTCTCCTCGACAGAATCTGGATTGTGCGATGGATCTCTCCGTCTCGACCTATGACTGGATCAAGCTTTCCGTCTCTTGCGCGCGCTGTTAGGTCGATGCCGTATTGCTCAAGTGCTGGCTTCTCTTCGCCACCACCAAGGTTCATTCGATGAGTGCCTCCAGGTGGATGAGGCCCCCTTCCATTGGCATAGCCTCGACATTGAATCGATGCTATTGGCGGTAGTCTCGGTACACTCGCTGGTCGTTTCGATCGTGTTGCGACGGGGGCAGCGAGTCGATTGTGCGGCCGGGGAAGAGGGTATCGAACGTTTGCAATGCGCCGGGCAGCGCTGCGTTCGAAGGATGTGATCATGGAGTTTATTGGTTCGCGTCCTGGTCGACAGTAGTGTTCCTCAGCTATTGCTTCGTCCCGAAGGATGGAGAGTCATGATATGCATACGGAGACGTCTTCATTGGCCTTCTGGCTGTTTCTCGAACATGTGATAGCCGAAACCGGAAGTTAGCCCGCCGCTAGCGTCGACATTCTCAGAACTTCTCTTGCTCGTGACTCGGAGAAACATGGAGTTCACATGCAAGATCAGTGGCCACATTTGCGCAGTATTGACAGTAGATACGTTCGATCTCTTCCCAACGTCACACTCACATCAAGCTCCTCACTACTCTATCGAGGACGACCGTGTCGATTGGTCGAGCAGGTTCATCCCATCACTCCTTCACATCAAGACAACATCCTCCCACTCTGGCTTCGCCAGCCACTACGCAGCAACATGCACAACACCAATACCAACTCTCTCAACAAGGTGTGGTACACTGAGGCTTCTTCCAATCATCAAAACGTTGTACATTGGGAACTCTATGTGCGTACTATATCTCCGTTGATCGAAGTGATCATCAACTTCGTCCAAGCCTTTCTGATGCGGGAACAACATCTCGCCGACATCGACGTGGGCGTCGGCCTCCCAGAAGGTTTGGAGGGTGGAAGCTTCGACGTCGTCTTCGTCCCGTCCCCAGTGGATGTGAGAGTCATACTCATGGCCGCGTCTGCGGGATAAACAGAGCATCTCTGCGAAATAGAATCCCGCGGACTCATCTTTCGGTGGATGTAGCCGGCAGCGAAGCCCTTGGTGTCCAGCACGCTTACACGCTCTGGCTTGCCATATTGGCTGAAACCTGGAGGAATCCAATCTCCAAGCCGCATCCGCGCAATTATGCCTCTAAGGAGGAGCTCTCGTGAACCAGGCGCGAGGAATTGGAAAGAAGGTCTCTGCGATCTCGGCAAAGTGCGATGAACAAACCAGAGATCGGCGCTTTCTTCTTTGTACCGCACTGGCATCTCATACTGAAACCTCTCCCGACGTCTTGTGACTACCCAGTCATCCTCGGGTTGTTCGCCACGACCTTGCCTATACTCGTGAGTCGTGAAGAGCTCGTCCGATAGAGCATCTCGCCATTGCACCCGCGAGACATCGTCGAGCAGATGATCAGACCACCAGCGGTATTTCACCGTGCCTGACCAGCCCATCGAGCTCCAGCTGGGAAAAGCCGAACGCCTGCGTGAACCAGGTGATTGCAAGAAAAGCATGGCGAGATCGAGCTCCAGAGTTGGCAGGCCGAAAATGAAGGGGCAATCGAGGACCGGCTGCAAAAGCCGCTGTATACCGGTGAATGCCCTCTCCACATGTGCTTCGTACGTGAGAATGCGCTCGGTATAGCGGCGGACGGCGTCGGCGTAGCTTAGGAAATTTGGCTGATCTCGAACTTGAATGGTATATATCCTGTTCCCTTGCGCACCCTGCCACAGGCCTGTGCCTTCACGGCAGATGAAATTACCTTCGCGAAAAAAGACTTGGTGTTGGGTGGCGGACAAAGTCCGCGGCATCCCGGATTGTTACAGGTAGCTTGCTGGTAGCGATGCCTTCAGGAGTATGCATGTGGGCATCACAAGCCAGTGTTCGAACGTAGGGCTGCTGTCCGCCCCAAACGTAACTCAGAGCTAGATACCGTGCAACGGCGTCAACTTCAACAAGGCAGTCTTGCCACACGTCTACAACCGTGAGCTTCACAGACCGCCCTGTCTCGCCAACTTGTATAGCAGAGAAGCGATGCTGCTCATCACCATCACTGGTGCTGCGTAGGAAAGCGTTTACAAGCTCCATGTCCAGCTGCGCACCGAAATCGTATTCGAACGGCGCTGTATATGTAGGCCGGCCTTCGTCAGGCTTCTCAGAGCTCCAGCGTAGCAGCCTCATCAAACTGACACATACGACATCACTGTCATTGGTTGGCTCCTGAAGGCTATTCAGCAGCACTTGGGCAGGGTGTCCACGATGTACCGGCTCTTGTAATAGCCGGGATTGCATCTCGAGGTCACCTTCCAGGACTTGCTGGAGCACATTCGCAACGAAATGACTCGTTGCGAATCGTGAGGTAAGACCGCAAAGAGCGCATTCAGTCTCCCGGAGTATGGCACGCAGTGGACGAAACAAAATTTCGGCACCGCTGGTGTAGTAGTCTCCGAGCTTGAGCTCGCCGGCACGATGCATGGCCATGAGTCTTACCATGTCAACGTGACTGCATGCTTCGCAAGCGTTTTCGATCGCGCATGCTGAGGGATCGTTTAGCCACCATTCCGCCGTGCTGGGCTCGTTCCCGCGCGTACAGTCCTTCGAGACGCACTGTGTTGTCAGCGGCGCATCCCAGACTGAAATGGCTTCGCTGGCTCTTAGTGTTGGACCACCGATAGAGTGGTAAAGATCGTAGTCCCGCCATTGGACCTTTTCTTCCCTGCTGGGTGCTGCTTCGAGCTGCTCCTTGGATCCGCTACCTGTTTGCCCCTTCGATCGTAGTAAATAGCCTCGCACACGGGCCTGCAACAGAGAAGCTGTATACGCAATGTTCTCAGCATACAAGCGCAAATCGGCATCTCTGGCACGCTGCCAGTGCATGGTATTAGCGATGACCTCTTCTTGCCAAAGGTCCGACACAAAGGCGTCCTGTGGCCAACGGCCTGGGTGGTAGGGGGTTGGCGCATGGAGTGCCATCCCGCTGGTGTCTTGCGTTTTTACGTATTGCGAACAGTGATCTATGTTCAGTTTTTAGTCACCGTTCACATCACGGCTGGGGTTCTAGGAAAAATGCAAGAGACTGCCATCAGAACAACTTGCGCCCCACTGGGCACAGATTTGCTGTTTACGAACTGCTCGGAGGATCATTGCAAGTGCTGGTAGAGGTAGTCGATGTTGAATGCTGTTCGTGAATTCCATCTGAGCGGGTCGTGCAGGCTCGGCCCGTGGCTAGCACATTCCCAGGACTTCTTTGGCTCGTGGCTCAGAGAAATTTTGGCGGCATATCTGCTCCCAAAACCTCAAACGAAACCCATAACAACGACACTAAGGACTGCGAGAGTTTGAAAAGCCCATCTTTGGAACATTCGAAACCAGAACATACCCTCGAGCAACTTCAGCGACAATGGGTTTCACCGACATGGTTAGCGACGCTGGCCTCAGCAGTACGTCCTTCACCGTCTGGTATAGCGGGCAGGCAGCTAACATGACCACAGTGCTCGACAGCTGGGTGAAGACGCGCAGCTACATCGCAGGGTATGTTGATCTCCTTCTTCCTCTCCCCCCTTTGCCTTCTGATGAAACAATATTGGTCCGTGTTTATGAGCGGCTTAAGACCCCGTCAATGTGTACTTTCAACGCGCTCAGCGCAACTCTGAACCCATACTCGCACCACGCTCATTTTAGTGTCCATACCCAACCAGCGAGTCAAGACTGACACAACTACCAGCTACGGCCCCTCCCAAGCCGACGTCAAGACCTTCCAGGCCACCAAGAACCCACCAAAGGTCGAGAACTACCCCCACGCCTACCGCTGGTACAAGCACATCGCCACCTACGAGTCTGAGTTCTCCTCGCTCCCTGGCGACCCAAGCAAGTCCCACACCGCATACGGCCCTGAGTCCTCTGAGCTCCCAATCAACACCAAGGCACAAAACACCGAGGAGGACGATGATGTAGATCTCTTCGGGTCTGAGGACGAGGAGGTCGACGAGGAGGCCGAGAAGGAGAAAGCGAGGAGGTTGGAAGAGTACAGGAAGAAGAAGGAGGGCAAGACGAAGCCAGCTGCGAAGTCCATGGTCACGCTCGATGTGAAGCCCTGGGGTATGTTTGAATGTTCACCATGTCATTATGTGGGGCTGGGACTGACATCTTCACAGACGACGAGACCGACATGAAAGCACTCGAACAAGAAGTCCGCGCTATCGAGAAGGATGGTCTCGTCTGGGGTGCTTCCAAGCTTGTGGCGGTCGGTTTCGGCATCAAGAAGCTGCAGATCAACTTGGTCGTCGAGGACGAAAAGGTCTCCCTCGACGAGCTCCAGGAGGAGATTGATGGGTTCGAGGACTACGTCCAGTCTACAGACGTTCAAGCTATGATGAAGTTGTAGGTGTGGATCAGACTGGTCTGCATCTGGAAGACGGAGAGCCACGACTGGAAGACGTGCAATTTGCTTAGCGATGACATTGAGCATGTGCATCTGCTTCATGAATGGCGTGAACGTGTGATGAAAAAGTTTTAGACCAGGTAGCTGAGTGGTACAAGACTGAGCACAACCACTTCAATTCACAGACTGCGTTTTAAAATTCCATGTGAATGTCTCTCCGATTCAAGTAACTTTCTGTTTTGGGAATGGTGTGAGCTCGCCAAGCATATCAACGTAGAGTACCTTAACATGTTCTCCTCCAGCACAGCGGAAGCCTTGAGATCCTATTGTACCGACCAACAAGATCCTCCATTACAATGGCAGTCGGAGCGACCGCAATCAACATTCTAGGCTTTGTCTTTCTGAGCCATGCGTAAGTTTCCAATATCCCACTTGCAACTACATCGCTCACTATTCCACAGCGTCTACAGCGCATACGAACACTCTCTCCTGCCCTCAGCTTCCCAACCAACACCTCCGAGCCGCTTGCTACCTAGCTTTCTCGACCCCAGAGTCAACCTGCCGCTCGACATAACCTTGGAGACGCTATTCTCTGTGCTGCTACTCTGCGTGGGTGTGGTACTGAGCAGCCCAGAACTGAAGCCCATACAATGGAACGTCTGGGCCGGACGATTGGAGAGAAGCAAAGAAGCGAGGGCAACTAAGGAGGTTGGTGTCGGTGGAGGGAACCCGTTCGCAGGGGTGGAAGAGCGGCCAGGGTTTCTGGATATCCGTGGGCAGAGGAAGGAGTTTGCTAGATGGGTTAGGGAGGGTGAGAGGTAGCGTACGATGGTATGGAACGAGCCGTTGATCAACTATCACGATGCAGAGGCGCACTCGAGCACATTGATTCAACGCAACATCGCGCCTTCCCTGGTGGTGCCTTCCCAATGCAAAGCTTGGCTGCAAAACTCACTTTCGACCTCACCTCGTCTGGTGAGGTCCTGGTAAGTCTATACTCATCACTGCTAGATCAGATCAGGACACAGGAGATGGCTGCTTTCAAGCAGCCACAGAAGCGCCGCCAAAGTAGTGGACAGAACTCGTCTCGCAACACACGCGGCCGCGCCCCATCTGTGGCCACATCGACCCGCTCAGACACCACTTCTGGCTCCCGCTATGCGGCCTCTCGTCGCTCGTCCGCAGGCTCTTCACGAAGTCAGGCTAGCAATCATGCGACGCCCACGCCCGGGGCACGCTTGGAGCGGTCCGCGTCAGTAGCCAGCTCGAGGACCTTCAATGGCATCTCCGAACGCCAGGCCGCGACTGAGCCACCGTCGGATGGTCTTGGACTTGATGAAGACAACCTTAGCGAGGTGATCATGGCTGTAAACATGCTGCCCAGGGGGCTGGTCGGCTGTGCGTACTATGTCGCGAGGGATGAGAAGTTGTACTTCATGGAGGATGTCAAGATCGGTGGACCAGATGTCATCGATGCTTGTATGTCGATAGTTCTTGTGCTTTACCTTCCAGCTGACACTAGGCAGTGAAGCTCTTCATCGATCCGACCGTGGTGTTGGTGTCCAGCAAATGTGTGGACGAAGTCTTCAACCGCCTTGATCCCGAGACGAGGAACGCAAGAGCATCCGTCGATGGACGAAGTGGCGACCAGACTCGGCTTCCTTACTTGCTGGAGTGTCGCCCAAATGCAGAGTTTGGGTACGAAGCTGCACGCAACAAGCTGGTCAATCTACGCATGGGACAGCCCACTGGACCCAAAGTCACGTTTGTCGTGCCTGGAGACATCGTTGCTCACGAAGACATCTCTACAAATCTCGAAGGTGGCTTCGCTGGAAGACAAGGACAGCTGCTACGTCTTGCCGGCTGGATCAACATGGAGAGCAGGATTACTGTGGGCTGTGCGGGTGCTGTGCTCTCCTACCTCCAACGCAGACGAGTTACGACTTACCTACCAGGCGACAAGGCTGCTGCTTCGATGTTCAGGGTCGGGACAGTTGAGATGTTCAGCTTGAGCGGTTCCATGTTCGTGAACGCAGATACACTACTGTCGTTGCAAATCACATCTACCGAGTGCCATCCAAATGCGCAGAATCAGGGGCCTGCAAGTCGAGGCTGGTCATCTGGAGGATCGAAGGAAGGTCTTTCGGTCTACGGCCTCTTCCATTACTTCGCAAGGACTTCGCAAGGCCGTCTTCTGCTTCGACAATACTTCCTGCGACCGAGCTTGAACCGTGCAGTGATCGACGAGCGACTTGACACAATCAGCGTACTGCTCCGTCCGGACAACGCAAGCCTGTTCGATCAGCTGGGCGAGATGCTTTCGAAGATCAAGAACATCCGGCTGGTCACCGCGAACCTTCGAAAGGGTATTAGCAGTGGCCTGACCAAGAGCCGTTCAGTCTCCACCTCTGTCTGGCCCACTCTTCGTGAATTTGTCTTCTACTCACTGCTTCTATATGACCACATGACCGAGCTAGCTGGTGGCGAGGGCCTTGCTATCCGCGCAAAGATTCTGCAGAGGTTCGAGAAGCAGCAGCTTGCAGCAGTTGGGACCTTGATCACCGTAGTCGTGGACTTCGAGGCGACGAGAGAGCAGCGCAGGACCGTTGTCTTAGCCGGAGTCGACGGAGAGTTGGACGAAATCAAGCGGACCTACGATGGCATCGAGAGCCTGCTGCACGAAGTGACCAACCATATCGCAGGCAATGTACCGGCTGAACTGAATGCGAAAATCAATGTCATCTTCTTCCCGCAGATTGGCTTCCTCATTGCTTGTCCAGTCGAGGCAGATACTGGCGCCGGCGTCTTTGAAGGTCCAATCAACGATCCTTGGGAGAAGATGTTCGTCACCGAGGTCTCAGCTTACTATAAGAACTCGAACATGGGCGAGCTGGACGAACGATTTGGAGACATCTACGGGAGGATCTGTGACAAGGAGATTGAGATAGTGCAGGAGCTTGGTGAGAGGATTCTCGAATATGAAGAAGCATTGCACGATGTCTCGGACATATGCGGCGAGCTCGACAGTCTGGTTGCTCTTGCAAAAGGGGCGAAGCAACACAACTTCGTGCGTCCTCGTCTGACCGATGAGAACATCATCAAGATCAAAGGCGGAAGGCATCCACTCCAAGAACTCACCGTGCCATCGTTCGTGGCGAACGATACGTATCTTGTGGGCGGTGCTGGGACCGAGCCAGGAGCTGCTCCCTTCATCAACCACTCTCCTCAGCCAGGACACGATGGATCTGTTAGCGAGGGTCCAAGCATGGTGCTGATGACTGGACCGAACTACTCTGGCAAGAGTGTCTACCTGAAGCAAGTCGCCATCATCGTGTACATGGCTCACATCGGCTGCTATGTGCCTGCGGACGCTGCAAAGATTGGTCTGACAGACAAGATACTCACCCGTATATCGACTCGTGAAAGTGTGTCTCGTATCCAAAGCGCTTTCATGATCGACCTACAGCAGATCTCCGTCGCCCTCAGTCTAGCCACACGCCGCAGCCTTCTCATCATCGACGAATTCGGCAAAGGCACAGAGTCCAACGACGGTGCAGGACTGGCAGCAGGCGTATTCGAGCATCTCCTTCAGCGTGATGCCGAATCACCCAAGGTGCTGGGAGCAACGCACTTCCACGAGATCTTTGAAGCCGGATTTCTGCAGCCTCGACCTTCCCTGAGCTTCGCACATATGGAGGTACGAATGGACACGCAGGCGTCGCAAGTGGATGATCAGATTACATATTTGTACAACTACCGTCCGGAGAGAAGTACATCCAGCTTCGGCACCATCTGTGCGGCAATGAACGGCATCGAGCCTTCGATCATCGAGAAGGCGGATCAGCTGCTACTGCTCGCTTCGAAAGGAGCAGACCTCGTCGAGGTTTGTGCTGAGCTGCCGGGTGCTGAGCTCGCTGAGCTGGAGGATGCTGTAAGATGTTGTTCGACATGCACGGAGCAGGATTTTGCTAACGTTGCTTCAGGAGACCATTGCTCGAGAGTTTCTCGCCACGGAGATCAACGAGTGCCAGCCTCGCAAGCTTGTCGACGACCTGGTGACGCTGGCAAGCTCGACGGATGGGGCATCATGAGCCTTGGGCTCCTCAAACTACTCTATTTGCTGGGTGAATTGAACAGTGGTATGTATTTTAGCTGAGCTACGTGTATGATAGACGGAGATCTAAGATTGTAGCTGAACGCAAGATGGGAAGGCTTCGATGTAAACGACTTGGGACGATATTCGATTGCATGTTGCTTTTCGTAGAATTTACCGTATCATCTGGAACTAGATCCTATGCTCCTGTGCAACGTTTGCCCTGCGTCTTTGACAAGGAGATGGGTGTAAGGTAGTGTTAATGTGGGACGAGAATGAAGAGGTGAGGTCGGCCGTGAGTCGGAAGCTCAATCGCGAACGTCACCTCGCGTGTCTGCCTTGAGCGCGTCTCTTACGCGATCCCAATTAACCTTTGAGACGACAATCTTCGACTTCACACTACGCTCGCACATGGTACAATAGGGTTATGCTATGGTCTCGTTCCCCATTGCCTCGGTCATTCTGTGCTTCCAAGCACAAGCATAACCCTGCCCGAGTCCTGCTCTACTTCAACTCCATCCCGCCTTTGGACCCGTCAACCACCGCGAGAGACTCAAGATCGACATATAGGCATTGGCGACCACCCCAGACCGATCGCACCAGGACCGCTATCATGGCGCCCCAGCAGGCCAAATTGGGGTATGTGAAATCGTCACAGCGGACTTTGGGGTGCGATGACCGCACTCCATAATGTACCGGTGCAGTTCTAACTATTCCACAGCAACTTCTTCGGACATCAAAACGGGATCAAGGCAGCACCGCAACAAGCCAAGCTCAAGTTCTCGTCGAAAACAGCCGGAGAGAAAAACGAAGACAATGGGGCTGAAGCATCGCCCGGCGCGGACGAGCCTGCAACCGCCAACGGCACAAACGGAGTCAAGAAGGAGGAAGATGTCAAGATGGAAGATGCCGCGCCTGTGAAGAAAGAGGAGCTGGACGATTCTACGCAGATCGAGCCCGAACCTGATACTGGCGGCTCGTCGAAGAAACGTCCAGCTTCTGCTAGCAGCGGAGACGGTATTGCTGCAGATGAGGATGGTGAGGAGCCCCCTACGAAGAAACAACGTGGCCGGCCGAAGAAAGGTGTCGCGGTCAAGAAGACAGGCAAGGAGAAGGTGAAGGCAGAGCCACTTGAGGATTCTGCTTCCGAGGACGAAGATGCTGCATCGTCGGCAGAGCCACAAGCGAAGGGACGAGCTGATGCCGTAAAGAAGAATGCGGGGCCGGTCTCCAGTGACGAGGATGATCGACCATTGAAAAAGAAGCCCAAGGAAAAGCAAACAGCGAAAGCCGATCAGAAAAGCAAGGCACCGGCAAAAGAGGCTGCTCGAGAAGTCAAAGAGGTCGAAGAGGACAAGGAGGCAGAGAAGATGAGCGCATCTGAAGTTGAAGAGGAATTGTCCGAGGATGACGAGGAAGATGAGGAGGAAGAGAAGCCGGAGGCAGCGAAGAAGGTCCGGGAGAAGGTCCAGACTACCTTGAAGTCAAGTGCGAAAGATCCATATCCGGACTGGAAGGCTGGCGACCCCGTCCCATACGCGGCCCTCTGTACGACCTTCTCCAAGATCGAGCTCACAACGAAACGTCTGGAGATCCTCGCGCATTGCTCCTTGTTCCTGAGGCAAGTCCTTCGTCTGACACCTGAGGATCTACTACCTGTGGTGCTGCTTATGATCGGCAAGCTCGCTGCAGACTATGCCGGCGTCGAACTCGGCATTGGCGAGTCTCTGATCATGAAGGCCATCGGCGAGACTACTGGCCGTGCTCTAAAAGTTGTCAAGGAGGACCAGCAGAAGATCGGTGATCTTGGGCTTGTCGCGGCCAAGAGTAGATCGAACCAGCCTACGATGTTCAAGCCCAAGCCGTTGACTGTCCGCCGTGTCCACGAGGGCCTCATGAAGATTGCCACAATCGAAGGCCAAGGTTCGCAGCAAAGGAAAGTTGATGGGATCAAGAAGCTGCTGTCGTCAGCTGATGCTACCCTTGCCAAAGGCCAGAGCGTGGACATCACACAAGACAAAGGCGGACCGAGTGAGGCAAAGTTCATCATTCGTGCTCTTGAAGGAAAGATGAGACTGGGTCTTGCAGACAAGAACCTCCAGGTTGCTTTGGCACATGCGATGACCGTCCACGACGCCTCAAAGGATGGCAAGGAGGTCCCGAGTGAGGCTGAACTCAAGAAGGGCGAAGAGACGTTCAAAGCAGTCTACAATGAGCTGCCGAGCTACGAAGTCATCGTCCCTACACTGTTGAAAGGGGGCATCTGGAATCTGAGAGAGGTCTGCAAGCTACAGCCCGGTGTGCCGCTCAAGCCCATGCTTGCGAAGCCCACAAAGTCGATTGGCGAGGTGCTCGACCGCTTCGAAGGCAAGGATTTCACGTGCGAGTTCAAGTACGATGGCGAACGTGCGCAGATACATTTCGTTGCACACGATGCTGATGAAGACTACGCGTCAACGGTTGCTCCGTCAGAAGGCAAGTCTGAGCGTGGCACATCGAACATCTTCTCTCGCAACAGCGAAGACCTGAGCAAGAAGTACCCCGACATTCTGGCTAAGCTACCTGACTGGGTCAAGCAGGGTACGAAGAGTTTTGTTCTCGATTGCGAGACCGTAGCGTGGGACGTCGAGAAGAAGCACGTTCTGCCCTTCCAACAGCTCATGACCCGTAAGAAGAAAGACGTCAAGGTCGAGGATGTCAAGGTCAAGGTGTGCGTCTTCGCCTTCGACCTCCTCTTCCTCAACGGCGAGGCTCTGGTCAACAAGTCCTTCCGCGAGCGCCGCGACTTGATGTACGGCGCCTTCGAGGAAGTGGAAGGGGAGTTCTCCTTCGCCAAGTTCGGCAATACGCGCGAGATCGAAGAGATCCAGACTCTCCTCGAAGACTCCATCTCCGCTTCCTGCGAAGGCCTCATGGTGAAGATGCTAGACGGCGTCGAGTCCCACTACGAACCATCCCGGCGCTCCCAGAACTGGCTCAAAGTTAAGAAGGACTACCTTTCCGGCGCCGGCGACTCTCTCGACCTCGTCGTGCTGGGCGCCTACTACGGCAAAGGCAAGCGTACATCAGTCTACGGCGCCTTCCACCTCGCCTGCTACAACACGTCCACGGAGAAGTACGAGACCGTCTGCAACATCGGCACCGGCTTCTCCGAAGTCCTGCTTCAGGAACTCTACGAGGCGCTCTCACCGCTCGTCATCGATCGCGCGAAGCCCTTCTACGACCATTCGACCGGCAAGAACGACCAGCCGGACGTGTGGTTCGAGCCGCGCTATGTTTGGGAAGTCAAGACGGCAGATCTGACACTCAGTCCGCGTTACCGCGCCGCTGCTTCAGAGTTTGGTGGCGATGGGGTGCACAAGGGTGTCAGTCTGCGCTTCCCGCGGTTCATTCGCGTGCGGGATGATAAGAAGCCGGATGCTGCGACGAGTAGTCGGCAGGTGGCGGAGATGTACAGGAAGCAGGAGCATGTGGGCAAGAACAAGGGTCCGTCGGTGGATGATGACTTCGAGTATTGAGGGGTGGGTTGTTGATGTGGACTTGCTGATGTTGCTGAAGCATTTGCTCGCGCCTACACACGCAGGCGATACACTTACCAGAGTATGGGTAGCTGATAGCCACGAAGTCAAGTAATGGCACGCGCATGATCTCAAACAAAGCTTTCATTCTCTACTCCCCGAAACAAGTGGAAAAACACACACGCAACAACGCCCAGGCCAGCCAGCGAGAAGCAAAGCACCGAGTAAAAAGAAGAGACCCCAATAACTCATGCATCACTTTCTCCTCGGTTCGTGCCAGACGCTGTAGAGCTAGAGTAGTACATCGCTGTTGTAATCTTTTCCAGTCTCGCACCGTTTTGCTCCTGCTGCTCACCACATCCACCCCTTGCTGCAAATTCAGTCGTCGTTTATGCTCGTTCGTTCACGGGTTGCACGTGCATCACCCTCTCACCAGTCTTCTCAGGCCGATGGGGACTGAATTCGTGCCTTGGCGTCAGGTCGCTGGGTGGAGTGGTCTAGTTATGGCCAGCTTTGCGCAGCGAGTTGCTGAGCCATTCGAGACCTTCGTAGAGACCGTCTCCGGAGGTGGCGCAAGTCGATTGAATGTACTGTTCACGAACGCGTTAGCGAAAAGTCCTCACCGCTCAGCGTTACATGATGAAGACGTACCCAAGCCCGCTGCCTCAAACTGTGCAAGCCAAGCTTGTCGGTGATCTCAGCCGCGTTCATCGCATTCGGCAAATCCTGCTTGTTCGCGAACACGAGCAGCAACGCATCTCGCAGCTCGTCCTCGTTCAGCATCCGCTGCAGCTCCTCGCGGGCCTCGACGACACGGTCGCGATCGTTGCTGTCGACGACGAAGATGATGCCCTGGGTGTTCTGGAAGTAATGCCTCCACAGCGGTCGGATCTTGTCTTGTCCACCGACGTCCCAGACGGTGAATTGGATGTTCTTGTACTCGACGGTCTCGACGTTGAAGCCTGTAGAAAGGGAGCACGTGAGTACGTATGCTTCAATGTACAGGTCGCGGGGGAGGGTTGGGGGGAGTGTACGTACCGATTGTCGGGATTGTGGTCACGATTTCACCCAGCTTCAGCTTGTAGAGGATGGTGGTCTTTCCGGCAGCGTCCAAGCCAACCATCAGAATGCGCATCTCCTTCTTGCCCCAGAGGCGATCGAACAGCTTCGAGAACGTGAGACCCATCTTGGCGGTGTTTTGGCGAGTTTGGATGAGGAGGGTTCAGTGTTTGGGCAGAGCAGGATCGATGTCTGCTTCGAATCGAGCGGTCAGCGGTCAGTTCTGCACATCGCCCTGTATGCCTCGTGACTTTGTATTCACGGTATTCGTCTGCCTTGTCCCGGTTCTGCACATCTGTCCTTTGGACTGAGGCATTGGCGATAGTTTATGCCACATGTCCAGTCCCGACAGCGCACATTGCGCTGACCAGACCCCCTTAGGCAGCGACTTTCCACCAGCGGCAATGGAAGACTCACCTATTGATGACACTGCGATCCTCGAGGATTAGTTGAAGGTCGTTGAAGTCGTGATGTTGTGGACTTGGGCGACGAGTGAGGTGGATGTGCCTGCTCAGCGCGGTGAGTAGAAATCTAACAGCGGCTTCTCCCGCGGAAGCCACATCGCAACGGAGGAGGCGCAGATCAAGGGTCTAATGGCACGTGATGTTGACAGCGCGCCAGAAAGCGAAGGGCATGTGAAGATTCCAGACTGAGAGGACGATGCCAGTGGTGGTCAAATGATGTTTTGCAACCCTATCTACACAACGCTAGAATTTAAGGATCGATCTAATCCTACAGTAACCTCCCTCCTGTCCCCGCAAGAGGAACCCGACGCACGTTTCAAGGATATCATGGTATATACATCAAAAAGAAAGCCCCTCCATCCATTCATCCGACCATCGTAAGGAAACGCCGCTCGCTAATGCATCCGCAACCAACGTCTTCCGGTGACTGTGGTCGCAGAACTAAGAGGTCATCGCACTCGTGTCAATGGGGTATCAGGTGGTCCTCGGGACTTGTCCCTCCATGCCCGGGAATGATTCTGTTGCTGCAGTAGAGACCGCAACAGAGGGTCCAGGCCTTCACACCGCAAGCTGGGCGTGCTCGCGCGTCAACCAAACGTGGGCAAAGGCCTGTCTCTACTGCTGAAGGAGGGTTTGTCCAGCATGTCCGTATACCTGCGACATCGTGGGCTCCGCTTGGTCAGACAATGCAAGCAAGAGCTGGGCAAGGCAGCGCTTCGTAGCCGCATCGTCTCTCAAGACGGGTGAGAAAGTGGCATCGCGCAGTGGCTCTGGCAGACACTGGCGGAGTGCTTCCCGCGCACGAGCGTTATCCGATAGACTGAGCACCCGTTAGCATTTGCTTAAGCAAGTTTCATGATCTAGGACATACCGCAGAAAACAGCGCACCACATGCTTAAGCAGCCGCACAGTCTGCTGGTCCACGAGCTGAGTAACCATATTACTCAGAACAGTCCCAACAGCGTAGAATCGCTCGTACGTCTGACAGATGTATTGCAGGCCCATGTCGTCGAGTAGAATCTTTTGAACGATGAAGATAGCAACCGTTTTGCTAAGCTCAGACCCCGTCTCCATGATGCGCAGACACAGCGGAATGATCTCCGTGGTGAGGAGGAAGTTGATCACTTCGGAGCTGTCGTTCTTGACGAGGGCGCCGATGACACCCAGGGAGGTGAGACGGAGGTATTCGAAAGGTCGAGACTTGGAGGTGGTGTTGAGGAAGGGGTAGAGGAAGAGTGGGATGTGCGCTGGCAGAAGTCAGTCGTCAAATTCGCCGGCGTTAAGAACAAATCACCCATACCACTGAGGAAGAGCCCACGGGTCTCATGATGTGACGCGACGCACTGCAACAGCGCCAGAGCATTGCAGACCCGGTTGCTAGCCGCCGCCGTGAGCTGTGACGGGTTCAAGAGAGGATATACCGAAATGATCTCTTGTAGGAGCGAGGTCATGACACCTGTATCCTGTCAGCGTTGGCCCACATCCACTGGACGCTTCTCGTCCTCACCAAAAGAATGCCATAGTATGAGCGCCAACTCTGGGACCTGCTCTCTCTTCTTGCTAAGCTCGAGCAACGCAGCCTCCCTCGTAGTCGCGTTCAACACCTGCGCAATCCACTCCAACACCTTCCTGTTCTCTTCACTGATCTGCGCATCGCCGCCCGGTATCATGCTCGCCGGTCCGTGGTCCAGGTCTCGCCCATCGCCTAGTCCCTGTCCCATGCTGCTGCTGCCATTCGTATTGGCACTGCTCTGTGTCATGCGGCTGAAGTGCTGCTGCTGCTGTTGCTGCTGCTGAGCGACAGCGTTTGCCGCCGCGGCCGCCTGAGTCTGGGCATAGTGGTGGGTGTTCTGCGCGTGCTGGTGGTGCTGCCAGTCTGGTTGGTACGGGTTCTGGTGTGGGAAGACAGCGTGCTGCATGGTTGCGGATCGGCAATCATGCGGGCGCTGTCGTCCCTCGGATAGTGATAGAGGGTCCCCGCACGCGGTATTCGAGTCTATCGGGAGGTGACGCGAGTGTCGAGAGAAGGAGAATGCACGGTGACGAGTGAAAAGGTGGTCGAGGTGGTGTATCTGCAGGTCCGAAATGCCAAATACCGAGGACTGCAGATGCCCGCGAAACTCAAGCTTGGACCTCCAAATTGGGTTCTTCAAAAGCCCGATGAATGAATGATCAAACTGTCTTCCTGGTTCGAGTGTGAAATATGAGGATGAAACGACGCCGCCGGCCTCTCATGAAGTCTGGAGAGGCAATCGCTCACAGCGGGAAGCCAAATTAGTCACATGTCGAGACATCTATCAGCTCGGAATTGGAGCGCGCAATGGCAGGTGTATGAAACTCTGCTCAATCACGCACATGTAAATGGGATGGATCAACGATGAAGCAGAAAAAAGGTGGCGGATGATCTTGGTGGATGACTCGAGGTTCTATTGCTGCGCTCAGCCAGTGAAGGCGAGGCAAAGACTAGCTACTACATGAATAGCCACACGCTCGAAGCAGCCCAACCACACTTGGCAGCCGTTGTTGGAGTACGCACCACCCATCTAGTAGAGACGCTTTGGCGGCGACATCGTACCCTTGATGGTGAGGCTGCCCACGTTCTGCCAGCCCTTCTTCAGCAGCGAGACGAGGTAGTTGATGGACAACATTATGTTGCCGATCAGCTCATCCTCCGTCATGTCCACGTTGCCCACGGCGACACCCATGCACAGCACCTTCTTCAACTGGAACTTGATCGTAGACTTGACTTCGGTGATCTTGTTGTTGAGGTCTTCGGCGTGGGAGACTGGGGTGGGGAACTTGCCGGCTGCAGAATGTGTCAGTATACGTCAAAATGCAGTGGGGAAGTAAAGGCATCTCACCCTTGGAAAGACCTGGACCCAAGAGACGGGGGATTTGCTTGATGAGGGTCTCGGAGGCGACGAAGGCGTCGTACTTGCGGGCCAGCTTCTTGATCAACTTCTTGTTCTTGTTGAGCTTCTTCAAGTCCTCGGAGGACATGGCGTCGATCCCCAGATGCTTCGCGCGGTCGATGTCATGCTGGTCACCGAGGATGCAGACGCTCATGCCCGGGCGCGGGACACGGGGGAGCTTGACGGTGCCCGAGAAACGCTTGTCACGCTGCGGGTCGTAGTTCTTGAGGCCGATTTGGAGCTCGACAGTCTCGAGGAAGTTGCGCTTCTTTTCTTCATTGGAGTAGTGGAGGAGTTGCTGCACGTTGGTACGCACACCAGCGACCGTGATTTTCGACATGACGGCGGTCTTCCAATAGCTTCTGGTGAGTGACTATTGGTACGGCTTTGGCGTATTGTTGTGTTTGTGTTCGATGGAGAGAAGAATGTGGTGAAGCTGGAGGTTTTTGAAGAAGTGGCGGCGTGTGTCTTGGCAGTGGACCGTGCGTTTTTTGAGAGAGCTTGACATCGAGGACGACTTTGAGACACCGCATCACGATCTATTTCCACTATATCATTTCTCAATTCCTGCTGACCACGGGCGATACACGCCCTAGGCGGCGGTGACACCTCTAGTCAACTGCATGTGGACCGCGAGATAACCTGGCTTACTCCTGGAGTCCGTCTCTTTGACCACCTCGAAACCCGCCTTCTCATACAGACGCCTAGCAGCGACATTGTGGCCATAAACCGACAGCGTAATGCGGAGATGCCCTCCAACCCTAATAGCCTCGGTGTCTGCGTACGCAAGAGCGGCGTCCATGAGCGCACCTCCAAGGCGGCTACCGCGTGTAGAAGGGCTCACGAAGGTTCCGTTGATGTGAAAATGGATGTCTTTTGGGTCACTTGAGCTCTCGAAAAGCCTTGTGCTCCAGTACGAGGGGGCTGTAGCAGTCATCTGCTTGAATGGATCGATGTTCGCAGATGGTATTGAGAACTCGTCGCCTTCTTCCGGACCGAGCAGAACTACCATGCCTACCCACTCGCACTCCAGAAGCAGCTGGACTGTGCTGGAGCTATGTGAGCCTTCCTGTCGTCTGGACGTTTTTAAGGAGACGAACTGGGCCGCCTTGGGGTTGACCAGTCTTGCAACTGAATGCTCGAGGCCACGCTCGCTCTCCGCTTCGTAAGTCGACGCAAAGGCATCCGGAGCTGCTTGCAACGAGTGCAGTCTGAACTCTCGAAACTTCTGGGCCAGTGCATTGAGACTGCTGTCATTCTCGCTCAGCCTTGGTATGAGGACGACTTGGTAGGTTGGATGTTCGGCCATGGTTGCTGGATTATTTTGGTGCGCACAACACCCACGACTTCGATACAGAATAGGCTTTTCTCATGTCGTTTTCAATGCATACACGTAATTTCATTCTATGAGCAAGAGCAGAAATTCCGCTTGAGAAGTTCCAGGCTTGGATGACTCATCCATGTCAGCTCTCGATTTCGGATTCTTCGATCGGCTCACGCTGCTCGAGCATGTGACCGACTGTTCCAGCAGCCTTCGAGATCTGTATCTCGTGGTACTTCGCCTTTGTCTTTTGCAGAGCATGATCATGAAAATGACCCCAGCCTCGCAGACAACTGTGTTACGACCTGCAGCATTAAGCTGTTCCTTTCCCTGACTGCACTCAACATGCCTCTTGCATCCCCACTCGCATGGCGCCCTCATGCCATTTTAACCACGAAGACTCTAATATCGCTTGCATCCAAGACTACTACCGGACGGCAGTCGGACATGAAGTATGCCAAAGCTTTACAGATCTCGACAAAGCAGCCAACTCGGAAACATCCATCGGCGCGGTCCGGAGCAGAAGCACATTCAACTTCGTCCTCGACTTCAGCGACGATGCAGCGCGCGCCTCGTTTGATCTGCATCCTCTATCTGTTGCTGGGCTGCTAGACACGGAGCGACCTGACATACTCAACACAAGATGGATCAACGTCTTTCGTCCAGCTCAGCAGGCACCCTTGCTGGAACTCATCGCGAAACACTATGATTTCTCACCAAGACTGCTGGCTTTGATGAGTTCGAAGCCTCAGCCGAACGATCATTCAGCTGACGTTGCAGTCAGCACGGGAAGATCTCACCACAGCCTCTGGCGGCGGCGTGGGCATTCTCCGCCATCGAAGCATGATGTCGAGAAGGGACCAGACGAGCTGTCGGAGTTATCTTCGATTTCGAGCTACGATTCTGCCGCGTTCTGTAATCTCTACAAGGTGGCCAACGAGCTCTGGCATTACTCCTCTATCGACTTTGGCCGGAGCTATGTCTGCATAGGTTACAACTCGCTGTACGGGACGAAATGCATTGGTGAAAAGCCTGGCGATGGCTTACTTCCTCACTGCACTAGGGTGTGGACGTGGCTCATCCTTTGCGAAGACAACACGATCGTATCGATCAGCGAAGACCCCTTCCCGTACTCTGGCGATCGGCTGAGCCCGCTACAGCAGCGAATCTTGACAGAAAGTCGCCGCAACATCGTAAACATCTTCCGTGCCATCTGCACAGATGATGCAGCACCAGCAGGCCCGCACATGCCAATGGCTCAACTCCCCATCCGGTCCCGACTTGGTAACACTCCAGCAGAGAGTGCCCACCGCCCTACCGACGTACCTGGCCTGCTCTTTTACTACCTCTTCGAGAACTGGCAGAACAGCTACACCCTCATCACCCGTCGCGAGAGCCGCTACGGCATCGAGCTCAAAGCCTTACGAGATGAGATGTTCGAAGCGCCGAAGCTCTGCCATATTGATCGGCTTGACGCCATCGGTACGGAGTTAGGTGTGCTCAAACGGCACTACTCAGCCTACAACCGCATCATCGACCGGCTTCTCGAACCGCAGACATCGACCACCGCATCAATGCAAAGCTCGAGGTCGAACACCGAAGCCAGCCAGTCATCCCTCGATACCGTCCGCCCTCTCGTGACGGAAAAGGAGAGCATGCTTGGTGTTTCCTTCAGCTCCGCAGCACGCGTCCGCTTTAAACGCCTGCGCGACCTGATCGACCTGTACGCCTTGAGCGAAGTTGAGGAGTACATCAAACAGAAAGACTCCCTCGTCGCGATGAACTTCAACCTCATCGCCATCAAAGAGTCCCTGGACGTCGAGCGATTGACGAGGCTCACGCTGCTGCTGACGAAGATCACGATGATCTTCTTGCCGGTCAGTTTGATGATCGGTTACTTCTCCGTTCAGCTGTCCGGCGTAGAGTACGGGTTGAAGGAGTTTTGGGTCAGCTTCGCCGTTGTGCTGTTCTTGAGCGGCGGTGCGCTGTTTCTCTTCGGGCTGGTCAGTGGGACGGTGCAGACGTTTGAGGCTTTTCGAGCGGTCGGGCGTGGGATGAAGCGTAGTGGTCGATGGATCAAGAGCCGCTTGTAGAGCGTCTGCATATTTCGCTAGTATACACATTGCAGCTCCGGCCTGCGACTCCTGGCTAGACCCAGGATAGAACGAACACCGTAAACCACAACGACGCTGTCACTCATCTTCATCTTCGTCGGCTATCACCCGCCGCCGTTTCGACCTTGACGCCTGCACTTGATCCTCGTCCTCTTCCTCGCCCGGGGCATCTGCCTCATCATCCTCGACCGGCCGGTCACGCTTCGGTGTGCGCTCCCGACGATAGGCATCCTCCACGATGCCGTCATCAGGGTCCTCGTCGTCCTCGACAACCTCCTCTTCGTCTGAAGGAGCAAGGAAGTCATCCTCCTCGTCGTACTCGTCTTCGCGAGAGAACCGCTGCCGACCAAAGTCCTCCTCCTCACTGTACTCGCTGTTTCTTCTCCGCCGCGGCTTCCGTGCCTTGTTGGGACCAGCACGACCTCGACCGCCAGCTCCGCCTTCCTCATCGTCTTCGAGCATGCCTACGTTCAAGCCACCGGCTCGACTCGCCCCCAGCCCTTTCCTGCCAAGCACACGTTCGGAGCGAGCAGCTTCCCGATCCACAGCCGCCTGTTGTTTCTTCCTGCTCTTCTCCGACTCCTGGAGAGCTTTCGCTGCCTGTAGTCTTGCCTTCTCAGGATCTTCGTCGATATGGACCAAATTAATGCCGCTGGCGCCATTGACTTTGCTAGCATTTGAAGCGGCTGCAAGCGAAGCCTGAAGGCGCTCGATTGCGTCGTCCTCAACCGTTGCAGACTGCTTCACGCTGAGGCCGGCGGTGATCTTGTGCGTTACCATCATGACGCCGCTGTCTGGATTGGGACGGAGGAGGTAGGTGAAGGCGTCCTTGGCCTGATTGTATTTCTCGCTCAGTGCCGCACCGTGGCGTCCCGCCTTGCCTCCAAGAGCCTGCATGCTGGTTGGTGTAGGTTTGAGAGGATTTCTTTGAGGTGGTGCAAGCGCGTTGGCGTCAACCTCGTATTGTGTGGTAGGATCCGAGGCAAGCTGGAGGGTCAAGGATCCATCAGACCATCGATTTATCCTTGCGTTGGACTGGAGCTGAGAACGGTCCGAGGGAGAGTGGCGCCATCGCATTGTTGAGAGTGCTGTGTTGAATGCCGAGAACGTCTCGCTCGGGCGTTTGGTGGAATGGTGGTCAGTCGTGGGCGGTTGAAAGGCCTTGTGGTCCCATGCTTGCGGCTCGATAGCCATGAATGAGGGCATCTTCAACAAGTACATCTATGAGCAGTCAGTAATGTACGCCCATACATAAGAAGCTCTGCCGCGCATACCTCGCCATCGCTGGGCTCTGGTACAGCCTGTCGCGGCATCTCCAGCTCCATGATTGACAGTTCCTGGGCGCCAAATTCCTGCTCTGGCTCGGCATTTACACGATCTGTGCGATCCATGTCGTCGCCAGAGTCAAGCTCTTCGTCATCTAGCTGCCTGCGCCTGCTCGACCATTAGTTGCTGCTCGTTGTGGTCGTATATCTAAGGCCGAACTCACGCTGGCTGCTCTGCCTCTCCCTTCGCTTCATCCTCGTCGCCGAATAGATCGTCTCCGGCTGGCGGCTCCTCCTCCTCCTCCTCCTCCTCCTCGTCTTGTGCAGCGCCATTCACCCGTCGCCGTCCACCACGATTCTGCATAGGGTTTGCTGGCAGATCTTCATCATCTTCGTCCTCTTCTTCGTTCATATCAGGTAGGTCTTCATCTTTCGAGTAGACGCCGCTTGTAACCTCGCCTGTTCTCCCATCATCATCACCTAGATCGTTGGCGAGGGGTGATCGCGCCTGGTTCGCAGCGACTGCTGCTGCTGAGGCCATTGCTCGTCTTTCGTTCCACCAGCCGCAGCTCTAGTATAATTTTGGCCAGTAAAGTGAACAACGGTCGCTGGTGTGATCCTGGACGATACGAGGGCGCTCCTGAATGATTAGACTGTGATAACTACCCAGCAGAAAGAGAGTATGAGACGAGGAATTGAATGCAGTTTGCGCGCGACGTGACAGTCCGAAGTGATCTCCAGTAAAGCTCAAGCTAGCAAAGGCTAGCGGGCCGAGCCTCTAGCATGAAACTCTACTCGGAGATCAGAAGGGTTTAATGTTTCAGCGACCTTCACTCCGTCGTCAACCTCCTGACATTATTGTTGGGTTGGCCAACACACTCTTCTGTTCAGTTTCAACCACCACAGCCATCTCGATCAAGAGATCGGCGAATCGACCGGACATACTGAAGTGAACAGCACGACAAGAGGCGCCTTCACGGTGCCATGATGGCTTCCTGGATGAATAACCTGTAAGTTGCTTTTTGAATTTTCTTATTCTCTGCGGAAAGAGGTGGGAGTGGCAGCGTGCGAGGAGGCAGGCAGTCGGTCGAGTGGCAGTGGGCGAGCATCAGCACGACTGAAGTGATCGTGACATGTACCGCCTCTTGGACGTTCCCTCTGGGCCCTCCGAGGTGTGGGCGACCCAACACCGGGCAACTTACACTCAAGTCGACATCCCACCGTTGAGAACCCTTGTACTCTTCAAACGCCCGCCAACGGAACGTGGCGAGAGACTGGATCCCTACGCCCGACACGACTGGGCTGTAACATCAACCAGCAAAGTCCTTCTACGACATCCCAAGGCTTGTCTATCCAGCCTTAGACAAACAGCTTCAACAACCGCCCACCTTCGCATCATTTTTTTGCGGATTTTCTGCAACACAACGCACGAGCGTCCAGACCCCACGTTGAATTTTGCTCGCCTCGTATCATCCTCGGCGATCTAACCACAACTCGTTTAATGCGAACTGTTGTTACTATTGCGCTCATCTGCCCACTCAATTGCTTTGTTGTGCCGCTGTTGCCAATTCTGGCCGCAAATGAGGTGACGTCGGCTCGGAGATGAAGCCGTGTAACCAACACCCAGGCCTTAGCCTTGCTCACTCGTTTACTCGCTCACTTCACTTCACTTCGTTTCCTGCCACTCGCACGTCAGCGCCATCATTGCCGCCAGCAACATGGCTGATGTCTGGCATGAGGGTCGTCCTGGCCCCATTGAGGAGTCAATTCAGGAGTACATGCGATGGTGGTCGCAGAAGTTTGACGTGCCGCTTAAAGTTGTCAGAAGAAATGCTAAGGTTCGCAGCCGTGGCCTCGCGCAAGCGACACGCAAGCAGGGCAACAATAACAACGCCAACCAGCCGCCGAACCGGGCAAACACCTCCTCACCAACCGCCTATGGAGCATCCGGCCTCGGCGCTCCCGCCATGCCAGCAGCACCGCCGTCTCCATCGCTCTCCACGACCATGACTTCGAACGACCAGGCTCATCAGAACAATCAGCAGCAGAAGAAGATCCCACTCTTTTTCCGCGAGGACTACGCCGGTTTTATCGTCAAGGGCAACTTCATGACGTTGGCAGCAAGGCCGGTTCTGGTTGAAGAGGGCGAGTGGCTGTCGCATCAGAGTAAGTGGCGTCTGCATCTCAGCGTGCATCCATAGCACTCTCAGTCCCCCAAATGACGCCTTCGTGACATGGACGACCACATCGCTAACTTTGTATACAGTCGTCGAGCAAAACCGCATCCTGAGTGGCATGCTGAAGTGCATGCAAGAGAAGGATCGCACCACCGGTCGTCCAACATGCAACGAGCAGGCCTGCCCCACGATGTCTGCCGGATCGTGAGTACCGATATGATCTTCGTCCTCTCCGATCATTCTGATAGCAAAGCAGGACCACGTATACCTGGATCGACACCAAGGGCCAGCCGATCAACCTCCCAGCGCCAACCTATATCAAGCACATCCAGACCTGGGTCGCGGGCAAGATTCAAGATCAGTCCCTCTTTCCGACCGACAACTTCACCACTGCGCCGCCACTTCCACGTCTCAATGACACCACGAACGCCAACGATCCGAACCACTGGCTCGGCAAGACGTCAGGCTTCCCGCAGCGCTTCGAAGTTGAGATCAAGAACATGTACAAGCAGATGTTCCGCTGCTACGCTCACCTCTACTGGCAGCACTGGCTGACCTTCTGGGACTTGAACGCTCACCGCGAGCTCAACACTTGCTTCGTCCACTTCATCAACGTCGGGCGCATCTTCAACCTGCTTAACGAGAAGGATATGGAGCCGATGGCGGGGTTGGTGGATCTGTGGGTCAACTCTGGTGTGCTGCCGAAGCGTGTCAACCCAACCGACGTCGTGCAGCCGGCCAGTGCTGGTGGTAGCGCTCCTTCGTCCGCTGGTGGCGCTGGTCCCGCTACTCCCGGCTCCGCTGGCGCGTCTGCGGGCAACGTCGGGTTCGAGAAGTCTACTGGTTGAAGCATGTGACGGTTAAACCCTGTGACGGAAAGTCAACTGTTGAGAGCAGCACGAGGAAGATTCTAAGATCAGAAGAATGAGACATGAGATGATGAAGCTGCTTCCGGGAGACTATGCTTGTTTTGCGGACAGCTCAGACGATACGCCCGAAGCGTTGTGGTCAGAAGGATTCAGAAGATAGCTTGTATGCACAAAGCTACTTCACAAGTCTTTCGTCCTTTCCTCGCTTTCTTTGATCCACTGATCTAGCAATGCCTTGTCCCTGATCTTGAGACCGACCTTGAACTCCTTCGGGTTCAGCGTCAAGCTCGTCAACAGCTTGTTGCAGCCAAACGCATCCAGTACTGGCTGGTCCTTCTTGTCCTTTGGTGGCACGATCTCGAAGGCTGTGATCATGCGCAAGAAAGCAGTGTACAACTCTCGGTTCGCAAGATGGGTTCCAATGCACATCCTTGACCCAGCTCCATAGCCGTAATGCGGCGTTCCACGGGTGGCGGCAGCGTCGTCGATACTCTTGTCCGAGAGGTAGCGATCTGGGTTGAATTCGTATGGGTTCTTGAAATGGGAGTCATCGTAATGGGCACCGTAGGCGTTCATGTAGAAGCTTGTGCCTGCTGGTATTGTTGCGTCGCCCCATCTGTGTTCCGGCTGTCAGGATGCAATGATCCGTTCTCAGCGTAAGACGACTTACTGGATGTCCTTCGTGTTCACTCGTGGCAAACAAATCGGAATGACGCTCCAAAAGCGCAATGTCTCTTTGACCAACGCTGTGATGTACTCGCACTTGTCTTCGTGCAAGCAGCGTTCCCAGCTGTCGTTATTGGGATAGCGTTCGTTGATCTCCTCTAGGGCACGTTTCTGGATCTCTTGTCCGTCAGGACTGGAGAGGTAAGCGATGCACATGATCAGATTGCCTGGGACAGTGTCGAGACCAGCTGAGACCATGCTGAGGCCGATGGACATTACTTCGGCTGTTGGGCAATCTGTCAGCCACGATATTTCTTGTGAGATCTCAATGAGGTTTCCTGTAATGACCTACCATGGTTGAGCTTGGCTTCTGGATCTTTCAAGACATTGCCGGTGATGCAAGGCTTGTCTGTGCCTTTGTCGATGCGCTCTTTTAGCATGTTGAGAAGCTGGTTCCTACCCACTACTGTCAGCGTCCGTCCAGCGAGTTATCTGGCCGTTTCAATTACATGTATGATGCTCTTCGCTTCTTGTACTCCAGCGGCTTGGTGTTGTTCCCAGGCTTCAGTCTCATCAAGGGTATGTAGTCAGCCCAGTTGTTGCTCGTTGACCGGAAGTTAGAGATCTCGCGCTCGACATGCGTGATCTCCGCCAACATCTTGTCGTCGACATTGCCCTCGATCTTGATGCCATAGTTGAGAGTCAACGATGTAGAAAGAGCGTAGCGTGCGAAATGGGCGTTGGGATCCACATCTATTTGGCCATTCTTTGAGTCGCCGAGCAACTCTTTGATAGACTTCGTTGATTCGTAGTCAATGATGGGCATGTATGATTGCACAGCCGGCTTGTTCAAGGCGGTCGCCGCAGCCTTTCTCCTGGCTTTGCAGCTCTCGTCCCACGGGCTGGTTCCGATGGTGAAGCCCTCGCTGCTTGAGACAACGGTGTGGAATGTATGCAGTGTTGGCCTCGAGATCAAAGCAGACTGATTCGTGATCCACAAGTTCTTCACGCTGTCGAAGGTGTTGGCGAATACGATCCTGCGGTTGCCCAGTCGAACCTGGAACACTGGTCCATACTTCTTTGACAAGTCGTGTGCGATTTTGGCATGGTTCTCGCCGAATTGGATCAGGTTCCCAAAGATAGGCCAGCCGGGGACTTCTGGTAGGTTCTTGATCTTGGGGACATCGGTCCTGTCCATGAGCTTGATTGTTGTGTAGATTACGGCGATGAGGAAGAACGGCAGTACCGTGGGGGAGAGCAGGAGGGCCATTATGCCCTGCTGCTGCTGCTGTGCTTCGACCATCGCGAAGGGTTGTCGCCCAGGACCGCAAGAAAGACCAGCCAAAATTCCAGGTCTCAGAGTTGGACGGACTAAATGGCTTACGGTCGTCCAACAGTCGGAGCGGTGGTTGAGAGTTGCAGGTTCTTTCAAGCTTTAGCTTTGCACTTCTTCGACGCAGGTCGTGAAGTCGAGAGGCTCCAACAGCAGTCTTGTCGTTCTTTAAAGCAGCAGCATGTGTAAGTTTACGACACCATCTACGAGGGAAGTCACCGAGAGATGGCCGCCACTAGCACCTTCGCTCGAACGGCGGAATAATCGGAAAGTCATTGGCCACCATTCAACAGCTTTGATGCTGGTACAGGCTCGTGGCGACGTGGTACAGGTCTCCAAGTAAGCTCGCTGCGGGGAATCGAGACCGATGTGGAGGTTGAACAGGACGAGACTGCGGAATATCCCCGCTGCTCCTGCCTCTTTCGGGATGAGGTCTGCAAAGAGGAAGCTAATAGTCGTAAGGCTGAGCATGAGAAGTCGTAACGACTCTCAATCAGACCATGTCCGAGCATGCACAGCGAGGGGCCCGCACTACTGCCGTGGGGCCATGCATACTGATGACATTGAAAGATGAAGGTAGGAAACAAGACATACATCGAACGGCTCATCATCGCTTAGAAGACCTAGAATGACATACTCACTGCGGGCTCTATCTTGCCAGTACACTCCCCAAAGCCTACCAGGCCACCGTCCTCAGTACCGCAGCAGCCAGTGATCGTCACCTGGTCTCCATCTTCAAGGAATTTGCGCTTCTCTCCGCCCTCCAATGCTATCTCAGTCTTGCCATTGTCGGTCTGTTCCAGCAAGCATCCTTTCTCGTTCTTACTTTCGCCAGAAATGGTCCCCGAGCCCAGCAAATCACCGACGTTGAAAGGACAGCCACCAATAGTATGATGCGCCAGCATCTGCGGAAAGGAGAACAGCAAGTTCCGGGAGGATGTCTTACCGATGCTGCTCGCAGTGCCAGAAGAGGTCGTGAGCGAAACTGATAAATCAATCGAGTAGTGGCTCTTGCGATCTTTTTCGTCCAGATATGGAAGCACTTGCGTGTCGTTAGTGATTCCTTTGGCTGTGAATGGCTCCAGAGCATCCATTAGCACGACCCAAGGCGATATCGTTGTGGCCCAGTTCTTCGAGTTGAATGGACCTAGAGGAACGTACTCCCAGGCTTGAATGTCTCGTGCACTCCAGTCGTTCATCAGCACGATGCCGAAGAGATGCTCAGGAGCGTCTTCTATTCGGACTGGGTCTCCCAGAGACGAAGGCTTGCAGACGAAACAACCGAGCTCAAGTTCGATGTCGAGCTTCTTGCTCGGACTGAACATCGGCTCCTTCTTCTGGGGATCTGCTAATATCTGCCCATTGGGTCGTTTGATAGAAGTGCCAGACACGACAACACTACTGGCCCTGCCATGGTAGCCCACTGGGAGATGCTTGTAGTTGGGCTGAAGTGCATTCTCAGGCCCTCTGAACAGCACCCCAACATTGTACGCATGATTTAGGCCAGCGTAGAAGTCGGTGTAATCGTTGGTAAACATAGGCAGATGCATCTTGCACTTTTCCAGCGGGACAAGAGCTGCTTGCTGCAGTTGCTGATTCTCCTGGAGCACATTTTTGAATGGGCCATCCTTCAGGAGCACGCTCTGCAGATATTCTCGGACAACTCTGTGCATTGCCCGACCCAGCTGAGCGAACGCATTCAAGGTGGGCTCGCTGAAAACATGTTGGTGTGGCTGTATGATCGAAAGGGCAGAGAAGCCATTTTCTTGGGCGAAGACATGTAAATCCAGGGCATGGTCGCCAATGGCCACCGCAACATGCGGCTTGCTTTCCTCAGCTGTCGATATAACACCGAACGGGATGTTGTGTATGGAGAAGTGCGATTTTGGATCGACCTGAAGCCATGAGGATAACGGTGCCATCTTGCAAGACCTGGTACGTTGAATGTGCCTCTTATCGTGGCGTGCAGTCCAGCCGAAGATTAGGAGCTCCTGGAGACCTCTCGAGCCTCTCTGCAAAACCGCCTAGCCTTCGTCGCTTCCTAGGTATCCAGTTGCAAGCCCACTCTGTCTTTTGCACAAACACATGATGACGGAGGAGTTCCGTTCGGAATGGCGGCCGTGGCATGCGTGGAAAGTGGTACATGTAGGGTTCAAGGGAGGAGAGGAGGTGGGGTTTGCAGCTGCGGCTAGAGAGGGTTCAACGCTTCCGTCATCGCCGCCGTTCCGTAAAGGCGGAATCACGTCGACTCGATCACGAGAATCTAAGAATGCTCGGAGTAATGCTGGAAGGGATCAAGAGTAAACTTTCTATACCCTCCAAACTTGAATACCCCTGGTGAGCAAATCGCCACATCGAAAAACCTACAGTTTCAACCAGACAAACTGGACGGCTCATACAAATTCATCACCCGACGATGCCTGTCACCAACTTCGCAGTCAAAGAGAAGTATCGCTACCAGAACGGCTTCGGCGACCATCATGAGACCGAGGCCGTCGAAGGAGCTCTTCCCGTAGGAGCGAACAACCCTCAGAAATGCCCTTACGGACTCTACAACGAAAAGCTCTCCGGCACCGCATTCACAGCTCCTCGACATGAGAACCAACAAACATGGCTCTACAGAATCTTACCGGCTTCAGCACACGCTCCGTTCGAACGCCGGGAGAGCGAAACCTACGACACAAACCCTGGCATCCACGGCAAGGAGCGGTGGCATCAAATTCCGAATCAGCTGCGATGGGATCCTTTCGACCTCGACGAGACGGTAGACTGGGTGCATTCCTTACGTCTGGTCGCCGGAGCTGGCGATCCGACCATGAAGAGCGGTCTCGGCATGTTTATCTTTGCGGCAGGCAAAGACATGGACCCACGCTCTGCCTTCTACAGTGCGGATGGTGACCTCTTGATTGTGCTTCAACACGGTGCTCTCGACATCCAGACTGAGCTCGGACGACTGCTCGTGAGGCCCAATGAGATCTGCGTCATACCTCGAGGAATCCGGCATCGCGTGACTCTTCCAGAAGGTCCTGTCCGTGGCTACATGCTGGAGCTGTACCAGGGCCACTTTCAGCTTCCAGAATTGGGACCCATTGGCAGCCACTGTCTTGCAAATCCTCGGGACTTTCAGGCGCCAGTTGCGGACTTCGACGAGGATACTGAGAACGAGTATACTCTGTTCGCAAAATTCTCCGGCCATCTCTTCGCCGCCAAACAGCACCAGACCCCCTTCGACGTAGTCGCCTGGCATGGCAACTACTACCCATACAAGTATGACCTGGGACGATTCGCAACGATTGGGTCGATCTCCCACGACCATCCGGATCCCTCCATTTTCACGGTCCTCACAGCGCAGTCTGACCACCGTGGTACCGCGGTAGCCGACTTTGTCATATTTCCACCGCGATGGCTAGTGGCAGAGGACACATTCCGCCCGCCATGGTACCATCGAAACACCATGAGTGAGTTCATGGGCCTCATCGGCGGCCAGTACGATGCGAAGACAGGAGGCGGTTTTCAACCAGCTGGCGCCAGTCTGCACAACGTGATGAGTGCGCATGGCCCCGACGCGACCTCGCACGAGAAGGCGTCGAACGCGGGGCTGAAGCCTGCCAAAGTCGGCGAGGGCAGTATGGCGTTCATGTTCGAGTCGTCGCTGATGGTTGGCGTGACTGAATGGGGTCTGAAGAAGTGTGCGAAGGTGCAGTCAGACTATAATGCTGAGTCTTGGGAGCCTCTGAAGGCACACTTCCAGCGACCAACACCGGCCAAGATTGTCAATGGTACGGCGAACGGGGTGAAGGGGGAAATTGGCGACAAGAATCAGGTGCCTCATTGGACGTCGTGATAGTTTCATTGCTCCATCTCTCGACACCAAAGATTCTCCTGGACTACAGTGAAGCGGCTCCGTTCAAGATATCTGAATTGATCAACTGTGATAAGGTAGCGCGATCAAATGCTGGCAGTGTTGCCCGTCGCTTACCTTTCCTTCCTTATCGGCCGATCGGTCGACGGCGAACCCTACCTCGCCTCTGTCGTGTCATCTCTCCAAGACTGTCGCGAGGCTCGAGAACTCCTGTCGGCGCTCGTCAAGCAGGTCGGGTTGGTCGGGATGCCGTCCTCCACCAAGACGTGGTCCCGAACGCATTCCCAGAGGCTTCATCTCCGACATCGCTCAGCCTGGACCTCGACAACATCGGACTGATCCGCGCGATTAGATTGATAACAGAGCGTGAGGTTACATCGGGCGACATTAGAAGCTCCACACCCACTTGGCGAGCACAATTTTTCATCTGATAATTCCAGCGGCTCTTATCAGATTGAAAACAAGCTCCGGTGGCATGACTACGGCTCCTTGACCAGACTCCATCCGTTCCAACGATGGGAGACATATTGTCGCTCCCAACATGAACTATTCGCTTGGCTAGCAGCAGGGCTCGTGGGCGAATTCGCTGCGAGGTTTTTCTTCATGAGGTGCGAGTGGGACGATAGGGTCCAGCCATGTGCTTGACGGTGGGTGCTGCAATATATTTCCCATTCTGTCCTTTCGTGCGTTGTCGATCCATTTCGTGTCGAGGTATAAGTCCTGGTGAGAAAACCACTTCGTTGTTGCGTTATCGTCCATACCGTTCTTCACAATGCTGGACCTCTTCTTCCCCAAGATCTGGGCTCACGAGTCCGAGCCCACGGAACAAGTGACGCCGGAAGTAGGAGATGACAAGCAGACGCCTCAGGTCCGGGTCGACAGCGATACCTCCGATGGCGAGTCCTTCACCAGCGGTGCGCAGACTGGTGTGAAGAACATTGAGGCTGTGACCTCCGTATGGACCAAGACGGATCTTATCCTTGCCTACATCTTGTGAGTTTGTCGCTGTCCATCGGCCAGAACAGAACCCTGCTAACTGTACCAGCATTTGGTGCATCTACTTCGTGTCGAGCATGCAGCAAGGCATGACCTCCAGCCTGACGCCCTATGTCACCAGCTCATTCCAGGCCCACTCGCTTACCGCGGCGACCGGCATCATGTCCAGCTTAATCGGTGGTCTCGTCCAGCTACCTCTTGCAAAGATTCTGGATATTTGGGGCAGGCCACAAGGGTTTGCGGTCATGGTATTATGCTTGACTATTGGCCTTATCATGATGGCCGGGTGCAACAATGTCGAGACGTATGCGGCTGCGCAGGTGTTCTACTGGGTTGGGTGGGTCAATTGCCGTCCAGGCTTCGGATGATTGAGCTGACGTGACCGTCGTAGGTACAACGGAACGGGCTATGCTCTGTCCATCTTTGTCGCAGACACATCCTCCCTCAAGAACAGAGGGCTTATGTTCGCCTTCATCAGCTCGCCATACATCGCTACCACGTGGATCGGCGGTCCAATCGCAAAGTCCTTCCTCAAAGGTGCTGGATTCCGCTGGGGCTTTGGCACCTTTGCCATTGTCGAGCCTCTTGTCACGGTTCCACTCTTTGTTCTGTTCGTCCGCAACTACCGCAAAGCGAAGAAGGCTGGCCTGATCACCCCTCGCAACTCCGGACGGACTGCCTGGCAATCGTTCAAATACTACGCCATCGAGTTCGATGTGATCGGCTTGCTCCTGATTGTCAGCGGCCTGGCTCTGTTCTTACTACCATTCAGCCTTTACTCCTACCAATCGGAAGGCTGGCAGTCACCCATGATCATCTGTATGATTGTATTCGGTGGCTTGTTGTTGATTGGTTTTGGCTTCTACGAGAGATTTTTGGCCCCTAAGACGTTCATACCCTTCGGCCTTCTTACCGACCGAACTGTACTCGGCGCGTACATACTCAGCGCGATTATATTTGTGCAGTGGGTCCGTTAAAAAGCACATCCCTACCATGACTGAGACATCTGCTAACATTCTTGTCGGTAGTACATCTGGAACAACTTTTTCACTTCCTTCTTGCAGGTCGTCAACGGTGTGTCTTCATGCGGCAGAGATCACTCACTTCTTAGGTATCTGCTGACATGTCAACCCTCGCAGACCTCACGATAACTGAAGCTTCATACGTTGGGCACATCTACAACATCGGATCTTGCTTCTGGGCTGTTGTTGTAGGCATTGCCATTCGGGTGACCGGCCGATTCAAATGGGTGGCACTCTACTGTGGGCTCCCGGTTCGTGAATAATGAGAGAATCCACGTACGGAACGTACGCTAACACTCTGGCTTTGCGGGTAGTTGACAATCTTGGGTGTTGGTCTCATGATCGAATTCCGGCAGCCCAATGTCAACATTGGCTACATCGGTATTCTCGCCATTGCTGCTATAATCGAGACATCCGCTGACAAGAAGAAGTCATGTGCCAGATCTTCATCGCCCTCGGAGGCGGAGCACTCGTCATCTGTGAGCAGCTGGCAGCGATGGCCGCCGCGAGTCATCAATACGTTGCCGTCGTGCTCGCGGTCGAGGGGATGTTCGCCAATGTCGGTGGTGCCATAGGTGGCACAATAGCATCGGTAAACCAATGGGAAAACCCCTGCCATCTCTGAGACATTTACTAACGATCTTGCCCTTCTGTCTGTAGGCCATGTGGACAGGCATATTCCCGCAGAAGCTGCTACAATACCTGCCACAAGAGGCCAAAGCAGACTACATCACGATCTACGGTGATATCACTGAACAACTAAGCTACCCGGTCGGGAGTCCCGTGCGAACGGCTATTCAGGACGCATACGGCGCTATGCAGCGGTACATGCTTATTGCATCGACTACCGTCTTGATCGCGGCCGTGGCGTCTGTTATTGTGTGGAGAGATATCAACGTCAAGAACTTCAAGCAGGTCAAGGGCCGGGTGTGGTGATGTGGCGTGTTGAGGGACGCAGGTCGTCTCGAGAAGGGATGTCATCTCGTGGCAGCTCGAAGCACATTCGGTATCTTCCTGTGGCATGGCTGTTGAAGAGAACGACTGCGTTGGAAGTCTAGGGTTGTTGATGAAGGCGAGAGGCGAATTGCAGGCATAATCGGATCGCATTGGAGGCTTCTTACAGAGAGCTACATAAAGGCAACAAAGACTCGTCAGCAGAACCCAAACAAGCTGATCGCAACTACTTCCGACGATCGCAACTACTTCCGACGAGGCTTGCATAGTTCAAGCAGAGTATGCAGGTCGTCCAACGCTGTCCTATAGCATGTCTGAGAGCTCTCATGTCCCGCCATCAAGAGCTCCTGACCTGGTCTATCATGACGCCAACACTTATAAGGACCGAAGAAGCTATTGTTTGATGATTATCCATCTCGTGAGAGGTAATTTCATATTCAAGACAAGGCAGCTTTCGTGATCATCTTGCTTCGAACAATAAACTCATTGTTTCCTGCTGACTGTCATCGTTGATCGATCGACAGAATATGTTCTTTGCTTCTCTTGTTGCCAGAGAGGTCGTATCTTGATCAACAGAACTCCTAGGCGACGGCATCACCAACTGAACGCGATCGCTGCTCCGATACAGACAACATGGCCTTCCTCGAATGGGCCATCCACGAGACCAGCCTCCACTCGCTGGTCAACGCCGGCTCAAGAGACATTTACCTCATCCTGTTTTTACGATTCCTACGCATGTTCGCATACGGCGGCGCTGCTCTGGTCGTCGGCATATTCCTGTACAGCATTGGCAACGATGGGAAACAGCTAGCAATGTTCCTCAGCATGACACTCCTAGGCGACGCAGTGATCAGCTACTTCCTTACCGTCAAAGCGGACAGGATCGGTAGACGCAGAGTCCTGGTGGTCGGATCCTTGCTCATGACTGCAGCTGGGGTGGTCTTTGCTATAAGCACGAACTATTACTTGCTGCTTTTTGCGGCGATCGTGGGCGTCATTAGCCCGGGTGCACACGAGGTCGGGCCCTTTCGCGCGGTCCAGGTAGGTTCAGCTGCTTTCAGTGTATGCAAGTCATGTCGGAGAAGCTTCGCTGATGCAGACAGGAATCTATTCTCGCGCAGCTGACCCCGATAGAGGCTCGTACGGACGTCTATGCGTGGTTCAGCGTGATGAGTACCGTCGGGATGGCCACAGGACTTTTCTCCGCTGGCTGGATCACTCACTTCGTCCGAAACCGCTACGAATGGGACTGGAAAGACCCGAGGGTTTACCCCTATGTCTTCGCAGTGTACGCTATCGTTGGGCTGATCAAGGCCTGCGTGACTCTGCTCCTGACACAAAAGTGTGAGCCGGATGAATTCGCTCGACGAGAACTGGACCTGGCTGATCGTGAGGCCACCGCACCTTTGCTGAATGATGGATACCGTAGGACACACCGTCGTGGTGTCTCCGGGAAAGCGACTGGCGCGGTTCGTGGCATCTGGCGGACTCTCACGACCACTTTGTCAGCTGACAGCCGTCGTATCCTTGTTCGATTGTGCGTGCTGTTTGCTGTCAACTCGGTTGCGGCCGGAATGTTACCTGTGACGGTCGTCAGCTGGTACCTCAACTGGAGATTCAGCTGGTTCGTGCTGTACCGGGTGGGCTATGCAATGGCTGGCATCTGGATCTTGGCCAGTATCGCCAACCTCTTCTCTGCGTCAGTTGCGCGGCGTGTTGGGCTCGTGCGAGCGATGGTCTTTACCCACTTGCCTAGTGCGATCTTCCTCGCCTTTATCCCGTAAGTCAATCCCATGGGCAGCAGAGCAGCTATGCAGAATGGGATCGGATGAAGTGTGTCTGAGTAGTAGGGAGTCGATTCCTCGCCTCAAGTTGCAAAGGCATGAGGAGCCATGCTGATCAAGTGTCTATAGCCTTGCGGAAGACTGGAAGCTCGTATTCATGTTGCTGCTTGCATCCTCGGTCTTCGCCAGCATGGATCAAGCCCCTCGCACGGCTTTCGTGGTAAGCACTGATGGGTCAAAGGGTTCTTCGAGACACGATCACACTGCATGTGGCGCTTTGAGACCTCTTGGATTCTTCCATAGTATCGAGACACTTGCTGACCCTGTTACCCTTCCGTTCTTTAGGCGGCTTGTTTTTCATCCTCAGAGCGGACAGCCGTCATGGGCACCATCAATCTCGTCCGGACCGTTGCATCAATAGGAGGACCAATACTGGCAGGGTACTTTCACGATAGGGATTTGTGGCGGATTACCTTTCTGTTGGCAGCTGCACTCAAAGTCTTGTACGACGTCGGTCTCCTTGTGATGTTCCTGAAGACGAAGTTGCCGGAGTACGAGAACGGGCCGCGAGAGGTCACTGTGACAGACGTTGATGTCGACATCTTGCTGTCTGACAGTGAGACTTTCCAGCGTCCTCCTTACGACAGCCTTGAAGCTGAGGATATGGAGGAGGACGACGCCGCAAGCTTGAACAAGGCAACAACCGAGAGAGTTGAGTCTGTTGGATAGGAATGAAGACCAGGAAGTTCGGAGTTCTTGATCGGTCCGGTAAGCTGTTGGTTTCAGGCCACAGTGTTCCCAGTCACATTGCTCCCCGGAGTGGCCGCCAAAACCGTGCATTCTCATTTTCTCTCTACATCCGAATCACAAGATACCGTGGCTCTCACATACCGTCAGCATCAGGGAACACCTCCACATCCATATCGTGCTCAGCCACATCTTTCCGGTTTAGAGGTGAATCCTTCGATGTACCGTCTTACAAGCAGCCCTAACTGTTCGGACCAATAGTTAGCTGTTCCTTGATTGATGGAGATGCTGTACTGTGACTGAGGCTGTCCTGAACATGTTAGCCTACGAGGACGAGCTTCTGCCACAATAACAAGATGCCTACTCAGTACTTACCTGATAGCCTTAACCTTGTAACGGAGTTGCTAAAATGAGCTTCGCATTCATCTACAATATCGTCCCTAAGGGGATCCGCAGAAGGAGAGAAGGCTGCTTTCGACGAAGGCCTCTTCTTGCCATCTTAACGTACTCTGCCAATTCCTGCACCACCCCCAATAATTGGAGATATCGTTGGAGTTGAAGCACAGCAGGAGATGGCACGATGGTGGTCTGATCAAGCAGTGGCACCACTCTGTGGAGCTGTAAGACACCTCACCTGTGTCGCCCAAGCTCTTGTTGCTGCTCTTCAGGATTGCATTTCATTCTTGACTCCCCGATGCAAGCCTCCGCTCTTCATTTTGAACATCTTCGTACAAGCCGAGGAGCATCAGCCTCTGCTTGACTGTCCGCAACCAGTCATGTTCGGCCCACTGGATCTCATCGTCCCACCCACTGTTCTCCTCACAGCTGTGCTGACTCTGCCGTTCACCATCGCTAGCCGTATCCTCACAGGCAATTTCTCCGACTTAACGGTATGGCCGAAGCTCAAGCACCTGTGGTTCAAGCACTTCTGGTGGTGGTTTGGCCCAGCGTCGAAGCCGCTCTTCGCATCCTCCGTTAGACCCTTGCTTGCGGAGGCTTCAGGTATTGTCCTCGACATCGGACCAGCAAGTGGGATCTGGATGCCCGAGTTCGGTGAAGCAGTCAAGAAGAATCCTGGCAAGATCAAGAAGATCTACGGAATCGAGCCGAACACTTTGTTCCACCCACAGCTGCTCAGCCAGGCAAAGGCGAATGGTCTTGCTCATATTTATGAGCCAGTCGCAGCATATGCGGAAGAGCTCGAGGGCAAAGGCATAGCCAAAGGCAGTATCGACACCGTGATCACTGTGCACGTATTATGCAGCGTCGGGGATCACGCGGACACAGTCGTCAAGGAGTTGTACGACTACCTCAAGCCGGGAGGTCAGTGGCTGGTGTATGAGCACGTTGTGTCTCGCCATACTGCTGTCAAGGCGTTCCAAGGTACGAGAAGATTACGCACCGGCATTTTCTTGCTCACTGATTTCTCTCTGCAGCTATCAACAACGTCTTTTGGCCGACACTACTCGATGGCTGTACTCTGGACCGAGATACAGAGCAGATGCTAAGGAACGCTGGCCAGTGGGATAGCATTGCAATAGGGCCGGATCCAAAGGATGGGTACTTCGAGACGCTGCCGCATACTATTGGGAGACTGGTCAAGTAGCCTCGAATAGGCTGGCGTCGCTATGTTTTGCTGGCCCTGAACGTACAATCCGGCGGAACACAGTGGCTGTTTTGCGTGCTGTGACGAGAGCGATTCGGATGAAGGAATGAGTAACATGAGCAGATTGCATGTCAGTTCGGTATCATTAGCAAGTCAATCATGATGGTCATCCAGCTCAGTCGTGTTCTCATCCATCACCTGCTGTGCCAACTGCAACGTTCCCTGCCGTTTAGGTTTTGGTTGCTCCTCCTCGTCAGCTTTCAGCGCATCATGCTCGATTTGCTCCTGAGGATGCTTCTCCCAGAGATCCATGACCTCTCCGTCTCCAGTAGCTTTCTGGTATACCGCAAGAGAAGTGGCGAACTCTTTGTGTGCTCCGAGCTGGACCTTATCCAACAAGTTTACCGCGAAATTCTGGCAGTTATTGGATATGAGGTTGTACTGCAGATGAGCATTAGTTGGGCCATTGTCTTCTTTCGACAGCGGTTAAGAGGGCGGACAACGTACCGCAGGCCTCTTCTCACGCATGAGATGAATCGTCATGATACCTAATGTAACGCACCAACGGTCAGACTGGCCTTGCAGCATAAAACTACTCAGCGCTCATAGCTACACTCACTTGCTTTCCGCAGAGCCTGATCGTTGAACCTCGTCTTGCCGACGTCGAAGACTGTCCATTCTTCAGGCTTGAACGCCTCATTGAAGTAAATGACGTCCAAGTTTTCGTCCTGTCATGCAATTAACAACAACCCGACCGCAGAGCTTTTGTCCTACATACCATCCACAGCTGATGCACATACTCCCCAACGATGACCGCCCAGTGCTGTGTCGGATCAGGATACTTGCCCACCCGCTCCTTGATCCCGCGGCCGATGATCGTCTTCTCAGCGAACCATTTGCCTGTGGCACCAGCAACGGGATGCCAACCTAGCTGGATATCGCGGGGCTCGCCGTTGATGTCCGCTTTGCCAGGAGGAATGGTATTTGGCTTGTGGCCGAGGCCGAGCGAATGCTTGAGGTCGCGTTGCGCTTCAATGGCTTCCCGCTTGGTCTTGTTCAGACCGGTCTTCCTGGAGTATTACTTGAGTCCAAAATACGTCTTAAGAAGCTTTTGGGTTGCCTTGACTTACACAAAAGTGGTGATCTTGCCGCTGAACGACGACTTCTTCTCTTTCTTACTCTCCAGGTCATCTTTCGACTCGATCTTGGGGCCTTTTTCAGGAGCCATTGGAGCGATCGTGCTTTGCTCTCGGGTCAAGCAAGTCCCAGCGAAGATACATTCATGGTAGTTCTGGTACCCTCGAGGAAGCTGATGGCAAGGAGGAACAAGTGGGTGCGACAACAAAGTCCGGGAACCTTGCACTCGTGCCAGGTTTTGATTGGCCGATTCAGATTTTGGTGCGTGCGCATGTCGTGGCTGTAGACAAAACCTGGAATAGTTCTCATGTTGCCCTTTCTATGGACGGCCATGGTCACCGAATCAATTGACAGGCTGATGAAGAACTGAGGACAGGAAAAACATCAGGACTGTCAAAAGTGGATACTCTTGCCTCAAAAATGCCGTTCTTGACCGTTGTACAAGTCCACCGCTAATCACTACTACCGATCGATCTGTCCTCGGAGGGTGTGCACTGGTAATGTTCAGCCTGCTGAGCCATGAAGAAGTAGGCAGGCTTTCCCGTCTTGTGTTTTCCTCGAGTGAGCCCGCCAGTGGCTGGCAGCGTTAAACAACAAGTTGTTCCCGCTTCAGACGCAGGCATCATAAAGTTAGTGATGATCGGCCAGAACGTTCTGGTTCCTACAGCAGGGCAGTGCAAAGGCACACAGCTAGGACATGTAGAGCATCTGGACCTTGTCCCGGAAGCTGTAGCTGTAATGAAGGCGCCAGTACAATGGCACTAACGGAGTTGCTTCGCTCAAGATGTTGACGGCCTACTTTGACTCGTGTCGCTCAATAGGTCGCGATCGCAGCAGAAAGACCAGACAAGTCGCTGGGGTCCCCTCGTCCGTTCCTAGATCAAACTTGGGCCAGGATGCTTTGGTTCGTTGTAAATGAATACATTACTGCGTCCGTTGTCACCCGGCGGCATTGCTGTCGTACACGGTGGATCTCCTGTCGGCCATCCAGCCTCGAACCTTACTTAACACATCATTCGCGAAGCTCGCAGAATGAAACGCCAAACCAAGTTCCTGACTAGTGAACCAACTTGCACGATCCATATTTCCACTTCCCAGCACTGTCCATTCTCCGTCAATGATGGTGAGCTTAAGATGGGACTGCACTGGTTCCGCAGCTGATCCAGGCCTAGGAGACGATGGGCTCGGACGGTAGAATGACACTTTGAGACTGCCCGGTACGACCAATAGGCCGCTCTCCATCGTCGCGTCCTGTCCAGGTTCCTCACGCTTGCCAGGATTTGCAAGACGTCGATGTCGCTTCACAAGAGTTTTGATACAACGACTAGTCGTAGTACCGGCTGTGACAAGTTGTTCCAGAATCATGAGCTTGTCGCTTGTGAGGACCTCGACGTTCACACCTCGTTTCAGCGCTGCGAGGACAGCATGGAGTACAGGCGGCGAAGTGAGATTCGGCGTTTGCATGTAGATGGTTGATTGCGCGTTTCTAATGGCTGTCAGGAGGAATGAGTTAAGTGGCGTCGGGGGGGGCGGCGGGCATTCTCGCCATGGCAAGAGAGAGAAGCGAGGATTGATGTGGTGTGGCGATGGTAGGAAGATGGATGGTACGTCGGTTGCTCTAGGTTCCGATTTACTGCTTGAGGTGAGTTGTCCAGCATGACTCTGATCATCGGTCGGTGGTTTAATGTTGCCATCCGCGCGGTTCTTGTCCTCGTTACTGGACCATACATGCTGCCAAAATCTGAGGAACTGCCCGACCACAGCGCCGCTGATGGTAACACTGCCTTCGATCCAGTCTTCCCAACTGACGTTGCAGCTTGGCAATATGACCAGTCGTCGATCAACAATGACAAACTTTGGATGGAGAACGCTGAATGGCAGAAGAAAGATGCTTTTCACTTGCAGATCTAGGCCCTTTAGCTCTTCCGGTCCAGGTAGGCCTAGCTTGGCTGTCCATTGGGAAGGATGATACGGCTGTCCTTCTAGACTCCTGGTGTGGAACAGCTTCTGGAATAAAGAGAGTGAGGAGAAGCATAGCCTGACTCTGATCTTCTGGCTTCCTCGCTGTACAGCCCGCTGGGAAAGCTTGCGAAGGCTTTCAGCCAGAGCATTGAGGGTTGCTGATCGTGCCCAGAAGCATGTCACTAGGATCACCTCGGTCTCTGCGGATTCAATGGCTGGAAGAACCGAATCGTTATATATGCTGTAGCCGGTTCCAAGTCCAATACTGCCGCGGATGTTTGAGGTGGTCAGTAGCTCCTCCGGCGTTTTAGACCAGTAGTTTGGGAAGTCGTCCGATGCGCGACCAGCAGGTTGAAGCCATCGTTGGACCGTGGGGTGGCTCTCCATCGCGAGGTGTGGCCTCAGTGCTGTGAGTTGGTTGTCATCGCCATGGATCTGTCGTGTGGTCTTGGACAAGCATTCTCAGAAATATGACCAGCTGTTCTAAACCAGCGATTCTCCTCATGAACTCACTTTCACTTCTTCTCCTTCCTTTGAAGTAATGTGCACCTGCCTTTCTTGGCAACACGGCAGGCCACCGGCCCGCTGGGATTCTCCGCCGCTAATCCGCTATTCTTGGCTTGCAATGAAGTGGACTTCGCGACACCCGCGTTGCTCATTGATCATTAAGAAACTGTTGCTATTGTCGCTCGCCGTCGGGGCGTTTTCAAGACTCAAACACTGATCCCTCGCAGTCTTCTCAATTTACTTTCTGAATCACAACATCTTTCAACCGCAGCAGCGATCACTCAATCACCCACCTCCTCAGCAAACAGCCGAACAACGCACAACCCCGAATCCCCAACCATGTCCGGCGACGATGGCGATCTTGAGGCCGAGCTGCTCGCCATGGCCGGCGACGACAGCTCGGACGACGAAGGTAGCGATGCCGGTGAAGTAAAGAACCAGACGCAGGTCGCAGACGCCAGATCTCCTTCGGTAGAACCAAAGCAGAGCGTTGAGAAGAGTGAAGAGCCATCAACGGGCCCGAGAAGGGGTGTCGCACAGAAAGTGAGGAAGAAGGGCAGGAAGAAGGTCTTGAGAAGGGAGATTCAAGATGAGCTGAACGATCTGGCTGAGTGAGTTCTCCCCTGACCTCGCGGTTTCTCGCATTTGTGGCAGTATGACGTGAAGTCAAGCGGCGACTTGACGCTCCAGCACTTCTACGGCAAATTCCAGATCATGACTGACCACATCTGCTGTAGCTCACCTTCACCACCGGGCTCACCAGGATCAAACGCGATGTCTGAATCACCAGTCGGATCGCCTGACCGTGCTTCGTCACCAGCAGACGACGAGCCACTCTTCCCAGTCGAGGGCCAATTCACGTCAGAAAGCGACCGCGAGCACATCCTCTCCCTCCCCGAAATCGAACGCGAGTCCATCCTTGCCGACCGTGCCGCTCAGAGCCTCAAGAAGCAGCAGGATGAGAAGCTAAAGCAGCTGCTTGCGTCCAAGTCGGGTAGCAAGAACAAGCGAAAGGCCGCAGCCGCAGAGCTAGACGACGAACCCAAGAGCAGTCGCGCAAAGACCCAGAAGGCAGGACGCAGTGCACTCGACGACTATAAGAAGGCTCGAGAAGCTAAAGGTGCAGAGCGGACCGGTCGTTTTGACCTCAAGAGCAACCGAAGACCAGACTCGCGTTCACCCAGCTCCGCTTCGGATCGCGATGCAGAGGGAGAGAGCGAGGTGGAATGGGCGGACACCACTTCGTCCCGACGAGATGAGCCACCAGCAGAGATGAGAGATTTCGAGAGATGCAGAGTCGGCAGGACGAACTTCGCCAAAGTCTGCTTCTACCCGAAATTCGAAGAGACCATGAAGGGCTGCTATGCGCGGGTCAGCATCGGCATGAACCGCGATACCGGCCAAAACATGTATCGCATGACGCAGATCAAGGGCTTCACAGAGGGCAAGCCGTACATGCTCGAAGCAGGACAGAATGCAAAGAGCTTCATGTGCGACATCTACGCTGTGGTTGCGCACGGTGCTGCCGAGAAGCCGTGGCCATTGAGCGCTTGTTCCGACTCGAAGATCGCTCCCGATGAGTTTCAGCGCTACATCGAGACGATGCAGAAAGAGAAGCTGAGGGTGCCGAAGAAGGCTGCGCTGGTCCAGAAGCTCAACGACATCCATGCTTTCCTGAACCCACAGTGGACCGAAGACGCTCTAAACACGAAGTTCTCGAAACAGCGCGAGATGCAGAAGCGTCTCGATCCTGCCAACATCGCAAAGGCAAAGAAAGATGCCATCCTCAAACGCAAAGCCGATGCAGAAGAAGCGCATGACGACGAAGAACTGGCACGCTGCGACGCCGAGCTCGCTGCCCTCGAAAACAACGCCGCTACGAACGGCGCAAGACCCGCCATCAAAGCCTCTCCTGTCAAGCCCACCACCATGTCACAGCAAGACCGCCTTGCCATCCTCAATCAGAAGAACCGCAGCAAGACTTCCGACGAAGTCCGCAAAGCTCTACTCGAAGAGCGCCGCAAGCGTGAGCGCGCCATCGCCGAAGCCAAGGCCAAGAAGGCCGCTGCGGCCGAGGAAGAGGCGCGCCTGAAGAAGCAGCAGGCCGACCTTTTGGGTGTGCCGGGCGCGGACATGAAGGAGTTGTTTGGAGATATGAGTGATGCGAGCCGTGCGGGCACGCCGATGAGTGGGGTCAGCACGCCGAAGTTGAGGAGGAGCAGGCAGGGGACGCCGATGAATGGGGTCAGGGAGAAGAGTAAGCTGGGGATGGGAGCAAAGAAGATGAAGGATGGGGAGGGCGATGAGTTGGCGGATCTGGATTTGGGGATTGATGTTGAGATCTGAGCGAGGACCGCGAGCGAAAGGACAATATCAGCTGGGTGGAGATCTTAGTGAGGAATGCGGGCGAACGGACGATAGGAGCGGTATTCTCTGACTTCGAGAGGTTGCAAAAGCTCAGGACGGGCCAAACCAACGACCGCGGTTCTGAAAGCGTGGAGAGAATCGTCGAGATTCAAGGTGCTAAAATCTGCTATTGCAGCTCGCTTTTAGCAGCTCAAGCCGGACAGAGTGACCTCCATACCTCCATAGCAAACAGCGGTTCGTTGACAGACACTTCCCCAGCGCCTCAGCAATGTGCACACGATCCCATCCTCGTCAGTCACTTCAACCGACAGTCATCCCACCCCCCACTTCCGTGTCCTTGCTGTCCTTCATCACATTCTGCAATGTCTTCAGCTTCTCCATCAGCTGGTCAAACCCAGCACCTTTGTGGTCGGGATCAGAGGTTGGCGTCATGTCCTCTGGGAGCCAATTGTCAATATCGTCCTCCCACTCCGTCCGCTCGCCGATCGGTAGGTTCTCGTTGGAGGCCAACATTTTGTCCCAGTCTCCGCGATACAAGCTCAAGCTCCAGCGAGGATCGTAGATTGTCGTGGGCATATTAGACGAGAGCGCCGACGATGACTGGTGAGAGAACTTGCGATCCTGGAATTGAGCCAGTTCGAGCGTAAAGTCGGACCACTTGATGTTGTAGCGGTAGACCAACTTCTGCTGGATCGACTTGAGTTGGACGCCGTGTGGAGGTTTGTGCGTGACGAGCAGCTTGTCAAGATTCATCTTGCTCGCCTCGCTGGGGTTAATTCGAATGCTTTCGGCAAACGCTTTGAGCTTCGCTGAAAGCCGTGACTCTTCCATCACTTGCGCAGCCTTGATGTCGAACTGCCATGCCAAACCAGAGGTGAGGTCCTTCAGCGCGATGTCGACGATAGATGCCGTCGTTCCAGTGTCGCGGTCGAGCCTCGTCCATTTCTTGTACACAACATCGTATTCGGTCGATTTGTAGGAGGTGTCTTTTGCTTCCTCCCAGCAGATCTCCAGGCGAAGGTCACCGGCTTCGTCGGCGAACGTGAACGCCACGGAATAGAGGGGTCTCACCTCAGTCAGTTCCGATACCGTGACGACAGACGGGTCCAAGAAGTGCCTGGCGCTCTGCAGAGTCTCCAAAGCGTAACGCTCAATGTCTTTGTCACCGACCCTGCTCATCGTCAGTCAACCGTCTCACGGTAGCAATAACTTTTTGGAATAGCTTACTCCTGCGTCACTTCTCCCGTGAACTGTGATTCTGTGATCATGTGTCGGTAATCTTCAAACGTGTATGCATCATCCTTTGGCTTCTTGAAAAGTGTTGCCAGAAAGCGGCCCAGGCGGATGCGCACCTGGATCTGGCCGCGATAGTAGTGAAGCTTGGGAAAGGAGCGCAACATGACAGCGCGGATACGGTTCTCGCTGATCCTGGTGGCCTCCTGCGGCTCATCATAGGCATCCTTAGTGCCGGTGGCAAAAGGGGAATTCATAGCGGCAGGTCTTCCCTCTGTGCCGCCCGAAGGGACCGCAGCACTCTTGTATGGCGTGAGGACGACATGGCTCGGCAACTTCGACACGTCTGCCCAATGAAGCAAATACAATCTCGCGGGCGAGAGCTGGCGAGCAGCTATCTGATAGCACGTCTTCCTGATACGTACAAGTGCTTGCTGGACGCCCATGGCCTTTCCGTGTACAAGGAAGGCAGATCGTTCAGAATCGAAGATGATGTAACACTCATAGTCCATCCGGATGGGATCCAGGGCTTCAAAGCTCGTACCGAGAACCTCCTCTGGGCGATACAGTTGTACCGGCCAATGAAAGGTGCCTATCGCCCCGAACAATGCGTGTTGAGCAGGCCTCTGACGGAAACGCTGGCGTGTTACTTCTTGTGCCCATTTATTCTCAGCTCTCACACGACGAGCAGGTGTCAGTGACACATTCCTTCCGAACATGGCCGCCCTTCGAGATTTCTGTGGCCCTTGCCACCCCTCGACGAGGGCAAGGATCTTGCGCCTCGTAGCGGAAGTAGCCTCCTCTTCACCCCAGATACCGAAGGACATGGAGCCTCCCGTGCCCTTGTCATGCTGTGTGAAGATGAAAGAGTTCTCCTCGCGAGAGATGGCGATGTAGAATGGCTCAGCACCGTTGGACTGCTTTTGCAAGACGAGCTCCTCTGGTATACGAACTGACTGTGCGTAGGGCTCGTTGTTGCGCCACGACTGCAGTGCTTTGCTGTCTTCCGCCACATGGAGACGTGGTGGTGGGCGGCGACGTCTGTCCTCGGATGGGCCCTGCTGAGCTTGCCACTTCTGTGGTGATAACCCCTGGTGCTGCTGTTGCTCTTGAGGTGCGTCAAAAACTGGCGGTGTAACATGTCCAGGCCTCTCGTTTTCGATGCAGTCAGCAGTGACGGCTGGCTCCGCCAGGTGCTGCTGGAAGGGCGTCTGCTGGGCGCCTCGACCGCGCCCACCACGACCACGACCATTGTCAGTCCCTCGTCCACGTCCACGTCCGCGCTGAACCTGCCCATGCTGATGAGACTGCTGCTGATATCCACCGCGCTGGTGTTGCTGCTGCTGTGGTGGTAGCTGATTCCTCTGCGATGCCCGCCCGCGATGCTGACCGCGCTGCGTGCGGTTGGGGATGACTTGCCATCCGCCAGGAGAAGAAGGCCCTTGCGACGCACTGTGCTCGCTGTAACCCTCCATCTTGACCAACAACCATACAGGTACACAGCGTGAGGTGGTAGGTGAAGAACAAATTTTCAGTGGCGGAAAAGCTCAAGTTTTCGCCCCGAGCGATTTGGGCAAGTGCGTCATTGGCAATCACGAGCGCAAGAGGAAGGTACGATCGGAGCTGAACATCGTTTTCCTTGGTATCAGGTATAAGCGCATTTCCGTGGAGAGGGCGCAATGAACGGAACACGTACTGCATCATGAATGCTACTAATACCACACACTCAGAACTTCTGCCTTCCCAAGCTGGGCGCCCAGGTCAACGGGTGCGTCTCCTCCGTCGCGTTCTCATCCTGCCTCCACACCTTGATAGTCTTGTCCGCCTCTCCAGTAATCAGCCGCAAACCTGTCATATCGAACGTCGAACTCATGATACCGGCCTCCGCATCCAGACTTCCTGGCTGAGCTACGCTGTCTTCATACTGGAAGCGATGACCCGTCTTCCAATCCCAGAATGCTACGCTACCATTATCTCCTCCACTGAACAGCACATTGTCTTCGTTCACAGCGAGCGTGTTAACGATGCTGTTGTGCCCTTCGAAGTTTTGCATGAAGTCACCCTTGGGGCAGAGCCATTGCTTGATCTGGCCAGGTGAAGCCGAAGCGAAAGTGTACTCAGTTGGATGAGTGGTAAGGGAGCGGACGCCCTTTTTGTGGTGTGTGAGTACACCCATCGTCTTGCCGGCTGCTAGATCGTACATCCTCACTGTGCTGTCAAGGGAGGAGCTGATCACTTGAGGGTCGGTAGCTTGAGTGGCGATCGAGGAGACTGTCCCCTTGTGGCCGCTGAGCACGTGAATGTTGGAGCGAGTTCGCATGTCCCACACGCGGACCACGCCGTCACGGCCGCCAGTGCACAGTACGTCAAGAGTAGGATGTAGGCTCAGAGTGTAGACGCCGGACAAGTGGCCGTGGTAGTGTCGGATGACTTTGTTCGTTTCGAGATCCCAGCATTTGACCATCTTGTCTTCTGCACAAGAAAAAAGATACGGGTGCCGTGGCGAGACTGCCAGCCCGCGCACGCAGGAGATGTGGCCGGTAAGCGTGAGCTTGAGAGTTCCAGTCGCGAGATCCCATATCTTGATCGTACGGTCTCCAGCACCAGAAGCGAACCACTGGTTGCCAGGCTCCACAGCAAGCGCTCGTACCCATCCCAAATGACCAGAAATAACGCGAAACAGCTTCCATGGTGGATGCCACTCTGGCTTCTGCTGCCGTACCGTGTCGCGCCTCACTAGACTGCTCGAAGGGGTGTTTCGTTGTGGTGTTGGCCCGTTCGCGTTTGGTGGTAGTTTCTCCCCTGCTGTGCCCTTGATCCTCGTGAGGGCCATTGCATTGCCGTTTGCTTGTGATGGTGTCCCTCGTTCTGACGCCCCAGCGATCATCTGCGCCATCTGCGGGTCGCTTGCCTGCTCCTCCGTCCGCTGCTTCTTCCTCCTCGCTGCAAGTCCCGCCTGAGCATTTGCTTGCTTTTGCGCTAGAACAGCCGGCAGCTCCAGGACGTCTCCATACTCGCTCCGTATGCGCGACGCTACATTTGCTTTCTGTGCGCGTTCGTGGGGTGATGGCTCCGGGGGGGCAATGCTGGGTTGCGGTGCTCGATCCAGTGCTGATGGTTGCGCGAAGTCTGCAGCGAAGACTTCTCGTGTCCGTTTCGCTGAGAGTTTTACTGCCTTTGTCGCGCGCTCTTCAACTTGGTCTGAAGGATCTGTTGCGACATTGCTTGTGCCCGCAGGGACGACTTCCGCCATAATTTGGTGATGTTCCAAGAAGCCTTAGAAATTCCAGGAGAGTTCGATCGATCTCCACTTGTCCGGTGCGTCGCAATAATAGCAGTTCGTTCAAAGCTCACGACCTGAAGTTTGAAGTGAGCTTCTGACAGACTTGCCAAATTCTGCCGCGCTTTCCCCGCTCACCGCCCTTAAACCCCCGAGACAAACCACTTTCCAGCCATTTTATCAATCATTCCAATCGACATCGCATCTTGGGTTGGGCATCGGCATTGGCGGGCGCTTTTGGGGTTCGTTCTGGACATTCGACATGCATCACCTTCATCCGCGATCAAAGTCAACAAGCACCCTGTTCACAGCGACTCTTGCCGTCTCCTTCCTGGTAGTCGGCCTGCCGCATGTTCTACCCTGCCCAGTCGACCGGCGGAAGTTCGCGGACAGTGATACGCTGGATGGCAAACCTAGACGACGACGGAGAAGGAGTGATGCTGAATCACCAAACAACCCTACGGAAAGCTCGCGACCTCAGCGCGCTACGATGATGGAGGACGAGGACACACGTAGGAGACGCGAGTGCCCGGTACCCAAGCCGGGAGGGCTCGTTGGTCAGATCATGGGGTTCGAGCAGAAGGAGAAGGAGAAGCCGGTCGAGGTGGTGGTGAAGGGTCTTCCAGCGAGGAAGGGAAGGGAAGGGCCATCGTGAGAGTTTTGTGGATGGACAGTATCTCCACTACGACATCGACCATCACCAGGATGCTACGATGGACCTCGCAGTCGGCTCAATCACACTCGGCGCACAGATTTGACACCACAAGCCTCGTTGACTGAGTGCGAAGGGCTATCCTGGGAGCGAGGCCCGCCCACTGGTGTTCACGCTGTCTCAAGCGCGGGTTACAGACCTTCTACAATGCGAACAAGCACCAGAAGACATAGTGAATCTGGGCATTCCTCGCGGGCTCTGCAATTGACGGGAAAGGGCTTGAAGAAGGAAACGACGAAAGCGGGCCGTGAAGGTCGCCAGCAGAAACTTTTGCGATGCATCTGCGCGAGCGCGGTTTGTGCAAGGTCATATGAACAATGGGGCGAGGGCGACGCGGGGAAAGCTGATAGAGCGGTGGCTTGAGAAGCAGCTTTCTGCTGTGTACGCAGGCGGTGATGGAAGTTTGCGAGCCTTGATGTACCGGACGTAGACTTGTAAACGCACATAGGGGTGTCAGCAAAGTCGTGCATGTGGCAGATATAACCATGTAGTGGTGGTCATTGAATCGTGAAGCAGAAAGCGAGCAATTTCGCGGCTGCACCTTCCGAATCCGCTCTTAATTGGTCGCGTCAAAACGCGTCTTCTCACCTCAAGCCCACACCTCACACACAACCCTCCCGCCCACATCTTGTACAAACACACCACACGCCCACGATGCCCCCCAAGCGCAAACGCACCGCGCTCGAGACGGCCCGCCACTACCTCTCCGGCGGCGGCGTCCTGCGCGAAGACTCCGACGACGAGCTCGGCCTCGAAGATCACCCGTGGGAATGGCTTTACTCCCCCACCACCCCTTCCACCATCACCGGCGCGCGCATGGGAAACTTCGAAGTCCACCTCGGCGACATTGTGCTGCTCAAATCACCTGTGCCGAGCGAAGCGTGGGTCGCTATCTTGTATGAGTTTAGTGAGGATGAGGAGGAAGACGAGGACGGGGAAAGGGAGAAGAGGGCGACGATGATGTGGTTCTCGTCTGAGAAGGAAATACGCAAGAGCGCGAAGAAGAGGACGGATGCGGGGGGGAATGAATTGTATTTGACTGCGAATTTCGACGAGAATCCGTTGGTGACTATCAATGGGAAGGCTACTGTGTTGTCGGAGGAGGAGTTTACGAGGCGGTTTCCCGGTGGGAAGGTGCCGAGGCAGTCGAGGGAGTTTGGGAAGGTGTTTGTGTGTAAGCGGGGGGTTAACGTGAGGACGACTACGTACACGGAGGAGTGGAGGTGGGAGGATGTGTTTCGAGGGAGGGAGAGCATGGATGGGTTGGTGGAGATGGTGGAGAAGCAGACGGTGAAGACGAGGAAGAGGAAGGCGGGGAAGGAGAAGGGGTATGGGGAGGACGAGTTTGTGGCTGGAGATGGTGAGGAGGATCCGAAGACGCCTAGGAAGAAGCGCAAACTGGCTGCCGATACGCCGACGTCGAAGAAGCAGCTCACGCCACGGAAGTTTGCTACGCCTACGGGTCGGAAGATTGTGACAAAGAAGGCGCTGGAGTTTACTCCGCTGGGGACGAGGGTGCTGTCGCCGGCGCAGATGCAGGCTTCGCCGTACCAGCTCGCGAGGTCAACACTTCATGTCTCTGCTGTTCCACACGCCTTGCCTTGCCGGGAGTCTGAGTTCGAGATGGTGCACTCTCATCTTGAAGCGGCCATCACTGCTGGGACAGGTGCCTGTATCTACATCTCAGGCACACCCGGAACTGGGAAGACAGCCACGGTCAGGGAAGTCGTCGCTTCGCTACAGGCGGCTGTGGTGGAAGAGCAGCTCGACGACTTCTACTTCGTCGAGATCAACGGCATGAAAGTCACCGACCCGCACCAGTCGTACTCGCTGCTCTGGGAGGCTTTGAAAGGCGATCGGGTGAGCTCATCACATGCGCTGGACCTGCTGGAGCGCGAGTTCAGCACACCGAGTCCTCGGCGAGTGCCGTGCGTGGTGCTGATGGACGAGCTGGACCAGCTGGTCACGCGCAATCAAGGTGTGATGTACAACTTCTTCAACTGGCCACAGCTACGGCATTCTCGGCTCATCGTTCTCGCTGTGGCCAATACCATGGATCTGCCGGAGCGTACGTTGTCAAACAAGATCAGCTCGCGGCTTGGCTTGACGCGGATAACGTTCCCTGGCTACACGCATACGCAGCTCATGGCCATCATCCAGTCCCGTCTCGAGGGAGTTGGCCAAGTCATTGTAGACCCGGACGCAGTGCAGTTCGCCAGCAGAAAAGTGGCAGCTGTGTCCGGTGATGCTCGACGAGCGCTCGACATGTGCAGACGTGCGGTCGAGATTGCCGAGCAAGAGAGTCTGACGGATACAGGCAAGGAGAACCAGGCGCCAGACACTCCAAGCAAGACACCTGGGAGGCAGAAAGATGTAGCTGCGACTGCGCTGGCGGCGAAAAAAGGCGTCGTGACCATTGCCACGATCAAGCGAGCGATCAACGAAGCCACCTCAACGCCATTAGCAGCGCATCTGAGGTCTTTGCCGCTGGCGAGCAAGCTCTTCCTCGCCGCGCTTCTGGCTCGTTTACGTCGGACCGGTATTACTGAATCCACACTCGCAGACGTTGTCGATGAGGCGAGACGAATGGGCGTAATGTCGCAAAGCAAGCCGATCGAAGAATATCTCCTGACTCCCGCCGCCACGCCAACACATAATCCAGACGACCTCGGTGCAGTCGCGAACACACCCTCCAAGCGTGGTAAGCCTGCCGCGAAGAAAGAGCGGGACACAGCAGCTCGTGTACTCGGGCTGGGCTGCGCGGCTCAAGAGCTGGCAGAAGCTGGCATTGTTGGTCTGGAGATCCGACATGGTGATCGGGTTGGGCGGATTCGCCTTGGCGTCAGCGAGGAGGATGTGCGCGCTGCTTTGCGGGAGGATGAGGAGAGCAGAGGGTTGGGGTTTGGTAGTTGAACGCAACACACTCCTCATCCTCTCGTTAATGATCGATCCGTCCCCAAGTGGCCCAAGTCCATTCCACGTCCGGCAATTCCTTCGTCGCTACAGGTGTCCAGTCTTCTATTGTTGTGAACGTGGGCACAAGCCAGATCTCTGCGCCTTTGGCGGTTGTTGAGTCCGGGTTCGGCCGCCTTGCTTCCCAGATATCGGCTTTGACTTGGCCGAGCACTGCCTGGACGTCGCTTTGCGGCAGGTCGGAGCTAGACACTGCTCAGCGCTTGCATGCTTAGATGGTGGGGCCAGAGTACGTACTACATCAAACTACAATGCGGGCGATACTTCTCCCTCACCCACCTCTCCACGTCCTCCTCGCCTTCTCCCGTCGCAAGCTTACGACACTCCTTCGCCAGACCGAGAAGCTCATCCGTCTTCTCACAGAGCATGATGAGTTTTTGGAAGAAGATCTCGCCTACGTGGAGCTCGTTGATCGTGACTTTGAGATTCTGTTGCGCAGCTGAGAAAGTTGTGTGCGCAAGCCATTCCGCTGGGTCTTGATCGTGGTCCAAATGGATGGTGCCGGCGGTAAGTGTTATGTGTGGATTGAAGGTCGGGGTATTCGTGTCAGGGTAGGTGGAGGGAATAGTATTGATGAGGGACTGGATGGTGGTGTACAGCGCCGACGAAAAGGAGGGGACGAGCCATAGGGAGTAGCCTTCTGATCTCATGGTGGTGGACATGTCTGTGAGTGAGCGTACGACTGCAAATATTCTCTTCTTGTCTCCCAAAGAGGTGGTATAGATGTCTTCTTTCATTAAGTTGATTGTGGGATGTTGTAACGCTAGTCATGTCGTCGCATGTGATCGACGCTTTGAAGCTTGAGCCGCCTGGCGCCCGACCATAGTGGTTGCTGAGGACGACCGTTGGAGGAAACAGGAGCCTTGTGACGTTGCGCACACATCTTTCTATCCATCTCACATCTCTATAACTTCACGGACGAAAGCAGGTCTATTCGTTCTCGACAGCATACATATCACAAACCGAGTTTCATCGAGAGCGACGATCGATCGGCGAAATAGAGTTGGCGGGAGAAAGAAGTGGCAGGCACGACCAGCCACCAGCTCGAATAAGCTGTCCCTCTGCAAGCTACGTTCCCTCCCTCCCTTCACACACATCCTTCTGTCGTTATTGAGGCCTTCTGACGCTGCTGTTACAGCTACACTCGCTTTGCCATCTTCACCACCCATCGCGACCGACGAAAAGACCACTCTCGACCAGTGGAGAGCTCCAGCGGAGGTGGGGTCGACTTGGACGATCGAAAAGAGCGGTCGAGACAAGCACTTCAGCATTCCTACACCTCCATTCCGCGCCCACGAGGGCACCCCGACCGAGCCATGCGCTTTCATCTGGCTCCTGCGCCGCTCCTCCACCTCATCACCACAATCCTCCTCATACCGCAACGAACCTCCGCAAACCCTGCCCCACCAATTTCTGTACAAGCCGGCTTTGAGTTCAACGAGCTCTTGAAGCGATACGACTGCTCTGGTGAGCTCTGCGGATGGAACGATCAACTCTGCTGTCCTAATGGCGGCTGCTACACTAATGCCCTCCAACAGGCGACTTGCACAGGCGGCGGCAGCTACTCTGCCTCTGCAGCACCGGCACCGAGCGCGGCAGGAGGAGGGTATTGGCAAGTCTACACCACAGTCTACACCGTCACGGACAAGGAGGTCATCACCAGCGTTGTTAGCAACTACGTCGGCGGCAGCGTGTCAGCAGTAGCATCCAGCACACCATCCGGACAAGCTCATTGCAACTTCGCCATCAATGAATCACCATGCGGCGATATATGCTGTTCAGCCACGCAGTACTGCTTCAATTGGGGCATTTGTAAAGCAGCAGCCGGCTCCGAAACGACCACAACAGTCAAAGCTGGTGGCACCGCAGGCGCACCCATTCGACCCACCTCTTCCGGCGTGGTGGTCGTAACAGCAACGGAAAGCCCCACGACCACTGTTCCCTTCCAAACACCCGTTGCAACCGGCGCAAATGTGACAATGACAGCCACCGAGTCCGGCGGCGGCGGTGGTCTCTCCGGCGGTGCCATAGCAGGTATAGTCATCGGCGTGCTCGTCGGCTTGCTACTCCTCGGTCTGATCTGCTTCTACTGCTGCATCAAAGGCCTACTCGACGGCTGTCTCGCGCTCTTCGGGCTGGGCGGCAAGAAGAAACGGAGGACAGAAGTCGACACCTACGAGCGACACTCGCACCACACCCACAGTGGAGGCGGAGGCGGACGGACATGGTACGGCGCTTCGAAGCCTGCGCGGCCTAAGAGGAAGGAAGAGAGTCACAAGGGACGAAAGGTCGCAGGCGGGCTGGCTGGGTTGGCGGGTCTCTGGGCTGTGCTGGGTCTGAAGCGGAAGAGGAACGACAGGAAGAACAATGGGTCCGAGTATTCGTATTCTTCGGACTACTATACTAGCAGTAGTGAGTATCACTCATCTAACCCACGACCCTGAGCTTCTGCTGACATTTACCAACAGGTAGCGCAAGTTCTGATGATCGGAGAACGAGGTATACCTCTCGTTCGCGGCGATGATGAAAGGGGATCTTGTGTTTGTTTCAGCGTTATGAGAGTGCAGCTTCGCAGCCGGTCGGCGTTTTATGCCTCATGGTACGGTTCCTTGGACAGGTTAAAGGCTGAGGCGTTCCGTCGAGCGACGATGTGGATGAGGAACGGCGGATGCGTCCATGTAGATATGCTTGAATACCCCCCGAATGCACTGATGCGATTACTACATGTGCCCATGCTCGTTGGCGTCCTATTTCTGCTTTGCTTTCTTGTCTCGCGCTGGCTTCTGTTGGGCCTTTGCAGGGGTGAAGTAGATTGCCGTGACTGGCAAGGCGATGCCTAGTGCTATTCTAGCTGCGCATACCAGATGCATAATCTCGTATTCGTGTGCTCTGCTCAATGGTGCAATGCAGGACACGGAAATGTACTATTTCTCAAACCGAATAGCTCGAGCTCGTGGGCTGCACATCTGATAGCAGGGATCACCTCGCCTATCGCACTAGCGCAAACTCTCGCATCTTCAGCTTCTCGAAATTTTGAACCAGATCACGACGAACACAACTCTGCAATACAACCACCACCATGGGCAAGAAACGCAAATCCGCACGAGCGGAAGCGGATGCCCCTTCCGGGCCGAACATGGACGTCGGCGACTCCAAACGGCGGATCAAAGACTTCGAAGACGTCGCAGATTCCGATGATGAATTCCACATCAACCGCGACAAAGTCCTGCTAGACGAGGGTCCGGAAGCGAAGAGGAGACGTCGAGATCAGGAGCGAGAGGCATTTTTAGATCCGAGTGATGAGGAGGTGTTGGGGCACTCGGACGAGGAAGAGGAGGATGAGGAGGATGAAAGTGAGGACGAGCGTGGCGATGCTCGACCGGGCGCGAGGCCTGCTTCGGATTCTGAAGAGGGCGACGAGGAGGGGAGTGTTGATGACGATGATGATGAGGAAGGCATAGGCTGGGGCATGGCCAAGGACGAAATCTACGGCGCCGATGCCATCGAGACGGAAGAGCAGGCGCTGGAGGAAGAGAAGGAGGCGCTGCGGTTGCAGAAGAAGCAGTTGCAGGGGATGAGCGCGGCGGATTATGGGTTCGATGAGGCGGAGTGGCAGGATGGCGAAGCTGAGAAGATGGATGAGCGGACGCGGAAGGTTGTCACGGAGACGCTGCCGCAGCTTCAAGTCAGCGAGGATTTGGGACCGGTGGAGAGGCTGAAGTTGTTGAGGAGTCGGTATCCGGAGTTTGAGCCGTTGAGTAGGGAGTTGCTTGCTATGAAGGAGGTACAGGAGGGATTGGTGAAGGATGTTGGAGTGCGAGGTGGTGAAAGGCCGAATGCGCAGACGAAGCTGAGGGCGGCGTCGGCGTATGTGGGTGCGCTGACGATGTACTTTGCTTTGCTGTCTTCGCCTGCATCGGGTGGTGGAGCGGGTACTGTTGCGATGCCTGCGGTGCAGCTACGAAATCATCCTGTGATGGATACGCTGGTGAAATGTCGGGAGCTGTGGGCGAGAGCGAGTAAACTGCCTAAGGACCCTGAACCTTTACAGCCCGCTGCAACGAATGGTGTTGCTGGAGACGCAAGGACCGGGAAAGCGGATCAGCTCGCCAAAGCGTCACAAGACGTACAACAACCAAAGAAGAGCCGCGCCCAACGACACGCCGAAGCCGCACAAGCAGCCTCCGAAGCACGCAAAGCCGAACGTCTACAACGAACAGAAGCCGACCTAGCCGACCTCGACGCTCTAATTCACCAGAAGCGCAGCAAACGAAAACGAGCAGAAAGCGGCCTCGACTCCGACGCAGGCGAAGAAGCCCCTCTCACCGCCCACGACGCCGCCGAAAAGGCCAGGCGCAAGAAGAGTCTCCGCTTCTATACCTCACAGATCGCGCAGCGAGAGAACAAACGCGGCACCGCCGGCCGCAACGCCGGTGGCGACGAGGACATCCCGTACCGCGAACGCCTCAAGGACCGCCAAGCTCGTCTCAACGCCGAAGCAGAACGTCGTGGTCGTAAGAACGCAGAGGCCGGAGCAGATCTCGGCGGTGCGAGTGACGAGGAAGACACGCGCCAAGCTCGCGCAATTCGTGAGGAGGGGGACGACTACTACGACGCCATTGCCGCGCGCACCGCGAAGAAAAAGAGCGATAAAGCCGCTTTCGCGGAAGCACAACGACAGGCCGCACTCCAAGGCGGACGCGTTGTGCCAGAGGAAGTCGTCGGCGCGGACGGCAAGCGCAAAGTCACGTACGCGATTGAGAAGAACAAAGGGCTGACGCCGCACCGGAAGAAGGAGAGCAGGAACCCACGGGTGAAGAAGCGGAAGAAGTTTGATGAGAAGAAGAAGAAGTTGGGGAGTATTAAGCCGGTGTACAAGGGTGGGGAGGGGAGGGGCGGGTACGGAGGCGAGTTGACGGGGATCAAGAGGGGGTTGGTTAAGAGTACGAAGTTGTAGCAGGCTACCTACCAGTCGTGCGGTTGAGGGTAGTGTAGTGTGTCTGCGTACTGTATACTACACTGTCTACTGCTAAATTGAGGCCCACCACAACAGATTCCAACACCATGTCAGCGCCCAGCATCCAGTCAGCATAAGAAAGTCACCTCAGCGCCCGAAAAGGGGTCCTGGTGTAGCAGCAGCACCGCCCTCCTCACGTACGTTTCGCAAACGAGAACGAGTAGGTGCGGCCGCTGGGTTACAGTTGTCTTGTGTTTGTTGCGCAGGGGGAGTGGTACTAGTGCTTTTCTTTCGTCATGCTGATGTTTGCTGCGCATAATATCACTTTAACCCTGTGTAACACCTGCCTTATTCACTGTTTGGTACCTACCTGTTCAATGGGTACATGTAGAAATGTGCCGCCTCTTTCTGCTCTTGTGTGTTTAGCATGATTTCGGTACGGTGAAAACCAGCAACTTCGAAGCCATGGAGAACGGAAAGATGGCCGATATGGCACTCGACTTACCTACGCCCAGCACTTTCACACAGATTAGCCCGGTGCTTACCTTTACGATCCTCCTGACGTTCCTGCCGCTGTCGCTACGACTATACCTCGATTACCTAGCCTACCTCGCCTTGGGCCCCGGAGGAACGCCCGCTTCGCTACAAGGGTTTCTGAAAGTCAAGCTGTTGGGCCTCTTCGCATTGCGTGATCCATACTCGCCAAGGGACCGAACGCAGCATGGAGGCTATCTGCACATCGGATCCAAGGGTCTGCGCAAGCGACGTGGCCCGAGACCGGTGGTGAAAGGAATCGCGCCTCAGAGGTAAGCTGGAGATAATCGCCCAAAGAGGGGAAATCAGTCGATCGGCTTCCTTCAGAGCCATGGAGGATACTGAGCAGTTCCCAAGATCTGAGTGTGCTAACCTTTTCCCGCTTCCGTGGACGATAGGCAGACCACCCAGAAGGCTCCGCAGGCCATGTTCCAGCGTCTGGCGTCCGAGATCGAGCGTATGGCTGCAGCAGACGACACGTTGAGCATTGGAACTTCCTGCTTCGAGAAACACGGTACCGGCCTTTTCTTAGCTTCCACCTCACCGTCGCGGACCGGAGACCTTATCGCCCATACAACGCATCGGTGTAAGCACGAAATCGTCCACGCTCACGCGTCCGATGGTTCGCTGCACCTTACTCTACACCCGGCGGACTCGAGAGCCGTGCTGGAAGCGGGCTGGGGAGAACGACATCCCCTCTCGCGCGGCGGAAGGTTTGAGAGGTTCGTGCCGGTGGATTTTGTGATGATTTATGCGCCAAGAGATAGCGAAGAGGTGGAGATGGTTTTGAGGATCATTTCGGGTGCGCGGTGGTTTGTCGGAGGGAAGACTGGGCCTGTAGAACTAGAGGGGAAGGATGGAGAGGATGGGATGGGGAGGAAAGATAGTGGGTATGTCTGATATGAATAGAAGTAGGTGATGATAGGGAAATATGTACGGAGGTGCCAGACCTGGGATTGAACCGTGGGTTGGTTTGAAGGAGTTTCATGGTAGGGCTGTCGTGGTGCCGGAGGATGCCAGCCTTGCCGCGTTGATTAATGCCGCAGAAGTCGATAAGGGAGGATCACATGTTGTACGGGTTCAAGAGGATTTGGGTGTGGGAGACGACGTTGGCTCGCGTGCCCATTTTACCTCGTCGAACGCGTGAACGCCCAGCCTCCAAGCGGATGAAGCAAGCCGAAGACGTGGGCGTAACGCCACCACGCTCATCCAAGACCCGATCCAAGCCGCTCTTCGATGGCCCCAAGATTTGCTTGCCATGGAGCCAAGTTGCATGACAAGCATTGCGTGATCCTACTTCGTTCTCGAAGGAGCAGTCGCTGTCGACATCTACCACTCTTTTAACGCTGGCTGCTTGTTATTTACTAGGCTTACTATTGGAATCGCCCTCCGAGCGTGCCGATCAGCAGAGAATGCAATGTGGATCTGCTCGCGTGCTGAAATGGCCGAGCAAAGGTGGCCGTTGAGAGGCTGCTTCCATCTAGCTTCCCTCGCCAGTGGGGGGGTCGCGAACCCACGCTCCCGTCATCCATCGGCGCCCACCAATTCCCGCGCGGCGAGAGGGCTGCAGCGAAGAGATGGCTCGCAACCCCAGTCGCGCTATCCGGCGGCGTGCAGGTGCGCCTTTGGTGGAGCTCGGCTCCTCGTCGTCATACAGGGTCTTGCTTTTTCACAACCACTCTTGCCCTGGGCCTTTCGCTCCTGCAAGCTCCCGCGCGGCACGCTGAGATACAAAACCCAGTCCTCAGCTCGACTTTGTTCCCGCTCTTCTTTTTTCCCCCAGCCTACACCCTCTTGCCAGAGCGCATATCGTTGACCTCTACACAGCAATTAATGCTGCAGCACATCACCGGTTCCGATCCTTTTTTCCACTACACCGGCGTCTTTATACGCGCCATCCGTTCGATAAAATGGCGGTAGAAGTCATCAAAAAGGACGGCTCTTCTGGACCGGCCGGCAATCCCGACGCGGATATGGCCTCCAGCGAGTCGTCGGACATTAAATCCAACTGGGCGACTGCTGGTTATTACACCGGCATCTACGTCAACGACGAGGAGAAAGCTATCCATGGCCGACGGATGATGAACCGCATCGACAAACCTCGGACCAAGTCGATCGCCGTGCCCATCGACCCCAACCGCCGCGTTTCGTTGACGGGAAAGTCGCAGTCGCCAGACAGCGGAGATGATGATGCAGACGTCTCTGTCGGCAAGCAGATGGAGCTGGAGGCGGGCAATGCGATCCAGTATCGTACTTGCACCTGGCCAAAGGTGTGATCCCTTTTCATGTCGTTCTGATCTTTCTTAAGAGTGCCGTCATGTCAAAAACTCACCAAAACATTTCCTTGACACCCCAAAGCATTGCTATCTGATCAGTAATTGTGATATGATTTCGGATCTAATACGTGTTCTAGACTGCGGCTCTGCTCTTTTCTGAGTACATCTGTTTGGCTATCATGTCGTTCCCGTACTCGTACTCGGTACTCGGACTTGTGCCTGGCATCATCCTCACGGTGGTTCAAGCAGCATTCGTGCTCTACACCTCACTAATTGTCTGGTGAGTTACATACACATTTTTCAAATTTCAAGCTCCACTAATCACGTGAGTAGGGAATTTTGTATCCGCCACCCAGAAGTCAAGGATGTCTGTGACGTTGGCCAGACGCTGTTCTTCGGCAAGCGATGGGCGTGGTGGTTCACCGGTGTCATGTTCCTCCTAAACAACACCTTCATCCAAGGCTTCCACTGCCTGGTAGGCGCCAAGTACCTCAACACCATGACCAACGGCGGCATCTGCACCGTCGGCTTCAGCGCCATCATGGCCGTCGTCTCGTTCCTCTGCAGCATGCCTCGCACGTTCAGCGCTCTCGCTCGGCTCGCCACCGTCAGCGCCTTCTTCACTTTCATCTCCGTGCTCCTCGCCGCCATCTTCGCCGGCATCGAGGACCATCCCGGCGGCGGGTCTGCAGATACAGCATGGCCGAAGCAGGGCAAAGTCGAGCTCCTGGTCGTTCCCCTCGCCGGCACCAGCTTCGTCGAAGGCATGAACGCCTTCCTGAACATCAGCTACACCTTCATCGGCCAAATCACGCTCCCCTCGTTCATCGCGGAGATGAAGGAGCCGAACGACTTTCCCAAGGCCCTGTGGGCTGTCACCATGGCCGAGATCATCGTCTTCTCCCTCATCGGCGCCGTCATCTACGGTTTCACCGGCACCAACTACAACGTCGCGCCGGCCTTTGGCTCCCTCGGCAACGAGACCTACCTCAAAGTCTCCTTCTCCTTCATGATCCCCACGCTCATCTTCCTGGGTGTGCTGTACGCCTCCGTGTCGGCGCGCTTCGTCTTCTTCCGCCTCTTCAGCGGCACCAAGCACATGGGCAACCACACGGTCGTCGGCTGGGCCAGCTGGGCCGGCATCCTCGCCTGCCTCTGGGTCATGGCCTTTATCATCGCCGAGGTCATCCCCTTCTTCTCCTACCTGCTCTCGCTCATGAGCGCCCTGTTCGACTCCTTCTTCGGCTGGATCTACTGGGGCTTCGCGTACATGCGCATGCGCGACGCGGACATGGGCCGGGACTTTTACAAGAAGCGCGGCGTGCGGGGGTGGATTGGCCTTTGCGTGAACATCTTCATCATTGCGTTTGGCTTCTTCAACTTGGTCGCCGGGACGTACGCTTCGGTGGATGAGATTGTGATGGCGTATGCGAATGGTGGGTTCGGCGGCCCGTTCGGGTGCGAGTACAATGGGCTGTACATCTGGCGGAAGGCGGATGCGTTTTCTAGCTAGACAGCTCGGTGTGGGTGTGTGGGATTGGATATGGTGAATGGGTGGGTTTGGACAAGGGATTCATTACTAAAAGTGTGGTTATAGCACGACAAGTTGGTATACAAAGATTGAAACGACATGACCAATTTGGCGCGAACTTGCCTCTTTCCCTTTCTCGGTGTCTGTTGAAAGAGCTTTTCCCGCTGCGCCCATCGAAAACATCGAGAGGTTATGTCCCGTCGTCGTATACCGTCGCCATTCACGTTCATCCATCCCTACACTTTGCGGGTCCGTGCACGAAGCGGCCATCTCTGTATAGGAGGTACATGCACCTTTACTTCCATCCGAAGTCGTGGATTAAATCGCACGCATCCAATCCAGCAAACGACAACCGCCACACGCAACCCACCACAAACTCATCCACGTTATACCCATTGCAACACCCCCCCCCCCCCCAACCATGCCCCCATGCCCCCCTCCCCCTCGAAACAGGAGGTAACCCACGCCTACCGCCACCTCCTCCGCGCCGGCCTGCACGCCGTCCAGTACTCCAAGCCCGCGCGCTACGTGATCCGGGACCGGCTGCGCTACGCCTTCCGGCACCACCCACCGGGCCATTTCAACGCTGCAAGGGTTAACCGGACGCTGGAGTTTTTGGAGGGCGCGGCGGGGAGTAAAGGGTTGGAGCATCGGGTGGTGAAGGCATTGGTGCATGTGTGGTGGGAGCGGGGGAAGGGGATGGGGATGTGGTCGTGAGTTTTTACTTTCTTTTCACTTTTGTGAGTGGGTTTATGTTGGGGTGGGTGCTGACGTGGGTGTTTTGGGGCAGACCCACGACGGAGCGGTTGGAGTGGAAGAAGAGGGCTTATCGGGAGTTTGACCGGACGGTGTGGATGTTGGAGGAGAGTATGGGGGTGGGGCTAGGGGGTAGTGCGTGGGAGCCGAAGAAGTCTTCTCATGCTCTTGAGGCCATGAGGGTGTAGTGTAGGCAGCGTCGCTTGTAATGGTGGTGCACGACCATCACAGCATAGCGGCTGTGAGGAGTTGGAAGCCAGAGACACGGGCGCTATGGCTCTCCTCCCGTTATCTCATTCTGGGGATGAGGTACGGTATTCAGCTCAGCTGCAAGTGTCAAGTCTTGTAGACAATGACACTCGGCACCCTTAGCGAGTGGAACGGCGGAAGTACAGACGACACTTGATGCCCTCTGAAACAAAACATACGCATCAAAATATCAGCCTCTCAACACAAAAACAAAATGCCTTTTGGTATCTTCCCACTCCCCCAGCGCCACCGCTCATGTTGAATGACTATATCCAGTCCTCTCACAACCTTCCCCTATTTACCGCCCCCTCTACTTCGCCTTCTTACTGCCCGCCTTCTGCTCCCTCTCCCTCTTCGCATAAATCTCCGCCGTAAACGGATCCTCGAACCGCAACGCAACACTATACGCCGCAAACACGACAAACGTCAACACCAGCCCCGCGGGCTTGCCGAACCAAATCGCCGTCCCCGCGAAGCTCATCGTGCTGCCCCAGTACATCGGACTCCCGGTGACGTTGAACGGGAACCCGGTCACGATCTCGTCCATCAGGATGCCGAAGTAGTCCCCCAAATATGTGCCCGTGATGCCCAACGCCCACATGGACGTCAAGACCAGCACGTTCCCGCTCACCACGAGCCCGGCGGCGAGTGCTTGTGGCACGAAACCGAGCAGGGCAGGGTGGGCGGGTTGGAACCGCAAAGCGCGCTCATAGATGGCGTCGCGGACGAGGCCGAGGCAGAAGATGGTGGCGGCGAGGGCGTAGCAGCCGTAGAGGGCGTTGCCGCCGGCGAGGCGGGTGAGGGTTTTGTTGTGGTATTCGCTGCGGGCGGCGATGTTCCAGAAGGTGGGGTTGAAGAGGATGGAGGCTATGGAGACTGCGGAGCAGAAATGTTAGTGGGGGGATGTTTGGTTGAGGGAAGGGGAGCGTACGCCAGAGGCTCGGTTGGGAGAAGTCGACGTAGGAGGATAGAGAGGCCATTTTGGTAGAGTGTTGGTGGTCAATGGGTTGGGTTGTTATGAGAGGGAATGCAGGAACAGAAATGTTTTTCTTTCGAGCAATATGAGCTCTGCGTACGAGCGACGTCACATGGCGGGGCAATTTGGCAATCCGATCGCGGCACTTGAGGGACAGGTTCTGTCTTCAAACGTTGCAAGAACAAGGATGTGAACTGCCTGGCACTGTTTCTTCGAATTTGATGGTGTACAGATAGTGACACGGGAGTCCACTTTCACGTCCACCCACTTCCGTAAAAGCGAGCTCACACGCTCGAACGCAACAAGAAGGACCAAACCGCAATCATTCCGGCATCCGTCCGCCCTTCGTCCCTCTACTTCTTCTCCCCAACACCATAATCCTACTCAAATGCCCTTAGATCAATTGGCACACTAGTCCCCCTCCCTGCCCGATACCTCTTCGGCCCGCCACTAAACTCCCTTGGCTTCGGCAGCTGGTCCTCTCGCTGGAACTTGAAGCGCCCGTCGTCCATAATCAGCCTCTGCCCTGGCCTACCACCACCTCCAGCTGCGGAGGAAGAGCTAGGCCTACTTCCACTCCCATTTGTCATGCTCGATTGTGAGGTGAGAGTGTATGCCGAGGCATCTAAAGGTCGAAGAGGCGCCGTCTGAGGATTCGGCAAGGTTGTTGTAGATGCGTTGGCCGGAGGACTGACATTGCCCAACGTCATGCCGCCTGCGGTTGGGATGCCTCCACCTGAGCTCTGTGTCTTCGAAGGCGGCGGAGGTGGCGGAGGAGGTGGTGCCGCTGACACAGGTCGTGAAGGAGCTGCTGCCGTCGGCGGGGGTGGAGGAGGCGGTGGGGCCGTGCCAGGACTTTCGGGTGGGCTTTGCTGGGGAGCAGGCGGAGGTGGAGCAGCAGGCGAACTCCCACGCGTGAAAGCATTTCTTGCCGCTGTTTCGGCCAAACTAGGCCCTCGTGAGATGCCGTTCGTTTCTGGTGTGGGCGGCGGCGGAGGTGATCGTGCTGTTGATGGAGGCGCAGGAGGAGCGGGGGGCGGAGGAGGAGGTCTCGGTGCGCTGGCAGTGGGTGGTGGGGGCGGTGCTGTAGGTGGTGCAGGACTCGTGGATTTTGGAGGAGCCGGGCTGGTTGAAGGTGGTGGCGGAGGCGCAGAAGGTATTGATGGCGCTGTTGAGGGCTTGCGTGAGGTTGGAGGTGGAATTGGTGGTTTCTTGCCTATGGGTGGAGGTGGCTTCGGTTTTGAGACTGGCTGATCGGTCGCGCTCGTATGCATTGTTGGTCGTAGATTGTTCTTCAAAGCTGAGACACCAGGCGCAGGCGCAGACGGAGCAGCTGATGGCGGTGGTCGAGGCGGTGCGCCTCCAGGCGGCTTTAAAGGAGCATTCCCATTCGGCGCTGGAGGAGGTGGAGCTGCAGGAGCAGAGGACTTCCGTGAAGTCGTCTCAGGGTCTGAATCATATATGTTGACTCCCGCATTGCTTTTCTTGAGCTTCGGTATTCCTCCCGCGAACAGTCCTCCTAATTGTGGTGCTGAGTCTGTCGCTGCCCCTCCCCCCGATCCCTGATCGCTGTTGCTCCGCGCTCTGCTCTGCCCTCCTGGTGGCTTCAAACTCGCACCACCCGGCACAGGTATGGGCGGCGCTCCAGCCGCTGGTGCTCCACCGCTTGACGAGTTCTTGTTGTCAATTATAGGCGCTGATCGATCGTTCACTTGCACTTTCTTGAGTTGTCTGCCCTTTTCAATGTCTCCTAATAATGCGCCCTGTATAGTCGTGCGTCAGTCGATCATTTTCCCACATCTCCACGAGTCGATTTCTCCGTAGAGATCCTCGTAGTATGACCTACCCTTCCTTTCGCTGCACCTTTTGGGGGTTGTGCTGGTAGATTGCCCGGAGCCGGAGGTGGAGGAGGTGGTGGCGGCGGGCCTAGGAATTGTCAGCGCATCCTCTCCCAGCGTCCTCGAATCTCTCTCACCTCCTGCTCCTCCAGGCATTGGCGGCGGGGGCGGCGGAGGTGGTGGAGGAGGCGGCATGTTGCCTTCAGCTGCCCTTGCACGGTCGGTGGGTGTCTAGATGGTCTATTCGAAGGCCAGGCGTATTCGGAAGTGTCACGACTGGCTGTTTTTCCCTCACTAAGTCCAGATCGTAAGTCGTGTGTATGAGCAGAGTCAAGTTGTGGTATTGGATTGCCTTGAGGTAGAAGTCATATGCCTTGGCGACGTCCTCGTCATTGCACCGCCACAGGCGTTCGCTCCGTCTCCGACTTTCCGCCAGCTCCACCTCCACGTGGGACTGCACTCCTTGTGACGGCAACATTGAGGACCTCACATATACCAACAAGGACGATGGAGCGAACGGGAACAACGATATGCCTTCAGTGCGTTCGAGCACTGCGACAGCCTGCGAGGCGAAGCGACAACATACGAAGAGTAGCCATACCGGCACTCCAATGGACGGGACGGAGCTATACAACCATTGCGCAGACCCCACCCTTTGAGAGGACTAGAAGACGAAGGGATGGACAGACATATAATGATGGGCCACACATCAATCGACGATGGACGCCAAATACCCGGCGAAACTATGCGGCGCAACCACCCAGCCAGCAGAACCTCAAAGCCCTCCACGAACGAGTAGCAGAACTGGCCTCCTCCGCTCTACACCCAGAGGACCAAAAAATACCCTCCGAACAACGGATCCTCTACGTCCTCGAGCAACTCGACGCAATCGCCCACAGCCTCCTCGACATCCACCCCAACAAAGACAGCCCGCCCAGCGACAGAGAACCCTCTCCCAAGAAGAGCAAAGACACCACCGCAACCTCCGCCCTCCTCGGCTCCGTCAACGCGCGCCGCTACCCCGCCTTCCTCAGCGCCGACTCCCTGCTCACCCTCATCTCCACCCGCGCCGAAGACCTCATGCACGCGCCCTCCATCTTCCTCACCCCCGCCATCCTCCGCGCCTACACCAACCTCCAAACCCTCCTCGACCGCCCGCAGACCTTCCCCACCATCTTCCACCTCTACGCCACCAAACCCTCACCCTCCCGCACCCCCTCCGGCGAGCTCAACCAAATCCCCGTAAAACCCCACACAGCCAAATCCGCCATCCCTCCCTCCGTCGCAACCCTCGCCCTCGACTCCGCCATCCGGTCCCACGACCTCCCCCTCTCCATCGCCATCATAAACACCACCTTCGCCACCCCGTCCCACCACCGCAGCAAACTCCTACGCCACGCCCTGCTGCCCTCCACCCTGCTTGCCCTCGCCCCCGTCTCCGCCTACGCGTTAGCGACGCAATTCTCCCTCCTCCAAACCACCATGACCGCTCCCCACGCGACGGGGATCGCGTTCGCGGGGTTCTTGACTTACATCGGCACCGTCGCTTCGTTAGGATACGTGGTGGTGACGACGGCGAATGATCAGATGGATCGCGTGACGTGGGCGCGGGGGGTGCCGTTGTGGGAGCGGTGGATTAGGGAGGAGGAGCGCGCGGCGTGGGATAAGGTGGCGGGGGAGTGGGGGTTTAAGGACCCCGGGCGGAGGGGCGAGGAGGAGGGTGGGGAGTGGGAGGTGCTGAGGGAGGAGGTGGGGCGGAGGGGGATGGGGTTGGATCGGGTCGAGTTGATGGAGGGGATGGAGTAGCAGTTTCGACAGGTCTGCGCAAGGCAGCTTGGTGACGTTGTAGAGGTTAGAGAGGAAGGTAAACGTTTCAGCTATGCTTTGACAGCTATCAGCATCCCTTTTCATCTCTTCCATGTCCTTCCCATGCCATCAATTCATAAAGTGGAGATATCATTCTGAGCCCAAGTGTAGCCATCTCCATCCCATCCATAAAAAAACATCATCGGGTATCGCACCGTCAAACAAAAGAAACCCGTTCTCCCCCTCCCTCTCAACCGGACAACTACCTCCTCGCAGAGTCCAACTCCTCAATAAACCGGTAAATCCCCTCGAATCCCTGATACTCCAGCGGATCATGCTTGTTCGACCCAGCACTCAGACTCTCACTCCCCGAGCGCACGGATTCAAACGCAGATGGCGAGGAAGCGTACTGCTCTCCGTCCACGAGCAGCACATCGTCGAGCCCAGAGTCCGATTGCGTGCTATACGCCCCTTTGGAAGATGGGGTGAGCATATCGGAGAGCGAGATGACTTGCCGGTAGTCGAAAAGCGGTTTCTTGTCGGTGTATTGGGGGTAGTATTGCACTGGCTCGTCCTCCTCGAACAGGTCTTGGCCTTCGCAGCTGCCCTCGGCGCTTGGAGCGAAGGGGAAGAGAAGCGCGATTTCGGTGCCGGTGAAGGCGTCGAAGTCCTCGTCTTGGACTACGGCACCGCGGGTGATGCCGAGTTCGTTGCATAGTCCGTCGACGGTATCGGCGTCGCAGCCGGGGAAGTGGACAAGCAGGGTTGAGCCGGCGTAGGTTATGGGGAGGTCGCCTAGGACACTCAGTCGCTTCAGATCGTTCAAGATCGCTGCGAGGTCTTTGAGCGCGCGGGAGAAGTCGACGGAGAGGACGTCGAGGAGACCGGAGGTGTTGAGGTGGTCGGCTTGGACTTGCTCGCTGGTGCTGTAGCCAGCCACGCCGTTGAGGGAGGTGAGGGCGGTGATGGTGGGGTTGATGGCGAATTCGAGACGGCTGCCGGGAGTTGCGCGGGGAAGGGCGTTCAGCTTCTTGCCCGTCTCTTCTTGAAGGGCTGAGACGGCTTTGTAGCGCTTCTCTCCTCTCGTGTTCACGCCGTCGTACTGCGCTTTGTGGCCTTGTGTGAAGAAGGCTCGGACGGCTTGCGAGACGTTCTGGACGACTTGCGCCTGGCTTGCTGGACCATGGGAGAAGTAGCGTGCCCCGCCGACTCGTCCTGAGCCAGTGCCGTATCCGCCTGCTGTCCGGCCGAGAGTGCCTCCAGTCAAGTTGGGACGGAGTGTAGAAGCGAATGGTGCTCGACCGGCTGATTGCGAGATGGTCGTCGCGACTCTCGACTTCGGGAAGGCGGACCTATCGAAGCGAGCGCCTGATCTTCCGCTGGTGGAGGTGAAGGTACGGACACCAGCTCGTCCAGTGGAGAACCATCGCGAATGGCTTTGTCGGATGCGTGCAAGAGGGTGAAGAGGTTGTTTCGGGGTGTTGCGGACAAGGACAGTCTCGAGCTGCTGCGTCGGTTGCTGTGCTGAACCAAGCTGGTTGTCGAGGGCTTTGGCGATGCGGTTGGCCGCTGCTTTGATGCTTTTGGCGTGCCTTGCGACCAAGCTATGCCAATGCCACACCGATGGTATGGGTGGCATCTTGCCGAAGGATTGTGCTCAGCACAGAGTTGAGAGGTTGTGGTATGGCGGAGGGCAGGTTGGTGACGATGCTCGAGTGTGGAGGTGGTGTGGCGAAGCGATTGGACCCTGATTTCGGCGCTGATCAACCGAGACTCCGACATCACGTGGCGGAACCACCTCTTCATTGAACGGAGTCGCGTGGACCATCACTTGTTTCTTAATCGCGGCATCGTTCAGCATAACGGAACTGGAGCTGAACCGTGAAGATGCCCACCGCGGACGAAGACAAGCGCAAAGCGGCACGCGAAACAATCGACATCCTCCACGAAATCTCGACACTGCTGGTAAACAACATCCTAAAAATCAATCCAGTATGACAGCGGGCAGTGGATGCTAACGACATTCAAGAATACCAATCTGGACCGACACACGCTTTCCTACTGCGTGTCGCTGATCGAGAATGGTGTGAATCCGGAGGCACTTGCGGTACGTCCAGATGCCAGCTCCTCCCAACAGCATGAACTGATGAGGTCTGCAGAACGTCGTTGTCGATCTGCGTGCCCAGAGCAAGCGCCTACAAGCGGAAGGGGCGAACGTGACCTGAAGAAAGCCCGTCTACCACGTTCTGAGCGGGAGTTGTGACAGGCGTTGTGGGAGTTTGAGCTAGATGATACCCTGGGGCGAGTGGGGATGCTTCGGCCAAACCAGGTGGCACATTTCTAGATGTTCGCCGACAAAGAGGACCTTGGGGTGTGACTGTAGATGTCGCATGCTGGAAGGTTCCTAGGAGATATATACAAAGGCAGCTGTCGAGCACGTTGGTGAGTCGAGTCGTTATTCGCAAAGGTCCCGGCAAGATGGCTTAGCAGGGCATCGTCCTGCAGGTAAGAAGATCAGCTTGAAAAGAATCCTTCTTCTTCCGACTACAATGGTATCACAATCTCATTACGTCGTTACATGTACTCTCTACTCCCGTCCTCCTTGCCCCCTCAATAACCAAAAAATAGAAATTCAGAAGAGCAAAGAAGAACCCCCCATAATGGGAGGGAGAAGAACCTAATTTAATATGTTGCTTCTATTACCTGAGTTTTTGTTTTTCTGTTTCAACATGTGTGTCCCCTGTTTTGCCACCTCTTTCCCTTTCCCTTGTTGTCCTAGCTATTTCAACATTTCGAGTTTAATGTTCATGGCGCCCGAGCGGCTTTGATTGGTCACCCACCGCCGTCTTGAGGACGACGGAGTGGCTTGAGGAGGATATAAACCATTGTCTAGGCCTGTGAGGCTGCCTGGCTTATAGTTGTGGGACTTTTGATGATGGATTATATAACTTAGGGAAGGAGATTGGGCCGGGGTTGGGCCAGTGGGGATGTGAAGGGGGAGAGGGATGTTAGAGGTGTATAATACTTCATCCTGTACTTTCTATTCAGAAGGGGTCGGTGGAGGTTGGGGATTATAGGAGCTTCGTGAACAAATTCTCGAGACGATGAGCAAGAACGAGCGGTCGAGCGTTCTTCCTTCCTTACCGTGCAGGCGCTCTTCCAATTAATCTGTCTTGTGACTCGAGGGCGTCGTAACAGTTCAGGTATCATCACATCCTTCGATTATTATGAAGTGAATAGGACTATATCCATCCATATTGATCGTCGACCCCTCGGCATCTGCCGGCGAATTCACCTTCTCCAAAGACGCTCCCCTCGACCCAAGAATTTATTTCAATCACAATCCTTACATCCCCGAACTGACACAACACATTTCTCCCTCGTCGTTGAAATACAATGGCGAAGAAAAAAGGCAGCGCGCAAGCCGCGCCGCCTACCCCGGACCCGGCGGGCTCGAGTCTAGTAATATGCAGGAACAAGTAAGTACGTGACCCAGCTGCGGAAAGATGCATATGCGCCTGAACGATTCCCTAACAACACAATCTCCCCAGACACTGGCGCTACATCTCCTCCTTCCACGGACCATGGCTCCAACTACCCCCCGAGATCCTGGACTCCCTCGCCCACCAGAACTACACCATGCCTGCCCCGCGCCTCGTCGACCCGGCTGTCTTCTACGATGTCGTCAAGATTCGGAAGGCGGTGGATGAGGCGGCGCAGGATAGCGTGCGCGCTTCTACTGGCGTGAGCAATACGGCCATGACTGGGCGCATGGATTACTTTGGCGCTGGGGGTGGGCCGAGTAGCCAGCTGAGCAAGGAGAGGATATTCAAGATTCGGCAGAAAGCGGTCAAGTTGCTGTCGAAGGCTTTTGCGCTGGATGAAGTTGCGGCGAGCGTGGCGACGATGCAGGCGACGAGTACGGTGGAGGATGTTGGGGGGATTGTGCTGAAGAGGGAGCAGGGGAGTACTGGTACGCCGATGCGCTGGACGAGGGGTTTGGGTGGGAATAGGTTATGCTGACAATATCGAAGACGCAAAGTACGTCCATTTCTTTCACGAAAAGATACCAAGCCGGGCAATGGAGCAGTACACCCCGCTGGACCCGTTGACCGAAATTATATCTTCCTTGCCAATGGAACAGCAGGCGCCTCCCTTACGGACGAGAGCATTGGTGCAGATCTTCAAGCAGCAGTGGGAAGGTGCTGCGGCGGACCTCACGCATGCGCTGCGCATCACCGACGAGCTCAAACGACTGCACAAGCCCAACCAGCAGGAGCTCGAACTTGCCAGCAGGATGCGAGACGAGCAGGACGCTTGGAATAAGGGCCATCGCGATTGGAGATCAGTACCGCAACTCAAGGAAGAGGATCAGCCCAAAAGTCTGGAGATGCAGCTGTACTTCAACCGCGCCGGCGTCTACTTGACCATGGCCTGTCAAAGCGTGCATGCCGCCCTGGATGGTTTACCAGAACACCTGGCTGCTGCAGAAAGTGGGGAACCTGTCGATGCGACAGCGCAGCAGGCCCGGATTGAAGCTCGCAAGAAAGTCAAGACGAACGCCAAGCGTGCGCTCAAGGACTACACCACATTCCTCTCACACTTCGACTACACGCCTGGCTTGCCTTTCGAGATCACGAACGAAATAATGCGTCGTGTCTATGATCTCGCGAACGGCAACAAGACCCAGACGCCTCTGCCCAAGAACCGCCTTGTTGAACTGGCCGACTCGGACGACGACGCTACTCCCGACGACCTCAACTCCTCCAATGGTGCAGTCATCAAGCACCAGAAGCCCAACAAGCCCGATCCCTTCGAACGAAATGAGGATGGCTGGCCTCGCTTCCCCTCTCCCAAGATCCATCCCGCCAGCGCTCTCTTCGCTGAGAAGCCACCTGCCGACCTACCGCCTTTTCCTACCGCCGCAACAACCGAGGCGATGCTGAATAACGATCCTCTGGCCGAGGCCTTCGGTTCTCGTGAAGCCGTTACCTATCACCCTCTACTCACCGATGCGCTGCACAGTCTCCTCCTCGCGCATGCTTTGTTGCAGACCAGCCCAACAGAACTGCTCCGTCATGCGCACAATGCGGCTCGACTGGCCAGGATCGCCGACGGCTACCCTATCTTCCAAGCCGCACGCAGCCCGGCGCGCGCAGACTGGATCGAAGTCTTGCGCCGCGCTAACAACTGGCTTGGCCTTTCAGTGCCATGGCAGAAACTTTGCGCACCGGCGCCTTTGCCCGAGGCAGCAGGCGGATGGGCGAAAGAGCCGACTACCAGCTCCGGTCAGGGAAACGCTCTGGCGAGGAAGAAGTACGCAGGTACGGAAGCCAACGGCGGAGCAGTCGCGAACGACAAGGCGAACGGAACCGAGACGCCAGAGCAGAAGCGTGAGCGCATCAAGCAGGAGTCCATCATCGATGCTCTCAGCGACGACCGCGTGGTAGACGAGGAGAGTTTCCAGAAAGCCGTCAGAGCGCGAGAAAAGCGCGCGATGGAGGACGAAGAGGGCATCTCCGGTCCGCTGAAGGACAAGGCCGCGAACGGGAACCACTTGCTCAACGGCAACGGCAATGGCGATGGCAATGGCGATGCCAGCTCTTCGGAGCCGAACGGCTCCTCCTCCCCCGCCCCAGCTGTCGCGGAGAAGGCGCAGGAGAAGAAGGCCCCGCAACAACCGCCGCAAAATCAGAAGCCTACACCTAAGCGCTGGGCCCAGGACGAGCGGGCGAAGGAGTATCCTATCTCCACTGACCGTGCGGAAGCTGTGGCGAGATGGATCAAAGAGGCGCCGCTTTCCATTGCCGCGGCTGGGGGTGGGAAGAAGAAGAGGCCGGCAAGGAGAAAGAAGGCTGCTGGGACTGGGGAGACTAATGGGGTTGATGGCGGGAGGGGTGCGGGGGGGTTGGGAAGGGAGGTTAGTGAGATGAGTTTGGAGGATGGGGTGGATTGAGCGGATGAGATGTGGGGTTAGCCATCGTTGGTGCAGAAACGCTGTTGAGAGGCAGAGGAAGTAGATTTGGGCAGTCCATTCGCTTGGATATTGCCATCTCCTGAGCTAGAGCAGTTCGCTACTCACCCACAGTTCTTCACTTCCTTCCTCAACCACTACTTATCTCTCGGCCTGTTATCTCGCCACCTCGTCCGACCCGACCTCCCTCAGCATCCGCCTCTTCAGATCCGTAGCGTCAACTCCATACGGCCGCAAATCCATCGGGTCCACTTTCTTCACCACGAAGCCTTGCTTCGCGTACACCGCCTCGCCTGCTTCGGACGCTGTCACGGCGGAGAGGAGGCCTTGAGCGTCTGCATCACGACAGAATTGCTTTACGAGCAGAGTACCGGCGCCGCGGCGTTGGTGGTGGGGGTGTGTTACTAGGAGGCTGAGAACTAAGATGTCAAGTCAGCATTGAAGTTCGCATAGAAAAGTGCTATTGTGAAGAAGGGCTTACGAGCGTACGGTCTATCCCCAATCCACTCCTTCTCAAACACCTTCCACGCTCTCTCCGCCGCCAACAACAACGGCATTGGATCCGGCTGCCCCACCCCCTCCTCCTCCCTCCTCTTCCCTCCCTCCCCTTCCACCCCCTCCTCGCTGTCGCGAGCCGGTATATGCCACAACGCCGCACTGACCATCTCCCCGGTCTCCGCATCCGACACCTTCATCCATCTTGCATTAGGCTTATCGAGGGTCTGCCGCGCCCAGTCTTCGACGAAGACGGTGCGGGGGGTTCCGGGGACTTCCATGGCGAGGGCGAAGGGCCAGTGGGCGGCGGCTGCGGCTTCGACGAGGGCGAAGGCGGGGATGTCGGAGTGGAGAAGGGGGGAGATGTTGAGGGGCATTTTATTTGGCTGGGGATGAGAGGCGGGTTGGGGGGATGGGGTGGCGAGTGTGAGGAAGGATTGTACTTGGGGGGAGGGAGAGAGAGAGGAGGAAGAGAAAACAGGAGCAGATCTTGTAGTGTTTACCTAAGAGGCTCTGTTGGTGTAGGGCGTGGACGGAGTCGGCTGCTGTTATTATGCCGCTCGATGGCCGCCCATATGTCGTTGTTGTTGGAGGCTCGCGAATTCGGTAGGTTATACGATGAACGTTGCTTGAAGACATCCTGCCCTCGCGAATACGGCGGTTGCTACTGGCAAATCTATTAGTACCCAATTGCAGGTTGCTCATCATGCACCCCGTCCTTGTGCTTGTGAAGAGGAAGGTGGAGTTTGGGAAGTGAGGTCCAGAGTTGCCTTTCCTGGAAAACAACACGACTTCATACGAATAGCAACCGTTCACTCTTGTGATCCGGTGGCAAGCTTTGAATACTATTGGCACTGCTAGCAGTGCTGGTGGTACTGCGTCGATACCCAGTCTTCCTGTATACTTAGGCGACTCGATGGGTCGGTCGTTATGAGCCAACAGAACCGAAAGAGGCGAAGCCCCACGGAGGAATGAGGTTTCAACTTTGACCATCATTCAGTTGGTCTTTTTTTGATTACTTAGATAACGAGCAGCACCCGTGATGGGACACAGCTAAGATACGTACGCTTTCTCTTCCCTTGACACCGCGAGACTCAGATACACCGACCCCGGTCAAGGATTCGGCCTGCCAACTACTCGCTATTCCATTCTCCCGATACAACTCTATCCCAGCATCATTCATCCGCTCCACTATCGGGTGAAGCTTCAGCACCGTTCCCACCGCTCTGCAAGGTGAAGACCCGCAGCATGACTTGGATCAGCTTGTCGATCTTCCCTCAAATACTGCCGTTCATATGCCGCTCCTCATCATAAATCAGCGTCAACGTCGTCGGGATGGGACTCTCCTTGGCATTAGCGTCAAGGTATGCTCTCATGTTAACACCCGCAACCTGATGGTCGACCGTGGCGAACTGTCCCTTCTTGCCAGGCGCGCGGCGCAGATTCCGGAGACCGAACACCTCCTTCAGCGTCGATACAAGTGCGGGCGCGACCAGGCGCGCTCCGAAGCAGAAATGTAGTCCATGGCCGAGAAGAATGTAAGAGGAGATGGGACGATGGGGGTCGATCAGCTCTGGGTTCGGGTAAGCGACTGGATCCATAGCTGCCCTTGAAGTCGCGATCAAGACGGTTTGGCCTTCTTTGATGGGAATTTGGCCGCGCTGGCCATCTTTGACCGTGATCTCCCGGGCTGCGACACGAGGGAGGCCGGGCACGACACCAGCGTGACGCATGCCTTCGTACACGAAGCCGAGTAATTCCTTGTCGGCTGCGGCGTCTTCTCTGTGTGAAAGCTGGACGATCCGGTCTTTGTACTTCTCGTAGCCGGGGCTGAGGTATAAGTCGATGAGCAAAGAGGCCTGCTGCGTGAGGTTACCTGCGACAGGTGCGGCCATACCGATGCAATCTCCCACCAAATCTCCGGTGGGTAGGCCTGTCGCTGCGAGAGCTTTGTAGAGACGGTCGGCATCTGGCCCAACTTCATACGCCGTGCCCTTTTCAACATAGTCCGTGAAGACTTCCTTGTATCCGCCTTGCTGCGTGCGAAGATGGCCCTCCAGAATGCCTCTCAAGAGAGGCGAGACCTTCTGACTGCCCTCTCGCATCGCCCACTCATTCTTCGGCAGGATGTTGAAGCTTTGGTACATGAACAGCACCAAGTACAGCTCAAACAACTCAGCCCGGGTGAGAATTCCACGAGAGTGCTCCTGGGTCTTCAATGGAATTGCAAATCTCTCCGCAAGCCAAAGAATGGGTGTGACGTTCGTGACGTCCCTCACGATGTCGATGGATCTTCGAGTGTCCGGGTAGGAATACGACAAGGAGCTCTCTTCGATCAACGTCCTCACTTTCTGCCGGAAGTATTGCGATACGTTGCTTTCGAATCCATCCTCGAAGAAGACCCGGTGAAGCAGAGTCGAGCGTTCGTCATGCCGTCTCCTCTGATCCCAGCCGATCATGAAGTCATGTCCATCGGTGCAATTCCGGATCGCCTTTTGATACATGACCACGAAGTTGTCGCGATCCTCGAAGATCTTCTTGCAACCGGCCTGGGTATGTATGCCCACGATCTTTGTGGCGTTGGCAGGAGGTCGCTGCAGTTCGTACTGTTCCAGTACTCCGTTGCCGCTCAAGATCTCTCGCACCGCTTGGGGAGTGTAGAATGGAAGCAGGGCGTATGCGGAAGTGCCAGTGAACTCGCCCGGAAGACCTGCAAAGAGTAAGGTCGGAAGGACACCTCCATATGCGCCCTTAGCGACGCTATTGTTTAGCTTCGCAACACCCCAGTTGGTGAGGGTGCTGCTGTTCATGTCGTAAGTCAAGAAGCGGTCGCCGCGAACGAGTGACACTGCATCGTCAAGGATACCACGTCCTGTCGTTTGCCCCGGGCATACTCCGCTACCTGGCATCGGCGGCTTTGTGCACTCTGCCTGCAATCCTGGGTAAAGCTCCATGTTGTCAATGTGACCGTAGAGGAGCTCAGCGTCTCTCGCAGTCTCCTCATCTTCACACCATTGCATGAAGTTCGTGTATGGTTGGAGGTTGAGGTATTGTCGGAACCTGTTGCTTGTCAACTCTACGTTGTCTAAAAAGGTAGGCGTGCTGGTGTACTTACTCATTCAAGGTGCACACATTAAAGACGCCTCGAGCTTGAAGCTGACCCAGGAGATCGACCACCTTCAAACTTGCCGGCGTGCCATGAGCCCCAAATGCGTGAGCTGGCTCATCAATGCAGTCTTTGATGACCTTGCCAAGATCGGCATCGTCGAACCGCCCATCTGCGCCTCTTTCCAAGCCGTTGAAAGTCCTACAAGCAGGAGGCAAAAGGGTCAGCGGATGTCTCAGAACAGCGAGTAGTAGCACTGGGTCGCAAAGTGTCACACAGAGCTCAACCGTGTCTCAGCGAAACCTCCTGCCCATCAGCACTTACCAGTTTCGTGGCTTGGTCGACATGAGCTTATGCCCTTCCTGCTTCACCACCTTCCCAAAGAGCTCGGGCGTCATCTGCTCCACCGACTTCAGTTCTGGTAGGTTCCTGCGTATCAGATCGTCCATCCATTCCGCATCCGCCGCGCTGAGAGCGGCATGCCAATGGTAAAGAACGGCGAATTCAACAGAAACCACGTTTCCAGCGCCCCTCTCGACCCGGTTGCCTCGCAGCTTGATTTCGCCTCCGAGGTCCAGAGACCACTCAGAGTTGGCGCGTGGCGTGTTGAGGATGGCAGCGACATAGTCTTTCAGCACGACTGAGGCGAAGTAGGCGACGTTGATGTTGCGTGCGAGTTGGAAGATGTCTTCGTCCTGCCTACAGTCGGATGTTAGAAAGATGATGGCAAGGCGTGGAAGACATATGATAGACCGACCAGTCTCTTTGCTCTTTCGTCAGCTCATCCCAGTCTCCATACTTCCCCTCTTCATTAACGGACCAAAGAGAATGAGCGATTTCGTTGTGGTTCCTCGAAAACATGATAAGAACGGCAATCACGCCAGGAGGCATCATCATTATCCTTTCCGAGGCGATCGAATCCGGGAATATGGTTCCGTTCTCATAGGTCCGGACTCTCTTCTGTTCCTCGCCAGTGTTGCCATACAAAGTGGAAAGGTCGACATAACTACTAGTCTCATTGATCCATTGGTCAGTGCGAGAGGTCTGGAAGCACTCATGGATGACTATCGTGGCGAAAGAGAAGAACATTCGATTCAGGCCAGATGGGTGTGGGCGAAATGGTCCCTTGCGTTTGAGCAGCTTCTCAAAGACTAGCTCGACGTCGGGCAAGTTGGTACCTTTCGGCTTCATCGGCGGCACGCTGCGGCAATATGGCATTCCGGCCTTGCCCATCTCGGAGTCCCAGTGGTTGTTGCCCCCTCCGTCGTGTCTTCGGTAGCGGCCTTCTGGGCCGGCCAGAGCTGCTGGAGGATGTGGTAAGTCGTGCCATAGCATTTTGATGAATGCTCCGGACACTTTTGCACTCAGCCCACTGCGAGGACATCAGCCTAGGCCTCTAGATCGATCAATTGTACTTACCTGTCCGGTGGAAGGGACTGGAGCATTGCTACACCGTGCTCGAGCAGCCATTTCTTGTCGTCGAGCGGTTCGCCCGCAGCGAGGGTGTTGAATGCCTGAACGATGGTCCTCGAGCTTGTGCCACCGAGGTGTAGCAGATCGTGGAAGACGGACGTCTTCTCATCAGACACGCCTCCAGCGGCGTGCAAATCAGTCTTCCCATCCGGCGCCGTCGGAGCAGCGCTCCAAATCATCCGCACCAGCTTGGTCAAGGCGCTCGCCATGGTGATGGTGGAAGGAAGGAAATCTTGCAGTCTTGTGAATACGAAGGAACAGTCTCATGTAGCTTCAAAGATATCAAGGTTTGACCGGGAACGTCACCGCACGCACCGCATCGTTACGGTACATGTGCCAACGCGCCTCTGCAGAACTCTGTCCTGCGTGCATGCTGTCGGTGCTGAGGATGTCCGGGTCTCCACGATTGCGCAGAGCGCGCCATTGACGGGCCACGATGGTACAGTGTCTTCGCCAATGACGGGCAAGCGGTCGTGTGTGGTGTAGATGGTGAATAGGGAATGCAGCAGATCATGTTGATGTGTTTTCCTGACGCGGTTAAGGGCGTAGATCCTCGCTAGCTATATGCAGCTACCAAGATCTATATCGGCATTGCCTACCCCACGGACCTGGTGCACTCCAAAATGGGCGAGGAAGGAGAGGCTGGGAACTCCGTTTGGTAATTGAGATCTTCTCCACTCTCTGCACGGAGCGTAGCAGTCAATCGGCCGGCCGGAGCGTATCACTTTGCATTTTCCCGTTGCTCGATAGAAAGAAACGCTGCGATTCGGCTGCAGAAAGATGACGCTGAGGTACATTGACTTCCAAGCTTCCTCTTGCAAGCAAAGCAAGCTCCGCAAGTCCACCAAGGCGTAGTCACACTCTACAACCTCTTTGTTTGTAACCAGAAGCTGCTGTGCAATGTCTTCAATGGCTGGAAGCTCCTTTGGGGAGTCTCGATGGAGTCGCTCCAAGTATCCTCTGCAGACTCGATCCAAAATGTCTGCTGTCTCACATTCACCATCGGCGCCAGCCCCCACTGAAGAGAGGACAACATCGCCATCGCAACACCCGTACAACGCGCCAACATGTGACGTATCAGCTGGAGGGCAGCAAGCAATGTGGGAAGGTGGCACAGAGTATCACGCCCATTCTCCCATTTCAAGTGATTGCGAACAAGAGGACGACCACCTGGACGATACGTCTACAACAAGCATGGACCGAGCGAGTCAAAGAACCCTGAGGAGGACTACACGCAGTCGGCGCATCCACCGGTCTTTATCAGGGCTGCAATTAGACCAATCCGGCGCGGCAGAGAGCAAGGCTGACAGGACGCACGATTTGCAGTCCTCGAGGAGAGGATCGAATGCGTCTCCTGCATCATCTGAGGATGAGTGGGAGGAGTGCGAGCAATACTCCAATTCTAAGGCCCAAGACGATCAGCAGGAGGAGACGATGCAGCATCAGAGTCGCCATGCGTATCCTTTGCAAGCGCCGGTCAGTAATGGGAATCTCAGTGGAACGCAATTTGAAACCAAACTGCCAAATGAGCGGCCCAATCGATCCGACCAAACGAGCAAAGACGTTCAAGCTGCTATGAGAAGGTCGAAAGGTCAACGTCAGGTCTATCCACTACAGTCTCCAGCGAGCAAATCGCATCTTGGAGGATCACCAACGCCGCCTCCGTCTTCGCCAGAAAGCGAGTTTCGCCCGGCAAGCACGCAAAGTCAGAGGAGAGATGATGTGCCAAAAAAGAAGACCAAGAACATTCCTAGCCGTCAAGCATATCCTTTGCAAGCACCCGCAAGCGTGGCCAATTTACAGCGTCCGCTTTCGCCACCAACCTCGCCGGAGAGGTCATCCGAATATGAGAGGGCTTTTATGAGCGAGAGCGTCGGCAGTGTGGGAGGTCAATCTCAGAGCAAGGCATACAAGCGCCAACCTTATCCTTTGCAGGCACAAGCGAGCGTTGCGGAGCTACAGCGTCCAACATCTACGTCGTCTTCAAATGCGAGCGAACTAGAGAATGTACGCCAGAAGGATGAACTACAGCAACACGAGGCGGCAGTGGCTTCGAAGGTCGTCAATCAATGGCGCGCGCACGCGCACGAGAAACAAGAACCAGTTCACCTACCGCAAAACATGCGAGCGGCGTCCAACGGCAAAGACCACAACCATGGAGGGCGGACCATTGTCGTCTGCCTCGACGGTACGGGCGACAAATTCGACAACGACAACAGCAACATTGTGCATCTCGTCAGTGCTCTCAAGAAAGACGCTGCCAACCAAGTCTCCTATTACCAAGCGGGCATTGGCACGTACGGCGAAGGTGGTCTCAGTGGTGGCTTCAGTGCTGCTATGGACATGGCAGTCGGGTCTGGCCTTGGCCTGCACGTCAGAGACGCCTACAATTTCCTCATGCACTCGTACAAGGAAGGCGACAAGATCTGCATCTTCGGCTTCTCACGAGGGGCGTACACCGCGCGATGTCTCGCCGGCATGATTCATAAGGTCGGGCTGCTGCCGGCTCGGAATCTGGAACAGATCCCGTTCGCATACCAATTCTATGCCGATGACACGGCGCAAGGCTGGAAGCAAAGCGAGGACTTCAAATCCACATTTTGTATCGATGTCTGCGTGCACTTTCTGGGCTGCTTTGATAGTGTGGCGAGCGTGGGTCTCATTCCACGACAGCTGCCGCTTAGCAGCACGCCGGGGAGTAAGCCTCGCTATTTCAGACATGCGATGGCATTGGATGAGCGGTAAGTCAAACATACAGGATCGCGTGCTCTTTGAGATGATCATCTCTGGCCCAACTTCCGAGGCGCTTGCTAACCCTTCTACCGCCTCTAGGCGATCCAAGTTTAAGATCTGTCGCCACCGAAAGATGGACTGGGAAGACATTGAGGGCACGGAAGACGAAAAGTCCACGCATGTCAACTTGTCCGACGAGGAGTACAACCGACTAGTCGGCAACCACGACCCATTCGATACCGACGTCCTCGAAGTCTGGTTCGCCGGCGCTCACGCGGACGTCGGAGGAGGTGCTGTCCCCAACGCCGAGCGACACAAGCTGGCGCAGATCCCTCTACGCTGGATGATCCGCCAGGCATTCGAGTGCAACACCGGGATCGTCTTCAAAACTGCCGTCCTCGCTGAACACGGTCTGGACGTGCACACGCTCTGGCCCAATTACCGCAGTCTCAGTATACCGGACTCTGGCCCGCCGGCCTCAATGCTGGAAAGATATGAGAAAGGACTTCCTCCCAGATCCATCCGTCGTGGCAAATTGGTTCCGTCCGACAGGCATGAACAAGGCGAGCAGCTGCTGCATCTCAACAGTCCCCACGACGACGACTGGACGCCCGAACAGCTCGAGGACTACTTCGATGCGCTGGGAACGGTGAACGATCAACTGGTGCAGGCGCCGAACTGGTGGATCTTGGAGATGTTGCCGGTGGAGTACAAAGTGCCCACTACGCCTGGCAAATTCGTCATGCAGATGGGTATGAACCTTGGCCGTTACCGGGGCGTGGAAGATGTGCAGCCAAAGGTGCACTGGACAGTGGCGCATCGTTCGCAGCAGCTGGGGTATCAGATCCAGGTGAGGACGGCGAAAGATGTTACTTGGAAATCGGTTGTTTGAGGGTCTACCGACAGTTGCAGGGTGTTTGCCCGGAGCTACAAGATGCTTCCACGGTATCAACATTGTAATGCTGCTCAGCGACACCGACCGTACGCACGTCACATCCAGAACACGCTGGCCAGACAGGCATCCGCAACTTGTTGCTTTGTTCTCCATGGCTGTGCTGAGACATCGCCCATGCCACCTGGTCAAAAACGGTGACCAAACGTCCGAGAGCTACTTTTTCGATTCGCCTTCAGTTCCGTCTCCTTACCTAGCCCACAGAGACAGCCTGCGAAGTTACCAGCTTTCTATTTCTCGGCCTCTCAGAGAACCAAATACGCCACCGTCGACAACCAACATGAGCGTACCACTCCCCAGTCCTGGCCAAATCGTCGTAGCCCTCATCATCGACACCGTGCGCCATGCGACAAACCTGGCATCGGCCGCAATACCATTCATCGCATCGACACCATTCGCCCTTGTGAATGCCATCGACTACCTCGCCGCTCTGCCGCTTGCACATCTTCCGCAGTGGATCGCCTCTGGTCTTTTGCCGCTGCTCGACCTCGTGAAGGGAGCTATCTTCGTCCTCTACCCGGTCATTCTGCTGGCTTTGGCGACAGGACTCTTCCATGAGACTTGTACCTACATCATTCATCAGCTTTCTGGAACGGGGCCGACGCTGCGGTCGGGGAGATTGCAGTGTCCAATGAACACAGTGTTCGTGCTGACCCACGCCTCTTATTTCTCCACGGTCTTGCAGAGGGATATGAGTCTGTACAACGGGCTCTGCGCGATGTGTGCCTGTTCTTCTGTCGTCTTGGGCATCACGGGCTCTCTGGCGATCGTGACAAGCTGGGCGTGCGCGACGACTACCCACAATGCGACCACTGCTATTACAGCCGATCTAGCTACAGACCCTGGCGCCAGAGCGGACCACGCGGTGGGCTCCGCCGATCACCTCAGCACAGCTACGGAGGAAAGCGAGCACAGCACCGCAATCAGCATCCCCCTGCCGAAAGCAACGAGCAGCGCGGACAAAGCACGAAAGGAGAACGAGGCAATGGTAACGCAAGTCATACCCAGCCTGCTGGTGGGCTTCATGGTGGTGATACTCGCTCGCGCACTGTTTGACGCCGTGGTCGACCTACTAACCCGTGTGCTGGCTGGGCTGCCGGTTCTCCTCTGTACGGCACTGCTGAGCTATGTTGGCTGGATCGTGGTGGGAGCGTACCTGAGTAGGAAGCCTGGTGCCGGTGGTGATCGAAAGGTCGAACGGACGCCAACCACTGATAAGACTGAGCTCACGACAGGCCAGGAGACAATTCTGGAGCCTTCCTAGGACGTCTGGAGAGCGCTCCAAAAAGTCCAAAGACACGATCATGACTGAGATTGACGATTTGAGCTGTCGTGACCGTTGAGACGGTAGAGAAGATTTTTGGCAGGTTGGAATAGAAGAGCTGAAGGAGGCATTGGGGTGGAGGTTTGAACATGCGATGAAAGGGAGACTTGGCAGCGGGACTAAGTTCTTGAAACGTTCCTCAAGGTGAAGCTTGTACGCCGAGAGGGTGAGATTGTTGGGTTATGTCCAGGAGGTCTGTCGTGTTGTTAAGCGGTGACGAAGATGTTGAAAGCATCTGCTGGACAAAGCTAGAGCCAGCCTCAGAGAGGCACTGTCGCTTACCTCTTGATGCTAGGAGGTAGCTGGCGTACCTACATGTAGTCATCCACTATTGCTTTCGTCCTCGCTTGCGGGTTCTTGATCTCACACAGCAATTGCCTGTGCTTGGCCAGTACACAATTTGACAGTGAGGCTCACAACAGGGTTCGCATGGCTCCTTGATTCCGCACCACAGTTGGTATGACCGGCGGACCTGGCAGCGGTGCGGCTCGTGCTCGATCTGATTTGGCCTGCATCCAGCATTGTTGGGCCGTTTCGTCTCGTCTCCTTGGTGGAAGGAACATCGCGTCTTCCGCGTCTTGCGCGATAACCGCCCTCACAGACATTCTGCTGGATGTGGACTACTATGAGCGATTCGCAGCAAGGTGGAAGCCAACAACAGCAAACGCAGGTCCCGAAGGAGAGGACCCGATGGGCTTTGGCGTTGTTCCTCCCCAGCCACGCGGAGATGGATGACGTACTGGCAGACATTTTTGGAGCTCTCTCCGCCGACGAGCAACGGGAAAACACGATCTGGATCTGCAGTCGTGCTGGGATGCCGCAGCGATCGACGCATCCTATCCATCTCGTAGATGCACCACCAGTTCCGTAAGTACTCGAGCTCTTTTCGTACCTCCTACCATTTCATGTGCTTCACTCTCTTCCTTCTGCCATGATGCTAGCAAGACTCAAGGTCGATGACCACATGAACTTTCTCTAGGCTTTTCCTTATTCGTGGTAACCTTGACCCATTCTTTCCGTCTCTTCACCTTACCTCAACCTGCATGACTAGCATGAGTGACGCCGACGTGGAACGGCGCCTTACAGGAGCTTCTCGCGCATCTCGTGCTGTCCGCCACATCTCCCAGCGCATGCGGTCTAAGCCAGAGTCAACCTTCGCTCCCTCAGACATCTTGCCCGAAGACGGCTATACACCATACCCCAAACGACCCGAGAGCGACTTCCGCCCATCCTACGAGGACAACCCAGAGCAGATCTTCGGAGCCCCGGCAGAACCAATGTCTGCTAATGGCTCAGTCAGTCCACCGAGTGTCTTTGACGCTCCAGACGGACGACAAGAGTATGGGACGGAAGCTACGACGCAGGCATCTGATGAGCCTGGCGACTACGATTTGAAGCCTCCACCACCGAACAAATCGCATGCGAACGTTGAGGAGCTCGGCATACGGTTCTTCTCAAACGACCACCTCGACCACATCGTACGCGACCAAAATTCCGGCCAACGATTTGTGCAGTTTCTTGAGCAATTCCGGCCTCAGTACTCCACCCAACTCCAACACTACATTCAAGCGCGCAAAGCAATGACCGCGATCGAGTACGCCAATTCAATCGCAGATAATATTCCTGCTGGTCGCGGCGAGCTCCCATATGTGGCTGCTTCGGTTGACGAGGCCTTCGATGCAAAGTCAAAAGCAATGGCAGAGGATCTGGTCGAGGAAGCGCTGCCAGCGTATTTGACACACCGTTTGACGTCAGTGGTGACGGAGACTCTGGTCAAGACAATCACGGGCAACAGCATACCAGCGATGCAAGACCTGATACCCAATCTGGCCGAAGTGTACTGTATTACGGATCCTGCTTTACCTGACAATCCGATTGTATATGCTTCAGATGGTGGGTCAGCTGTCTCACATGCGGGTAACAAAGCTAATCGATAGCCAGAGTTCTACAACACCACACAATACGGTCGAGACTATGTGATCGGCCGCAACTGTCGATTCCTCCAAGGCCCACGAACCTCCGAAGCGACAGTCCGAAGAATGGCAGAAGCACTATCAGCGGGAGAAGAGCTTTGCGAGACAATACTCAATTATAGAAGAGATGGCACACCTTTCATGAACCTCCTCCTACTCTCCCCAATGTACGACAACAAAGGCGAAGTGCGGTACTACCTGGGCTGCCAAATCGACGTCTCTCCACTTATAGAAGCGGGCAAAGGACTGGATTCCTTCTCACAGCTCCTCGCTCAAGATCGCGCGAACAGCAGATCCCAGTCGAACGAGATGAAGGACCCGATGAACCTGCTCAGCGAACTTGGCCAGATGCTGTCTGATACAGAGACCGACTTCGTCTCAAGCAAGATCCGCAGAAGCAATAGCAGACCGTCATCCGGCCACTCCACACCCGCCCGCGAACCCCAGCAACAGCAGCAGCAAAGACGACCCAACAACCGCCGCATCCTCAGCATGGACGACTCGGAGGGCCAACGTCCCATGGGCGCACTATGGCCTGACGCCAACCTCGGCCGCTCTGGACGACTACCAGGCGTCTACCGCAACTACCTCCTCGTCCGCCCTTACCCCTCCCTCCGAATCACCTTCACTTCCCCGACCCTCCGCATCCCCGGTCTCCTGCAGACGAAACTGCTCGACCGTATCGGCGGGCCCGAGCACCTCAAGTCCGGCATCCTGGACGCCTTTCGCAGTGGGAATGGCGTTACTGCGAAGGTGCCTTGGCTCGCTACCACCTCCTCGTCCCCAAGAAGTCCTACCGCGCGAAGCGGCGAAGGCAATGGGAAGCCGCGCTGGATCCATTGTACGCCGCTTGTGGGAAGCGACGAGAAGGTGGGCGTGTGGATGGTCGTCCTAGTCGAAAACGAAGAAGTCACCGGTCTCCTCAACCGGCAAGGCAGCGGCGCCAGCGCCAGTCGAGGCGGAGACGTAAGCAGGGGCACGAGCAGGGCTGTCCACAGTGGTGCGCAGCAAGACGCTGAGATTGAACTTGGACCTGTGGATGGCAATGGGAGGACGGACTCAACCAATGCGATGTATGCGGATTACTTGCGAGGGAGCAAGGAGGGGACACGACCGGGGACGGCGGGGACGGGGGCGACGAGGGTGTCGAAGATGAAGCAGCGGGAGGTTGATGGTCATTTTAGGGATTTCTGAAAATTATTGGGAGGCTGTGTACGTGAATGAGGAATGGGGGCGTTTGGGTTTCAGCGTACATTCTCCAAGCATCGGAGCAAAGCTGTACTGACATGATAGGTAATGACTTGGAAGACACGGCCAGATGAAAGTTGGAAAACGATTTGTATGAGGAAGAAGGTATCTTTCAAACCTATGCCAACTCGCCGTCGAGCTTCCTCTTTCGGATAAGCACATGAATATTCTCCGATTCTCCGACAGCTTGCTTGCTTGCTTGCCCTAACATGCATGCAGTGTAATCAATCGGCACCGACAGACTATATCACTAAGCAACGACACCTTATCTCATCAGCCTTTGAGCTCGAGAGCTATTCGGCCGACGGTGTGTAGTTGTTGTCCTAAGATGGCGATTTGAGAATGGTATGCAGTAGTAGCGATGCAAGCTGATAAATGGTCCTGAGTTGATAGGTCGGCGAATGCGTCAGCAGGATGGACGTCAATGGCGAGGTAGGTTGGCATGTGATTGAGGATGTTATAAGGGTGAAGGAGGTCCAGGTAGGTGAGGTAAGTTTGTACATTTCGATATCTTCTACGTTCTTCAGCGACATAGTCACAAGTTCCCAGTCCAAACTTCCACGCCCATTCCAAGATGCCTCTCTCCTCAGACCAATCCGTCAACGAAACAGCCGGCACCCTCGTCAAAACCCTCCAAGGCGCTTTTGGCACGCCCGCAGGATACCGTCCAGGTCCGTCCTTCCCTCGCTTTACCTCCACCCCCAACTAACACCCTCCCAGCCCACGCAAAAGGCCGCCTCACAAAAGGCACCTTCACCCCATCCCAAGAAGCCGCCACCCTCTCCACCGCCCCGCACTTCAACAATGCCTCTACCCCAATCCTAACCCGCTTCTCCAACTCCACCGGCCTCCACGCCATCCCGGACACCGACCCCAACGCCAACCCGCGCGGCATGGCCGTTCGTTTCCTCCTCAGCTCCGACGGCCACAAACACACCGACATCATCGCCCACTCGACCTCGCACTTCCCGATGCGCACGGGTGAAGGGTTCCTGCAGATGCTTGGAGCGATCGGGGGCGGGACGATTGGGGAGTTTCTGGCGCAGAACCCGTCGGCGAAGGCTTTTGTCGAGGACCCGAAGCCGGCGCCGGAGAGTTTTGGGACGGAGAGGTATTTTGGTGTTACGGCTTTTAAGCTGATTGATAGGGAGGGAAAGGAGACGTTTGTGCGGTATAGGATTGTGCCGGAGGCTGGGTATGAGACGTTATCAGAGGAGGAATTGAAGGGGAAGGGGAAGGATTATCTCTTCGAGGAGTTAGAGGCGCGGTTGAAGTCCGGCTTAGTGAGTTTCAAGCTCATGGCGCAGGTGGCGGAGGAGGACGATGTGACGGATGATAATACCGTGCACTGGCCGGAAGAGCGGAAGCAGGTCGAGCTTGGGACGATCGAGGTGGAGGAGATGGTTGGGGAGAAGGAGAGCAAGGAGGAGCAGCAGAGGATTATCTTCGATCCGATTCCGAGGGTGGAAGGGGTGGATGTTAGCGCGGACCCGCTGTTGGATATGCGGGCGGCAATTTACCTGATCAGTGGGAAGGAGAGGCGGGCGGCGGCGAGTACGGCATGATGCATGGACCAAGGATGGTACTGATGTCGGAGGTTGACTGAAGCTGCCGTGTACCTAATTGTTGATGAGCTGTGAACTGCAGTATTGTGTTCAGCATTGCCAGCGCTGTGAGTAACATGAGAGCATACCTCGGTTTGAGCGAGCTTGCGTTGTCTCGATTTCGTCCTCTTATCTGCGGCTGAGGCACCATCTTCTCTCCAGGGTCTTGGAAACGGGAAGTGCTGAGACCCGACTTGCAGGCACAAGGTTTTTTGATCTACTGTATGTGGATCGTGTGCATCAACTTTTGCCGATGTTAAATCAACCTATTCTACCCGGCACTACCCTCCTTTTTGCCCTTGCACCAAGCGGTACTGCCTGCTGTACGAGTCGCTTTGGCACTGCGCACGCTGCAGCGTCGCTCGTGGAACATCCTGATGTCTCAATTGAGTGCAGCAAGAGCTTGTGCATAGCTAGCAAGCTCTGTACCATCGGAGTAGTCTCTCTTGCCGGCGATCTCGTCATTCTGCGGCTGAGTCCCAGCATGCAGGTGGGTTAAGACCAACAGCCGGCGACTAATCGACGAGCAAATCTTTCGGCACAGCCGATTGATCGGGACAAACCCAGTTCATTGCCCACCAGTCCGAGCATGCCTTTGATGGCTGGCATCAGAGCAGCAATGGTATGCACTTTACTCTGTGTAGCCCGAGACGGTATTCCTTTCGGCTGTGGTTGAGTACTGTTATGTCGTGTGCTGTTAATTTTGCGAATGGCGAGGTTCGTCGGTAGGTGTTGGGGTGTAGCTTACTTTGAGCATCAGCTCCGTAGACCTGTGAAGCGTCGGCGGCGTCTTGTTGACGGTAGTCCGAGCGAGTGTGTTCGATCGAGTAGGTCTGCTGTTCCACCGCTGTTCAATGGAATCCTATTCCAGAAATGGCACGGTAGGCCGTGCAATCAAATGCCCCCACCACCCAATGTCAAGTCGTTATTGGAGAAGTCAGCCAACTTGCTTGGTCGCTGTATGGTCCACGAGCTGCTGTTTCTCAGCGTTCGTCATCTTCGCAGGAGACGCAAATGCGAGTCCGGCCATCCCTTTTGCAAGCTCCCCGGCCTCTGAGCCAACCAGTTGTTGACCATTCTCTTCTTCAATGATTTTCACTACCTCGTGATCGGCGCCTAGAATGCCTGCGACCACATCCTTCGGTCCGCACAGTGCCAGCTTAGCAAGTGCCTGTGCGACGATTTTCGCACTAGAAGCATCAACTTCGTCATTCTTCAAGTCGATCTTCGTGAGTACTGCATGTTCTCGGCCAAGTATGCGTGATATGGTCGGCTTAACAGCTTCGACTGTTTCTTCTTCCTCTGATGTTGGTGATACTTGAGCACTTGGCTGCACGGATGACCAACCAGGACAAAAGATCTCTCTAACGGTGTGATCTTGGGGAATTACGCCTAGAAGTTCAGATCGTTAACGAGACTGAGCTCGGCGGATGCAATTCCTTACCGTTGTACTCGGAGGCAATGATGTTGTGCGTCTTGCGCATGTGGCGTTTCCAACGGTCGAACTGCTTGTATCTCTTCCTGGGCTGACTGCACTCAGCACGGCTGCATTCGAAGGGGTGTTCTCCCGGGTGCCCTCGCAGGTGTTTGGCTAATGTGTCTCGTCGCAGCCCTCAACACCACACCTGAAAGCCTGGTGCCGTTTGTCCGAGGCGTGGACTTCGAGCTCCTTTCCTGTCGCAAAGCCGGCACTGCACTCGTCGCATTCACACGTATACGGACTGTCAGTTTTTCTTTTCCTCGTCGTCGTTTCTGTCTCTGGTGAAACCTGTGTCGATGCCGCTATGATGATCTGCTCTTTGACCTCGGATAGGCCGTCCGTACCTTCGCCTGTCGGTCTTTCAACATCAAGCGTGCAATTGTCTTTCCACTCGTTAGCGCTATCCCAGTCCATTTGTTCCTTAGTGTCAGAATTCGGGAACGGTGCCAGGGGCAGCTTTGCATGAGCCAAGGCAACATCGTCTCGGTAGGCCATTTCAGGGGAGTTCCTTTCTGCAACTCGCGCTGAGCCACGTTCGAGCACGGCACTCGGGCCTGATTCTGGGGCGGCTTTCCAGACCATATTGATGTACACGCTCCGGGAGATTCTGAGAAAGTAGTGCTGTTTGAGAAGATGGTGATAAGGTCCTTTTTGGAATGCTCGCAGGAATTCCTTATTTATGCATCCAGCTCGCGACACATGTCGGAGGGAGAAGCGACGAGTCTACCTTCAAGGAGATGCGGTGCATGTCCAGCAGCAATCCCACGGTAGTACATGCTCAGCCTCTGCTTTGCCTTCGAGCTCGATCATTAACGAAGCACAAAGAGGCAGCGTGCGCCCAACCATGGCCGTTCCAGTTGTGATGCAGCAGAATGAGCTAGATCCTATGTGTAGTCCGATGGGTCACACGCGCGTGCACATGCGTTGACAACACTGCCTTGCCTTTGTCCTTTGGCCTGTGTGTCACGATATCAAGTAGAGTCCAGGTCTCGAGTCGTGAGATAGGAGTTTGTTCGCTGTTGAACTGCGTTGAAGCCGCCCCAAGGACCAACGAGGGCAAGGACCAGCCTCCGCGCCAAGGCCGCGTAGCGCCACCTCACCTCTTTGGCACCGTGATTCGGACATTGATCAATGCCATTGTACGATGTCTCAGTCGGCTCAGTCGGCTTGGACGACAGCAGGTGCTACACATGGCAGCAAAATCGGGACCGGCTCAGAGCCACAGTATGGCGGAATTGGTGCGTTGTGTTCATTGTTGACCCTTGGGAAAAGTCGGAATCTGTGAGCAGGAAGGACACCAAAAGCTACGACAGGCCTGTCAATACCCAACGTCCCACACACTGCCAACCAGGACATGTCGTATGAGTCGGCATGGAAGGGGGGCCACATATATCGGAGCAGCTCACCCGCCTTCGCACTACTAAGTCAATGTGTTATGGCTGTCGTAGAACGACGGACCCGCAGAACGCAGGACGGGGACCCGGGGCCCCCATCGTTCAGATTGGGACGAGACGACTAGGCCACAAAACAACCTGGTACGTTGTGGGCAACATGTCAATGCAGTGCCATCCTCTTGCTTTTCCGCATGCTCGCGCTCGACCTTTTTGACCGATCCTACAAAAAAACGGGCACGGCAGTCTCTCGATGCAGGGGGCCCTAGGGGTGGTCTGCGACAATGTGGGAAACAACGGTGCCTGGATACACAAAGCATGCGGACTTCACGCGACGCGTCAACCACTTCCTGTGCTGCCTTCACGCGCGTGGCCTGTCGGTCAATTCAGTACGTCTGATCTGCCATGTCTCAACGCCCTTTGGCTGTCTCCATTCGTCTCGACATCTGTGCTTTGCTTCTGGGATAGGACAGCGCTGATTACAGCCTTTTTCGATCAATGATGCACCGCAGCCAAGGCCTTACTCTACCATGACTGGCCATGTCCAAGCAGTGGACCAATCAATCGCCCTTGACCTGCTTTGAGGAAATTGAGTCACAGCTGTCGGAGATGGGACTGACTCTGTGAACGGTAAATTGCAACATGCTTGTACGCCCGCGAGGCCAAATGGTAAACGTAGTCATCCATGCCGCTTCGAGGCATGAGCACCAACAGATGCGAAGTCGACTAGCCGGACCAGTCTGCGCTGCACAGCTCCAATGTACATTGGAAGAGTCGATCAAGCCGCGAGAGCGGGCAGTCACATCACGCCATGACCGCTGTTGCTGAGTGGGACCCTACTATGGCTCAACGGTCTAGCTTCGTCCCGCCGCCAGTCCCCACTCTCGCTGCATCTGCAGTCCACGCCCTCGCGCGCCTCCGCACCAGCTCCTCCTCCTTACGGAGCTCACTCCGAGGCATTGCTGGCAACCATGTTAAGGGCCTGGAATTCTGGAAGACGAACCCTCCTCCCACTACTGCATTGGTGCCGACGGGACCGGGTGAGCTTCAGGCAAAGATTCTGTCGGTCCTGCCCCTCTGATGTGGCAAGGCTCCAGTCAACGCCTTTCATCAGCTGTACAGGCTCGCCATCTTGGATTATCTCGGCCCAAAGCGTTTCGCCAACTCGCTCGTCTTACGGTGTCTTCCAATTGTTCAGGGCACCACTGTCATGACCGATGTGACCGATGTGTATGCGGGTGAGTACCTTGACAGTTCTCGTCCTGCATCAAGTGGGCAGGCCGCAGAACTGTACAATCGTGGCAAGTAGATACGTGCATTGTGCTACTTTCATTGAGGCCTGGCCTTTGGTGTGTGAATTTTTTTTTTCTTATATAAGGTCTTTGGTCTGTTGCCATTTCTCACCACAGACTACTTGCCTTTTACCTTTGGCCTTCGACTCGTTGCAAAGTTCTGAAGTCCATACATGTACTTGCTATCAATGAGATCATCAACATCCTATCACACATACACCCATCCGACTGAAAAGTCAAGCCCCCCTCCAGGAAGGAGGCCAGATTAACTTGTATATAAGTCCCACATCGTACGCTGTCCAGCAAACCAAGTGAACATCACCGCTAACCGATGGCATCAGAAGATGACGAAAACGTCACAAGAGCAGTCTGCAGGTACGCCGCTAGACGACCCCAACCATGGTGAGACCCTGTGGACCTCAGTACAGCACCTGCAGCCAACGCCCAGAATCCCCAGAGCGGCGGCAACGCAAACGCCAACCCCGGGACTGGTGCAGATCGAGTCTCGTGGAGCGTCGAGACACAGCCAGCTCTGGCACAGACCCGGTCTGCGCATACTCATGGCGCCATTGACCGATACGAAGAAGCGGACTCTTCTACTGCCGGCCAAGAAACTACCAACACTAGTGTTGATACCAATCCTGGGACATCTTCCTTGGGGTCAGAGCACGAGACGACCAGAAGCACCGGAGCCTGGACCGATGGATGCGAAGGCGAGGCCAGAGTGAAGGGGTTCAACCATGATCCAGCTTTCCGAACTTCCTGGGACGACTCCAAGGGGCCATCCCAGCATGCTCAGGTCACGGCAGGGTGTCGACTTGGACGGATGTCAACAGGCTGGCTGGTGACTCGACTCAATTACGCATCATACGTCCGATTTTGTAGCTATTTGTGACTGGCTACCGTGGGCACAGGACTTCGACACATCGACGCTATGACTCGCACACGGTGGCAAACAAGGCAACTCGTACGTCGACCGATACCTAAATATTCTGGACGCTGGCTAACTTGCTACTCTAGCCACAGGCATCGAGCTTCGACAGCAGCAGATGCTAGTGGAGGCATGCCTATGAACGCCCAAACGCCCGCGCAAGCACAGCAGCTCGTCCATGGGAGTGGAGCATGGTGTCCTGAAGCTCCACCAACTGAGTCCTCGAGCGCTTTCGAGAAAGACACGGCGCTCTGATGCTCTGATGCTCTGGGCACGCCTTCAAAGCATGTTTGCTTCTCGTGTATACACATTGACAGGTACATAGGCGACAGAATCAGATGGAAAGTTGTACATCAGCCTCTTCATACTCTTCACTTCCGTACTTCCACCTTGGCACAGGAAGACGCTACCAAGCTGACGCATACTTGGACTTATATCTGCTGCCGTCACCTCCGAGGCCTGTACCAAGGCCAATAGAACTGTGCATCCCTGTGACTACGGCCATCACCCTTCCAAACTTTGACTGGAACTCTTGTGGGATGATCACAACGCCGATTTTTCCTTCTTGTTGTTGAACTAGAATGCAGAGACAAGTTGCGACAGACCACCAGGGTACCCAACCACTACACGAGCGGTACGTATGTTGCGCTACGTGACCACCTTGCATTTACGCCGATTGATGGATCTGCAATATCAGCTCGCAACGTTGGCGCACAGGATGTCCAAGTCACTGGTATCTAGGTTGACGAGACCGAGCCTTCGATAGTGGAAAGTATTCAAACCCGGCTCGATCAGGCTGGCGTACGCAGGCGACAATGACCGCAAACAACGAAAGCAGCGGCGTCAGACACTTCCAGTCATGCAGTATCAGGGTAGATGACTCAGCTCTCTACATGACTCAGCTCTCTCTACTGGCGGGTATAAATCGACCTGGCCCCTCCAAACGAATCCAGGGAAGCCGACCATACCGTCAGATCCTCTGAAACAGGGCGCGCTCGCCAGACAGGACCACGGGACGCCCTTCAGCAACGAGACCAGGGAAAGCCTAGCAGCCGTTCGAATGACCCAAATCAACTCTGTGGTTGCGGAAATCGACCGCGTGCTCCCTGGGGCAGCGTGAAGAGACCTGTGGGGTTGCAAAGCTGCGAGTGGCGCCTGCCGATGAATCCTTTACCCGGACCGACGACGTGGACCACAGACAGCTTGACCAGGACTTTGCACACCACGTGATCCCAACAATGAATGATGGGACACCAGATAGGGTCGTGAAAGGACATCTGCCACACTATCCGACCAAGCGACTTCGAAGATCAAGCAACTCGGATCAACAAGACCTCCGATCTACAAGCACCACGGCTCGCCTGATTTCGATCGATACCATGCCGAGCGGGAGCAGCAATCCTCGACGCATCGAAGCAAGCGACACTTACGTCATACTCACAGTCACAAGAGGCAGCAAGCAAGGCAAACAGTGACTGGTGTTCCAAAACAACAGCAAGCAAGGCAAACAATGAATGGTATTCCAAGACATGGTACGGCCCTGCTCACCTATAAGCAGCAACTGCAGCGAAATTCACACCAGTGGCTCAACAGGAGCCACCTCTGGTATTACGCAACCATGGAGCGGCCAGAACCTGCCAGCGCAAAGCAGTCAAAGACGTGCAGACAGTGGCGTCCTCAGTCTTCCGGCGCCTCAGGTTACCGATGCAGACGTAAAACGCAAGCTCGACGAGACGTCTTCGTCCGGTCCGGCCAAAGAGTACACCAAAGCCGCTAGAGGCTAGGTGGAGGATCCGGGCAAGGCTCGCATCAAAGAGTTCAACACAGACCACTTCAGTGTCGACTCTGTGCCGGGTTTGTACGGGATATATCAATGCATCGAAGCAAACAAACAACGTTTGCGCTATACCCCGTGCCACTCGATGGCGGCAAGCAATGCAAACAATGACTGGTGCGTCGATCAATATCTCTATATTCTGGACGCTGGCTCCCTGCTACTCCAGCCACAGCATCGGCGTCGCTGCATTCGGGGGTGAAGAGGCATTCGCAACTGCGAAATAATAATGCACCCTTCGATGGCCTACCCCAAGCGTTGGCTGCTTCGGCGATCGACCAGCAACCGCGTGTCCAGACCGCTATGCTGGGTGTGCTGTTGATTCCCACGATAGCTCCGGCGCCAGCAAATGCCAGTGGAGGCATACCTGCGAACGCCCTACCTGCGAACGCTGAACCTGTGACGCCCGCGCAAGTATAGCAGCTCGTCTGTAGACGGTAGCAGTGGGTTTTAACCACGCTGTCTGGGGTTGTTTGCTGCCCCTAGCCTCGACCCTTCTCACATACGTGTCATATCTGTGTGACTGCTAGCTCTTGCAGAGGGCAAACCTAGCAATCGATAGCATGTGCGCTAGCTATCGCTGATATATACCAACTGCCCGGCAACCGACTGTACCTTCAATAAGCGTCTGCCGACATGAAAACGTCAGGATGACAAAGAACGAGCCAGCAATGGCCGCAAAATCTGACAAGCATACACATACCCTTGTATTCTCCATTCGGCCGTTGCTGACAGCATTGGCCAGCGAATGTTCCGACAAACGCTTACGTGGACATGGGTGAGTCTTCTGTCCTCCCTGACAACACAGTTGGGGTATTGCATCCTCCGATTTTGCCGCTGATTGACGGGTAGCTTGGTGATACGGTGGCTCAGGTGCCAACAGTGAGCTTCAAGAATTGAGACGTGTAGCCAGGAAGGCGTTGCCGTACTGTTGCTCTCACGTAGCAAACATCTTCTGGCTTGCTCTTATAAATATCACGTCTAGCTGCATCTGGAAAAAGCCGTTCGAAAGCATGCCACCGCGGGTTATTTGTGTCCGGTAGCAGCGGCTTCCTTGCGTGACTGGGTTGTTTCTGGCAGACATTGCTGCCGTTCGGTAACTGCGTGATGAATGTGCTGGCTGATTCGGAGAGGTCAAGTCAGCGAAGATGGAAGGGGCAGAGTCTGGGACAATGACAAGCGGTGAAGAAGCTCTTGTCATTAACTGCGGCCGCTGCGGACCAGCCTCCAAATGTACTGCAAAACTCGGGAGTCCTCATCACTCGCACAGTTCGCCTGGCATGTCGATGGCCCGCCACCGCCGCCAACCTCCCCCAACTATAGGCTCGGTCTGGTCTGCCGCTCGCCACGTCACAGGCCACTCCTGCGACCAAGGCCGGATCGATTCCGAAGTAGAGGCGACCGGAGTCTGAGAAGAGGATGCGAGTTTGGATGCTGCGTTGTTGGAGTATGAGGTCAAGAGGGTGATGAAGTGACCCGTAGTGGTTGCTGAGTCAGGGGCCGACTTGAAGTGGCTACAATCACACCCTGGGAGTGAGACGTATAGTTCGACACTGCGTAGCCCAATGTCGTTGCGACGTACGCCGTACACGGGGGTCTGACTGATGAATACCAGAGAAAGTTTGCCATATAAGCAACAAACACTAGTTTTGTAAACATAAATAATTTCACTCTCCACGCTCACATACCTTTCTAGGCCAGCCCTTCCAGCAGGACGGGGTCGAGTTCGACGGTCGCAGCTCCGGCCGCCGCACGCACACAATAGCTGGAACCCTTCTCCTGCCCATCAACCTCCGGCATGCTTTAACTGCGGCCACCACCCTGATTGTGGAGCCACGTATTGTGGGCAGCCTGGTGAGAACTGTGGTCTATTTTAGCAGGCTCCCGTATGCGAAGATAGTCACTGTCGCTCGCAGTGGTGTGTTAGTTATTTCTCTCCAATCTCGTGCTCCAGAACGTTCTAGACTCCTGTTACACCCACAGCGGAGTCACTTCCTAGCGACGTGACACATTGAGGGCCCTGATGGTACAGACCACGTGGCTGCCATACATTCTGCGGCATTAGCATCGCAGCGTGCACAGCGTCACGTTTTCATGGCTGACACAGCATGCGGTTCCAGATGTGCGCTGGACCACCGCAGGACGATAACGGCTCCTCTGGTCAACCATGGTAGGGCTACCGTGGCATGAAGCGAGCACAGCAGCGGACGCTTTGCAGGTCTTTCGGCTGTTTCGGTGACAAGGGCAGGAGCCGGGGAGTTCAGATGAGTACTGCAGCGGCACAAGTCAGCAATCGGTACTAGTGTAGGTTTGAGGCAAGGGCCTAGCTTGTGGCTGTACTGCATCCTGGTTTCTACTTGTCCATACCACCATCTCAAGCGGCCCTGCCCGAACCAAATGATTAGTCCTGCATGTCAGCAAAGCACCAGAGTTGTTGCTATACCGCTGTGGGAGGCAAAATCATGTGGAACTCAAATCCTACTGCATCGCTTTACTCAAGCATCCTGGTCTTGCTGAGTGCCTCGACACAGGTCTGTAAGCTCCGGCCACTGCAACCCCTTGTCGGATACGAGGCTGAAAGGCCGTCAAGCCCGAACAGCCACTGCGAGTATGTAGGAAGGAAAGGATATGGCCCCACAGGTGGTGCCATGACCGCCAGGCGTGACTGCCCGAGCGTCGTTCGTATACACATACTAACTAATATATGCAAGATGAAAGCCGAAAAGTTCTACCAGACTGTAAGCGTATGCTCTGACAATTTTTATAGCCGTAGTTAGTCATTACCGGTTGTCCTGATACAAGTCAGTGTCATTATTCACAAGCATCCAGCGGCGCTGCCTTGTCGAATGCCACCGCCAACTCCTCGAACAGGTCCTCCGGAGACGGCTGCTTGTCGATGCTGAGCTGATGTTTGATGTGCTTGACCACGCCGTGTTCAGGCCCCAGAATCTTAGTAGCACTGAAAACAATGTCTTGCATTGACTTGGTTATCCTCTGCGATCCACTATTCATCAGCACAAGAGCGGCACGTAGGTGGAAAGATCTATCTAACCTCAGCACTGCGCGCACAACCCACTAGAGGAGATCCGCGTCCCTTGTTTGGCTTCCTGTGCTTAATGGCCTTGTCCTGCAGTTGCTGCGTCTGCACTAGACCTGGGTGCTGTGTCCGCAAGTGCTGAGTGTAGTGGTCACTCCTGGTGAAACTCCTTGTCCGCTCAGGGGGTCCGCAGTACGGGCAGCGAAACTGGAAGACCTCATTGTGAGTGGTTTTGTGCCTGAGCAGGACATCACGGCGGCAATACGTCTTCCCGCAGCCTGGAAATTTACATTCGAAGGCACGATGCTTAGATACTACCGCATGCCGCTCAAGGTCTTTGCCAGTCGTAAAAGTCTGCGAGCAATGCGTACACGTTCGGTTTCCGGAGGTGCCTTTCCAGATGGATGAGCCTTGTCCGGCAAATGGAGATTCTGGAGTTGATGTCGTGGCACAACGCGCGCGCTCGGGCCCACAAGACCGCACTTCATCGACCTCACCGTCGCTCCCCAGAAACAGGACCGGGTCAAACGATGGACTGAGTGCAGGACACTTCAAAAAAGCTGGCAGAAGAGGATCTTCAGCGTAGCCTTCGATCAAAGGGTCAGGGAAGTCCCAGAAAACAGCCCGCGACATTCCAATGGCACCACCGTCACCTCCCTGGAATTCCTTGAATGTCAGCTCCCCGACCTCGCCGGCTCGTAGCCAGCCGTCGATGGCGTTATCATTGAAGGAATGAGAGCCGTCTGGAAAGGCACAGGCGCTCATGTCAAGGAAAACTACATGGCCAGAAGCAAGGAGGAGGCCGGAGTTGATCACTTATACGGCCTGCGAACCTGGCCTCGCACCACTGGAGCCAGGACAGCCCACCCGGCGGCCACCATATGACCTTTCATGTGCGACGCTTATGCTGCGGCGATAAGGAAGAGCTCAATGCACTGGAAGTACTTCGATACGTATTCTAGCCTTCCTGGTCCGTGCGCAGGAGCTCAGCGCCTCGCGCACCTTCGGCCCTGCTGGGCAAAAGATGGGCAAATGGTCCAGGGCAAAAGAAGGCCATACCTGTGGGCTATATGGCTACGAGCCATAGCTGAAGGACTATGGGAGAAACCTCTGTCTCATTTTGTGTTCTCGAGCGACACTGCGGTATGGCAAAATCATCACACGAGATCTGCTCCGAACTTCCCACACCTCGCTTACAGGAACGCCTTCTCCGAAGGCAAAGCGAACCTTCCTACAGTTCGACAGCAGTTCGAAGCCTCCACGTCACTGATGACGGGCAGTAGCTGGACTCCTCAGGCAGCGCATAAACAAATGAGCACCCTCCGATCGGACTGGAGTTTGCCAGCACCTAGCTGCAGCTTCTAGAACAACGCCATCACACCGACAGAAGCACCATGCACAAGCGGCACCCATGGAAAGCTCCTAGCCAGCGTGGCACGCATGATCCGGAGCGCGACCCAGCATACCAAGGAGTCGAGCTTGAACAACCATGTCGCTTGATTGGACTTTGGACCATGTCTCGCCAGACCACTCCTGCAGGCGTGCTACGAGCAGGTTTTCAGAGCTTCCTGCATGAGTCTGACCTGCCGGCATCATAGCCGGCAGCACAGAGTCATCAGACGGCAGTTGATTCCAGCTTCAAGAGAAGTGGGAGTAGTAGGAGCATGTCTTCATGAGATGATCGAGGAGCGGCTGCCATTCACCGTAAGGCAGTATCTGCATACCCACGGAGTATCCTCATGCCGAGAGCTTCAGCAGAGTACCACGCCTAACTACAAGGAGTGGTCGGCGAACTCTGAAGTGTCGGTGACCTTCCTTCAAAACGTTGGTGCTGGCACGGAACCACGGAACCACCAACCATACCCCTCCCACGTACGTTCTGGGCTTTAAGCTAATCAAAGCTCGATTCTACCAAGTGGACAGCGGAAGGGCCAGCCAGGCCATTGACTGAGATGTCTAGGAAGTTCACGAAGCACATGAGCCCATAGTTTCAGCAAGACAGCGATGGGCTTGTAAATTCCGTGCCACGATTGTTTGGTGCTACATCTGGCACAAAGCCATCGGTAGACCGGCTTCCTCACATCTCGCTCGCAATCAGGGACTCCTTCCGGCGACACCTCCGCACAGACCTCTAGTTGCGGCGAGAAGACGCAGACACACGCACCCCCTGTCGTAAGTACACCGCCAATTCCTTTGGAGCTCGGTAAGTATTTACATCTGCTCTCTTCTCCTTTTTTGCTCGTGTCTGTTCATCCCTACGCTTGTATCTGCTTATCATGCAAAGTCATCGCGAGCACTGAGAAGAACTTCCAGACTTGGAAAGCAACCACTCCACCACAACCCAGGCTCCGGACTCTGCTTACCGCCTCCACACCGACCTGTGCTTGCGCCCGCACTTCCAACATGCCCGCGAATTCGGACACCGTACGCAGCAGTAGCTTTCCAAACGAGTGGCGACCCGCGTCCGCCAGGACTCAAGCATCTTCAGGCGATCAGTTCTCCGACTTGAGCGAAGCTCCACCTCTCCGGTCAGATCATGGTACAAGCTCTCCCACAAGCACGGGTTCTGTCTACTCTTCACCAAACAGACCCCCAAACTTGTCAGAGCTTGATCTGGCGCAACCATTGTACGACGAACTTGACGGAATCGATGAAGAAGTTCTTGCCCATGCGATCGGCATCATTCGACAGGACCCTACCACTTTGAACCTGGCTCTTCAAGAAGCACTTGGGCGAGTGATAAACCAGAGCCGAGCGGTCGAGCCGAACTTCGCATTGGGCAGGTATATCCGCGATAATGCTTCGCCCTGGAACCGAGAGAACCTTCACGGATCGAAGGCATCATCTTCAATCACGAGCAGCTCCGTGCTGGAGCACATTGCTGACCTTTTCGACTCTGACTCTGACATGACCATGCTCGATTCCACCACTCATGCTTTCCCGGCCGATTCACTGTTCGCTCAAATGGGCACCTGGGACATCGGCTTCTCCGATCAACCACAACAGCCAGCATACCCGCAGCAGATCGTGATCGACATCTGAGCCTCTGGGGTCAAGCAAACTGCCGAGCAGGCGTCAACTAACTGGACCTGGTCTGCTGCTCACCTGCTCAGAAGCGACTGTCAGCGGTATCAAGCTCGCACGGGCACCGCGTGTTGCGCGTAGACGAGCGCGCGAGTCTCCGTTTCTCTTGGCCATTCTCGTATCACCTGCATTGGACCTCCTCCTGACAGAGCCTCTCCACTATAAATCAGCTAAGCATTCGAGCAGCACTGGACAGCGCCAACGGCATCCGCAAAATGGGGCCTAGCAAAGTCCGGACACTCGCTTGGAAGTCTCAAACGGCACTGCTAGCAACGGGAAGAAGAAGACCAAAACATGACGCTCTTCCTGCAGCGGTCATGGCGGCAGAACGTCGCTGTGCGCAGAAGCCTGGTCGGACACCCACCTGGAACGCACTTGATCTGATCTGGTTGCAAACACCATGAGCCGCCTTGGCAGCACAAGCAGGCAACTTTGACTCAGTACCAAAACCCGTGGTGCTGTCCAGTAGCTCACCTACATAAATATTTCGAACGACTTCCACTGTGCGGGCACCGACCTCACGTCCAGGTTGAATGCTCATCACTCACGTTACGACGCCGGCTTTCATCGCCAATCATCCACGGACGATGCACCTGTACTACGCCGTGCGTTGACACAAGTTGCGTCGCACGTAGTCAACGGCTTGCCGCCGGCCATTCACCGGCAAACCGTCTTGGAGGTCATTGATACCGCCAACAGGGCGGTTCGGGCTAGTTGGGCTAGAGTTTGCTCTCCCTTCGCCTGTTACACGCTTCGCATCTCCATACGAGAAAACGCGACAAGCGCCATCCTCGTTGTTGCGCCTGACAGACGCGGCGCATCATCTCATACGACCGCAATGCAAATCGCAAGACTCTGTCCGGCACGCCTGCAGGACCCAATATCGACTAGCCGGGACTAGAGGTTCCACCGGAAGAAATGGACATGGTCACCGAACGCTGCAAGGAAGAGCATAAGGCTGTTCCTGTCTCCATGTCGGAGCAGCTGAGCGATTGGCATTACACCGGCTTGGCCAACAGTCAGCTCAAGCTGTGATATCAAAGCGTCATATGCCTACTCAGTACGACGGTCGCGAGCTTCAGATTCCGCTGCTGCCGCCTCGGCAGCGCCTGTATCGACATCTGCGAGGATGTCGCCAACCCCAGTCTCTGGCACCGTCGACCTGCGTGAGCTTGTCAGCTTCAAAAACGCGTCTTAGTTCGATACTCAAGAGGTGAAGGCAGTGTCTATATTTGTACCATCGAAGATTCGAAGCGAACACCCTGGAGCTCATCTTTTATGACTCAAGAGTCTGCAATACTGTCCGTGGGATCAGTAGCAAATGCCTGTAATGTCATTGACTTACTCTCCAAGCCTTGAATTTGTAGGGTTTACATCAATGTCGAACCTTGCCGTTGCCGATTCTGGAATGTCGTCGTGCGGGTTCTTTGATTCGAGTGACTGGTGTAGGCGCCGTCGGTTGAGCCGCAAGCCCTACTACTTCGAAGAGTGACCGAAAACGTACCTGAACCCAGCGCATCAGTCAATCATACGATCCGCCGTCTCGCTAGTTCTCCTTCGAGTCGCCCATTCGCATCGGCAAACATTCACACTTTGCTGCGAGACAATAATTCCCTGAAAGGCACATGCCACTTCTCCCGACCGCAAGCCACCGGGAACATGGGCACAAGCATCATCGCAAGTTACTGCCCCGAGGCTGCCGCCGAAGCTGCGTGCCCCATCCTTAACGTCCACCACGACATTAGACTTTGGCCGGCAATCTGGATAGCGGAAGTTCAGAAGTTGAGATCAAAGTTGCTCTAAGGAGGATGGCGAAGGTGATGAGTGCGACGTGACAGATGGCTTTGCGTGATCAACAATCGCACCAGTCATTTGTATAGCAAGCAACATATAGCGGACCTGACCAGTGTCTGTGCTTAGGCAGCAATCAGCAGGACGAAGAGCCGACGACTATTGCATGATTATCGCGGCTACCTTTCGACGATTATGTGTTCTCATGCTCGCTTCACAGCCTAAGTCGACAGCCCCAGCGCATATCCTCCACGAGTCTTGCTCGACACTTTGAACCCGCAACAAGGCAACGACCAGGCCAAGAGCAGAAGAATGGTCAATCTGGACTGGAGAAGACTATGATCTTCAAGCGGACCATCTTTATACTTGGTCGTTGGCTGCAACGGTGGTTTGTTCGTCTGCCATGTACGATTGTTACAGTCATAAGCAGCAAACGACGACAGTTAGCAGAACGGGGAGGCGAGGACTGCTGTGGTTTGCCGCTACGTGCCTGGCTAATGCGCCGGATACTCGAAGGCTATATGATATACCAAAGTGGGCGACTCCAGGATTGGCTCCTCCCACTCCTGATGTTCCTCGGTCGGCCCGTCGTTGCCCGGTGGCATTTTTCCGTGCTGATGTCACGGTCCGCTGTAGTGTTGCGGATCTGGACGGCAGCGTCTGAGCTTCATGTGGGTGTTGGCAATCATCCTCCGCCGTCGGGCCTGCTAACGTTCTGGCCTGTCCAGCTCTTGGTGCTTAATTCCCGGAGACTGAGATTATTGCGAGGAGGAATTGCTCGCTGCTGCTACAGTGTTGCCTGCTACAGCGATGTTGGGGTCTTGGGCGAGATGCCTGCCTTTAAGCATTGGAGAAGAGTATTTGCGCTCATGCGCAAATGAGTGCCTTGCTTCATGGTGTACGAGTCATACGAACCTCAGCTGGCTGCTATATCTGAGACCAGCCTGGCACTGCTCTTCCTTCTACAGCATGTTGCAGCGGTGGTCTTGCGGAAGATCCGCCTCCTGCCACAATTAGTGCCTTTCTGAGGTCATTGATGAAGCCAGACCCTTCAACAGGGGAGTGATTGGACGCAACATTGGAGGTTTGCAATGGCTCAGCTTGTGCGGATTGCGCCTCTATCTCCACCCCTGGCCCAAATGTTGTTCACACCCACTGTGACACCATCACACCAAACCAGGGCCTCTAGATCAGCTACACTCATGGAGGCGTTGCTCTTTGCGTTGGCTCGGCTATGCAGCTCATAATGCATGTGGTACCATTCCGTCGTCACGCAGGTCCTGTCTGTACAGACTGGCGATTCGCGCCATCAGCTCCTTCCTTGCCCGTTCGACCTGAGCAGTTGTGTCTCTGGATTCGGAAATTCTTAGGTCGAAGGTCTCCTCTTATACTCTTGGTCAGAGTAATGTTTGCTGGTGGGACGATTTGTTTCCTCCAGACTTCAATGCATACTCTGGAGAAGGTCGCAAACGCTCCGACGTCCTCCTTAACTTCATAGCCTGCCGTACCGCAGCAGACGCCAGCTGACAAGATTCGCCACGAGTGGTACCAAAACTCGGAGAATGTGTGCTTCACACTCATGGTCAAAGGCGCGCCGAAAGACAAAGCCCAAATCGACATCCAGGAGCGCTTAGTTGGTTGCAGCACCGACGCGCCCATCGACCGATAGCTGCATGTAAGTCGACAAGCACACGCGCGCGACCGAGCTGACTGTTCGACGTCTTTATCGAGCTCTGGCTACCCAAGTCCGAGGTGCGCTGGGTTTCACGTGGGTCCTGCACCCCGATCGAGAGAGGCTTGATGGGTAGTCACTTGGTCCGCTTCGACAGGCTGCAAGAACCCGCCTGGTCCTGTCTTGCTTCCTACGTTGTGCTTCTAAGGAGCTCTCAGACGCAGGCCGAGACATCATCTTATACCTTGGGCTTAAACGATGTTTGCCGATGAGAAGATCAATTTGCTGGAACCTCGTACATACCGATTGCAGCCTCGATGCGCCCGTCGACCGACAGCTGCCTATGGGTCTTCTCGTTCTCGGTTGCGCTGGAGCGTTGGTCTATGAGCTCTCTCTGCCCGAGTCCAGGACCAGACTGGTGTTCGCCGCGTGTGGCGGCATCTCGAAGCCCATCATTGTTCACCACCACCTCTGCTCCAATCCGCTGAACTTGGATTGCGGTGCGCGGGCTGAGATCATTCTCCCACGTCCCCTGGATTGAGCGTTGTTGGCGGTCGGGAGCCTGATTTGCTAGGAAGTTATACTGCTTTATACTGTTCTCCAAGTCGCGTTATCGAATGTTTGCTGGAGAGGCTGTAGAAAGTACTGATGCTCTTGACGACATCTACGCGAACCACGCCCGCGTCCACAAACGGCCACCTGCAGGTCGCAAAAGCACACGCACCTCACTAGCCTGATTGTCCGTGTCACGACCGCGACTCAAGGCTGGCCTGGAGTCCTCCTACTCATCCAAAGAATGAGAAGGCCGTACCTGCTATAGCGCATCTCTCCTGCTTCAGCTCGAGCATCTTGCTTCGCAGCTCTGTCCACCGGCACCACTTCTGCCCGACATAGAGTTCCAAGGAGAAGCGGACTGTTCTGCTAGTAGCTTTAATGGCCTCCATCAATACACTTGCAAAGCTTGCTTGAATGTTTGCTCCCCAATCCTATTGAATGACTCCTAGGGTTTTGGATACTATTTAACCTCGAAGGCTTAAGGTAGTCTCTTGCTATGGAGAAACGAGCGACCCGGTCGGAGAGGCAAAAGAGCCCCATCAACGAAACTACCAAGCAAGGAGAAGCCCGGCTGGCCGAGCAAAAGATCCGCGCCATAGTAGAAGAACACTCCAAGCAACACTAGTCCAATTCGGCAAAGACTCCAAGCAAGGCCTCCAAGAATGTCAACCGCGAGTATTAGGCCATGTTTGCTAGGCTCCGATTTTTCACGACCGAGTAACGACCTTTGGAGGGTGCTAGATAGTTGTGGACGCTTGGGTGTTGAGGGCATTCGTTGGAAGCTTGGTGCGCAAGGCTGAGTTTTGGTGATCTCCAGGACCATGTGGTGGTGCTCTGGTAAGGTACGCATGGTCATTTCAGCTAGAGTGAGACCAGATTGTTTTTCGCTCCTGGAAGCTCGGCGTGCAATTGAATGTTTGCTACCCCATCCCATTAAATGATTCGCAGGGGTTCGAATGCTATTTGGCCTCGGAACGTTACGACAGTCTCTTGCTTCCCCTTTGCATACACATGGCGCAAGTGCTCGGGAGTGAAGTCCTCTTGGTTCCGAAGCGGTCGGTAGAGCCCGCACGCAATGTCCTGTTAGGTCCGCGGTGCTATGTCGTTATTGAGCCACGTGTTCCTAAGGATTCGTCCTCTAGTCATCCCACCCGATGAATAGCTTAGACATTATTTTTCTGCCATTGGTTCCGTGAAGCAGGCGTGGCAGTTGGCAGAGTGGATGTTGACATTTTTCATCCCCTAGAGATCTCAAAACTGCTCAGGTTGAGGCCTCCCTTTATATCCTTGGCCGGAGTAGTGTTTGCCGAACAAGGTATGAGTTTGCTGCATGCTTCCAGCAGCGTGCACCCGCCTATGTTTTCGACAGCGCGCATTCAGGTTTCTGACAGTCCGCTACTGATGGGTGTGGAAAAAGACCAAACGCGCTCTACCGCGCCGGTTGTTTGTGTCGCAAACGCGGTCTATGGCGAGCAGGTTTTGCCCATATGTCAACCTCAAACCTCAAGACACCTCCGCAGCGCTTGCCTGCGTTGCTGTCCTGGCCGCAGGAACCCCGGCAGATCTCGTGTGCGGTGTCGTCCTTCTGTCGAGCCACGCAGGTTCGGCAGCCATGGAACAGAGCTGGGAGGCGGCGGTGTTCTGGTGGGTTGTTTTGAAGCGGCGAGGTCTGCATTGCTGCCCTCCTTATGCCTGCTTGGGGCTTTTGCTGATGCCTTCGTACCTACATGTAGCTTTTATCTTACACGGTTGTATGATCATGATGTTTGCTCAGGGCGCTGCAAACAATGTCGGTGCTGTTCTTCATGACCCATGATGCATAATGACGGAATACTTCACCTATGCTTTGTGTCTATAAGAGAAGCCATGCGCTGTACGTCTGTCCTCCCTACGCTGGTTGAGTCCAGCTCATCCGTGGTTGTGAGGCTCTATCATGCGGTGGTCGCGTCTCTCTTCTTGGCGCTAGCGTGGCCACTGGCCTCGTGAGCGTCTCGATTAGAACAGCGGTCTAGTGACTCCGGCCTCCCTCTGTTATGAAGAAGTTCATGTTGCCGCCATATAAACGGTGGAACGGGACGCCGTTCGATTGGTCCATGGTGGCGATTGCTCTATGCAGAATTTGGGTGTTGGTTGACTAGAGAATTCTAAGGTGCTCAGCTCAGCGCCGTCGCCTTATATCTGGTCGCTAGAAGTGGTGTTTGCCGAGCAGGGCACGAGTTTGCTGCATCCTTCTCCTAGCATTCACCCTCCCACCACTCCTTCGATAAAAGCCTGTCGAGCTAGCAAAGTCTTCCCTGTACTTGCACCCACAGCTCCAGGACACGGAAAAGAACTCAAGAACAATGGGAGCAATAGCATCCTCGAAAGCGGCCTCGACTTGACCGCTGAGTATCCAGCTTCTGACTGTCCATCGACGGTCTCGTAAGACAGACGCGCCTCACCATAGTGACCGTTTGCGTCATGAACGTGGCGCAAGCCTGGCTCAAAGTTTGTCTGCCTGCTCATTCAGCAAGCATCAAGAGTAACCGGCCCTATATCAACCTGCCCTGGAGCGGTTATCATGTCATGCAATTTATTGACACGGTGGAGAAGGGAGTCGAGGGGGTCCTCCTAAGTTTCGGTTGCCATCCTGGGTTTGTGTGGTGTCGTTGAGTTCCACGCTTCCATGCTATCAACAAAGACAACGTCGCACTCGACCCGAAACCGCGAGCATCATGTCTTAGCCGCCCCTCAAAGCATCAACAACAGGCACACCGGCCGGCCGTACACGCCAAGTTTGTCTGGCGCCGCTGCTTCCAGGGGTGTTGGTGTGGTTCATATGCCTTGAACGTACGATTGGAAGTTTGCTCGAAGCTCGAAGTTCTTGATGAGTGCTGGTATCAGGCGAGCGTGCTCCTTGCCCATGTCTTCTGCGGGCTCCTCAGCCACTCGTGCTTCTGTGTTGAGCGTCGCACTCCGCACGCTGGTGGCTGATGAGTCTTCAAGCAGGCCCGGGCTGCAAATAATGTTGAAGATTTGCTCGAGGGGGGCAGCAAATAACGTCGCCGCTTTCGATGACGCCTGATGACTGTGGTCCCGGGTTTCTTCACCTATAAAGAGAGGCTGTGCGCGGTGCTCTTCTTCTTCTTCTTCTTCTTCTTCTTCTTCTCATGCTCGTCGGAATGGGCAGCAGGTCCCCCTCACCAATCACCATCTTCCGCAGCCCGACACCATTGCGCCTTACGCCAGATGCGGAGTCCTTCTACGCCTTTCCATAACATATCTGCTAGCGTGTTGCTCGGCAGCCAGCTTCTTATGTCGAGGATCGTGAGTGGTCTTTTATGTGGCGTGTTCCCATCACGTGGCGGTGCTGATGCTGGTGCTGTTCGACGAAACTTTGCATGAGGTCGCGGGCGAGCGGGCGGTGCTCGAGGTCGCGCGGGAGCCACAGCATCACTCACGTATGCGGCGTTCGTTCTCGCGCTGTCCCGGTCCCTGGATTCCTAGCGCCAGACAGCGCGGCAATTGCCCTCCGCCCGAGCTGCTGGAGATTAAGCTAGCTGCCAGTCCGCAGTCTACGCTCCGGTGAGCAACGCACACGCGCCTCGACGACCTGATCGTCCGCGTCCCAGAGGCGGCGCGGCGCAAGGCCGGCGTGCCCGTTTGCCTGGCTCCATGCAACCGCCGGCAGGACCTTTCCTGCTCTTGTCGCGCCAGCCCAGACGGTTTCTTGCTGTTGGACTTTGGTTTTCTGGGTCATCCCACCGTTGGAAGGGAAGCACGACTAGTTGCTTCTTGTAATTCCCTGGTACCTGCGCCTCGGTTTTGTAGTAGGAGGGTCGTGGGATCAAGAATTTGCTCGAGGCAGCAGCAAACAATATCGCCGCTTTCGATTACGCCCGATGACTGGGAAGCCGAGTTTCTTTACCTATAAAACAGCGCCTCTGTGCGGTACTCTTCTTTCTTTCTTTCCACAACATACCTGCTACAGGCTTGTTGAGCAGCCCGCTCCCTGTACCGGGGACCGTAGGTTACTGCTACCGGTCGAGAGGCTGTCCATCATGCGGCGTGTTCCCATCACACCGGGGTGCTGGTCCTGCGAGGGAAGGCTGTGCGTGAGGTCGCAGGCGGGGTGGCGTGAGAGGTCGCGCGGGATCCGTTCGTTTGCTCCCGTTGGGCTTTATGAGGTAGACTGCAGGACTTTCATACCTTGGAAACGATGATTTCACGAGTGCCTGTAGACAGTGAGGTATGACAATTGAGACTGCGCTGATACTTGGGTTTTCATACCAACAGCTCGAATCATGCTGGTGCTTGCAACACCATCTCTGTTCCGCAGCCTGCGGCCTTCTCATCACCTTCACATCAACCCTTCCACCCTCCTTCGTCGCACCAAATCATCTCCTACCGCCCATACCACCCATCCCCCCACGGGCTCCCACCCAACATTCCATTCCTCGGCGGAACCCACTGCAGGCTCCCCGCATACCGCGTCGTACTCCCCCCACTCGCACCGGTACCACGTCTAGCAGCCGAGTTCATCGGCGCCGCCGATCCCGCTGGTCCCAGCGGAACGTTGTTCGCACTACTCAGATTCGTCGGTCTCGAGTGCGCGTGCGCTCCACTTCCGCCAGTGGAGCGGGACTGCGAACCGCCCATTTGCGCGAAGAAGCCGTTCACGTCGTTCCCAACACCCGATCGCATAGCCGTGCGGGCGAGGGGGCTGTGTCCGGTATCCTTGATCGCGAAGTCAGCCTGACCTTGTCCTCGCCTGAGGACAGGAGGAGCCTCTCTAATCTCCCCTTCTTCCAAATCACCAGCGTCAGGTCCCGCAGCGGCGAGCATTTCATCCCCGCCATACTAGAGCGTAAGATGCAGCTCCCGCTGCAGCACCATCGGCATAGCCAGCACAGCCGTCACGGCGGGCACCTTCCTGCCCTTCTCATCCGTTGGGCCCTTCTCGTTCGGGAAAAGGATCAAAGCGTGACGCAACGCGGCGATGCCGGCGCTGCCAAAGGTGTTGATGATGCGGGGTACGTAGTTGGAGACCATGCCTTTGAGCACGATGAAGTGCGTGGGTGTCGTTGCTTGCGCGGGGGTGTTGGTGATGCGGGCGAGGGACTCCCAGTAAAGCCGATTCGGGGCTGGATTGGCGTTTTTGCTTCTAGAGAAGTCGCGCAAAGTGATAGCGGCGAAGCCTGCTCCAAGCCCGGACATGCGTTCGTAGTGCTGCTGTTGCGCGATGAAGGTGTTGCTACCCGGTTCCATGAGCCAGCCGAGGCGGATACGGCCGTCTCTCGTCCGCTCGTTGCCGGAGATGCCGAAAAGGACGGGGCAGGCTTTATGGTATTTGGCCCAGAGGAGGTCGATGAGGCTTTGGCCGTTGAAGAGGTATTGGGGGCGGGCGAAAATGGTGACGGCGAGGACACCGATGGAGTCGGCGGCTTTGAGGTCGTCGCCGCTGCCCACGACGAGCTGGTTGATGATGTTTTTGACGAAATGGTTGAGGAGGAAGAGGAGGCAGGCGGGGCCTTGGGTGTTGGCGCCGGGGGGTTGGTGGTTTTGGACGAGGAAGGCGGTGATGTCGATTGATGGCTCGGAGACTTGGGCCGCTGCGTCGAGGGTTTTAGTGATTTCGACAGTCTGTACAGAAAAATTAGCATATGACAATTGCTGCTGGGCAAGCAATATCTGAGCATACCGCTCGCTTGTTGGTGTCCTTCGCTTCTTGCGATGTTCCTTTGCTCAACTGACCGAGACACTTCTTGATTGAGCGTCTCCAGTCTGATAGCTTATCTTTCAATCCCGGAACCTTCTTGACTTCGTTGCTGACGTGCTCACGCATCTGCTTGAGACGCTTGTGGAGATCCAAGTAAGCATTGTGCGCCGCCTCCCGCTCGTCGTTGCTCGAAACCAGGCCTTGTGGAAGGTTGGCGGATGCTTGAGCCGGAGCAGAAGCCGCAGGGCCGGACAGCGGTGAAGGCCTAGAGAGTCCAGTTCCGTTCGTTTGCGGAGCCGCAGCAGGAGCCTGCGATGCAGCAGTCTGCCTCTCGTTCTCTGCTTGCTGCGCTCTCTGCTTGGCCTCGGCGTCTTGCCTGGCCTTTCTGTCCGCCTCCTCCTTGTCCTGCCTCTCCTTCTGCGCCTTAGCCTCTTCTTGCTGCTGCCGTTCGGCTTCTGCCTTCCGCTTTGCTTCATCCTGCTGACGCTTGAGGGCTTCCTCCTTCCTCTGCGCCTCCTCACGAGCCTGCTGTTCCTCCAACCGCTTCCTCTCCTCCGCAAGCCGCTGTTCTTCCAGCTTCCGCCTAGCCTCTTCAATCGCCCTCCTCTCCTCAGCTTCCAGTCTTCTGCGCTCGCGCTCGAGTTCCAGCTCGACGCGCTCACGCGCCCTCTCGGCACTTTCTCGCACAGACTCATGCTTAGCAAGTGCGCGATCGAGAGCTTCGATGTGGAGTCGGGATTGCGCTGCGGCTTGCTCATCCAGCGAACTTCTGAAGTTGCGGTCGTCATTGAGAAGCATGAGACTGAACTCTTCCAGAATCTGGCGTGAAGGACTGTCGTTGATGGCGTTCCTTGGTGAGCGGTGGTAGCCATTGACGCGTTTCACACCGTTGAAGAGGTTCCTGGAGGGTGTCGACCGCTGGCTCGAGGGCGAGCGGTCGAATGCGCGAAAGGGTGAGCTCATATTCGCGGTGGTGACCTTCTCGAGTGTAGGGAAGTTGTGGGATTGCTACAACAAGCAAGCGGTGATGGGATATTGGTGTTGGGAGATGGGGATGGTCAAGGAAGCGGCGCACTGGTGAATGGTGACAGACATGGGGATGGTTGAGGCGGAGAAGCTGGGGAGGCTGGGAAGAAGCGGTGCATGGTGAGGTGAGGTCGTGTCGAGTCGTTGGAGTCTGAGACCTTCAAACGCGGCTTCACTTGCGGCTCTGCGGTGCCCCCGCTTGCCGGCCCGAATAGGAATGGTGGTGAAACAGCCGACTTCATCCCTTCTACATGTACGCAGCTAGGAGGTACATTGTAGGAGCCGCAGGATCTCATCGGTAAGGACTGGGTTTCCTTTGAGCATTATTTCCTGCAGGAATTGCGCAGACAAGGTAGATCGCATTATGCGTGTAGTTGATGCTCATCCAAACGCGGGACATGGCCCCCTCCAAAGGACCAACAACACCCGACAATGTTTGAAGGATGATGAACGTCGCTCGAAATAGCAGCCTTCATCAATCCATCTTCGAGCCGCTTCGATCTTCGCAGCGTCTATTAAAAGCCGTGGCCTGGTGTTGCAAACTCGCGGTCTACAAACAACTCACTCTCAGCTAGACTGCGACTTTCTTGCTCTCCTACAATCAAACTTTCGACGACATGTACTCTATGCAGAACACAGCCTTGTGGGCTACTACGCTCTTTGCTCTTATCTCTGCTAGCCCGACTCAGGTCCGCCACTCCAGCCCCAACGGCATGAGCAAGAGAGGCCTAGGTACCTTACGGAGTATTAACTGCGGCCTGTGGGCGACGGCAATAACGGCGGATGCCGAGCAAGCGATACAAGATGCCGCAGCCAACGTCGGAACTATTGCTGGCGTATTGACGAGCAACGTCGGAACCTCTTTTGTCGGACCTCAGTCTTGCTCTCGATTGGCATGCGTAGGCACTAGGTAAGATTCGCCTCTACATGTATACCTAGGCACGAGGCTAATACCAGGCTTAGCGGCGTCTACGTCTGTAACCACGGTGACAACGGCCACTGGGTCCAAGTCGACGATCTCTCCGGCCCTGGTATCGGCCTCATCGAGAAATGCACGAAGTTCTACAACTGGGGGGACGTAGCTTTGTATGAGCAGACGCCTGTATCTGGACAAGCGTTTTACGTAGGAACGACGTTGAATCTGGTCGTCAGTTACTGCGATAGTAATGACGACTCGTCCAAGAAACCAAGCGATTACATGTTCGATGACAACTGCGGGCCCAACGGATGCACCCCGACTTGTGGATGGGATGATGCTGAGACATACGTTTGCCCCGTATAGAGCGACCCGTTCTTGGGTACCTCGGAAGTGGGAAGAGGGACTCTATGCTGCTACAACTCGTGGTCAAGAGCACGTTCATTGTCTGGTGGTGGTGGACCAAGTTGTGGGCTGAATGGCGGGCGTGGAGGAGCTTTCTGCTAGTGTCGCTATCATTTTGTCGCTTGCATTAGATACTGCATGAACATCCGCACTGACGAGTGAGGGACTGCGAACAACAAGACTTTGAATGCATTCGGTGGTCACAAGAACCATGAGACATAGCAGGCGCTCCAGCGTACCATCTCCGAGCAGAAGCTTTTCGTGTCCGACCCTATCTGTATCCTCGCAGGGCTGAGCCGAATGAAAGAGTCGGGAAACAACGAAGGTAGACCGATACAGTAGAGTGTCTCCGACAGAGCAGTCCAATGTACCAGAGTCCATGCGGCGGGTCCTGAGCATTCACCTGCCAGCTAGCGTCGAGATGGTGTCTCGAGGCAGCGATTGAACTCGAACTGGGTGAGCTAAATTGTCTATAGACCATATAACCAAATGCCTGAAGACGCTGAAGCATCATTGGGGCGAACGATGGTACGTCGGGGCGAGGTCGGTGTCACTCGAAGAGTTCAGTGCTCACGAACGATACGAGGCCGCCAAGAAGTAGACTTTGCCCATTGCATGATCAAGGAGAAGCGATATGGACTGGAGAAGTCGATATGGCGAAGGATGATAAGAGTGCGTATATTCAGATAGATGAAGGAGGGTGATAGGATTGTGTGTAGCGTCCTTGTTCCTGCGCCGTTGAAGTCAGAGTGGTTCGCTTCTCTCCAGCGACGCACGAACCCCTAAAATGGTAGCTGCATCTTCGTCATCAGCCAGTCCAGTCGCACGCAATCCTTTCTGTTTCCACTCCACTCCATTCCCCTCCCTCGCCCATACCAACTCATATCACCTACCCATCAGCCGCGGCGACACACAGCCGTCACTGCCTTCGCAACACTCACTGTTCCTGCCTTTGAACGCGCTGACCCGCAACGCAAGCAGCCGCTCCCTACCAATCCGTCACCCACTCGACGCAAGCCCGTCACCATCCATCGCCTGCCACCTGGCCTGCTCGATCCTTACATCCACCACCCAAACACCCTCATCCAAACACCACCACCACGGCACACTTGCAACCAGCATACCCTTCCGTACGCTCCAATCACTCGCAAGCCCGCCCCTCTGTGAGGTATACCTCTTGGCTACCAACATTGCCCTCAGATTGGCGTGCACGCACCACCCTTGAACATACACACTGCTCGAGCATCGCAGCTTGACTCGGACACTCACGTGCTCCGACGACTCAGCCTGACGCAGGCAACGAAGAAGTGTACGATAGACGAGAGCATCCACAGCAGCATCTACTATGGATCCCAACAACCCCAACCAGTCGACCCCACAGGGCCCTTCAGGCCGCCGTCTGCACATTGCACACAGGCGCAGCCCATCTGAGATGACGCCGTTGATGAGTATGTACTTCCTTTTCCACTAGATTGTCATGGCCGCACTTCCCACATCACCGCCGAATGACCCCCGCTGACATATTACTTCCCACACAGTGGAGCAGCTCGCTCTTGCACAGCAGATTGAAATGCTTCAGCAGCAACAGCAGCAAATCGCTGCCACCCACCAGCAATATGTCAACATGGGCATGATCCCACAACAGCAGCAACTGCCCAATCAATACCAGCAGTTGCAGGGCCAGATGCAGAACCTCAACATCTCGCCAAACCCCAACCAGATGCAATTCCAGCAACAACAGCAGCAACCAATGGGTATCCCCATGACTAGTGGCATGGGTGCACCCAACGCACATCGGCGGAACCAGTCTGCCATGCCGAACATGGGCATGGGCCCTCCGCCAGCTCCATCCAGCGGAGCATCCGGCTTCAACGATTTCAATTTCCCTGGTGCTCAGAACCAAAACCAGAACCGCAATGAGAACAGCGCCCCGCGCGGAGGTCGCGGAGGCGGACAAGGAGGTGGACATGCGCGCAGACACTCCCTGGCCCTACCGGAAGCGAAGAAAGCTGCTGAGCTTGCAGAGGCCAAGCGCAAGACCACTGGCTTTCAATTCCCGATCCCGAACGCTGGAGGCTCTTCGCCTGGAAGCACAAACCGGGACCTCAGCCCTGCACAAGGCTCGAGCGAGACTGCGCAAACACCATCCAGCGCAACTCGTGGAGGCTATGCTGGTCGCGGACATGGCCGTAGCCAGAGCATGGCTGTCGGCAACGGCCGAGGCATGGCCGCAAGCAGCCGTGGCGGTCCGCAGGGCTTCCAGTTTCCACCTCCACAAGCAACCAACGATGGTGGTGCCAACACCTCCGACCTCAACCGCCGTGGCAGCCAGGGACATGGTCGCACCGGCTCTCGCAACTTTGAGGGCAACTGGCGCCAGCAGCAGCCGCCTACCGTCAACGAGCCTCAAGAGCAGAACATGGGCAACTTCCAGATGAACCAGCAGCAAATGGGCAACTTCCAGCCTGGCCATCGCCAGCGTGGCTCCATGGCTGCGCAGTCCATGAACTCCATCCAAGGCTTCAACCAGTTCCAGCAGCCACAGCTCGTTCAGCTGCCGCAGGGACAAATCCTTATGCAGCAACCGAACATCTACGGCCAGCCACTCAATGCTCTTCAACTTGCCCAGTTGCAAGCCTACCAGCAGGCCGGCATTCAAGCACCGACCCTTGCCCAGCTCACCGGCCAGCACAACGCTCCTGGCCTGCCACTCCAGGGCAACCAGCAGCAACGCAAGACCTTGTTCACTCCTTACCTCCCGCAAGCAACGCTCCCAGCTTTGCTTGCTGATGGCCAGCTCGTGGCTGGTGTGCTTCGTGTGAACAAGAAGAACCGCAGTGACGCCTACGTTACGACCACCGACCTCGATGCCGACATCTTCATCTGCGGTAGCAAGGACCGCAACCGTGCCCTCGAGGGTGATATGGTCGCTGTCGAGCTCCTCGATGTTGATGAAGTCTGGGGCCAGAAGCGCGAGAAGGAAGAAAAGAAGAAGCGCAAGGATGTTAGTGACCAGCGCACTGGAAGTATTCACACGGTCAACGATGCCACCACGCAGCCAGAGAGTGCTTCGGCTGCTCAGGAGGGTGGTCTTCGTCGCCGTGGCAGCTTGAAGCAGCGCCCAACGCAGAAGAAGAATGATGACGTCGAGGTTGAAGGCCAAAGCCTACTACTCATGGAGGAGGACGAGATCAACGACGAGCAGAAGCCGTTGTACGCCGGCCACATTGTTGCTGTCATCGAGCGTGTTGCGGGCCAGATGTTCTCTGGTACTCTTGGCCTCCTGCGTCCCAGCAGCCAGGCTACCAAGGAGAAGCAGGAAGCCGAGCGCCAGGCTCGCGACGGTGGCAACCACCCACGCCAGCAGGACCGCCAACAGGACCGTCCGAAGATCGTCTGGTTCAAGCCAACCGACAAGCGTGTCCCTCTGATTGCCATCCCGACTGAGCAGGCTCCGAAAGACTTTGTTGAGCATCACCAAGACTACGCGAACAAGATCTTCGTGGCGTGCATCAAGCGCTGGCCCATCACCTCGCTCCACCCATTTGGCACACTTGTTGAGCAGTTAGGTGACGCCGGCGACCTTAAGGTGGAGACTGACGCGTTGCTCCGCGACAACAACTTTGGCCCGGATGATTTCTCCGATGCAGTGATCAAGAATGTCGGCTACGAGGATTGGTCCGTCGAAGCTGATGGCGAAGCTGCACTTGAAGGCCGTCGCGACTGCCGTGAGGAGAACACGTTCACGATCGACCCGAACGGCTCGAAAGAGCTTGACGACGCCATCCACTTCAAGGACCTTGGAGATGGACAAGTCGAGATCGGTGTCCACGTTGCGGACGTTGCTCACTTTGTGAAGCCCAACAGCCTGGTCGACCGCGAAGCCAAGAAGCGTGGCACTGGAGTCTACTTGATGAATAGGACGGTCAACATGCTCCCGGCCAAGCTCTCTCAGGACATCTGCTGTCTCAGCCCCGACGAGGAGCGCTACACCGTTTCGGTCGTCTTCAAGGTGAATGCGGCTACCGGCCGTGTCATTGATGACGAGACCTGGATCGGCAAAGGTGTCATCAAGAGCACAGGCAAGTTGCAGTACGAAGAGGTCGACGCCGTTATCAACGGTGCTTCCGCTTCCCAGGCTGGTGTCAGTGAAGAACGAGCGACTCAGATCTTGACACTGCACGAGCTCGCCAACAAGTTCCGTCAAGCGCGCTTTGGAGGCGATACTGTCACCAACATCCCGCCGCTTCGCTTGCTGTACCAGCTTGACGACGAGAATGTGCCTGTCGAGCAGAACATCTTCGACTCCAGCCCCGCCCACGAGATGATTGAGGAGATCAGCCACAAGACCAACTGCGTCGTGGCGCAGAGGATTGTTCAGGCCATGCCTGACCGAGCACTTCTCCGGAAGCAGGCCAGCCCCAACCCGCGCCGTCTGAAGCTGTTTGCCGAGCGCATGAACAACATTGGCTACGACATTGACATCTCGACATCCGCCTCTCTCCAGAACAGCCTCTTCCGCATTGAGGATGAGGAGGTTCGCAAGGGTATGGAGACGCTCGCCGTCAAGGCCATGGGTCGTGCCAAGTATGTCATCCCCGACAAGGCTCCCGAGGGCATCTTTGACCATTACGCCCTCAACTTGCCGGTGTACACGCACTTCACAAACCCGAGCCGGCGCTACGCCGACATTGTCGTCCACCGCCAACTCGAGTCCGTCCTGTCCGGCGGTTCCATCGAGTTCAACGAGGACGTGGAGGCTCTGGCGAAGACCGCCGAGACCTGCAACACCAAGAAGGACTCGGCTCATGCTGCCCAAGAGCAGAGCGTGCACATCGAATCCTGCCGCATGATGGCCCGGAAGTCCGAACAGCAAGGCGGCGACCTCATCTCCGTCGGCATCATTGTCTGCGTGTACGAGTCGGCCTTCGACGTGCTCATCCCGGAATATGGTTTCGAGAAGCGCGTGCACTGCGACCAGCTGCCGCTGAAGAAGGCCGAGTTCGACAAGAACAAGCGTCTTCTCGAGCTGTACTGGGAGAAGGGCGTGCCGTCCTCGGCCTTTGTCCCGGAGGACGAGCGTCCGCAGACCAAGGGCCATCGCCCAACTAACAGCTCTGTCGCCCGCGAGACTGCGGCCAAGAACTACGCGAGCCAGGAGGCGGAGCGCAAGGCCATGAACACCGGCACGATCGATAGCAACGACGTCGACGCCCTGTTCGACGATGACGACGACAACGCCTCCGAGGCGACCGACAACGCTTCCGGCGTCGCTGTCAACGGCGACCGCGACCCATCTTCGCCGCAGCGCAGCAAGAACGCTTCCGCTCCTGAGGCGAAGCTCAGCAATAAGGAGATGTATCTGGATTTGTTCACGCTGCGCGAGGAGGGCGGGAACTACATCCAGGATGTACGGGAGATGACGCGCGTGCCGGTGCTGTTGAAGACGGATTTGACGAAGAGTCCGCCGTGCGTTTTACCCTTCCCCTTCATACACCATTACAAAGACGCATGCTGACTTGATGATAGGTGCTTGACCATTCGGTCGCTTAACCCTTATGCGTTGTGATCGATCGCTTCGCTTCACTCACGCAACTCAGCAAATTCGATTCATGGAATTACCAATCAACAAAAGTCTTGCGTTACTTTTTCGACACCCACATGTGCTTTGGCCTGCACACACTTCAGGTCTTCACCACACACAGCAGAAGGGGTTTGTGACTGGCGAAAGCTGGGATGGCACCTTCTCGACTTTAGGGCTGCTTTGAGCAGCAGATGCAGATTCTGACTGGTATACACTCTTTACGCATCGACATCGACACCGACGACATGGGGAGGGAGAGCTGCTGCATGGTTATGCAGCATGGAATCATGTTTTGCAGAGCAGAAAGCAGCAGCAGAAATGGCTCACCAACATCATTGACGAGCTTGAATGGATGAGAGATAGACAGACGGATGGAGGAGCGAGCATTGGAAGACGATAGCTTCACGAGGCGGAGCATGCTGTCTTGAAGCATGAACAGCGGAAAGTGGAGGTGGAGGAAGTGAACATGCACAGTTCAGGAGGCATGGTTTCATGGATGGCGAGGGAATGAGTATGGATTTGGAGGAGCGATTGAGCGATGGGAAAGGAATCAAGGGAAAGGGAAGTGGCAGTGGAATCTATGGTTAAGTGCTATCTCATCAGTGTTATGTAGTTTTTGCAGCGGAAAGCGTGTTTACTGTGCTTGGTACATTGTCATCTCTCGTGATCCTCTCAAGACCTGAAGTCGTCTCACATCATCTAAACCACCAATTGACCGACCCAGTCATCCCGCTCCCAACACCTTTGACACTATGCCACCAGCCCTTGGGTATGAACAGTCCGTCTCCCGGACTCAGCTCGGCTTCCCACAGCACACTGCTGCTGCTGTTCTCCCCCCTCTGCTCATCGTCCCAGACCTCAGCTTCCAGCGCCTTCTTCTCCGCACCCTGCATCATCTCCTCCCCTCTCATCACATCCGACGCCGACCCGCCAATCTGCTCTTGCACTTTGGCGAAGATCCCCCTCCCGACCTCCGGCTTGCACAGCCGTACCACTTTCTTCCCCGCCAATTGCACGAAGAGGTTCGGGTTCGGGTCTCGATGGAGGGGTGTGAAGGTCGGCGCGTCACCCAGCCAGATACTCGAGTCGTAGACATCGCCCTTCCCGGCCTTCAGCACGATCTCCGGGACCGGCACATCCTCCCTCAACCCCTGCGGCAGGTCCACGATAGGCGCTTGCGCGAGATATACCCTAGCCGCCGGCTTCGCTGTCACGGCAGCAGCAGGAGCAGCAGCACTGAAGAAGTCGTTAGACACTCTCGTCCGCTTGACCGCGCGAGCACCGGGCACGTAGGCGCTGAAATAGCGGTTCGTGCGGGTGGAGTAGTTTGAGGAAGCGGCGTGTACGCACTCGAGGAAGAAGGATAGGGACTGTTCTGTCCGCGAGAAATGCTCATTGTTGCTGATCTCTAATGGAACGATGGTCGAGCCGAAGCGGGAGAGGTAGGTGCGGTTGAGCGCTGCTTCACCTGCTACGCCTCCACCGCTTTGCTGATAACGGGGGATGAACCATTTGGAGATTGCAGGTAAGTGCGCAAAGGTGTTCCGGGGGAGTAAGACGGGTATAGCGGGCTGGTAGGCTTGCGAGCGGAAGGTCTCGAGCGAGGCGTCGGGGAGGACGGGGAGGGTGCGAGGTGTGGTGTAGGCTCTACATTGCGATAAGGGAGGGAAGATGGCGCGCTTCGTGAGCATTAGATGTGCAGTAATTGTGCGTTGTTTAAGGTGGAGGTGAAGTTGGGACAGGGTGTGGTGTTGGGGCTTGGACCAACTGTGGAGATGGGCGCTAGTGCGAGGCGGATGTTGGTCGGCAGGGGCGTGGAAGACCAGCTGCCTTGTCAGGCTAGATTGGCTTGGGTGCATGCATTGGGGAAGAGGTAGTTTTGTCTACGGATGAGAGAAGAGCATGGGTCCACAGAATGGCGAGACGAGGGTTCGCGGAAGGATGTCAACATGCTGCCAGCACATGCAACGACCTCTCGAGATCCAGGTTGGCATGTGACATTCGTGACTTCGTGGCTGGAGCAAATTCATCATGGCTCACGTCTGGTACGTCACCCAAAACGACAACGACAACGACGGTCCTTAAATTGTATACCTATGTTGGCCCTGCTCGACAGTGCGCCGGCATCCAAAGTAGACGCTCCCAACGTCGACCTCTCAGCCTGTGAAAGAGCTCGACCACACATCTTCTCAACAGCATCCGTTGGTGCGAATCGCTGGCGCTGTACCGACGAACGATCGTTTGACACTGCCCTTCATCACTATCCTCGCCTCCTACCTCCGAAGCTCTCCTGCATCCATCCAACATGCGGATCTTGAAAGTGGGTGGGAGATTTTGATCGTAGCAGCCTCATGTCCTTTGTTTCGCATGTGTTACTCGATCGATGTTGTGGTGGAGTCCAACTTCGTGTCCTCGGATTTGTGAGAGCAGACGGCACTATTCCAACGCTCCTTGTCAAAGTAGTCAGTCTTGTAACCATCGATATGTATCCTCAGCCACTGTGCTGTTGCTGCAGCTAATGACTTGTTGTTGGTGGGCTCATCCAATGCCCTTCGTGGTTGTTCTTGACATAAGCTCATCTTGAAGGGCTCGCAATATGCCGTTGAAATGTTGCTTAAGCTGAGAGGTTGGCTGGGATCAAATCAATCCGATGCTGCCGATGATTGTATTGCTCGTAGAACTGATACCACTGCGTTGGTGGATGACTGATCTTGCAGGATGGCTGAATGTAGTTGGGGAAGCTGACTTTGCGTCCAAGTCTGTGACAAAGGGCGTACGCAGGTTGAGGTACTGCAATTCCGTGTCATCGCTGGCGGTGTCTAAGGTCGTCGATGTGGTCAGTCCTGACATTGACAGTACTTGACTCTCTGCCTCGAACACATAATGCTGCTCGTCGGACCTCTGGCCCCTGTCGCTCAACGTCGGTTCCATGGATTGGTAAGAGGCTGGTAAGCCGTCTCGCCCAAGCTTGTAGGATCTCGTAGTCGCGAAACCCGTAACGTGGGTAGCCCCTGGCCCGCAGTGTGGTGTGGGCGGTTCAAGGTGTCTCGTTAGCCTGTGTTCTGAAACGTTCGCCGGACGCTGCCAGCTACTTAAACGATCAGTGAGAGCTGCTGCTTCGAGGATTGGTAAGGCATCTGCATCAGGACGGACCTGGCCTCCTCTTTACATGACACAGCACGCTAGCACCGTCCGGACAGCTGCAACCCAAGCACCCCTGTCCCTCCAGACGCAACCTGCGACAACTGGGGTTGGACATTGCTGACTCAACCACCCCCCATGCCGTATTCGTTCCAGGCTAGCAGTGTCTCACGGTCCGTGCCAGCGAGATACATCGGCCCACCGGAGGCAGGGGAGCGATCCCATTACGTGAACCCGGTGGTGTGGCGTCTGGCGTCTGTACTGTGCCGATGTTTCGGCGGCGTCGGTGATCGCTGCGGGTCGGTCGCCTGCATTGGACACTGCCGTTGAAGCGGACCGGGCGCTTGGGTGCAGGTGGTTGTAAGTTAAGTATAACCTTTACCTTGCAGTACGTCTTGTCGATGTCTTTCCCTCGTATTCAACAGACGCCCATGCAGTTGTGTAGGTGAGCTCCCTTCTCGCGCAACGTGAGAATAAGAAGATGAGCTGTTCCTGAATGGAGTAGAAGAGTTGTACTCAGTACTATATTAGTTGAGCCGCAACGAACCGCTCGACAACCGAAAGTCAGTACACAGATCGACGAGAAACACTCAAGCATGTCAAGCGGACGTCGGCCACTCGAACGATGCGCATCACAACAATGGGGGTATCATGAAAGCAAGCATAGCCCAATGTATCCGACCAACCCCAACCACAAGCCTTGGGCTTCAACGCATGTTCGACAGATGAACCGATGATCAGAACAACAACCGTTCAACGCACCAAAACAGGATAACAGACGCCAATACCTAAACCACTAGCAAGCTCTGATCAACAGCCGGCTAACTCTTCTTGCGTTGGGCACGGGTGTTCGGTCTCTTCCTGCCTTTCACACCAGACACTATGCCATCCATGACGCCCTCGGCGCGGTCCTGCACATTGTGCTTTTCGGCTTCAGCTTGAATGTCGTCGACAGCGTCATCCTCCTTCGCGCAGGTAGTGCCGCACACGAAGTCGAGAATCCCGAAGCGGCCGAAATTGCCGGCTTCCTTGCCATCGTAGACAACGTCGAAATGTTCGTCAGTCCGACGCGCCATGCCCACCAGGACAATGCTCGAAGGCAGGACGGCATAGCCCGAATACACGAACAGCTCTTCGAGACTGCAGAGGGCAATGAAGAGGTGCCACGTCAGGACGTGGAAGCGGAAGAGATAAGCAGGCAGATACGTCGGCAGCCACTGGCCTAAAAGGTAGTTGACTGGGTGATCATACGCCGCGACCAAGCTGAACGGCAATCGCACGCTGTGCTGCCATTGGAGATGCCAGGTCTTCAGAGGCGAATCGTAGGTGTGCAGCAGGAACCGATGGACCAGATAGCTCACGATGCTGCGGATCGCGAAGCCCTTTGCCACGTCTTTGAGGATCGTCAGAGGCCACGGCACTGCTGATGTGACTTTTAGAATGCTCTTCGTCCGAAGAATGTCGGTGAAGAAGAACTCCAGGGCGGCTTGCAACACGAGCGCAAGGCAAACATTCAGGAGGCTAAAACCAACAATCTCCAACAGCTTCTTCCGACCCAACCGGAGCGGCGATTGGCTGGCGCCACGGTTTTTGAAGGATTTGGAAAGGGACGGGAGCAGACAGTCGAAGCCGAGGAATCCGCAGGCTGGCAGGACGAAGCAGAGCAGACGGATCGCCAAGGTGCCGTACAGTTCGACGGTGAGCTGGTCGTGGCTCAGGACTAGCGCTGACCACGTGAGGTAGAAGAAGACGAGATTGATCGTGGTGGTCGAGGTACCGAGTACTGGCAGCGCCAAGAAGGAGAGGAAGGGCAGTGGCAGCGACAGCAGATTGGTGAACCTAGCGACCGTGACGCCGTACAGTTGGGAGAAGCTGGTCGGGACGGTGAAGGACCTGCCCTTGAGGTATCCCGATGCGTAGAGCAGGTGGTCCCGAAGCGACTGCTGGATGGCTGCCATGGTCGCGATCTGAAGGCGTCTCACTCATCCACGACATCGATAGGGGACGTGGTAGTAATCAGCGCGTGCAGGCCACCGAAGATGCTTGCGTAAGAGCTTACTATACTTCACCGGGTGGTCGACGCGACGTGTGAGACGGACAGTGAAGCCCTGCGGTCGGGTTAGTAGAAGCCGAGTGAGGTGAAGTCGGCGCCTCCTACGTAGCCAGTCCCGATGGGGGAGATCTCCGCCGATTGGATTTTCTGTCGCGTCCGCTTCAACGCACACAACGGCAGCAACAGCCTTAGCGTGCTACCGGGTTGTCCAACTACTTTCCTGGAACGGAAAATGGAAGCTCGACGTCGCAGCGACAGCTGGGAAAAGGTACGTTCCTCTGCGACTCGCGGGTCGAGCTACGCGGCCGCCGTCCATCGCTCGGCGGCGCATCGGCGGTCATTGGTTTTGTCATCCATCAAGCCATCGAGAAACAACGAGCATCGTCCGCCCACCATTCGAGCTCCGGCGGCTGAACTTTCCAGCTTGATCACTTCCCATGCGCTCTCAGACCCGGTGGCGTCAGCGAGCATAACGACTGAGTGGTTCGATACCTCACGATTTGCATTGTTGTTCCGCTAAAGCACCACCTTAGGCGAGCTCGGGCGGCACTCGGGTGCAGCGGCGTGGTTTCCGATGCACGTAGCGTGTTGGTGTATGTTGGCCGCCCGTCCTCCTGCTTCCCGCCGTAGCCTCTGCTGCGCGGTACACATCCGCCGCAATTCTCCCGGCCGTCGCCAGCTGAGGAGACCGATATCAAATCCTGGAATGTCGGTCGCGAAGGGCTACATTGCCAATGCATGGCGTCTGTAGGAAAGGCGTGGACCGTTGCAAACACGACAAACGGATGGCACTATACGCTGCGGGATGACTCAGATGAGCAGTTCAACGACCGCTAGTTCCCTCGAGGGTACCAGGTCCTTCTCGAGAATGGAGATGACATAGTGTTGCTATGTATCCGTAATCTTTTAAGATACGCCCAGCCGCAGCTTCGAGATGTTGTCAATATTCCACTTGCGCAGGGCGCTGCTCGTCAGGCATTTGAGAGCAAGTGAACTTTATAACTATAGCAACCATGACCGTCTCTTACTCCACCAAGTACACAGACCAGTGGCATCCGCGAGGCAATTTCGACCACTATACCGCAATCAAAATGGAACGAAGGTCATCCGACGATGATGACCGGTCATCGCCCTCCATCCCCATCGCCACCGTGATGACAGCGAACGAAAACTGGAGAGGCAAAAACGACCCAGCAGAACGGCGCCGCATCCAGAATAGACTTAATCAACGTGCCTTCCGCCAGCGCCAGCGAGCCGGAGAGTCGCCAAAGCAGTACAAGCCTCGCAGCGGGTCATCGACAAAGTCAGATATACGAGAAGAAGAAGACGACGATGATGACGATGACGAAGAGGAATCCGAAGACGAAGACGCAACCTCGGAGTCAGAGACAAGCCAGCCTTCGCCACCCACCGCACAGTCTACTGCGGTCTCCAGCACCAGCCAGGCCAACGCCGAAGCAGGCCGGGTCTGCGATGAGCTCGCCCGCATCATAAATCGAAATTTCATGGCCGCGGTCGTCAGCAATGCTCAGAAACTCGGCATAAATCTGGCCGCACTCCAATCCGGAACAGCAATCAAGACGCCGCGGGTGGGCAACCGTCAGGTGCCGTCGTCGTTGACGCCCGTGGAGCTGCAATATCAAGTACCTCACGATCCCATCATCGACAGCTTACCACACGCCCGGCTACGTTTCAACATCCTACGCGCCATTGCGACACATCAGCTCAACGCGGCAGACTTTGCGCGGTCTATACGGTCTAGCGGCGCTCTCGAGAACCACAACGGCAACTGGCTCAGGGGTGGCTTGGTGGTGTGGAACGAGCCTGATCAGCCTGCGAATTGGGAGTTGTCCGAACCTTTCGTCAGGCGCTGGTTCATGCTCTTGCAGGGCTGTGAAGACCTGCTCCAAGCAACCAACGCGTGGAGGTGCAGGCGTGGGGAGCGGTTGTTTCCACTGACGTTCAACCAGGGTGGTTCTCCTTGAGCAAGCTTTATGACTTGGCGATGATGTCCTTCTTTCGAGCGTTACATCTCTTTCGATTGTGTCGGAGCTACGAACTGGCGTTTGTGAGGGTGGTGGTCATAGAGGGTCTGCGCCAGACGGCAGCTTTCATTCTTTCCAGCGGAGATGCGAAACGAGATGTAGTATTAGGAGATTTCAACCTACTGAGTACGGCCGTTCAACCGCATTGGTGCTCATTCTGTGCCAATGCAATGAGATGTGATCCACAGATATCGCCATACCCATCTCGCCATCGATGCAAGCCACCTTCAAGCAAAGGTGGATGCTCAAGAACGAAAAAAGGTGATGTCGCTCAACCACGGACGTCAGAACAAGGTGTGGCCGCGTCCCTGTCTCACCTCCCACGTGGCTCTGGCGGGCCACACCATTACCTCATCCGCCTGCAGGTCGCTGAAGCACCTGACTCACGTGCTACACACGTCGATCTCCGCACACTTGTTGGTGGCGTCGCGAGAGATGGCCCAGCTTGCCCGATGGGTCGATGCCGATCGCTGTTGGTTGTGGCGGCTCGGTCGGTTGCATGTTGCACGCGGAACTCATGGCGGTGTGATGCTATGAGGCAGCATCCAAGTACAGTAAGGTATAAATTCTAGACACTGATAGCCGCCGTCGCGGATGCTGGAGGTGGTAAGAGCCGTGGTTCTGCCGGAGTATGGGAAGTCCCATCAGGCGTCCAGTATCTTCGGATGGCGCTGTACTCCGTATAACAGCCAGGGTGGTTCGTTGACTCTCCAGTCTGACAGTATGCTGAGGCCATTTCCCCTCATCTGAACAGGTTGAAATCCTTGCGGGGTGACTGACACTCCCTTTCTCCTGTCAAACTGATAGACTGGTGCTCATACCTCTGCTGGACCGCTGGGGCATTTCTCGTTGAGAATCAAGATAACCTCATAAGGATGTGGTCGAGCATGAACATGCCAATAATGACGTCGGCATGATCTTGACAAGCACCGGTAAGACACTGCTCTTCTCACCATCGTATCTGTAACAAGCCTGATGATGTTCATGTCGTTCTGCAGAAGATAGGAGTGAATGTTAGAGAGATTGCTCCCATGATTCAGGGCATTCTCGGGCCAATCGGCGGGGGCCGAACGTGGAAGCGACAGGGGTTCAGCGCATCTGCCGGCGGCCGTTGCTGCAAGCGATTCTGTGTCCCTATCCCTGTTCTGGGCGGAAGAAGGTCGCTTCGTTGTACGACACCTTCTGATTCCATACCGTGGACTGAGATCGGCCGAAGGACGCCACGAGACAGCTACGCCCCACGACGCTCCAATGCGACAACAATCCGCGGCACATGGGCGGCAGATGAGCCGCAGACTCCTGGCGCGAGCAACATCGAAGTGGCATAGTGCCCTCGTTCGCGCGTAGTCGACGTTGTATACCGGCGCGAGAGGATGGCAGCAAGCTTGAGTCCGTCCGAATCTCGGCGAACGGAGGGGATGAGCAGATCGACGTCGTCGCAAACGGTGCCAGAGCGTGGTGAGCAGAAGCGCGAGGAGAGGCGATCGTCGAGCCGCGTCAAGGTCAGGCCAGCAAATCCGCTCGTCATCAGCTCCATCCTCGATTCCCTTGACACGCTAGGAAACTCTCCCACCGACCACACTTCCTTCTCTGGCTCTACGAGTGAACGGTCGCGGCCCCGCTCGGTTCACAGCGGCATCAGGAGTCTTCACACAATCGAACGTTCGGTCTCGCCGGGCTTCGGAGTGGAGTATGGCACCGGGATAGCAATGGACGAGGGAGACGACGTGCCGGATGCTGCGCTGCCACCTACCATTCGCACTTCGCGGCCACCCTCTGGCATGTCTAATTACACCGCAACCCGATCGCCGAGCTACACTGGTACGAACCCTGCCCAGCCTATTCGCACTCCGTCACTGCGCTCCCGGCGGAGCTCGTACTCATCCATGGGTAAAGAGAAGACGGGCTATTCGAAGAACAAGTTGAGTGCAGAAAGCTGGGTTAAGCAGAACTCACTCAGCCATGAGTCGTTTGAAAGCACGAGCACAAGAGAGACTGGAAGCATGAGGAGTGTACGTCGCATGCGGTCGCATGATTCTCTCAGACGTATGAGCACCAGGATCGAGATCGTGGAGGAGGATGCTGCAGAAGGTCCCGTGGTCTCAAGGGCAGAGCAAATCATTGCAAAGGCTACTACGCCTCCAGTTTCGAGTTCGAAGCGGCGACTGTATTTGACGGATTCGGGAAGTGAAGAGCAGTCTATTACCACGCCCGCACCGATCGAGGAGACACCGGAGGCCGAGGATTCGGCGCCGTCATCTCTGCCCACCCCATCAATTACACCAGCCGAAACACCGATAAGCGAGAACAGGTCGTCGCATCGAAATTCGCCCCGCAAGAGTATCATAGCGGACTCGGTACCAATGCGAACTTCGTCCCTTCACCAATCTCAGACGAGTACTCCTGGGCGAAAGAAGAAAGATCGCAAGTCGAAGCGCTCACCAGAAAAGACCGAGAGGTCTTCTAAAAAGGACAAGAGCGAGAAGGAGTATAGTAAAAGTGAAGGCGGGGCAGGAGAAGGCAAAGTAGACAGTGTGATGGGCGCGGCCCCAAAAAAGATTCCAGAGTCGAGTTGGGCGGACCTGGGCGAAGAAGACGAGACAGTGAAGCGAATTCGAGAACTTCAGGAACAACGAAAGTCCAGGTTACTGGAATCGCAATCAATCGTGCCTCCCAAGGTCGTCAACACTACGGCCAATCAGACCCCTGTCACGCCCAATATTGATGTGGCGCGCAAAAGCGAGGAGAGTAAGCGAGCCGCTCGCATGCGACCAGACACACTTCGTTCTGTGACAGAACCTCCGGTCAAGGCACACAAGATCCTTGGAATCACCGAGACCAAGCCTCCACCGTCGCGCGGGCAGGATGCCCATGGCAGGGCGGATGTGAATGGTTTCATACGGCGTCGGAACCTGTCATTGGATGAGAAACAACTCCAAGCGCGACCCATGACGAGCTCAGCACCGACACCACCGCTCTCGCTCGACTACTCCTACGCCGATGCAGTTGATGCGCTACAGGGCGCTGAGCGGGAGCCGAAGAAAGAGCAGAATGAGAGGCCGACTCATCGACGCAACACGTCTGCGCGCGAGCCAGAACAACTTCCGAACATCTTGAAGCAGTATCCCGGAACCCAAGTCAGGTTGGTGCCAACAGAGAACCAGGCCCCGGACACTGTGTCTTTGCGCCTGACAAAGAGCCAGCGGAAAAAGCAGCAGGATCGTTGGACACACTACCACCCAGATTTACCACTGGACTTTGACAAGAAAAAGAATCGGAGGAAATCGACCAGCGATGCGCGAAATACGCGTTATGCTTCCCCAGAGCCTGAGCCTCCAGTGCCGCGGAGAGACAGCATTGAGGTGGCGGTGACTGACTACCTGCAATCGGCGCGCCTCAGTCGCAAGATCAAGCATCCTGTCACTGGCCGTGTCATCAGCTTTAGTGAAGTTGGCGACCCGAGCGGCGCAGCAGTCTTCATCTGCGTGGGAATGGGTTTGACTCGATATGTGACCGCCTTTTACGATGAACTGGCGACAACCTTGCGGCTCAGACTCATCACGGTGGACCGACCAGGCGTGGGTGGCAGCGAGCCTTATCCTGCTACAGACCGAAGCGGTCCTCTGAACTGGCCGGACGATGTGTGGACGATCTGCCAATCGCTCGGCATCACGAAGTTCAGCATGCTAGCCCACTCGGCTGGTGCGATCTATGCGCTTGCCACCGCGCTCGTCATGCCTCAGAACATCCACGGCAAAATCCACCTACTTGCACCTTGGATCCCGCCTAGCCAGCTCGGCGCAGTACCGCACTCTACTACCTCCGCCCCTCCCGCCGGCGCTCTACCTCGAAGTCAGCGCCTACTACGCGTTCTCCCAACCCCCTTCCTCCGGGCCGCAAACTCCTCCTTCATGACCGCGACATCTGCCTCCCTCAAGCCAGCCGCCAAAAGAACCAAATCACACAACTACGCCGAGTCGCCCACTTCTCCAGTCCGGTCCAAAGCCCGCCCGTCAACCCGTGACGGCGCGGCCACAGCACTCACACCGGCCGACTTGAACCGCCGCGAATCCATGATGCTAATGGATCAATTCATGCCCGATCTCAACCCCATGGAAAACTACCCCATCCCCCTCACGTCCAAAAACGGCGCTCCTCTGTCCCGCAAACCTTCCGCCGTCATCATGTCCGCCACCGCTACACCGATGGACCCGAGCTTCGAGTTCGCCTCCTCCGCCCTCAACGCCGCCGAGCACACGGAAAAGGAACGCAAGACGCTGTATACCACCCACCTCACGCAACGGACCTGGGAACTCGCCGTCCGCGACAGCAACCCCGCTACCGACCTCCTCGTCTGTCTTGAACGACATCGCGACGTCGGATTCAGATATACCGACGTTAGCCGCGAGGTGGTGGTGACACATGGGTCAGAGGACAAGCGCGTGCCGCTTGCGAACGTGAAATGGCTCGCTGGGCAAATGGACCGCCGTTCGAAAGTCAATGGGGGAGCGGGACCGCCGAGTAGAGATAGCATGGCGGACCCGAGTGCGATGGGGGGATGCGAATTGAGGATTCTTGCAGGGGAAGGACACGGTCTCATGGCCAGCCCAGTCATTATGGGTGACTGTCTGACGGAGATTGCTGGGTATTGGAAGACCAGATGATTGAACCGGAGATAATGTTTGGATACATGTATGTGCGGTGTGTAGCCGGGGAGGACGGCACAGAACCGGCGCTTGGGTTGTTTGTTGTGATACCCTTTTGTGATGAATGATATTAGTACTCATCTAATGCAGAGTGTCTGCCTCCACGACCTCACGTCAGGCGATTTGCTACAGTCTTATGATGCCCCTTTCTTGCCATCTAATGCAGCAGCAGTCTCCCAATGCAAGAGCCGTAGTGTTATAGAAACCGCTCGCTACACCCAACATTCAACACATCGTAGCAACCCACCTCACAGCTGCTCACACAACTCCCGAATCCTGCCAATAAGCTCCTCGGCACTGACGGACACCGCAACATTCATCTTCGTCCCTCGCCTCCGGCACTGCAGCTCCACCGCTTCCCTCTTCCGCCACTGATTGCCCATGACAACGATGAACGGGTACCCGACCAGATCCGCATCCCGGAGCTTCCAGCCCAGCCCCCTGTCGCGGTCGTCAATAGCCACGTCCAGAGTCCTCAGCCCCCCTCGCTTCTTGGTGAGCAAATCGTACATTCTGTTGACATCATCCGGCGTGACCTCTGAGGAGGGGACAATGATGACTTCGAACGGTGAGATCTCGAGAGGCCAGTTGAGACCTTTCTGGTCTGCGAGCAAAGACGCCACAGCGCCGATCAGACGGGACACGCCGATGCCGTGGCAGCCCATTTCTATGGGCACTTTCAAGTTCATCTTGTTCAAGACCTTTGCATTCAGCGGCTCGCTGTAGCGCTGGCCGAGGTGGAAGGTGTGGCCGATCTCGACCGCTTGTTGGAGGTTGAGTTTGCCTTCTTGACACTTTGCGCATGTGTCGCCTTGCTGAGCTTTGGTGAGTAGGATGACTTGACCATGATATCTAGATAGCGGCGCATTTCGGATGGAGGCGACGAGTTCGGAATTGGTTGAGGAGCGGAAATTCCGGAGGGACAGTCGAGGGTCCTGGAAGCTGATGGCTTGGCCTTGTCCGCCGGTAGTCTCTTCATACGCTGCCCTTGCCTGCTCGCCAGTGATTCCAGTGTCGATGTACGGGAATATGGCTTTGACAGCGTGGATGTTTGGCTCTACTTGCTCGGCTGGAAAGTAGATTGTGCAGAGCGTGTTCCTGTCCTTGCTTATGTAATATTCGATCGCAACCTCCTTTTCAACGTCGGCTTCTGCGTCTCTGATCAGCAAAAAAACATCTCTTGCCTCTGGAATGGCTGCAAATCTGTGAAGACACAAAACGAAAATGCTGGAATGGAGTACCAAAAATGCAAAACGTACAGCAGGCGGTATTCCCACGTGGTCACCCACCGTAGTACTAATCACCCGATTCGCAGCTTGAGTACGGCAGAGCGGACGGGATGCCCTATTATCTGCGATCTTTGGCCGTACGTGGAGATATTTGAAAGCTTGAGCAATATGAAACTGCAATTTCAAAACTGACCTGCATTTTGGCTTTCCCAAGGCAGCGGCGCCTGTCGTGGATCGTACGGGCCGATGAACAACTCTTCGTTGACCGAGAACTTGCATTTGTCGCAACTGATGATCGTGTCCTCGCCCTGCTCTGAAGCGAAATGGAATTCATGGCTGAGCTTCCCGCCCATGTTGCCGGAGTCGGCTCGTGCTGTTAAGTAAGGCATCTTCAGCTCGTCCATGAAGGCGGAATATGCTCTTCGTACTTCGTCGTAAGTTGCGTGGGCCTCTTGCGTGTCCACGTCAAACGTGTACAAATCTTTCATTACGAATTCTCTTCCACGTAACAGGCCCTGCCTTGGTCGAAGCTCGTCGCGGTATTTCCGTGAGACTTGGTAGAGCCGCAAGGGCAGCTCTTTGTACGAATGGACGGCATTGGCGATGATGGTCGTGATTTCCTCTTCGTGTGTGGGGGAGAGTAAGTACTTTGTGCCCCTACGATCTTCCAGATGGAGCAACTCTGACGTTCGACCTTGGTCCAACCGGCCAGAACGTTGCCACAGGTCTTCGGATGAGATTGATGACAGTGAAACTTTGGATGCACCAATGCTCTGCATGTGCTTATCGATGAGCCGCTCGACCTTTTCTTGCACTCTCAGCCCGAGCGGTAACAGATGGAAGATCCCAGAGTGCGCCTGACGGAGGAAACCCGCTCGTACGAGTAGGTCATGGCCACTCTCGGATTGCGTGTCATCGGGAGCTCGCTGCGATGGAACCCAGATGTTGCTCAGTCGATTGCGTCCATCGTGCTGATTCGGTGTTAACAAATGTAACTTGGATGGCGATGGCCGTACTCACCTGAAGCCATCGCCTTGATAGGAGTGTCTGGGCAGATATCGATGCAGTCTTCTGCCTCAGCACCCGTTTCGAAAGCATGCGAGGCGCATATGAGAGCGAGCGATTAGTCCTCGGTCACAATGTTTCTCAATTACTTGTTCTTGTTGATGAGTTGAATCTGAAGGTCATTGATTCGTTAGGACGCGCCTCTGCCCATGCGCCGGCGGAACTTCGGCTGGCGCAATTCGAGGCCGCCTTCTTCGAACTTTTTCCTCGTCTAGAACGAACACACCAGTCTCTTGACATTACCGCGTTGCGACCCGCAGGATGGGTATCAAGAGGAAGGCCAAAGAGGATCCGAATGGAGTCGACATATCTAAGAGTAAGAAGAGCAAACACGACGGGCCAAAGGGCGGCAAGAATGAGCGGCCAAAGAGCGCGAAGAGCGTGAGGAGCGATTTGATATTTCCACCACGAGCAGATTGGCACGCCGCAGACCTACCTCATGTCGACCTGAAGGATGTCGCCTCTGCGCCTTCGCAGAAGTCTGTCGACGAGCTTCACAAATATGCAGAATCGCTACTGGAGGCAGAGGTTGCCGCCTACGATGCCAACAACAAGTCCGCATCTTCCTCCCATAAGTTCATGTCCACGATCATGGCTTCTGGAACGCTGGAGGACAAGGTGTCAGCCTTGACATTACAGGTACAAGAGTCACCGCTTCATGCAATGAAGGCTTTCGAGAACCTGCTGGGGTTGTCGAGGAAAAAGAGTCGGAATCTGGCCTTGATGGCCCTGGCTGCGATGAAGGACTTGCTTGGACAAGGTGTCTTGCTACCAGGTGACAGAAAGCTTCGTTCGTTCGGCAAGCAACCGGCCCTGTTGAGTAGCCTACAAGGCAAGGCTTCGAACTGGAGAAGCGGGATGCCTCTACCCGGCGCATTGCAGAAGATACACCTCGTGGTATTTGCGTACGAGGACTGGCTCAAGCGGACGTACTTCGAGATGCTGCAGGTGCTGGAGAACTGGTGCGGTGACGAAGTCGAATACGCACGAACCCGAGCTCTTACCTACGTATACGAACTGCTGAAGGACAAGCCGGAGCAGGAGGAGAATCTGTTGCGGCTACTCGTCAACAAGCTGGGCGATACGGATCGCAAAATCGCATCGAGAGCATCGTATCTGCTTCTCCAACTGGAGAATTCACATCCGGCAATGAAGATGGTCGTCACGAACAGCATTGAGGCGGATTGTCTGTATCGACCCGGTCAGGGATTGCATGCCAAATACTACGCCGTCATCACGTTGAACCAAACGATACTGAGCCAGAAGGATGAAGTCGTTGCGAACAGGCTGTTGGAGGTGTACTTCGGGCTGTTCGTTCAATTGCTCAAACCTACGGAGAAGAACAGTTCCAATCAGAAGCCTCAAGTGAACGGCAAGTCACAAGGCGGCGGTGGCAAGGCTGGCAAGCTGGCAGAGAAGAAACGCAAGGCCCACGAGCGTGGAGAAGAGGCCGACGACCAGCTTCGTGAGAAGATGGTTGCTCAAGTACTGACTGGCGTGAACCGAGCATTTCCATTTGCCGACACCAGTGATCCAACATTCGAGAAGTCGATGGACACAATCTTCCGTGTAACGCACTCGGCCAATTTCAACACTGCCGTTCAAGCTCTGATGCTAATCCAGCAGATCTCATCAACGAAGCATTACGGCGCCGAGAGGTTCTACCGCACACTGTACGAATCTCTCCTGGACCCAAGGCTTTGCTCGTCCAGCAAGCAGGTCATGTATTTGAACCTGCTCTACAAATCTCTCAAGGCAGACCTGAACGCGAAGCGGGTGCAAGCATTTGTGAAGAGGTTGTTGCAGACTCTGACGATGCACGAGCCGCCTTTCATCTGCGGCGTGTTGTACTTGATCAGCGAATTAGAGGGCACTTTCCCAAGTATTAGAAGCATGATCACTGAAGCTGAAGTGGACGATGAAGACGAAGAAGAGCACTTCGTGGATGTGCCAGAGGATGCGGATGGCAGCGCACCGGTACAAGCTGCAGCACCGAAGCCTGGCAGCGGAAACAGATACGATCCCCGAAAGCGCGACCCCGACCACGCTCATGCAGACCGCAGCTGCTTGTGGGATGTGTTGCCCTTCGTACAACACTTTCACCCTTCTGTCTCAATATTCGCTGAGGCCATCCTCCTTAACAAAGCGATGCCACCGAAGCCCGATCCGACCCACTACACCCTCATGCACTTCTTGGACCGCTTCGTATACCGCACCGCACGGTCGAAGCCGTCGGCGTCTATGCACGGTACTTCCATCATGCAGCCTATGGCTGGCAGCAACGCGGCCGACCTACTGGTCAAACCAGGCGCTGAAGGCGCGGCGTCTCAGTACAATACCGAGGCGTTCTGGCAAAGAAAGATTGAAGACGTCGCAGCTGATGAGGTGTTCTTCCATTCTTACTTCAACCAAAGTGGGAATAAGAAGAAGGCAGCGCCCAAGAAGAAGGACGTCAAGGATGTTGCTGATGATGAAGATGAAGAAGCTAGCGATGACGCGGGCGAAGACGAGATTTGGAAGGCTATCACAGCCTCGAAGCCTGAGGTCGAAGGCGCAGACGAGGATGACGACCTCAGTCTCGGTGACCTGGAAAGCGCTTACTCTGCCAGTGAAGATGAGTCCGAAGGGGGCATTGATCTCGGCGGAGAAGAGGGGGCTGAAGATGCTGCTCCGCAAGATTTCTCAGAGTCGGAGGCCGGCGATGAAATGCCTGAGTTGGAGAGTGACGAAGATGCGATGTTCGCGGATGACGACGACCTCCCCGAAGACTTCGAGATGCCTGAAGCCGCTGAAGAGGGAGAGCTGTCGAGGAACAAGAAGAAGAGGAATGAGAGGAAGAAGCTGAAGTCACTGCCTACTTTCGCGTCAGCAGAGGATTATGCTAAGCTGCTTGGAGGGGACGACGATGATGATATGTAGTTTAGCAGTGTGGAATCAGCAGTACTCTCGACCGATGATGACGGTATATAATTCTTCTTCACATTATGTGCTGTGTTCTTCAGTCGTCACACATCTGTAGTCTAGTATAAGCCCGCTGTCACATGCTCGCGCAGATCGGAAGCCTCGCTTCATCGTGGGGTCTTACTGCATCTAACAAAACCTCCGCCCATGACAACACTATCACCACACAGCATGCAGTCGAGGCGCGCCCTTGTGCACGCGTACGATGCCCCTTGGACGTAAGCATGTGATCCTCTCAGGAATTGCTGGCTTCATTGCATGGTCGCTCGTCACGGACTGGATTCCTTCGCTTCGATGGATACCGCACGCCTTTATCGCTGGTGTCCTCGCGGCAACTCTCGGCCTGCTCTACCTCGTACTTACGACCTCGAAAGGCGTCCATCGCCGCGATGACAGCTATGCGATTCGCGCACCCGTGGCTCCGGCCTTCACAGCCGCGACAGCGTGGGAGGCGGAAAAGGCAGCATTGCAATCAAGAGCCGAGTACAGACGCCCTCTGATCTTCCCTGAAGCGTTCGCGTTCTCAAGAGCAATTGATGGACTACTGGACTTGATACTGAGGGACTACGTCACGAGCTGGTATGGCGGGATCAGCAAGCGGCCGCTGTTCCAGCATGAGATCGATCGCTGCATACGGTCTGTCCTGCTCACGGTGGTCGCGAGAATGACAAACTACGATATCGTGGAGATAGGGGTGTCGGATCTCCTACCTATGATTACGGCGCATATGAAGGACTTCTACGATGCTGAGCGGGTTGTTCGCGGGAAGGACTTGTCGCATAATGTGACGGAGAGTGAGGAGCTGCATACGGCTATCGCTGGGAAGTATCGCAATGGCAAGCTACATTCTGTTGCTTCCATGGCGAACGCGGATACGAGTACTGCGCAGCAACAGCACCTGCGAGAGCTCGTTGTCAAGCTGCTGCCAGTGGTCCTCCCGGACAATATGAAGTCTAGTCCATCCGTCACTGTCTTGATCCGGGAGATTGTGACCTGCGCTGTGCTTGCTCCAGTAATGCGACTGCTCGAGGATCCCGACACCTGGAACCAACTCATTGTGAACTTTGGCCGACCAATGCTGCAGGATCGCAAAGCCGTTCGCAAGGTGCGCGCTGCGCTGGATCAGAATGCGCCGGCCTCTCCCAAGACTGTGAGAGCGTCGCAGTTCCCGCGCCTTCGTCCGTACGACAGCGAGAGGCAATTTGAGAAGTACATCCGTGCCATTCGACATGTCCAAAACCTTTCGGATGCCAGACGTTTCAGAAGTGAGATCATGAGCCAGCTGAGGCGAGATTCTGCAGTCGAGGGTCAGGATGCGGCATACCTCCGGCGCCTGGAGACTGGCAAACGGCTGCTGGATCAGAAGATAGCAGGCCTTTCAGCAAATGGAGAGACGAAGCCGAAGCTTTCTATCCAACCCTCAGCTTCCAACAGTGAGTCTGTTGCGAGAAAGAAGCAAGCTTCACTGAGAGAGATTGTGTATGATGCATCCGGACTGAGCTACTTCATGGAGTACATGGATCGCATTCGTATGATGCGCTTGGTGCAGTTCTACCTGGTTGTCGACGGGTTCCGTGGGCCTCTGGAGGGTGATAACGATGAGCTCGACCCGAGCATTGCGGAGGAGCCGGACCGGATGGACGTCGGTCAGATGTATGAGAACTATCTAGCCAAAGCCGAGCTGCAGACGAGTGACGAAGCCCTCAGTGCTGCCAAAACGTACGTCAAAAAGGGGGGAGAGGCAAATGCTCAAGACTACATTGCTGGAAGGCAGGCCGTACTTCAGACGCAGACGCAAGTCTACAACATGATGAGGAAGACACACTTTGAGAACTTCAAGCGGTCAGACTTGTACTACAAGTGGCTGGCCATTGATGATGACCCTGCGAGGTCCGCTATCCAGAACAAGCAAGTTGGATCGCCATTGTCACCAGAAAGTCCCAGAAGTACCGAGACATCACCAGTAAGGACCAGAAGACCGCAGCTCGCAGTCAACAAAACAGACTCGGGCTTGAGGCGAGCAGTCCTGTCATCATCGAACCTCAGAGATACAGTGAAGACGCCGAGCGCTGAATCAGCACCACGCCGCTCGTTAGACGACAGCAATGTACGGCCTGGGCTTTTCGATGATGACGTGGATGATGAGCACATGGTACAGTCCATGTCAAGCTTGCGCAGCTACGACTCGGATGCCGAGGCAGCGCAGGAGGCTCAAGATGAAGCGAAAGCTGTGAATGCTATGGAGGCTGCACTGGAGGGCATTGTCGCGGATGAGGACAGAGACTCGTTGTTTTCAGATCCTGCTGACCGCCAAGCCGTTGAGGCCAGCATCGCACGTCAGTCGCAGGATTCTGCGAGACCACCACTATCTGCGCGGCCATCTGCTGACCGCGGCAGGCCGGCGCTTTCTGCCCATCCGTCTGAGCGCGGCAAGCCAAGCATAGCGTCGCTGGGCCTGGTTGGAGGGCCGTCCAACAAGGGTGTGTTTGTTGACGACCTGTTTGCAGAAGAAGCACAGAAGTTTGTCGAAGACGAGCGAGAGGACTCCGATGCACCAGACGGAAGTGATGAAGATCGGGTCCAGGAGGCTGCGCCAGGTGACCTTGGCCTGATCGAAGCCATTGACGTACTCAACGCCGAGATCGAAAAGCTTACAGCTCAGAAGCAGATCGTCGACTCTCTGACCGCCAAAGCTGAGCTTACCAACAATGCTGCAGAGCTTCGCATCCTTCGCAAGTCTGAGCAGAGTCTCCAACGTGAGATCAAGCGTAAGGAGATGCAGAAGCAGCAATACACGGTTCAAGAGAGCGACAACAGCCTGTACGGTCGTGCAGCGATCAGTATGAAGAGCGTCATGATTGGCAAGGAGGACGACGGCCATGAGTACGCTGTATATGTGATTGAAGTCAAGCGTCAGGCTGGCGAACAGATGCCTGCTGCGACCTGGACCGTCACACGGCGGTACAGCCAGTTCCATGAGCTGCACAAACGACTACGCGCTCGGTTCCCATCAGTCCGCGAACTCGACTTCCCGCGTCGGCAGGCACTGTTCACGCTCCAAAAGGACTTCGTGCAGAAGCGGCGTGTTGTCCTGGAGCGCTACCTGAGATCTCTGCTTCTCGTACCAGCCATCTGCCGGAGTCGCGAATTTAGAGCGTTCCTTTCCCAATCCGCCATCTCTGCTGGAGGCAACGATGGCTCACAAGTCGATGCCAAAGACTTCGTAACTCGCATCTACAACTCGGTGTCGGACGGCATGGAAGACTTCCTTGGCAACATACCAGTCCTGGATCAGCTCTCGGTCGCAGGCCAGAATCTCATCTCCGCTGCGTCATCCCAGATGAACGGACCGCAGGCAGCTATCGACGCCTTGGATCCTGCTGCTCGGAATCCAGCCACATCCGCGGAGGCCGAGGCTGAGCTCAACGCATACGAAGCGAAAGGTGCCGAACCATTCGTAAAGCCGATCTGCGATCTCTTCCTGGAAACTTTCGAGCTGTCGAAAGGCAGCAGCTGGCTGCGCGGCCGGACGGTTGTCGTCGTGCTGCACCAGCTCCTTGGAGGTACCATCGAGCGCAGAGTCCGGGAGTCTGTTCGAGCTGCGATCGAAGACGACAGCTTGGTTCGATATGTGGATCTTCTGAAGAGCACCATGTGGCCCGATGGGAAGCTGCGACAAGCGCCGCCTGTTAGAACATTGGCCGAGAAGTCACGCACGAAGAAAGAGGCCAGTGTCATCCTCGAAGCTTTGGTTCCAGATCTGGCTGGAAGTGTGGTGGGCAGGGCAAATGCACAAGCTGCGAGTCGAAAGATTGTCGCTATGCTGAACAACCAGCGGCTTAAGTAAGTCGTACATCATTGCTAAATCGAATCGAAGCTAACATTCCGTAGCACCCATCTTCTGTTCGCACTCATAGACGAGATCATTAAGACCGTATTCCCAGAAACACAGGATAAACAGAGATAGTGCAGAGCGCAATCCGCCTCCACAAGCATCTTACAATTTTCGACTCTCCATTCCGCTTCTCCTGAGCCTTCTTCAATCACAACTTTTCATGGCAAAGACCAGTCTAGAGCTTCGACTGGCTGCCCGTGATCCTATAGCAAGGTCCACCTTTCCCGAACATATTCTGCAGATCCGAAGTGATCTCGTCCGGAATCTCCCAAGCTGCAAAGTGGCCGCCCTTCTGCTTCTGGGACTCATACACCACAGGTCCCAATGTACGGCCCCAGGTACGCGGGATCACGCTCAGCTCCTTGGGAGTATAGCACAGCCCAAGCTTGACTTTGCCAATCCACTGGTTCGTGCGATTGCGGTGAACAGCCGCTGCCGTCGTCGTATGCGTAGCTTCATAGTAGATCCGAAGATTTGCTGTAGGGCCGGCGGTGGAAAACCAGTAGATGCTGATCCAGGTCAGGATCTCATCATCCGTCCACGGATACTCGTCAGTCCAGTCGTGCAGTTTCTCGTAGATCCATGCCAACAGGGCGACTGGACTATCGGTCAGACCGTAGCCCAAAGTCTGAGGTTTGGTGCTTTGCTCGAGTCGGTAGCCTGTGCCTTCTTCCAGGAACCAACGGGAGCGCTCGAAACCTTCTTTGTCTCGTTTGCTGTATGGTGTGACGGCGTGTTGCAGTGCCTGCCATGGGTTCTGTGTCCATTTCGGTGGCTGGAAATAGGTGCGTTAGCACGTGTACTGGTCGGATTTGGGTAGTTGCAAGTGCTTACGCCGTCAGATCTGATCATGTTGATATGCGAGGCAAGGCATGACTCTGGGAACAGAAGACCAATCGATCTCGTGATCATGTAGCCCCAGTCACCCCCTTGTGTCACATACTTGTCGTACCCCAGCGACAACATGAGACGGTGACAGATGGTTGCATACTCCTTCAGTCCGAAGCCCTTCTGCTTCACACCCTCACTCCAACCATAGTTCGGCAGACTCGGCGCCACCACATGGAACGACACGCCATTCGTGCTCTGCCGCAGAGCAGCAAGCATTTTCGTGACCTCGACGTAGGATCCAGGCCAGCCGTGGACAAAGAGCAACGGAATACTCTTTGCATCATAAGACGTCTGATGCAGGTAGTGGATGTCGAGCTCAGGAAAGCCATCTGCTTTGATACGTCGGTGGTAGTTTGGCAGCTGGTTCAATTTGGCCTCCTGTGCTCGCCAGTCGAATCCAGTCTTCCAGTACTCCGTCAGGCGCTTGATGTCTTGTAGAGGTGCGCCGTAGTCCCAGCCGGAGCCGTCGAGCTAGACACTGCGTTAGTGGTTGTGGCATCAGTTTCAATCAGCTCAGCGTACCTCGTCTGGACATCTAGCCAGCGAGAGTCTTTGCTTCAGATCCTCAAGGGCCGAGTCTGGCACAGAGATCTGGTAGCTCGACATCGTGCCTGCGGCTGGGTCGATGGAAACGGGTCACGGTCGGATATATGGAGCACAAGCATATAAATTCAGCTCGAAAGTACAAACGTCCCACCTGCCCCGGGCTCAGCAACAATTGTAATCGCTAATCAAGGTACTATGCTAGTTTGCTTATTGAGCTGAGGGGTGGATGTATGCAAAGTAAGCCGAAGCAGCACGTCCACAAGCTTCGGCGCTATTTTGTACGTCACTCAATTAAGGCAATGGTCGAGCGGATCAGTGTCTGACGTTCTGTTTTAAACACAGCAACTGAGACTGACTACAAATATCGACCGTAGCACTCAAGACTCTACTGTGGCAACTTCACCTCATTCTTCTCCCCCCACCGCAACACCTTCCCCTCGAGATCTGGTTGCATGAACAGCCAGATGACTGGAGTGAGCCAGGCTTTCATGGTGTCCATGAAAACAGCATTTCTTGGTACGCCGCCCAACATGCCTGCCCTCAACAACGATCCAAGCCATTGCGTCGTAATCAAATAGCCACCCCTTTCAAGTCCTTTAATCGCGGCTGTCGCGGCCTCGTCCTCGGTCTGCCTCGGGTCGCTCTCCTCAAGGATATGGGTCACCGCAGGCTTGGTCTTGTTCTCATTGTCCAGCCCCGGCGAGAAGATGGTGCCTGGAGTTACGCAGTGGATCTCGACGTCCGCGGCAGGACCCTTGGAAGGGTTTGCACGGCGATATCCGTTGTACAGTCTGACCTCAGAGCGCAAGCTGTCCGCGAGAGATCGCAAGGCTGATTTGGCTGGTGCGTACGGCGAGTAACCGGCGAGACCGACGAAGCAGACCACCGAAGACGTGATGATGAAGTGTCGTGGGGCCACAGCTGCTGCAGCTTCTGACGTCTGCTTTGTCGACGCAGGCCTGAGCCAGGACCGGAGCGTAGCGTGGGCGAGGTACGCGGCTGCAAAATAGTTCAAGTCCATCTGCGAGCGCATGAGCTCGACTGGAGTGTCGATGAACAGCTCTGAGTAAGCGCCACCTGCGTTTGCCCAAACAACATCAGGAGAGTTTCCATTGTTCCAGGAAGTGACCTCCTCGACGATGCGGATGTTCTCTTCAGATTTGGTAACATCCGCGCTGATGTAGTGGAAGCGTTGCTTCTCAACATCCTTTGCTGCAGCCTTGAGAACATGTCAGTATGTCCACAAAGCAGGTTCCTGGGTTGCATACCGAAATGTACTTCAGGGCAGCCTCCAGCTTCTGCCTGTCCCTGGCAACGATGACTACGTTCGCTCCTCTCTGTGCAAGCAATTTCCCCAATGCCCGTCCCATGCCCTGAGAGCCGCCGGTGACGACCACAGTCTGTTCAATAGTGTCAGTGACACTCTAGTAGGAGTCGGATGTTTGACGTACCTTGCCATCGACATCGAAGTGGTTCTTCGGCTTCAAGTAGCCCAGCATATCTGCTGTCGATATGAGCAAGAAGACTACCAACGAGACCGTTGCCCAGAACAGTCCTAAAGCCATCTTCGACGGTGTATGCCAAGGCAGGCATACAATTTCCGGATCCTGGTCGAGGGGAGTGAGAAAATAGCGTGTCTTAATATAGGAGATCTTCTTCGAGGAGGCCCGAGCGTTCGCGAATTGAAGTTCACATGAATGTCACGAAAGCCCATCCTTTCCTTTCCAACAACATATTCGGCATTGCACATCAGCGATAGCGTAAAGGCCACCATAGCCATGGTGTACTACTTCACCAGCAATGTTGTGGACCCGCCGGCGTTCATCTATGTTGGCAAGGACAAGGTAGAGAGTACGTGCCACTTCGACACATAACTATGTAGATGCTTGGCTGACTTGCCCAGAGATGAGGATCTCATAGCCCACGGCTGGCCCGAAGACGTCTGGTTCCACGCCGACAACCTATCCAGCGCACATATCTACCTCCGACTTCCGAATCCAGAGAAGGAGCCGTGGACCGCGATCCCACAGGACCTACTCACAGACTGCGCGCAGCTCACCAAGGCGAACAGCATTGAGGGCAACAAGAAGGACAACGTCACGATCGTCTACACGCCATGGTCGAACTTGAAGAAGAGCGGTGACATGGCGACGGGGCAGGTCGGCTTCCATCAGCAGAAGCTGGTCAAGAAGATTCGGGTAGAGAAGAGGGAGAACGCGATCGTCAATCGGTTGAACAAGACGAAGACGGAGAAGTACCCTGATCTTAGGGAGGAGAGAGCAGCACGGGATGCTGAGGAGAGGAAGAAGGAGCGGATGTCTGCACAGGAGAAGGTATGTCTCAAGCTCCAATCTTGTATGGTTGTAAGGCTAATACCATCTACAGAAGAAGGAAGACGCACGGATAGCGGAGGAGCGGGCCCAAATTAAGTATCAGAAGGAGCACATGTACGACGACTTGCATACGGACGAGAACCTGGCGATGTCGAGCAATCAGGACCGAGATGCGAACTTTGAGGACGACTTTATGTGAATCGGCAGAGCGCTACTCACGAGAGGTATGAGGTCTGGGATGATGCAACGATACCATGACGGACGGCGCTGGCTGTGATAGCACGGGAAAATGCTGCAGCACTCATTCACATTCAGAGACAGTCCCGAGAAATCATTCCACCTGACAGCAGCCTCAACACAAAGACAGTAGGTCAACGTAGCATGATGCTTGGACCCGGCACCTTTGCGAAGGACTTGATGGTCGGTTGCCTTTCTAAGGACATGGTCATATCTTGGCCGTCTTAATGCCAAATCGTCTTGCAAGAACAACCCACTGTGCAACCACGAATGCTAACCGTGCCGCCAGAGCCTCTTTTTGTACGAAGGCCCGTTCAAGCAGTGTACTCGCCACATCCCATGACACAAAACCAAGCTGACGCACGTTCTCTTCTGTGATGAGGGTACCCAGCAACTTGTGGAGTGGGCCATCTGTTTCGTATGATGTCGGAGCGGAGTATGGCTGGAGTGAGAACGTCAGCTTACCAGCAACATCCACACTGCGAGAAGAACCTACGTGTTTAGCCCTCTCATATATTTCCGGCGTCACGAACTCTTTGCAAGCTTCCCGCAGAATCCACTTGGACGTGAACTCGTCCCCGCCTTTCCATCGCATCTTCAAACTGGGTGGTATGGTGTTGACGTACTCCGTCAGATGGTGATCCAGGAACGGTGTACGACCTTCAATCGAATGTGCCATTTCCGTGCGATCACCCAGGGCCGACATGAACTGGTTGGGCAGGTGACCTTTCGTCCAGACATACAGTGCTGTATTGATCGGATGCCACTTCTCCTGCATCTTCTCCAAGACAGGCGAGCTAACGTCGTTCGCGATTACATTTTGTGGGTCCTGGGCATGGAGAGCTGCTGTGCTTGGGTCAAAGACGTCCGGTATGAAGGCAGCCATGGAGGCAAGAGTGCTGATGTTGTTCAATTTCCGCTGGCCTTCCGACATTCTGAACTCGGCACCGATGGAGCGGTAGTACTCCTTCGTCTGCTCTTCCGAGGTGGCGAAGACTCGCTTCCTTTCATCTTCTGGCATTGCGCCAGGCCAAGTGAGGTCTGGCTCTCTGACGACATCGGGAAGGTATACTCCGTACCCAGTCATGGTCTCGTCCGCTCCCTCTCCGGTAAGCACGACTTTGAAGCCATGCTTTTGTGGCAGCTCAGAGAGCGCAAATTTGCCGATATAGTTGAGGTCCGGGACGTGGTGCTCACAGTGCCATGTGGCTTCTTCGAAGCGGGAGGCAAATGCTTCTTCGTCCATGATCTGCTTGTACTGCTTGACGCCGAGGAATTCAGACGACCGTTCGGCGACGTCTGACTCGTCAAACCCGCTCGACTTCTCGAATGCAACAGAGAAGCAGCTGACTCGATCTGTCGGTGGAAGGCTACCCATGGTTAGACTCTGCTCCTTCACCAGATGTGTGACTATCCCCGCGATGACCGAGGAGTCGATCCCGCCACTGAGGTAGACACCGACGGGCACATCAGCTCGGAGACGAATGCGGACCGCTTCCACCAGCCGGTCACGCACGCTCTGGATGAGCTCTTGTTCGCTGCGAGGATCTGGCACTGTCTTTTCCGGAAACTCCATGTCCCAGTACTGGTGGTGCTTGATGGTGCCGAAAGAATCGCAGGTCAAATAGTAGCCAGGTCGGACTTTCTTGACACCCTTGAACAGCGTGCGATCGTCAAAGTTCCAGCCTGCTTCGATGATGCTCTTTACGTCCCACTCTGCCTGCCAGTCAAGGGGAATGAATGCTTTGATCTCAGCGCCGACGAGCAGTCGTTGCTTCGAGACTGTCCAGAAGAGAGGTTTGATGCCATAGCGATCCCGGGCTGCGATGAACAGATCATTTGACTCATCATACAAACATATAGCAAACTCCCCTCGCAGGTGTTGGACGAAGTCACGGCCATACGCCTGATACAGTGCAACGACTACCTCAGAGTCGCTGTTGCTGGTGAAATGGTATCCGGTGGTGTCCAAGAGGTTGCGTTTCAGTTCCTCGAAATCGTAGAGCTCTCCATTGACCACTGCATGTACACTGCCATCCGGACTGTGAAAAGGCTGGTTCCCACTGCTGCTCAGGTCGTTAATCGCGAGGCGGCTGTGGCCAAGAACTGCGCAACTCAGTCAGCGCCTGATTGTTTTGGATTAGAAGGCGACCATACCAGCTTTGCTATCCTCGCTAATCCAAACACCACTGTGATCAGGACCTCGGTGCTTGATTTGCTTTAGACTCGCTTGCATCTGCTGCTCGAGCTGCTCCCTGCTGTGGTTGTTTCCGGGGGCAGCCAACTGATCGTGAGGCGTTTGCCCCGATCTATTCTCCGCGCCATCCTGCAAGGCAAAGATGGCTGAGATGCCACACATTCGTATGAGTCCTGTTTCGTGTTTCGATCAGCTGTTCAAATGATTTGTTGGGCCCACGAGTGAAGTCGCTTCCGCGTGCTCGGCTTATCTAGCGCCGAGTGTCACTATTCAAGACACTCATCTCATCTTCACTTCTTCCATCTCTACTCATCAACCTATTTGTACTCAACATTCAATCCAGCTATGCGTTTCACAGGGAGGCATTGCTAGACCTGCTCAACGCCCACAAGTGGAGCATCTTCCTACCGCAGGCTCAGAATGAACACCCAAGGCAAGCATTTCCCGTTGACACCTTAGAGGCGCAGTGCCTGCAGGGGCCTCAGGAGCTAGCTGCGCGCCTAGCAGTCGGTTCGCGTGGTACGCTGGCGTGGCTGGACATGGAGAGCAACCTCAGGTGCTCTAGCCTTGCATGAAGGATGAGTCCACTTCTTCTACAGCCTTGCTTCGTTCTCTTGTGTCCTTTCTCCTTCTACTTCGATCAAGTAAGAGCCACCAATGCGTGAACAATGGCGGACGCAGACATGCTAGCCTTGGACCATCTACGGCGCGGCGACTCGCTCGCTATCAAGACATTCAAAGGCCTGGACGGGCGCCAGGCATCAGACACAACGAAGGCAGATATCTTCGAAGTAAAGGATGGAGAGGGAAAGCTATACCCGGGCCTGGACGACGATGGGCTACGGAAGTCTCTTCGAGATGATGCGCCAGGGTCGAGAAGCGGTCGACGACTCCGTATCATCTTCCTGGACGGCGATGAAAGTAACGCTGAGAGGTTTCCCATCACCTCCGAGTCTCTGAAATTTGTTCACGACACCTACGACATAGCACCTCGCTTCTCATTCTACCTGTCAAGACAGCAGATGGCGGGCTCCTCAATGCATTACGATCCAATCACAAACGAAGAGACTCGGTGCCAGTTCTGGTACAGCGTCGTGCTGCGGACGATGACGAAACACGACCCTACCACCACAGACAACTCTCGCCGAGTGATGAATTGGATACGGTGCTGTATATGGGCAGACTTCAACGCTACCACTGGCGACTCGACCGTATTTGCTTTGCACTTCCCGGTACATATGAAGAATGCCTTCCTCGCAGAGTTCAGTGGCTCGAATGGTGCTGTTCTACAGACACATCCCATGTTATTGCATGCATCCTGGCTGGAGAGAATGTGCACCCACACTCGTGACATCAACTTGTGGTTCTTCGAGCCTCTGTACGAGGTCGAACACCATGTCAATCAGCTCAAATCGCCGGCAGATCTATTCGACGCCTCGAGGAATCTCACCAAGGTCTACAGGCAGATCCGTCAGGTACTGACCGACTACGAAGTAAGTGTGCTTCTCACCACACAGTCAATCTTCACAGCTAATAAGCATAGGTCTTCCTCGTCACGGCGAAGTCCCAACGTAAAGTCAACGAGGCCATGGAGCGACTTTTGCAAAAGCACGCCGATCTCAACAACCGTCCACCGCCGAGCAAGGAGCTACAGAATCAACTTCACCTTTCTTTCAAGCAAGTTCGGCGAGAGCTGAAGCTGGGCAAGGTGTATTTGACGTTGTACCTTGAACGGTGCAACACTGGTATTGCGGACATGCAGTCGGTCTCGACACAGCACTCCGCTGAGGTACGATACACTTTACTTCACCAAAGTATTGACACTAAAAGCACATTCAGATCCAATTGAAGACTTCAAAAGAATTCACTCAGATCTCGCGGGACTCTACAGAGGACAACCAGTCTCTCAGAGCGATACAAATCATGACAGCACTCTTCCTGCCTCCATCGCTTATCAGCTCTCTCTTCGGCATGGGCTTCTTCAGTACCGACGCGGCAGACGACGGAGAAAGAGTCATCTTTTCGGTTGCAAAGACGTGGTGGTGGTGAGTCAAGCCTTTCCCCTCCCTTTCCTGAACTTGTCAGCCAATGCTAACTATCTCAGGTATCCTGCGATCACTCTACCACTGACCGCTATAGTCCTCATTTTCGTCTGCAGAGAGTGGATCACCTGGCATCCTCATCGGAAACGATTCGTCTGGAAGCGTCGACCATCGACCGAAGGCGACGTTGAGATGGGTGTGTACAAAACATCTTAGCCATTGCCATTTCTGAGCAGAACACTGGCTAATGCGGCGATGTAAATAATTAGATGCATGACACTAAGATACCCACTGTAACGAAACATATGTTGTTTTACCATATTGGACCATAACTTCCACGGGTATCTCTTGCTTCTGTATCAACCAGCCCAAACGCCCATCGCCCAGGATAAAGATCTTCATACATCACGAAGCATTCATCGCCACCTGCGCATCCATCCAATTCCCCCGATCAAACATATCCAACAACACCACATTCGGCGTCCTCCCATGCTTCTCCTCGCACCTCCCAACCTGCGCCCCAATACTGCCCGGCCCAGTCGCGGCATTAGTCTCGAAGTTTGCATCTGTATCCGGCACCAACACGTCGTCCGACCCGAACACCTCCTTGTCCAGAAAGTGATTGACGATGTACATGCGATCGTCCGGCTTAGCGTTCGGTGGCCGGTCGATGCTGCACTGGCTGAAGGAGGGATCAGTGACGTCGTAGGGTGTTTCGAAGAAGTAGTGGAACTCGTCGAGGATGAACGGGGTGCTCGATTCGTCGGCGCCGTAGTCGAGAAACATGACGAAGCGGGAGTCGTTGGAGACCATGTCCCCGAGGGTAGGCCAGTCGGACATCGCGAGCCGTTTGGGAGAGGATGAGGGAACGAAGGCGTAGTCTTTCAGCCCAGTGCTTTTGACGACGTCCCCGATATCGCTGGCGGAGACGGAGTCGCCGTTCGTGAGCAGGAGGGTCACCACTGCGTCTGAGTGGCTGGCGAGCCAAGTTTTGATGGTCTTGAGGTAGTCTTCCAGGCTGCCTGCGTAGAAGAGCCAGCAGCTCGTGTGGCACATTGACAACCTTCCAAAGTCATCTCTGTGCATTTGAGCTTGGAGGAAGCGAACGCCGGCGTCGAGTTGCTCAGTCACGGACAGACGTTGGTTCACCCTCAAGTCGTCGATGTCGCCAACGAAAGCCGAGTTGTGCGTGCCGATGAAAGACATGTCCGAGTACTTGCGGGAGCAGACGTCGGCGCTGCCGTTGCATACTTGTTGCTCGTCTCGAGGTCGCCCGATGGGTGAGGCATTCGTGAGCGCGAGTAGGCCTGCGAGAAGCGCAACGAAGAGCAGCATTTTGCCGGCGTCTCACAGTCGAAAATCGATTGAATGTCGACGTTCTGTGCTGGTTTCTTCTTGCGGGCTGTAGTCTTCAAACCGGGAGACCACCTAGTCTTATAGAAATGGCGAGTGCTGGCAATAAAGTTCGACTACGATCCACAAATTGATGCACTGCGTCCAGCGCTGCGATGTTGCGTGTGAACTCCAATAGCCGACTTTCAAAAACGAGTGGTAAGCAAACTTAGAACCAGCGTGGGTGGACAGGCCAAAAGAACCGAAGCAAACGTAGCAATGTAGAAATGTAGATACTTGAAAATCGTATGAGGTTGGCATAAGAGATGTACTTATTGACCAGCACCAGACTGCACGTGCTATGCCATTCGTTGATAAAAACACCTACTGCACCGTTGAAACATGTTGCCAAGCTCAGGTCGAACGACGAGACAAAATGCCTGCACCTGCTGTCGGCTTCGAACGGTAAGCAGACGAGAACTTGAAGCGTAATGAAGCGTGGCCTGGAATGCCAGGCGGCCGTCCTGACAAGACATGGCTGGGCTCTGCAGCAACAATACTCGGCTGTCGCGGTGGACTTGAGCAGTCGTCGCTCAGATGAGCCTCATCTGTGCTTCAACGACTCAAAAAGGCGCTTCCTGCAACTGCCGCGCCACTCGCAAAATCGGCAGATTGCTACTTCCAGCATGTTTTGGCGTATCAGACTACAAAGTGTTTCAAAAGGCCAGGTAATTCTTGATTTTGGCTGTCGAGTGGACTGAGGTGTATAAGCCGGATGCCGGCCGGTCGATCCCGAAAGCTTGTATCGACGACCTGCAAATCAGGGTCCGGGAGGTAAGCGAAATGGTTGAATCTGCCGCAGTGTTCGCGGCGAGTGCTTTGAGCTGTGGCAGCACAGTGGGTGATTGTTCTAAGGCCAAGTGATTGCGCGCGTTCGACGCGACAGTTGGCAGCGCGGAAAGCTGTGCGTCCTTGGTTCTCCCAGCGTCCAAGACCGAAGCACTCCACGTCGGATGAGTCTCGTCTGCCGGCCTCAGCTCTCATCGACTCATGAAGTGGCGCTGCCTTCCATGGACACTAATTATTGACTAATCTGTCCATGGGGTCGCTTCAACTCGTTGAGTGTAACGCCGTCGGTCGTGATCAATCCAGGTGACCAAATCAATCGCCCAAGCATCAGTTCGTTACTGTCATCTTGGCGGCGCAATGCAAAGGCATTTTGTTTGTAGCATGGCGAGAATAGGGAGGACATCAAGAAGTCGGTCGACCGCCCCTTCCAAACCCAAACCCACCTCTGCCAGCACCATTCTCAGGGTTCCGTGGCTGCCTGACTGGCTGGCCCTCCATCGCCGTACCGCTCGAAGGTTTCACTTCCCTCTTCGGCATCCGTCGTCCCATATCGTCAGGGTCGAACAAGCCACTCCCACTGCTCGCTGGCCGGGCAGGTGACTGGTCCGCAGACGAATTTGGTTGACTGCCAGTCTTCCCAGTCACCCTCGCGCCGCCCCTCGACCGCCTCTTGTCGCGTCCGTGAGAGCTCTCTCTTGACCGCGCAGCGTTCGCAGCTGCACTGGGGGTAGATGCCGGATTAGATGAGCCCATGATCCTCTCCCTTGCCTCAGCATACCTGCGCTCCTTCTCTTCGCGCTCAAGTTTCGCTTTTCGTGTGCGCTCCTCCAACTCTGCTTCCCGCTTCTTGCGTGACTCCTTCTCGCTATCCTCTTCGTCTTCCAAACTTAAATTCGCCATTCCGTTGGCGTTCTGTCCATCCCCCTTTGCGATCGCTGGAGCGCCGGGCTTGCGCGACAGAAGCGTCACTGGTGGCTTGAACTCCTGCTTGAGTGGGACTACTCCTTGTGCCTCAAGCCAGTGGAAGCGGTCTGGGTTATCTGCCGAGTCCCATAACTGCTTCTGCTGCTCTCGGTGCTGCGCATTGCGTTGGGCTTTGGTGAGTTTGGGTGCTGGTTCTGATTGAGAGGGCTGAGACTCTGCTTTCTGAGAACTTGTCAGCCGGGACACCAAGAGATCTGTCATAGCAGGCGGCCGTACGTCGGCAATGGTCTCCCAATCATCGTCCCATGCGTTCGGTACTGCGCCTTTGTTGCTCATCCCTCTGGTCGTTATGGTGGTAAGCGATATCTGCTGCGATTGTGTACAGCTCGGTATTGGCAGGACAGGTCCGTATTCATGCACTTCATGGAGGGGAGAATTCGGTATCCAATGTTTGAATAATGGATGAAGGTGGAGGCAGTTCCTTCCACAAAGCCCACCATAACCTCAGGCAATCGTGCATGACCCTCTACATATCCTCACGGACGGCGTCCCACCTCTCCAGGCAAACAACGTCCACTGCAGCCTAGACTTCACCGCCATGTCAGCCGACCAAGACGGAGACAGCCAAATGCTGTCCTCCGCCTCCAGCTCCTCCGGTCCCGCCACTCCACCTCTTAACAACCAACAGTCCGCCCACCCCACCTCCTCCACCCTCTCACCACCGGACTCCCAGCACCGCAGCAACAGCAACGCAATGTCGAATGCCAACGGCAAGCGCCCGCTCAACACCATCAGCAACGGCCCCGACGAGGAGGAAATGGTCGTCACAAGCTCAAGTCCCACGGCGCAACCGAAGGCGAGGCAGGAGTTCGCAACGAAAGTGCATGAGCGGAGCGGGTATAGCTGGAACAGGGTGGAGGATGAGCCGGGGTACGCATGGAACAACAAGAAGGCTGTGAGCGAGTTCCATCAGGCGTGGGATAATCTGGTGCAGAAAGATCATATGGTCAAGGGTGGGTGGAGTGTTCTACTGGCGATGAGACGTTGGCTGACTGAAACGTGTAGGACGATATGGAGATCCGTTTGAGGCTGCGGATAGGGAGCGCGCGGTGATGAACAGTTTGAAGCAGCAGTGAGCGGAGGCTATGATCACGAGTGGATGAACCTACGAAGCTGTATTAGAGAATGGCTGCAACGCGAACGACGAATATGCGCTACATGATCGACAAGACGTGGTCAGGCTGATGGTCGCCTGGCATGAAGAACCGGCCCTAATCGCGAAGGTACGTGACGTTGGACTTTCAGAAGTTTTCACAATACTGACTATATACACAGATGGCAATGAGGCTGCAGTATACTGAGCCCTTACCTACGCGCAGAGAACGTAGAAATAAGCAACTTGTCCAGCGCCAATGCAACAGATCGCTTCGGAACGCCATCAGATCCCAGACTGCAATGACCTCCACTAGCTTTTCCTTATCCACAAATATCGGTGACCGACAGCAGCATGTTGTAAAGGTTGTCATTTCTCCTTTGCCATGTCACCAGGACGCCGCCCTGTATCTGTACATCCCTTTCTGTCGCTTATGCGTGTCGTGTATCGAGCGTAGAATGGCCGCCTTCTTCCCTCTCCCTCCTTGCCTCCTCACTCTCGATCTCCTTCTCCTCGTTGTCCTTGAACCCTCCCCTTGACCTCATCCCCTCATTACCACTGAATCCAGTGCTGCTGCTCGCGTTCCCTTCCTCACCATCGCCGTTCTGAGCTCGCCTCTTCGCCTCCGCCATAGCGACCTCAGGTCTCGTCGGCTGTCCGCCCATCGACGCCAGCACCACAGCCGCTTCAGCAGTCGGAGCGTCCAGGATCAGCAGCTCCTCCTCCGTAAAGATCCTCGGCATGATGATCCAACGCAGCGGGATCAAACTGACAATAATCACCGGAAAGCCAATCGCAGCAATTGTCTGCGAAATCGCCACACTCGACAGCACACCGAACCACTGGAAGGAAATGTAAAGCGCAATCCTGCTCTTCTTGATCTTCAGCCTCGGGTCACCTGGGTCGACAAATTTCTTCTCAGTGAAGAGGTAGTAGACATTGTTCGGCAGGCCGCCGCTAAAGACAGATCCGGAGCCGACAACGAAGAACACGCCGGAGAAGAGAGAGCGCGGCATGGTGTGCAGCATGTCCAGCAACGGGCCTGTCATAGTACCGATGAGTGCGAGTGCCATGAGCCAGTGGCTGACGCGCTGCTCTTTGACGGAGACGGCTTCCACGATCTTGCGGTTGTGTTGCTCCCATTCTGCTTCTGGAACATCGTCATCGGCTTTCTCTTTAGTGATCTTAAGCTTATCTTCGTACACGGTACAGCTGTCGGTATGGACTGGAGCTTGCGGGACCAGTCCATTCGGAAGCGGGATACCAATGATGCCGGCGATGAAGCACGTAACTCCAAGCAAGAAGAAGTCCCAGTGGAATCCAGCCGGCTTTGTGAGCGGAAACTGCTTCGCTTGCGCCGTCAAGCTGCTGACGTTGTGATCGTAGTAGAACAACAGCGTCAATAAGATCCCAATCGGTAGCGCCACAAATACCCATTTCACCGGCAGTTCCCAGAACGGGATCAGCCAGCTTCGGTCCACGGTCGGGTAGAAAGCAGTGGTGTGAGGGATGCGGAGCTGTGGCGTGTCGGCAATACGGCCAGGGATGTGCGAGAAGCCAGTCCACCAGATGGTGGCGATTGGGTAGGCGTAGTCGGCGATGGCTTTGCGGATCCAGCTGCGCGAGAAGGAGGAGCTGCCGTATTTCTCAAGCATGTAGACGGTGAACCAGTACATAAGGGCGATGAGAATGCCGAAGTAGCCGCCCTCACGTCTCTCGCCTTCGTTACCAATGCCTTCTTCGAATTGAGCGACGAGTTCTTCTACGCCTTTGACTTGTTGGAGGAACGAGCTCGGTCAGCGTTGATTCCACAAATTATTCAAGGGCTGCTTCAGTACTCACTGATATAGATAATTCCAACGTACGTGCCGAAAGACTGGCTGGAGAAGTCGGTGATGTATCGCATGTAATCACACCAATTGAAGATGGCCGCTGCCCAATGCGTGATCGCCGCCCAGATACTGACCCACGCAATGAACTGCGGATACAGATCCGAGATCCCCTGCGCAACCGTAATGTCGTAGATGGTGTAGTTGAACAAACTGATCAGCCCCGTAATGCCCACCACAGTCAATGGTTGGCACGAAAGCGTGCTGAACACCACCGCCGCAAGCGCCGAGGAGAAGAGTGCCTCGTTGATGCCAAAGAAACCGTCCGTGTTGCGTGTCATATCGAGCTGGAAGGCCAGGGCCGGGAGCAGGTTGACGAAGAAGATGCGGATGGTTCCGGCGAATGTTCTGTAGTTAAAGCCTTATGCGAAGGAGTTAGCGAATTTCCCTGACATGGTAGGAGTTTGCTCATAAGTTTCGTACCGTCCACAATGTCCGAGTAATACCATGGGAGGCGCCTTTTAATGTCGTAGTACATGCCGCGAAATGGCCGGGCGCTCTATAACATGAGAGACGTCAGCATTCTTTCTTTCCTGTGTATGAGGGAAGAGATTTACACGGTAGGCCCTCCATCCTGTCTCGCCTTCCCAGGTGTATGGATCATGGGAGTAGTCTGTTGATGGGATCTTATTCAGGTTGGCGAAGGGAGCCATGGTGGCGGTTGTGGTTTTCCTTGGTCCTGTATATCGATGCTGTAGATGTATCGAATGGCGATGATAGCTTTTGTGTTAGCCGTTACGTCGTGGTCATTCAAATTTGGTCCTCCCTCGGACAGACGGGACGTGTAGTATGCACACTCGTAACCGTTGAGATGGACTCGGTCTCTTTAAGGTCGCGCTCGTCAACACCACAACAGACCCGCTCGTAAGAAAAAGCCCGCGCGCAAAGCACAGTAGACAAGGATCTATACCGTGAGGTGCATGAGGAGTTTTTTAAGTATGGCGCATACGGTCGCCAAGCTGTTCAAGATGAGAGCCGACATGAGCGGCAATGATGTCCTGCGTGTTGAGAGGCTCGTGCCGTCATCTCCAGTTCTGCAAAACGCCATCGCAGCCATCAGCCAACGGGACGGTGCGAACGACGCGGAGATAGAAGATCACTTCCACTTCGAGATGAGTAACACCTTCTCGGCAACGTGGGAGGGTTGTCGCCGTCTTGTTCTGCTCAGGGCAGACCCGGCACTGTCAATGCGCCTCTCCCATCGCACCGCATCTGGACCGCTCTCCGAGGAAGCCAATGTGAACCTACAAGCCACAAGCATGACAGATCTACCACAGCGCGATGCTGGCGTGCGACCGCCGATTGCTGCCCCGGTCAAAGAGCCACCTCCGGAGCGGGATTGACCAAGTCGCGCGGCTGCCCGAGCAGATTTTGGACTGCCATGTCAGGAAAATGTGGCTCGCAGAAGGCAGTCGGAGGGTCCTATACCCTTGCTCAATCTCCATGGCTTGGTGGGCATAGCCAGGCTCAAGTGCACGATCGTATCTACCAGGCCCACGCCGCATACGATGTTTTCTAGGATACACGCCACGTCCTAAGACTGGGCCCCTTAGCCACGGACATTCAACTGATATTCTTCCAACTTGAGACTTCGAATACAGCACAACAATCTTGAGACCGGTACTCCTCCTGGTTTGTAGTCAAGGAGAAACAGATGCCATGGCTGGGACCGGCTCTGCGTATGATTCCACGGCCGCTTGTAGTTGTTGAGTGGAGGCTGCGATATATCGCCATATGACGTGTCTTAAGCTGCTGCTTGGACCTTCATGATCGGTGCTTGGGTTGCTTGTCTCCTCCGAAGGCCATATTGGACCACCTGTCACAAGGACAAATGCAGCCGGCGTCTGCCTCTGCATCGCCGGCGAAGCTGGTAAGAGCTGGCTGACTGGCAAGCGAGATACAGGGAACGTGGCCCAATCTGGCAGGCTTCTCACAGACCCAAATGCACCCGGAAAGTCCATGTCAATCTCGTGGACAGGCTCTGCTGGTCTATGAGAACAATCATCGTTCGGCTCGCCCTGACCTGGTTTGCCGCTTTCACCGTTTCCCGCTTGGCTAGCTCACATACTGTACACTGATTCCTCTAACTTAGAGTAGCGGCTGTTCTCTCACCCCTTGCCCGAAGCCCGCGAGTTCTATACTCACGCGAAAGCGAAGACTACAGATTGGTGCCAGAAACTCGACCCTCGTCCACAGATGATTTACATCATGACAGAGGAACTGGAGGCTTCCCGTGGAAACATGCAATTGAACGAGAGCGTATCAATGCGGCTGTTCGATACCTTCCAGGAGACCAAAGCGTTCCCGGCAGTCCTCGAATGGACCAAAGCACGAAGGCCCTTGGGCTACATTCTTCCACCATACGTGGGCGGTAACTATGCACTCGCCGTGTGCCAGAGCATTAACGACAGTCGCAAACGAGGGATGAAGCTGGAGTGTTCGTACTGCTCAAGCTCGTACCCTCTACACCAGTACAACGACCACCTCAGCAGCAACGTTAAGCATACCCTAACGGACCGGCCTCTCGTCTGCCCCGTCTGCGACAAGAGGACCTTCACTGTCGAGGAGGCTGACCCGGGCCTCCTAAACAAGCCCGCCAAAACACCTCATGCCGAGCACGTCCGCACTTGCCAGAGGTACCCATGCTCACAATGCTCAGAGACCTTTACTTTCGCCCACTCACGCGACGACCACTTCAACTGGCACCAGACGACAGATCGCCCGCACACATGCGAGCAATGCGAGCAGGCGTTCGTCAGCAAATTTGGCCTAAAGCGCACGTCGACATCTATCTCTCAGAAAACCACCCAGGGTTCCGTGTACCTACAAACTGCAACGAGGTCATTGCGATACGAAATCTGTTGAGGGCTCGCACGTGTAGACACACCCTCGTCGACAGCGGCAAAGCGACCCTTAGACTCCAAAGGATTTGACACCGAACACGGCATCCAGAACCTTCGGCACGAAGGCGGCCATCGCTACACCTCCTCCATCTGCTGCACCCGCAACGCCCTGACGTCTGCCGTGAAGAACAAGCGCAAGGCGTTAGCAATGATCAGTGGCAATGTGAAAAGGTTGTCCACCGAAGTGCATGGAACAAGAAGTCGTGATCAGCAGGGCTCGTCAGTCGTTGCTTATCAAGTCAAATACTGAGGAATTGTTCCCACGTGGTGATCGGTGTCGGAAGAAGCACTATCCCATCCATAGCATCCGATCTCAGCGACAACCACAAATTTCCGAGTCCCGGACTCTCCTCGGGACGTCCCACGAATCCAATCGGATATGGACAGCGAGGAACAGCCGCTGCAGCACGCATCACCTTGCATTCGAGGCTTCGATTAAGCTTGCGCGATCGGCAATCGCTCAACGCCTCCCGCTGTCTAGCGCTTGTCAAAATCGAATGTCCTACGTCACAAAATGCATAACTTTTTGACGTTGCGATGCTCGGAACAAGAACAATTAAACGCCGTCCCAACGCGTACTCTGCGTAGTGGCAACAGTTAGTTATATTGACGTTTGATTCCGCAGCTTCAATTTTGCGTATATACATCTACACCCAGCTTGGCTGTCTCGCGGCGAAGTGTAACTTTATCTTTCCCAAGGATTTAGCATCATTGACCAAACTTCATCTACCCCTCAGACGACTTCTCATTAGCGGCGCGAGCCCTTCTCCTACTCCCCTCTGTTTCTCTCGTCCTCGCTGCTCTGAGAAAGAGACCTTCATTGTGCCAGTGGCAACTTCCACGCCACGATGGCAGAAAAAGACGTCGAGTCCGGCCAACCAACACAACTATCGCACTTCCGCCAGGTCATAGACCAGGCAGGAGTCACTCCAGAAGTCGAGAAATATGACTACGCAGGCTCCGGTACCGAAGAAGACCCTTACGTCGTGACCTGGATAGAAAACGATCCTCGGAATCCCATGCTCTACAGCAAGACGAAAAAATGGTCCATAACTCTCCTGGTGGCTTTCGCAACGCTTGCTGTAGCATTCGTGTCTAGCGCGTACTCCGGTGGATCAAACCAGGTTATCCAGGAGTTTCAAATCTCGCAGGAGATATTCGTACTTGGGACTTCTTTGTTTGTGTTGGGCTTCGCTATCGGTACGTCCAGTGTACGGCAATGCAGGCTGCTGTACGCCAGACTGACCATAACCTATAGGTCCTCTTCTCTGGGCGCCTTTATCCGAGCTCTTCGGACGGCAGATACTTTACATCTCGACTTATGCAATGTTGACCGCATTCAATGCTGGCGCCGCGGGCGGACAGAACATCGCAACGGTGACGGTCCTGCGATTCTTAGCTGGAGCTTTCGGTAACAAACCCATGGGCAAAGCCCTTCTACGTCTGAGACATTCGCTGACCCTGCTGCCATTTTGCTTGTAGGTAGCTCGCCGTTGACGAACGCGGGCGGAGTCATCGCAGATATGTTTCCGGCAAAGGAGCGTGGCCTGGCAATGTCCATCTTTGCGGCCGCACCGTTCATGGGACCAGTACTAGGCCCAATCGTCGGCGGTTTCGTGGGCGAAACAGTCGGATGGCGATGGATTGAAGGTGTCATGGCCATCTTCACCGGTACCCTCTGGATTGCTGGGTCGTTTTTGATTCCCGAGACTTACCCACCAGTCCTGCAGCGAAAGCGCGCGAAGAAGCTCAGCCAGATGACCGGTAAAGTCTACAAAAGCCAAGGAGACGTCGACCAAGGACCGCAGAGTTTTGGCCATGTGTTCCGCACATCGCTCATGCGACCGTGGGTGCTGCTGTTCCAGGAGCCGATTGTGTTGCTCCTTTCGATCTACATGGCCATCATCTACGGGACACTGTACATGCTGTTCTCCGCATTCCCGATCGTGTATCAAGAGACTCGAGGCTGGTCACCTGGTATCGGAGGCCTTGCTTTCCTTGGAGTTGCCGTGGGCATGGTAGGCGCCGTTACGTACAGTGCGATTGACAACAAGCGGTACGTGAAGCTGCTTGAGCAACACAAGGGCTTTGCACCGCCCGAGGCCAGACTTCCACCGTGTATGCTTGGTGGCATCTGCGTGCCTATCGGCCTGTTCTGGTTTGCCTGGACCAACTACCCGAGTATCCATTGGATGGCCAGCATAGCAGCAGGCGTTCCGTTTGGCTTTGGCATGGTTTTGATCTTCCTGGGAATCATGAACTATCTCATCGACGCATACACCATCTTCGCAGCTTCCGTATTGGCCGCAAACGCAGTCCTGCGATCCCTTTTCGGCTTTGCCTTCCCTCTGTTCACAACTCAGATGTACACCAATCTCGGCATCCATTGGGGCAGTTCCATCCCAGCATTTCTCTCTTTAATGTGAGCAAATCCAACATTGAGCAAAGTGATCTTCTAGTACTCTCGCTGACACCCCTATCTCCAGGTGTATCCCCATGCCTTTTCTATTCTACAAATACGGCCCCGCCATCCGCGAACGCTGCAAATATGCTGCCCAGGCCGCCGCCTTCATGAAGAAGATGCAAGCCCAGACCGAAGGCACCGACGACTCGTCGGAAGAAGAGCCAGCACGTCCTTCTGGAGACCCGGCGGACAAGGAGAAGGAGAACGAAGAGGAGCGCGAGGAGGCAGAGCAGGAAGCATTCGATTACTCGTATGCCGAAGAGAACGAGCCGCGCTTTGAGCGGATCAAGACCAACCGCAGCCAACAAAGCAGGCCTGAACTTGCGAAGACGAAGAGCTATGACCGGAGTCCATTTGATCTGGACAGAACCAACACTACGGACAGTTTTGCCTATGAGGCGAGGAAGAAGACTTCCAGGCGGAGCTCGCAGGCGAGCAAGGCGAGCAGGTAGTGAGGTTGGGAACCTTCCAGGTTGTATTTGTGTTTGTGGTTCGATTGATTAGCGAGGCGTCCAGTGGGCTGGCATTGTGACAGGACTAAATATACAATTATAGATTCTGATGATGAGACTTCTCTCAAATGAATGACAAGCACTCGAGTCAAAGTGTCGTCCTCTCTTCAAGATTGATTCCCAGGCCACGATGCTGAAGTGGTGATGTCTTGCATGTGATTGACAAGATAATGTTGTTACCGATAATCTATGCTCGGATGAAACGGACTGCTTCTCCGATAAGGCTGACCAAGACCCACCGAAAATCTTATGCTTGTGGAAACGGTGACTGATACACGATTAGCAACCTTCCCACTTTTGCTTCAGACTGACTGTAAGGTAATCTGGTGGCGGTCTGACCATATCCGCACAGGAAACCGCTTGCCCAATGCCGCCAGATGTCCCGGGTTTGCCACTGGCTCAACGTTTTCCGGTAGAACACAGCGTTATCTTCGGCAGTAGGCTGATGGCATCAATTTAATGGTATGATCATATCGTGGTATGGGCTGATGCAAGGAGTGAGTCGTGGCAAGAATGAAAACTCAAGTCGAGGTACACAGGTGTAAAGACCTCGCTTCCATTCCGTCATTCTGTACCTGTTCTGCTCGTAAAAATGTCAAACTTCCTGGAGCGTGTCATCACGTTCAGTCACAATACCGCACCAGCAGCTAGTCTTCCGCTCGAACTACAACAGCTTGTCTACTCCTGCTTGGACACCAAGTCGTTCTTCGCTACGCGCCAGGTCTGCAGATGGTGGAGATACGCTTCTCTGGACGCCGTCACACTATCAAGGCACCTCGAACGACTTCCGCTACGCCCTGGATACGCGAGGGCTGGGATCGGTCAGCAGGATACAGCAGCTTTGTTCAATGCTGCTAGCCGCATTCTTATGTTCGACCTGACTGCGAAGCAAAGCGGACACAGGCAGGATCTCCCCCGAGTAGCCGACAACGTCAGACAGACTGCAAACACTGCTTGCAACAGGACGGTCACTGTTGTCGGGTCGACGATCACACTCTATGACACTTCGAATTCAACACCGAGGCTAGTTTCGCAACGACGGCTGAATGATCTAAAGGCGACTCTCGGTGATGGACCATGGCTCAAAGTCACTCCAATCTCCGATCACGAGCTTGCCTTGTCTTCTGATGGACGATTTCTCGCAGTGGGTCTCGAGCGGACTATTCAGATCTATGATCTGTTGGACGATAGCGACAGTGCGACAGTGAACCAGTACATACCAGCCGCAGCCGGACACTTCATCTGTGGCCTCGCGTTTGATCTGGATGACTGGGTGTTGAAGGTGTCTCTCAGTGGCAAGGGCGCCGTGCTGTACCTTGGCTCTCCTCGAAACAATCTTCAAATGGAGACTGAACCAGACCTGGACCACTGGAGCAGCACGGCAGGACTGAAGCACGTATTCCTGAACGACTCGCAACTTACGGCGAAGCAAGACAACTTCTCGGCAGGTAACCACGCACGCTTCTGCGCGACTCACCTCCTGCGTCCGTACAAAGATGGCTACCTCTTCGCCGCGCAACGGCACGGCCGCGGAGAGAGCAACCACTACGTCGTTGCCCACGTCAAGTGCTCAGCCTCTGCCACCACATCCGGACTCGTTGCGGAACCGAACAGCGTCGTGGAGTTGGCAAGGCTGGAGAGCTTTCTCAGCAGCTGGAATTGCAGATCGGATGGCTTCTCGAGTGATGGGATGGGGACTTGGGGCAAGATGCCTAGTGCGCATGAACATCATTCGCAGTACTGTCTCAGTCCGGACAGCAGGCTGCTGCTGGTGGCTGAGAAGGACAAACATTGTATTCGACCGAATGTCTTGATGCAATCCTATGGCTACCGTCTTCCCGGTGAGGCTGCTATGTCGCGGATGCTGGAGGAAAATGCCAAGCCGGCCATGGAAGCGAGGACTACGACCAAGGTCCCGGGTGGAATGGCAGCGAGTTGTAAGGAGAGTGATTCTGGCGAGGAAGAAGCAGTGTGTAGGATTGCGAGGATTCCGTTGGCCGTTGGTGCCATCAAAGGCCACCTGAGTAGTTTGGGGTGTCGCCTCGAGCACTTGGGAGGCAGAAGGAGCTATGTAGTGGAGATGACCACCGATGAAGAGGTCAAGTCGTGGTCACTAGAGAGTTTCTAATGCTTGTAGTTCTGGGTGGCTATAGATTATGCTTTTTGCAAAGCGAGGGACCAAGAGTCCTTGACAAGTATCGCAATGAAGAAACCCTTCCGGACTGTCAGGGCGCCTGATTTAACGGCCTCGAGTATACAAGTAGCCTGGATACTTGTAAAGGAGCAGTGCTCCAACCACAAGAGCAATGGTGAGCGCCGACTTTTGCACAGTGGCATCGGCCAGCCACGAGCTGCCAGGACCTCTCAGCGGGCGATTAGGTTGTTGTGCGATCGCATTCGTTCCATCCTCCAAGCGCTGAGGATCATACACGGATGGGCTTTTCAGCCCGGCGGACTTTGGCGCCTTTTCCAGGGCGGCCAAAGTCTTGATCTTCAAGGAGAAGTCGCCTTCCTGTGAGCCGAAGAAGCTGGACATTTCATTAGCCGGGATGAACCATCAATCGCCTTGAAAATAGGAGGTAATGCAGCATACCTTCGCATCATGATGCTTATCCGCTTGATTTTCTTGAGGTCTAGGGGGTCGGCATCTTTCTTTAGCTTGCCCCTGTAAGACACATAAAAGTCAATGGATGTCCAACATCTCAAATCACGAATACGTTTCATGCTCATTCCGACGTACCTGTACGTAGGATTCAGGCTATCCCAAGGGATGTAGACCGACTTGTCGCAGACATCACCCGGCTTTGTCTGTGGCGGCAGCTCGAAGTCGCATTCCCAGGAGATGGTCGATTGTTCTCTACCAGATTTCTCGTCTGGTGGTAACAACTCGTCTTTCAAAATGAAAGTGTATCGCTTCTCTGCACCTCGTCAATACCTCCAAGCTCGAGATAGCAATTTGGCCACTCACTGTCACCCTTCGCGACATCCAACTGAATGCCCGCATAATCAGAAAGATTCCATTCGCGGTCGTCCCCAGTGGTGCGCTGGCTAGCGAAGCCCGCACCGCCTAGTGTCTTGATGTCCAGCGTTCCATGAAAGCGAGCAGTATCTCCATCGATCTCCAGATGCGACTGCGGCCGTCGGCCGATTAGTTACTGACGAAGCGAAAAGCGGGCTTGCGAGAGCTGCGGCGGCGTACGTACTTCTGATTTCCCGCCCCGGACGCTGTCGTCGCTGGCCGTCCAGTCCTCAGGCGACCATCCTCTAAACGAGGGAAGTTAGCTATCCTTCAGGCAATGCTGCTCCGCATGTGGCTTTCGGATAACTCACACGCTTCCTCCGAATAGGGTCAATTTACGAGACTCCTTCTTGTCGTCGGAATACTGATCCATTGCGCGGCGTTAACAAGGGCTGAATGCTGTTGCGAGATCGTGCCCCAGCTTTGCCGGCGCGGAGGAGCAGTGCACACTTCGCGCTGGAGAGAGCTCGCATCTTGTGACGGCGCTAGGGAAGTTTGCATGAAACCTTGTTCCACTTCACCTTGTCGATCACATTCCACTCGCAGCCTTCGAGAATTTCTAATAAGTGATTCCTGATCTGTTGAATAATTCAGTCGTTATGCACGCGATGGCGAAAGCGCAGAATGACACCACAAATCATACGACCGTCGCATTTATCACGCAACCAACGGCAGCCCTTGTGCAGGTGGCGTGCGGCACAATCCCAACCCGCGAGGGATCGCAGCCGCATACATCCGCTTTCGATCTCTATAGGGCTGAACGACGCGGAGCTGGAAGCTGTCTGCAGCTTGCTGCGCACAAATTGCCAAAGCAGGCCTACTGCGAGGTAGCCAAGTATTCAAGCAGTGGACTGATGGATGAAGGATCAGTGATAATCTTTATTTGATTGTCCTGGGTAATAAGTAAACAAGACTATGTTGTCGTTCCTCGCTCATCAATCCGTTGCGACGTACTTTGTACGATCGGCCGTATCGGAAATGGAAGCGGCGAAGCGGCGACGCGAGCGAAAGCTCCTGGAGGCCTTGGAACCACAGCTCGGCCGCGCCAGGACTGCCCAGCCCGCGTTCTCGAAGCCGGCCCCGATTGCCACTTGCGACGCCCGTTTCATCGTTCGTAAATCAGGGCTGCGTTGTCGACCACCGGTCTTCAGCCTGTCCTATGTCCGATGGATTGTCCTCGCATGGCCCCAATGTAGCCAGACCCACAACGCCATCGTTCGTAACAACTGGTCGGCCGCTTAAAAGGCCTTGGGAGGATGGAGGATGCCGGCCCCGTTGCCCCATCGAGGCAGACCGATCTCGCATGCTTCATATTCTGTCGTAGAGCTGCGTCGACGGTGTGTGATCGGACGGTGGCGTGTATGGGAAGTAGGAGTCTGGCGGCGAGCCCGCTTGCGAAAGTTCGAAGGACTCGGACAAAGGTGGTGTCTGCTCGGCTCCCATCAGCCCGTGCTCGTCGGCCACTGCGGATAACTCTGGCTCCTGTGAAATGGAGGAGGTGGTGCTCTACTCACATATGCAGGTACGGAGTCCTGGTATGAGTTTGCGGCAGATACGTCCACGCCAGCCATTGATGCCCAACTCATGCTGAAGGGATTGATTTCGTCGTCGTTGTAGTATTCTTGTTTGACTGGCGTTGTCATGCTGGGAACGATATGCTGATAGTGTTGCATCGGAGGTAGGTATTGCGTGTAGACCGGCATGTCACCACTGGTGGTGGAGATGTTGCAGTACGAAGCTGTTTGTGCGTAGGTAGAATAGCCTGTACTATCGGCCGCCGACAAAGCGCTGTACGAGAAAGGCGGAGGCGACGTCGACATCTGCCGAGTGTACTGTTGCGAGAACATGCTACGGTCTTCCGACGGCAGGACGTATTGCTGCTGAAGTACCTCAGGAGTTCGAGCTCGATGTGCTTGGCCGCCGCTCGATCGATGCCGTTGGGCTCCTAGTTGTGGTGATCGATCTGACGGATCCGAGGTTTCGGTCTGAGCGAGTTCTTCGTATCTTTGCTCGGGCGACGCTGAGCTTGATCCAGCGCGGCGTTCCAGGTCTTCCAACCTCTTCTTCAGCTTCTTGCCTGTTCGTCAAGTCAGTGAGGTGGTCGGCAAGGTGAAAGATCGATGCTACTGACGGTAGTTTCTCTGCGCGATTCTGTTCTGAATCCTTCTTCTCTCAGCAAGATCTGAGATCTTGGTCCAGTCCTCGTTAGGGTTTGCGCTGGCGCTGAAGGCGCTGCTGGTGCTATGTGCCGCTGGGTACTGCTTCGGAGATGTCTGAGCGGTATATTGAGGGTAGGTATAGCTTGCTGCCCGATGCATGTCTGGTCTGTCGTACATTCTGTCGATGGTGTGGAGGAATGATCAGCAGAGGGTTGGCGAAGTTGTGTGAAGAGTGTGGTGTGATCGGCAATGGTGAAGAAGGAGCAGGCTGCCCTATGATATATAGCTCACGAGATGCCATCAGTCAACATGGCGCATCAAATAGGCTTCCAGCCAGCGACCCCCCCTGCACGAGCCAACCCCTTGAGTGCGTGAACGGAGCGTAGCATGATTGCAAGCTCGCTCCCAGGGTAGCTGGGTAGCTAACGGCCGGACAGCCTCGTGCAGGGACCGTTGCGATGCTGCATCCGCTAAAACGCCCACGCACGCCCCGCGCAATCGTTACTTAGATGCCAGATTGAGCATCTGGCACTACTACCCTGGTCGAGCCACTTGGATGACAAAACGCGACGCTTTTAGACACCGAGTCTATAAGTCGGTGTGTGCAACAGACCATGTTCCAACCCACGTCATGGTGCAGCGCAGCAATGTCCAGCAAGCGGAATAGAATTTGGTTGCAAAGAGGCCCTCCATGGCACCACCCGGGGCACCGCACCATCCGAGTCCGAGTTGTCCGAGATAGCGAAGAGCCCGCTCCGTCGTGCCAAGTACAGGTTCCAGTACGGAGGCAGGGCGTAACGCGGATGCTTTCCAAGTTGACAATTTTGATCAATAACAAATGCCTCGCCAACGTTGTCAGTACCGTCGAGGGCCAACCATTCAGCAGAGACCATCTTGAAATTGCGCTTGAAACAGCTAGCGCTGGAGGCCTCGAGCACGTATCGCGTTCATTCTCGCCATTGCGAGCGTGATTCCACCATGAGGCTCACCGCTACGCCTGCTGGGTCGTTTACCAGCGCTGTATCTCCAGGGCACTGCCGTGGCAGGTACCGAGGTGAGCAGCCACGAGTATGGCCATCCAGGCTGTCAGAAACGGTGTGGAGGGTGAAGCCGCACAGCATCAGCCCTACCACAAGCGAGGCCTTCGAGATGCAGCGGGAGTAGAAGGGCGGGTTTTGGTAAGCAGATACAAAAATAAGGTACCAAGCGAGCGCCTTCCCAGAAACGGTCAGCAGTCAGTGAAGGGCAAAATTCTTGGTCGTGGCACAAGTGACACCGCTCGCCCACTTCCCGTTGATCGAAGCGTTTTCTACCATACATTGCAGTAGTCATCAGTACGATAATCATGCGTCCGGCCCTTCGGTACGGGTTGCAGTGGCATGGAGATTGATTGACTCCCGCAATAGACAAGGAAGCGGCACGAGCGGCCGATTTGCGGAATCTAACACTGTGCCATATCGCTGCTAGCTCCGTATCGTTTGCTGCTCTCCAGCCTTCACTCGATACGCCAACAAGTATTTGCATCGACCTACAATCACTGATCATACCTTGGACTCCACCATCTGGAATCCAGGGGAGCTCAGGGAGTCAGCCTTATCCGCCGTGAGCTCAGAACTCTGTCGAGCTACAAGCAAACAACAACGTGGCAGGCTGGTCGCTCTACCCTGTGAGCAACCACGTTCCCAGGGACAGGCATTGTCGTCGACCTGGAGCGTGCTTTCGTGGAGGATGCCGCTCCACTCACAGCACTCACAAATGTGTCCGGGACTTCCATTTCAGCCCTGTCATGACAACCTCTCACGCTGAGACCACCTCATCGCGCGCGGATCCCGCTTGGAGATCGTTATCACGAAGTGCTTGCATGACACGAACGCCTACGCCGCCAGTTGTAGCGAGGGATGCTTTCCACCCCGTCTTGATGGTCTAATTGGCTTGGTTACGCTGCTTCGCCAGCTGAAACCTTGTTCTGCGCAATTCGTCACGGCGGATCCGTCTCGCTGAGTTGGTATGGCGGTTGTACCGGTGCATGGAGGATTCCACAGCTGCTCGCTCTCCGCGCCAATTCCCAGCCTACGCCCGTGGCTGCGCGTGGTTGCTCTCCCCCAACGTGGTATTGATCGGCTTCTCCGCGACTAGCACATGCGCTACGAAGCTTGACCTTCAGCCTTATCGTCTGCTCTGATACCTCTTGATCGTTTGTTTCCTACTGTGGACGCCATCTTTGGATCCTTCTGTAGCCATCTGCACTTCGTCCATGGACCACCATGATGCGACAGGGCGGCATAGCTCTCCGACCCCGAAAAATGCTACACTATTGCGTCGCCCCGAGCTTATTTCGCCAAAAGGACTGCCAATAGCCCGATGCCCGCTCGAAGTGACGGCCCGACAAGGCCGAAGCTGCCACGACGTGCTACAGTACTGCTTTCCTTTTGTGGTAAGCCCACAAAATCTCGACTGCGATGCTCTCACATTATTCCGCATCAACCAGATAATTCCAGACCATGAGCCACCTATACACCGGCTGTATGCGGCATATCCCGGGTTCAACACAGTACAAGGGGCCAACATGCCCATTGGCTCAAGGCCACGTTGTCAGAACCGTCACCGCGGAGCTTGCAAGTAGTAGGTGACTAAGGGCGAGATGTAGGCAGTTAATCAGCAGCTCGCCTTCAGAAGCCTAGAAAGATTGCTACCTCTACGTTTAATACGAGCTGATGCAGGCATACTGGGCAACACTGCAGGTGGACTGGCTGGAGATATGGCACCAGTTGAAAGTGGGTCAAGCATACACCGAGACGTGCTGAGCTGATTGCTACCAGACCTTGTATGACCAATCCTTCTACCGCAGCATGAGATATGCGGTTCCATGCTCATGGCCGAGAGGTATGGAGCTGCACCGTGACGAGAAGAGCGGTGTCGACTACATTGTTGACAATGGGTATCTCAGCGGTCTAAAGATCCCCCTAGCAGTGGTCGACTACGCCCGAAACATTCCAGCGCAGAGGTTGATTCCTATGGCTCATCCGCCCTATCCGCAGTCACCGCCAGAGCATGCAAGATGTCGTGCATACAGACAGCCACCTGGGCTACCACAAGGCGGATGGTACAAGCTCTAAGGCTCAATGAGCTTATTTCCGAGCCAAATCATCCACAGGGCAGCATCACAGGCGCCAGAGACCCACTCGTGGCTGGTCCCTGGAACTCACCGACTGCTTTCATAAGCACCCAATGGCTGCTATACATAGTTCTCTGCGTGGCCTGGAATGCGTTTCCCATTTGAGTGTCAGTTGTTGCAGCACACGGGCCACCAACGTATTGGACAGATGTCCCGATGTGAGATTGCGGTCTTCGAATAGGTTGTTCGACCTGAAGAGACGATCGTTGTGCTATCAATGGTGTGGATGTCACCTGTGCTCGGTGGTCCGATTACCGCGCCCGGCATTGTGACCGGCAAGACAGACACACCCTCTCGTACTGCGAGTTGACGTCTCTCGTAAAGCACTGCCACTCGACTGGCTGGAAGCCAACGTCAGGTCTACGCCGTCTTATGATGACGATATGGTCGTGGCCATCTCTTTGCGCTGGAGCAGGATGAGAGTCGCCCACCTCGTGAACGGGGATCAAGCGCTATCAGCCCATCGCCATACCTGCAACCTCATCACAGCTGAGACGCTCGATGTGCTAGCTGCCGTTGATCATTACCCAGCATAGCCACGATACGGGCATGCGGCAGGGTTGGAATTGTCCTGGCGGCTCATATTCCGTGAATTCCGTGGAGCTGGTGGAGCGGAAGCACACCGTCGATGAAGAACCGTCTGGGTCTCTGCGTGGCTCTTCACCCGTGCATACTGCATGTTGTTGGGAAACAACACATGGTGGCTCCCTCATTCGACCATTCCCATGGTCTGGGTCCTTCGCGACCACCTTCTCCGTCTGCACCCCAGCCTCCAGAGCTTCGAGTCGAGGCACCACTCTCGCTTCTGGGATACTGGGCCAGATCGACGAATGCCCACTCCAACCGAACTCTGCAGAACTAAACGCACCGGCTTCTCCTCACACGCTAGCATTTGACCCACCAGGGCTGGCGCTGTAACGACCATGCCGTCCTCACATGCCGACCAACGCAAATCATGTGCTTGCTATTGCAGCACAACACACCGTCCCTTACTGACTTCCTGCTCCGCGGAAGATCTGCAGTCTGCGTCGCGTCCACAGACACCCCCTCGTATCAGTATCAGGCGCTTGATGATAAGAGAGTCAATCAGAAGACCGTATTAGGCATGCTTTGCTCGAGCTTGTGGATGAGCATGGCAGGTAGAAGAGCCTGGAGACGAGCCCCGTCTCCAGTTGGCGACCAGGGGACACCCTCGCGAACGATCGAGACGCTGCCGATGGCATGCGGGCAATGCAGAAAGTGGAGGTGCACTACTGCGACCGATCGAAGAACTCCTGATTGTGGGCCACGGACACGTCGAAGGTCGAAAGGGGGCACAGGGCATTTTCCGCGATCGGTCGGTCGGAACCGCCCTGCCTCTTTCCCATTAACAGCACGGTGCGTTTGCGCTGCTGGAAGCAGTCACTCCATGTCGAGATCATTCATGCGGCGCTGGTGAGTGACGAGTGATGGGTGCCACCCAGACCATCTATCAATGAGAGTAAGTGTATCAATGGACGTTTCTTCTGATCCCGATATATTTTTACCTTCTGTCCGTTCATTGCCAGTCACGAGCAATGATACCCGTCTTCCCAGCAAAGAGTTCAGCTGATAGATCTCAGAGTCCTATACCACCTCATATGTGTACTTGCTCGCAGCCATCGATCAGCATGCCCACCCCCAAAGAGTCGAAGAAGCAGAAACCGACGAAGAAAACTGAAAGCAGAGAGAAATACGTGCTCAGGGGTCCAATCTGGACTCGCAACACAGCTTGATACTGGCAGCACGTTGGCGTAACGGAAGACATCCCGATCGGTTTAGTATACCACTTCCGATCCAAAAGTCTAATGTCGTTTTAGGGATGGACTTACGATCAGCGGAGGGCTGCATCACATGTTTGGATGAATGCCTTGTGATTTCGTCGGAAACACTGCACATGGCATGGACGACAAGAGCACGCAAGCTTGTCCCGTCGCTCTGAGGGTTTCTCAGGCTTGCAAATAGTCAGTTGAGTCATAAAACAGGCGATCAATCCAAGCAAACGCACTGGTAACGATGTGTTGATTTCACCAATTGCACTTCTATCACCCGAGTGAACATCAAACCCCCGAGTATAAGTAACAACGATGGCAGATATCAACGAACAGCCGACAAGATTCCTCAAATTGCCGGGCGAGATTAGAAATTAACTATAACGCGGTCCAGGACACCCGTCAAGCTCGACTGAATGATCGTTGCAGACGAAGGAAGGCTAGGTACGCTCCGACACACCGCCGCCGACCCCAATGCCAGCATGCTCAACGAGCTACTCTGGAATCAAAAATTTCTACTACGAGAGCAGCTCCCACTTCTCAGACCACGTGCTGAAGCCACAATACATGGGCCAGATCCGAAGACCAGCGGGCACATCGACAGAAGCTTTCGACCATAACAGCGAGAAGGGAGCACAGCTACGCGTACTGCTTCGGTGGCAACATCACCTTTACCATCGCGAAGAAAGCTGGGTCGTTGGAGATGCCGGGCTTCAGACCGATCGTCCGTAAGGTAGTCATGTTCTTATCCCTGGAAGCGGCGTTTGCTGTTGCTTATTGAAACGACTCGCCTGGAAGCGGGAAAGTAGTCTGTCGGAGACCTACCACAAACGAGAAAGGCTTGCCACATCCAATCTCGTGGTCACGCGATATGCACTTTCTGCGGCAGACAGATGTCGGTCCGGATTACTGTGAGATGGCATTGAAGGGCTCTGGTGTTCAGACTGGTGAATCGCCAGTATGCATTCAGCACCGTCTAAGCTACAAGTGCTCGCCGGTTGCGGTCCTTCCGCGTTTTTCGCCAGTGATGTAACGCTCAAGCATAACCGAGTACCAGAAATGCAGCATTTACTCCGCCTGGGAAGTCGTTAGTCCATGTCCGTGCTCAGATCCCGGGTCATCAAGCTCACCTTCACAGCGTAGTTCCTCTGCGGGAAATGCCTCTGCCTTTTCTTCTGCTTCTCCGTCACACGGCTCGCCTCCTCCTTCGTTAACCGTCTCCTCATCGCGCGCGTCTGCTTCGGGCGGAGGTCGAGCGGGATGTACTTCTTGCCCTTGTAGAAGATGCGGAGCTGCTGGCGCTGGGTGGTGTTGATGACGGTGAGGACGCGGGCGATCGATTTGCGAACATCGTGGCTGCAGAAAATGTGAGCGAGTATTCTCCCACATCTTCCATGCTCGAGCGCATGCTCAGCGCCCTCGATGTTCATGTGGCATACATTCTGGTCAATTTCGACTGCGCACCACCGGCAATCTTCTGCGTCCGCAATTGCACGAGCTCTTGCTTAAGGTCATCCAGCTGCTTCTTGAGTTCCTCCTTGTTCTTGCCCCAGAGCTGGGCAGCCTTGACTTTTCCGGTGGACGACTATGCGCGTGTGTTAGCGAGACCATACTACACTCTTCTTGCTGGTGGTGATCTCCATACCATTGTGAAAGATTGTCGTTGGGTGGTCGAAGAAGTGTCGTCGGTGTGAAGTGGTTCGCGCTTTAGCAAAATTTGGTGGAGTGCGAGCCAAGAATTCACGAGCTTTGTTGCCAAAACGTATGGCCACGGCAGAAGTCGACGACCTCACGTGGGCAAAACTTCATGTGAATGCTCCTACCTTTAAGAATCATGGAACTCTACAGCACCAAGGCAGCTTTCCAGCAGACAGATCCCACCCTGAGAACTCAGTGGTACTTCTCACGTTCAACTAGGACGGCCCATCTCTGTCCGGCTGCCATTGGACTAGCACTGCAGCAGCCGCGCTCAGGTATGGCTCCTCTCGGGCTCCGGTAGGCTTTCGTTTTCTTCCAAAAGTCAAGACCCTCGCGGCGCTCTCCTTGCACAGAATCGGTCTTGTCACGGACAACAGATAAAGCCCCTTGGGTTCATGCTAACAAGTTGCATACCGACGGCTATACCGATGCCGGCGCTCTGGCAAGACGACGCGCAAGGGTTTTAACAAACGCGCAGGGGTCGCAAATATCGCATCACCCGAACCCTTTGCCTGCAGGAGACCGGACTGAGGTGGTTCTATATCGCTGCTGCAGTTATCGGACATCCGGTAGCTACCGGATGTGCCAGGGATGACATGGCTGCTCGCTTTCAGATCCTGATCAGCCCCACCGGTATGGCATCGGACCGAGCCCCGCCTGGCGTTCAACCTTCAACAACTGGACGGACCAGTATACCATGGACAGTCCACGAAATGAGCGAGACAGTTAGGTTGTCACCGCGTTAACATCGTCGCAGCTCCAATTTACGCCCTGCGAGCGACCAAACAATCCAACACCGACGACCCCAAGCCTTATCCGAGGCCAAGCATTAAATATAAATGCTTGTTCAACCTCACTGAACATCTATCTCTTCACTACGCCGACCCTTTATTGCAATGCATACGCTAAACTCAGCCAGGTACGGAACGAAGGGTGCGACTGCCCTCTTGGATCACGTACTTCTCTTTCGAAACATTTCCTCTGCAGCATGAGTGACAGCTGGGTTTGTCATCGACTGTCGGATTTACCGTCCGGCAACGTGACAAACCCGTCACGCCAGTGCCTTGGCAGGGCAGCGTTTGGAGCATGATTCGATGCACTGTAATGTCAGAAGCGTGTCACATTCAGGTCCGAGTCTTCGTTCCGTACTGCGGAGGTCACACCGCTTTAACAGATGATCCGTTTCATCGTGGCGATTGCTCGTCACCACTAGCTCTTAGGCAAACAAAGCTGAGCAAACACCCGTTATACGCGCGACACTGCTTCCCTGCTCAAGACTATTGAGCACTCTAGGACAATTCCAGGACATTCAGTCGTTTCAACATGCTGCGAGAGACGGCTACGCAAGCAACAGTTGGCGAAGGCCGTTCTTTGGAGAATGAAAAAAGCCCACCACTACATGAAGATGCCACCTACGACAGAGCACGAACTCCAGGCCCATTGCGCCGTTGGAAGACGGCACTCCACTCCTTCCGCGTCCTTCGCGACCTCAGCCCGGAACAAGTCAGGAACTTCATGAATTCATACGTCATCTACAACCTGGACTGGGCCGACGAGAAAGCGATGACGGACACTCTGGGACCTGACTACCAGAAGAAGGTCGGCGAATGCTTGAGCGATTACTATTCAGTACTCAATCACATGTGCTCCATAGGGGAGCTGGAGAAGATGTACATACCTCCAGTCATGGATCTGCAATCCAGCATCATCGTGAACCAGGAACGATACGAAGAGAGCATAGCGAAGGAGCTCCACCTGCCGCCGAAACCACGACTTCTCGATCTTGGTTGTGGTCGCGGCCGGGTGGCGGCGCATATGACAAGCCTGGTGGGCGCGCGTGTGACTGGAGTCAACATTGATCACGACCAAATTGCCAGCGCGAGGGCCTACAACGATCAGATGAACTTTCAGAACGACTTTATTTGCATGGACTTCAACGATCTTCCTTTGCCACTGCCTGGGGGAGAGTTTGATGGCGTCTACAACATCCAGGCATTCAGTCTCTGCAAAGATATTCCAGGAATGTGTCGTGAGCTGTACCGCCTGCTGAAGCCCGGTGCGCGCCTCTCATTCCTGGATTGGGTGAAGCTCGATGCATTTGACGACTACCACCCTCATCACCAGGACCTGATGCGCAGGATCAAGCCGCTCATTGGCGCGGTCGGGACACCAACACCAGAGAGCATGGCAGCAGACATTGCGTCGGCCGGGTTCAAAGTCTTGTCAAATGGCAACGCCAGCATTGATGGCCTTCAGGCACCTCTGATCGAGCGTGCTGATTGGTACTTTAAGGTGACGAGACACCTTTTGTACGGTTTGGTGCGTGCTGGACTCCTGCCTGCTCATTTCCGGACGTTGCTGGATCGGTTCGCGAAGGATGGCGCTGCTTTCATCGAAGCAGACCGAGCACGCCTCATCACTACGAGCTACCACTGGTTAGCGGAGAAGCCACGAGAAGTACACGCCGTCTCAGGGCTGCCAGCATCAACGCTCGACCCTGACAGCGTTGTTGTGGAGGCAGGATCCAGCAGCAATTCTGGGAAGTCAACTCCGTCTTCTGGCGCAAGCTCGGTGCTGGACATTGAGTCGCCTTCACCCGCAAACTCGGACTCGACGGGCATCAGTGTGCCGCCTCTGAGCCCGGAAGAGCCACTGAAGACCGAGCAACCATCTTCCCGCGCTGGGGCAGAGATGTCATCGTAGGCAGACGTCCCTGCCTTGCTCACTCGCTGAGGCCTGCATGGCTTGTTGAAATGAGATTGGCGTTCATCTGGCATCTTGATACCCTTCTTGCGTTCAGCAGGGCGGAACGTGGAATCTTTGAGTAGGAGGTACGACTTTTATGTTCGCGTTCTAGCTTGTTACTTCTCAGGAGTCGACCGTCTGTGGACGGCGAAGCATGGACAGACTTGCGATGCAGCGTTCTAGCGAAGCGGCATTAGATTAATTAGGCATTCGTACCATCTGCATCACTTCATCTGCAGCTGACTTGGTCTTCCGACGGTCTTGTAACACACTGTCAACATCTCTGCACCCACGTTGTCATCTGCAAACTTGAAGACATACGTGGTTTGGCGGATCAGCAAGCAACGAAACACGGCCTGAAAGTCAAAGAAGTAGTATCAAAGTACCTCAGTACTCTCAAGCGACAAGCTATGGTCTACCTAACACCCACGCAAGCCGAAGATGCAGCAGCCACAAACACTCGTCGTCATCCAGAAGGAGCGGCAAAGCACAAGGGTATCAACCTTTCCGTGCTCTCGGCAGTACGTGGAGATGTTGGCCTATCTACTCATCACCGCCCTTGTTCTTCTTCTTCTTGCTGCCACCCATCGGCGCCTCTCCCGTCTTCTTCTGATGCACGATGAACTTCTGGTAGTTGGCTTCTTTGTCCCATTCGAAGCCGGCGAGGTAGGGCTCTTCTAGCTCGTCGTCGGCCTGTGCGCATACAAGTTAGTAAGGAGCACGTGATGTGGAGTGAGTCGATGACATACCTTCTTCTTGTACTGCTTGTAGATGGCGTCCAGTGCATCCTTGATGGTGACACCTCTGAGGTTGCGGGCGGTGACTTCGAGCCCGAGTGGGAAGTGTAGGTCGATCTTCTTGATCAGAGGCGTGCAGAGAGGCTTCTTGAGGGCTTCCTTGTCATCAAGTGTAGCAGGTGAGGTGTTCAGCTTCCTGTAGGGCCAGTCAGCGTTACGTCCGTTACATTGGCATGCTGGTCTGGCATGAAGGTGTAGGCGTGACATACCAGTTAAGCTTCTGCGTCTCAGGAGCGATCTTGATCTCAGCATCCTCCTTCTCTGCGGGAGCAGCGTCAGCAGGAGTATCACATCAAGACTACAGGCTGCCTCACCAAGATCAGCAATGTTGGCGACGCCAGACACGGTACTGCTGGTTCTACGATGGCCCTTGCCCTTGGCATCTGAGGGAGAACCGGGCTGGTCGGAGATGGCGGAGTCGACCTTCTCGAGGTTGGTGTCTTGTACTTCGGCGGACATGGTGATGTGAGCGACGAGACAGCGAGCAGAGCTGACTTGGCTTGAAAGCGTTGATGACGGGTGAGGTGCAGATGGTGATTGCAGTAGTCAGGCACGAGATTGGTGGTGTGCGTGGAGGAGAGGAAGAAGAGAGCTCGCGGGTCGAAGACAGCTTGTCGCGCGGGGCTGCTCGAGGTCACTTGCCCTCCTCCTATGCCCCTGGCCGCTCTCTCGAGCTGGGCGAGCTGATCACACGACGTCGCGTCGCCGACCCAATAACATGCCCACGCTAAACCCCGCTTCCCCGCGAAAGCCGGGGTTGCGCAACCTTCCGGGCTGCTCACGTGCCACTTGATCGTGAGACCTCGAGTCCGACGTGAGATGCGGACACAGTGGTGTTGAAGAGTTGTACATCATCTACGGACAGCAAAACAACACTCCAGTTGAGATACGTTGCTCCGATCCTCAATGATGGTCATGTGCTCCGTATGCCTTGTGCCGGTGAAAGCTAACACCCGTCAACACCCTTCGGGTACGACGACGTCGTGCCATCGTGGAGAGTGGTACTGTTCAAGGATGGGTCAGCAGGTTGTACACACCTAGGAAGTGCCAAGCAAGTAGATAGAGATTGTGGTTCAGTTCTCCAAGGTGATGGGTTGTTTCTTCAACGTCGATGCTCAGTAAGAACACAGCGAAATAATTGTTGTTCATCAGGAAGACGAGGAGAGAGGCAAAGAGTGACATACCTTGGGACTCGCAGAGTTGGAGAGTCGACGGGCTCGGTGCACGATCTGCAGGCACAGAGTCAGTGTTATGTTGTCTTCGTGCAAGGTGAGAACGTCGAATGCAGTTTGTTGCGGCTCAGAGATCTTGGTGTATTGGTAGTCTTCAATGATGTTGCAGTGGAATCCGCTAAGATAAAGTTTTGTCCATCATAGTAGTAGGGGGGCAGACAAGGTGAGAAGAACGTACCACTTGGCCATCGATGCGACACTTGCCCTCCAGTCATACCTGCAAGCGGGTGTCAGTGCTCTGTTCGAGAAGACACGCGAAGTACAATTGCATGGTTGATGCTCTGCTGTCAGGCTGCGAGAAGGTCAGCGTTCGTTCGCTCGGATGGGGCAGACAGGCGGCAGCATACCTCATTAAATCAGAATTTTCAGTGTTTGTACGTTCACCACCACCCACGGCGTTACCCGTTAGAGGTTCAAACAGTGTGAATAGTGTTCATCATTGCAGAGTCCAGGGTCGAAGGGATGTGACACAGTCACTTACCTGCGAGGGTGGTCAGCCAAGTCTCACTGGAATGTAGCTCGAGACACGAGAGAGGCAGCAAGAAGCTTCAGTCGACGCTTTCTCAACAAGCATCTCTTCGCCGCCAGCGCCCACAGGGATTGTACGGCCCTGTTCTGATGGACGCGGAGCTCGGAGTGCGCAGTCTGCCCGCCCGTTGCGTTGTAGGGCTCATCATGAGATGCTTGTGGGGTGGGAGAGAGTGAGTTACCTGGAGTAAAGTCAGCTTGGTGAAACAAAAGAATACAAGCAAGACCGGGCAGAAGTGAGTGCACATCAGACAAGGCTGAAACTAATCTTGACAGTGTCGACATAATGAGTTCCGTTCGAGGAATGCCATGTGTCATTGTATCATCACATGTGCAGAGGATGGATGGCGGAAGTGGAGCGAAGCATACCTTTGGCGTGAATGTCTGATGTGGGCTGCCATCGACACGAGGGCGGTAATCTGCGGTCGCCGCTGCGGCGAGAGTCGAGTGTAGCACGAGGTGCAGCGCCGAAGAAGGTTCTGCGCTGAACGTCAGTGTCAAGATCTCAGTGCAAGCGCGTGGATCTGAGGCGGTCTGCAGTGCTCAGAGTAATTCTAGAGTTATGTATTCCTGCACGACGCTATAGGATTTGGATTGTTCGTGTAATGGCATCCTTGCAAAAGGCGATGGGTGTGAAAGGCGGCGTACTCACATTTCATGGTGGTGACCGGGAGCGGTCTACGGGCGCGTGTTCACCCTGCCGCTCTGACGTGCTAAGGGTTGTCATTCTTGGCGCGCGATGTTGCTGAGCGCCGCGCCAATACGAGGCGTGGATGGTCTCGGATACGGTGTGGTGATGGACGAGAGGAAGAGGAAGTTGCAATGTCGAGATTGCCAGACAAATTCTCAAGTCCGAGCTCGTTTAGCGGCGCTTGGCGCGATTCTTGCCTTAGGTTGGGTGGCTCTCGACGACATGTTCTGTGACGCTCACATTTCTTCTTTATTTTATTCTACCCTCTTTTCACAGCACATCTTCGAAGCAACGGTGAAGATGGTATTAGCGGTAAGTCTACGGAATGCGTACAACGGCAGAAATGCAGCTTCGAGATGATCACATGCTAAAACCGAAATAGGCAGTTGGTCAGATATGCTCGACGGCCTCGTGAGTCCCCCCGGTGCTGGTACATGGTGGCTGCAAAGGAGGCCTACGATTGCTATCCGAAACATATACTAACGAACCCATCTCTGGACGTAGCATGGCCCATAATCTGGCTCAATGTAGGACAGTCATTCAAAAGGCAGTCTCGGGTGGCGCGAAGGTACGCCCTCTCGATCCCTTGAGCCAGCAGCACGGCTTAACGCACACCAGCTAGGCTCTTTTCCTACCTGAGGCTTCGGATTGGATCTCATCCTCCCCGGACGAGTCTCTTTCTCTATGCCGACCCGCCGACAGGTCGCCATTCCTGCTTGGTCTCCAAGAGGACGCAAAGAAGCACTCACTCCCGATCTCTGTCGGCGTTCACGAACCTTCAACAGACCCGCAGAGCAAAAAGATCCGAAACACGCTCCTATGGATCAACGCTCAAGGCGAGATTGCACATCGATACGCCAAGGTGCATCTCTTCGATATCGACCTACCGGGCCGGCCGCCCATGAAAGAGAGCCAGACCATTGAGCCTGGCAACGAGATCTTAGCACCATTCGAGACGGTCGTTGGCCGGATAGGCTCGATGATTTGCTTCGACTTGCGATTCCCGGAGATCTCACTCGCGCTCAAACGACAAAAGGCTGATGTGATCTTGTATCCTTCTGCCTTTACCGTGCCAACAGGCAGGGCCCACTGGCTTCCTCTCCTGCAAGCACGAGCGATCGAGTGTCAAGCCTACGTCATTGCTGCTGCGCAAGTTGGCAAGCATAATGAGAAGCGGACAAGCTATGGGCACAGCATTGTCATCAGCCCTTGGGGGGAGGTGATTGCTGAGCTTGGTGGCGAGTCCAAGGAAGAGCCGGAAGTAATCTTTGCTGATATCGATCTGAATCGGATCAAGAAGGTCAGGGCGGAGATGCCGCTGCTCCGGAGAACGTAAGCCGATGAATGTCCCTCCCTGGAAATGCGTACACTGATATATGAGCCACAGTGATGTCTATGCAAAGGTATGAAGGCCGCGCACACGAGAAATGCATTGCATTGGCATAGCTTTGGAGTTGCATTAGATGATAGACCTACTCCACGCGGACTACAGAATTGACTGACTCAAGATGCTTCAGCACTTCAAGCGCTCGTCTTGTCAGCTCTCAATATCTTCTCAAACACACCCACCCCCTCCCTCCCCAACGCCGTCCCAACTCCAACTACGTTCGCACCGACCGCCCTCATACGCTCAAATCCAGCATGATCACCCACTCCCCCAACACCAATGATCTCGACATCCTTCAACTCCGCATGCTCATCCAACATACCTCGAATCGTCTTCAGATTTCCTAACGCGAGCGGATGCAGCGGAGCACCAGCCATGCCTCCAATACCCGCACCGGACGCCGAGTTGATTGCCGGTGACCCATTCGTATCGTCCAGTACCAGGCATGAACCTAGCGTATTCGTAGCCGTGATGAAGTCTACCGGGCAAGTGGGCTTGCTGGATGCCAGCAACGCATCGATCAATGTCTTGAACTGGTCGGAATAGGTATATGGCGGTGTCTTGATCCCGATCGCTACCCTTCGCTCGCCTTCGGTGGCTTTCACTTCTGCCAGTCGTTGGAGATACTCAGCCAGCGAAGAGCCGGAGTAAGCAGGCGGTGGCTTGTCAAGAATGTTCGGACAGGAAAGGTTGATCTCCATGCACAGCGGGTTGCTCATAGTCGATTGTACATCCTGAATCCGTCCGTAGCACTCAGCAACAGCATCAGCACTTCCAGTGACCGAGACGATGAATGGCTTCTTCGAGCGAATGTCTTCCGGCAAGCTGGAGTCTGCTACAACCTTGCTGATCATGGTGAGATACGTTCCCAGTGTGGTGGGACTGTAGCCGAGTGTGTTCAGGCTCCCTCCATATCTATTGCTGTCCTTGGACACGAGAGAATGGTCAATCGGGTGGAAGAAAGCATACTGGTGGATTGAATCATCGTGCTCAAAGCCGTGTAGCAGGCTAGTTCTGATGGTGACTGCTCCAGTACTTCGACAGTTGAACAGATCCCGAAGGTCTACCAAGGTGGTGGCCCATGGATTCGACGAGTTGATCAATGGTGGTTCGATCAGCGGCAGTGGCATTGTTTTTCTCGGAGACTACGGTCGTTCGATACTGTGGGTAAAAGATAAGGTGAGGTCGAAAGCTCAAGGAAGAGCTCTAAGCATTGTAGCAGCCGATTGAAACATTGCAACAGATTCAAGGTCTCGCAAAGAGGCCAGGTCACAGACCCAGCCCTCATCAATACCAACGACAAAAGCTACAGAATAGCTACGGAAAAGTGGTCCCACCGCGCTGCCATGCATGCAATCCTACAGCCGTGCCACCACAATGCAAGAAGGGTATCATCCGAAAAATCGCAAATCCCGCCCAAACACCCATCGCAATGCGTAAATCAATTCATCAAATTCGCCTCTCCAGCCTCGTAAGGCCACTTCGCTCAGAGCGCAGCTCCAAGCTTAGCGAACCAGCTCTGTCTCCTCGGTGCAGCAGCTGGCCTGCCATCCCACGTCTTGCCACCAAACTCGCTATATCCCAGACTGTTCGCTGGTCCGCCAGGAGCATAGCTCTGCCGGCGTCCGTGTCCATGGTCGCGCGAACTGCCGTCGCTGCTCTTTGGCTCACGCCTCCTGCGACGGCCATCAGAGCCCTCATCACCCCTGCGCTTGCTCTGCCTCAGCTCCCTCGCGGTAGTCGGATCTTCGGGCGCCGTGTCATCTGCATAATGGACTGGCGCATCGATAATCGTGCCTTCGACAGGCGGAGGTGGTGGTGGATCATAGTTCAAAGAGTCCACCCACGACGCGGTCTTGTCTTTACCGTTTCTGCCGCCTTTCTGGTTCACCCCATTAGAAAGCGGCGTACGCCCACTTGTGGGGATGTGCTCACCATTGCGCGCGTCAAAGTAGTCGTCGACTGGAGCTGGAGCAGGATAGTCGGACCGACGTCGGGAAGTGCGCGGGCGGTCTTTGCTGGCGCCTGCGGTGACGTCTGCTGACCGGCGCAGTCGGCGCTCTTCGTGACGAGCTCTGCGTGCTTCTTCGTCTTCCGGGTTGTCCATGTAGGATCTTCGGCGGTCGCTTTTTGGGCGCTCGTCCTTCTCCCGGCGACGTTCGCGACGCTCAGGATCCCTGGGCTCCTCTTCACGAGGCGTGCGATCCTCTTCAGCTCGTCGAGCTTCCCGCTCAGCCCTCCGAGCGCGACGTTCCTCCTGCTTGCGAGCCTCACGCTCCTCCTCGGCTTTGGCCTTGCGCACCTCGTGGCGCGCAGCTCTCGCCTCAGCATCAGCCGCTTCACGCTCCTTCCGAGCACGGCGTTCAGCTCGACGAGCTTCCTTGGCCTCCGGTGTCTCGGCGTCCGTCACAGGGGCAGCATCAGTGAGCCCATCCGCATCAGACACTTTGCGAGACCGGCCGACCTTGCGATCATCGCGACGAAGTCGTTTGGTCGAGTCATCCTCGTAGACGGACCCGCGCTTGCGTCTCGAATGACCATCATCGCTCTCGTAAGCCTTGCTTTGGCGGCGATCGGGAGTTGGACGTGCAGAGAAGGCACCCAGGATGCCTCCCATCAACCCACCCTTCTTCACTGCGCCAGACATAGTGGTGCTGCGACGGAGCGGCGCCGGTCGACCAACAAAATCCGGTTCTTCAGTACCACGCGGCGCGTCAACCATGACAGCATCGTCGCCTTCACCGAGGCCACCAGACATCATAGTCGATTGTCGCTTCGATTTATGAGACTTCCTCTTCTCTCTGGACGGAATGTCGAATTGCGGCATGTCCTTGGCAGAGTCCTCTGGATTATCGACCATGACCATGTCATCGTCGTCAATGGCATAAGGATCCGGGACCTTGCGCGACTTTGGCTTCTCGCGCGTGGACTTGCTGGGCTTGACACCCATCAATTTGGCTGCCTTGGCGGACATCTCCTTCGGCTTGACATCGTCTGGAGGTGGCGACATCATCCCACCATCGTCGACAGCGACTGAGTGGCGGCGGGAAGAGCGGTGCTCACGAGCAGGGTCGCGCGTGCTCTTCGAGCGACTGGGCGTCGCACCACCCATGCCGAACATCGAAAAGCTCATCCCACGGGAAGTGCTCGGGCGCGACTTCGACTTCCCGTCCTTGTCAGAACCAGAAGATCGGGATGCCTTCTCCATCGGATCCTTGTCGTTGGCCTTGCGGGCAGACTTCGACCGCGACAGCGACGGCTTCTCAGGCTTCTCCTCGGTTGGGGACGCGGCGCCGTCCTTGGATCGCTTGGAGCTGGACTTCGGTGGCGGAGCAGCGCCCCAGAAGCCCCAGGACGACGACTGCTGATCGCGCACAACCTTCGGGCGTTCCTTCTTAGAAGGCTTGGAATCGTCCTTCCTCGACTTCTCCGGAGGTGGCGTTGGAAGCTTGGAGTCATCCATCAGCAAGTCGTCCATATCATCCCCAGCAGGCGGATCAACAATCGCAGGCGTCGCGTCTTTCTTGCTGGACTTGGACGACTTCTTCTCTTTGTCTTTGGAAGAAGAAGATTTCTTAACGGGAGGCGACATAGGTGCGTCGAAAGTGTCGTCGAGCGGAAAGCCACCAGGTAGCGGCGACGGCGAGGACTTGGGTACCACTAGTGTCGGGTCAGTGGACGGCGGCGACAACTCCTTCTTGTCTTTCTTCGAAGACGACGAAGTCTTGGTGGCGGTAGCAGTACTCTTCTTCGACGACTTCTTGTCCTCGACAACAACCACAGGCTCTGGCTCCGGTTCTGGAGGCGGAGGCGGGGCGGCTTCCTTGGCGGATTTCTTCGATGAACTCTCCTTCTCACCTTGCAGCTGTTTGATGCGATCCTGAACACTTGAACTTCCTTTGGAACCGCTTTTGGTCTTTGTCGTCGTTGTTGCTGCTGACTTGGAAGGCAACGTGTCGTCCTCGAAAGCGGCTTCTGGCGCCTTCGGCTGGTCTGTCAGCACGGACTTTCCATTGGCCAACGCGCTGCTGCCAATTTCCTTCTTCGTCTCGCTTGCGCCCGTGGCTTTCTTCGCAGATTTGAGAGACGATCCCCAGAATCCCCAACCGTCCGTCTTTGCGGACTCGACCGTCTCCTGTGATTTGTCGTTGAGGAGGTCGTCTAGCGGATCGGGCTCTAATTTCAGGACGAAACAATTAGCATGAGTCTGGCCGGGTTGGTGGGATGAACGGGGCCACGTCGTATGATGAACCGTACTCGCCACAGCCCCCCAGTACAGGTCGTCGCCTTGCACAAATTCGTGTTTGTGCAACGGATGAAATGGAGTAACATACCTTCTGGAACAGGATCGCTCTTCTTGCTCGTCTTGGAGGTCTTCTCACTCGACTTGTCCTCCTTGGAACTCTTCTTCTTGCTGTCCTTGGATTCCTTCGACGACTTCTTCGGAGGCGGCGCCTCGTCGACAATTTCCAGAATCTCGTCCGGGTCATCACCAAGTGCAGCGCCGAAGGCTTCCTCGTCGGCCTTCTTCTGAGCTTCTTCAGCTGCCTCTTTCTCCTTCTTTTCCTTCTCCTTCTCCTTGGTGGTCTTCGCTGGAGTCTTGCTGCTGCCCCAAAGGCTGCCCCAGCCGGAGGACTTAGAGGCCTTCTTGTCTTCCTTGGGCGACTCAGGCTTAGGTTCCTCCTCGACAGGACCAGCTTCGTCGACAATGTCGAGAATGTCGTCGCTCTTCGACTCCTTGCTATTGCTCTTGCTGAGCTTGCTGTCGTCCTTGGACGAAGTCTTCTTGTCTTTCGCGTCCTTGGCGTCCTTGTCCTTGTCCTTGCTGCTCTTCTTCTTCGTAGAAGTCGCAAAGGCCCAAGGATCATCGGCAGGTGTTTCCAAGTCAAGCAAGGCAGAAGCTTGCGGAGTGTCCAGTCCCTGTTCCGGTGGTGTCGGTGCGGGAGGCGGCATTGAGTCCATTAAAGAGCCTGTGTAGAAAAGAATGGTTAGCACCACGTATACCATGCCATAGTTTATCAAACCGCAGCTGCTCACCTTTCTTCGCCTTCTTCTTGTCCTTCTTCCCAACAGCACCCCACGAACCCCAGGGATCCTCTTCGGCAGACTTCTCCTGCACAGCATCAGGCATAACAGAGGGCACTTCGGGCGTAACGTCAACGACCTCCGTAATGCCCTTCGACTTCGTGCCCTTCTTGTCCTTCTTCTTGGTGCCAGTAGTCCACGAGTTCATCCAATCGTCATCGCCACCACCAGTGGCAGCAGGCTCGTCGAGCGTGAAAGCATCCTCGACCGGCGCTGGCGCTGGCGGGGGAGGTGGCGGTTCAGGCTCAGCCTTGCCCTTCTTCCCCTTCTTGTCCTTCTTGCCGAAGCCTGAAAACCAGTCGTCGGCAGGCTTCTCTTCCACCACTGGCTCAGGCGGCGGTGGTGGAGGTGCTGGTGGCTCCGGCTCTGCTTTGCCTTTCTTGCTCTTCTTGTCTTTCTTGCCTGTGCCGAAGCCGCCGAACCATTCGTCGTCGGCCTTGGTTTCAGGGACAGGTGGCTCTGGAGGAGGCGGGGGCGGAGCGGGTGCCACCTCTTCGATGGCGGCACCCTTCTTGCCCTTCTTGTCTTTCTTCTTACCAGAGTCCGCCCAGCCGCCGCCGAGCCAATCGTCGTCTGCTACGGGTGCGGCAGGTGGAGGTGGTGGCACGTCGATGACCGCGTCGGGTTCCGCCTCCGTCGCACCCCAGTCAAATGCGCCCTTCTTTTTCTTCTTATCTTTCTTAGAAGCACCTGTGGCCCACCCATCGAATTCGTCTACCACTGGGGCCGGCTCCGGCTCTGGCACAACGACGATCGGCTCTTCCACTATTTTGACCTCCTCCTTGCCCGCAGCCTTCGCGTTCTTCTTGGCCTTCTTCTTGTCTTTCGCGGACATCATGCCAAACTCGAACGGATCCTCCTCCTTGGGAGGCTCCGGTTCTGGCTCGGGAACGACAACCGGCTCTGCTTCGGCCTCCCAGAAGTTCTTCTTCTTGTTCTTCTTGTCCTTCTTGCTGCCACCCATAAGATCGCCCCAGGGATCATCAGCAGGCTTCTCTTCTTCGGGAGGAGGTGGTGGAGGTTCGACGATAGGCTCAGGTTCGGCGCCCTTCTTTTTCTTCTTGTCCTTCTTGGTGCTGAAGGCGGCCCTGCAGTGAATGTCAGTAGAGATCGACAGTCGTACTACACTCCAGCATTCCATACCATGGATCATCCTCCGGCGGCTTCTCCTGCGTTGCCGGCATCCCCAGGTCGTCGCCCTCGCCAAGTGTGTCAAAGTTGAAGTCAGAGAAATCGTTCTTCTTCTTCTTGTCCTTCTTGCCGGTCCCGAAACTCCAGCTATTGTCCATCGCCGAGTCCTTCTTGTCATCCTCTGCGCCGCCGAAGCCCCACGATGAGTTGCCGCCTTTGTCGGCCCCACCACTAGAACCCCAGCCGCCTCCCCATCCTCCACCAAAGCTGAATCCACCAGACTTCTTGTCGCTGTCGCCAGCAGCTGGCAAGCCAAAGTCGAGGTCGAGCTTCGGCGCGTTCTTGTCGTTGCTGAGATCGATGTCGTCGAACTTCATGTCGTTGTTTTCTGCGGCGGGTGGGGCGGGTTCGGTCTGCGCAACGGAAGGATTAGTATTCGGCGTCCATGTTTGCGGTTAGGATGTATAATGTGTCGAGTGTAGGACGAAGCGGTATGGCAGAGCAGCAGAAGTGTCGCATGCTCTAGCGCAGTATGGCCATGCGTGCTACTCAGGCAAGGCTGCGTTAGATTGCGGAGGTCCCAGCGCTAAGCCACCTCAAAACGCTTCCATCCCGCTGCGGTGAGCGGCTCGTCATGCGATTCGCTGCGCTTGATATTCGAGCACGACAAACTCCAAAACAGGGGCAGAGCACCATCGTACAGGACAGCTGTACTGTCCGACAATGTATAACAGTCCATCAAGTTTCCGTGTTGAGTGACACTTCTGCCCGACCCAAGTACACCTGAGAAAGTCGAAATGCTGCTTACCTTGCCTTTCTTGCCCTTCTTCTTCTTTCCAGTCGAGAATCCTCCCCATTCGTCTTCAGGATCCGCTGCTGTAGTTCCAAGGTCGACGGGTGCCTCTTCAGGTGGTGGTGGAGGTGGGTCGGGCTCCTTCTTGCCCTTCTTCTTCTTACCGCCAACTGGAGCGAACGAACCCCAGTCGTCCATGTCGCCTCCGCCCCCAGCATCTCCATTGGCAGCCGCTTCTTCCTCGGCCTTCTTCTTCTCCTCTTCTTCGCGCTTCTTCTCTTCGTCTTCAAAGTCGTCCCTGTGGTTGCGTACACGTTAGCAGTCGTCTAGCGGCATACCATGGCGATACCGGAAGCGCAGCTGCGACAACCTGCTCAAGATATACGTCGACACCTCATGACAGTCGTCGAAGTCCGGCTTGTGAATGGAGAATCTGAGCGAGCCCACTTACCAAGCATTCTTCTTTTTCTTCTTGTCCTTCTTCTTGTTTCCAGCACCGGCGAACCAGTCATCGTCACCACCGCCTCCATCACCTCCGCCTGGTGGATCCCCGCCGTCGCCTCCAGCGCCTGCACCACCATCTCCACCGGCGTTTTCGTCCCCACCACCATCAGCACCTCCGTCCGCGTTCTCCTCGCCCTCGTTCTCATCGCCCCATTTGGCCTGCTGAGCCTTCTTCGCCGCCTGCTTTGCCTTTTTATTGGCATGCTCCCGGATACCGTCAATTCTTGACAGATCGATGTCTGTCAAGATCGCAAACGGGCTAGATGATGATGTAGATGATTTCTTCTCAACTGGCGCTAGATCCGCCGTATATGAAAGACATTGCGCAGTGGCCACCGCATCTGTAGATGTATAATCCGGCGGCAGATCCTGCAAGCTTTCCTCATACGTTGGAGGCGGCACAGCAATTGGCCGTATCTCGCCATATGGTCGAAAGAGCTCCCTCACAACATTCTCTCCAGCATTCTTTGCCGGCGGAAGTCGTGCATTGCCATCCTTCAGTTCTTCCCAGAACCTGGCCAACTGCCTGAATTTCGAGCCGAACCCATCGCGACCATTCTTATCCAATCCAGTCTTCCGTCGCCGGGTGTCTGGTCTGAGCGAGTCTCGGACAAGGAGGTCGCCGTTGAATGATGGTGCGACAGAAACTGCCATTGGTATAGCCGAACCGGGTGTTGTTGCGGTGCGAGGGCGCGGGTATCATTGAAGGCGAATTGGGTGCTCGGGAAAAAAGCAATGGGCGTTTCCGAGGTAGAGGTAGAGGTCGTGGAGCTGCCTCTCGAAGTTGTCGAGATGGCAAAGTGCAATGGTTGGTGTGAGGTATACCGGTAGAGGTGTGAGAGAAGAGACTGCAGACACGAGAAGCGGGTGTTGCCAACTGAGACTCCCCTGCGGCAAAGGCGTTAATTCGTGTTGTGTATCGCCAATCGGTTTTAGCGAGATGGATGCTGGGATGAAACACCAATCGTAAGAGGCGCTCGATCCTCCTAGAGCGGACAGTGCGCGGCCATGGCAACAACACTTCCTCCGAGGATATATCTCCAATATGGCAAGGTAGGGGAGGTGGTGGTGTAGCAGTTGTTGACACGAAGTCTATTCGAAAAAAGACGAGACGAAAGAAGACCTTGTCACGGCGCTCCCGCGGTTGCATGAGAAGCCGCTGCATCCTGCAATTCTCTGCCTGTTCTACCCTACTTCCTCCTCGAGCCTACTCCCTTACGCCATCGACAGGCCATGACGGACCACTACCGAGCACCAGCGTGGAGCCGCGGTGGGCATCTTGGGCAGATCTGCTTGCAATTGCGCTGTCGTGCACCTTCACCGCCAGATCTAGCTCGACGTGGTATATCCGAAGCTGCAACCCTGCAGGCGAGCTCGCACGCGGTCGGCTGGTCATGCGGTAGCTAATGCGGGCGGTCACCACTCAGAGACTTTCTCCAACTCCACCGGCTGGATCGCGCGTCTGGAGCGCGTGCGGGAGGCCCAATCGGCTGGAGAAGGCGTGGGCGAGTGGGTTGTGGCGGAGAATCGGATATCTTACTTGACTCTGACATTTCCCTCGACATACCGGTTGTGCGGTAATAAGGCTATCGACTTCAACGTGGCAGTCCTGTTGTGCTACGTTGGGCAGGAGTGGGCAAGGTGGGACGCAGGCGTGAAAATTCTGACCGTCGAAGGCAGCGACCACCGATACTGAATTCCTGATGACGGGAAGGCGTAGAATGCTTCGAGCGCCTGAGCTCCTGGACTACGCACAATCGGCTGGTCTCACTGCTTCGAGCAGCTCCTGAAGCTTGGTGCTCCGCTCTGCTGGCCATAGGAGACGAATTGCCTCGCCACGAAGGCTCTGATGAGGAAGGCAGACGTCTCCAAGTTCGCAACCAGCCCAAAGCACCTCGACACAACCTAGAAGTGGTGATGCTGTCTCGGGGAAAGGCCTCCACGACCTGTGAGCAGGCTTCTCGCAGCTGAAAGGAAGACGTCTCGACTACCATAAGCAGCCAAAAGCAGCTCAAGACCACACAAGGCTAGTGGTGTGATCTCGGAGAAGCAGCTCGACGAGAAGGCTAGGTTGTCCTTACGGAATTGGAAACGATAAGCTGTCGCGATGCTTTCGAAGCTCTGGGCAAGATCCTGCCCCGACTACAGCAACGAGATGTTGAAGGCAACCCTCAAAGTTCATTGCACAGTGATACGCGCAAGGTAAGCAGGTTCAACTATGTGCCGTATGAAACCGTCGCATCCCTTGTTCGCCATTTTCATTCAGCCTCAACTTTTGCCTCGCTATGAAAATCATGTCCGCCTCAGTTCCAGTAAACGCTGAAGCCTCCTGGACGCGAAAGGCCCAGAAGACTTCTTAATACAGCGCCACCTTCATCCCGGCTGCCTCATCAGACGTCCAAACGATAGGGTAGCAATTCCCTCACCCATCTGCCGGCTGCGCGCCAACACCGACATTTCATATCGATCAGACGTCCAAATCAGCTCATTCTCAGCCCCCTTGGACGACGAAACTCCTGTCGTGCGCCCTACATTGCACATACCGTTCGTCTCAAAGGCACTTGATGCAGCCAGCGAGGGAACGATGAGAGGCTTCTGCAAGAAGAGGGTACGATGAGGCCGCTGGCTACTCAGTAGTGCCTCGTTCTTGATGGATTTTCCTTATTCATGGTTATAAGGGAAGAAGGATTTGGAGGGGGAAGCAGGGGGGATAATGGGAGTCCGACTTCTAGGGGTGGGAGTTGGTGACTAATTGACGGTCTCCGACTGGTCTGATTGCTACTATGAACAAGTCAAGGGACCATCGGAGAGCATCGGAGAGGTGGTTATGTGTGGCTAGCAACCGTACTCTCCATCAACATTGTGGTACTGGTCGTGTCGACAGTCGGAAGCGGTGGCAGGGAGGTATTCACTGTCAACTGCTAGAACGCAGCGGGCTTTTGCCGCTGGCGACACAACTACTGCTACACGCATGTCCCGTTTATATTTCCATCTAAAACTACATTGACACCTCACCGTTCGTTGCATATAGACATAACAGCGATCAGATATAGCTCCTTCCCAAAACAGCCCAGATCCCTGCAGCTCACACCGACGTCACATTGCCAATTCCTCAAATTTCGTGCATAAGCTCTACAACTCTCCCAGCTCGTACCGCACAACAACACCCTCACACACTTCCACCAAACCCTCCTCTAATTACAACAATGGACGTACGTAACCTCCCAACCGCCCATCCCTCCCACTCTTCGCTAACCACCACACCAGAACCTCACCCCCTCAGGAATCTACGCCCTCTCTACCTCCGCCTACCTAACAATCCAATCCCTCCCCCTCCTCCTCACCCCCAGCCTCATAACCTCCCTCCTTTCCCCCGACCCCCGCCGCCCCACCGACCTCGAAACCTACTTCTGCCGCGCCCTCGGCCTCAGCCTGCTAACCCTCGCCGCCACAATCCTCCCCTTGACTGGCATCCTCCCCACCGCTTCCCCGTCCAAACAAGCACAAGCCGAAAAGGAAGACGCGACGACGGACCCGTACGCTTCGCCGACGGTGATAACGACATCCACCTACCACGCCCTCAACGCGTTTTACCTCTACACGCAGCTGGCGCCTGGGTCGTGGAATTTCGGTTTCACGGCGGGGATTACGCTGTCCGGGACGTTGTTTTGTTTTGGGCTGTGGGTGATGATGTTTGGTGGGGACAAAGGGCGGACGAGCAAGAAGACGGGGGCGGATAAGCGGACGGCGAATTTCCCTTTTACGAACGCGGAGAGTAGTCGGGAGAAGAGGAAGGAGGCGAAGGCGGAGGGGAAGGTGGAGAAGGAGAAGCGGAGGAGTATGGCTAGGACGAAGAGTAGGGATTACTGAGGGGCTTGGTTGGGAGCGGATGTGAAGGGATGAGGGAGGAGGAATGTATATAGGTGGTGTACGAGGCATATGCCTGTGTGGATATGATAAGAAGTTTAACCCGGGTATCACGACATGCCCGTCGGAAAGAAGAAGTCTATTGTACACCGCTCATGCCAATCAAGGCACCCACAGCATCGGCCTCCTTCGCCGCCTGAGCCTTTTGAGGTGTATTGTGCAGGCTGCGCAGCCGCTCGCGCTCCTCATACTCCGCCATGCGCCCTGCCAGATAGTTGTCGTACGGATCCTGGTCACCGTCGAAGCCTCCGCCTGCGCTGTGGCCGGTGGGAGGCGGCGAGGGTGTTGGCGTCGGTCGCTCATCGTCCGCGTCTCTCATCTCTTCGTCGTTGCCGTTCCCGTTTCTCTCTCCTGGCGTCGCAGCAGCACCATTCCCATGCCTCCGCCACGAAGGCTCTCCACCCGTCCACTCTCGCGCTCTCGACGCCGCAGTGTCCTGCTCCATCTGCTGCCTGACGCGCGCTTCCATCCCATCCAGCAAGCCCTGCATATCGCCACGCGCAAGCTCCGACTCCATCACACCTTCGAAAACAGCGTCCGTCAGCCGCCATTCCTCCCTCCGTCTCTGCTCCAATGCTGCGCACTCAGCCTTCAGCTGCTCATTCTCTTGGGTCGCCCAGTGCACCTGTCGCCTCAACAGCCGCATCAGATCATTGGCGTTTATGGAGCTCTCCCAGGCTGTGAAGGAGATGTCTGGCGGGTATGTAATCATGAATCCAGGCTGGCCGGTGATTGGATGGTGGGCGGGTATATACTTAATATTGTCGTTCGGGTGGGATGGCGTGACGGGATTGCCATCTTCGTCATGGGAAGGTGCGAGTTGAGAGGCATCGGTGGGTGTAGGTGGATGCTTCAGGGAGTTGGAGTTGGTAGAGCCGTTTGTGAGTTTAATCTTGATCGGCTTCTTGCCCGGAGGTGTGGGCTCGTTGGTCGTTTTGTCGCCAACGCGCGCTGGCTCAGGTTCGTGGACGGTACGCATATGCTTCGCGAGGGCGTCTGAGCGGGTGAAGGATTTGTCGCATTCTGTATTAAAGATCAGCATTTCCACCAGGGCTCGTGGATACAGACCGCTTGCACGTACCAGGCAGCGCACAGTAGTATGGCTTCTCCTTCGTATGACTCCGCATATGCGCCTTCAACGCGTACCCGCTCGGGTGGTTGCTCGTCTTCCGCTGGCATTCTCCCCACTCACACACATACTTGGTCCTCTTAGGCCCGCCTGTCGCGCAATGCGTCCCCTGGACGTGCTTCACCAGCTCGTCATTATTAATAGCATTGCCATAGTCGCAGTCCTTCCATAAGCACTGCGTCTGCGCTTCATCCCGCAGGACGTACTCATCGTGGGTCGGGGAGCCAGGCGCGCTGCTGAAGGAGTCTGAGGAGATGGAGACGTTGTCGTCTTCGTCCTCTGGTGGCTGGTATGAGGTCGCACGAGGGCCATGAGAAGGTGCTGCGCCGGTCTTGCGGCGTTTGGGAGGCGGAGCGAGCTGGTCATGGTCGGGATGGGTGATATCGACGCTGGGTCGGGAGGAGGGGACGGCGGTGCTGAGCTGCTCTTCGCCGTCGCTTTCGCCTGATGGCGGGTCGGAGAGGTCTGATGATGCTGGTGAGCTGGCCATGATGTGCGTCTACGGAGAGGAGGGTAATGTCGAGTGGTTTGTGAGAGGTCAATCGAATGTTGGCGAGGTCGTGCCCGGAGGAACGCGCTTGGCCGCTTTGGTGAAATGAAGCTGAGATCGCGAAGTTGTTCTGCTCTCCTCTCCATCCACAACACCCCATCTTCATTTTCATAGCACACCGATATCAGCGGATCTCGCTCGTCCACCTGCATTCATGCCATCTCGCTGTGAGCGGCGGCCGCACCCCTTGCATGATGGAGAGACACTCAAGGCAAGTCACTCCTACTCCTCCCTCTCTTCACTCTTCATGATGAACATATGAATTCTGCAATGCCGAATCCATGGTTTCTCTGGAAGCCTCTATATGTGGATTATTCCAAACTACACTTGATCTGACCATCCCCCCTTACTTCTCTATCCCCCAAAAGTATGTTCTCCAAGCAAACGCTGACATGCTTCAGTGAATAGCATGACCACGATGCCCTGTCACTGCTTGACAGACCAGCGATAGGAACGAGCCACGGCAGTAGTCCTAGACAAGGTTCGGAAGAGTGCCATTTCGATATGTTCTAAATGCTCGTACAACTTTCCTGCAAGTCACTTCTCTACTCCTTCAGCTCAGCGCTGTCCCCAAAGTTCAGCCCAGCCAAAGCCTCCGGGTACCTGTCCCCGGTAACTGCGACACTCGCAAGTAAGCTGTCAATCTCCTTCATATCATTCTCGCTCAAGTCCACATCCACCATATTCTCTTGCACCCTCTCCGCAGTCGTGGCACCAGGGATGGGGATAAACGTGGGCATGCCAGGCTTCTTGCTCTGCGCCTTGACCCACGACGTACCGACCTGCCCAGGCTTGCAGCCCTTCTTCTCAGCAATCTTCTCCAGCTCCTCAACAAGCTTCAAATTTTTCTCGAAGTTACCGGGCTGGAAACGTGGCATGTGCCGGCGCATGTCGCCTTCGGGCATGTCGTCAATCTTCTTGATCTGCCCGGTCAAGAACCCGCGTCCAAGGGGTGAGTAGGCTACGATAGGGATGTCCAAATCCGCGCACGCTTTCACCACGCCATTGTCCAGGATGTCAGTCGACCATAGCGAGAACTCGACTTCTACGGCCTCGATCTTCGTCACCCTCGCCGCACGCCGGATGGTGTTGGCGCTGCACTCGGACAAGCTGATTCCTCCCAGCTTGCCACTCTTGACAAACTTCTCCGCCTCGCGCATTGTGATCTCAATCGGTGTATTCGGATCCACGCGCGCAGATTCCCAGAGGTCAAGTTTCTTCTTCCCATCCAGCACCTTCAAACACTCCTCAATGCTCCGACGCGTGTTCTCCGCGCTGCCGTTAGGAGCCATCCCGCCCGGCTCTAGCCCGCCTTTGATACTGATGACGACCTTATCGGCATCGGCGGGATACTTGGTAAAGTACTCATTCAGCAAGTGGAGGGAGTTGCGCTCCGGTGAGCCATAAAGCTCTCCGCCATTCCAGAAGTTCGCTCCATTGTCGAGAGCGGCTTTCATGGCAGAGAAGGACTGCTCCTGTGATGGAGGGCTGGCGCGCCTGCAAAGAGAAGGGCAAAAGGGTTAGCCAGTGTCTCAGACATGGTAGGGGTTTGCCCATGGGTTTGGTACCAGGTGAGGCCCATCAAGCCAAAGCCGGTGCTGTGGACCTTTTCGCCGGCGAGCTTGATGGTGGGTTTGTCCATGCCGAGGGCGGACTTGGTCTTGTCGATGATGTTGGAGGCCATTTTTATTGGGTTGATGTGGATGTTGGCTTGCGATGCTCTTTGTTTGTGGGCTGTCCGGTGATGATACTTCGACTCTGAGCTTGACCTCCAAAGCCTTTATATACCTTATCGTGGGGTGTCTTCCGTTCCGTCCGTTGGAGACAACCAAAGCCTTGAAATCTTTCTAAGTCCGCTATACGAATGCGGGCGAGCACTCAATGGCGTCCGCGACTCATGCACCAGGTCGTTGGTGAAGGATTTAGTGGCTGCAGCGGAAGAAATGCTACTTGCAAGACCCGGTACACACAGAAGACAAGGTACGCGAGATATTTTACTGGGAGTTGTGATGCAATAGCGCATTGAAATTTCCATGGGCAGTGGCAAGAGTGGCTCACGCAGCTCGAGGGGGAAGGTGGTCTCGACCGGACGCAAGCGGATGACTCGCCTCAAAGTCCGGATGGCAGCACGTTGTCCAGGAAGCGACATCTCCAGCAAGCATATATCTATGTCCAGAGATACAGTGTCTAGTTGGTAGCATGTCCAGAGATCCAACATTCATAGCAGCTTGCGAATGCATATTGAGACGAATCCTTCTTATCGAAGACCGAGGGCAACATACCACGGCAACATGTGCAAGCATATGATTACTTCAGCTGCATGCATTTATGCAAGCTTGCAGCAGGCGTCTAACACCAAGGGCACCAGCTATTGGAGTGATGTTGAACGGTTTTGACTCGTCATTCACTAGATAAACCATAGACAGAGGTCCAACAACAAACGCACCAACACCGGCACTGTCATCAGGAGCCCTGATTATCGTCAATCATGCAACGCCATACCGTGCGTGGTGTACGCTGCACCTTCAACCATGCGTGACTTTCGACACCGTTCCATCCTCCTTGGTGTGGATGTTGAGTCTGGTCAAGCATCAGCCTTCTGTGAATTGGACCCACTCTGTGATGAGGGTACGCACCGATCAGGCTTGTGGTCCATGGTCATCATATCGCCCTCCTTGACAATTCTGTGTTCTTGGGGGAGGTCTTTCTTTGCGAACGTCTAGTGCACATACATACTCAGCCAGCTACTGGAATCATTCCCGATGGATGGACGAACTTACGGTCTCATTAGAGCTCTCCCCAATCTTCTTGCCGGCGAGATCGTTCATCCACTTGGACGTCTTGTCCTCGCCGCCGTCTTTCGACATCAGGCCTGGGACTACGAGAGGCATGTTGGTTGTTGGTTGTCGGTTCTTAGGGTATTTGAAGGAGCGGCTGGTGAATCGAATGGTTTGCAGGGTAAGGTATCGAGGCAAAGTTCTTGAGAGGCAGGAAGTTGGACTTGCTTTGTTGAAGAAGTTGGGCTACACGTCATAACCCCGAGTTAGGCAGCTGCATGCCACCCCTTCACACCATCTCACGACAAGAGCAAAAGAAGGTACACTGTAAGAGCGAGACATGGTAGCAAGAACACTGTACATATCACAGATCTGCGAACACGACTAGTAGCTAAGGGGGTATCTCCTCAAACAGAAAAAAAACCAAACACCACCTTTTCCAAGCCGAACCCTCCCTCTACCCTTCCCCTCCCAACTATCCCCCATCAAGCCCCCTTCGGCCCCTCAAACTCATACACCCCACCCGTCTTACTCAACACCATCCCCAACCCCGGCATGATCTCCGCCTGAAACGGCTCAAAAGGAACACTCTCCCCATCCACCGCCACCAACCCGGTCCTTCGCTTCCCCTCCCCTCCCAACCACCTCCCCACCTTCGTCCAAACCCTCCTCCCCGAGGGTGGCTCATAGATTCGAGGCGTGATCCGATACGCCACGACTTTGCGGTACGACACCTCGGGGAAATCCATGTGCGTGCCGTCGTCGATGCAGGACATCATCGCCAACCCCCGCGTGCGCGGGATCGCGCCGGAGATGTTGACCATGTCGAGTTTGCCGTCCGAGGGCAGGGAGGCGGGGAAGAAGGCGTTGCCGGGGCTCATCCAGCACATGTTGCCGACGAAGAAGTTGCCGAGGGTGGATTGGTCTTCGAGGTGGAAGGAGGGGGGAAGGGGATCGTTGATGGTGCCGTAGCGGAGCTCGGGGAGAGAGCTGTCCTGGCTTTCGAGGAGGTCGTTGTCATCGTCGTTGTCGTCGTCCCCTTGGATGAAGCCTTTCGCGCGTGCGGTCTCTTGCTCTGCGACAGCGTGCCGGTAGGCTTCCTTAATCACCGCCTTATCGTCATTCTCAACCGCCACAGCGATCTCGGCCGGATACAGCGACTTGCCCAATATCCTCACCAACGCTCCCCAACTAAACCTCAACGACCCCATCCACCTCAGCGACTCCGTCCCCAAATCACACTCCGCGATCAACCCCACCGCCTGCGACAAGAAGCTATAATACCGCCTCTCCCCCTGCGTGATCGCCACCAGATCAAAAGGCGTCCGCACCCCCTTCACAATCGCCAACGCCGCCAGACTCGGCGAATCCGTCCCATTGAAATTCAGACTCAGCGCATTCCCACTCCCGCACGGAATCTGCACGACCGCCACCTTCCGCATCGCCCGTCGTGCATCTTTCTGCTTCGCCAGCCCATTCCACACCTCATGCGGCAGCCCATCCCCGCTCGCGCACGCCACCACATCATAAGCGCCCACGTCCAGCTTCTCCCCAATCTCCACCGCGTGTCCGCTATACGCCGTCCGTTCTACATCCGTCTGTAACCGCGCAGCCGCGAAGATGGGCTCCACCTCCCTCGACCACAGTTTGGCTGCGTACCCCTGTCCTCCGAACGGGTTCACCAGCACCTTTACCCTCCTCCTCCTCTTCACGCCCCGCGGGTACGCTCGTTCCAGCAGCCTCTCCACCCACTTCTCCGCGTGCGCCCTCGCACTCTTCTCAATCACCGTATACACCACCTTCCCCACCGCACAACTCCTCTTCCCCGTCCCCCGCGCATACCGCACCGTGACCTCCAGCCCCCGCAACTCCGCCCACAGCACGTGATAGAACGGAATCGCCTGCGTCGTCTTCCCCAGTTGCGGTAGTAAGCCGCAGCACGTCGAGGCCGCGCGGCGGTGGCGCAGCCCTTCGTCCAGCACGATGAGGGCGTCGGTGCCGAGGGTGAGGGTGGCGTTGCGGTCGACGGTGAGGGTGTCGGCGTCGCTTGGGGCGACGGAGGAGGAGGGTGGGGTTGGGTCGGAGAAGGGGTCGGTGGGGGGAGGGGCGGGTTGGGGTGTGGCCATTTGGGGTGCGCTGAGCGAGTGAAGCGCAGAGAAGGATTGTAGAGGGATGCTTCAGTTGGGCGGAAGAATAGAGAAGAGCGAGGTTGCAGGAAAAGGTACAGCTACAGTAGCATCACGCTAAGGAAAGCGTACGCAAGCAATGTCCAGGGTCGGATGTTTGTCCAACAAGCTGACCCTCTCGCTTACGGCCTCCTTCTTCAAATCACGGATCACATGATGAAGCGAATACGAACCACACGTTCAAGACCAATGAGGTAGCTTCCAGGGTTCACTTTCTTTACAGACATTAAGAGCTATGTACAACCACCGACCCCTTCTCCGACCCAACCCCACCCTCCTCCTCCGTCGCCCCAAG